CTTGAAGAGCAAGTCGGAACCCTGACCGTTTTGACCTAATCTGAGTATACCCTAGGTCATCACCCCGAGGATACGGTGTTATTCGATCGGGGATTTTCTTTTCATACTTCTTCCCGAATACTCAGACGCTGGTGGATGGTCGATTGTCAGAAATTCCGGGATCATGGGACCCGGAAGCCATAGCCATATCATGATGAGGGTGGCTTCATCCCCCACATGTGCAAACATACGGTGCTCCTATTTCAGAGTCGCTTATATCTGCGAGCAGCACAATTACTCACGCCAGTTCCGCATCTGGATCCATTGAGAGATTGGGAAAACGCGGACACCTACCTGTCCTGTGCCAATGACATCTCAAATACACCAGATACCCATTGCCCGTGCAACCAGTTCAGATCTCGCCCGTATGATGAGTACGAACGCGCTGCCCCCTTGCGAGGAGCCGCCTGGCCCGTTCCGCCTAATCTTGCGATTAATTGTACTAAACCTCAGAAACCTGAACCGTTGATAGGAATTGCCTTGATAGGGAATGAGCATAGGAACCATTGTGTGCAATTGCTCACGGCTGTCTCCCCTAGTGAAAGAGGAACCCGTTGATGGGGGAAAGATTTTTTTGGGCGGGCTATTCTTTTTAAGCGCTGGGTAACTACCAAGGCTGTGCAAAAGTATCCGTGTGCAGATCAGGTAGCAGGATGCATATTTGTCAATGAGCCTCAGTAGAATAGGGTTATTAGGTAGCCGGTACAAGATGGCAAAACTGGCCGAAGCGTTTTGGAGAAACACGGGGAGAACCAAGTGGGCCCCCCCACCTGGCGACGAGGAAATATTCGGGGATAAAAAAAATTATAGAAAAAATTTGTGTCAAGGTATTGTAAGCTCAAGTATCAGCATGTCTTCGAGAATCGAACAGGTTGCGCTCATAAGTCTTGAGCAGGGGTTTTTAAACACGGGGAATACGCATAGAGGGTCTAAATTGCTGATAAATGGACAATATGCGAAACTCGCGAGCTCTGAGCTAAAGGACATATTTCATGATCCGAGTATTTATTCGTCAATCCAGGAACTTGCAGCGGAATCATCTACGCCACGGCAAATAATCGACCAGGTTGTTGAGAAAAGTATTGAAATTTCAGCAGAGAAGTCGTTTTTGGCTGCAATAGTGCTACTCCAGCTGTTTGTGCAAACTAATTTCACCGGGCCCAAATTTCCACCGGCTGACCAGTTGGGCTGGATCAACGAGCTACAGACCACTAGTCCGAGCATAATAGACCTGTTGACACTTTCTGGTCAACAGCCAAATAGACTGGTCGACTGGCCGCTGTTGCTGGTACTATCACTCAGATACTTTGAAAAATTGACAAAATCCCCAATAAGTCTAGTTGGAGAAAACCAGAGAATCGAGCCAGAAACGGCAGTCAGCGAGTCCAAGATTGTGACATTGGCAGAGGACGATTACCAGGTTGCTGGAGCGTACTGGTGGAGATCAAGAGCGTTGCAGGTGCAACAATCCCTGTACCATGACGAGAATGCCATTTTGTCCACTCTCACCTTCTCTCTTCTTTCTCCCTCAGTGGTGACTGCTTTGGTGGACCAGACGAACCCAAACTTGGTAGTGAACCAGTACATTCTTGTTCTATACCATCTGGAGAAGGCGCGTTCGGCACTGAGCGCAAACGCAGACACACAGGCCACCGAGAGTTTATCCAAGGCCAGATCTACTTCTGGACTCGAATTTGTTCTTACTGGTTGCAAGGCCAAGCGGACCAAGTATCAGGAAAAGGCTGTTGCATCGCTGACTGTTCTTGCACGGTCGCAAGCCAGTTTGCTACGGACAGAGACCGACTCGAGCAATAATCCACAGGAGGTGGCACTGAACGACGACCTGTTTCTTGAGCGTCTTCAGTACGAGAATCTTGGCGACAACGAGGTCTTTGAGACTACGGGTGACGAGAAGCGAGTCAGAATAGACTACTCGAATTTGGACTACCACGAAGATCAGGAGGACAAGTTGCTACCAATTGCTCCGAAAGCAGAAGACATTCCAGCTTCGTTGCAGAACATTGACCCGAACTCGCAGCCTGCGCTTGCGGACCTGGACAACATCCAGCTTCTGCTGCGTCTGGAGACGATACGCGCAAACTCTCCCGCACGCAGTGCTCTGATCAACGAGGAGCTAACGGCGCTGGTGCAACGTGTGCTGTTTTCGCCGGCTGGAAGCGTCAACTGGCTGGTTTATTGCAACGCGCTTTGGCAGCGGTCGTTGCTCGAGTCCGACAAGGCAAAAACAGTCGAGCGTGGAGTGCTGCAACTGTACTCGCTGGTGGAAGAGCTGGGAGTTCATTCGGAGCAGACTGCACGGCTGTTCCCAAAGACCCAGGATGAGGAACAGTTTGCCGAGAAATTTGTGTCGCAAGACGTTTCTGACGAGCTTTCGCTGGTGAACTCTGTTAGAAACAGGTTTGTGTTCCAGCTTCCACTGAACCCGAAATGGAACCTGGACTCGAAACTGGCCGAGAAGCTGGTGGAGCTTGGGTCGCTGAAATCTGCTCTGGAGATCTACGAGCGGCTACATTTGTGGACAGACGCTGCTCTTTGTTACGGATCCATTGGAAACGAGTCCAAGGCCGAGGAGCTGGTGGTGAGGCAGCTGGACGAGTTCCCCAACGACGCCAGAGCGCTGAGTGTCCTTGGAGACATCCGGCAGGACCCTGCTCTGTGGGAGCAGGCGTGGAGCGTGAGCCGGTACGCGAACGCCAAACGGTCGCTTGCCAAGTACTACTACCAGAAACCCGTTGCCGAGCGCGACTACCAGACCATTATCGGCCACCAGTACGACTGTGTCAAGGCCAACCCGCTCAACTTTGAGAACTGGTACTTTTACGGGTGTCTTGGTCTGGAGACCAGCAGTTGGGAGCTGGCAGCCGAAGCGTTCACGCGGTGTGTTGCGTTGGACGAGACCAGCCGGTACTCGTGGTCGAACCTGGCGTCTGCGCTGCTGCGGCTCGACAAGATGAAAGAAGCGTTCACGGCGCTGCAACGGGCCGTCAGCTCGGGCGACACCGAGAAGTCTTCGTGGAAGATCTGGGAGAACTATTTGATTGTGGCGATCAAGCTGGGCCGCTGGGACGAGGTTCTCGTGGCCTCGCGCACGCTGCTCAATACGCGCAAGGAGCTGGACGGCGAAGGATCGTTGGACATTCCTGTGCTAGAGAAATTGGTGGAACTGCTGATTTCGGAGCCGTACAACGAGGACTCGCGGCAGACGCATTTCCAGAAGTCATGTGTGCAGTTTCTGACGCAGGAGGTGCCGTCTGTGGTGAACCACAACTCCAGGGTGTGGCGGGTTGTTGCCAAGGTGGATCTGTGGAGAAAGAAACCGTGGTTGGCGTTGGAGGACTACGAGAAGGCGTACCGGGCAGCCAGCAGTCGGCCGGAGCTCGTGATTGAACAGGAGGCATGGCAGGACGCTGTTGGTGCGTGCGAGGACCTGGTGGCTGCGTACGAGAACTTTGGCTCGCTACCGGGCAAGCACGGCGCCGGCGACGTGGTATGCAAGGACTGGAAGTTTAAAGCACGGTCTACGGTGCGGTCGTTGATGTCGAAGGGAAAAGTCTGGGAAGACACCGAGGAGTACAGCCGCCTGGAAGAGCTCAAGGAGGAGATGAAGGGTAAATAGATAGAAAATCAATTAATGTAGAAAAATGGTAGCAAGCGGAGCAGCTGCGTCGGGACAAACAATCAAGAGCTGGCGCTGTGGATCTTCTTCTTTCTGCGGCGGGTCTTTTCCTTGACGGGGGTTCTCTCCTTTTTGTAACCGACAGGGTCTTTCACGTGTCCGGCTACGGCGATCGAGTCGTAGTCGGTGATGGAAAGTATGAGCGTGAACTTGTTTCTGGCCAAAACCCACAGGTTGTACACAGATCCCGGCAGAACGTCCTCGTTGAACACCTTATCGAGGAACTTGAGCAGGTTGGCCACCGCCAGACGGCTGGCATCCGAGGACTCGACTCTTAGCCCCCACACAAAGATGTAGAAGATCAAAACGTAGAGAGAACCAAGGTTCTTGGCCTCTTTGCACAGCAGCCCGATCACCGCCAAATCGACGTGGGCCGCAAATAGAAGCAGCGGGTACTCGATGTAGCTGACCAGCGGGGTGATCGCCAGAGATAGCGGGTGCTTAGGGAACGCCTCGATGATGCAGTAGTTGGTGAGGTTGAGCAGCGAGTACGCGGCAAAAGGAAGGATCTTGAGCATGTTTGTTGGGGTTGTGAGCCACAGACACGAGTACACCAACAAATGGGTGTTCTCGGACTTGAGGATCTCTGTCAGCGGGACGGTTTGATAATCCATCTGGTGGGCCTTGATCGAGTCGGTGGGGGAGCTCACCAACAGGTCTGGGTCCAAAATGTGTCTTCTGTACACCACCAACGAGTAAGTGACAATCGAACCGGTCAACGACAAGTTGTACCACGGGATCTGGACAAAAATCCATGATTCAGGGGTGATGAACCTGAAAAAGTGCATCACTGCCCCCAAAAACGTGACAAAGTGAGAGAGTATCCATATGTATTGCAAGCTGTCATTTGGGAAGACACCCACGGCTTTACGTGCGATCTGTTTCCAAGGAACCAGCTGCGCGTATTGCCTGGCTTTTTCCACGACTCCGTTCTTCATAATAGCAAATCTTGGAGAGATTTTTGGTCCAGCGGGTGATTTATGGCGGGTAGAAATTAAGTAAGCCGCAAAGTGTCCCGGTATTTACAGGATGTTAGCACAACATAGAGACGGCCGTCTAGTCTTTCAAAAGCGGTGTCTGCTCGTCTGTTGGCTTTGTGTCGGATGGTTTCTTAGGAGCGTCCTTGGCATGATGGCCAATCAGTCCGCGCAACTTCTCGGGGATATCCTCGAACGCGAGGTCGTCGGTGGTCATTGTGACGCTTTCTCCCTTTGAAGCAAGTAGATCTTCCACGGTAATGTGGTCGTCGGAGAATATCTGGAGTTAGTGGCCAATGAATGAGTCAACTTACCTTTAAATGATCGGCTATCAAATGTCTATTCTTGCAGCCGGGACACTGAACCAGAACTGTTCCGGAGTTGTATGCCTGCTTGGACAGAATGTGCGACGACCGCTCGTTGCACTTCTTGCAGGTGAATGCAAGCATGAGCATTGGCTTGTCCATCTTGATTGACGATTGGAGCCTGGCAGGAGCCGCAATCGAAGGAACAGCCAGTCGTGGACGAGCACCCACTATCGAGACCGGTGGGTGTGCAACCGACAGGCCGCGCACGGCAAATAATCTTCCAAAGCGGGCAATTTTCAGCATGGCAACAACGGTGAGGAAAATATTTGAAATAATTTGCAAAAAAATTCTCAAATTATTATGATCTCTCGCTGGACTTTCGTTAGGCGGCTAGCCACCAAGGCAGAGCGCCAGATCGGCTCTATAGGCGAATTTCCACAACTGAACGACCAGCAGTTACTGGAGGCGATCGAAAATGACCCAGACATCGTCAACAACAAAAGTTGGCGAAGGTCGTACTATCACCAGCTGTCGCAGCTTACAGAAGCACTCGACGCCCGTTTCAAAGAGCAGCTCGACAAGAACATGCACAAGATCAAAAGTTATAACGACCGCATCAACACAACTATCGAGAGCCGTATCACGGTCGACATCACCAGAGACAAATTGCGGTTCGAGGATTTCTACCCCAACAAGGTTGTCTCGAAAGCCATCGCAAGCAAGCTAGGGTTCGTGACGACCACCGACTTCCAGAGACGGCTGTTTGCGTTGGCGACCGGGTTCATCAGCACCGTTGCTGTTGGCGAGCCGGGAACCGGGAAAACAAGCTCCTTGTTTGTGCACTCGCTTTTCCTCCGTCGAATGAATGCGCGAGGCGAGGGAATCAACTCGCTTTTGCTGGTGAATTCAGGACAGCAGGCAGCCAAACTCGAACACATGGCTCAGAAGATTTTCAGTGGAATCCTGGAACAAATACCGCGCCAGGGAGCATCGTACAAGGAAATGGCACAGTTTCTGTACAGAGCAGACGAAGCTACCGAAAAGAAACAGATCAACGCATTGATGGAGAATCCGTGTCCGCACGTGTTAGTGTCCACTCCCCAGAGACTGCTGGATCTTTTGTCGACGCGAGGTATGGACTTTCTCAAGGTCCAAAGTCTGGCATACATTGCAGTTGACGATATTGATCACATGATGGAAGTTTCGCTTCCAATTAGCAAGCAACGCAAGACACCGATAATCCAGTTGCTGGATTATGTTCTCAAATTGCAGGATTATAATCGGATCCATAACGAGCCGCATCCGCAGTTGGCGTTCACCACCACGTCGCCAACTCCAAGTGTTTTTCTAGACGAACTTCGCGAGAACACTCAATGGTTTGATTGGAGCAAGTTCCATGAAATGGGCAATTTCCAGGATACACAGATGGCCGCCACGAACCTTGTGCCGAAGAACGTGGTTTTCGGATGTGTACTGGTGCGCTCGCAGCTGAGCAAGAGCAAAAAATTGCGCACAGACTTGATCGATATGAAACCTCCGTTGTATCCCGAAAGAATGGACTGGGAATACGCAGCAACTGGCGAGCCGAAGTTTCTTGAATACTGGAAGCACAAACGGTCGCACATGAGCAAAGACATTGTTGATGGAGAACTGCAGGTGCTGATTTCCGGAGTTCTCAAGCTTTTCAAGAAGAAAAAGGACGATTACCCTGGCAGAGTCTTGATGGTCGTGTCCGATGAGACGAGTGTTTTGAAAACACAGAAGATGCTCGAGAAACTGAAAAGACCGGTGATTGTGTATAGCGGCCAGGACCTGGAAGACACCCCGAACAGCTGTTTGATAGTTGCCAACGGCAAGAGTGTGGCAGGAATCGGGTTCAAAAACATCAACACCATGATGGTTCTAGGTCTAGACGTGGTCAGGGATATTCACCGTTTTGTTCATCTTGCCGGACGGTTCAGAAACGCGGCTGGTTTGGTCAGTTCTGATCTGTATGGGGTCGTTGACGACGATAAATACCCGGTGAACAAGATGATTCTTCTTGCTCCAGATCTCGCGACGGGTAGCGAGGAAAGAAATCAGATCTCGCGTCTGAGTTTGCGCGGAGGCCTAGTTCAATGGACGCCGGTGGTGGGCATTCGCGAGAAATGAACATGTAAATATGTATAATAGTCGATAGAAAGATTAATTTTTCACGAGTCCTGGATACTCTGCTTCATTTTCTCCACAAGCTGTTTACGAGTTGGCGGTTTCTCTGGACGGTCGATCTCGATTTCGTCCATGTTCGACTGGGTGTCCTTCCAGACGAGCGATTGGATGGTTTGCTCAACCTGTTTGCACGTTTTTTCGATTTTTTCGATGGTTTCTGTGTCGTTTCTGATCTTTTCCTCGATTTTAAGGATCAACCCTTCTCTGGACTGATGCAAGCGGTAGCTGTTGAGCAGATGGTGGAGGTTGATCAGAATGATACGGATATGCTCGATTTTGGTCTGTGCAACGGTGGGGTTTTTCGCAAGGAGTCCGGTGAACTCGAGAAAGTTCAACAGTAGAGACTTTGTCATTTTCTTGAGCTCTTCAATACGGTCCTGCGTGAACGTTTCTTCTTCGACTCCCTTGGCCTCGTCGTACAACTGCTGGATTCCGGACTCCTCAAGCGTGATGAATTTGTCCTCAAAGTTCCAGATATCGCCGAACGACCGGTACTGGGGCTTGTTTGGGGGAAGAGGAGGAACAAGGAACTTTAGGTCTTTTGTGTCAGCAAGAACGGTTTCGGCATCAGCACCGTGCGATTGGCGGATCTCTTCCGCACGCTTGACGTTTTCGGCGGTAAAAAACTGCAAATACGGCGGAGGCGGCGGGTAAAGCGAAGATATCAAATCGGACATTATTGAAAAGAGAGTTTAAAAAACAAGTTGAATTTATAATTATTTTTTTCTCTTGTTTAAGATTGTTGCCTTCAGAAAATGGCCGACCAAATGGACGTTGATTTGCCCGCCCCCGCTGCTCAGCAGCAGAAGAAGAAGCGGTTCGAGGTGAAGAAGTGGACTGCCGTCGCGTTCTGGACCTGGGACCAGAACAACGAGACATGTGCCATTTGCAGAAACCATTTGATGGAACCGTGTATTGACTGCGGTAACAACCCTAACTTCGCGGCCAACTCGAGATCCGCCACACATATCAAGTGCCCGCGCGCGGTGGGGGTGTGCAACCACTCGTTCCACCTGCATTGCATCGACACATGGATCCAGAAGCGGAACTCGTGTCCGTTGGACAATTCGGACTGGGCCATCAAGGACGTGCTCAAAGATTAAGCCGAATGTTACGTCTATGTGAATTATACTTGCTCCACGGTCTGCACAGAGACCACCTTGTCTGACGGGTCGACATCGAACGAGTCGTACAGACTCGACCGTGGGTCCGGGTCCTCGATCGACCCGTACAACGTTTTCGAGTTGGGCGAGTCTGTTGATTTGCGCCACAGCTGCGCAGCCACGCCCACAGATCCGACAATATCCAGTACCAACACCGTCGCCATCCACGAGATCGAGTTAAATAGGTATACGAATTTCCAAGACGCGATAGTTGCCACCAACATCGCAAGTGTTTCTCCCAGAATCTGGTAGGGCAGTTCGCCCATGAAATAGACGTTGTAGCACTCGGCGAGCTTGGTGAGCACTACGACTCCGAAGCTGACGAGCTGGAGCGTGGGGTTTGCGTGGAAAGTGGGGGCATGCTCCGCGTGGAGGATGGGACTCGCGTTTGACGGAACAGGTGACACGGCGAGCAGCGCCGCCAGCACGGGCGCCGTCTGGGGCTTCATCTTGTGCAGGAACCCGCCGTGAGCGTTTGGGCTGGCTGTCTCGTAGATGGGCATCACCTCTTCCACCGTGCCCGGTCTCGCAGGGATGGAGCTCGGGGTGAAAACAAACCTGTTCCGGTGGGGCAGATAAAACTCGGATGTCTCGCTGGCGGTGCCACAACGGCGCTGCCCCCGCTGCAAGAACATCGAGAGCAAGATGACACCCAGCAACGCCCGCAACATCATAAGGGCGGCGTATTCAGGATCGGCCTGGTACACGGCGGAGATTATGTCGTTGGTGATGTCGAGAAACGAGCACGCCACGCACAGCAGGTTGGCCGGGTACGGCACGGTCCATATTCGCACGACAGGCGACACGGCAAACACGGCCGCGTTGACCAGTTGTGCAATCTCACGGAAAAGCATCTGGATAAACAATCTGGTGCTGACACATTTTTATTTAGGTGTGGCCATCATGAAATTTCTGTCAGATAAGCGTATCTCTTATCTTTTCGCATAATCGTGCATCCCCACCTAAATTGGTTGCCAATTTGCGATGCGTGTGGGAGACTCGCGTTCTGGCGATTGGCGGGTATTGGGAGGTGGATAATACTGCTGTAATTGGATGGTTGCGTTGTTTCTGTGCAGCAGATGTTTGCTACTTGGTTAGGAAACGATGTTAGCTTAGGTATCGTGTTTTTGGTGTCCATGTACAACCCGGCTAGGTTGCGGGGGGATCAAGCGTGTACGTCTCCCACCCATAACCGCTTCTGGTGTTTTGTGTGGTGCTCTCCCACATGTTCGACTGGTGGCTAGTGCATCTTCCAGAAAACACACCTCCGCCACGGGCGCCGGGTAACAAAAACTTTGCCTGTTTATATTTTTAATTACACTCTTCGCTGTTTATTGCCACCATGGATGAGACATTAATTCAGACCATCAACAAGCTCCAGGACGCTCTGGCCCCTCTGGGCTCTGGATCGACGTCTCCTGTTGATCTTCCGCAGATCACCGTTGTGGGGTCGCAGTCGTCGGGAAAGAGTTCCGTGCTGGAGAACATTGTTGGCCGGGAGTTCCTCCCACGAGGAACAGGAATCGTCACCAGACGTCCGCTGATCCTGCAATTGATCAACAAGCGTAACAATGCGGCCAAATCTGCGGCCAGCGACCTCATTGACATCCAAACCACCGACTCCCAAGGAAACAAGACAGAGAACAACGCGGATGAATGGGGAGAGTTTCTGCATCTACCGGGCAAGAAGTTCTACAACTTTGACGACATCCGTCAGGAGATCGTGAGAGAGACCGAAGCAAAGACGGGAAAAAACGCGGGTATTAGCTCGGTTCCTATCAATTTGCGGATCTATTCTCCACACGTTTTGACCTTGACGCTTGTTGATTTGCCGGGACTGACCAAAGTTCCTGTTGGAGACCAGCCGAAGGATATTGAGAAACAGATTCGTGAGATGATCATGAAGTTCATTTCGAAACCAAACGCGATCATTTTGGCCGTCAATGCTGCCAATCAGGATCTGGCCAATAGTGACGGTTTGAAGCTGGCCAGAGAGGTCGACCCTGAAGGACTCAGAACCATTGGTGTTTTGACCAAGGTCGATTTGATGGACCAAGGAACCGACGTTATTGACATTCTGGCAGGCAGAGTCATCCCATTGCGGTCCGGATACGTCCCGGTCATTAATAGAGGACAAAAGGATATTGAGAACCACAAGACCATCAGAGAGGCTCTGAACGACGAAAGAAGATTCTTCGAGAACCACCCATCCTATAGCAGCAAGGCTCACTACTGCGGTACGCCATACCTGGCCAAGAAGCTGAACGCCATTTTGCTCAACCATATCAGAACAACTTTGCCAGAGATCAAGGCCAGAATCGAGACCGCATTGAAGAAATACCAGCAGGAACTCGCTGCTCTGGGGCCGGAGATGGCAGAGACGCCTAGCTCGATCGTGCTCAGCGTGATCACCGACTTCTGCAACGACTACACTGGAATTTTGGACGGTCAAACCAAAGACATCTCTTCGAACGAGCTGAGCGGAGGTGCCAGAATCAGCTTTGTTTTCCACGAGATCTTTAAAAACGGAGTCTACGCTCTGGACCCATTCGACCAGATCAAGGACGCCGATATCAGAACCATCATGTACAACTCGTCTGGATCTGCTCCTTCTCTGTTTGTTGGCACGCAGGCTTTCGAGGTTCTGGTCAAACAACAGATCCATAGATTCCAGGACCCTTCGTTGAGATGTATCACGCTTGTTTTCGACGAACTGGTGCGTATTCTGTCCCAGATCCTTGCACAACCGGAGTATGCTAGATATCCAGGTTTGAAAGAGCAGATCTCCCAGATTTTCATCCAGTACCTAAGAGAGTCTGTGATTCCTACAAACGGGTTTGTGGAGGACATCATCAAGTCCGAGCAGACTTACATCAATACAGCACACCCTGACTTGCTCAAGGGATCTCAGGCATTGGCCATGGTGCAAGAAAAGATGCATCCAACTGTTCACGTTGATCCAAAGACCGGCAAGCCGCTGCCTAATCAGGCAGCCACCTCTGCGCCACCTGTTTCCGAGGAGGACAAGACTGGCTCCTTCTTTGGCGGGTTCTTCTCTTCAAAGAACAAAAAAAGATTGGCTGCCATGGAAGCTCCACCAAACATCTTGAAGGCCTCTGGCCAGATGACCGACCGTGAGCAACAGGAGACCGAGGTGATCAAGCTTTTGATCCAGTCGTACTTTGGAATTGTGAAGCGTACCGTTGCGGATCTTGTTCCAAAGGCGGTCATGTTGAAGCTGATCCAGCAGTCCAAGAACGACATCCAAAAGGTGCTATTGGAGAAACTTTACGGAAACAGGGACCTCGACTCGCTCGTTAAGGAGAACGAGATCACTGTTGCTAGAAGAAAGGAGTGCAAGAAGATGGTTGAGGTGCTCAGACACGCTTCCGAGATTGTGTCTACTGTTTAGATTTGGGTGTTCTGTGTGTGTTGCACACGACCCTTTTTTATAATGCAAGATATTTTTCCCAAAAAACTGAGTAAATTAAAGTGGCAAACGTTGGAGCTAAGAGATTTAGTTATCTGACACGGTATTTGGACACGGCGAGCCGCTGAGAGTAAAATTGATGTCCGCGATACGAATTGGCCGGGTTTTCCCCGCCAGAAATATGCCGTTTCTACGACGTGGTGCGGCATGTTTGTTTAACAGAGGGTTGGCTACAACGACCAAGATCTCTTCTTATAGACCCATTAGCATTCCCAGCAGCCGTATACTGCAGACTCTAATTCCCCGTGGACCGGTTTCTTTTGTTCGGTTCAATTCGTCGAAGAAATACAACGATAATGGAGATCGGGAATTGACCGACGAGGAGGCAGAAGAGCTGCTTTCGGAGCTGAAAAAGATCTGGAACAACAAGGAGCTCGACACAGAGACCATCAAGGAACAGTACAAGAAGATTTTCGACAAGTACGAGATCGGCGGGTTGATTTCTCCGTCGTCTTCAAAAATGATCAATACGATCTTGACAGACTCCTCGGCCACGAGGGCTGGCGAGAAAATGGAGAACGTTCAGAACTATCACAAGGCGTTGATGGACTACCATTTGGACAAGCAGGACAGGTTTGATTTCAAGGATAAAGAGAACGGGATGTTCAATAGCAAATTTGGGCCGTCCAACGGTCAAACTCCGCCGGGAATTCCTCCAGGGTCGCCGTTGCGGCCGGACGTGATGTTGTTGGTGTTTTCGATGGGACTGTTAACATTCTATGTTTTGTCACTCGAGTCCAACGAGAGAGAGATCACGTGGCAGGATTTCCGCACCTCGTTGTTGGACAAGGGGTATGTTGAGAAACTGATTGTGGTGAACAACAACCTTGTTCGTGTGATCATGAACGAGTTGGGGAAGAACCAGCCTGTTCATGATTCGAGAACCGAGTACTACTTCACAATTGGTTCTGTGCAGAATTTTGAGGAGAAGTTGAAACATGCACAGGAAGAAAACAACGTTCCTGAGGATTTGAGACTTCCTGTGATGTATGTTCAGAACGCTTCGTTTTTCAAAGCATTCTACAACATCTTGCCAACGCTGTTGTTGTTTGGATTCATTATTTGGTCGTCGAGAAAGCTGCTGAGTAGTTCTCAAGGACTTGGAAACGGACTGTTTGGCAACAACGCCAAGCAGTTCAAGAGATTCAATGCGGAAAAGAGCGTCAAGATCAAATTCGACGACGTGGCTGGATGCGACGAGGCCAAGGAGGAGATCATGGAGTTTGTCAAGTTTTTGAAGAGCCCAGAGAAGTACGAGCGTTTGGGAGCCAAGATCCCAAGAGGAGCCATTCTGACCGGTCCCCCAGGAACTGGTAAGACGATGCTGGCCAAGGCGACTGCTGGAGAGGCCGGTGTTCCGTTCTACAGTGTTTCTGGCTCGGAGTTTGTGGAGATGTTTGTTGGTGTTGGTGCTTCCAGAGTTCGGGAGCTGTTCAAGACTGCAAGAGAAAACGCACCTTCTATCATTTTCGTGGACGAGATCGACGCCATTGGAAAGTCGCGTTCCAAGGGCCGTGCTGCCGGTAGCAACGACGAGAGAGAAAACACGTTGAACCAGCTGTTGGTCGAGATGGATGGATTTTCCACGTCTGACTACGTTGTTGTTCTGGCCGGTACAAACAGAGCAGACGTTTTGGACTCTGCTTTGTTGAGACCAGGAAGATTCGACAGAAAGGTCTACTTGGACAACCCGGAGCTTTCTGGCCGTAAGGAGATCTTTGCTGTTCATCTGCGCAGTCTGAAGCTGAAGGACGATGTTGATCTTGAGGATCTGAAGGGACGACTGGCCACGATGACGCCTGGATTTTCCGGAGCAGACATCGCCAACTGCTGTAACGAGGCTGCGCTGATTGCTGCGCGTCACGGCGAGGCGTTTGTGGACGTTCACGACTTTGAACAGGCCATTGAGCGTGTGATTGCCGGTCTGGAGAAGAAGAGCAAGCTGTTGTCTCCGGACGAGAAGCGGATCGTTGCGTACCATGAGGCTGGCCATGCTATTTGCGGCTGGTTCCTGGAGTACGCCGATCCGTTGCTCAAGGTGTCGATTGTGCCTCGTGGGCAGGGAGCCTTGGGATATGCGCAGTATCTGCCACCGGACATTTATCTGTACAGCACACAGAAACTGCTGGATCGTATGACCATGACGCTTGGAGGAAGGGTGTCTGAGGAGCTGCACTTCAACTCTGTCACGAGCGGTGGATCTGACGATTTCGAGAAGGTGACGAATCTTGCGCAGAAGATGGTGTTGGAGTGCGGGATGTCTCCGAAAGTGGGGCTTGTGAACTACAACATTGACCGGGGCAACGACATGACCAAGCCGTTCAGCGACCGCACCTCGACGCTGATCGACTCGGAGATCCACCGGCTGGTGGAGGAGTGCTACGAGCGGTGCAAGAACCTCTTGACGGAGAAGAGCAAGGAGGTGGGGCTTGTTGCAGAGGAGCTGCTGGCCAAAGAGGTGATTACCAGAGAGGACATGATTCGGTTGCTGGGCAAGAGACCGTTTGCCAACAGAAACGACGCTTTTGACAAGTATCTTGCCGAGAAGGAGGAGCGCGGCGAGCAGGCCGCATCATAGTCAATAGCCAATTATATATATCACATCTGTCTATAGTATGCTAGAGGTTTGAGACTCTGTTTCTAGTAGTCGCCGTACAGGGCCACGTTGAAGCCGACTCCTGGCACGTTGGGCTGCGACGACAACGGCAGCTGGTAGTAGAGGTTGCAGTCTGCTGCGGAGCCGACCTTGTAGAGCAGGCCTATGGCGACGCCCGACCGCAGGCTGGACGCCTGGGCGAGCTGGGCCGGGTCCGAGGTGACCTGGCCCCCGTTGAGGTCGAAGTAGAGTCTCAATGGGTTTGTAGGCTTGACAAACAGCAATCTGGACAAAAGACGCACTTTGTAGGTGATGTACGAGGTTCCGCCAAAACGGCCCTGTTGCTGGCCCGGATAGCCCAGGGTTCCGTGGCCCAGCACGTCCAGATAGAACTTGTCGTGGTAATGGATGGTTTTTGACCGGGACAGGTTGATGATGTGGCCAAGACCGGCGGAAACGTCCAGGGTGAGATTGTTCTTGAGCACCGACCTGACCAGCTGGAGCGACGACTCCACTTTGACGAACTTCTCCGGGCTGGTGTTGGAGAGACCCGTGACCTCGTTTTTCAGTGACCATTGGAACCCGTTGACCGGGAGAGTGTTTTTGGACGAGGGAAGGAACTGGAGGTTTCCGGCCGCGAGCGAGAGCAGCAGGGATTCCTTGAGGTGGTCGCCCGCGTAGGTTTTGATCTCGTCGCTGGCCCCGTCCTTGACACGAAGCGTGGTACGTTTCACCAAAGAAACGGCCGCGGACGCGGACGCAGACAGGTTTGGCAGCAGTTTGATTTTCTCCATTCCAAACGTTCCAGAAGAGACCCACTGCTGGTCGGACTGGAACTTTGTGTCGTTGGAGCTGGAAACAAACCCGTTGGCAAATAGTCGCAGCGACGGGTCCACGAGAGGGGCCTTGTACAGCACGTTGAGCAGGCGCAGCGGGGCGTCCGGGACGAGGCTGGCAAGCGACGACACGTTGAGCAGCTCGGCGTTGCCGAAGGTGTTGTGGTTGAGGTAATTGAGCATCAACTGGTTGCCCTCTGGGGTGTAAACAGAGCCCAAGGTGGTGTGGGCGAGTTTTGCCGGGACGAGGTTGAAGTTGGCCGCGAGTCCCAACGGGGTGTCGGGCACGGACGGGTCGGGCACCACGGCCACCGACACGGTGTCGAAACAGTTGGTGAGCGCGAGGTTGGCCAACGAGGCCTGGCATCGCGTGGTGAGCTGGTTGACGGTGAGGTCTGCCGAATTGAGCAGCGGCGCCAACAGCTTGGAGAAGAAGTTGTCGGAGAACTGGTCGCCGCCGGCCACCGACACAGCCTTGAGGTTGACTCCTGCGGTGGCGTTGTTGAGGAGCACTTCTGACGGAGAAGACATGGAAAAACAAGAGAAAAAGATATTTTTGTGGGGGGTGTTTTATCAGCGACGCGGCGGGCTGGCGATGGGAACAGGTCGTGGGGGAGGAGATGGTAACACACTGTTGCTGTCGTATACTCTCCTCCTGGCACGTCTTTGTCTGCTGGCACATCTTTCTTGCTGGTACGCCTCCCTCTCGCATATGGTCTCCCCCACTAACTACTCTACGTCCTTCGGGACATTTGGTCAATCGAAAAAATACAGAGAAGATTAGCATGGCCCCTGCATAAGGATGACACGCTTTACAAAGAGATCTTTACGTTTTTTTTGCCTCTCGTTCATCCCGCCATCGCAAACACCTCTGTGCCCCCACTTTGGCGACCATCACCTCGTCCCAGTCGCAAATAACCCCATCGGGGCCCCCATTGGTGCAGGTCGTGCGTTCGGTTCCTAAAGAGCCCCCAAAATATTTTTCCTACTCTTTTCTTGTCTAATGGAGTCGTACCTCAAAAATGCGCCGCCGTTCCTCGTGCCGCCCATCAAATTGCCCGAGTTCGTCCAGGTCGACCCGGACAACCGCACAGACGCCAACAAGCACGAAATTGAGCCCAGAATCAACCTCTATTCAAAGTATTACGACAAGCTCAACAGAGATGGCTTGTTGTACGAACCCAACGCAGACTCCGCCACAGCAAGATACTACAAGCAGCACCATCTGTACACGCCACAGGTGCTCCAGGAGTCCATCACCCCGGACATGCCGCCATACACCACGCAAACCGAGCCGTTTGTGGGCTCCAGCAACCTGGTCAGGTTCCCAGACCTATTTGCGGGAGATCATGTGCCGTGCCTAATTCACCACTCAATTGCCCGACTCGGATACCGGGTCTGCATTTTCGGAGGTCTTGCCCGCATGGAGGACGACGAATACGAGCTGTATCTAAGAGACCTGACCAATGACTTCCAGGTCCCGGCTAGCAATATCCACATGGAGTTTGACTACGACTTGCCCGAACCGCTCTCGAAGAACAAACTCACGTGTCTGGCCATGAGACCCAACACAACGGTGTACATCTACAACGTCGAAACAAGCACAATGCTCCAGATGTGCGAGCTGGACGGCATCAACACGCCGCCGCCGCTACTTTGCTCCATGATGCAGCCTCTGAGTGCGCACCACTGGCTGTGCCACGCCGGGTTCGAGCTCGAGACCCACGTCCGCAAGGAGAACGGCCATGTGTACGTCACACGGAAAATCGTCCCGCAAACGTCGATGTGGATGTTCGATATCCGCACAAACACATTCACCAAATTAAGAGCCATTCTGGGCTCTGAGCTGTCCGAGTTTCTGCCGCAGTACATCCCGCGGTTCGGCCACGGGTGCCACGGAATCACGCTCGAACAGAACAATGCCATGGACGACCACGACAGTCGCAGATCAGACACCCGTATGGTCCATTCGCGGCCGGCAGTGGTGTTTGTCATGGGAGGATACAAGATGGACCCGGAAACCAACCGTTTCATCGCGCTCAACGACCTGTGGAAGTGTGAGATCTCCGTGGTCAACTCGCAGGGTACGTTCGACACCGCGTACGATTTCCAATTCTCAACCGAGATCATCTGCTCGCTGCTGGGGCGACCAGAATTTATAGACGACCGGTTCAGTTTCGAGTACTCCGCGGACGGCGAGTTTATTGGACCAAGCACCAAGAAGATGATCCGCGGTCTGTTCCGCCACGGTTTTGGCGCCCGGTGGCCCAGACCGCGCGGGTTCTTCTCGCTGAACCTTGTCAAGAGCCAGAATTTCTATAACCAGTTTGACGACGTCTCGTTCGACCTGTCTTCGCCCGTCTCGCGCATCTCCAGACAGCGCGAGGGCACAGTTTCCCCATCAACAGACACAGGCCGGTCGTCGCCGTTCATGGCGCCGCCCTACTCGTCGCCAGCCATCCGCGACAGAACTCTTGTGGTGTATGGGGGCTCCAGCACTGTCTATTTCAAACTCGTCTCCAATGACGGCAAGGAGCACGGCTACTACCGACACGAGATCCTCGGCGACATGTGGTGTTTCGACCTGATGTCCGAGTCCTGGAATTACGTCCCCACCGCGAAGCATTCGGACGGCCAGGCGCTCAAGATCTGCGGCCATGCTTCTGCGTGCGACGGCGAGACATTGATGGTTCTTGGCGGCCTGCGCGAGTACCAACTGCCGGATTCGCGACTGCTGCTCCAATGCGAAGACCCAGAGTCCGGCAAAGACCACTGGACCGTGGCCAGCTCCATTCTGGAGTCGCTGTCGGAACCGCCCGGTCGCGAAAGTGACAAACTGACGTTCAATTTCTACGTGCTCAACTTTGCCACCCGCAAATGGAAGTACGCACACACGAAACTCGTCAACCAGATCACAGACGTTGTGATGAGCCACTCGCTGATCAACGCCCACGCGCAGGCTGTGCAGATCGACTCAAAAGTGGTCATTGTTGGTGGAGACAGCCGTAAGCTGGGAGCAGACCATCGACTCGAGGCCGACGAGTGCCAGAACCAAACTTTTGGCGGGGTCTGCGACGTGCTGTCGCTGCTCATGAAATTCTAACATTACATTATCGTTACTCGTTATGTATCTGGCTGGCTACCATGCTGTCCACCATCGACGCATACTCGTCGCGCAAAGTCTGAGCGACGCGTCGATCCGCATCGTCAAGAGTATCCAGAAACTCGACATAATTACGTTTCTCAATGCCGTATCTCTCCACGAGCTCCGACATCTTGTTGAGCCACGCCATGTAGTCTGTCTGCGCAGAGATCCGAGAGTACAGCTGTCGAGACACGGCCTTGTTCACGGCAGTGTATTTTTGCGTCGATAGTCGCAGCCTTTTCAGCTTGTTCTTGAGAAGCAGGGCCTGGATCAGCGACTTGGACACAAACCCGAGTCGGAAAGGCACCTCGTCGCGCGCCGGTGGGGAAACAGGGTCTCCACGCAGCTTGTTGTGTTGCGCAAGGGCCTCTGTGGAAAGCTGGGTGGGGCCCTGTAACGAGGCAATTCGGCCTGCCCGCTTGGGCCGCTTGAACTTCTCCACTTCTCCCCCATCCTCTGTTTGGTGGCTGGTGCGTTTCCCGCCTTGCAGGGCATCCAGAGCCTGCCACGCAATATCCTCAGAGGTGACTGCTTGACGACGTCGTTGTTCGTCCACCAGGGCCACGTAATTGGGCTCCTCCACACGTGCGCGGATCCCGAGCTGTCTTTGGCGCCCGCTGCGGATCTGCGCTCGCACCCCTTGTAAAAAACTCGGCCCCCGCCTCCCCCCACGCGAAGGTAGCACCGAGTTCCTATCCTGCAATGAGTCGCACACAGGACAATGGTACTGCGCCGTGGCGCCCTCAAGAACCCCTAAACACCGCAGGTGGTAGCCGCTCGAACAGTCTTGGCATATCGCAAACCCGCCAGACCCGGACCGGTCGCACAAACAGCACAGCTGGTTCGTCAGGTGGGAATGCTGGTGCACGTGGTGCAAGGATGCACGACTGTCGATCTCGGGGTCCAAGGGCTCGGGCGACTGTTTCTTGGGTTCGACGTTTGAGGACTGGTATACCTCGCGGTTGGAGATGAGCTCGATGGCGGTGAAGGCGGCGCGGCATTGCGGGCACGAGTTTGCCTTCTTGGCCCATTCGTTGATGCAAAAGCCGTGGTAGTAGTGGTGGCACGGGACTGTGCGGGCGAGGTGCTGGGCGGAGCGGGTTTCCCGCACAATAGTCTGGGTCTGGTCGGGCAAGTCGTCCAGACAGATGGGACACAGGTCTGGTATGTCCATGGAAGAAGGCGTTAGAGGGCAAGGTTTGTGAATTATAATAATTTTTCCGACCTGATCAGGGCAGACGATCGACGCGGGGTGTGGAGACGGACGATTTCAGATTTTAGTTGTTTCTGCCGCGCAGGGATAATCTCGCACAAAAAAAAAGCGCGTGTCCGGATTATTGGGGTTTCGGGATGCGGCGAAAAGAAGCGTGTTGCATAGCTGGCTACCGTATGGAAAAACTGTGAATGTGACGTGAACTGAATTGATGTAATATACATAACATAACATGAGGTGGTAATTAGTCAGGAAGGGTATGTTCACTCAAAACCACACTGGTTAGGATACTGTCTATCGTCCAGTGGTTGAGGAATGATGCCCAAGCCCAAGAGTCTTTGGAAATCCCACTCGATGGTGTTTTCGGTCTTCCAGCACCAGAACACCCAGCCGGCGTTCTTGCCGTACAAGAACGAGTCCATCTGTGCCTCCACGTACTTTCTATAGTTGGCCACCACGTCGTCGGTGAAGTAGCTGTCGTCAGCCGTGTACAGCTGGTTGCACGAGCCGATATATTCTGTGTTGGAGAACGTGGCGTCGTATCTTGCTCCTCTGTTGGCGCCGTTGAGCCACTTGGCGCAGTCGGTGAGAGCAGCAGTCCACTCTCCGCACAAGCTCCAGTGGAACTCTGTGTTTTCGGACCAGCCCCAGCCACAGGCCGTCTTGACGTGCTCGTCGATCGTCTGCTGCAAAGAACCAACGTCAAACACCTGGTAATGGTGGTGGTCCACCACCACGTCCCAGGCATTGGGGTCCTGCTCGGTGTTGAGCACGTTGTCGAACGTGTGGTCTGGCAAGTACGCGTCGTGGATGATCACCGGAGCGTCGCCGTGGTTTCTCACGAGCTCGTAGCCCTTGTTGTAGAAGTCCACGAGCTCGTCAAAGTTGAGTTCCGAGCCCAACGGCTCGTTTAGCAGCTCGATGCCAATCACCACGTCCGCGTACTTGGAGCCGGCGTATTTCGTGGTGATCTGGTCCAGAATGTCCACGGTCAGGTCCACGTAGCCGGTGGTGTTTTGCCAGCTAATTTCTCCGCGACGGCCAGAGTTGTCGAACCCGTTCTGAGAGCCCGGAGCACCGTGCAGGTCAATCCAGGCCTTAAGTCCGTGGTTTCCACACCACTCCAAAGCCTTGTCCAGATACTCGACCTGGCCCTGAACGTATGGGTCGCCGTCCGCAAGCTGGAACGCCCAGTACCCAATAGGCAACCGCACAAAGTTGAGGCCAGCAGCGGCAATGTACTCGAAATCTGTTTCAGTTATCCACGTGGACCAGTGCTCTTGCAACCGGGACTCTGCCTCGTCCTTGCCAAGAGCCTGTGTGTAATGCCACTCGTCCACAGGCACTTCCGAGGTTTCGGAAGCGGCCTCGAACAAGGAGGGAGTGATGTAGGGCTCCAACACGAGCCATCCTCCGATGTTGACACCGTAGATCTTATCTGTTTGGTAGTTCCACCGGGAGTTTCTCTTGAGGAGGGTGAGAGGGCCGGCACTGGCCACCGCGAAAAGCGTGGAGGCGATCAGAGAAATAGTCGAAACCTTCATTAGTGTTTGAATTATACGAGCGAAGGGGCTACTTATATAGGATAGGAAAGAGAAGAATTCCAAATACGTTTTGGGCTGCAAAAGGTACGCCCTAATTCCGGATTTCGCAGGTGCAGATTTTGCGAAATTTAGAAACTTTGTAGACCCACAGGGACAGAAACGGGAGGCGAAATCTACGAAATAAGGCGGCGATGCAAGAGTTTGGTGATGTGCGCTGCAAAAGACGCAGTGCAAACCGCATTCGTTCGAGGAATGTTACCAGTTAGTTGGTTGCAATATGTCGGGAAACCTCCTTTAAACTGACACTTAATTGCGACTGTTGTTGTTTTCCCTAATGAGGAAAGATTACTTATTATAGACTTAATTAATCAGTTTCCAGATCCGGTACGTCAAACACCATCTAAAAATACAGAGCAGGGTGCCCACCAATGCGCGGGGGTTACCGAAACGGAAAAAGCTTGTTGATCTGTCCCCACCGTTTTGGGCAGTATGTCAACAAACCAAACCTCCATGTGAGTCTCGAGGTGCGATATCCCCTGCCCCCTGGCACCCCAAAGGGATCCGGAAACCGTCTGGATTTCATCCCACCGGGACGATGGGCCTATTTCGACGCGGACGCAGCGTCGGTCTGGCTTGCGGCAATGGCTCTTTTTAAAGCATCGAACGGACTACTTCTGAACGTTTTGTCCTTCAAAACCAGTCCGAACCGCTGGATCTCGCCCTTCTCCACTGCGCGCGCGCCGCGTTTGTGAGCGTTGGGCGTGTGGTCCAGCTTTGGCTTGTCGGGCACGTCCAGTGCGGTGGCGAGCTCCTCAAGTTTGGGCTTGAGCTGGTCACGAAGCTTGCGTTTCTGACGCCGTAACGACGACTTGGCCAGCACCTGTTTGACCGGCCTGGAATCACTCTTGCTGATCGCACCAGTCCCCCCTCGCACCCGTTTTTCCAACTTGGTTCTCAAACTCGTTCTTTTTCCCACAGCCATTACATAAAATTTTCGCTACTTTTTTTTTTCACCACTTATTTGCCATGTCCAAAGCTCTGGGATACACATTTGTTGGAGCCGCCGTTGCGACGGTTGGTTATTGCGTCTATTTCGACTACCAAAGAAGAAACAATCCGTCGTTCAGAAAGAAGATTGTCAGAAACAAGAAAAGAGCCGTTGAAAAGGCCAAGCAGGAGGCAGAGGCGGAGAAGAAGAACAAGCTCGAAGCTTTGAAGGAGAAGTTGAACCAATCGTTGGAGGAGGAACCGCTGCCTAAAGAGCCGGCCGAAAAGGAAAAGTTCTTCATGACCCAGGTCGCTGTTGGTGAACAATTAAGTGCTGTTGAAGGTAAAGACATCGAGGCTGCCATCCATTTCTACAAAGGTTTGGCTGTTTATCCTAACCCAACCGGAATCCTCGACATTTACCAAAGAACCATTCCAAAACACATCTACGAATTGATCATGATGCTCACTGCCATCCAGCCTCCAGCCAGTGTGATGAACGTTTTGCAAGATAGCATTCCGTCCTTGGACCAAGATTAGCTGTGATTTGAAACGTCCACTTGTTTATATCTAAGTAATATCTTTAGACTGTTGTGATTTGTTCCACCATTCGAGGATTTGCCATGTTTGGGCTTTGAACTCAGGCTCCAGCTTGGAAATCGCCCGGTTTTTGTACTCGCCCAGCTGGTCCTCTGCGGCAAACTCTTCGTCGCTCACGTTTAAACTTGCAACGTACGCAAGAAACTGGGCCGGGCCCAGATGCGAAAATACCCCGTGGCTTTCGTCTTCCGGCGCCAGCGCAACGTTCAGATCAACAAGGTCCTCGTTCCGCACCCCAACATACTCTCCCAACCGGTCCAGGTCCGTGTCTGCACCGCCCAGCCCGACGATCCGGCTGTTGAGCTTGTCCCAGTTCTCTTCCAGCTGTCGCGGCTTGGCCCGCGACTCCTGCTGCGCAAGACGCTCGTACTGCCGCCGTTTCTCCTCTACCTCCGCCACAATCGTAGCCACTTCCTTCTTCACCTCCTCGTCAAGCCCCAGCCCGTTCAGATCCAGCTCCAAATCGGGTCTGTCGTCCTTCACAAACCGTAGAAATCGCACAAACCGGTTGAACCACTCCAGAAACCCAGAAAACATCCCCTGGCCCTGCTGTTGGTCGCTCACATACAGCCGGTGCATGAAATCGTAAACGTCCTCCTGGTACTTGTCCTGCAACCCCATGAAACTGGCCACCACGTTCGACGAGAAATGGTTGTTCTGGAAATGCTCCGCCAGCTGGATCAGCTCGTTCATGTACCGGTGGAACACGGGCACATACAGGTGCATCTGGGCGCTCTTGAAAAGTCGGATCAACGGCTGGAAAAAGATCGCCAGCAGTTCTTTAATCAGATCGATCAGCTCGGGCTCGTCCCACAGCTCTTTTAGTGAGATCTTGTCGAGTTTGCGCAGCATCGTGCGGAAATACGAACTCGTGCTGGAATACACGTTGTTCTCCAACGTTTTTTCCTGTTTCAGTAGCTCCAGAAGCTCAATTAAAATCGAATCCTCAATCTTGGTGCTCAATCCGTTGTTGTTCAGTAAAAGACACGGGAAAATCCCAACTCCAGACCTCTGACTGGTCTTCTTCACCTGCAAAACCACATCGTCCGGCGCAGTGAAGTACTCGTCGATTTTCCGCAACAAGGCCGTGTATTTTGGACCCTTCTCGGCAACAACCTGTCTGATCTTATCGAGCTCTTTCTCGCATTTCTTGAGATCATCGTCCAAAACCCCGGAAAATATCACCTGCAGCAACGACCGACTCTTTTTGCCAAACCCAACAGGCATCTGGAAAGTGAACAGATCGATCAATCGCTTGACAATCTGCAACGGATTCGTAAACCGCAAAATCGTCGCAACCAGTCCGTACGGGAACAGATGGTGCAACCGTTTTATCAGTGTCAATGTCTCTCGAGAATTGTCGCTGCCAACAAACAGCTCGTAGATCGTGGATGCAACTTCGATCTGCACCAGCTGGATTAGCGACTGCAGCGGTTTCGAGAGCTCTTTGGTGCTGCTTTTGGTCTCCAACTGCCTGAAAACATACGCAAACCCGTCTGTCATCACCTCCTTCTTTAGTTGCTCCATTTGTGTCTCCAACTCGTTCACAGCGCGCACTGTTTCCTGCTGAAACTTGAAATGTTGCAACTCGGTGTAATAGTCCAGCTGTCTCCGTTGTTCTGCCTCGTGCTGTTCCTGAACAGTGAGCTCCACTGGCTCACGCGAAATGAACTCCAGGAACTCTTTGGACCTGCTCACCGGCTCGATCCACGCCAACGACCGTAAATATCCCCGTAATGCTATTCTCAAACTTTCTCTTGGAAACTCGTGCTCGTCCTCCTGAACCTCAACGCTCTTCTCCTCGTTGAACGAGCGACGTAGCGTGTTCAAAAACATCGTTTCCAACTGTCCAACATCAACAGCATCCTCTGTAACAGACTCCTTCTCGATATCGTTAACAGCAGGTAAGCTCACCTTTGCTTTCGTCTTAGACGGCAGGAACGGCAGATCCGACCCAGCAAACTGTTTGCCAATCAGCTTGTCAAACTCGGAAAACTGCGAGTACCTTCTCTTGACACACCACTGTGTTCCGTCCTCTTTTCGCACGCGAATGATGAAATTGTAGTAGCTGGACTCCGTGGAAGCAATGAAATATCTGGTTTTCTGCTCCTTTGCTGCCACCACCCCAATAACATTGATATCCAATCCGTTAACAAAGTGAAACTCGTCGTTCTGCTCAAATTTCAGCTCCCCCGCGGTAAGCTTGTTCATTTTCTTGTATGTATTTCTGTGTTCACTGGTGCTAAAGTATTCCTTGTCAGCTGTGCAATAAATAGCAGAATTGAACAGAACCAACAACAACGCCTGTAATTTGTAAACCATCAGTTTTCGCTTGCTCACCTCTCCTCTATCGTTGCTGCTGCTAATCTTCTTTGTTCTCCACATCTCCCAAAACACCTGGACTTTATTCCAGAACTCGTCTGGAGACTGAAGATGTTCTAGATGCATCTTGATGAACGGGAAAGTGACCAGGAACTCATTAAACACAAACCTAAGCAACGGAAACTCCGAATCGAAGTGTTCCTGGTACCCATCGGCCGCCAATTTGGCCAATTCGGGGGCCATCTCCGGCTTGCTGGAAGGATCATACATCTTGAACGGAGGCCCAAACCGTCGCAGTCCAAACGTATCCGTATAAGTCGGAGACAACTTGTTAAACTCCATGGTCAATTCCAAGTTGATTAACTCCTTTTTAAGGAAATGTTGCTCCATAGCAGATAACCGGGGTTCTGCCATGTTTGTATGTTTAATTAAACAAAATAAAATATATACATTATAGATTTTATTGTCTTGTCTGATGAATGGCTCCTTCTCCGTTAATACCATTCGCTGCGTCCAATCAATCTGCTCCAATGGCTCAGGAGCACCATTCCCGGAAAAGCTCGTGGGGGTCGATCAAGTCTAAGATCAAGCCGTCTGTGCGAGCCCGTTCCCGTGAACGACCCGTGTCATGGCTCTTGCCGCAACGGTTCACGTCGCCCTCGTTGAAATCGTCCGAGGGCTCTTTTGCAGACTCGCCCATATCAACGCCCAACTCGGCGCCGCCCTTGCGGTCGTTGAAATCAAACTCCTCCTCTCTGGAACAGCCCGAATTGCGCCAGGAGTCCTCCAGCTCAGTGGTGTCTGATAAATCGTCGGGTCAGCTGTCCAAGATGAAGCAGCGCACCAAATCCTTCCTCATATTCGACTTGCCCTCGAGCTCCTCAGAAAGCTCGTCCAAACCTGCCACCCCGTCCAACGTGAAATTCTCGCTGTCGCCAGACATCGACTCCGGCACCAGCACCTTGCTCACCGCCACAAGACCGTCCTATCGCAGATCGCACTCCATGAACGACGGCCCAGAAGACAAGGATTCCCCGCGCATACCGTCTACAGGCAATTCCGATCCGGTCACAGAGTCGCCAGACTCGGATAAAATCACAAGACAGCGTTCCAAGACTCTCAACGCTTTGGACCAGGAAAAGATCGATTTCACTCCCAGCATCCTCAACTCGCTTACGAGCTTCATGAAGAAACGAACACCTACCTCGCGAACGGCCTCGTCCACAAAACTCGAAGAGATGGCAGAACTAAGCACCGACGATCTTCCGCCAAAAGAAGAGTCGGAAACAGCCGCCCAGTATCTCGACAGAATCCTGGATCTCTATCCCGTCACCGCTCTGTGCAGCTCGTTGCTTACCCGAGACTCTGACTTCAACAGGTTGTGTGTGCGCGAGTACTTGGATCGATACTTCAACTTCGAGAACGAGCCAATAGATCTTTCTCTACGCAAGTTCCTCATGATCAACGAACTTCCTAAAGAAACACAGCAAATAGATAGGGTCATCTACGAGTTTGGCCGTCATTACTCTGCCCAGCACCAGAACGCAGTTGTGTCCCAGGATTATTGCTATGTTCTGACATATTCTCTTTTGATGCTGCACACAGACCGGTTCAACCAGAACAACAAGAGAAAGATGGCCAAGTACGAGTTTGTCGATAACCTGATTGTCACTCTTCAACAGGAAGAGGACTGGAATAAGTTTGGAGACCTGGCACGAGTTATCGTGAAAGCTATTCTGGAATACTACTACGATAACATCACATACGCACCGTTTGTGAACATCCAAAAAGACCAAAGCGACAAGGTTCTAGAGAGTCTCAACAACCACGCAATACCAATGCCGTATCCACTTGGTAATTTCTTGAACAACACTGTTTCTGCACCGGGTGCTGTGAATCTTACCAGAAAACGAAGCAGCACTTTCCGTTGGAACACGGCATTGATCGATCCGTACGACTACATCATTGGCAACACCATTGACAGTCTAAAGATCAATGCCAATCTGAGCGTCGAAAACCCGTTTGTTCTCACGTATGGTGAACCCAATCCTAACGATATTATAGGGTCTCAGATCAAGTCGGATAAACAGTATTTGGACGACCGGTTGTTGAATAAGTTTGTCACGGCATTGAAGAGTGACCACTGTTCGATGTTGCTCAAGATCGCCAATTCCAAGGCGGGTTTCCTAAACGGGCACAAAACAGAGCTGGTCAATTACGGAGACTACGACAAAGTTGGCGAAGAATATACAATTGCCCGAGTCTTTAAGATCGGGATGATCACCCGGCAGGAAACCAAGTTATTGTCAAACTATAAATCGTGGAAACGGTATTTCTGTGTGCTCACATCTGTTGGATTGTTGTTCTTCAAAAACGTTTCGTTGTTGAAGATGAAATACGTTGTGAACTCGAAAGGCGAGAAGAGCGTTGTTCTGGAGGAGAATCTTAACAACACGCCGTTGCTTGAATCGTTTGAGCCGAGCTTTGTGATTCCCAGCGGATCGTTTGCTATCAGGATGAAGAAGAACCTCAAACTTGATGATATGCTCAACGAGTGTCAATCGTCCCACTTGAGACATTGCACGTTCTATATCTATGGAAAGCATTCCAAAGACATGTATTTGGTGGACAACCAGTACGAGCTTGTTTCGTGGATCAACTCCATCAACTGTCTTTCTGCATTGGATCCTGTTACGTTGTCGATAGAGAAACTTGACTTGCCGTATGAAGACGAGGTGATCAGAGAAGTGATCAGTTTGAAAGTGCTAACCATTCAAGAACGGCTGGAGAAACTGAAACAGTCCATCGAGACGTGTAAAGCTGTACTGGAGGACTATTTTGTGATGATGAACAGAATCTCCGTTTTGACACCGTTCCAGGCCAAGACCCGCGAGACATTGGCCTCTGCCATCAAGTTGTTCGAGGTGAAGATCGAGTGGACCTGGTTTGAGATTTCGAGAAACTCCATGTTCACGGAAATCATCGAGCGTGTCCACGAACAGCTTACAAACGCCGACGCGGACTCGGACGACGAGGAGTTTGTTACTGCCATTGATATTTTGGAAGACTGAATGTCAAATTCACTTGCCGATCCGTTTACGCTCGAAGAACATGTCGGACCGCGAAGACCCCACATTTACCACCTTGGGACACCCGTCTCTGTCCTTTTCGAGCGTCACACACTCGCGACAGTAGTACGCGTCGCTGATGCCGGGAAGGCCGCAAATGATACACTTTTCACGAGAAGACCCAAAAGCACAGTCATCGCACACCCGCACCTGTTTGGAGGCGTTCACGAACGAGTCGCACGCGGGACATTTGCCGTCGCACTTCTCGCATAGTTTCCCGACGGTTGTTCCCGGCTGTTTCAAACACAGAACAAGATCCAACTGGTGGCGGGACATTTACCAAGATATTTATTAAAATTAGATTATTTTTCACCACTCCACACCAAGCACAGCCGTGAAAAACTGGAAATTCAAATTACCCCAGACTAGTTCAGTTGTTGCCAATGTTAAGGAAAATACTCTTGGACTGGGTGTAGAGGTCGATACCGCTTTCGCCGAGCTCTCTGCCAATTCCAGACATCTTGAATCCACCGAACGGAACTTTGCAACTCTCGTCGTTGGACGAGTTGATGTACACAGAGCCGGCTTCGAGCTGCTCAGCAACACGATGGGCTCTATGGAAGTCCTTGGAGAACACCATCGCGGCGAGACCGTAGATGGTATCGTTGGCGTTCTTGACGGCCTCTTCTTCGGTTTGGAACTTGGAAACTGCAACCACAGGGCCAAAGATCTCTTCTCTGACGATCTTCATATCCTGGTTGCAATCGGCAAACACCGTTGGTTGGATGAAATACCCGGCCTTCTGGACAACTGGTTCGTCTCCCAGAACAACCCTGGCACCTTCCTTCTTGCCTGACTCGATGTATCCCTTGATCTTGTCAAACTGGCCCTTGGAAATGACCGGACCCATGGTTGTTTCGGAGTCGAACGGATCACCGATCTTCCACTCATCCAAAATGGCCTGGCGGAACAGCCCGAGGAACTTCTCATAGACACTGTCCTGGACCAGGATTCTGGAGTTGGCGGTGCAGTTTTGGCCCGAGTTGTACATAACTCCGAAGGAAGCCCATTTGGCAGCTTTTTCCAAATCGGCATCTTCAAAAACCACCAATGGCGATTTACCACCGCATTCCAACGAAACGTTCTTCAAATTAGCCGAGGCACTTTGCATGATTTTTGCGCCCGTTGCAGTCGACCCAGTGAACGCCACTTTATCCAGGTCGGGGTGACTAGCCAATCTCTGGCCAGCAACGGCACCGAAGCCACTGATGACGTTAAAAACTCCTGCAGGGAAGCCTGCTTCCTTGACGTACTGCGCAAATAGCAGCAACGACAGTGGTGTGAGTTCACTGGACTTGATTACTAAGGGGCACCCGCACGCCAAAGCGGGGCAGAACTTCCATCCAGACATGGACAACGGGTAGTTCCATGGAACGATCTGGCCAACCACCAAAGGATATCTCCTGGTGATGGCTAGTCTGTTGTCGCTTAAAGGAATGGTTTTGCCGTGGATCTTATCTGCCCAGCCTGCACAGTAACGCAGGTACTCCACCACACTGAGGATGTCTGGTTTTGCGTTGGACTCGAACGGCTTGCCCGAATCCATCGCCTCCACCTTAGCCACCAAGTCGGCGTTTTTTTCCAGCAGGTCGGCCAGTTTGTGCATTTTCAGCGCCCTCTCCTCACCTGGCACTTGCAACCAGCTCTGATAAACGCCCCTCGCAGCGGCAACTGCCTGATCCACCTCTTTTTCGCCAGCTGCGTACACAGACACAATTGGCTTTTCTGTGGCTGGGTCAATTGTCTCCAGCTGCGAGTCTGAAGACACCCACTCATTGTTGATGAACAGACCAATAGGCTGTTGGTATTTTTCGCCAGTTGGCAACGACACTTCCTTGAATAAAGACATTACAAATTGAAAATTGCCAACATTGTCTTTTTTACTCGTTCAGGAAATTCCCGAGCAAATCTAATCGATTCAAAATGGTATTTAAACCGGGTACCAAACCAGTTTTTTTCGTTGCTGCTGAAATATCCACTATGGCTTCGATTTCCACAAAAACCCAAAAGCTTAACACCGGCGCCTCGATTCCTTCCATTGCCCTTGGATGCTGGCAATCCTCTCCTGAGGACACCTACGCTTCTGTGTTGCACGCCTTGAAGGTTGGCTACAGACACATTGACACTGCCCATGTTTACCAGAACGAGGCAGACGTTGGCCGTGCCATTAGAGACTCTGGTGTGCCAAGAGAGTCTATTTTCGTCACCACTAAGGTGTGGAACACCAACCAAAGAGACCCAGCTTCTGCTTTGGACGGCTCTTTGAAAAGACTTGGTCTGGACTACGTCGACCTGTACCTGATGCACTGGCCTGTTCCATTCGTCAAGCCTGCTGCCGACGCCAAGGAACAGTTCTTCGTCAAGGACCCTAACGACCCAGACAAGTTCTACAACGACAGAGAGTGGGACTACATCAAGACCTGGGAGCTGATGCAGAAGCTACCAAAGGAGAAGACCAGAGCCATTGGTGTTTCCAACGTTTCAAAAACCAACCTCAAGGCCCTGCTTGCTGCCCCAACCACCAAGATCGTTCCTGCTGCCAACCAGATCGAGCTGCACCCATACTACCCACGTTTCGAGCTGTTGGCCTACTGCAAGGAGCAGGGCATCGTCGTCGAGGCCTACTCTCCATTGGGAAGCGCTCAGTCCTCTCTGCTCAAGGACCCTCAATTGACTGCTCTCTCTGAGAAGAAGGGTATCTCGCCAGCCACCTTGTTGATCTCTTGGGGCCTGCAAAGAGACACCGTTGTGCTGCCAAAGAGTGTGACTCCATCAAGAATCGAGTCCAACCTTAAGGCTGTCGAGCTCGACGAAGAGTCTATCAAGGTCCTTGACAACCTCCACAAGACCACCAGCGGTAGAATCGTCGCCAGAGACTGGGGTGTTCCTGTCTACAACGACCCAGAGGACGTTCCTCCTCTCAAGAAATAGATATGTTAGAGAATTGATATCGGTCTATATTAGTTTATACACTAGCTCCGCTCTGTGTCTCTGAGCTCCACATAGTTCAGGTAATACTTTTTGGTCCACTGTCTCATTTGCTTGCCGTAGATCAAGAACGGAATCACAAACGCAAACGTGCCAATGTCGATCACCGCAAGCATCACGTAAGTGCGGACGTTTCCCAGAGCGTCGATCAAAGGAGAGCAGACAAACGTGAAAATACACCCAATCATGTTGTTGATGAAGGCAACCGCAAGCATTCCTTCCAGAACCATTTCTGGATACGCATCCATCAGATACGCCATGGCAGTGTCTCCGGCCGTAGCAAACCCAAATCCTATGAATCCAAGCCCAATTGTGTATGTGATCTTCCAGCTCCACTCTTTCTCGGTGCCGATACCAAAGATCAGCAGTCCCAGTGGCGACAGAATGGCAGCAGGAAACACAAACCAGAGTCTGAACTCTGCCTCTTGGATTCCGCCGTTTCTCTTGGCCTTCCAGATGACAAACCAATCAGAAAAATATCCGGCGTAGATACATCCAACCAGAGCTCCAATAACACACGGCAGGTTCATCAAAGCAACTCCCGTGTTGGAGTAGTTCCATGGAGGGTCGTAGTATTGGTCGTCCTCGGTGGTTAAATAGAATGTCAAAAAAGCGTCTTGTAGACCCCACAGCAGTCCCGAAAGCAGAACCGGAGGGAACCAGAACACACGCAGCATCAAAATCAGCCGCTGGAAGTATTGTCTGATACCGAAGCCGACCAAAGAAGCAGAAGGAGTGATTAGCTGCACTCTTTTCCAGTAAGATTTTCTTGGCTCGCCGGCGCCGGTGCCATACACTCCTCCAACCTCAAGCACCTCCGATCTTTCTGCAGACTGCGTGTCTGCATTTTTCTCGTCATACTTGACGTTGAGCGTCTTTTCTTTCGAGTCGATCTGTCCAATGTAGCTGGATCTGTCGAAATAGGTTTCGTATTGCGTCAGAAACATCACAGCCAGCAAACCACCCGAGATGATCACAGCAACCCATCCCACCCAACGGAAGGTGGTGTATTGAACAATAAATCCGGCAATAAGCGGGCCCAGATACGTTCCAACAGAGGTTGCCAAGATATACACTGTCAAGACTCCTCCCAGTTGATGCGAAAAATACATGTCTGACAACGAAAGCTGGACCTGGGCCTCGGCACAAGCCTCAGAGGCGCCCACAAACAACTGCGACCAGATTGTATCACTCGTATCTTTGCTCAAAGCGAACCATACAGCACCAACAAGACCAAGAATAATACAGATCACGTAACTGATTTTGCGGCCATAAAGCGAGGAAAAGGGTCCCAAAATCACAGTGGTCAGTCCGATAGATGCAAACAGAACACCAGCTCCTGTGTTCATGGAGTCGTACGAAATACCATAGATCTCGTTTAAAGAGTCTTGCGTAGATCCAGCGTCGTTGGATGTAGCAGCAGTGAAACCAGTGATAAAGGCCAGCAGTGCAAACTGGTACATCTTGGTCCATGTTCCCCAGTTAAGCGGGTCGTTTGGAGAGTCTGACGGTTGAGGATACAAAACAATACCATCTTCAGTAGTCTTGATTCCTGCGTTGTCTGGGTCCGTTGCTTTTGTGCGATCGACCTGGTGCAAAAGCACGTTGATGGTCCCGGGAATAAAGTCCGCGTGGTACTTGTCGGTGTACTGATCCATAGTGCGAAAAACGGCTCAACTTCCAGTGCAGCACAAACAAGTACTTTTATCTCAAAGACATCTAAAATTTGTTGGTGCCCCCACTACTTTTTTCCGCAACGAGATGCCCACTGCGCGGCTAGATAAGGAAACCCGTGCACCACCAGCCTGCCCCTATTGCAAAATTGGGGGTTTCTATGGCAAGTCGGCGCTTAGCATCACGTGACCTGCCAAGCCGGCTCGGTTTTTTTGTCGCAGTGCTCCCCACGCTCGTCATTTTACGTAATCCAGCAGCCGACTGGCGATGGCTTTAAGCTGTGAGAAGCCACATAACTGTCCCTGATTAAATTTGCCACTATGTCGATTGCTCCTAGATTTGCCCATTCCCACGTTCTGTCTCCGGTTTCCAGCTCCTCCAACTCGATCAAGAGCGCTGTCCAGCTGTTTCTGGACTACAATTGCCCTTTTTCCAAAAAGCTGTTCAACAAGATAAATACCGAGGTTATTCCATTGCTCGAGAAAAAGCACATTGCCGACAAGTTCGACTTTGTTTTCTTCAACGTGATCCAGCCATGGCACTATGTTGGTTCTGGTGCCTACCACGAGGTCGCTTTGGCCGTTGCCAAGCTGTACCCAGATCAATTCTGGAAGTTCTCGGAGATTCTGTTTGACAACCGGATTGACGACTCCGTCACTTTCAACAAGACCCAAAAGGAGGTTGTTGGACTGGCAATTGACCTTGCTGTCAAGTCTCTGGAAGGAGTCGACTCCAAGAAGCTCTGGGAGCTGCTGACCCCGGCCCCTGATAAGGGTAACGGTCTGCAGAAGGACAACAAGTACTTCACCAGATACCAGCGGACTGTGGGTGTTCACACCACTCCAACGGTTCTCGTTGACGGTATCACGTTCGGAAACATCGAGAGTTCCACCCCTGCGGAGGAGATTGTCAAAATCCTGGAAGAACTCTTGGACTAGATTATGTCAGCCGTATGATTTATAGTACTGAACCGATTTTTTCTTCTTTCAGAACACGCCCAGATCCCAGCGGGGGCGATCGTATACGCAACCATGTGGAATAGCCGTGCAGCAAGATTGCTACTGTGCACGTTTAGCGCAGGAACCATGACAGGGAAGGTTTCTTGCTGGGTTTGAAACGTACCACACCTCGCACCGTGTCTAGCGGACCCTATTGTGTTCCAGATGTGGCAAGTCCCAAACAATACCCGCTGCGAACGCGTCGCACATGAATTAGTTTTCTCTTAAATCACCTGCCGTTTCTTCGTTCTGACTGCCAACAGCTCTTTGCACGATGAAACAGGAGCTTCTTCCGCCAGCCACGATTATCAGTCCCATTAACAAGAGCTTTGAGCTCAAAACGCCTCCTCATTCTGTGTTAAGACATGGCTCTTTGAAACCCAACGACGCGCGCTCCTGCCTGAGAGCAAACGGGCTTTTGTCTCCTGAGTTTTCGTCTCCTCAGCTGAAACGCGACGCCAGCGACGAAAGTGACGAGCCCAGCGTTGATCAAAGCGACGACGATTATGAGGAGCCGGGATATTCCAAGAAACGCAAGCTACATTCCTCGCCCCCTCCTGCTCCAAAATTCAACGAGCCCGAACCCAACGGCAAGAGCCGGTCCGCCACCAAGTCCAGAAGACTTAAGGGTCCTCAGAATATCGAGATACCTCTTCCTGAAGACATGCCTCCGGTCATTTTCGACTCGATGGAGAAGCCTCCTTTCTCGTACGCCTCATTAATTGGAATGGCCATCCTGCGAGCTCCTGGTCGCAAACTCACCTTATCTCAGATATACCAGTGGATTTCAGATAATTTCAAGTATTACAAGAAGGGAGAAGTCGGTTGGCAGAACTCCATCAGACATAACTTGTCTTTGAACAAGTCGTTTGCGAAAACCGAAAAGTCCAAGGACGGCAAAGGCCATTTTTGGAAGATCGTGGACGGGTTTGAATACCAGTTCTGCAACATCAAGAACTTCGAAAAGATGATGGCTGCTGGAAAACTCAAGAGATCCAGAGACCAACCGTCGCTGGCCACCAAGTCTTTGTCATATACCCCTGCTCAAAGCCAAACTGGCCAGTCGTTGGAAGCACCTTTGAAAAGAGCCAACACCGAGCCTTTTGGCCTCGATTTCGACCATTCTCATCAGAACATGGTTCTGGGCTCCATTCCGGAACTCACAGCACCTGCCTCCTCCTGGACGTCCTCTGCCGCGGGCGATAATATAGTGTTCAAGGAGTTGCAACCCAATCCAGACCAATTTTTGGAGTCGCCAGGAGGCCCTATTTTTGCTGCGCGGTCTCTCCCGTTCACCTCCTCGTTCAGCTGCAAGTCGACGCTGGAGCTTTCGCCGATCAAATCGGGAGAAACCGGCCCGCTACTCGAGCCTCTTACGCCTAAACAGAACGGCTCGCTCAACACGCTACAGAAATCTCAATACCAGTACGACCAGCTGCTGCTTTCCAAGTTCAAATCGCCCACCAGCGTGCTCAAGACGCCGAACTTCGCTCCTTCCAAGAAATTGTGGACATCGCCGTCCTACTTGGATGACTTCTACACTTCGCCGAGCGCTGGACGCGGCGTGGACGACGAAAACTTGTACGGGTCTCCGGTGGCTCCTGTCAAGAAACGCAAGACAGGCACCCCTGCCCGGTACTCCACCAACGAGATCTTCGGCATCGACATCTGTAAGATCCATCATGACGATTGACTACGGTACGGGTCTTTGTAATGTTAGCGTATGTATATTAGTTTGATTCACCTATTTATCTTTTTTCACTGTTCCGGTGTACAAGCTGCGGGTTTTCCTCGTATTCGCTCTTGGTCAGCCACATTTGCTTGAACACACTTAGACTTGCCAATATCGACCCGCCCATGAAACAGTTTGTGCGTCGTTCGGGCGACGCGTAGATGCGCAGTTGCAAGTCGGGGTCTTCGTGCTTCATTTCCTCGAGTATTCTCACTCCAAAGTTCTTGAACATCGTCGAGCCGCCCGCGAGGATGATGTTCTCAAACAGCTGCGGTCTGAGGTCGTAGTTGGTTTTCCGCACAGAGTTGATTAGCACCTGGTGGATCGGCAGCTCTTCTATTCCAAACTTTTCTGGCTGGTAATACTGTTCTGTGCACTGGGACAACGCCGTGCTGGACACGTTGACCACCTTGCCATCCGGCAGTCGGAACTGTTTTGTTTCGCTCGCAAGAGGCGGCTCCTTCAGCTGTTTGTCCAGAATGTTGGGGTTGACGTAGCACAAACGCTCCTTTAGGCTGCGCACAAGCTCGAACTCGGACGACGAGGACAAAAAATAGCCGTTTTTCATCAGTTCCAGCTGCATCTGCTGTGTGATGTCCCGTCCGCCAAAGTTGAGTCGTTTGATCGTTCCTGGAACAGAGAATCCTTCGTAGATCGGAACCACCGTGGTGACACCGTCTCCAGAGTCCAGAACAACGCCCGTTGTTTTGCCCAGCGAGTACAACGACAGCACCGCGGGCATCGCCACGTACAGTGCTGGAAAGTTGAACGTTTCAAAGATCAATTCCGCCAATTGATCGCGGTTCTTGGCCGGGTTCAAAGGATGCTCTGTGATGAGCAACGGATGCTGGTCTGTCTTGACCTCGAGCTCCTGCACGACCTGGCCCCAAACGGCCTCGAGCGACTCCCAGTCGTCCACCATGCCGTTTTTCATCGGATACTTGAGTTTCAGCAGCCCACGAAGCTGCTGTGCACGCGACCCGATGAAAGTGTCTGTTGGAGACACGGCAGAAGGCATCACTCGGTCGTACTTTGGACGACCCACCAGGTTCGAGTAATTGATCTTGGGCTTTTCGTCGCCCGCAAACCCGGCACGAATGGTCCCCGACCCGTTATCAAAGACTATGGGCTGGTTATAGATGGACTCCATGCCAAAAGGTAAATAAAAGAAAATTATTTCAAAGATTAAATCTATATGCAATAGTATCTATCACCAAAATCGCCGAGTCCCGGAACAACAAACTTCTTCTCGTTCAACCCGTCGTCGATCATTCCTGTAATGACCTTGATTTTTGGATACTTAGACTTGAACACCTCGATACCTTCTGGACTAGCCAGAACGTTCAAAAATAAAATTCTCTCTTCCTTGACACCCTTTTGCAACAGAACGTCCACGGCCATCGACGCAGATCCGCCCGTGGCAAGCAGAGGGTCCAGCAGGAAAACGTATCTTTCTGGAATATCTTCAGGAAGCTTGACGTAAAACAACTTCGGAGTAGCTGTTTCCTCATCTCTTTGGATAAGAATCTTTCCTAATCTGACAGATCTACAACAGTCTCTCAAACCTTGTTCCATACTCTCGCCCGCTCTGATGATAGAAACTCCACAGATCTTACCCAGGAACTTGTGGCCGTCGTAGGAAATTCCCAACGGAGTTTTAATCTGGCATGGCTCAACAGGCAGCTGGTTCAAGCCTTCCTCGACCAAAAGTCTGATGATCCGGTCAGAGTAAAACACAAAGTCGCCTCTTTGAGTGTTCTTGTCTCTGATGATCGAATACAGACACTTTAATTGGTTGGTTTGAGGAAGTGAGATAACATTATCGTACTTGGACATTTTTTGTAGATAAAGAAAAGTTCGAAAACTAATTTCCGACGGTTATCTTATAGAAAATTCAAACTCATCTCGTAACCAATTTTTTGGCGGATCGCAAGCAATCGATTTTGGAAATCGTATCCGGGCGTCTTCTTACTGCACAGTTCTTGGCCCTGCCGCAGCACCTCGGGCGTTAATTCTTTTTCGAATTGGTTCAGAACTCGGATGAATTCTACCAGCTCGTCCACGCTGAGCAGCCGCTTGCCGAGGTACGGCTCTAGCAGCATGATAAGTCCCATTTTGTAGTGTTTTGGCAAATAGGTGAAATCAAACAGCTGGAACAACGGCTTGAACTTGACAGTATCCTTTTGTTGCAAAAACTGGTCCAAAACAGCCAATGGACTCACAGCCTGGCGCAGAGCAGGCTCCAAAATCTCGTTCGACCGGATCTTGGCCGTCAACGTGCTGTCCTGTAGATCGCCAACCAGCAGTTTCTCAAAAATGCTCCACACAAGCTGTGTCAGCTTCACATAGTCCCCAGCCTCGGTGTAGCAGTATAATGCCTCGTAAAGATACCCGATAGCAGCAAGCTTGGACCCTTGAATGAGGTATATCTTGACGGCCGTTTGACGCAGCTTCAGTTTCGCACAGATCGACAAACACCACTCAAAGTCGTCGTTGTTAGTGATCTGGTACCGTGGAAGCAACTCGGAAACAACTTCTCTAGAGTTGGAGTTGTTCACCATGATCAAGATACCTATACCGATCGGGAACAGCTCGCGGTGCGTCAAGTACGAGAACGCCAGGTCCTCGAGCATCTGGTCGATTGTCGCACTCAGTGTTGCCTCTGTGAAGGAAATAACCGAAAGATAACCTTTAAGTAGTCCGGCAGAAACCATAAGCACAGAAGTAAAGGTGGCAATCGACTTATCCAGCATTTCTATCGATGTAATCACAGACAACATTTTTCCTTGCAACAGCTCGATGCACATGGTTTCCCAGGACTGGACTGTCTCTGGAGGGTGCCTGTCTATGGAAACTTGCATGTATTCGTCCAGCAGTTCTAACGATGGTAGCTGGTACAAGTAGTGGGCAAATAGAGCCTCATACCACGTATCTGCAGCGTCCAGGATAGCCGAGGAGGATGCAGAAGTGATATTGAGCAGTTCCTGGATCTCTGCAGCAATTCCAGCCTCAACAAAACTTGTGGAAGCTGCCCGTTCACGTAACTGCACCATTGATTGTTTCCAGATAAGAAACTCTTTAGCGTCCGCAGAGAATCTTAGCATGTCATAGGTTTCCAGTAGTTTTTTGAAGTCTGTGATAATATTGAACAGGTTGAGGTCTTCTGTTTTCAAGTTCTTCCAATTGCTCTGGTCAAGAGCATCCAATGATTCCTTGAACAATCCGCGTAGCAGGAGTTTCTTGACATATGACGACCAGAAAAGAAGGTTTCTGTACGGGTTTTCGAAACTGAGCACCTCCTCGGCCAAACCGTCGTCCGGTTGGATATCTGCTCTGTTGATCCAGACAGAAAGCAAAGCTATTCTTTCTTCCTCGTTTGAAAAATACACCGCGTTGAGCAGATTAAGAACATTAAGAATCTCCTCGTAGTTGAAAATGAAAGTCTCTTGGAAGTTTGGGTCGTTGATGGATTTTGTCGAGATCAAGTCTTTAAGACTATTGATTACAATAGACATTATTGACTGAAGTGTTTGCTTTTTTTCCTTGATGTTTTCCTGTATCTGACTGAGAACACCAAAGTTGGACTCCTCATCGTCCTCGCTGAAATGTTTGTATGCTTGGTTTGTCAAAAGAGGCTCGAAAGTGTGGTAGATGGTGGTCAAGAACTGAACGTATTCCTCAGAGGTGTCCATATTAGACGGGATATCAAATGGGTACAGTTTGCGTTCTCTATCGTTTTGCACATCCATTTTTGATTCCTGGTCCGAAGACAGAAACAGTACGCCACTGTCGTGCGATCTGTCGAGCGAGAATTGCAGAGTTCGTCCATTCTTGAGCCAGCTGAGATCGCTCTTGGCTATCGGAGTCTCGTCGTAGGGCAGACGCGAGATTGGCAATTGCGACTGCGGATCAATATCAAGCTCGGCGTCTATCTCGTCTGGCTGGTTTAGCGCCAGACTCACTCCGTTCGTCTTGGTCAATGACATGGGATGCCCTAAAAGAATAAACAAAATGGAAATTTTATGAAAAGCTGGCTGTGAAGGAGAGAAGAAAAAAAAATTCAAGAAAATACAAATCAAGGAACTAGTGGCTATCAGATGAGCTGGGTAGACATTCGGTCCACTGAGGGCATCACAAGGTTTCTGAGAAACCAGAAAACCCCGATACCGGAGATTTTTCAGGCTTCGAAACAGCTCATAGTGCATGACGAACCTATAGTTCTCCCTAATAAAGAACGGTTTATTTTCGAGCTCGTATGTGATCGGCTTTCTCACACCAAGTCCAAGGAATATAGACACAGCAAGGAGATCTGGGATCTTTTCATTTTGCTGTGGACTCGACTCGACCGTGAAACCAGAGTCAAATACGTCACCAAGATCAGATTCAACGACTTGGTGGAGTCCATGTTGCAAGAGACCGACTTCGACAGCGACTCGGAGTTCCTGAACGTGTTCGTCCAGAGCGTCGATTTGGTTTTGGATGACAAGAGACTCACATTTTCATCCGAAACCAACGTCGAGCTGGTTTCCCAACTGCTTCAGCTGGCTGCTACCGCTGGCCAGAGTAGCTGCATACAATTGGCATACAGACTATTCAAGAGCGCAAACACATCCACTCTGCACTATAACAAGAAAAATGTCGCTTACTTCTGTTCCGAGTGTCTTCCAAACGTTCTGGTGCTCATTAGAGCGGGCAAGGAAACCGCGCTTTTGGAAAAAATGCTCAGAGAGGTGTTGCTTCGTAAAGAAGCTTTAAATGACTTGAAAGAGAATGTTGGCTACTTTTGCAACTCGGCTGCTACCAAACAAATCGACGACGTGGCGGTGATTGACTTTTTCCAGCGGATTATCGGCAAATTGGCCGTCAAGGATATTGAAGAGCTATTTGGCGAGGTTGTTTCCAAATTCCCTGGGACTAAGATTGAACTTTTAAAACGAGTTGTTGGGCTGAACAAGGTGCTATCGACGAGTTTTTTGAGCAACCTAGTTGACTCGAGCAGTCTTAATTTGGAGGTTTTGCAACTCGCAATCAGCAAAAACGTTGACGTGGGGCTTTTGTACAGCGACAGGATATTTGAGCTTGCCAAAACACAAGACGATAACAAACGGTTTGAATTAATGTCTGCTCTACTTGATGTTTATGTCCGTTCGCGTGAAGTGGAGACGTTCTTTGAGCTGTGGTCGGCAAATTGCATAGAAAACACAACGTTTGTCTCGGACAGATTTGTCACGGCAGTGTCCGAGATCATTCCTGGCCTGTCACAGAAACAAATTATAAATTTGGTCAAGAAATACGTTGAAAGCAAGAACTTTGTGCTGTTGACCTCAATTGCCGAAGGATTACTACTGGGAGTCACCGGCATCGGCCAGACTTCCATCACCCGGATGCTGCAACAGACTGCCGACGAGATGAAGCCAGAGTTTTTGAAAGTGCTTGAAAAACCACAAGAGAGTCACCATTACTGGAAACTTGCTACCCTGATGCAAATGATTTACAACACGGACGTTCCCACTAAAAAAACGTACAAGATCGAGGACTTCTTCTTCTCGCGTCTGCGTTCGTTCGAAAGCCGGTTGCAGTCGGCCGACGAGACGTTTGTGAAACAGTTCATGTCGTTCTACCGCAAATCGGATATTCAATTCAAAAGAACCATATTCACCAGATGGTTTGTTCTGATGAACGTGATACTGGACCAGTCACAATTGAGAAAACTCGTGGAGGAGTATTTCGGCAACGAAACAGACGAGATAACCGTTCTTGCCAATGGAGTGCTTCATGAACAGTCCAACCTGATGAAAGAGGTTATCGACTACCTGATTTCAGACCTTTCTTCAAAGAAACCAACACTATCTCGCTACATCCAGACAATTCCTGCTTTCTGCTACACGCGCAGCCAGAGAGAGCAGATGCTGAATCTATTGGTTGGAGCAGAGCTGGAATCCAAGTTTGTGTGCATTCTTGCTCTGTTGGAACAACCAACCCTCAAATCCAAGGTTGAGACAGATATATCCACGCTGATCAAGCTGGTTGAGGAGTCCTCTTGCCCAGAAGCACTGGAAGTGGCTGATAAAGTTTTCGACACGCATCTTCGTCAAAGCTCCAAGTTTATCACGGAAAGCGAGCAGACGTTGAGATCAGGTAAGGCTTTCAAGACGGCGCTGTGTCTGCTCAGATCCGAACGCAGACTCGATAAGCTCAATGACGAGCTGTACGACTCTCTTTTGGACAAATGTGTGAACGATGTGTCCAAAGACAACAAGCTGTTGGATGTGCTGATTGAGCTTAAAAGCTGGAAAGTCCAACAAGATCCAAAGATCAAGAAAACCATCTCCAAGATTGGCAACAACTGCGACCCAGAAACGGCGCAAAAACTGTTCAATTTGATTTGCCAGCTAGGAAAAACATACGCTCCCGAATACGTGCTACCGTTGTTCAGCTCCCTTCCGCACCTAGAACTGCTTATGGACTCGCTTAAAACATACCTGAAGAACTTTGAGGCCGAAGAGTTGGCGTCAATTTGGCTTTGGGTTCTTGATACAGACGAAAAAGACGAAACCGTCAGCTACTTGCTCTGTGTGTTACTACAAATCCAATCTTCAGAGAACCAGTACGCCCAGAAACTGACCATTGCGTCGTTGTCGACTCTACTGGACCTGCAACTATCGGTGGAGACCGCGATTCAGGTCGGTTTGGTGCTGAAACAGCTGATCAGCGGATCAAGCTGGATGCTCACCCAGTACTCTGTCGAACAGGTCGTTGTCTTTATCAACAAGATCAGCCAACATTTACTAGAAACAGAGCAGCTCACAGATGCTCAGACAACGCTCTACCTGCAAAACTGCCAGGTTCTTTCCAATCTCGTTCTTTTTCAGCGGTTTAGATTCTCAAACAGACAACATCTGCTCATTCACTCGTTTGTTGGCTTGCTGGAGTGTCTCTTCAAGCACAATCTCGGAACAGCTGCTGCCACCGGGTTTGAGAGACTCGTGAGCAATCTGTGTGAGATCTCTGCGTCTTCTGTCTCTAACTCTGAGTCAGAATCCTCATTGACCAGTACCGTTTCCTTTATGAAACATCAGCTGCGGAAATTCGTGCCTCTGTTGATTTTGAACTATGTCAAATTTTATCTGAGCTACCAAATGGATCCTGCTATTAAGGATGTTCTAGAAAATAGCATGTTCATGGTGTTCGACCTGTTGACCCTGAACGAGCTCAACTTTATCAATATGAGTCTGGACTCTCAGTCGCGGATCGTCTACAGATCGCTGTACGACGACTACAAGAAGTTCGGTAAGTGGAGAGAGGAGTAACCGTGGTGCTCTTATCCGGATTAAAGAGGGCTGTTAATATAGAATAATTTGAATAATTTTTTTTTTCAGTATTTAGCATGGTTGAGATCACAGAGTTGGATGCGAAAACGGACCAGCTGGTGAGCGAGTGGGAGAAAAGACGGTACGTTCCCAAACAAGGAGAACCAGACCTGCCACCACAGCTTTCTGAGCTGGCCGAGAAGCCTACAGAGGAGATCATGGACGACCTGAACAGATTACCGTTATTCATGACAGAGCTGGATGAAACAGACGGAGAAGGCGGAGAGAACCTACAGGTGGAGGCTCTGAAGGCTTTGGCATACGAAGGCGAACCAAATGAGATTGCCGAGAACTTCAAAAACCAAGGAAACGACTGCTACAAGGCCAAACAGTACAAGAACGCTGTGGAGTACTACACCAAGGGGCTGGATGTTGACTGTGGAGTGGACGAGATCAATGCTGCGTTGTATCTTAATCGGTCGGCGTGCAATTTGGAGTTGAAAAACTACCGTCGATGCATCAACGACGCCAAGGAGTGTTTGAAGATCCAGCCAAAGAACGTGAAAGCGCTTTTCCGTTCTGCCAAGGCGTTCCTGGCCATTGAAAAGTACGACGAGGCCGACCAGATCTTGCAGTACGCCTCGTCAATCGACAACAGCTCACCGGCGTTCAAAGTTTTGGTGAGACAGTTGGAGGATCGGCGTCGTGTTTTACGGGAGCTAGAGGAAAAAAGACGGCTGGCAGAAGAGACTAAAGAGCGCAGAAAGTCCAACTTGAAGCAGGCAGTCGCTGTGAGAAACTACATCAGTATTTCCAGAACCGATCCCTCTGAACTTCCTGCGGGAACGGCCATCCGGTTGGAGGATCCAGACGATATCGAGACACAGCTTATTATTCCAACGATGGTTCTTTATCCAACAACGGACGAGTTTGATCTGATTTCCGAGGTGAGCGAGCTGTCCACTTCAGGAGATCTCATTGAGATTGTTCTGGACCGTCCAGAATCTTTCTTTGAGGATCCAAAGCATACTAATTTCAAACAACTGGAAGCTTTCATGGAAACAGAGAGTGGAGGATTAATCAAGGCCGGCAAGAAGGTGACGTTCAACTCGATCCTGGGATCAGCCTCTCCACGTGTGCCGCTCTTTGACAACATGATGAGAATCTTCTTGGTTCCAAAAGCCGAGTCAAAAACATGGATCTCGAAATGGAGTAAGGAAGCTGCTTTGAAAAAGAGACTAGTGTAGAAAAATTTCACCAAAAAAATAATTTAATTTTACTATAAATCATGGCCTCCGTTAAAAAACAGCGGCTATCAGACGGACTTTCTGTTACACAGAAGGTTTTCGTTCGTTCGCGGAATGGAGGAGCTTTGAAGATCGTTAGGGAGCATTATTTACGTGACGATGTTCCATGTTCGAGCATTTGTTGTGATGATTGTGAAGAGTATTATAGACCCACTCCGGACGGTGGCAAAAACGAGCCTGTTTTGAGCGGTGAGCCACTGGATCTGGGCAAGCAAAATATTGGAAAACACTATTTGGTGTTGGACACAAACGTGGTTCTGAACGCAATTGATTTACTTGAGGGCGATAAGGCCTTTTACGACGTCGTTATTCCTCAGACCGTGTTGGAAGAGGTGCGAAACCGCAGTTATCCGATCTACATGAGACTTAGAGCTCTGTGTAAGAACGACGACAAGAGATTTGCCGTTTTCCACAACGAGTTCAAGGCCGCTTCGCACGTCTCCAGAGAAAAAGGCGAGTCTGCTCAGGACTTTAATGACAGACTCATCAGAAAATGTGCATCTTTCTACACCGAGCATTTGAAATCCCATAAGATAGACATTGTCCTGCTCACAGGAGACAAAAATAACGCAGAGAAGGCATCCAAAGAGGGACTTGTATCGATGACTCTACATAACTACGTTTCTCTGCTTCCAAATTTCGCCGAATTGGAAGACATGTTGCCGTCCAACGAGACGTTCTCGCGCCAATTGAACGAGATCAACTATCAAGACTACTATTCCTCGGCCCGTTTGATGGGCGGAATCAAAAACGGAACATTGTACCAGGGTGTGATCAATATCTCGTCGTACAATTTCCTGGAAGGATCTATATCTGTGCCGTCGATGCCCAAACCATTGCTGATCCTCGGCCGGGAGAACCTGAACAGAAGTTTCAATGGCGACTCGGTCATTGTGGAGCTACTTCCCCAAAGCAAATGGAAGAAACCTTCTACAGAGATTGTTGACGAAGAGACCATAAATAAGAATGAGGTTGGCGACGACGATGAAAACGAGGTGATTATCTCGGACCAGGAAAGAAAACTTTTGGCCCAGCAGGCTGCAGAGACACAGGGACATGATGATAAAGTGATTCCAACTGCCCGGGTCGTCGGTATCGTGAAGAGAAGCTGGAGACTGTATGTTGGACAATTGGCATCCAATGCTGCCGCCAGCAGCCAGAACACAGGAAACGCAGCAAAGTCGTGTTTTGTAATTTTGATGGACCGATCGTTACCCAAGATCCGGATCCGTACGAGACGTTCGCGTGAACTAAGCGGTAAGAGAATTGTGGTTGCAGTTGATTCATGGCCTGCCAACTCCAAATACCCAGAAGGCCATTTCGTTCGTGTTTTGGGAGACATCGAGGATAAGGACGCAGAACAGGAAGCTCTTTTGCTCGAACACGATGTGGAGTACCGTCCGTTCTCCAAAAACGTTTTGGATTGTCTTCCGAAAGAAGGCCACGACTGGAAAGTTCCAGAGAACCTGCAAAACGGCGACGAGCAGCTGGCAAAAAGACGCGATCTCAGAGACAAGCTTGTTTGCTCGATCGACCCGCCAGGATGTGTGGATATCGACGATGCTTTGCACGCACAGTTGCTTCCTAACGGAAACTACGAGGTTGGAGTGCACATTGCCGATGTCACGCATTTTGTCAAGCCAGCCACGGCGCTGGACCAAGAGGGTGCTTCGAGGGCCACGTCGGTCTACCTTGTTGATAAGAGAATCGACATGTTGCCAATGTTGTTGGGAACAGACCTGTGTTCGCTGAAACCGTATGTGGATAGATTTGCGTTCACTGTTCTGTGGGAGCTGGACCAGGACGCCAACATCGTCAAGGTTGACTACTTTAAGTCGATCATCCGGTCCAAGGAGGCCTTTGCGTACGAACAGGCCCAGTTGCGGATGGACGACCAGTCGCAGCAGGACGATCTCACCAAGGGAATGCGGATTTTGTTGAAGTTGTCCAAGAAATTGAAGCAGAAAAGACTCCGTGCGGGTGCTTTGAATCTTGCTTCGCCAGAGGTGAAGGTCCATATGGACAGCGAGACGTCCGACCCGGGTGAGGTGGAGGTGAAGAAACTGGTGGAGGCCAACTCGTTGGTGGAAGAGTTCATGTTGTTGGCCAATATTTCAGTGGCCAAGAAGATCTACGACGAGTTCCCGCAGGTGGCCATGTTGAGACGACACGGAGCTCCTCCTGCAACCAACTTTGAGGTTCTGAACGACATGCTGCGTGTTCGAAAGGGTATGTCTATTTCTCTGGAGAGTTCCAAGGCTCTTGCCGATTCGTTGGACAGATGCGTTGATCCTCAGGACCCGTACTTCAACACTCTGCTCAGAATCATGGCCACTCGGTGCATGATGGCCGCCGAGTACTTTTCGGCCGGCAACTTTGGGTACGAGGACTTCCGCCATTATGGACTGGCTACCGAGATCTACACGCATTTTACGTCTCCGATCCGGAGATACTGCGACGTGGTAGTCCACAGACAGCTGGCGGCATCGATTGGGTACGAGCCGCTGCACTCGTTGCACCGCGACAAGGCCAAAATGGACCTTGTGGTGAAGAACATCAATAAGAGACACAGAAACGCACAGTTTGCTGGAAGAGCCAGTATCGAGTACTATGTTGGCCAGGTGATGAAGAACACGCAGAGTACGCACGAAGGGTATGTGATCAAGGTGTTTTCGAACGGAATTGTTGTTCTTGTGCCGAAATTCGGCGTGGAGAGTCTGATCAAGTTGGAGAGTCTGGGAGATATCAAGGATAGTCATTTCGATGACGAGCTGTACAAACTGACATTTACAGGCCACAATGGCCAGTCTCGCCAGATCAGCGTGTTTGACCGTGTCAATGTGTTTGTCACGTCGCAACTGGACGAATTAACAGGAAAGAGAAAGGCCCAGCTCAAATTGGCATAAATGCTTATATAATATTAATTTTTCACCTATATTTTTTTCACTACTTTAACCATGTCTAATCTAGGTCTTCAAGTTAGACAGACGGTGCCGGCAATCGACCCTGTCGTTGCGGACTATGCTGTTGGCTATCTCGGACATTTGACAAACTCTACGGAGGACTCTGTGCTTGCACAACAGCTGGATGTTTCTAAAGAAATGGATTTTCTGCGCCAACTGCTCATTAGTGCCGGTGGAGAGACCGACAAGGTGGACCAGTTGACAAACAAATTGCAAGAGACCTTGAACAAGCAGCTCTCGGACAACATGGCCAAGCTGGCCGTCACAGGAGACACGTCCAAACGGCTTTTGGACATCGATCTGATCAATAACCAGCAAAGAGACCTGGACAGCTCGCTGGCCCTACTCAACTCCACCTCAGACATCGCACACACAGGAAGACAGATGGAGACGCGGGTGGACAAGAAGAAGCTGCAAAAAGCCGAGGCCAAGATCGCCAAGAAGGTGGCCAAGCGTGCCAACAAGTTTGTTCAGTACGAGGCCTCGAAGCTGCTCAATTCTCAGGACAAGGAGGACTACGACTCGTTCTTCCTCAAGGTGAACCCGATCGACTTTGGTGCTGGTGCTGGAAAGTCCAAAGATATCAAGGTGGACAACTTTGATCTGTATGTTGGAGCCGGTAAGCGGATTTTGTCCGATGCGTCGCTCACGCTAGCGTACGGACGTCGCTACGGTCTGGTTGGTCAGAACGGTATCGGTAAATCGACGTTGTTGCGGGCGTTGTCGCGCAGAGAGCTCAATATCCCGAAACACGTGACCATCCTGCACGTGGAACAGGAGATCCAGGGAGACAACGTTCCTGCGTTGCAGTCTGTTCTGGACGCCGACGTTTGGCGGAAACAGCTGCTGAACGAGGAGGCCAAAATCGACGAGCGGATTGCCGAGATCGAGTCGTTAAAGTCGGAGTTCGAGGCCGAGTCGCTAGAGGTGAAGAAGCTTGAAAACGAGCAGAACGACCTGGCAGAGCGGCTCGAGGAGGTGCACGAGAAATTGAGCGAGATGGAAAGCGACCGTGCCGAGGGCCGTGCGGCCTCGATCTTGTTTGGGCTTGGATTCAGCGAGCAGGCGCAGCACCAGGCCACCAACACGTTTTCTGGAGGATGGAGAATGCGGCTTTCTCTTGCCAGAGCTCTGTTTTGTCGGCCAGACCTGTTGCTTCTTGACGAGCCGACAAACATGTTGGATGTTCCGTCGAGCACGTATTTGGCTCACTATTTGCAAACGTATCCTGCCACCGTTCTGATTGTTTCTCACGACCGTGCTTTCTTGAACGAGGTGGCCACAGACATAATCCACCAGCACTCGGAGCGACTGGACTACTACCGTGGCTCCAACTTCGACTCGTTCTACAACACCCGCGAAGAGCGTCTCAAGAACCAGAAGCGCGAGTACGAGAACCAGATGGCGTACAGACAGCATCTGCAGGCGTTTGTGGACAAGTTCCGGTACAACGCTGCCAAGTCGTCGGAAGCACAGTCGAGAATCAAAAAGCTCGAGAAACTGCCTGTTTTGGAACCACCGCAGGAAGACAAACAAATCACATTCAAGTTCCCAGAGCCAGACATCATCCAGCCGCCTATTTTGCAATTGAGCGGTGTTTCGTTTGGATACGACCCAAAGAAACTGCTTTTGAGCGACGTCGATTTCGACGTCGCACTCGACTCCCGTATTGCTCTTGTTGGTGCCAACGGATGTGGTAAGACAACACTTTTGAAGGTGCTGATGGGCGACAACGTTCCTTTGGAGGGATCTGTTTCCAAGAATCCGCGTTTGCGGGTCGGATACTTTGCCCAACACCATATTGATCAGATGGACCTCGACATGAGCGCTGTCAGCTGGCTCAGCAGCAAGTTCCCGGGAAAAACTGACGAGGAGTACAGAAGACATCTGGGATCCTTTGGTATCACCGGCTCGTTGTCCTTGCAGAAGATCGAGTCGTTGTCCGGAGGTCAGAAGAGCAGAGTTGCGTTTGCTTCGCTGTGTCTCAACACTCCGCACATTCTTATCTTGGACGAGCCGTCCAACCATCTGGATACCTCTGGTCTGGACGCGTTGAGCGACGCTCTGAAGAACTTCAAGGGTGGTGTGTTGATGGTTTCGCACGACGTCGCCATGATCAACAGCGTGTGTAACGAGATCTGGGTCAGTGAAGACGGTACCGTGAAGCGTTTTGATGGAGACATCTACGGCTACAAGAAATATATTCTTGCTAAGGCCGACGCCTCAGGAGTGGTCAACAGACATTAGAGTGTGCTATAGGCTTGTGTTTTGGCACTTGATCGTGAGGTTCAGGAAATTGTTGAGTCTTCTTTTCGCCTTGAGCACGGAAAACGTGAACATCAGTAAAACCATTAACGACGTGGTCAGCTGGAAAAATATCACAAACTCCATCGTTGGCCGGTCGTTCACGTACATCCGTCTGCCGCTGACGACTTTGCTCATAATGTATTTTTCATCCGCGATGAAAAAGTAGATACCAATTGCAACCGAAATAAGAAAGTGGACAGCCACCACAAACCACCAGTAGAAGAAGTATTTATAGGACATTGTAAGCTGTTGAAATGTTCCGGTAGCGTCGATGTGCAGGAGAACAACGAGCGTTGTGAGCGACAGAGACGCAACCAGCATGCAAAAGTTGGAAAGCGTGCTGGTGATGGTTGTGAGTCTTTTGAAGTACGCCAAGGTGACCATGTTCAGGACAAAGTTCAGGAAGTTGGCAAACCCGGAAATCAGAGACGTTCGAAGCAAAAGGTTCCCGGGACAATACTCAAACAAATCAGACGAGGTTTGAATGTTTGGAAGGATCTTGAATAATTGTGTGTTGAATAGTTTGTGTGCTGGGTCCTGTCTGACCTTGATCTGTGTTGTGCTTCCCATATCCAGTTTCAAATATCCTTCCGAAAGGCTCTTGTTCAGAAAAACCGTGTCTGTTTCGTACAGAAACTCGGACTTCGTTCTTTCCACTCCACTGGAGTCTACCAATCCTTCTATTGTCATAGAGACAAACATCTGGGAATGCACACTGTTGGCTGCAATCAAGTAGCACCCGACGGTGAAATTCGGCTGTAGCTGCCATCCTGACGGTAAAACACATTCTCCAAGGAAGGTAAGAACCGTTGTTTCCACCTCGTCATCGCCCGTGTTAAAATCAACAATCAAATCTCCCGTATGACTTCCATCCATCTTCTGACCGTTCACAAAGACGGAAACCTCATCCTGACTAACGAATCTGGTTTTTCGGTCTTTAGGAAGCTCCAGATTGTGGAACCAGAGCTTGCAACTCACTTCCTTGTACTTCTGCTGTTGCTGCCGCCAGTTACAAACAGCCTGCTCCAGCGTCTGAAGGTTTGAGTACATGTCCGACAAATCGTGTGTGTCCGTCTGGTTCATGAGAAAGCAAAGACTTGGTTGCTAATTTCCGTTAAAGCAAAGAAAAAGAGTATCCTCCCGGCAAGTTAAAGAAAAGGGATACAAAGACAGTGTTATAAAAAAAAAGGGCAGAGAAAATATTGCCCAAAAAAAATAAGCACCCAAGGCGGGAGTCGAACCCGCAATCTTTTGATTAGAAGTCAAACGCGTTAACCATTACGCTACCCGGGCGATCGCTGACAATTTTGGGGCTATGTCTAATATGAGAGTACAAATGTTCGCGAAATTGGTTGGACAACAGCCAATTTTCGCAAACAACCAATCACAGCTAATTAATTGTAATTATCCACGGCTGCCCTGGTAAATCTACCGGGGATTTTTTTTTCCTCACGTCCTACTCGGCAGGCTCCACCGCACAAATTTATAAGAAAAACAATCTAGAAAAGTTTTCAATTGTAAGCACATAAGTCGTCAATGTTGTCCAGATCTTTTACTAGAGGCCTCAAGGCTAACATGGGATTGGCCTCCCAGGTTAGAGCTTTGTCTTCCACACAAACCGCTCTGAAGTCCACCTACGATTCTCCGGATTTCACCCACTACCTCAACAAATCCAAAGAAACCAATGACAAATCGAGAGTTTACACCTACTTCATGGTGGGCTCGTACGGATTGGTTTCTGCTGCTGCCGCCAAGTCTACCGTTGAGGCCTTCTTGACCACCATGACTGCTTCCGCAGATGTGTTGGCCATGGCCAAGGTGGAGGTGAAGTTGAGTGCCATTCCTGAGGGAAAGAACGTTGTTGTGAAATGGCAAGGTAAGCCAGTTTTCATCAGACACAGAACACAATCCGAGATTGCCGAGGCCAACGAGGTGGATATCTCTTCTCTTAGAGACCCTCAGAAGGATGCCGACAGAGTCAAGAACCCAGAGTGGTTGATCATGTTGGGTATCTGTACCCACTTGGGTTGCGTTCCTATTGGTGAGTCCGGAGACTTTGGGGGATGGTTCTGCCCATGTCACGGTTCCCACTACGACATTTCTGGTAGAATTAGAAAGGGACCGGCTCCATTGAACCTCGAAATCCCTGAATACGAATTCTCCGATGAATCTACTTTGGTTGTTGGTTGATTACAGGGACACATCGAATGTATAAAGTTACAAACAAACGCAGAAAATTAGCATCCAACAGGATTCTAGTAATAGAATATTATCCTCTTTATTTGCTTTGGTAGTTGTTCTTTTTTTAAAAAAATCACACGTAGGTTTATGGAGCTTTCTCAACCTCCGTCTTCTGGGTCCACCGTTACGTCCTGGAAAGACTCTTTCGACGCTTCAGAACGAACAAGAAAGCAGATCAAGCGGTTCGCCGAGTTCCATACCGTCGATTGGCTTCATGAGTCTCTATTGGAAAATAAAAACTATTATGATGCCATCCATTCAAAAGTTCAATACCATGGCTCTTTCCAAGACAGATTGAAAACTTTCACCGCCAAATTCGTGGTTTCCATACAGAGCTGGATAGTTTTGACCATCATGGGCGTCTGTATCGGGCTTATAGCGGCCGCTATCAACATCCTTACTGAATGGCTTGGAAACTTCAAGACAGGGTATTGCAAAACAAACTTCTATCTGAACCAGGAGTTCTGCTGTTGGGGAGAAGAAGAGGACTGTGAAAGTTGGCAACGATGGTCAGATCACGCAATTCTCCGATATTTGATCTTCATTTTCATCTCTGTCACATTCGGTACTATCGCAGCTCTCCTCTGTCGCGCATACGCACCTTCGGCCGCTGGATCGGGAATCTCGGAGGTCAAGTGCATTGTCTCGGGGTTTGTGATGGACGGGTTTCTTGGATGGTGGACTCTGATTATCAAATCTATCGCATTACCCTTGGTTATATCTTCGGGACTCAGTGTGGGGAAAGAAGGACCCAGTGTTCATTATGCTGCTTGTGTTGGTAACGTGATACCCAAACTGTTCAAGCGGTTTGGACGATCTTACTCGTCGCTCTCCCAATTTCTGACCGCAGGATCGGCTGCCGGAGTGGCTGTTGCATTTGCTTCCCCGATCGGAGGAGTTTTGTTTTCCATCGAGGAAATCACTTCAAACTTCAAACTCTCCACGCTCTGGAAGAGCTACTATTGTGCATTGGTGGCCACGGGCACTCTTTCGGCGATGAACCCTTTCAGAACGGGTCAGATCGTCATGTTCGAGGTCAAATACGAGTCTTCGTGGAAATATTTCGAAATACCCTTCTTTATGATTCTGGGAGTCTTTGGCGGAGTTTATGGTATCGTGGTGGCTAAACTGAACATCAAGGTCGTTGCATTTAGACAGAAGTATCTATCGAACCATGCCATTCGCGAAGTTGTCTTGCTGTGTCTTTTCACCTCTGCGATTGGGTATTTCAATGAGTTTAGCAGACTTGAAATGAGTGAAGGAATGCAGATATTGTTCCACGAATGTGGAGGCGAGTTTGACCATTCGTTGTGCAAAATCGAGAAAAACGTTGGTTTGCGATTCAAGTTCTTTGTGAGTCTCATCTACGCAACATTGTTGAGAGTCTTTCTTGTTGTGATCTCGTACGGTTGCAAGGTGCCGTGTGGTATATTTGTTCCGTCCATGGCAGCAGGAGCCACGTTTGGTCGTGCTGTTGGTTTGCTGGTGGAAACACTCAACCCGTGTACTGGTGCAAACGAGGGGACTTGTACGATATCCGGAACATATGCCTTTTTGGGAGCTGCTGCTGCGCTGAGTGGTATCACACACTTGACATTGACGGTGGTTGTGATTATGTTTGAACTGACCGGTGCGAACCGGTACATTATTCCAACCATGATTGTGGTTGGAGTGACCAAGATCATCAACGACAAATGGGGAATTGGGTTCGGAGGAATTGCAGACCAGATGATCAAGTTCAACGGAATACCATTTTTGGACCCAAAGGAAGAGCACGATTTCGAGGACCACAAGATCACTGACTGTATGGCCGACCAGGTGGTCACTTTGCCGGCCACGGGAGCAACTTACAAAGACCTGGAGCAAGTTTTGGCAGAAACACCGTTCCAAACGTATCCGATTGTTGCTGAGGACGGGACCACTGTTCTAGGACTTGTGAAACGGACGGATCTGTTGCTTGGACTGAACCACCACAAACACAAACGCAACATGGTGATCCCATTGGACACTCCGGTGTGTTTTGTTTCGCAAACCAGGGCTGACGACGAGTCGGACATGCTCAAGCTCGAGACCTATGTGGATCACCAGTACTACCGGATCAACATCAACAGTTCCTTCAACACGTTGCTCAACATTTTCATGAAACTTGGGCCCAAACTGGTGGTTGTTGAGGATTTCGGCAAGCTTTCCGGGATCATCTGCCGTAAGGATCTGATCATGTTTGAATTACACCTTCATCAACACAAACACGAAGACATCTTTGTGACCGACTCTGACGAAAAATTATTTGCTCTTGTTTGGAAATTTGCAAACTGGATTCATGATAAAGCGTTCGCATTAGTCCATCGTAAGCGGCAACCAATTGTTGTTTTAGATTTGGATGAATAAATCATTTAATAGACGAAAGAAATTTTTCCCCCCTGAAAAAAAGGGGGCATTAGGCATTAGTGGGAGTTTTTAGTGTAACCGCCGGGATTTAGTTTCAAAATATAAGACCCTGTTCCCTGCGAGATTTTGTTTCACTTGCATCTACTAAAATGTCGATGAACGGATGCGATGTCGAACCTTCAACGACTTCTCAGTCCAAGAACCTTATCCTATGTTTTGATGGAACCGAGAACAACTTCAACACAACGGTCGAGACCAATATCCTCAAGCTGTACAAAATGTTGGAAAAGGGGTCCAGAAAACAGATGTGCTATTACCAGCGTAAGTTTATTTAGGGGGTTTTATTTGTTGATTAACCAGATAGCCGGCATTGGGAACGATATCAGAAGTGGGTTTGAGGAGTTTAGAGATGGGGGTTGGTTTTCCTCCTTGTTTGAGAATATCAAGTCGGATATTGACGACTGGATCGCATTCAGTGTTGATTACCATGTCATCAAGGCATACACGTATCTGATGCGCTACTACGTTGAAGGAGACAAGATCTATCTGTTTGGGTTCAGTAGGGGCTCGTTTATATCACGAATTCTTGCCGGCATGATTGAACGGATCGGATTACTGAACCAAGGCTTGGAGGTGATGGTGGGCACTGCATGGGAAATCTACCGCAAATGGGAGGAACATGGCCAGCCAATTGGTCATGAGTGGACAAATTCAAGCGCAAATGTGTTCAAAAAGACGTTTTGTCGGGAGAAAGTGGACATCAAGTTCATGGGGCTGTGGGATTCTGTCAACTCCTGTGGAATCATAAGGGACAGACTGTTTCCGTACGCGTCAGTCACTCACCATGTCGAACATGTAAGACATGCGGTCAGTATTGACGAACGGCGTGCAAAGTTTAAACAGAACCTGTTTATTCCCCATTCATACCTACCTTCATTATTTACCCTCAATTGTGTTGACGAAGATGACCATCAACTAGATGACGACTTCGGTACCGACGAACTTACAGAATCGTCGCATTTGCTGCCTGTTGAGGCAGACTATGTCAACAGAACTAATGCCTATGCGTCCCGTTTGGTAGCCAGTCCTAACGATCTGGTGGAGCTCTGGTTTCCCGGCGACCACAGCGATGTTGGTGGCGGATGGATCAACGATCTGGACGGTCATTCGGTTGCTAATCTACCGTTCAGATGGATACTGGCGTCGGCGATCGAGTTGGGAGTCCTGTTCAAACGTAACTCTGTCCACGAGTTTGCTACCAAGTTTTCCAGCTTGGATAGCTTGTTATCGTGCCACCATGATTGTCTGCACCTAAGACGTCGGAAACCTGTTAACCACAACCTGAAATGTTTGAAAGCGTCTACACCATTGCTTTATACCACAACATCTGCTGCTCTCGCCAGCAGTGCACAAATCACTTCCATTTCTGAAGAAATGAGTGCTCTGTCCAACGACGACCTGTTTGCCAACCCTTCCAAGAACATCACCGAGCTCCCATCACACACAGTGTCCCGCTTTGACGGGAGAGGAACCGACACAGCGAAAAGATGTTTATTCTGGTGGCTTGTGGAGGTTCTTCCTGTTGGATATTTCGTGGAAAATAAGAACGCCAAATGGAGACGGATCTACTACCCGAATTTTGGCCGTCGAAGAAGTCTTCCACGTACCGCGCGGCTGCACTGGACGACACTTTGGCGAGCCAAGGTGATCGACGATTATTTCCCGGAAAACTTGCCCGAAAAGTACAAACCGTTGTTTGAGCTTGTCAAGGCTGAAAACGAAGGGGTTGACGATATGGACGACGACTGCGATTGTCAAGTGATTACAAACGAGAACTTGATTGATAGAACAACAGGGGAGATCAGGGCAGACTGTCTGGTCTGTGATCCGGACAAAAAGATACGTTTGGAGATCCGATGGAACGAGATCCCCGACGACCTTGCATTCTGGCTAGATAAAGACCACAATTTATAGATTGCCTTGCAGCACCTAGATTTATTTATTCCTTAAATAAGAATGGAATTGTTGAAATGACAGGATGGAGAGCTTAACAGGTAACGTCCTGGGTAGCTCTGGAGTTGAGCAAAAGAGCAACAATCAAACCGTAAAGACCCAACACTTCGGCAAAAATAAGGATCAAAATCATACCAACGAACAATCTAGGTTGTTGAGCGTTACCTCTCACACCAGCATCACCAACAATACCGATAGCAAAACCAGCAGCCAAACCGGAAAGACCAACAGACAAACCGGCACCGAGCTGGATGAAACCTGTGTAGAGAGCCTGTTGCTGTTTAAGAGAGGATGAGATCAAGACCGACACCACCAAACCGTAAATGGCAATGATACCGGCCATAATGACTGGAACGGTGTTCTTAATCAAGAGATCTGGTCTCAAAACACAGGTGGCACAGATACCAACACCGGATTTAGCAGTACCGTAGGAGGCACCGAAACAGGTGAAGATAATAGCGGCAGCGCAACCAATGGAGCCAAAGAATGGGGCGTAAACAGGACTGGTAAATGTTAGAACTGGGTTTGCAGTCTTGTTTGCTAGCGATTCAAGTCAATTGGTGGAAATTGCACTTGTTTGTGCTGCTAAGCGAGACTGATTGCGAATTTGTGTACTTACCAAAGGTCAGACATTTTTGAGTTTGGAAAATGATCTATTAGATGATGCTAGCTCGTTTATGCGTAGACAGAAGCTAAATTGGAGCTAAATAAATGTTCTTTGACAACAGATATTCAATTGACACCTATATTTCCAAGTCTCATATTTTTTCTGATTATTGGGTGCTGCTTCGGGTCGTGCATGGGCACATAACCATTATCACGAGGAGCTGCACGGAAAGGAGGTGTGTGGTTGGGGGTATGGGACGGTCTATGGAGGGGCAAGGCTGGAAGGAGATGGTGTCAGGCTGACTGGGTGGTCTATGGCGAGGGGACAGCTGACGTTGACGGGGTGGAGGTGTTCAAAAGGAGCTCGGAATTGGTGAGACTTGTAGACTCGACATCTGTACGGGCAAAACTACACTGCAGACGGTGTCTCACGCTGATTGTCAGCCTTTGTTTCTACGATTGGCGGTGTTGCCCCGTCCGACGATGTCAGGTTGCACCGGTAGCAGTTTCATCCAGCACGACAGATTTTTTTGTCGCGAAAAAAATCATAACAACACTCATGGTAAGTCTTCTTCTTCCCAGTGCTAACAATTAGTCTCTTTTGTACAACACCGCCATCAAACAGACACAGCAGTTGCGAAAAGACCTGGATCAGTTCGAAAAGGACCCGGTTGGCGCTCAACTGTCGTTGATTGGACAGATCACAACAACTACAACCAACCTGTCTAGAACCCTTCAAGACTATGAGGACTACATTGTCAAGCAAACGTTGAGTTTGAACGAAACACAGAAGATCAAGAACGAAAACAGACTTTCGAGTCTGAAAAACGAGTTGCTAGAGTACAAACTAAAGGCCCAATCGTTGAAGAAACAGCGAGAAGAAGGTCTTGCTGAAGTTAATAGAAACCAGCTGTTCACGAACCGGTCCACGGCCATCTCCGACAACCCGTACGAAGAAACGGGAGTGTCGTCGGTGACAAATAGAGTCGGCCAAAGTCGACAGGAACAGTACTCGGGACTCTCGATGCAAGAAGGGTTGCAGAAAGAACAGTCTATTTTGGAAAAGTCCAACCAACAGCTGGACGATATCCTAGAAATGGGCAGATTAGCGTTCGACGATCTTGTTGAACAGAACGAGGTTGTCTTGAAGATGAAGGACAAGATGTCATCAAGTCTTCAAACTCTTGGAGTTTCCAACGCTACCATCAGACAGATCGAGAAAAAGGCATTTGAAGATAAATGGATTTTTTACGTTGGAGCTGCTCTCACGTTCTATGTCATGTACCTGATTTGGAGATATCTGGGCTGATCTTGCCAATCAAGGGCTCCAAGGCCTGCGGTAACGTTTCTGCGCTGTCTCCAATAAACTCCCAGCAATCATCGTCATATTCGTCGCTTTCTGTGTTGAAGATGGCCACTTTTCCACCTTGGTTCCTCACTATATCCACATACGAAGCAGCAGGCCAGACCACTCTGGAGGTTCCAATCACCAGGATCAGGTCCACGGTGTTTCGCACAATGAACTCGTCAGCCTTGTCGATCATCTGAAGCGGTAAAGACTCTCCGAACCACACCACTGCGGGTCTCAAAAGTCCTTCTTGACAGGCTGGACAATGCGGAAGGTCTTTCTCTTCGACGTACGGCAACTGATCCAAATCTTGGAACTTGTCCACTTCCAATGCATCACACAACGGGTCGTCATAGTTGTTTTTTTCCTGATACGAGCAACTGAAGTTGGTACATCTCAGGCCGAAAAGCGATCCATGAAATTCTAACAACTTGCTGGGTTCATGATTGCTTCGTTGGGACAATCCGTCAACGTTCTGTGTAATTGTAAGAAAATTAATCTCTGTTGAGGTACTCAGAGCAGATAATGCGTAATGGCCCGGGTTTGGGCTGGCGATCAATGCTCTATGCCGTCTGTAGGCGTAGAACTGCCAAACCAGGCCAGGATCGTCCAGGAAAGCATCGGGAGTGGCCAAGTCGATGGCGTTGTATTTCTTCCACAGTCCGCCAGATCCGCGGAACGTCGATAGTCCGGAAGAAGCAGACAGTCCTGCTCCGACCAATGCAAGGATAGTTTTACAATTAGGAGACTTCAAGAAGCTGTGGAAAGTTTCCAAATTGTACATTGCGGACGTTGAGGAGCGGCGATTGGCTGAGTGTTCAATGTCGTGACTGTCTCCATCGTTATTCTGTGTATGCTGCATTAATGAAACTGTTCAAATTTCATATCAGTCTTGTCAATCAGTAATGCTTGCCAATATCGATAAAAATGAAAATCTGTCTGTCAAAATAAGATTGTGCACGCAATGAGAATTTTCCCAGCCTTTTTTTCTCAAAGAAAAAAAAACAAACTGGGAATCAAACCAAACTTGTTTTTTCATCCCATAACGAGAAATCAAATCTGAACTATTTTCATAGAGGAAAAAAGTTGCACGGTGCAAAAATACGTGTTTTTGCTAATAATTGTACCTTTTTCCCTTTGAAGATCACGATTGCCCTCCAACTTTCTGTGGAAACGTGGTTATTTCAGAGATTTTAAGTCAAAATGGCTCCCAACGATAGAAGGCATGTTTCCGAGCAGGAAAAACGCTCGATGGCATCCAAATTCACAGAGTTCATGGACGAGATCCTTGCATTGCAGGATTCTGAGGGAAACGAGTTCTCCGAGATGTTCCAAGTTCTTCCCTTACGTGCCAACACAGATTATTATAAAGTGATCCGTAAACCAATGTCCTACTCGAAAATTAGATCCACCATCAAAGGAAACAAATATTCCCATCCACAGCAATTTATTAACGACATTGTGCAAATATCGTGGAACGCCCGGTTCTATAACGAGAAAACGTCTGTTTACTACGAATGTGCCACGGTTCTTGATAACTATATCCAACAAACCATCATCCCAACTATTAAAAAGGATACGTCGATTCCAGCACATTCAGACGTGTATTATCCCAACCTCGGAGCTCTGCCAGGAGAGGAAGACAACTTTGCAATGCCAATGGCCTCGCCAACTCCTCCGCCAGCCACACGCCAGTCTAAATCCAGAGGGGAATACGACGACGACGACTACGAAGAGGAAGACGTGGACGAAACAAGAAACCAGGATGACGATTACCAGGATGACGATTATCAAGAACCAAGCGTGAATTCCAACGCTCTTACACGTCAGCAGACTCCAGTCAACTCCTATTCGGGAGGATACAGCCAAGCTGGACTGCCTAATTATAATCCATCCAACTATGTCTCCAAGACAGAACGGGCTCCTCAGTCAAACTACTATTATCCACCAACCCGGAACGTTGCCAAGTCGAATGAGCAGCTGTTGGAAAACTGGGTCAAACGAGGAAGACCTCCGATTGTGGACCAGCCACACGAGCAACGTATTAAAAGTATCATGAGAGGACTCAAGAAGATCAAGGTTAACGGTAAGACCATCATCACTGTTTTTGACAAGCTGCCAAACCAGCAGGACCACCCGGAATACTACCGGATTGTCAAAGAGCCAATTTCCATGCTGGACATCAAGGGATTGATCAAACAGAGACATTACCAAACAGTGGATGCGTATATGGCCGATGTTTTCAAGCTGATTGCCAACTCCAAGGCGTATTACACAGCGAACTCGGCCATGCTCAACAACGTGCATCTTCTTGAGTCGAACATCACCAGACTGTACCATATTGAAATGCAAAAGCCAGACAGCGATTACGGAGACGTTGTGACTTCGAAAGTCCCTGTTCCGTTTTTGGTGTACGAAGGAAGAACTTATAAAGTCGGTAACTGGGTCATGTTGAAGAATCCAAACGATCCAAACAGACCAATTGTTGGACAAGTTTTCAGAATGTGGCAGGAGCACGGAAAGAGCTACGTGAACGTTTGCTGGTACTACATGCCAGAATGGACGTCTCACAGTTACGACCGGTTGTTCTTGGAAAACGAGGTGTTCAAGACTGGTCAGTACAGAGACCATCCTGTTGAGGATATTGTGGGTCCATGTTATGTTGCGTACTTCACAAGATGGCTCAAAGGTGATCCGGCTGTCAAGTACGAAGGTCCGCTGTTTATCTGTGAGTTCAGATACAGCGACAGAGAATTGTCTTTTGCCAAAATTAGAACATGGAGAGCTTGTTTGCCTGACGAGGTCAGACACATTGAAGACCCGGTGACGCCTATCGACCGGCCAAGAGTGTTGAAAAAGTTCCCTTCGCCAATCAAGTATATGCTTCCACCGAACGCTGTGCCGTCCGAAAAGCCACCACCACCAACGATTTTGAATTTGAATGCTCCGCCGTTGGTTGGAGGTATCCACATTTTTGAGCCAACTCCAGACAGCGAGCCTCATGACGATCCGAACTACTACGACGGTTCGTTGAAGAGCAACGAGTACAAAACGTACGTTCCACCGTCTCCTAATATTAGACTGCCGATGCTTCACTCTGACCAAAGTCCTCCGCCCCAGAATATGCCTATGCCTCCTAACTCGTCTGGATATCCGTCCTCGATGTCGAACATGCAGCCGTTTAACTTTCAGTCGCCGTACCAGAACAACGGCACCCAGTACAACAACTACCAGAGCCAGCCGTCTGTTCCGTCGTACGGTACCGTTTATGGTGGCAAGAAGGTTGTGCAAACGTCGTACAACAATCTGGCATACCAGTACTCTCCGTTCAACCCACCTTCTTACTGCCAGTCGTTTATTTTGCCAACCACGCAGGAGTTCAAGATGCCGAAAGCTGTTCGCGAGCGGTTTGAACGCATTGACAGTACTAATTTCCAGAGATTTACCAAGAATCTTGCACAGAACAACTACTTGAATGGGTCGATCGACTCGATGAGCAAGCCCGAGGACTATCCGGAAGACGAGCTGACGCCGATGGTGTGGTACCGGGGTCCACCGCAGTACATTCCTACAAGAATCATTTCTGAAGAAGACTTTGGCGACCAAGACCAGGATCTTCCGTTTATTAAGAAGAAACGTGTGGGCGAGGCAATCCAGCCCGTGCGTCTGGGCCACAGCGCAAAGTATCTGGCCTGGAAATTGGCTGCATCCAATAGCAACGGCACTACTGCCTAGAAATTATATAGAGTGCGTGCCTGTTTCAATAAAATGTACAATATGAAGGAGATCCGCGCGACGCGATAGCTAGATGTCCGCGCCGCACAGGTATTTTTCTATTTATCCTTCACGCCATTTCTTGGGAACGGCTGAATTTCAAAAAATGCAAGTAAATTTGAATTCACGGTGGTCGGTTCTATAAAGCGAATGCAGAAGGGAAGAAGTGTACAAAGAACGAATGACTAGTTGGCATAGATTCCCCAGTACTGTTCAACGCCGTAAGATCCAGCGTCTTTCCAGTAGTCGTCATAGGTGGTGAACATGATCACCTGGTCGGCCACGCTTTCGACAATAGCCTTGACAGCAGTCAGCTGGTTCTCGGTGGATGGAACAGCGTACTGTCCGTAGGTGTCACCTTTAGTAGGCCAGCCGGTTTCGGTAATCAAAACAGACTTGTCGCTTCCACAGGCGTCTTTAAGAATAGAGATCTGGTTTTCTAACCAGGTTCCAGAGTCTTCTGGCTTAACGGATCCGGCCCAGTATGGGTGAGCGTTGGCAGCAATGAAGTCAGAAGCGTCACAAAGGTCGCTGCTGCCCTGGTATGCTCCCACGGTATCAACAGTAACCACTTTTCCGGACCAGCCTTTAGAAGAAAGCAGTTTTCTACCGGTGGAAACAGCACTAGCAACGTCCGAGGCAGAGTGTTCTCCGGATTGGACCCATTCGTTTCCGATCGACACGGCATAGATGGCGTCCCAGCCTTCACTGCTGCCGGTCACTTGCTCTGCAAGAGTGTCGATATCGTCGGAAAGACTGTCATAGTTGTAGATACCAGCAAAAATCTTTTGGCCAGAACCCTTGCTGTTGAGGATGTTGGTGACACAGGAGCAGTCAGGAGCGTAGACTCTGATGATGTCGTAGGACGTGAGCTTGGCAATGTCGCTGGAGACCTCGTCGGCGGACTTGCACGAGCCGGAGTCGGTGTAAGGAGAGTAGGTGATACCTTTTCCTTGCTCTGCGTAGTACTCGACAGATCCAGACGAGGCAGAGGAGCTTGGAGCGGAGGCAGAGGAGGAGCCGGAGGAAGAGTAGGCTGGGGAGCTGGAGCTTGCCGAGCTGGCAGAATAGCTGTTAGAAAAGCCGGAGCCAGTGGTGGAAGTGCTCAAAGTGGTAGCACTGAACGAAACAGAGCCAGAGTCCGAGGCAGACGAAGCAGAAGCAGTCTGGGTAGAGGAAATGAGGTTTCCGTTCTGGTCGAGGAACTCGGTGACCACCACAGTGACGGCCGCGTCTCTCTTAGCGTGTTGATGGTGCTGGTGGATAGGGGAAGCCACAGCAGAGACTGCTAGTAAGGAATAAAGGATGGATCCAGCCAACATAAGGAACGAACTAGACGTAGAAGGAATGCAATGAGAGTGTTGATGAATTACCCCTGAGAGATGATAAAGAAAGGTGGTAACTAGACAACACTTAGTATTTATACTTGAGGCAATTTGGCTACGCCTTAGATTCCGAAACACGTACAACTCATTTTTTGGTAGCAGGGGTAAGCCGCATTTCTCCTGTAGACTCCTGCAACTTTTTCATAGTGATTCGAGATGGTTTGTGCAGCAGATGAATGATTTTCCTTTCTGTGTTTGTTTTTCGTGCGTCTAGATCAATGCAAACAGTTTGCATAAAACACGCTAGTTAAAAAAACTCCTGCAAATTTTGCACGCTTTGCTGCGAAAAATCTGGTTCCTCCCAGATTGCATCTGGGCTGTATACATTTTGAAAGCCTCCCTACTCCTTTCACGCAAAAAATCGATCGCGATTCTAGATTGTTGTCCGTGTTGGTTACAATGCTTGGCCGTTTTCCGCAGGCTGTGCTGGCCGTCTGGATTTATGACATAATACTCTTCCTGATCTGGTAATGTTCAACGCACAATATATGGAGGGACAGATTTACCTTGACCAAGCGGTTTCTTATTTCTAGGACCTGGCCAGCTTTGAAACGGCTTTCCTACTAAGCCCAGGGAAGCTCTGTCATAAAAACGGCGTTCTCGGGCAGTTCAGGGGTGCTTGGCAGCTGGTTTGGCTGATTTGGCTGATCTGACCAATATCCACCGTTTCGAACAAGCTCGAGTCCGGCCAAACCCAAATTTCCCCCAGATCAACCTCATATGCACTCCACTGGTCTCCTGGGCTTCGTGTGGACCGCCTCTCGCTACTCTTGCGTCTGTGCAAGGCATCCTGTTCAACACGCTCATTCTGAAACATCCAGGAGTCGCACCAGCCACACATGTTTTTCGCGTCCGTGGCGAAGAAAATTAAATCATATTTACGACCAGTCTCCAGTTATGATCCCGCTTTAGTCTCCATGAAAACTCAAGTCCCGCCCTCTTACAGCCATCTGGAACACTCCGAATACTCGGAGTACCAGATTCTTTACACTAATGAAACAACAAAGAAACACAAAGTCTGGCACGACGGTACTATGCGACTGTTCAAGCTTAACAAGAAACTCATAGTTTACGACGAAGACCGCATCGAGGTTTACTCAGACTTCCTCAACTCGTATCCGCGTTATAGTGTTGATGATCTGGTCAAGTTTGAGTCCATCTGGGTCATGATCGACGGCGTTTTGAAGGTGTACGAAAGAGACGTTTCCAAACAGATGCAGAACCTCAACGCCAACGACCTGAACATCCGTGCGCACGAAAAACGGCCCCACAAGGCCCAGACGCAGCCTATGCCCGAGCCCCCGCGCAAAAACAAACGGGTTTTAGGTCTCATGCGTACCAAACCCTGCTCTTTACCGACGCAGCCTCTCGGTCGTAAACGACGCTTCCACGACTATGGAATCCAAAAGAGATCCAAACCAGACAATTATATCCAACGTGCGATCGAAAAATTCACACAAACAGACACTTCTTTCGGGATCCCCGAGTCCCAGCGCTCAGACACCCTGTCGCTGGCCAGCGACGCTACTTTGGCGCTGGTTTCGCCATTAACCTCGCACAAATTACAATCCGCCATCTCTGTGAGCTCGTCATCGATGTCGACGCACCCGATCCGCTCTTCCAACACCTCGCTCTCGTCTCATTCCGGGTATACGCCGGCCACGCGGCAACGGTCGCTGCGAATCAACCGCAACTCGCAGGAGTCCGTGGTGGTGGAAAAACCAATGGTGTTTTCGAGATTCAACTTCACTGGTAGCAGCGCGCTTTCCAGCGGGTCAATAAGAGACGCAAGCCCGCTTTTTGAGTACGAACAAAGCACCAAAGAGCCGCTGCGAAACTACAGAACACCCACGCCATGCGATATCCCATTCTCGATATTCGACACGATGGGCGGTAACCATTAGTCTAGAACGATTTCATTCAGTTTATTTAAAGAACCATGGTCTGTGCGAAGCGCATCCCGGTAACCAACCGATAATCTATATCTAGTGGTTGAGTTTCTTGTCCAGTCTGGCAGCCTGGTTGTGCTCTCTCCAAATGAGAAGAGGAACAGCGTTAGAGGTGAAGATCTTCACCACAGGAAACGAAGAAAGCAGGCCGTTCAACGCAGACAACGCTGGTGTTCTGTTGAGTCTCTCAGCAACCCAAGCTTGTTGTTCCATCTCTTTAGATCTGTCGTACGTCATAATATAGTGATAAGTGTTGAAGTCAAGTAATTCAGCAAAGTGTAATGTAACGCTCACTTGTTGCAGGCGCTTCCAATATATATCCTCTACTTTATCACGGCGGTGCGGCGACGGTGTCTTAATTTTTTAGAGCTTGCTGGTGAGCTCCGGCACGATCTCAAACACGTCTCCAACAAGACCCACGTCTGCAACCGAGAAGATAGGGGCCTCTTCGTCCTTGTTGATGGCCACAATGGTCTTGGCATCCTTCATTCCAGCAAGGTGCTGGATGGCTCCCGAAATACCAACAGCAATGTACAAATCTGGTGCAACAACCTTACCGGTCTGTCCAACCTGCAGCGAGTTGTCGCAGAAGCCAGCGTCAACTGCAGCTCTGGAAGCTCCGATGGCTGCGTTCAATTTTTCGGCCAATGGGTTGATGATCTTGTCGAACTCTTCTTTATTCTTCAACCCACGGCCACCGGAAACAACAACCTTGGCCGATCCCAGGTCTGGTCTCTCGCTCTTGACGATCTCCTCAGACACAAACTCGGCTCCGTTTCCACCCTCGACAAACGAAACGTCCTCGACAGCAACGTCGCTTGCGCTTCCCAGCTCAACTGGAGCGAAAGCAGAGCTTCTCACAGAAACAAGCACTTGGCTGTCCTTGGACTTGACTGTAGCAAGAGCGTTACCGGCATACGTTGGTCTCACAAAAGTGTCTGTGCTGACCACTTTGATGATGTCGGAAACAGGCTGCAAATCAAGCAGAGCACCCACTCGAGGCAGAAAGTTCTTTCCAACGGCAGACGCAGCAACAACAAAGTTGGTGTACTCGGAGTCTTTCAACAAACTAGCCACTAATGGAGACACTTGCTCCGGCAAGTAATGGTCGTATTTTTCCGACGAGGACGTGACGATCTTGTCGATAGAAGACACCTTCTTGACCTCGTCCACGGCACCCTTGGCCTCGGTACCAACAAGCAGAGCTGTGATTGGGTTACCAAGCTGCTGGGCAGCCCTTAAAGCCGAAAGCGACGAAGGAGTGATTTTCGAGCCAGAGGTCTCGACAAACGCCAAAGTGGCTTTGGATCTGCCCAATGCAAACCCAACCGGCGACGAAACAAGCTTTCTCACGGCAAACATCGAATTCTCAAGGATATATAATTTTTCTAAACCAATTTAGACGTTTGTACCTCGATATTTTTCAGCGGATAAATCCCAACTAAGAAAAAAAAAATGATTTAAATGATTATATAAGCGGATATACAAGCATTTGGCTATGCTAGCTTTTGTCTCTTAAGCGAGTTTTGGAACTCAGAGTCGAGTTTCTGCTGAAGGGAGTCGTTTTCCAGCGACATGGATCCAACCACTTGTTGCTGGCCGGGCGTTTCCTGAGAATTGCCGGTCTTGTTCATCGGATTGAATGGATCACTGACCGGATAAATTAACTTTTTATCAATCTGGTGTTTCTCTAAAATCATGTAGAGATCATGTTTGGTGAACGGTTTGGCAAGAATGTCTGTCATTCCATGGTTCAGGTACGTCACCAGGTCCTGGTGCTGATAGTTTCCTGTCATGGCGATAATTGGAGTGTCCATATCAAAGGATCTGATCACAGAGGTGGCAGATGCTCCATCGAGGTTGGGCATGACAATGTCCATCAAAACGAGGTCGAACTTCACTTTTTCGAGCACGTTGATCGCAGCCAGTCCGTCAGTGACAACCTCCACTGTGCATCCGTACTTCATGAGGAACTTGCTGCACAGTTGGATACAAACATCGTCGTCCTCCACCAGAAGAACATGCATACCGGATCCCGGTGGCCTTCGGACAATTCTGTTGTCTTGTTGTGGCTGTTGTTGCTGCGGTTGTGGCACTTTGGATGCTTCTGGAGGGGAGATGAACTGATGAGAATCCTGGGCTGGCTCAACGGACGTTTGAACAGGTCCGTTGGCATGAGGGTTCTGTGTCTGAGATTGTTGGTCGGCAAAGGGGAGGTTCAAAGGAGGCAGGTCAACTCCTATTTGACTCAACGACTTGGCAATGATACTGATCGACCTGGAATACGACTCGTTTATAGACTTGGAGGTGAGGAAACTCGAAACCATGGTGTTGTACTTTGTGTTCAATATGTTGAGGTCATCGTGCAGCTTCTGCACGGTCTCGGTAAGCGACTGGTTCTGCTTCTCAAGAAACCCGAAATTGTCCTGTAAATTCCGAAACTGCGAAATTGAAACTGTGTTTGAAGAAGCGTTTGACACATCTCCGTCTTTTTTGGTGGTCACTTTTCTTTTGATGTTCTCGAGAGCGTCTCTGTTGTTTCTTTGGAACTCGGGATGTTTAAACTCCCACACATTCTCAATGCTGTATCTCTGCTTGAGCTCGTTACTTATCTTGACCTTGTGGAAATCGTATTTATTCAACTGGCGAACAAAAGAAGCGAAGTTACTGTGTTTAAAATGCTTTGGTAGAACCTGTTTGGTAAATTCGTTTGTATCGGCAATAATGAACGAGTCACCAGTATCGGACCATCTCACAATGTCACTGTAAGAATTCTCCTCCAACATTTGAAAAAGCTTCTTGACAAAGTCCGTACCGGATGATTTAGGCACACTGACATCCTTAGTGGGAGGGGACGGTACTTCGCTAACCCCAAACGGTTCTGTCTCCAGTTTGAAATCCGCCATATCCTCCAAACTCATGACAATATTATGCAATTAAAACACTATAGTGTATTCTCTTGGTGGTTGATACAAGCGGACTGTGGAAATATATTATAATTCACTAACATTTACTTGCACACAGGTTTATTTTAGCAACATACTATAGAGAATTAACCTTTGCACGACTTTCTTGGGGTTGTTCTAAGCGAGAGAAAATTTGGCATTTCGAGCGTATCTGGGGAAGAGCAAATGATTACGACATTGGATAGTATTGTCAATCATATAAACCGGCTATATTATTTTGGAGGAACATTAAGCTGAAATTCCATCAGGCCTTGTTTCATGTCTTTGTAAATCTTTGGCTCAAAAGGTGCAACGTTATTTTTTGGGAACTTGGTGATGGATTTCTGGAACTCGGAGTTGTGTTTCAGGTCCCCCGCCATGTCCTGTAATTGTTTCTGTTGTGATGGTTTGGCCGATTTCTTGTATTTCGAGCTTGTCAATGAAACAGACGAGATGGAAGATGACGAAGTGGTTGGTCTGACACCGAATTTTGACACCGACGCAGACAGAGGACTAGTTAATGGGGTCATGACCGACGACGTAGGTGTAGCGATACTGTTGCGACGCGAATGTGTTTGAGAGAAGGTCGGAGGAGGCTCACTGACAAACTTCTGTTGTTGCGAGTAGATAATGAATGTTGGTTTCGAAGACAACGGGGTCTGCTGCGCGCTTGCAGTCGGCGACGTCGAGCTCGGAATCGAGGAATTGATCGAGTAATTAGAAGATATCGTCGAGCTTGAAGAGAGTGAGCACGCAGACGAGTTGTTGGTCGGCATTTTGGGAGCAGCTTCGAAAACGAATGAAAACTGCTTGGCGGATTTGTCTTTGGAATGAACAGCGGAGCTTGTTTGCTTTTTGGGCGTCGATGGGAGAGATTTTCTCGTGCTGACAGGAGATCCAGATCCGTTTCTTGGGTTTCTGGCCTTTGTTGTCGTAGCAATGGCAGCTGCCGACGAGAAAGACGGCGAGTTGTACTTTCTTTCGGGAACGTTCCGAGAAGATATGGCAGCAGCAGCGGCTGCTGTGGCCATCTGTGTCGTCGACAGTGTCTTTTTCAGCTTGTGGGCTGGTTTTGGAGGAACCTTGATGGCCTTTGGTCTGGGTTTTACGGTCTTCCTGGTTGCTGATGGGATCTCTTCCTCTTTGAAGATTAGCGAAGAGGCCCGTTTTGGAGTCGATGGTTGCTGGACAAACTTTGGCGCACGCTTGATACCCAGTCCAGTAAAATTTGAATCGTTGGGCGAGTCAACCAGTTCCAATTTGATATATTGGTTCAAATATTCATCAATATGGGCAGACTCCTCAAAGGAAGGTTCACTGGTGACGAAATCCTCCAAATAACTCGGATCCAACTTGATGAAATTTCCAGCAGAAGATACGGAGTTGTCTGGGGTGTTAGCGAGGTCAGGGGTTGTCTGGCCGCCAATGCTCTCTGATGCCGTTTGAATGGGGTCGTCAACAGGAATTCGATCTATATCTTCCAAGATCGAATAATCAGTGGCACTGGTCTGCACAGAAAGAGGTATGAATGACCGGTCGTGAAGGTATTGGATGTTATCGTTTGTGTGGTTGTAAAACGGGGCGACAGGACTGGCAGATTGCTGCTGTAGAAGTAAAGGGTCTGTCGAACTGTGGAATTCTGCGGAATTAAAGGACATCGGGGTGTAATTAGAAAAGTCTGGCGTGAACTCGTACGAGTTGTTACGCTTGGAGGTTCCGTTCATGGTTGATAGGCCGGAAAATCCGGAGTATTTGAAAATATCACCTTGTTAAACGGGGTCTCAATTATAACAATTCAACTTAAGAAATGAACAAATACGAATAACAAATAGAGTTTGAGTTAACCAAATGGATGAGCAGACTCGAAAGATTCGATTGATGGCTTCAAATTAATTTGTCTTCAACTGAAATAGCCCCTGAGTGAATAATCGTTTTATCTGGTTTTCCAAGTTTTATATGTTGCTTTATCGAAAAAATAAAAATGGCTTGCTTTAAGCTTAGAAAATTAATTAAGGTGGGAGGGTGCCCGATGAAACTGCGTTAATTAGCTGAGAAAAGCCCGTTCTGCGGGTAAGAGCGCTGGTTTGTATCCAGTATGGAAATCGTGAGCCAGCTACTTTGTCGTTTCACTTGGTTAATGTAGATCTTGTACCTTGATGGTGTACTGGTTTTAGGTCTCCGATCTCGAAATCGACCCGGCGATCGCCGTCTATGACAAATAAAAACTTGCCTCCATAATAATTCAAGTCGAGTTCAAAATGTTTGCCCGGAGTCTGAGGTTATCTTTGCGTGTGCCCCAGCTACAAGCTACGAGGCTGAGTCTGAGATTCATGACCACAGAAACAAGAGCGGCTATCGAAGAGGCCGTTGGTTCGGCCCCGGTGGTGCTGTTTATGAAAGGCACTCCAGAAGCTCCAGCCTGTGGCTTTTCCAGAGCCACCATTCAGATGCTGGGCCAGATGGGCGTGGATCCAGACAAATTCGCCGCCTACAACGTCTTGGAAGACCCTGAGCTCAGAGAGGGTATCAAGGAGTTCAGCGAATGGCCAACCATCCCGCAGCTTTACGTGAACAACGAGTTTGTGGGAGGATGCGACATTGTGATGGCCATGAGCCAATCGGGAGAGCTCAGCGAGGTGCTGGACTCGGCAGACGCTCTTGTTCCGGAAGAGGAAGAAGAGGAGAAATAGGGTTGTGTACATATAAAATCTTATGCTATTTTCCAAATGTAGTCCCTTGCCTTATGGTTTGCAGCCAGTGATCGCTACAAACCCCATTAAAGGACCGTTTGATCGGCCCGTCAGTCTACTGAGAAACAACACTGTCTTATTTCTCTACAGAAAGACGGGTTTGGCGCAATAAGTTCCCATTGTCTCGTATTATATACCTATCTTTTGCTCTCATCAATCATATTGTTAACCCCGTGTCTGACAGCGTCTTTCAGATCGTCAAAGTTTTGAATATCTTTTGGTCTAAACAAGCGCGACTGTCTCGACCACGAGACCGCATAATTGAAACACGACTCCCCGATCGCTAGATACTGCGACAACAACGATCTGGAGCTGTGCTCCCTCGCGATATCTTCAACGCTCACAGTTAGTCCGGTGGACTTCTTGATTCCCGCAAGAACCATCGATATCAGCACCAAATCAAAAGCGTAATGTGCGTATTTTCCAAGCTGTTGTTAGCCGATTTCAACAATTTGTATCACTTACTCCCATTTTGTATTGTTTAATTTAATTTAGTCTTCAAATTCCAAAATAAAAAACCTCCTATATATTGCGGCTGTGCACCAAAAAGTTGTCTTTTCCTAATATTTCGTACCATGGCGACTCCGTTGTCTGGGAACCTGCTTTTGTCACTGAGACCGTCCAAGATCTTCAGCAACCATGTTCCCGATACGCCGATCACGTCTCTCGACTTCGACGCCTCGGGCCAGTTCCTAGTTTCCGCCGGCGTCGACGAAAGCATACATCTTTACGACGTGACCAAGGGAAAACATATGAAACCAATCTACTCGAAGAAGTACGGCTGTCATCTTGCCCGGCTTGCACGTAAGGAAAAAACATGTGTCTACGCCTCAACAAAGGAAAACGATACTCTCAGATACCTCTCTTTACACGATAACTCGTTTATCAGGTATTTCAAAGGCCATACGGCAATGGTCACAGACGTGGAAATGGGCGACCTCAACCACATGTTTCTAAGCTCGTCTCTTGATAACACCGTCAAATTGTGGGATACTCGAACTGCCAATTGCCAATCGTCATTGGCGACCGAACAGGCTCCAAATCACGTGGCTCTTGATCCGACAAACTCTACAGCCGCAATCTACAACACATCCACAAACACGCTCTCGCTGCATGCCATTGGAAACCTCACCGACACCCCGTTCGAGTCGACCGTTTGCTCGTACGTGCGGCCAAACTCCGTCGTTAAAGTCATGTTCATGAATAATAACGAGCATATATTATTAACCACCAATTCAACAGAACATTACATACTCGACGCATTCAACTTGAAACTGGTTGCACGACTACTCAGACAATTGCCGTTCATCGACAGAAAGTATCCAGACACAGGAAACTTGACGGTCTCGCCAGATTGTCGGTTCATCTACGGTGGAAACGGCGACGGCTCGGTTTTGGTCTGGGACATGAAACTATTAGCGTCGCAAGACCTCCCAACGGTGTTGAACCCGGTGAAAAAAATCGAAAACCAAACAAAAACACTCCCGCGAATGCTCCTGTTCAATCCACAGTACTGCGTGATGGCCTCCGCAGACACAGAACTCTGCTTGTGGACACCCACCTTATAATTCACTGATATCAGCGTACCTGATATCGGCATTCTGTTCGCACCAATCGCACCACTGCTTCAAATATGCGACCTGACTCTCGCTGATGGTCTCCATGTCGCCAACCACACATAGTTGGCGTTTGCATCTGGTGATCGAAACGTTCAGCCGCTTATAATCGGCCAAAAATCCAACATCGTGAGATTCGTTCGACCTCACCAACGAAAAGATAATGATCTCCTTTTCTCTGCCTTGGAATCCGTCCACTGTGCTGATCTCTATGTTTAGGAAAGGACGCTCGCTGTCTTCGCGCAATAGCTTGCGCAAGCTTGTCACCTGTGCGCTGTATGGAGAAATCACACCAATATCTTCTTCCTTCACGTTGTGTTCTTCAATCAGAGAACGAACGTGTTTCAGCACCAAGAAACACTCTCCCTCGTTGTATTTTGATGATTGTAGTCCGCTGGAATCGTCGTCCGCGGAGTCCAGCTCAGGAAAATCCCCTCCTTGTGTATCATACCAAATAATCTCTTCAGCAATATCATCGTCTTCCGGTGCCTTAACGTAGGGAAAATCAGCCAGCTTGATGTTCTTGACCGACGAATGTGCTTTGAGTTTTCCCTCGTACAAACTGTCGCTTGGGAACCGCATGATTTTCTCGTTCATCCGGTATTGGATCTCCAAGAAACAGGTGAACTCTTTATGGTTTGGATGCACTTGAATGAGTCTGTCAAAAAGCGTCTTTGACAGCGTATTGACCACTTTAGCATTCTTGCGGGTCTTGATCGTCGGAGCCAGCTGTTTGTTATCACCAGCAATAATGAGCTGGTTCAATGAATGATGGTAGAGTAGAGGAATCCAGCACGATGGTTCCAACGACTGAGAAACCTCGTCAATGATCAACGTGTCAAAAAGATCACCGTTGTCTCTAATGCAATTAACAAGCTCCCTAGCGGACGAGCCGTGGAGAGTAGCAAGAACGATCTCAGACCCAATCAGAACGTCGCTGTACGCCTTTTTGGACCTGTTGCGAAGATCTTTCTTCAGTTCCTTAATTTCTTGGTACATTTCGCGTCGCTCTCTGTAGCTTTTGGTTTTCTTTGTCTTTTTCGTCAGTTTGTTGATCTCGCTTAGTATTCCTTTCAAGATATCTCCGGACTCCTCCTCTGCGATCAAATCAAGCGAATGACGGAGAATCTGGGGCAAAATTCTTGCTGGATGTCCTATTCTGACCAGCTTGGAATACGATCCTTTTGGGTAAAACCCTGAGAGTCTTTCCAGGATGGTGTCGATAGATATGTTAGATGGGCCACAAATAAGGATTCTTTTCGTTGATTCGCTCTGTCTTTTCTCGATCATTTGCTTGACAAGCTCCACAATCGTGCTGGTTTTACCCGTTCCCGGCGGACCGTGGATGATGCTCAAATTGCTGGCGAGCGAGAATTCAATTGCGTGTTTTTGCGAATCGTTTAAATTGACATTGTGCCAGTTTAATTGTCCCTTGGAATCGCGAATAGACGGCGCAATGAATGACGTCTTGCCCAACACCAACTTCACCAACGTGGATGCTGTGTTTTCGTCCAGCTCAGCCAGCTTCCTCATTGTGGACTCCATTCTGTTGTATGTGATTTCATTATCAACCTTCACCAGCCAAACTTTGACATCTGTGTCGTAGAAAGAGTAGATTTGTTCCTCGATCCGGGCCCCCTCGGCCGTTGTGGAGTCGTAGTTCACAGCAATGTTGATCTGCTGATCGCCAACAAAAACAACAACACCATCAACGTTCACTGCTAGTTCCTGTGCCTCTGCTGTGTCTTGTTTCTTGGAAGAACCCTTAAGTTTCTTTGCATTTGAGCTTGCACCATACCTGTCGAGTTTGACAATATCACCAGTCTTGAAATCACTAGCCTTGAACCCGCTATCCTCCTTCCCGGCCACAGCACTGTGCGGAACAAGCTCAATGATCTGTTTGCCCCCAATACCTGTGCGAACATTACTCACACTCAAATTGAGTATAGCAAGTCCATTGGCACGCAGACTTTTCGGCGACGCGCGCGAGATAAGCTCTGCAGTCTGTTCAAAGCTCTCCTTCCGCTCAACAGCCAAACAGTCGAGAAATCGCGCCGATAGATCGGCATTTGTCGTTGTCATAAAGAAAAAAAAATCAAGTTATTTTCACCAATTGAATCCTACAACATATTACATGAATCATATCTCAATTCTCTAGTTATCAATGTATGTGCGATCTTACATGATGACCAAGTCACCAAACTTCTCCTTGTAACCTGGAACCTCGAATCTACCCTTCGAAACCATGTCTTGAACCTTGTCCTCAACGTCAGGTCTAGCCTTGGTGACATCGTCAACAGTAAGTTGGTCAAATGGTCTGGCGGTCTCGATGTTCTCAAGAGTCTTCTCCAAGTCAGTGAGCTCGGAGAGAACAACACTCTCGGTCTCCTTGGCGTTCTCCAAAGCCTTGGCTTCGAAAGAATCGATCAATTTCAACTGCTTGGACAGGTTGGTCTTGGATGCAGTGAACTTGGCCACGTCAGCTTGGATCTTGTCAACAATAGCTGCGTTCTTCAATGTGCTCTTGTAAGACGAGAAATCAACAGTGGTTGGTTGTTGTTTCAACTCAAACAAAACTCTCTTGGCCTCGTCATTTCTCTTCTTGAATGAAGTCAATGCGGCAGCAGTCTGTCCAGAAAGACCCAACTGAGACACAATTTTGGTCCAGTCCAACTTGGTGGCGGCGGATTTGGCAACAGACATGTTATTTGTTAAGCTAGTGGTTTCCAGTAACTCCGATGGTCAATTCCTCTAAACAAATGGCGTATTTATCCAAATATGGTAAACAAGGTCGATTTCAAGATTTACTTCTTAATTTCAACCGGTTACTTGCCAATTATAATAGCCAAAGATACCTCAAGTTCAAACTGATGAATATAAAAAAACCGGTGTCTTTTTTTCTCGGCCAATCAACATTTCGAAAAAATCCAAACTATGGCACTAAACGTCGCGCACACACAGTGGCTTTTTATGCGGTAAAGTTTTCAAAACTTAAGAAAAGAAAAACACACATTAACTCGTTAAAACATCCTTACACTAATAAATGCGATGGTTAACCTCATCAAGCGAATCGTACGAGATATCAATGGCTCCTAGAAGCAACTTCTTCACATAGTTGACTTCAGTTGATAGCTCCTTATTTTTACGCGCAATCTGTTTCATCTCGATCTCAATTGGAGATGTGCAATCAATCACGTCTCCAATATTAGAATCGTTATCCAAACTGTCCAGGTACTCGCCTGCGTCCAGGTCGGTGCCGATCTGTGCAAATTGGTAGCAGATCGACCGTTTAGGCATATTGTTCTCCTTCAGTTCTTTCTGGGCCATCTTGATGACCTTGTCGAGCTTGTATCTGTCTCCATTTGGTGCTCCATCCGTAAACGTGACAATAAGTAAAGGCTGTGCAAGTTTACGGGATCTGATCTCTGGCTTCAAGATCAGCTCGTACAAATTAGTGGCCAACGGAGTGACTCCGCCAACCACCAAGTTGGACAGAACAAGGTCCAACTGTTGCTCTGTCTCGATACAGTCACAGTCAACGTTGTGGTTGTACTTGAGGAATTGGTAGATCTCCTGATGGTTGTTCATGAATTTCAGTCTGAGCGGTTGTGTGCTGACGTTGATCTTCATAAACAGTTTCAGGAAATCGTGCAGCTGCTGTAACCGATTGCCTGTTCTCATTGAGCCGGAATTGTCGATATAGAAAAAGATCTTGAACAAACAAAGTTGACTCAGATCATAGAACGAGTACTCCTGGCCGGGCACTCCAAACGTCTGGGCAACTTGTTGTATTCTGGGAAGACAGTTTGATTCAATAAGTTGGTTAAGAACCGCCTCGTCATGCGCGTAGAATGGTAAGCCGTCCTGGAAACAGGTAATTACTTTGGTTGCAAATAATTTGGCAACACCTTTAGTTTCTTTATTACCGCCAAAAAAACTCTTCTTCTTCTTTCCAATCAGTCTCAAATAGTTCTCGAAAGTCTTAGGAGACTGGATTCGATTGATGGTCTTGTACGAATGAGTCAACAGTGGCTGGTACTTGGACTCGATATCGTCCTCGTTGGTTGTTGATAGTTCAGCGCGGCGAACAACAGTGTCACTCGATTGTGCACTGGCCAGTCTGGATGCAATTGGAGAGGATACGGTCGATCCTGGGGGTGGACCTTGCGGCTTGCTATAGTGGATCTTGGATTCAACGGACATCATACGGAATTGCTAAGAGATAAGTCTAGCTTACTGAAACATAGCTACTTCGCTATCGATTTAATATAGCCATTGCAAGAGGCTTAGCAAGATGCAGGATCATTGGTGCCCAGTTCGAAGAAGGCACCTCTAAACAATCAACAAGGGTCTTGATGCAAGGTTTGTCATGCGTATTTTCCTTGCTGCGCCTTAATTTATCTGGTCATGTGACCTGGATTTCGTCAAGGTCCCGATGATCTTTCTAGTTTGGGCAACCATCTCGGACACCTGTTGCTTGTGGAACTTGTCTGCTTCAAGCTCTTTGCACATCTGATTGTGTCTTTTGGTTAGCAGTGATTCCATATTCGTCATTCTGTCCAGCAGGGTCCTCAAATCCCGTGCCAATCTATCTTGATTTGTCGGTGCTGGTGGCTGAAAAAAATTGATCAAGTTCATCTCCGTATCATTGTTAAATATAGATGTGTTTTTTGTAGCCTCCTGCTCCTGCATAATGTCGGTATTGTCTTCCATCAATGATGAGGTTATAATCGGATCGTTGGTGTAGTCTTGAGGCACAGTACTGGGAGACTCAGCCACTTGAGAACAAGTACCTTTGCATTGGATATCAATAGGAGCGGAAAGCTTAAATTGCTCGGAACTAGATCCAGGTATTTCTTGGCTTCTTGGTCTCTTGGCCTCCGCTACAGCTCTTCTTCGGGCTGCTCTTTCCGCCCTACTTTCAAACGGAGGAAGCTGCATAATTGAGATCGTCGGCTCACAGGTCTCGGCAAGCTTCATTTTCTTTGGAGAAGCGTCAATTGGCTCTGAACTTAACGTTCTTGTGACTTTTCCGGCTTTGAACTTTTGTTTACCTTGATCTTTTCTTTCTGCTCTTAATTTAGCATTTGCTGATGGAGACTCAAAAAAGATCTCAGACTCACTAAAAGAGCTACTTGTGTTGTTCAGTAAACTATCCGAGCCATTCTGATTAATCGGAATCAATGATTTGGAACAGAATATCTTTCTATGATTGGCCATGCTTGTTTGATATGAAATCCTGATCCCAACTTTTTATCCCCTTTTCTTAAAATAATTGGGCTGTGCCGCTACTTATATTTAGAAGAGGTCTACCGACTAGAATCCATTGATAATACAGAACGCGAAAGAAGCAATTAAATAGAAGGGAAATCAAAAGCACTCTCTCTTTAGTCGCTTAAGTGTCTCTCTTCTTTAAATATTTACCGTTCTTGGTAAACCGTTTCGGAACCTTCTTGCTGTAGTCGTCAAAGAGCTGTTCTTCCTCGCCGGCGTCATCCTTGTGTGTTTCGGTGGCTGTGAACTTCTTGGACTTTCTGTAGTTTTCAGCAAACTCAACATCCGTGACCGATTTCTCCAGGTCCAAATCTTGGTCCACAACAGACTCCAAGTTGGAACCACCTGACGATGCAGTCTTTGCGGAGCCAGCGGGAGGCAAACTGTTTTTCTTCAATTGAAGAGCAGCAACCTCAGCATACGAAAGCTTGCGAACTTGGATGTCAATAAAGTCGTCGTCCAAGTCGTCGCCCTCGTGCATTTTCTTCATGGCAATAACCTTGTTGGTTGAATCGCCCACCATTTTGAACTCCTTCTCCTTGTTGGCAACCGTAGCAGGATCCACCACCGGCTCTGTTTTGGCGGCGCTCTTGCTACCGCCAAACGGCCAGAACCAGGATCTTGGTTTCTTAGCACTGGAGACGCTTGCCGTCACGTTGGAGAGTTCCACCGTGTTGAAGTCAATCACCTGCGGTTCCGAAGACGTGTCAACCGCGGCCGCACCGGATTTCGAGGACATGAACATGTTTGGGAAATAGAAAAAGCGTGTTTTGTTCGAGCTAACCAGCTAGTTTGAGTCGCCAGTCAGCAAGACAGATAAATATGAAAACAAATAGTTCTGCATCCCGGTTGCATATGGGGGACCTGCTTCACCAGCCACATTTCAGCGATAAAAGAAATATCTGTTTAGCGAGTGTCTTGGCTCGTGGAAACAGCAATTGAAGCATATTGGGTCTTCACTAAGCTTAAACACGCTGGATATACCTTCTTCGCCCGACAAACGTACCTGGTAACACGAATTCAAATGACCCATAATCTGCTCAGCCACATTTGTTTTCTTATCTATGTGGCGTATCGAGCAACGCCATCAAAACTGTAAACAACTTCAACTAATCAACCTCGTGCACCCGAAAACCCCTGCACCACCAAACACGTCCTGCAACTTGAAATTGGCTCATTTGGAATAACGCGTAATGTTCCAAATTGGCCCTTTTGATACTTGCACGTTACTATCGCCTAAATCTTCGTGACCTCGATGAGTGTTGCAAATAAGCGGGGTTTTTCATTCGATAAGGTAATCTTGACACCATAGCGGTGCAAAGATGTGTAACAGAAGATGAAACATGGTTGTAAATAGCTGTATCCACCATGGGGTTCCAGAGCTGGAACTGACTACTTGAGCATATTCATTTCATCATCACAGTGTCTCCAGAGTGCTCCACATATTCCCGAAAGCCCAAATCGTGTCACAAGAAGCAACATAAGTCGTGTCATAATTCTTAAATACCCGATCCCGTTTGGCAGTGCCCCAATTGTAAAGCCCTAGATTTGTAATTGTTACTCTATCTTCTTTGTTCTTTGGATAGCCCTCAGACTTTTGATTTGGGGAATTCAGAGTCTGGGAAATTGCGTCGTTTAGTGTTTGTTCGCTAACGATTTACATTATTCATTCACAGCTTAATTTTCAAATCATACCATCTATTTAGCCAGCCAACTGCAATTGGGTTCTAGTTCCCTTACGCCACCAATCCGATAACTTCGACCGCCATGTTATTACAATCTAAAAAGCAGAAACTCAACAAGGCGAAGAAACAGCAACAGGAACTCTCTGCTAGTTCAGGAAATGAGATTGCTCAAGAGGGCACAAACTCGTCCATAGGATTGATAAGGAAATCAGAAAGCATTTTATCTCCGCATTTATCAATCTTTCAAGCTTTGCAGAATCCAGAGCTGGAGCTCGACATGTCTGCTCTCGATACAGGCACCGAACGAAGAATTCCGACCCCAATTAATACAAACCCAGACTTCAGCACTTATAATAGTTTTTACAGAAACGAGGACTTCTCTATAACATCATGGCAATCAATACCATCTGGCTTTGGATTGGCAGATCAGAACGCCCCTCCTCCAAGCAGAGCTTTGCGAAGTCCCGCCAAATTGAATAGTCCAAATATTGGGTCGATTCTTTCTAGCTCCGATAACGAAGAGCACAGGTTAGAGGATGTTCCGGTGCAAAGTTCCAATCATGAGGTGATCATTTTCGATTCCGAATCCTTTTCAGAGTCTTCGGATGACGATACCATAGATTCCTCCACAGTTGTTCCATCATTTGTCATGCCCCGCGTTTCTGTTCCCAGTCTTGCTAATTCCAGCTCGGTGTTACAAAACGCAATCAGAGTCCAAGTGATTGGCCATCAACGTGAAATTCTACTTTCAAGACTCGCCAAATACCGCAAAACGCTCAACCGGACTGTCTTCACCGACGTTGACCCGTCGTTTATGGTTGCGATTGTGAACGATGATAACTATCTGCTTCCGACCTTGATCGACAAGCCATTCATTCCCATTCTCACCGGCAACTCGAACGCCGACTCGTCATTGCTGAGGAAGTCGGTTTCCAAGAACTTGATGATTTGCGAGCCAATCCGAATGCAAACAATAAACGACAACTTGATGCCACTTATCGAGTTTCTCTCGAATTTGCAGGTTTCCGGAGGCGACTTTGGGAAGGTGATCGAGCTGTCGGCTTCACAGTATGCAATGACGAACCAGCCGCTGTCTCTGGAAAGTGTCAACTCCGTTCTACTGGATAAGTCTGCCAGAAAGCTTCGCAGAAGCTCGCTACACAAGGAACTGGACGATTCCAACAAGAACAACGGGTACCCTAAGAACTACAAGCAGGGATTGCTGTTCGGGATCACTGTTGGGATGGTGGGGTTGGTTGTTGTGCTTGTTTGGAAGGAGTTTGCGCCTAGCCCTGTTCCGGACAAGCTTGAGAATCCGTCCAGAATGAACAAGATTCTGTTCAGGCCAAAAGAGGTTCTTCAGTCGGACTGTAAGTCGGACGAATTTGACTTGCAAGGAATACCACACGCAATGGCGGCATTTTGCGAGAGCGCAGTGAAGGGGTCTGTTGAGGCTCTGGAATTTGTGAAGACCGATTTGGAGGCGTTGGGCAAGATGCTAGCCAGTTCGAGTTTTTTCCTGATTGAAAGAACAAAACTTACACTTTTGCGACTAATCGAAATGACAGGAGAGGTTTTATCATGGTAAATGCAACGGGTTAATTGGAATCAGGGGTTCTTATACAGGTTGATCATATGCAATTTTATTGTTCTACAAGTAGACATGATACAATGTTGTGTTTCAAAATCATTGTTGGATAATGACCTATATATATGATTACACTTCTGGCACCGGGGTTTCTTGGATTTGTTGGTTTTCCTCGTTCTCCTCGTTCTCCTCGTTCTCCTTCTGCAGCAAGTCAAACGCTCCTTCTGTTCCTGGAATGTAATTAGGGTTCGACTTGTTATGCACCGTATAATACAACGGACAAGTCTTGTTGGTTCTGATATGGCCAAGAGCACCGCAAGTGGCACATCTTCTGCTGGTGGACTTTCCTTTGCCGATTCCCTTGCCGCTGATTCTGCCCTCGCTGTCGATATTAATTGACAGAAGACCTTTCTTCTTCTTTTTGTCCTGGAGCCGTTGCAACTTGGCGAGTTCTTCCTCGAGCTTCTTCTTGACCTTTTTGTTTTCCTCGGCGTCGTTAGTCAGAACAATATTGTCTGTGTCGAGCTCCATTGGATCCTCCAGAAGCTTTCTCTGTCTCTTTTTAACGTAAAGTTCCACGACTTTGGGATCCTTGACTATCTCGACTCTCCGCTGGAGAATGCCGTACGAATCCTTCACCATCCGCACAATTTTGAGGAACCGCGGTCTTTCGCCGCCAACCTCACGGTTCAGCACCTCGTTGGCCGCACTGAAGTTCTTTGTATCGTCGAGCTCTTTCTGCTCCACCGGCCGAGGCTTGTCGGTGTTCCGCGTCTTGCTCAAAGCTTTCCATTGCTTAAACCACACCTTGGCAATCTCCTTCTCATAAACCTTTTGCTGGATGGCCACGTTGTACGTGTGCGTGATAGAACTCTTCTTCTCCTCCTTCTCTGTTGGTTTGGGCGGCGGAACAAAGTCCTCGCTCAGATTCGCAGCGTTTTTGATAAACCCTCCTTTCATCGAGGTTCTCAAGAAAGAGAACGCTTCTCCTTTACCGGACGGATCACCCTCGCCGTAAATCTGAAGCATGGCCTTTCCATGAGTGGCAGCAACAAAGTTACGAGTGATGTTCCACGGAGCAAGCTGGACAGACAACGGGCCGTCGTTGGCCATCAGATCGCGCTCCTTTTTGGCACCCGGGTCTGTGGCCGGAGACTGTGCGCTCACACTGCCCGGCTGCGACCCGTCTTCTAGCCGTTCCCGCTTGTACGAGTCCAAATCTTCAAGTCGTTGGTGGCCGGCCTGCATCGAGTCCAACAGTGCTATATCTTCGGGTGTCACAATGTTGCGGATCTCCTCGTAGTTCGGTAGCTTGTCCGAGAGCTTCACTTTCCAGTATCCCTGGTCGTTTCCGCTTCTTTGGTACTCCATGAACTCCTTGAGTCTCTGACGGTTCTGCATGTCGTTCTGGTCCGGGAAATGGTCGGCAATGTCCCGCACAAGAAGCCGACGCTCCTCGTTTCTGTTCAGGACACGGTAAACCACCATTTTGAGTCTGTTTTTGGACGTGGCTGTGACTTTCCGCGAGTGTGGACCAGGAACCTCCAAAACAGGCAGCGTCTGGCCAACTGTAAAGACAAAATTAATAGACCGCAAGAAGTACTTCTGCGACGACCCGCCTCCAGAGCTTCGCACCAGCAAAAAGTCTGTGCACAGCGGATCGTGCTTGAATATAGGAGCTCTGATCATCCGGTTGTACAACGTAGGAACAATGTGGCCAGGCTCGACGTATCCAAAGTTCCAGAACGGAGACCGATCTTGCAACCCTAGAACATGTGTCTCTCCAACTGGCAGCTTTGGACGACTGGTATCGTCGTCGTTGAGTTTTCTGTAATAGTTGATCAGCTTGGAACACATTCCAAAGTTGTTGAGAACAATGGGGTTCTCCTCGCTGTACTCGAGCATGAAGAAGTCCGCCGAGTCTCCAAGCGTCAGGTCGGAAGAGTCTTTGAAAATCTCGCGAGGCTCTTTTCCCTTGTCACGCTTCTTCTTTCTAGTCTTCACCTTGGAAAACACCATCGTGGTGTTTGGACGAACAGTGAACTGTGGACGATGCAAGAACCGCATTTCTCTCTCAGAGAGCTTCACCTTGTAGTATGGGAACTGCAGCTTCAGCGCTGTCACCGAGTGGTCGATATTCATGTTTCCAATAGTGGCTCTGATCTTGGTCTGGTAGCTCTTGCGCAACTGGTCGTACTCCTTGTCGTTCGATAAGCTGAAACGCAGCTCAAGTGTCTTTTCGTTGGTTGGCAGTTTGGCCAACACAGCCTTCTTGGCCGCGACCTCCTCATTCTCTGTTCTCACGTTGGTGAACAGCATCTTTGGATCGTTTCTGTCGAGTTTCAGGTTCAAGATGTCTGTGTTCAAAGAACCTTCGAAAATCATCTCGTCCTCGTCGTCGTCCCAGCCGTCCGAGTCGACCCAATCCAGCTTGAGTCTCTTCGTGGACGGAATATCTGTTTGTGTGCCTTCTATGATCTGGTCGTCGTCCCAGTCTGCCGTGGAAATGGCAATCTCCTGGCCGAAGTCCTTGATCGTCTCCTTGACAACCTCGGCCGGCTCAACCTCCTTTTCCTGCTGTACGCTCTGGAGATCGTTTTCGGAGATCTCGATGATCTTTTGCTGTATTTTCTGTTCCTGGTTCGTCGAAACCTTCGTGGCGTTCTTGAACGACTTTCTAGTGTCCACCTGGAACTCAAAGGTCAATTTCGTAGGAAGCAGCGGACGTTTCACGGCGGGTGGCACCTGGTAACTGTATCTGAGCGGAATAATGGGGAATAACGTCTGCATCTTCAATGGCTTGCCGCGCTTAAACGTTGGATAGTACAGTCTAAGCAGTTTTTCTCGAGTCTGGATCCGTTTTTTCTCCAAAAATGCTCTTCTTTCCTCGTCGTCGAGTCTGTGATCGTTGGACTCGTCAAACAGAAGTTCTTCGTGCTCGTCCATCATCTCGTTGTCGTGTTCGTAGTCCAAATCTGCCAATCCAAGGTTCGCCGCATTGCTCTCAAAAATACCCTCGCCAAGGTTCTCGGCGTCGTCCTCGTCCACGCCCTCCATGGCCTCCTCCTGCAACTCCTTCATAAAATCGTCCTCCTCTTCCTCGTCGTCCTCCTCCTCGGCTTCAGGCTCCTCCTGCTTCACCGAGTCCTCTTCTTCGGCGAGCTCGTCTTCATCTTCGAAATCAACGGCATCCGCAGCGTGAACAGTCGATCCATCAAACATGTTGTCCAGGTTCTCAAGACCAAGCTGGCCGTTCAAGGCCGAGTCAAAATCGTCGTCGTCAACCTGCGCCATATCAATTCATTGACTTTTGTAGAGGAGTTGTTTTTACTGTTGGTTTAATTTTTTTAAAACCAGTGGAAGCTTTATATTTTTAGTTGTTTTAATAATGTTCTCCTTAAATAAATTAGTGTCTGTGAAATCCGGCTACCGCGCGCTAAGCACAGTCTCGAGCGAGCTCGTGGATCAGTTTTTGGCCTCCAACCCGTCCACTATTGCAATCGACGCCACATGGTTCTTCCCCAACGATCCCCGAAACGCATTTAAGGAACACACCCAGAAACGGCTGAACGATAAAACAGTGTTTTTCGATATCGAAGACATTTCCGACAAGTCGAATCCGTTCCCGCACATGTTGCCGTCCAAGTCGCAGTTCGAACAGCAGATCAGCAAGCTCGGAATCACCAATGACTCAACGCTTCTTATCTATGACACCAGTGACGTCTACAGCGCCTGCAGAGCCTCGTGGATGTTTGAGATCTTTGGACACGACTTGGATAAGCTCTACATCTTGGACAATTTTGCGGGATACAAAAACTACACCACAAAGTCCACAGATTCCAAATCCCCGCTACCAGAGTCCATTTATAAAGCCACCTTTGATAAGTCGAAACTGGTCTCTTTTGAAGAACTAAAGCAATTGGTTCTCGAGGACAAGATCGGCAAGTCGTACACATTACTGGACGCCAGATCGGGGCCCCGATTCGACGGATCCGCCAACGAGGCAAGACCAGGCATCTCCTCGGGCCATATCAAAAACGCTATCAACGTCCCATTCCAGGACTTTCTCAACGCTGATAAACAGTTCATAGCCCCAGAGGCCATTCTGAACCGGCTCAAACAGGCAGGTGTTGACGAATCCAAGCCGATCATCGTCATGTGTGGTTCGGGAGTCACCGCCTGTGTTGTTAGGTGCGGGCTTCTACTTGCGGGCTTTGATGCGAAAAATATCGCTGTCTACGACGGGTCCTGGACAGAATGGGCCACAAGGGCCCCTGAACTGGTCACCAAGTCTGTATAAGTCGTTTCCTAGAACCCAAACTCTAGGTCCTCGTATTTAACCTCATTAAAAATCGTTCGTAACTCGTTAACCAGCCGGCTCCATTCGTGGTAGCCAGTAGCAGTTTTGTGCATAATTAGTTTTTCCTCAAACAACCGGACAATCGAGTGGAACTTGAGCATCTCGTCGATCTCAAGCAGTCCAAACATGAACTCATTGAAAAGCACCAGGTCTTTCTCGTGCGGGCCGCGGGCCTGGATCGAATGGTCGAACCACGTCCCCAATTTGGCCATAATACCCATGAAATCGGTGATGGGGGTCTTCTGGAACGACACCGGGGTCCTCGTTTCGATGTAGTTCGAGTCTAACAGCGTTCTTTCCGGTGGCCGTTTCTTCTTGGGAGAAACGAAGTTGCTGAAGAAATCAACTTTCCGTTTCTTTGGAGACTCGTACAACGAGCCAGTGATTCCCAAGTTTCTTCTCCCCAGCTCCTCCTTGAGCTCCTTTTGGATCTGTGACGGCAGCTCGTTGAAAACTTCCCAGTTGATCTCGCTCTCGCGTATTCCAAAAGTGCCCTCGTTTCTTCGAACTGGACTTTTGGGTTTGGTAGCAGGTTTCAAAGACTCGGGTTTGTCGAGCTTGAAAAGACCCGACTTGAACGGAAGCTGTTTCTGATCGGCATCAAGCCCCTTCTGGGTCTTTTTCTGGTCGGAGACCAGTTTGTTCATCGATATGGAAACTCCCCGCAGCTCTTTAACGTCCGGATTAATTGCTCTGTAAATATGTTTTAGCTCCGTTGCCAAAATGCCTGCCTCGCGCGTGAAATGACCAAATCGTGTTGTTCGCGAAACAAACTCGCAATGGCCCATTCCCAGATACTTTGGCGGGTCAACCGGGGCGTCTGGGTGTCGAGTGGCCAGTTTCAACGTGATTGAAGAGCCAACCATGTTCACCTTGAGCAACCGCGTATTCATTTCCTTGGCAAGATCGCCCAGAAACTTTTCCACCTCCACGTCGGTGTCGAACCGTATTCCCCAGTTGACGTCGATCGAGAGCGACTTCCGCTCGTACTCTTCTGGATTGGCCAGAATATCGATCGTCGTATCGTCGATTCCCCGGACATAGTTGAATATTGTCACTCCTGTTTTCGGGCCAAACACAGACGACAGTTTCTGCTTGGACACGCTGCGAAGCTCGGTCACCCAAGCGTTAGTGATATTCAGCTCGGTTTCCAGCTTGCTGCAAATCTGCGGTCCTATTCCCGGCAGGTCAGCAAACCTGACCGTGTCCAGAAACGTGAGCACCTCGTCGTCGTGGACGTAGTACATTCCGTTCGGTTTGGCTCTGTGCAGAGCCAGCTTGGCCAGCAGCACGTTGGGCCCGCTTCCGCAGCTCACAGAGCACTTTGTGAGCTTCTGGACCTCCTGTTTGATCTCCGTCATGATTTCAGCAGGACTCTTTGTCACGCTCAGCGAAGTGATGTCCAACAGGGCCTCGTCAACAGAAACAGGCAGAATCGAGTCGATCTCGAAACCAAGCAAAATCTCGTAGAATAGCTTGGATATCCGCTCATACTCGTCAAACTGGTACTCAAGACAAACCAGTTCAGGACATAATCTTCTTGCGGAACGCAGCCACATGCCGTTTCTACACCCTTTTGCTCTGGCGACGTAGTTACAAGAAGCAATATCCGAGGTGTTGCCTCCATGAGTAACACAAACAGGAACACTGTTGATGTCTATTGGCGGGTCGTGCATCAACGCCGAGACCGTGGCAAAGAAACAGTCGAAATCAACGTGCAGAATCACCCGCGTGCTGGTTGCAACCTTTTCGAGCTTCCTGCTGGTGAGAGTATCTATCGCCCGGTGCAAAAAATGCGACCGCAGGTCTGCTTTCCAGGAACTCAAATGGTGCAACCGAGACTTGGCAAAGAAGTTCGACAGAAAGTTCGGGTGCTTGCAGTTCATGTGGTCGGGCATCTCCACCTCCTCTTGTTTGTCCAGGTTGTCTTCTGGATCGGTGATCTGCGAAAGCTGAGAGATCTCTGCTTCCTCTTCGACCACCGGCTTGGCAGCAGTGTCAATACGTTGTTGGCCATAATCGTTATGGATCACCATGTAGTCGGCCCAATGTAGCAGCCGCTTCGACTCGATGCTTTCTGTGATCCACGTGGGCTTCAACACCTTGTAGTTTCTAAACTCGAGCTTTTTCTGAGGAGTCAATGTCTCTGAGATGATATGGGTGGCATTTCCCTTGGCTCCCAGCGCCTGGATATACGTTCCGCCATGGAGGATGATGAGTTTGTGGAGCTGCTCCGCGTCCGGACTCGTCTTGCCGTTGATGTAGATGACGCATCCTTCGAATACCGGCGGATATTCCAAGCCGCGAGCGTTCTTGATGAATTCAACGTACTGGAGATCCTCTTCCTGCTGTTTCAAAGCCTTGTGCCGGAAATACGTGTCGAAATCGCCAAACTCGATCTCCTGGCTGCCTTGGTCGACCTCTGCGGGATCCACCGATAGCTGCAAATCTTGGTCGTTGAGTGGCGAGTTGCTGCGGAAGCTTTCCGACGCGCGATTGCTTGACATAATATTTTGATCGGAACCACCCTGATCCGCGTGATCGGACACGGGCTGGGAGGTGATCAACGGCTGTTTCAGTCCGCGACTCTGGCTCAGCTTGTTGACAAACGAAATGAACTCTCCATCGTTCATCGACCCCCAATCATCGGAATTCTGAACGCCACTCTCGTCAGCCTGTGTGGCTTCTAAAGACTCCGGCTGTGAAGACGCCACTTGGACAGCTTCTTCCGCACCCTCGCGTCTCTCCCGCTCCCGAAGTAACAGATCTATCTCCGAGTCGTTGATGGACCCCCATTCAGTTGCGGAAGACAAATCCATGCCGGTCTTTCAAACTTAAATATGACCTTAATTTTCACTAAACACCGGATGTGTTAAAATTTATGTCCGGCCAGTGGATAATCTCCGACAACCGTTTTAATATTTAAGGAGCCCAATTTCAACTTTTTTTACTTTCAGCAACCATACACGAAAATGAGCGGACTTTCACCATGTTGTTTCAAGCTTTCCATCCATGGTAAGTATACAGACAAATCATGAAGTTCTAACCTGCAAAGAGGGCGAACCTAAGGGAGAATTCACTAAAATAGGTAACTTTGGTGTCTACAAAACAGGCAGTGCTTCAGACAAAGTGCTTGCTATTTTCCCAGACATTTACGGTTACAGACTCAACAACGTCAAATTGATTGCCGACAGATTCGCAGAGAACCTTGGTATCCAGGTTTTCATTTTGGATTTGTTTGACGAGGACCCTATCACGGAGAAGTCCGACCGTGGCGCATGGCTGACTAAACACTCTCCAGATAAGAAGACTCCTCTTGTTAAGGAATTTTTGGCCGAGGTCAAAAAGACTTTGAGTCCAAAGTTCTTGGCTGCAATTGGATACTGCTACGGTGCCAAGTTTGTCTTTGAGAACCTGACCAAAGACTCTTTGTTGGACGTTGGTGCTGTTGCTCACCCAAGTTTCACCCAGGTCTCCGACGTTGAGAGCTTGGAGAAGCCATTGGTGATCAGTCTTGCCGAACACGATGAGTACTTCAGCGACGACCTCAGAGCAAAGACCTTGGAAATTCTCCAAAAGAAGAACATCCGTTACCAAATCGATCTATACAGTGGTACTTCGCACGGATTCTCTGTCAGAGGTGACCTTTCCGACCCTGTCATCAAGTACGCTGTCGAAAAGGCCCTGTTGGACCAGATCCACTGGTTCAGATCTTTCATTAATTAGAGTTATTTAGAAAGAATTCATTCATTTTTTTGACCTGGCTAGAAATACACACAAACTATAGAAGATCTCTTCTGCGATAATTGGTAAACCCTTGAGAATCTTGGTTCCCAACACTGTCATCTCTTGCCCGCGAGGTTGGCGACTGCGTGTTGTTGTTGGCAGAGGCTTTAAAGATGAAGGAGTTTCTGCTAGAATCGTCCTCATTGCCATTGGTGAACGGGTTCAAGCTACTCCCGCTTGTACTTTCGCTCTTGAGCTTCTGTTCAGGGCTCTGGATGTAGCCGGAGTTGTTGATGGATTGTTGGTCCATCAAGTAGGAGTTTCTATCATGTCCCCTCATAGCAGTGGCTCCAAGAGCAGCAAGCTCGTACTCGATCTTGTCCTCGGGTCTATCGTTCGTGATGAAAGCCAATCTGTCGTCCTTAATTGGTTCATATCTTGTGTCTGGGTTCTTCCGAATCAATGCCAAAGTGCATGTAACGATGGTGAAAATCAGCAAAATGGCGGCAAAAACTGCATTGAGAATAAAGTAAACCAATGCTGCCACCGACGAAACCACTGCGGGTTGTTTGAAAATGTTGGAAAAGAATAAGTAAAAGATCGAATTGATCACGTTGATCACGCCAATGAAAATGTTGAAGATGTTGGTTCTCTTATCCATGAAAGGTCTCTTGAAAATCAAAGCCACACAGTAGATCAGTTCGATTGCAAAAATCAGAACAGCAACAACCTTACCGTGGTTTTGCAAAGCAGCAATGAAAATGGCTCTCAGGAAAATGTGGAACAGATGAATGGCCACCCAGAAATAGTTGTTGGCCTTGTATTGAGCATACAAGAATCCAAACTTGTTCAAAACCTTCTCATCTCCGAAAAGAAGGTATGCTGGGTTCTTGAACTTTCTCACAGATCTGGATCCAGCAAGAAGAATTCTGATCGAGGCATAGACCATCATGATCAATGCAATTGCCAGAATTGCGACTGCAAACACAACACATCCAGCAGAATCAACTCGTGTGAATTCCCAAATACACAAGAACGTGAGTGTTGGGAAAGTGATGTTGTACAATCTGTAAAGACATCCTTTGATGACAGATCTGTAATGGTTTCTGAACCCAATAACTTTGTTTCCCTTGATTGCTCCTGTTCTTGCCATCAACTCACAAATTCCTTTGAAAATGGTGGTCAGCACAAGCAACGCGAAACCAACAAAGAGGAAGAAAATGATACCTGTCATGAAGATGTTGGAGATCTCGATGTTGGACAAATAAGCAACTCTTTGGATACCTCTAAGAATCAAAGTTTTCGATCCAACATCGTCCTCATTGGTGGTGTACAGACTCGAGTCGCTCAAGACATCGCTAGAAGAGTCCGAGCTTTCGGCGGTGATTCTTTTCACAAGTCTCAGTTTCTTCAACATCTTTTGAACAGAGATCGAAATCACCGACTTGCTTTGCAGGATCGAGGTGACTTTTCCGCCAGTTGCCTGGACATACCAGTAAATCATATCTTGCATGAACTGGACACGGATAATACCCAGAGACCACATGAAATTCTGAGCCCAGGCAGCGGCGACTGGTGGAACCAAAGAGACACCCATCATGGAGGTGAGAGCCAAGTTCTGGAAGTAGATGAAAAGAGAAGCGGCATTCGAGGCGATGTGGGCCGCAGTGGCGGAGTGGCCGAGAATCGACACAAACGACGACACCACCAGTCCGAAACCAGAAACAATGGCAATAGGCCATCCGGCGTATCTAGTTTGCACACTCTTGCCGTTGGTCATGGTTGCCTTGACACAGGCGAGAGGATCGGTTCTGTCTGTGTCATTTGTTGAGTACACCACAACCTTGACATAGGCATCCAAATCAGGCACCGTATAGGCAATTCCAGGAATCTGCTTGATCAAATCGCTTTCAATCTTGTAACTGTATCCGGAGATACTAATTCTTCCTGAGGAAATTGGACACAATGTGGCATAGTTAAGGTCACATAAATCGTAGGATGTAGAGTAGATGTTAAGACCGTAAACCACAACGGACACTTCGGCGCTGATTTTACCGGTAATAAGCGAGTTACCGTCCACGTTCAGAACCACTGTGGAATTGTCGGGATAGAATGTGACATCGAAATAACTGGAACTGAATTGCGAGTCTTCCATACAGGTCAAAAGGGATGACGATTTCAAGTATTTTTGAGCTTCGACAACAAGCCCGTTGGTCAAAAGCCATAGCACGAGGGTGAAGCTATAAGGGAATTTCATCTTTGTTCAGTATGACTGGCCCTGAAGCATATAATAAAATTTTTTGAGGTAACGCAAAGTTGTTAATAAACAAACGTAAGGGGGAAGGACAGTGATCTCAGATGTTAACCGATGATCTAGAGAGTCGGAAACGGTGTGACTGGTGAAATGAGAGTTATTGAATCTGAAAAGAGCAAAATATCCGGGTTAGCAACTCTTTTTTATCCAAGATCACTAAGGATAACAAGATCAAGGCTTATAATGTTGAAGTTTCTAAAAATATGCTGCCTTGATTTCCCAAAAAGATTTATGGTAAACGAATTTTCAGCTGACAGAAAGATTATGTAATGGGTTGGAGAGAGGTTTTCCCGTGTAAAGATGTGTTGGCATTTTTGGGGTCTCGAGTCACTTGACGTTCAAACGGTTGCTATCCAAGACCCCACTTTCCAATCAAGGGTCCCATGATTGATGCCATGGACCACCGGCAAAAGAGAGTTTCGTTCACCCGTGAACCCAAGCTCTACCGGAGGACTTGCCATGGTCATTGGTGGGGTTGACAGGGTATTTGGCCAAATTTTTCACGCTCTACCCCTCAATCTCTCCTCCTCTCCGGAAGACACAATTCTGGCGTGCAGTAGTGCAGTTGCAACTCGTATTATTTGTCCATTCAAGTGGCTATTCATGTGCTGGAGAAGAATTTGTTGCTGACTCTCCCCCCACGCATGTCAAATGTATAAATAGGGGAGCTGGATATAATTTAGTCCCTCTAGTTAGTCAATTGATAATGTCTGAGAAAAAAGCATTGGAAAACGAACATTTGATAAACGAAGCGCTTGTGCAACCTCCAAGCGGCTTTTTGGAAAGACATCCTTCCAAACCTTACCTGACTTCTTTGGATGAATACAAAAAACTGTACGAGGAGTCCATCAAAGACCCTGGCTCCTTTTTTGGTAGGATGGCCCAACAAAATTTGAGTTGGTTCAGACCATTCTCCGTCCCCAAAATCCCCGCTGCCCCTCACTTTGATGACAACAATGGAGAGGGATCTGCTTGGTTTGTGGACGGCCAGATTAATGCCTCGTACAATTGTGTGGATAGATGGGCCATTAAGAATCCAAACAAGCCTGCTATTATTTTTGAGGCTGATGAACCCGACCAAGGACGCATCATCACCTACGGAGAGCTTCTAAAAGAGGTCTGCAAGGTTTCGAATGTCCTTCTGAACCTCGGCGTCAAAAAGGGAGACACCGTCGCAGTCTACTTGCCAATGATCCCCGAGGCTATTATTACCTTAATGGCCATCACCAGAATCGGAGCCATCCATTCTGTGGTTTTTGCCGGGTTCAGTTCTGGATCGCTTAGAGACAGAATCAATGATGCCAACTCCAAGGTCGTGATCACCACAGACGAGTCGAAAAGAGGGGGTAAAATCATCGAGACCAAGAAAATCGTCGACGATGCCCTTCTGGCCTGTCCTCAGGTCACCAATGTTCTGGTTTTCAAACGTACTGGAAATTCTTATATCCCTTGGACATCGGGAAGAGACTTGTGGTGGCACGAAGAAGTTGCAAAGTACCCTTCATTCCTCCCAGCTACCCCTGTTTCCTCAGAAGACACGCTCTTCCTCCTCTACACATCGGGATCAACAGGAAAACCTAAAGGTATCCAACATTCAACAGCCGGTTACTTGTTGGGAGCTCTTCTGACTACTAAGTATGTGTTTGATGTGCACCCAGAAGACATTCTTTTCACGGCAGGAGATGTTGGATGGATCACTGGCCATTCGTACGTGGTTTACGGCCCGCTTCTTAACGGGGCCACCACAGTGGTGTTCGAAGGAACTCCAGCCTATCCAAACTACTCACGTTACTGGGAAATCGTTGATAAGTACAAGGTGACTCAGTTCTACGTTGCTCCAACTGCGCTCAGACTTCTCAAGAGGGCAGGCGAGTCCTACATCGAGCCATATTCTCTTGAATCGTTGAGAGTTCTGGGATCTGTTGGAGAACCAATTGCCAAAGATGTCTGGGAGTGGTATAACACATTCATTGGTAGAGGAAAAGCGCATATTTGCGACACTTATTGGCAAACCGAGTCTGGCTCCCATTTGATCACTCCTTTGGCCGGAGTTACCCCAACAAAGCCTGGATCTGCATCGTTGCCGTTCTTTGGAATCGACCCGGCCATCATTGACCCTGTCAGTGGCCAAGAGCTCCATGACAATGGTGTTGAAGGTGTTCTTGCTATCAGATCCCCGTGGCCATCTATGGCAAGATCTATTTGGAATGATTACAATAGATTCTTGGACACATATTTAAGACCATACAATGGATATTACTTCTCTGGAGATGGAGCTGCCAGAGATAAAGATGGATTCTACTGGATCTTGGGAAGAGTGGACGATGTGGTCAATGTTTCTGGACACAGACTGTCTACTGCAGAGATTGAGGCTGCTTTGATTGAGCATTCTCTGGTTGCAGAATCTGCAGTCGTTGGATTCCCTGACGAATTAACGGGTTCTGCCGTTGCTGCTTTTGTTGCTTTGAAAAGGAAAAACATCGAAGATACTGTGGCCTTGAAAAAAGAGCTGGTTCTTACTGTCCGGAAGGAAATTGGGCCTTTTGCTTCTCCAAAGCTAATATTATTGGTTAATGACCTGCCTAAAACAAGATCGGGCAAGATAATGAGACGGATCTTGAGAAAAATTCTTTCCGGAGAAGAGGACCAGCTGGGTGATATCTCAACTCTGAGTAACCCTCAAGTTGTGGAGCATCTGATCGAGGTGGTTAAAAAGAAATAATGAATAAGGTTTAATGACTTGTACTATGTGATCTAACATTGAGTTTTGTAACAATAACCTGGGAACAGAATTGAATAACCAACTGCATGAAACAAACGTGTGAAAAGTGCAGTTGGTACACGTTGCGTCAACAACTATCTGTATCTTTTTGTTTTTATGTGTGCTGCGCCACACGAACGCGCTTAGAAAAATCCCCGTGTTTTATAATTAGATCAATAGAAAGCCGTATGCGCATCAGCCACATAAACTTTTGGAAACTAGCCTGAAAAAATTCTGTGCTCTGGGAATTTAAATCAACAAACGGATTTGACGTTTTGATCTTGCTGTTTCCTTCACATATATTTGGAAACCGAAGCTTGGAAACTGTTCAAATTGCATTGCAAATTCAGATCGGTGCAAATTCAGTTTCATCCCTCGAGCTTAGAACAAAGCCTATCATCCGAATCATTCACTGGGACGGATCAAGACTTACCTTTATCGTTGTTTAATTTCAAATATTGACCTCGGTACTTGCATCCAGGGAAATAACACTTCTTATTAAGCGTTCCTGACTCATTCACATCACAGAATACCATTGGTTTGTTGGTAAAAATGCTAACATTACGGCAACTATGGGTGTTGGTTTACATACTAACGTTCTCCGCAGGTGCATCAGCTCTAAGAACTTTAACAGCAAGCTCTCTTGTTACATGTATGGAAAACTCTCAAGTTGAGGCTACTCATTTCGATGTTGAGTTTAAAGCAAATGATGGAGGTGGGGCCTCGGTCGAATACGACATCTCGCTAAACTCGGAAATCTCTGACGAACAAATATTGGCGGAAATTTACGTCTACGCCTATGGTATCAAGGTGGCAAACAGAAGAGTTGATTTCTGTGATATTGGCTGGAAACAGTTCTGTCCAATGTATCCTGGAACCATAGAGGTTAACTCTATTCAATATCTGTCGAAGTCCTTTACTGACATGATTCCAGGAATTGCTTATACATTTCCGGATATTGATGCCCTGGTCAGAGTGATTGTTCTAAGTGAGAACAACACACAAATCGGTTGTATTCAAGCTTCTTTCTCGAACGGGAAGACTGTGGCGCATGTGGGTGCTAAATGGGCCACCGCTGTTGTTTCGGGAATTGGTCTTCTCGTTTCTGCCGTGTTGTCCGCGTTCGGAAACTCGTCTTCGGCTTCCATCATTTCAGCTAACGCTTTCTCACTGTTTTCGTACTTCCAAAGTACCGTTATATTGTGCATGTTGCACGTTCAAGAGGTTCCTCCAATTGTCAGCGGATGGGCTGAGAATTTGGCTTGGTCTATGGGATTGATTAGGGTCACTTTCATGCAACAAATCTTCAGATGGTACATCCAGGCTACGGGAGGAACACCAACCCAATACCTCACGTCTTCGTCTGTCTCTGTTCTGGTTCAAAGATCTTTGAATCAAGGAAAGAAATTTGCTACCAAGTTTGTCCCATTCTACCCATTAGTTTCATACTTCTTCCCCAGCCTATCTCCTGTGCAAACAGACTACTACCAAGACATTCAAGCAAGATCAAATGACCTTTACAATCTACATGGTGACCAATACCTCAAGATTTTAAGAGGTGTTGAAAGAGTTGGATACCAAGCAAACATTGAACCTACGTCGATTGTTTGTACGGGATTCACCTTTTTCACTCTATTCCTTTACGTCCTTGTTGGACTCTTCATGGTGACAAAGACCACAATGGCCTTTGGCAGGAGACATGGCTGGTCGAGAACAATCGACATGAATAAAAACTGGAGAGTGGTTTTGAAAGGAATTCTGCAAAGATACATTTATATCGGATTCCCTCAGCTTGTCATTTTATCTCTCTGGGAATTCACTGTGGTTGATTCCGCAGCTGTGGTTGTTCTGGCTGTGATTTTCTTGATTTTGTGTTTGGGAATCATGGGTTGGGTCTGTTACAGAACCTTGATGTTCGGTTCTGTCTCTGTTGAGACTCATAACAATGCCGCTGCAATTCTGTACGGAAATCCAAACGTGCTGAACCGTTACGGATTTTTCTACACGATGTTTGATGCCAAAAAATACTACTGGGGAGCTGTCAGTCTGACATACTTGTTCGCCAAAGCCCTGTTTGTTGCTCTTGCTCAAAAATCTGGAAAGACACAAGCACTGGTGATTTTCATTTTGGATTTGGTCTACACCGCGGGGTTGATCAAGAAGAGACCATTTTTGGATAAACCTACCAATATCGTGAACATTCTTATGAGTGTTGTGAACACAATCAACTCATTCTTCTTTATGTTCTTCTCGGAATTGTTTGGTCAAGCCAGTGCTGTTGGATCGATCATGGGACTGGTTTTCTTTGTTCTAAATGCTGTGTTTTCGTTTTTGCTTTTGATCATGATCATCACATACTCCTGCATTGCTATCTTTTCCAAAAACCCGGACGCAAGATTCTCTCCGGCAAAGGATGATAGAACATCTTTCCAAAAGAGTCAATACAACAAAGAGATCCCAGAAGGAGCACAGGAATTGTTTGAACTGGGGCAAGTCGCAAAGGATCATCAGGACAACTGGGCTAATGAGATGTATAAGCTCAAGGCCATGGTCGACTCTTCTGACGCTAATCTTTACTCTGAGAAGAAATCAGATGACACAGACAAGCCTTTGGAGCTTACGCAAGAAGAGGAGGCTTCCTTTGGTGCCAAACTTATGCACAAGCTTACTGGTGGTAAGTCACTTCTACGCCGCAGTAAGAAGTCGCAGTTGAAGAGCGAGGTTACCAATCCTGATGCATCTTTTGCGGATGCCTCTGCTTCAAAAGAGCTCCCAGATCTCCCGAAGACTACTCTCGAGCCCCCTGCAATTCATGCCAGATCGGAGTCTAACACGCCAATTATGCAATCAGATAGTGAGGTCTTCCAGACTCCTTCGTCGACGATGCACCACGAGGACAGCTTCAGAAGTGCCTCTGACTTTGGATCTGACGCCGACTTCAACTCTCCTGCACAGCCTTTCGATTCGACTGGTAACTTTGCCAGTTCAAATCAGGGAGATGGCAAGTACTCGTACTTGTAATGAGACGAACTTCATTTTCGATGTTTGCAGTGTATAATATATTACTACGGTAAAGTTGTTTTCACCACTATTTTATTAAGTTAAATCTATACTAGTTGGACTTTGCAATCAGATTAAATCAACAAAGTTTCAATCTTGTCCTTAATGGCGTAGATTTGGTTTTTGATGGCGGAGGCATCGTTTGTGGTGATAGAAGCAGCAATAACTGGTCTGGAAACACCACAAGCTCTACCCAAAGCGGTCTTGGAAGGAACAAAAACGTATGGAACGTTCTTGTCCTCGCACAAAAGAGGCAAGTGCAAAAGAATCTCAATAGGCTCGGTGTCGGCGGCCATGATGATGAACTCGGAAATACCTCTGTTCAAAGTCTTGGTGGTCTCGTTAGCACCCTTCTTGAGTTGTCTCAAGTTTTGAGCTTGTTGAACAACATCAAGAATCTGTTGGGTGAGGTTAGAGTCGGACAAAGGAAAAGCTTTTGGGTTTGGTGCGGCAGACATGATTCAATAAAGGTTCCTTGCAATGCGGATTATGATAAGCTCGCCTTTACTTAGATGAAAAAAAAATTTGAAAAATTTTGTTCAAAATAATATTAATTCACACCCTTACACAGCATCGCCTAAAATATATCGGGAATAATTCCCAATCGCTTTTCAAGTCGGCTTAAATTTTACCCGGATCAGTATCTCCTATTTTTCTAGATCATACAGCACAGCGCTTTGAGCTGTCCCACCCCCGCTTTCTTCTCCATATTAATTGGGGAATAAATTTTAGATGATGTCATTTTTTGTATCTTCAATTAGCCGAACTGACGCTTTAATACAATCCCATTATCGTGAGCCCTGAAATAACTGCCATTCTGTGTGGTAGCTGGGTGAGTTAGAGCTAATTAAAACTGACTGGTGTTAATATATAACCTGTTTCCAGACGAAAGTAGCTTCTCTAACCTGTTAGGTGTGAGGGTGCATTCCTCTAACTAGCACGTAAATAAGTTTTTTCCCCATTTTTTGGCAAAAGAAAATTATTGTTTGGTGCGTTTTTGTTCTCAACGTTTACACATTTGTTGTCAATTTCGACTTTATAACTATTTGTTTGTTCTTGTTGAACTCAGTCTTTTGAGTTAATAAGCCTGACTATTTCCTTTTGAATGCAAAATAAGTTGTAGCACAATGAATGAGCAAGGCCTTGCAAACAACGGAGTGGAACAACAAATGTTCACCGTAGAAGTGAGAGACGGTCACACCGGAGTACAATCAAATATCACTTACACGCAGAAATCCATGGTCGGTCATGGATCGTTTGGATACGTTTATCAAATAACATTATTGCATGATAATTCCAAAGCAGCAATCAAGCGGGTTTTACAAGACAAGCGTTACAAAAACAGAGAATTAGAAATTATGAGACTCATAAAACATAAGAATATTGTCAGTCTTCTTTCTTTCTTCTACAAGACAAATGAGAAAGATGAGTTATATTTGCATTTGATTTTGGAATATGTCCCAGAAACATTATACAAATCATGTCATTGGTATACCTCCAGGCAAAAAATTATGCCAAATTTTGAAGTGAAACTATATTCATACCAACTTTTCAGATCTCTCCTATATATCCATTCGTTGGGAATCTGTCATAGAGACATCAAACCCCAAAATCTCCTTATTGATCCTCTCAATGGAATATTAAAGCTTTGCGATTTTGGATCTGCAAAAATTCTAAATCCTGCCGAGCCGAATGTTTCGTACATCTGTTCCAGATACTACAGAGCTCCAGAGCTCATATTTGGAGCCAGAAATTACACCACCAAGATCGATTTGTGGTCTGCTGGTTGCGTCATCGCAGAGTTGCTTCTAGGGCAACCGCTATTTCCTGGTGAATCTGGTATTGATCAACTGGTTGAAATAATAAAGATTTTAGGAACTCCATCCAAAGATGAAATAAAGTCTATGAATCCGAATTACATGGACCACAAGTTCCCGTCCATAAAGCCTATTCCGCTGCAAAAGATATTCAAGCATGTTGAACCAGAATGTTTAGAATTACTACAACTGGTGCTCAATTACTCACCAATTTTGAGAATTGGGGCTGCAGAGACATTGACTTGTAAGTTCTTCGACGAGCTCAAAGCCCAACCAAATATCACGTTCCCAAACTACAGAAACTACAAGATCCAACACGAAATTATCATTCCGGATTTGTTTGATTTCTCCAAAAGGGAGCTTAGCGTGAACCCTTCATTGATCGATTCATTGGTGCCTGCATGGAAACGCGACCAACTTGGATTTGATCTTCAATCGTTTGTGCCATACTCAGGCGAACAGCTCATGGATCCGTCCTTAAATTAGTCGATGGCGTATGTGTTGACTCGAACCAATAATGAAGTTGAATGATTACGACTATTATTTGCCATTTTCTATTTATCATTTCAATTCTCGATGATATTTAATTGTATTTGAATACGATCTTTAAGGATTAGTAGTAAGTGTTTGTGTCAAACATTGATATTCCTTGACACTAACAGGATTCCAATATCAAAAAATAATTAAGTCAAATATTAATATCGCTAGTTTATTATTATTTGCACTCTGTTTCGGCTCTTTCATAAGAGCATGCTCTCAAAACTAGCAGGCTTTGTGATTCAAGATGAGCAAAAAGCGAGTTCTAGGCGCATCACAGGCGGATCATGCCCCGAGTGGATTAACGGGGATACCTACTCCTTCGTCATCATCATCGGCCTCTCCTTCTTCCTCCTCATCTTCTTCGCTAATCGCTACCGAAGCCTTACGATGTCCGATATGCAATGAGGTCATGCTGACATTGCATCAGCTCAACCGTCATCTTGATGACGAACACTCTTCGCCTTCACCGGGATCAACTGATAATAACTTACAATTCGAGACAGATTTCAAAAACTGGTTCAAAAAAACCGTTGTTGCCAAAGCCACAGAGATTGTTAACTCGCCCCAAGGACAGTCTCAGCGTGGTTCTACTAAGATTGAACTGTCTGCAAGCAATTATTCAGAAATATCTAATGATGAGGGCTCGAATAACGCACCGTTGATGGAAAATGCATCTGTAATTCCCCGAGATCACTGGCAGAGGTTGAATGGCGCCATGACATGTAACATGGACGGTTGTCCAAAGAAGCTAGGAGGCAAATTTGGGACTGTTAACTGCCGGAAATGTGGCAAGCTTTTTTGCAATCAGCATACACTATTTAGAATGAAGCTCGATAGGGACCTCAATCCTGATCCAATCCAAGGATATTGGAGCAGATGCTGCCAAGACTGCTTTCTTTCATATAGACAGGGTTGGAATTTATCTAATCCAAGCTCTTCCAATCTGTTAATCGATAAGGGGGTCACGTTCAAACGCTTGCGAGACCAAAAGATTGAAAATGTCAAATTGGAGATAGTGACATTGGAAAATAGGTCGATCAAATTGCTACAAACTCTCAAACAGATTGAGGATGGTCACATTCCAGCGCGAAATCTGAAAACGATTGAACAGGGTTTAGCAAATTGGGTTGATAGTTCACAAGTTATCGAATGTTCAATATGCCACACAGCGTTTAATTTTTGGAATCGAAAGCATCACTGCAGAGTTTGTGGACTTGTCGTTTGTGGAGACGTATCTCGTGGCTGTTCTATGGATGTTCCTGCCAATATCTTTGTTGATATAATGAACACTGACCAAGAAGAGAAAATACAGAACTTAGAGGATGTCAATTGGACAGTTAGATTATGTCTTAACTGCAAACAAAAGCTATTCAACAAGAGACTGCTTTTTCAAAGTCGGACTTCTGATAGTTTGTCAGAGTTTCTGCATTTCTTTGCCCAAGTGAAGGCCTTGGAAGCAAAAATTGGAAATAAACGAAAAGTTGACGGACCTTTCGATTTAGGTCATGTTGAGCTACTTGGAAAGATGGAGCGAATAGGCAAATTGGTTGCAAATAAGATTGATGGTTTAGAACACTCTTTGGAGCAAGGTAAGGTCAAGTCCCAGTCGATGCAAATCAAGATTGATGAAATCAAGCTTTACAAATCATTGAAATCATACATCATTCTGTTTCTTCAAGAAAATCTCCCCATACTTAGAAAGGCTCAACAGGAGAAATTGAGAAAAGAGCAAAAGGAACTGGAAAGCCAGTCCTATTCCAAACCGGCGAAACCAAAGCTGCTAAAGAAAGAAATCAGGGAATATAGAGAAAAACTGATGGTTCTGAATGAACAGAAGTTTATGGTCCAAAATCTCTACGAAGATTACAAGAAACGAAAGAAATTCGATGATCTCAAATCGCTAGAACTAAATCTCTCTGATTTGCAGCAAGAGATAGATTCGGTTCAAAATCAGTTGGGAGATAATGCATTTTAATTTCACCATATAAACTGGTAGAGTTCATTAATACACAAATTCGTCAAGCTCTTAAGCAGCCACTGAAGCTTTTCTGAGCTTCTTGGCCTTCTTCTTATTAGCCTTATTATGTTTCTTGTTGCTTTGAATTGATTTGCTGTGGAACGGCGTTTGGAAACTTCCTTGGACTTGGTTCATTTTGAAAAATTCGTTATCAAGTTCAGCAGCAGAGTTGAGTATAGCCGCCTGTTTACCACCGTAAGTTCTTGCATGTTTGTTACCATTGAGGGCATCATCGGCAGATAAGTGCGAAGAAAATGTAAGTTTGCTGAGATCATTGGCAAGGTCGAAACTTTCAACATTCAAGTTTTTATCTCTAATGGCATTTAAAACTTGCTGCTTTCTTTGTTCAGGAAGGTTTTGCACCGTGTATAAGTCTTCATTGAACCGACGGCAGCTTTCCTCGTCACGTCTGGAACCGTCTTCGTTTGGAGGTGGCTCCACAAATAAAAGTTTTCCCGTGGCATAATCCTTTAGAATGTATCTTGCCGCACGACTCTCATCGGCAGATCCAAAACCTTGAGTCATAAATCCCCTTGCTCTTGCAAACGCATTTAAAAGTTCGTGGGAATTTGGTCTCCCGGTTCCCCCTTCCTCTATTGATGTAGTATTGATAGCAATACCATAAACTGCTTCCAGAAAATACTTTGGGATTCTTTCCGCCACCAGCTGAGTCGGTGCCGTGTGTTCACGTAGCTGATCGATCGGAAGAACACCGTTACAGACCAACTCTGCATTTGTGTAAGCAAAATTCGGGAAAACCAGACCTGGACAATCGCAGAGGATGACTTTGTCGGAAAGCAAAATTGTCTGGAAATGCTTCGTTTTTCCTGGAGTCGAAGAAACGGACACCTTCTTGGATCCAACCAATGCGTTGATGGTGGAAGACTTACCCACATTCGGGTATCCCACAAGCCCAATCTGCAATCTTTTTGGCTGCCCTTCAGGTGGTTCTGTTAAAGGTTCAGGTGCAACTTTCAAACATAATTCCTCGAGTTCTTGAACGGTGATAATTCTGGTCCATTCTAATTGATCTTGGAGGTTTTCATTCGAAGCCTCCCCGTCTCCAGCTTTCTGTTCATCATTTTCTGTGCTTACAGTACTCTCCGGTTGATCATCCAATTCAACTTCTCTCTGTAGGTTGTTCACTTCTTGTTTCAACCGCTCCAACTCCTCATCCTCATCCTCGTCTTCGTCTGAAAAAGATGCATCGCTCTCGGTCAAATCAAAATCGTCAGCGCTTTCCTTTTGTTCTTTGGCCGGTTTTCTAATGGTAGCCTTATATTCAGCGGAGTCGTCTTGCTGCTCTAGTCTTTCTCTTTCTCTCTCGAGATCTTCATTGGCCAAAAAAGCACTGAAAAATGTATACTTGATATCATGCGCACGGAAATAACGAGCCCATTCCAGTCTCTGCTCAAATGTTAAAAGATCTGCCTTGTTAACCAACAATAAGTTACGCTTCAAGGGGTTAAGTTCCTTCACATATGCTTCGAGGTCGACAGAACGGAAAAGCAATGGGTTTCTCGCATCAACAATTTGAACAACCAAATCAGATCTTTCGACAACTCTCCAAAGTTGTTTCCACACCATGATGTTTCTTTCAAATGGTGTCAGTAATAAGTCATGGTTCTGTTGGAGCATTGCAAGCTTTCTTCTCCAATCTAAGAAAGCTTCACTTTCTAACCTTTCAAGCTCGAATTTGGTCATCTGTTTGGTCCATCTAGGACGTCTAGGAACCCTCAGTTCACTCTGGTGTTCTTGTTGGATTTTGAACTTTTTGATTTCTTCTTCGGTAGTTAATAAGTAAGGGTTGTAATTTCCCGTATCAACTGCCTGCTGATTGACCTTAACGATCTTTATCCCCGATGTTCTTTCAGCCGCGAAATCTGTGTCTGCCAAAGCTGCAGTGTTCAAGAATTCGTCCAAAGCATTCTCCTGAGTGACGGACCGAAGTTTCACCCAGTCGTCTTCATGCTTGTCTGTTGTGAATCGCATCTCACCGTCCGGAAGGTAGTAGACTTTATTCTCCTGGTTTTTCACATTCTTGATACTCTTACCCAGACCGATCGTGTTCTTGTTTTTGTGAGGAGTATTTTTCGGCCCCTTTGGAGGCTTCCACTTTCTAGGTTCTGTCTTTGGAGGCATTCTTGAATCAAGTTTCCTTAGTAATGTAGAAAATAAATTTTTTTAAGTTAATTTACTAGCCACCGTCTGTGGCTGATTTTTTTTTTCGAGGCGGCTTTTAAATAAGGTATGATGCAGAGACACGAATTCTAAATCGACCCTTTCTTTCTTCATTTTGAATTAAGATCTAGCTCCTGGGATTTTACTGAACATGTCGTCAGCTCCTAACGATATAACTAGAACCATATCTACTGTTACGTCTGGAACAGACAATGAGTCCACGTACTTCACAGATGCGAATTCCCACCTGAGTGAATCAATTCGCTCCGGTTCTTCGAAAGAGCCACTCGACAATGTGAACGACGAGTCTGCTGGAAAGGAGTCAGAGACCAGTGATCGTCTCTCTCCACAAGCAACGATCACAGGTGTCCAAGAAAACGAAAACCCTGATACAACTGTTCAATCTGTCCCAGGTGGATCATCGCCGGCTGAAGCTAGAAAAATCAACGAGGCAGATCTCGCGGATAATATCGAGAATAAAGAAACTCCCGTTGGTGGGCAGGAGCAAGCTTCCGCAGTGATCCAAGAAGAACCAAAAAAGGCATTTGTCGAACCAGATGTGCCAAAAAGAGGTGGCTATCAAAGAGATGAAAGTGAGTGTCACGAGTACTACTTCACTGTCTGCTGTTGCTCAGATGTGGACGTCGACTCCGGCAACATTTTCACCACTTGTATGACATGCTTCGTCTCCTCGGTTCTGAGCTTGTGCACAAGTGCAGCTACCAAAATATAATAGCATAATAGCATGTTTGAAGTAATTATATTCTTGTTACGCTTTGATTAGTTATACTCTGCAGTGCGGTAAATCTCCTCAAGCTTTTCTGTACTCCAAGGTTTATCATCCTTCGAGTACTTTTCCAAGGGGTAATCGTAAGGCATGCGAATGGGATAGTGTATGGCATTTGTGCTGGCATTCTCCATGTAGTCCGTACCTCTTACAGGGACTAGGACAACATCCTTCCTGTCATTTAGACTGACCTTTAAGATTTTTGGATTGATCAACACCCCAGCCTCGAATGATTTGACTGCGTAAGCGTGCTTCTTCAATTTTCCGTTCTGGAAAGATGCTCCGTACCCGCGCTCAGGAGCACCCCAAGCTTGTTTTGACAAGTTTGCTGAAGTGAGGAGAAACCATTTTAAAGTTGAAAAATTGTCCTCAGTCACACAGTACGTCTTCACGTGTGGAGAAAGATTTGATCTGCCGGCTTCAGATCGTGGAAAAGGCTTGGAGGCCCATTTGTAGAAGAAGTTTCTCAAGAATCTGCTCTGATTCTCGTAAGCAAACCACCCACCTACTGCCTTTGTTTTTAGCATGATAGCATGCCCTGATATATGTCCGTGATAGGCATTAATGACCTCATTTTCTGTTGGCCACACTATTTTAAGATCTAATCCCTCTTTGTTGGTAAATTTATGGTCAGGTTGTTTGACTATAATGTCAGAGCCTTCCACTATGCTCGAAAGTATATGAGTACCAATATTCATATGTTTTGAATCGAGTGGAGCCGATATCGAAGAAACCTGCATTATGAAGTCTGCGTTGCCCTTTGCTGTCAGATTGAATTGGTTCAGAGCTTGATGAAGACGTCCGTAGCCAAAAAGCTTTGGTCGATTGACGTTAGCGTGTGACTTATCTGATTCGGAAATGGAAAACTCATAACGACCTGGAGAAGAAGCAATGAAAACAACATCAATAGGATCGAAACAAAACGAGTCCAACCTTTTGATAAGGCTGTGTATCCTGTCGTCTTTGTACGTTTCCAAATAATCTTTAAGATCATTTTGAAACATCAATCCTGAGTCAGTGATTGGATCCAAATCGTTAATCGACTTTTTAACTGTTCCTTTCTTGAGCCTTTTGAGCCTTGGAGAAATCCAGCACATCTGGGTCTGTGCCAAATAATCGGTTGTGGTAAGATTCATAGTATGAATTACCAATTGGCAGGTATCATCGTGGAAGAAGTTTATCATCATCTTTGTATGATGACTTCCCCATTTAGGAAGATGCTTAGAAACGTCTACCGACCTGATACGGTATTGCAGCTGGTGCAAGTCCGAAATTGACATGTTCTCGCGTGTTCCGATTAGATACAACTCGAAATTTAAAGGATCTGCATTGAAGAATGGCAATAGGAAATCGCAATCTATGAGCATGTTAAATTGGTAGCTTGACTCTAATATTCTGGATCCAAGAATGTCGCCGAGTGAGATTGTATCGGCATTTGAAGATGGAGGATACTTCGCACAATAAGATGGGTTGGATATCAAGTGAATGGGAGATTTTAAGACAGGTGCTGGAATTGGTTTTTTCTCTGTCTCTGTATCAGTTGTGTGTGTACTCTTCTTCTGCCGCTTTTCGGCTGCGTCTGCTATCAAGTCACGAAGAAATCTTTTTCCGGTGGTTTCTTCGGTAACCTGTTCATCATTTGGAGTAGAGCTTGTCTCTGTGGTGCTTTCCTCGCTTTCCGAATCAATAATTTCAGGTCCTATGCTTTTGACAGTCTGTTTAGCACCATCCCGCTCGCCGATAAACTCTATAGAGCTATCAGTTTCACTTCCTGACATCAATGTTTGAGAATGTCCGGTTCAATAATTGTAATAGATTTAATATATCGTGAACATAAGTCGGATTGAAAGAAGAATTACATCAAAGTTTGATAAATACTTGAATTCTCATTACAAATATATACCATCAAATTAAAAAAACTCTAATCCATCAAGCTTAGTAAAGTCTGAAAGATGGACCCATGGAGGACTTGATGACGAGGGAACCAACGTTTTGCCAGTTCTTCTTGAGCAAAGAAACCAAGAAGTTGATAGCCATCATGATTTGGGTGACAAGAGCATCCTCCTCCATCTCAACGTGGCCAACAGCGACAGCCAAACACAAAACCTTCTTAAGTTGGAACTTAATGGTGGACTTCACATCGGTAACCTTGGAGTACAAGTCGTCGTTGTGAGAGACTGGAGTTGGGAACTTACCAGCCTTGGACAACTGAGGACCCAAAAGTCTTGGAACCTGCTTAATCAAAACCTCAGAAGCAATGAAAGCATTGTACTTCTTGGCCAGCTTCTTGATGAGCTTCTTGTTCTTGTTCAACTTCTTCAAGTCATCAACAGACATGGCATCGACACCAAGAGACTTAGCTCTGTCGACATCGAAAGCATCACCAAAAATACAGATGGTCATGTTAGGTCTTGGAACTTGAGGAAGCTTCAAGGTACCAGAGAAACGCTTGTCTCTCTGTGGGTCGTAGTTCTTAAGACCAACTTGCAATTCAACGGTCTCCAAGAAGTTTCTCTTCTTGGTCTCGTTAGAGAACTTCAAGATCTCCTTGACGTTGTCTCTCACTTGGGTGGTGCTGACTTTGGACATTCTTTGTGATCACTGTCTCCCTACTAATAGGTAATTCCGTTACTCGGCTTGTTCGACAATAAAGAACTTGTGTGAAAAAATGCGTTTACCTAGTTAAATTTTTCTTGAAATATTTTCAGGGCTGCCAGCACTGCTTTATGTCACGTGATATGGTTGACAATTTGGCTGTGCAATAGCTCGAATCAAGAACCATAATATATTAATCAGTGAGACTGAATATGTTCAACTCGCTCATCGCTCGCTATGCAACCTTTCAATTTGCTCGATATATCACGTGTCGTGTGCCGCTATGCAATCCTAGCTCACTTCGATTTTATTCCAAGAAATCTGGCTCTTCAAATAGATGGATAGAGAGGCAGATAAACGACTCATATACAAGAGAGGCCAAGCACTTTGACTACAAGTCTCGAGCTGCGTTCAAACTCCTTCAGATTGATGACAAGTTCAAGATATTCTCTAAAGATAGAAATATTAATGTTCTTGATTTGGGTGCAGCTCCTGGGGCATGGAGCCAAGTTGCACTAGAGCGTGCCAAATCTGGTTCCAACGTTTTGGGAGTCGACCTCCTCGTCTATCGCCCACCCCCAGGATCATCTTCGATGCAAGCCAACATACTCAGCAAGAAGACTCACGAAGCAATTCGAGAACATTTCAAAATTGCTGAGATAGAAAAGCTACGTCGAAAACTAGCATCGACAGAAGTGATAATTAATCAAACTGCATTGGAAATTCAAGAGACTTCAATTATCGAGTCGGAGAATAAGCTTAGTGATGCAGAGGAGCGTGAGCGTGAAAAGCGTGAAAAAAATCTAGAGTCTGTTTTCGAAGATCAACTGTACAGGCCAGTCGATGTGGTCCTAAGCGATATGTACGTTCCTTTGCCTCAGATAGGAGGATTTGCAAGTCAAACTACTAACATGCCTTTTCTTAGGATGGCAAATACTTCTGGATTATCTTTCAAGGATCATTCTATGTCAATGGACCTCTGTGACGCTGCATTAGTTGCCTCGATTGACGTGTTGAAGAAAAACGGGCATTTTATTACGAAGTTTTTCACTGGAAAAGAAGATAAACATTACGAGATGAGACTGCGCAAAGTCTTCCGCAGAGTGTATCGCTACAAACCCAAAGCCTGTCGACCGGAATCTAAAGAATGTTATTTTGTTTGTATGGACAAACTTGATGATTTTATTGACAAAAAGTCAGTATTCCAGGTTGCATGAAGCTATGGGTTGAAAAACCACTTATTAATCCAACAGTAAGTAGCGAATGTCATTCCACCTACTTAAAGTATGTCCGTAGTATATCTAACTATCGCATATCGCATTATACTACCTAGTAGAGTGTAAAACGAGAACTTCTTTATTGGTCCAGAATGAGTTTAACGCTCTTAAGTCGCAACTGAATCGATTTCATGGTTGCCATTCAACTGAGCTGGAATTGTCTCAACTTCGATGGAGTTCTGATTCTCGCTGTCACTTTCGACAGAGAGTCTGTTGCTTAATTTCTCCTTCCCTATGGAAGTGAGATAGCTCTTCCATAATGCCACCTCCTCAGCAACCAATCTTTTGTCCTGGGAATATGTCTTCCTCAAGAGCGCTGCTTCAGCAAATCGATCAGACTTCTCAAGAATAGAAGCACAAGTATCGAGGTCCGATGCAGCCCAGGCAGCTGAGAATGCAAGATTGAATTTTCCGGCCTTGATGCATTCCTCGCTGAGCGTTTTCAGTCCATCGACATTGTTGAAAGATGTGTACAGCAAAAGCAATGACGCGTGATCCTTGCAATTCTTAAACGCCTCATTAGCCAGTTTCAAATTCCAGCTCGAAAGAGCAACATCACCAAGTTTCTTCCACTTGTGAGGGGTGTTATCTTTTTCTGCAATTTCCTGAGCCAAAGAAAGATTCAAAGTCTCGATTGCAAGCTCAAATTTCTGCTCCAAGTCGTTTGTAAACTCCAGGGCCTTCTCTTTGAAACCTTGTTGCTCCAAAAATCGAGCAATTTTGGTGATGTCCTTTTCGTCGATATTGCCTATGAGCTCGTCTGCTTGTTCGAGATCACCTCTTAGAACGACAGTTTGGAATTCCAAGACAGCCAGTGAAAGAGCATATGAAACAATGTTGATATCCTTGTCAGAAACGTAAACCTTGTTATCTCTTGGAAGGTATCCGAGCAGGAACATTGTCTTATCAAAGTGAGCCAAGTTATTAATCGAGCCGCCAACAAGATAGTTCAATCTGTTGGAAGAGGACGTATAGATGAAAACATCCCCGACCCACTGTCCACTGACTATTTGATCTTGAACATCGTAAAGGACTTCAAAACAGTCTTCGCAGCCCTCCTGTGGGTCAATTGTTCCGTTGGACAAATGTTCCTGGAAAACATCTTTATCAAATCTCAACGCAAAAGCAGTCTCGTTTGACACAATCAGAACCAGTTCTCCATTTTCAGACCAGATGACGTCTTCAGCCTCCACATCTATTCTTCTAACAAGATCGCCAGAATCCCAGTTGTACAGCGATATGAATCCGTCGGACTTAACAGTCAGAAGGGTTCCACCATAAATCTTCTCAGCCGCGTAAATCAAGTCAATTTGTCCCGTGGTCTTCTCTTTGAAGTTTTTGAAAATCTTGACAGAAGATTGAGACTCTCTTGTTGCATAATAATTCGAGTCCTGTGCCCAAACAAAGTCGAGAGCTTGGCCATACATTTTGTTCCTCCATGCAAGAGCTGTGTAGATGATATATTCATTATCACCTGTAACAGTGACAAACCTTCCATTCGGGGAATGATTCAATGTGCTAGGATAAATCTCAATACTTCCTAACTCTTTTTGTGTCAAAGGCAATATCTCACCGTCCTCCAATTGGGCGTCCGATGTTTTGATCACGGAATTGTAAATATCAGTATGCTTAGAGTAAATGATCTTACCCATCGGATCCATGGATAGCAGAGGTTTGTCATCACCAAGTTTGACAACAACATGTCCGGTGTCAAACCCGACAGCAATGAGTGTTGATTTTTGACTAGCAGCAACACACCAAGCTCTTTCCATTGAGTAATTGAGAGACTTCTCCAATTTGTACGTGTTTGAATTCCAAATCTTGATGGACGCATCTTCAGATCCGGATATAATGAGAGGTAACTCTGGGTGGAAGATTGCAAATGAAACATTTGATGAATGTCCTTCCAATGTGGCCACACAGGATTTGGTTTGGTAGTCCCACACCTTCACAGATTTGTCATCAGAAGATGTAAGCAAATAAGGTTTATCGCCATGCGGATAATAGTCCACATAATTGAAGCCTTTTGATTCTGGAGCGAGCAAAGTGAAATTAGGAACTTTCGAACCCAAAGACCAAATTTTAACAGTTTTGTCCAAGCACGCTGAGGCAAAAGTGTTGGGATCTTTTGGATTGAAAGCGACACACATCACAAAGTGCTGGTGCCCTTCGAACACTTGCTCAAGCTTCCAATTGTTGTCCCAATTCCATAACTTCACCGTATAGTCATCTGAGGAAGTTAGAATGTATGGCCTTGTTGGATGTGCCGCAATGGATCTAATATAATCTGGATGCGCTTCAAATTGGGCAACACGGTCTCCAGTGTTATAGTTGTAAACTCGGATATGAAAATCGTCTGAGCCAACCACAATCCAATTTTTGCGAGCAATGAAAATACCGGCCCTAACTGGGACGTTAGTCACATCAATTGTTTTGACAACTGAGCCTGTCTCGTATGACCATATCTCAACTTTTCCACTATAAAGGGTGGTAAGTACCCAAGGTTCCGTTGGATGAAAATCAATTCCCTTGACACGATCTGAGCGGGCACTCGAGAGTTTCTGGATCTGGTTAGTTCAACTCCTTGAAATTTGATGCAACAAACTTACTTTTATGTCCAACTTCATCGCAATTATCAAATTGGGCCTGGAAAAAAGACTTAATAGCTCACAACAGCTTCGAGAGAGGTTGTTATTGGCACTATAAAATTGTAATTGTTGTTTTCGTGTTCACTAATTTTTCCATGGAATAGGTGCTTACGTAAGAGAAAACAAAAGGAGCGCTGCATGTGAGCTCATAACCGTCATGGAATAACAAGATACTTCTGATCGGCAACTATTTTAAATAGTATTTTGTTCGAAGTTTGATCTGTGGATAACATTTGCAACTGACTTTCTAATCTAAGGTTTTAATCATGTGGATTTTTGAATGGTGTAAGTTTGAATCATCTTACAGTTTGATCAATACTAACATATGCGTATACAAATGGGCATGAAAGGTGTTCATTTGTGTCGCAAACTTACAGTCCAAGATGTTCTAGCTTCGTTAGGATTGTGGAACAAGCATGCCAAACTCTTGTTTTTAGGATTGGACAATGCAGGTAAGACTACACTGCTCCACATGCTCAAAAATGACAGAATGGCGACATTACAACCAACTCTTCACCCTACTTCAGAAGAGCTATCCATAGGCAATGTCAGATTCACGACCTTCGATTTGGGCGGTCACCAGCAGGCCCGGAGACTTTGGAAAGACTATTTCCCAGAAGTCAATGGTATTGTGTATCTTGTGGACGCAGCTGATTCTGAAAGATTTGAAGAGTCGAAAGCCGAACTGGACGCTTTGTTCTCCATAGAAGAATTGGCAAAAGTTCCGTTCTTGATTTTGGGCAACAAGATTGATTCACCAAAGGCTGTCAGCGAAAATGAATTGAGACATTTCTTGGGGTTGTATAACACAACAGGTAAAGATAAGGTTCAATTGACTGATACGAGACCAGTTGAAGTCTTCATGTGTTCGATCGTCATGAGACAAGGGTACGGCGAAGGATTCAGATGGCTATCACAATACATTTGAATGGTTTTGTCCACGAAAGTTGATTAATAATAAATTTGATTGATTGTATCAACGCGTAAATTACAACTATTTCCAATTCCATCAGGCACGTCTTTTGTTCCCAAACGCTTCGCCTGATGATTTACTGATGCCAATCTTCCTTTTCTTACCTTCCTTAGAGAAAAACTCCTTCTTCCTTTCTTTTTCCTTTTCAATCCGAGTTGCCTCCAGCTTGGCCATTTTCTTGAGCCTCTCGTTATTCTTTTCTTGTTTTTTCTCCCTCTTCTTAATATCTTTATCTTTCTTGACTGTCTGGATTGTTTGGATCAAACTTCTGGCCTTTTTCTCTTCTCCTCCGAGAACGACGGCTCTCTTTTGCATATAGCCTTGTTTCTTTTGTTTCTTCATTTGATGAATTTGAGACTTGTACGGTAAATTGGCCTTGATTTGTCTTGGAACCTGGAGTGCGTTGAATTTCCTTTCCTTCCGTTCAATCTTGTGATACTCGGAATCTGGGTTCGAGGGAGTTAGTATGTTATTTTCGGCTCTCAGTGTACCGGTCAACTTCATTCCACTCCAGTTTTCCTTATCTGTCAGCAGCAGGGAAGTGACTGGGTTATAAAACTTCTTTGGCTTGATGGGATACCAACTCTTGAGGAAAACAATGTCACTCATCAAAATTTTATCTTCAAATGCAGCCCTAAAGTGTCCCTCAGGTTTGGAGAGTGCCTTCTTGATTTCACCTCTGAGACCAGAGACTGTCCGGATAGTAGCGCCCTCGAATTTTGCCACCTCCAGAGCAGAGGAAAACATATCCTTTATGAAAGCTGTGTTTTTGAACACCTTGTATGGGTGACCAATGAGCTTGAGCTTTTTGACAATCTCAACATCGGCATTCAAGTCTTCGACAACTCCAGTAGCTGCGATTCTGAAAGACCCTGTTGTATTTTCTTTCGAGACACCCTGTACACCGCAAAAAGTGGTGTTGGGTGAAATCAGCGGACCATAAAATGTAGCAAAGCAGAAAGCATGTTCTGGAGTATACTTCAGCATTCGGTTTCTTGTTCGAGAATCTGAAGTTGTATAAATTGGAAGTGTCTGAAACCTTCTCCATCCCAATGACAAAATTAGCGGATCATTTGTTTTCAATACTTTCTTGTGCCACCGATGTCTTCTGATTCTAACATTCAAGAACCCGAATCTTTGCTCTGTCTGCAGTAAGCCTCCCACAATCAATGGAAACTTTGGATCAAAATTTTCCATAAGCTCCATCGGCAGGTTGTCAAACGTGATCTTCACGTAAGATCCGGCCTTGAAACCTTCAATCTTTGTACGCACTTCACTGGTTAATTGAGAAAGCTCGGACTTATTGATTTCAAGCTGCTTCGACATCTTGGCTTTTTGATATTCGTACCAGGTATCATTTTCATCGAAAACCTCCTCCTTGCTATTGAAGTTCCCTTCTTCTTCTTCCTCGAATTGCTGCTTTAATCTCTCCTTCTTCTTCGCATTCAAAGCACGTTTCTCATCGACTGATAATTCTTGATCTGCCTCGTCTTTTTGACCCTCTGAACCGGCCTCTCCATCTGTTAACGAAGTCTCACTATCAAATCCAGTGAATTCCTCTGACTCGTTCCCTGAAGCTTCACCCGAATTTGATTCATCTTCCAAATCTTCAAAGTCACCGTATAGTTCGCCATCTTCCGATTCGTCCAAATCTTTCCGAGGTGAAGTGAAAAAGCGCTCTCTCAATTTGGCCAACAGGGTCCCATCTTCGCCCCATTTCTTCTGCAATGACTGGGTATCTAAACTCTCTAGGTTTGAGCTGACCTTGCTTTCGAATCCTTGTGAGCTGGTCTTTTTTGTGAAAAAGTCTTCATCCTCACCCTCTTGCTCTTCTTCGCTCAAATGTTCAAGCTCGATTTCTTGAATTTCAGACCCACCAAGCACTTCAGCGAGGCCCTCTTCTTCTTTCCTCCAGCGAGAAAGTACATCTTTTGGGTTGATATTGATCATGTATAATAATTTGTTGATATCCCAAATTCTTTTCACTCCCGAGCTTTCGAGCTTGGAGCCGATTTTTTGCCAGTAAGCCTTACCCTCAGAGACCTCTTCGTCAGATAATTCAAGCTCAGAATCTGATTCTTGTGGATTGTCATCTTCATCCAGGTCCTGTGATGAATGCAAATAATCTAATGTTTTGTTTCGAATTGCAGCTAATCTTTCAGATTCCTCGATTTCCTCGTAATCTTCGTCTTCTTCATCGCTAGAAATCTGATCACTAGGATTCTCCATGATGGTATCGTCCCTTTCGTCCTCATTGTGGACGCGAGCGTGTCGCAGACTAGTTCTCCCGGTGTCATTGAGAATAATGTCATCATCATCATCCTGAATGACATCCTCGGTAACAGCTTCTGGATTGTCACTAAAAAGCTGCACTCCAGTTGTGCTGTTCCTAGAGTCTAAAATATCTCCAGCTTTCTGCAAGCTCGTGACCATTTTTTCTCCTATCCCTTCTTCTTCTCCCTCTCGAAAAGATTCCGTCTTGACATCAATATAAACAGCGTCTTTGTCGATCAGAACACCCTGCACATCCGACATGGGCCCATATATGATCTTCTGTTTGTCATCTAATCTCTTTCTGCGCCTAAAAGATGAAGTATGCTTCTCGCCATTCTTTTCTGCTTCCTTTGCTCTTTCTCTCTCGAGCTCCTCAATCTTTTGTTCAAAATATGGAGTCGGACAAGGATCAGGGAGTTTTTCAATGTGTGAGACATTGTAGTCCCCAATACCTGCTATATGAACTCTCAGGTTTTCAGCCTTGAGCGGGGTCCCATGCAAATAACCATAGATTGCGATCTTCCGATCGATTTTCGGTCTTTTCTCAATTAAAGAAGGATGGGTAAGATCGACAATCCTATCAGCAAGGAGATATGGATGTTCATTCCTCCATTTCAAAGGCCTAAATTTCATGACTGATATGAAACGGGTCAGATTGAGTATTTCTCTATCTGGGTAACGACCATTTATAACTCCCGATAAATAAAATAATTTAGCTCCTTGGTAAACTTCTGTCCAGAACCGTTGTTTAAGCCTCTTTTTCGACGCTCTCAGAGTGGCAGGCTTCTTGAAAAGATCCAGATGAGTGGTAATTCCTAACACTTTTGGCATACCGTGGTGTTGTGCAATATTCAGAAATTCCATCGTTTCCATTTCAAAACCGAAATTTCCATCAATCATCAAAAGAACGAGGTCGGCAACTTTGGCTATGTCTATCATAGAGTTCAGATCATTACCACATTCGATAAAGGTTAGTCTTCTTCTTTTGCCACTCACAACAGTTATAGGCCCTTTTATATCCTTCAAAGTGGTTTTCGTTAGCCTTCTGATGAGTGATCTGATTAAAGTTGTCTTTCCGGTTCCCGGAGGGCCCACCACTGCAACTATAATAGGCGGAGGATCGTCTTCTGGAGACCTATCCACCATAGGCACGTGAAGTTTTCTTTCATTAATATCACTCGATCTCTTTGCTTGTTTTTGTAACTTTCCTGGTCTAGAGACCGCAAACGCCTTCGCATTTTGCCCTTGTGAATGCAATTTTGATTTTGCAGAAGTCTTTTTAGAGCTCCCTCTATGGGGCTTGTGGCTTTGTTGGGCTTCCATTAGTCAAATGAAAGTAGATTTAACTACTCAAAAATATTTGAAAAAAATTATCCACAGCCTAAAATTTTTTTTATCTACGGTAAAAATTTAGTAAGTAAAATCACCAAAACAACACGAAATACAGGTCGTATTGAAATTCTTTGCAGTAAGTTCTACAATGGATCATTTATACTTGTGTAATACATTACTGTAAACGGCACTAAAAGCAGGAACAACAGAACGATAGACGACAAGATTACCGTCCAACGCTCGGAATATTCAAATCAATACAAGAGTCCAAATTTCCATTTCAAAACTGAGAAAGCCAATCAGTATAACACAAACTTGGCTTTACCAGAAGTAAGGGCAACAGTACATCCGTCTGTACCATCGCCATTATAAGATCCGTTCTCGTAATAGCATTCTCCTTGAAGATCACTGCTATCATCGTAGGCTTCAATTTTGACCTTGAAGTTTGCGGAATCGTAGTTGTTTGGATTTGGAATCAAGGACAGGTATGTGGTTCCAGAAGTGTAACCGGCACCAAAATTCAGTGGAGCCCAGTTTCCAATTCCACTTCCAGAAGTTCCCCACACACAGCCATCTTCATAGGAAACACCTGCATTGTTAACGTAGTATTGAGCAGATGTCTTCTTACCCTGCCATTGGTAGTAAGAATCTTCGTCAACAACAGACAAGATACTCTCGCCACCAGCCTCCACAACAGTTGGAATGACCATATTCTCGGTTCCAGGGTAATCGGTTCTGCAAATAGCGACGGATTGGTCAAGCTCAGACACCACTCTAGCGGTGTCTTCACCCCATTCGCAAAGGTAGTCTGTATCGGTGTTCGTTCTGTAAAGGTAACCGTTCTTACAGTATAGACCTCCGACAGAGACACCGTTACCTGGTTGGTCAGATGGCCATTGAGTCTTGGACATACCAGGCTGACAAGCGTAGGAGCAGTATGTTCCATCCTTGCATTCACCACCAGTAGAAGTATCGGAAGAATGGTAAAGTCCAGACCATCCACCGAATCCTAAATTGTCAAGGGCAATCACACCTTGACCAGATGGGAAGTCGGAACAAGAGATTGTACCATCCTCAAAGGACTCAGTAGGATCGGAGAAAGCAGAAAGATCTCCGTCAATTCCACCAGAAGAAGAGGTGTTGGAGCTGTGGGAAGACGATGAAGATGATGTGCTGCTGGTTTCGCTTTGGGAGCTAGAGCTAGAGCTAGAGCTAGATGTCGAAGAAGCACTGGTAGTCGAGGATGATGAAGACGTTGCGTCCACAGTCTTGCTCTCAAGAGACGCTTCAACGGTCGGAGACACGGTGTTTCCACCAGCGTCAACCGTGACCGTAACATACACATAATTGTAAGCCACAGCTCTCTTGTGTTGATGGTGTTGATGATAGCTATTTTGAGTCGTGGTACAATCCTCGGCTTGCGCAGCAGCTTTGCCTTCAGCTCTAGGGGCTGGGGCCGCAGAAACTGACCCAAGCAAAGCTGAAAGTGTAAACAGGGTAGATGTTGTAAGTCTCATTTTTGAAATATATCTAAAGGAATGTGTTAGCTTTGCATAAACCGTAGGTCAGATGAAATCCAATATGACAAGAGAATGACAAGACAAATTAAACAATTTGATGGAACAGGGGTTATTTGACGAAGCGTGTTTGGCAAAAATAGTTTTGTTTATGTTTGAAGCTGGTTTTAAGCTCTTATGCACGATCGCCAATTTTGCGTTCCTTTAAACATCAAGCCACAAAAAATACGCGAATTTTGAGCCCTTTTAGGAAACTGGTGTGTGGCTGGAGTAGAATTTGTGGCAAATTCCAGAGGTGCAAGGGGTGTGACTGTTGTTGTTTATCCTTCATTCCAAATTTGTGCGCGACTTTGCATAAGGAAATTTCTATATCCAGCCACCTGAACTTGAAAATCACGAAGATAAACATGTGTTGTGAAACACCAAGCGATGAACGTAAAGAACATGTTTCATTGCCAACAGTAATATCACGTCTCTTTGGCTAAACCAAACTTCGACTTCGTAGTGGAATTTGTTGCATTCCCTCGCAAGTTATTGAGCGATTATCAGCCTCTAGCTTGGAATGCCGGTGAAAGCCTGTTGTTCGTTCGAATGTTGAGCAAATCATAAGACAACAGTAATCCAGCTTGCTTCGGGTGAGAAGTGTGATCCAAACAAGATTCATTTTCTGTTCTTTCCCTTGTTCATATTTGCCTATGTCATTTCTCGTTCACTTTTTCTAACGCTGACCTGAATAAGATACGTACCGTTTTCTTTCTAATGAATGGCTAGAGCTAATGGATTAGATGTCAATAGGATGACTCTGATGAGCTCAATTTGTAGTAAGGAATGTAAGTAGTTGGATTGTTTATGTTGTGCAAGCCTATGGCTGCTCTTCGCTCTTGGTCTGTTCAAAGAAAAGAATTAAAAAAAAAAGAGTGTTTTCCTCAAGAGATTCTTACTGTTTTTTAAAACCCGATTGGAACTTGAAGAACAACTAAAACGACCTTGGTACAACCTTTAAGTCCTCTTTTGAAAATGTAATTTCCTAATTGAAATCTTTTTATTGTTAAACTTTTCCCTGCATACAATAAGACCGGGTTTCCAAGGCAGTTGTGAATGTAGCTCGGTACACAGAAGGCATTTTTCCAGCCCTCTTTTCCCTAATTGATATGCATCGTACCGCTAAGGTCAGCAAACAAGATGGCTTTATGAATTATGTGAGATGATGTAGCAGCACGATTGATAATAGGTAAGGTCAAACAGGATTAAAAATGCATTTGCTAATAGCTCTTCATAATTTTCAAGCCCCCTGTATCAGTGCATCCTTTGAGTGATGCCCACGGGACAAAAACGGCTGGCAGAAAAATCCATTTGGATGATCGGCGGTTCAGTCTGACAAAAAGAAAGTCAGCCAAAATTGACTTTTTCTACTCTTTCTAGCATATAGCATGTCGAAAAAGACAATAGATGACATTGACGCTGTCTTATCTGTCACCATGCTGACTTAAGACACCGCTTTGCTTCGTGAGGACGGTCAGAAAGTAGTCAGTATGTGATAATTAATTAGTTCTCTTGCTCGTCGGCCGATATTTTTGTACGAACTCAATGGAAGAATCACATGTAAGGTTCTGCTTTGTGTGTTTGAAATCGATGAACCGAGTCCAAAATACGTTTTCTCACAGTGTATTGGCATCTAAAATTTTATCGAAATCTCTTTATTTTGATTCCTGACTCTATTTCTGCTCATGACGGAGTTGCTGCAAGTCTTTCATGGTGATGTCGTTATGGTAGTTCACATTTGTCTACCATATATCATACAGTCTACGCCTTATAGCCGGATCGCGGAAAACTTACGCACCAACCGTATAAAGCGCTATTTGTTTCAAAATTAGGATGATCGGAGTTCGAGCGAGCCAAAAAAAAAGATCACAAGTGGGGATTCGTGTTTTACGGAATGGTTCGCGTTTGGCATTGGTGCTGGCAGGTAATATCTTGTAGTTGCACCTCTCAGTAAATTGTATGAGTAGATATAGAAGTGGTGTAAAGGTTTGTGAAATCCGAATTCAATTTATTACCATTTTTGCACCCACACAAACAAAAAGAAATACCCGGGCGTGGGTTTTTAAGAATAAATAATTTGAACTTTGTTTCCATAAAATTGAACCCACACCATAGACTTTACCACTTGAGTCCAATTCTTAGATCTCTGCAATTCGTAGTCATCTCAATCCAACAGCCGAATTGCAGTTTATGTTCATTACGCGCACTTTGATAGGCTTGCCATCTGTTTAAGCTAATCGCAAGCAAGAATACTTTAGGTTGGAGGAGTCTCAGCAAATACACGGCAGACCATGTCTAAAGAAGTTTTCAACGAGGGGCCTACAACGTCACAGCATATCGATGCCGAAAATGATGATCATTTCAACAACACAACTTTCAAACTAAAAAGAACCAGGTCATTAGGTCTGCTTGATGATTTTATTACTCAAACACAGTCTCTGGACACTAATTCAACTCCCGGAAAAGACAGTAAGTTGACATCGAAAGATTTTGTGTCTGATGCTACTCTGCAAAAGCTAAACATCAAATCAACATATGACGATACCGAGAATATCCCACGTTTTTACACCAGGGTGATACCGTCTTCTTCCAAAAACAAACGAGTGGTGTTGTCCAACTCGCCACAAAGTACACACAGTGATGAGCTCTCCGACGAGAATTGCAACTCCGAAGATTCGACAACTACGACAGCTACTGCCAACTCGATCAGTCTCACGCCAAAGCATGAGCTAAGGAAACAACAAAACCCGACTCAAATTCATGAACATGATGAAATACCTGCTCCATCATTGATTTTTCAACATCACTTACACGATGATATTGATGTTGAGCATGCTCCTGAGCAACATGTTGATTATTTGTCACATGATTGGGATGAAATGGAAATTTCGAAGTCTTGGAGATATGTCACGTTAAAAAGAAACAACTTTGCCAATTCTGCAAGACTTGAAAACGCTTCCTGGAGAACTTGGGCCCAGGCACGAAATGGATTAAAGACTATATCTCCTGCTGAACTCAACTGGAGTAAGGAAAGTGATGTTACATGGCTATATGGCCCGCTTTACAAAGAGGAAAAGCACGAGTTTGATATCATGGATTTCAAGAAACACCAAAAGTCTAAACAGCAAGATCATAAGTCGTCCGGTCGTCCTACTTCTCAGACATTTGTTTCTTGTCCTTCTTCAAACGATTCATCTCCTACTAGTCCATGTCTCTCTGATAGATTTTCGGAGCATTTGAAACCAATTCTGAAAAAACGAACCAATGTTGAAAAAATGATTAGCGATGCTTCATATAGTCGCCTACAAACCCTTCTCGAAGAGCATGATCATAAATTTAAAGGCAGCCCTATTTTGGAATCCATTGGTCATACATATCATGACTCTCCCTCGCCTGGGAATTTGTCGAGCCATGTCATAACAGGAGATGCATCCCCATTTTCCTTATCTGCAAATGCAATGATTGAAGATGTCAATAAACTTGACAATCATTTGCAGGGTACCAACAATAGCAATAAAAAGGAACGAAGGATTCATTTCAATATGAGAGTTGACCAGTGCATAGCCATTGATGACATCTCAGACTCTGATGTTTCGGCAGACAATGAATATGATAGTGAATCCGATGACAACCATTCAGCATTTTCAACATCGACGTTACAACCTAAATCTTATGATGACGATTATGATGAAATGGGTTATCCGAATGCAGGAGACGAGGACGACGAGGATGACGAAGATGGAGGTTTTATGCTTCGCACTAGGGTTGTATCGCCCAACATATCCCACAGACCCTCGATCCGTTATGGCTCTTCGCAAACTTTTGATATGAACAGCCGAAACAACTCCAGTGACAATTCTCGAAATGTTACCACTATTGCTCCATTACCAGCAACTACGCTCAAAACTTGCTCTGACGATGAAGAGGCTGATCCTTACACCGTTTCTCATAATACGCGAACCAATAGAGGTTACGATTACTATTATGACTATAATACGGTGTATGACGATACTACGAATCCATTGTTCTCGGTTATTAATAGTCAACAAAATGTCGAGGTTTACGATGTGCCCGAAAGCTGTCAAATTGAAGATGTGATGGATGTCGACGAAAATAGTGTAAACCAAAAAGAGGAGTTTGCAAACCAATCTTGGAATGAAAGGTCGAATTATGAATTTCCAATTTCCACCTCGGGACCAGAGAAAGATCTTTCAGACAAGTACGAGTTACCTTCTCGCCATTCAAATATGAAAACTAATCCTGTTGAGCATGGAACTGTTGCTCCTCAGCAACTCGCTTCTGACAAGGTTTCTTCTGATCTGCATAAAAACTCATCTGCATCGGGACATTTTGACTCAACAAGTTCAGGATCTAGTCTTTCGACAATTAAAGCAGGCCTAAGCGGATTGGATTTGGGCAAGTCTGGTTTAAGAAGGAGCTCAAGTACCAGCTCAAAATCAGCGCTTTATCAAATGGCTCAAGAGCCTGTAATCCAAGGTCGCCAAAGTCAGGGGCAATATTCGATCACCAATGCCAATCGCAGGAATTTTGTGTTTGATGATTCTGATGAGGAGGACGATTCGTCGGAGGACAAAGAAATGGAGATAAATCCGCCAAGGCATCTAACTAATACATCGCACTCGTAAGGATCCGATGATGATATCTTACAGAATAACAATGAACACCAGCTTTCACTATGGGTCTCGTTTCATTTGCTACTTGACTATATATACCATCGATTAATGTTGAACTGTACTTACTCAGATACAATGTTACTGATTGAACTAGCATTACGCTCTTTTTGAAATCCTTCCAAGTAATATCAAAATCAACGGCAGCGATTTCCAGATTTGACTACGTGCTTTTTCCTATTACCAGTTTTTGATGACCTAGCTTCATGAATTGAGATAGACAGCGGAACACCAATATTACCTTCTCGTTTTGTAGTTCATATCAGTTTTTCGTAGATGGTTTTCGTGTAACAGCTTGATTAAATCTAGCACTCCTGCCGAGCCTTACTTTCGAGATGTTTAATGAGGTTCAATCAACATTCGATGGTTTCAGGTGTGTTTGTATGTATTTGTGGCTGATGTTTATGTGGCTAGTGATTTGTTGCTAAGGTAGTTCTAATATCATATTACACGACCATATCTGTAAAAAAAGTTACAATACGTGTACTCCTTACCTTAACAATCCTCGAAATCGGAGTCAGCAGCGTGAACCAAGATGTCTAGATCCGACTTTGCAGATTTCAGTATCGATGACGACAACGACTTGATTATCCAACCGGACAATATTCACTCGCGGCAGCTTCCAGTGATACCAGATGTTCCTTCTCAAGCAGAACCTGCGCATAGCGGAGAAACTGCCGACCAAACACGGGGTAACGATTCAAATTTCCTCAATTTCTCCAATTTTGTAAACCCGCAGAGCTATCTTGACCCAATCCTTGGTAACAGCAATGTCCGCATCAAGGAGAAGCAATTCAGCGGAGGAAACACTCTTGATGAATCCGTTATCACCACTCTCAATAGGGACGTGTCTAAGATCGGCGACAAACTACTCTCAATTCTTTGGCCCTTGAGGCTGAGACAAAATCTCATCACTGTTCAAAGAATCAGTAGTCGATTTCCTTCGTTTGGCAACATGGTCGACGGAGCTACCGAAGCATCCATTGACTCGGAGCACAATTTGGTTGAAGATTCCCCGAACACTCGATCAGAGTACTCGGAAGAATCTATCAGGAAAATCCTTGACTGGGACTTGTGGGGACCTCTGGTTTTTGTTTTGGCTTTTAGCTTGATCATCACTCGATTACAAAGTATAACGCTGAATACCGGAGGTACAGCACCAGAAGAAGCTTCGCAAATATTCAGTGCTTCTTTCTCTCTTATCTGGATCGTTATATCGGTTTTGTCTGTCAATATCCAGTTGGTTTCTCCGGTTTCTCAATTGACAGATGGCGGTGATCTAACATCGGGGATCATTGGGCTCTCTTTTTTCCAGTGTGTAAGTTTTCTATCTTACACTCTGTTTCCGATCATTCTTGGCGGATTGAGCTCTGTTTTTGTTCGGTGGAAATTGCTCAGATTGGCAATTAACTCGTTAATGTTTTTGTGGTCTATCACCTGTTCTTGGTTATTCCTGGCCATTATCAACAATTGCAAGACAAGCGGCACGCCGTCCTTTCTCAGTGGATTCGCATCCAATCAAATGCATGACAGAAGTGATGGGGATAAGCGGATGTTCCTAATGATTTACCCGATAGTTCTTGTTTATGGACTTTTTTCGTGGCTTTGTGTGATAGTTTAGCTGGTAAACCTGGGACGGAAACGATAGCATCACGACCACTAAATCAAGGAATGACTAACATCTGTATCTGAGCAATGTCTCCTAATACTGTTACAAAACCATTACAGTTAAATCTAAATGATGTATATTCGAATTGTTGTTGGCCTAACGTCTTACCATTATATTTCCTTACTTGTGGACTCATTCTCTTCTTCGTCAGCACCGAATTCCATGGGATCATAAGTGCTTCTACGCATGTCTCGATCATAGATCTCAGAAGTCGTTGGCTCCCTAACTTGAACAATGATCTCATCGCGGCTCAGCTGTCTCAAAATTGGCTCAAGATGCTGATCAATTCGACATTTTTTTAGCTCAACCTTCCCTGAAATTGGAACGTACAAAGCAGTGGATGATTTGGGGTCAAAACTGATAGCCAGATGACGGAAATTTCTAACCTCATCTGATAAGCGCGCATGAGTATCGTAATCTCTAACTTTTTTGTAGTGAAAGGTGTCCTTGCCCATATCTGTTTGATCAGAACCACTGTTCTCAGACGACTCTTTCATTATATTTTCGACAATATCAGCCCGCTGTTCTGATGTAGTATAAAAGGACATCAGAGTGACGGTCTCGTTTATCGGAAGATTCCTGAACAGTATTTGCTCTCTCCCACCTTCTCCTTCCAATTTCCGCCTCTTATTTGCCTCCTTGGATAAAGCCGGATTCGAAAACTTTATGTCGTAATAGGTTTGGTCAAACATCGATGTGTCAGGTAACAGCGACCAGACTCTTTTGGCTTTCAAGTTTTTTTTTAGAGGGTGTCTTATCTCTGATGTCGATTTCAACTTAGTGAGCTCTGAGAACATATGCTCGATATTTCTCACTTGATTTTTGGGATCAAAATCTTCTTTCGCCTTCATACGTAACTTGGTCACCGACTGGTCGGATAAAGAGGCCATGGGCTTCGCTAGTTTATCCGATGAAATGTATTGTGTCCTACGCAAGAAGCTGACATTATCGCTTTTGGAAACAGTTGATTTGTGAGGATCGGTCAAAAGAATTTTATCGTCGGGATGAAGCATCGTACTGTTTCCATATTCGGGTGTCAACGCATCAATCGACGCCATACTGTTTTTTTCCAAGCATTCAGGTAGGTCGATAAGACTGAGAGGTAATCCAAGATCATCGTCAAGAGTGACAAGATTGCTGAAATGCTCTTTGCGAAATAAGGCCGACAATAATGATGTATCGGTCAACCCATCGTCATTTGCCGAATTCAAAGTCACCAGTTTAGGAGGACATGGTGGAGGTGGCAAATCATTGAAATATCTGACTTTTGCGACAAAATCTTGTCTTGATGATGGCACCGTAGAATGATGCATTGTTCAGTAGGATACGTAAGATTGGACTATTCTAAACTCAACTTTGAATCGATAAAAAAAAAAACAGTTTGCCTAAAAAGTTCACCCGCCACAAATCCCAGCCATTCGAGAGGCGCAACCAAATAAAAATATTGAAAGCGTGGAATTTCCCCGTAAGCTTCGTACTCGTTTGGGATAGACTTGAGATAATAGATATCGATGATGATCTAAACTAAGAGCTGGAAAAAGTGTGTGAAATGAGTTTCGGTATGATTTTGCCTTTTGAAGGGAAAAAGTTTAGCAGCACGTCTGTCAACGCAGGGCAAAAACCTGAGCTGATTCAAAAAATTAAGGCTCTTGGGGGTGAATTCCATAATGATCTATTGGCCGATACAAATGTCTTAATTGTTGGAAGTATAGACACACCCAAGTATAGGTTTTGTGCTCAAAGACGCCATGATATCATATTCATTAAGCCGGATGCTATAAATTTTCTTTTCGATTCATGGATTAAGACGAGAGATTTGAGATCTATCAAGCTCGAAGACCACGTATTGAGCCCATTTAATGGTATGTCCATGTGCCTTTCGAGACTTTCTAGCTCTGGATCTTCATCCGATTCCCGTGAAGCTATTTCAGCGCTGATACTCGAGCTAGGCGGAAATCCAACAGATTCATTAACTCCTTCTAATACGATCCTAATAAGCATGGAACGTGCTGGCAAAAGATTTGAAAAGGCCTTGGAATGGGGAATACCTGTAGTGCATCCTAAATGGGTGACTGATAGTGCAAGGAGAGGGGCAGCACTCGAATGGCGCTATTACGATCTTAATCTTTTGGATCAAGAAAAAATTGGGGAGGGAAGTTGCTTGGTCTGGGACGAGCTCGAACCACCAGCAGAGGATGATGGTCGTCGGGAAATGTTCATAAACTCTTTTGACACATTCAGTCATACTGATCTTCCTGGTAGAGCCGGAGAAAAAAAGAATAAGGGGCTTTTTGCCAATATGGACATCTGTCCCGTTGGATTCAATGAAAAGGAGACCCTCAAACTTCGATCGACAGTCTGTGAACATGGGGGAAATTTTAAGCAAAAGAAAGAAGAATTGAACAATATTGTGAAGACCAACCGAGGAGTCATTGTCGTTTCATCTAATGAGTCTTTCCTCAAGTTTCCCGATGATATCATGCAAATTGCTACCACCATGAATCTGGCAGTTGTTAATGAATGGTTCATTGAACGGAGCCTCCACTACAACAATGTTTTGTTTGATTTATGGTCAATCCCACATAGACATTCAAATTTAAAATTGAATCTGAAAGTGACAATATCTGGTTTCTCAGGGATTGAATTACTGCACGTTACCAAATCAGTAAAGCTTTTGGGTTGTGATATTGCTGAGACTTTTGATGAAACTTGTGATTTCCTCATAATCAATTTACCTCGTGTTGGACTGAAGAAATCAAATTCTCCAGATCTTTTTTGTGACGAATTCAGATCTTTAGTGACTGATATCTCACACCTCGACGTACCAAGTCCCACAACTTGCAGTAAGGTTACTGCAGCTAGATTTTGGGGAATACCGGTTGTTTCTGCAGCTTATTTATGGAAGATCCTTGAGGAGGGACAACTTCCCGCTATAACTGATCCCAGATGGTGTGTTTTTTCGCCATCAAAAATGGAACACGTAACACAGAAGAACTACGAGCATCAAAGCTCTGGAAAGTCGTTGCCTATGGCGCTTATCACAAACAACGACTTGGAAACAACTAAACGAATCGAGCGATCTCCTGCCTTCCACCACCAGAAAGATCACACCTATTTAAAGTCGACGAGTTCAATGGAGGAAGATTTGAGTTTCCCCACAAAGAAGCCGAAATTGGCCAAACTTGCTGGTACCGCAAGTACCTCGAATCTTGACGTTTTATTTGATGGACAAAAATCAGGTATTATTCATCACAACGTGACTGAGCTTTCAAATAGGGATTTAGAGATTAGCTTCCAAGATCCCCGGTCTTTTAGAAAGACCAGACGAAGAAATTGAAAGATTCACGAAAGCTCTACTTCCAATTTTTTACAGAGATGGTCATGTAATGTGATGTAACGTCAACTTTTGCGCTACATATTACATGTACCAGCCACGTACCAGCCACATTTTCCACACCTTACACCACCCATTTCAGTTTCCTCTTTGGTCTAATTTAAAATCTAATCAATAGTTCTTGTCTTCACAAATGGACAAAAAGTCGAATTTATCACAGAATCAGCCAAGCCAGCGGGACATGTCTGGCGAACATAGCCCTGTTCCTTCCACTCCGAGTCCTTCACAAGGCGCGTCATTCAGTAATAACGGTACTTATGTGTTTCCCCCTCTCATTCAGATCATGATGTTCCTGTTTTATTTGGTGGTTCCACTTTTGGAAGCAGAAGTTCTGAGAATGATGAACAGAACTACCACGATAATCCCGAGTCTGTACCAATCGCAACAAGTAAAGGTGACGCGTCAGATCGCGAGATAGATGGCCGTGTTAACAAGGGAACGCAAGCCATTTTCGGGATCAGCGATGGAGGATCAAAACTTAAAGCTGCTACAAAAGCTGAGTCAATTTCTCAGCAGTATGCGATGACGCGCAAGCTACTCGCAGAGCTAAAAAAGAGAACTCCTCATAAATATGAGCAGAAGAAGATCCCTAGAGTATTCTACCATCCGACATGGCTTGCAACGCTTCGCAACTCAAATATGATCAAGTTATTCCATACACGTTATCATGATACTGAATTGGAGAAGGCGATGTTGGATGAAATTTACGATTGTCCTTCGACAGCTGACAACCCGTATGAGGCAGTGACGTATGCTGAATGTGTACGATGCAAACACACCTTTCGATTCCATGGATACTCCAATGCACACAAAGATACAAACATTGGAAACCACTGTAGGAACCATCCTTCTGAGGTTCCAAGACCCTCTTCTCAACGTACTATTGAGTTTAACTTTTTTTGGGAAAGGAGAACCATTTGAACATCTTGGGCATATCTTTTGCAACAAAGAGGAGAGGATGCGGTATGACCTGCTTATGTATTTCTGGAAAGATTCTATCCCGTTTAGAAAGGCAGATTCTCCAGATTTCATTTCGTTTCTTGCTTCATTTTACCAGCTCGTCGTTCAAGAGACTACAAGTGATTCTCGCATGACAGGTTCAAGACAAGAAGCTGTCAAATTTTGTTTCAAATACCTCCGGAAAAGAAAATGGATTTCGAAAATGGTTGACAGATCTTATGATTGCATGAAAGAAGGAATCGTTCAACTACTAGCAACAAAAAATGTGTCACTGTGCGTGGACATGTGGAACAATTACAACTCTAGATACCTAGGGGTGTTGATGTACAGCGATTTTGGGCACGTATTACTCGCGTTCGAAAACTTCTCTGGCCGACGTGAAACAGCGGCTGAAATGGCTGATGCAATCGGTGAGGTTATTAAACAGCACAAGATTGAAGAAAGAGTTTTAGCAATAACGTTTGACAATTTTAGGGCAAACCCAAAAGCTCTCATGCACATTAATGAAATGCGCAAGGAGAAAGACTTAGCACCTTTATATGGGATCAGGTGTGTGTCTCACATCTTGAACCTGATTCTCGGGTCAGTAATGGCCATTTCCACTTCCAAATCAAAACCTCGAACACAACTACAGTACGACAATCAAAGAAGAAGGGAAGCTACTAAAGATGCAGACAACACGAAAGAATCCAGACTCTACAAAGCTTGCTTTGACTTCAGCAAGATGGTGCGAGGGGACACCGTGCTTTCCTCGCTTTGGACAAAATGCATCGGTAGTAAAATTCCCGCTATTCCAATTCAAACCAGATGGACCAGCGCTTACTCTACGGTGACTACCATCCTCGACAAATGGAACGAATTGTGTTTTGTGTTTGGTAAGCTAGTGGGTATGGGCTTCCCTCACAATCACCTGGACTCTGACAAGATTGAGGTCGTCGAGGAATTTTTTGATGAACATAGAATAACGCTGGATCAACATCAGACAAAAACGATTCTTGCTCTCTTGGAATTTCGGAACGATCTTAAAGAAATCAAAGGACTGAATTTCATAATGGGCGAGCTCAAAGTCTGGATGGAGTTGTCACAAAAGACTGAGGATAATACTTTAATGAGCTACTCGAGAACGTTTTTGAAAGTACTCAAGCTTTTTACAGCAGTATCAAGCCTACTTGGCAAAGAAGAGGCATTGTTTGATTATTTTGATATTGCAGACCAACTCTATGTGTATCGCGATAATGACGATCCGACAGTTGCTTTATTCACAGAAAGATTGAAAGGTTTAAGTCCAGGCTTCCTCAACGCAATTGGTTTTTCCTACTCGAAATTTTGTGAATACTTCACCCTTGCTTTTGAAGATGAATTAGTGATTGCGGGATCCTTCTTTGATGTGAGCGATCGCAACCAGCTACTGTTTTCGACAATAAATTGGAAGCATCCAGACATTCGACAGTTCCCTTACAAATCTAAGTCTTTGGAATGCTCCAAGATAGAGATTCTTTTTGAGTTGTTTAAGCGCACGGATCTATTCAAAAAGATGTACCACCTGGTATTGGAGGAGTCTGCAGCGAAAGCTGTAGCATATGAAACTTCAGAGAAAAGCAATCTGAACATGGAAATCGATGGATATCAAAAATATGGGCTCTACAATTCTGACTGTAGGGAGTGGTCCAGCCAAGCTAACAACGAATTCTGGTCCTCTTTCCGATCTGCGACATTTCCAAGGTTGAGAGCAACATATCAGCTCCTCAAAGAGATTCCTTGTTCAAATGCTGCTCTTGAGAGTACGTTCAGCCTCGCCAATAACGTGATGGGATCACGAAGGGTCAATCTCGGCGATGAAAAGCTTTCAAAATTAATGTGTATTCCCTCGTTTGTCAATTCTATCCCGGAGCTGCAAAAATTGGAACATCAATTTCGCTTTGCAATTGAAGATGAAGACGACGAGTACTCTCGTATGGAGATTGAGGATATATCGGGTGATTGAAACCGTTTACTGTTGATTATATAATATGTGTTGTCGACTAAGACTCAGACATCACGTCTCAAAACCAAGGCTGTGCAAAATGTGATCAAAATATAGTACGATGACCAACTCTGATTTTTTATAATGCTTACTTTTTAAAAGCCAATATCACAATTACTTGACCATGTACGAACTTTTGATGTCTATTTGTTTACACCTTGAGCATTGGAACATGAGAACCCAATGTATAAAAAACAGTCTGTTTGTAGTCTTCTCCGTTTGATACTTGAAGTAGGGAGTGATGTTGTAATGATTGGGAAGGGCATGCGGGCATGCAAACTTATAACCTGTAATCTACCTTGGAACATACCCTTGCTTCACAGAATGCTGCTGTTTGAATTCTTAGTGGAATTTGCACCAGATTGAAAGCGCTCGAAAATGATTTAGGAATTTTTTGGGGGTAGATCTACAATAGGTACAAGATTAGTGCGCATACTGTGCTTTCCCAGACAGGGAGAAATTGTACAAACAAGTTGTGGAGCCATTGAGCCAGAAACGTATCATCTTAAAAGCCCTTGGAATCTCATTTACGCTTGGAGTCCTCAAGCAACTGCGGATTTCTAGTGAGTTTATAAAAAGGATGTAAAACAAAACTTCAGGGGTGGACCATAGCTGTTGTGATGAAGCTAGTCGTGACTGAATCACGTGACTCTGACTGATAAGGAAAGCTGACGTAAGGAAATGACACGTCATATTTGATGTGTCTGTCAGAGGTGATTTAGGATCGAATTGTGAATGTTACAGGTCACTTCAAGAATACTATAAATATGAGGGTTCCCACCACATATTTTGTTGAACAACTTATCTATACTGACATAGTAAGAAGAGTGAACTATTAACTGAAAACAATATGAATGCTGAAGAAGTCAACCATCTTAAGAAAAGAATCTTACAATAGCCAACAATTGCACATCCGCAAATAGATTACTAAAGTATATGTTAAAATAGTTTATTTTTTTTGGGGCCAACATACAACGATTACATAATCGTCAATCTGAGTATATATATTCAACTATCAGAGCAGTCAGATTCATCAAGATTCTGGAACTGGTTTTCCAAACGAGTAAGGTCTTGGCTGGTAGTCACGAAGGGTCGAATACACATAACTGTTTGTAACTTGACAGATAATACTCATATCGGTCTGTCTGGTTCATGGTAGATATCAACTTGAAATATTCTCAGATATATAATTCTAGAGTTGTCCTCTTATATAAGAGGGAGCTAAGCCCCTCCTTATATAGTAACTCGGATATGGCAGGTAGCTGTTGTTACCTGCGCATACATAGTGGAGATTTCGAGTGAGAGACTAATAGTGCAGATCCTTCAACTACCTCGATGTCATGTTCCAAGATCTGAGTCTCACACTCCTTTCTCTTATCTTGCATAACCAATGATGTATAAGAGATTAGATAAGCGGGTCGAGACTAACTCATATTAGCTCAACAATAACATTGCTACCAATTTCAGGCGACAAACGATGTCTTTGGACTCCAACAATTTTTGGGTATCCATAATACTACTTGCTATTATAAACAGCCTTACACCAGGAAGAGTTTGTTATTAATTCGATCTATTTTGGTTATAACGATAAGTTTTGGTCTATCCTGGTTTTTCTTCTGATAACCAGAAACAGTTCTTGATATATAATGGATTATAGATACTCTTACATAATACAAGAATAAAAAAATTTAGTAATATATTTGTGACACTAAAAGAAAGAGCTCTGTTTTTAACTATCTTAATATAATCTCCCCTTCAAGTAAGACCACAGCAACATCTTGGTTTGAACCAGTGACTTCATGAAATCACTTTCTGAGATCAAAGCGGCGTCTGCCGAACGCCCCAATATGAATGAGAGCAACGGATCAATTCATTTTTATATACAGCTGTGCAATAGTCTAGTTAAGCGTGAGCTTCAGTTCAAATGCTTATGAGTTGCAGCCTATTTACTTGCTATACTGTAAGATTCTTTTCTTAAGATGGTTGACTTCTTCAGCATTCATATTGTTTTTCAGTTAATAGTTCACTCTTCTTACTATGTCAGTATAGATAAGTTGTTCAACAAAATATGTGGTGGGAACCCTCATATTTATAGTATTCTTGAAGTGACCTGTAACATTCACAATTCGATCCTAAATCACCTCTGACAGACACATCACATATGATGTGTCATTTCCTTACGTCAGCTTTCCTTATCAGTCAGAGTCACGTGATTCAGTCACGACTAGCTTCATCACAACATATACTCCAGGCGCTTTAACAGATAGGACATTCTTTGCTTTCAAAATCAAAAGCTCCTTGGTCAAGGAGCTTTTCAAGAGTCTAGCATGATGTACGAGAGCTTAATACTTTGAAGAGACTTGAATTGACTAACTATTATTTGCGAGCAAATGCAACCCGAAAACTCACTCGTTCAAATTGTCAGTTGAAGACCAGCCCGAATCTTGATCTGTAACTAAATCAATGACCACATACTTGTGGTTGCATTTGAGTCGTTATGACTACGGACCAGAGAGTAATGAGCTATGTATGGAAGGATAGTCATAACTTGTGTAAATATTCAGCGCACTTCCTACTTGAATGCTCGCCAACAACAACTACTGCTGTGATATCTCTTCAATAGCATTGTTGTAATTGGCCTTCTTATAGCTTACTTAGTTTATGTCTCCGATATGTAGTATTCGTATAAGCGCAATATCTAAGTTTCAGTGTAGTAAATTAGATAATCGCTCAACTCAAAAAAACAGCAAAATAGACATGTGGTTATATGACAGCGATCCATTCAATAACCATCGGCTTGCTGTCAATCTGCTCCGCTGGAGTACCAATGCTTCATTCCTGATGGTTATGTCATGAGTTTTGCGTGGTCTATCAATCAGTTGATCCAAAATGACCCTTACAAAGTTGCCACCACGAATAGTCTGCAGTTCTATGGAGCATCGAGTAGTTGCTTTCAGTTCTTCACAAATCAACATTGCGCTTTTAGGTGAAAGAATTGATTGCCTCCTACCGTTTGCTTTCAATAGGTCCAATTTGTAGGGTTTATCAAAAAGTTCGGATTGATGGTTCGAGTATCTTGAGTCTAAAGTGGCTGTAGTTTTCGGCATGGGATGTCTGATGTGTTCGTTGAGAGTGAACTGTTAGTCTTATTGTGTCATGATTTAGTAAGCAAGGTGCATAATAGCATTCAAACATTCTGCAGGAAGCCTATCCAGAACACATTTGAAGAGAAACTAGTATACCAAATAGATCTCTGACACCTGAAACATAGGTACTGTACTTTGCTAGAAATATGGGTACAAGATTTCTGATCTTGGACTAGCAACTATCTAGCTTTTTATTATTGATACCTATTATAACTATATTTATTGGGGCTCAAGGATAAATCATGTTCACTGAAAACCATTCTGCTCATGCCAGATAGAAAATCAAATTGCCGGGACTCGTTTTTAAGGATTCTGACGGATGATACTATGGAAGCTCGAAGAGCTAAAAATTGATAAGAGCTCTTCTAAGAATTATCTTTAAATGAGTGCTGTACGCAGTAATTGTACGGGTTAATTCGATTCCACGCAAACATATCTCTATTTCCTCATTTCTCCAGAAGGCACCTACAAGGCACCTCTAGAAATTGAATATCCACTAAGGCACTATTTGATGATATCCAACATGAATCAAACAGGCTGGTGTGAGTCATTTGAGAAGTTGCAACTATAAGGATCATTGTTCATAAAAGAATAAGCTCAAGACCCAACTTTTCTCGTTGAAGCATAACTAGTCTATGCCTTAAGTTCACTGATTAGATAATCTTTATGCTTATCGGGCACTTAATATCAGTCAAATATCAAAGTATATGAGCTATATAATTTTTTTTTTGACCAAGTTAAATCTTCTTGTTTACTTTACATGAAGAGCCCTCCTCTTTATGACTTGACAGATAATACTCATATAGGTCTGTCTGGTTCATGGTCAATATCAACTTAAAGTATTCTCAGATATACAATTCTAGAGTTATCCTCTATTTCAAATGAAGGGGTTGGCACCCCTTTATATAGTATTTGAAATAGGAACAATGATACCCTAGCTTCTGTCCTAATTGAGGTGATGTAGTCTAGTGACTCTCGGATAGGAGTGATGCTGTTTAAGGTTGTTAGATCTGATCTGAGTCTCACACTCCCTCCTCTTATCTTGCATAATCAATAATGCATAAAAGATTAGCTAAGTAGATCGAGACTAACCCATATTAGCTTAACAAATAGGAGTTAATAATTGCTGTGCATTTGAGTCTTATCGGTTTGCTGGTATCTCAATATTCAACATAAAGTAAATCAAGACTATTACAGTAGCAGACAACAATAAACAGTTCGATCTTCCAATAGAAAAAATCCAGCAAAAATCAATTTGTGAAATAGCATTGTTGAATGCAGTTGACGCTTAAAAAGGAGACCACCGACTTCAAAAGCAATCAAAATGACCTACTATTCGTCTCTACTATATCAGTTTATTGAGGAATAATCAATATAAATATGCAGCTGAATACTCCGTCAAGAATTCCACTGACACTACTACTTAGGTAAGTTTAGTGACTACCTGGCATCCATTATTATAGGATTCTTGTCTTGAAATGATGAAATACTTAAGAATTAACCTTATGTCCTAATTTATGCTTCCTTGTAAGATTCTATTCTTAAGATGGTTAACTTCTCCAGTATTCATAATGTTGTGGTTGACAGTTCACTCTTCTATTATATCAGTTAGATAAGTTGTTCTCTTTAATATGCGGACGAACTCCACATATTTATAGCATTCTCAAAGAAGACCGGAAACATTCCCATTCAATCCGGAAGCACTATTGAGTCGCCCCGCACATATACTCTATGTTGTGCGTCATTGCTTCCGTCACCGCTTCCGTCACCTCTCTTATCACTCAGAGTCACGTGATTCAGTCACGACTAGCTTCGTCACAACACATTCTGATACTCAATCAGATAGGTAAGTTGTTCACCAAGAACGTGGATATTTACCACATATCTTAGTGCTTTCAGATCAATGACCTGAGATTTAAATCACTTTTGAAACAAATTATGCCTTCCCTCTAATTTGACATTTACCTTACGTCTGCTTTCTTACCATACAGATTCGCGCGAACTGGAAATATTAAAGCTCTTTCAACAAATGTCAATGATATCATGAGGGGAGGCTTCATGCTCTACATAATTTGTTTATTGTTTGGCTCAACATACTGCTTCATTGATTCAGGCACGCCCATGCCAAATGGCAGAAAGCTACGATTCGAAAAATTGAAATGAGCTAGTAAATGAGCAGATCCTATATTCAATTCGGTTTGGGTTGTAAAAAACACAGTCTGTGGTCTACAGTGCATCAAATTCAAGCCCAAGGTTTCAGGAATTGGACAATGAGATTGTCTGGTCACAACATCAGATTCACACGTAATTGCCCCAACCGATTAAACAAGTGAATAGCTTACCGAGATTATAAATTAAGGACACAGTACCCATTTGGCCTGAAAATACCAAAAGTGTTCGGTCTAAAGTCCCGAAACTTGGCCGCGTATTTCGGGTACATGATACTGGCGCTAGTCTCTTCTCATTTAGATACCTTTTGGTTTCCGCTATGTTAAATTATTGTATATGCAATAGAATAATATTAATTATGCAAAGAAATTAATATTAAACCTGAGAGTCGACGTCGCAGCTATTTATCTGCGAAGTGACTGATCAAAACAGTACTATTTGTGCAAAAAATTAATGCAATTCGGTTCTGTGAATGTTTTTCAGGGCTGGCAGTGCTTGACTTACTCAAATATGGGCCTGACACTGCTTTTTTCTTGCCTTGACTAATCGATCTAGCTTGCATTCCTCAATATCAAGATTACCAAGCATCTGTTGGTCACAGACGTCTTGTAGTCTTTTAGTTCAGACCAACTAAGACTACATCAACTACTAAATTAAACCAGAAACTAATCACATGGGGCACGCTGATCGCTCTTCATACTGTGATTACTTGAATTACCTGCTCTGGTTCGATTGATTGTTGGGTAAATGAAAATGAAGTGATGAAGTTAGTCGTGAACTTAATCACGTGACTCTGACTGATAGGAGAGGTGACGTAAGCAGATGACGCACAACATAGAATATATGTGTGTGGGTGGTGACTCTGAAGTATTTCAGGATTGAATGGTTTCAGTGTTTTTCGGTCTTATCTGAGAATGCTATAAATATGTGGGGTTAGTCCACATATCGAATTGAACAACTTATCTAAACTGATGTAGTAAAAGAGTAAAGTGTCAACTGCAACATTATGAATACTGAAGAAGTTAACCATCTTAAGAATAGTGTCTTACAGAAAAGCACCATTGTTGGACTAGTGAGTCAGGATGAATTTGCAAGATTCTTTTCTTAAGATTGTTCACTTCAGTATTTTAATGTTGCAGTTGATAATTCATTTTTACTATATCATTTAGATAAGTTGTTCACTTTTATATGTGGACGAACCCCACATGATTACAGTATTCTCAAGGTGGACCTGTAACGTTGCCATCCGATCCTTAATCACTTCTGACACACATCGCATATACTCTATATGATGTGTCATTTGCTTACGTCAACTTTCTTGTCAGTCGAATCACGTGATTGTGTCACGACGAGCTTCATCACAACAAAGTAAAGCATGACCCTTGAAAGACGGGTTCACAAAATGATATTTAAGAAGGGGTGTGTCTTACTCAAAGTAACGTTGCAGACTCGAATATCATGTCAATGTATTAAGTAGGATCACTCACTCACAATGGCAGATATCACTAAGCAATTTGACTTTCTAGTGAAAGGAATCCAGAAGACCCTCGATAAGGACTTTACAGATCATCAAGCAGGCTTCTAATAATTCCTTCTGCTTAAGTTGGTAAGTTTAGTTGAACTCACGAGCCAAATTATGTAGTTGCTATTCATGAAACTTGATCAAAATTTCTGACAGTGATAGAGTAGGATTAAACATCCGATTGAAACCAAGATAATAATTCATCGAATGAAAAACTACAATTCATGTAGCCTCAAAATCTGATTGATACTAAGCACGGGTTAACATCAAGATCATCCAATAGGTGAGCTTGATACATATTCCCGGATAACGATGTGTACCTGCATGTGCATTTACTTATCTGTGTTGAAGAAGATAGTCCCAAAGGTATCGGGTGATTATGTACTCGCTTAAATAAACAAGCGGGTACAGTTTACCAGTTATATTTCAGCAAGAGAAGTCCTCGCGGTTGATATAAAAGAATATAGAAAAGGAGTGTTAGCGCGTTTTGTATAACTAGCTGAAATAGATAATTAGAAGTGTCTTGCAAGTACTCAAAAGTTACAAGATCTCCACAACTAATTCACCATTGACATCACTACTGGATGCACTCCAACAATTTGTCTAAAGAGCCTGATGATCCGCAGCCCGGAGAGTGCACATATTGATTGCTGAACATGACCATATTGGAACGAGTAGTGCTGATAGCATCCATTGTGCGCTGTAATTCTGTTGTGATGAAGTTAGTCGTGAACTAATCACGTGACTCTGACTGATAAGAGAGCTGACGGAAGTAATGACGCACAACATAGAGTATATGTGCTGGGTGACTCAGAAGTGTTCCCGGATTGAATGGGAAATTTGAATGGGACTGTTTCGGGTCTTTGAGAATACTATAAATATGTGGGGTTCGTCCAATTTATAAAAGTGAACAACCTATTTAAACTGATATAGTAGAAAAGTGAATTATCAACTGCAACATTATGAATACTGAAGAAGTGAACAATCTTAAGAATAGAATCTTACACTCGCCGATGCAATATATGCTCAGCCATATTTCAGAATGACCGGAAACTTTTTGAAATATGTAAGATTCTATTCTTAAGATTGTTCACTTCTTCAGTTTTTTAATGTTGCAGTTGGTAATTCACTCTTTTACTATATCAGTTTAGAGAAGTTGTTCACTCCAATATGTGAACGAGCCTCACATATTTATAGCATTCTCAGAATCACCCCACACATATATTCTATGTTGTGTGTCATTTGCTTACGTCACCTCTCCTATCTGTCAGAGTCAAGTGATTAAGTTCACGACTAACTTCATCACAACAGCTAGTAACCGCTACGCATTTGAATCTTATCGGTTTGCAAATACCTTGATATTCAAGACGACGCCTTCACTGATATTCAGACCGACTCCAACAAGTTATGAGCCATGGAAGCACACTACTTGACGAATAAGTTTCATGATTTGGTGAAACTTAGGTCAAGAATTAATTCTAGCGCCTGGTAGGAGAAGTTGATCTACGTTATGAACTCAGCAAACTGCGGACTATATGAGTACGCATTGGATAAGTATGATACTTTTAGTCCAGCGGAATTACAAGAATTTGAAAGAATTGAGTTATATGCTCAGTATGATCAAGCGCTATTGGCAATCCTTATTGGATCCGTGACTGACGGTCTTGCCCTCGACCCCGCAGAATATCAGTATAGCATTAGTAAAGAGCTTCTCCACTATCTACAAGAGATGCTTGGTAACACTACGCTTGATGTGTGTAAGATTCCGTCCTTAAGATGTTTCACTTCTTCAGTATTCATATTGTTGCAGCTGACAATCCACTCTTCTACTATATCAGTTTAGATAAGTTGTTCACTTTTATATGTGGACGAACCCGACATATTTACAGATTCTCAAAGCGGACCTGTAACATTGCCATCCGATCCTTAATCACTTCTGACACACATCGCATATACTCTATATGATGTGTCATTTGCTTACGTCAACTTTCTTGTCAGTCGAATCACGTGATTGTGTCACGACGAGCTTCATCACAACACCCTACCATAGTCGTGTACTTGATCAAATAAGTTGCATTCTTAATTTTGTTAAGAAGGGTTCAAACTCTTGCTTAGTCAGAGAATTTGTAAGTGGGTCAGCAAGATTCAAGTTTGATGGTACATGATGGAGTTCATATTTCTCATCCACCAGATTTTGTCGAATAAAATGAGAGCATAGATCAATATGTTTTGTTCTCAGGTGCAGCTTGGAATATTTTGCTAACTCTAGAGTGCTTGTGTTTTCACAATGAATTGAAGAAGGACCTTCTCTTTTGAATCTAAGCTAGTCAAATAATTGAGTTCACCACAGGAGTTCCTTTAATGTGTCGGCAAGTGCTATATATTTTGCTTCGATAGATTACAAAGCCACTGTGGCTTGCTTCTTAGATTTCCATGTGATAGGTCCATTGGCTAGCACAAAGACATAAACAGTAACCAAAACTCTGTCCATAGTGCTAGTTCCCCAGTCAGCATCTGAGTAGCCATTGAGGTTAGAGGATGGATCATAAGAATAGGCAATTCCCAAGTCACTAGTCCCTTTGAGGTATCTCAATGCCTTGCCTTCATCATATGTGACTTTTTGGGATTCTGAAGATACCGGCTTTATTTTGCCACAACAAACATAATGTCCAGCCTGACAGTGTTAGCAGCAAACAACAATTTCCCTATCCGGCTGCGATACTCAGTTGGGCTGGATAATGGAGAGTCATCGACAGGGTCCCAAGGATGTGTATCACATGGGGTAGAGACAGCATTGCATGTATTAAGCTGGTATTGATCAAGAAGAGAATGAAGATAAGTGGACGCCAAAAGATGAACCTTCCCTATGTGTGTGTGAATGTCTAAGCCAAGAAAATAACGAGCAGGCTCCAGATCTTTCATCGTGAAAGCCCGCGAGAGTAAATGTTTGACACGTTCAATTAACGGCAGTGATGCGGAGGCAATAAGCAAATCATCCACATACAGCGCCACAAAGACCGGAGGACTGGTATGAGAGACATAAAGGCCATATTCACTGGGAGTTTTGTGAAATCCAAGGGAGGACAAAACAGACTCAATTTTGGTTCCAGCAAAGCGGAGCTTGTTTTACTCCATAGAGGCTCTTGTGGAGCCGACATACTTTCTCTTCATTACCAGGAGAGATGAAACCCGGAGGTTGACACATATAGATTTCCTCATCAAAAGTACCGTTGAGAAAGGCAGTGGTAACATCCATTTGATGAATTTGCATTTTGAATTGGGCAGCAAGGCTGAGCATTATGCGCACACTGTCGTAACGAACAACAGGACTAAAGGTCTCATTGTCGTCAAGTCCATGGATTTGACGAAAACCTTGAACAACAAGCCGTGCTTTCAAAAGATGAGAAACGGGTTTGGCAGTGAATACCCAACGACATCCAAGCGCCCGTCTACCAGGAGGAAGAGAGACCAGCGTCCAGATTTGGTTATGTTGATGGGCGGCCATTTCGGCTTCCATGGCAGAGAGCCAACCACTCGATGAGAGGGCTTCATCAACCGACGCAGGAACCCTACCAGACGCGGCGAACACGTCAGTATTCAGAGCGGCAACAAGAGTATCAAAGTTGCCGCGTTGACGAGGATGCCAAGGAGGATCGGGGCTATAGTCTGGATCAGGGGATTCCCGGGGACGAGTCGTAGGAATGAGGGACGAAGGATTGGATTGTTGATGAGCATCCGAGTCAGAGGAAGAGTCAACAGGATCCGCAGAGACATCTAACGAAGATACGAGCCCGATGGGTGAGAGAGATGACAAATGATACGAGTCATCATCTGGCACAGGCGAAGGCTGCCGTGGAACAAAAGCTTGTGAGTCGTAAGTAAGTTGAAGTATATCATGTTTTGGTTCGGGCGAGGAAGGTAATGACTCAGGGAATTCAACAATAGGACCCCACGAGGAAGCACGAGAAGCTGCAGGAATCGTAGTGGCTTCAAGATGAGTTGACACAGGGGAAAGCTCATCAGACTTCATATAGATGAACTGGGGTAAAAGTCAGGATCGTCATTAGAGTCAGATATGTCTGGCGTAGTAAACATGGAAGAAGGACAAGGAGTGGTGGAATTGTCCGACTGAGTCTCCATAGAGACATCAGGTGAAGCCCTAGAGGAACACGTGTCCTGAGAAGCGGGCGGAGTAAGTGCAGGACGAGGAGGGTGAGCCCGAATAGCTGCAGCTGGCATGGGCACTCCGGAAGGTCGGTTCACGCGAGGCGCCTGTAAGGTATTGAACATAGGAATGTGTATATCCTTGTGGGCAGCCTGAAGAAAAGGAAAGACATCGTCACTGAAGACAGCATGAGAAATTACTTGAAATTTGTTGGTCTGCGGATCATGAATGATATAAGCCTTGCAAGTAGAACTATGACCAACAAAAATACGGGGACATGACAGAGGTGTAAACTTTGATGAACGATGATTCGAAGGAATCAAAGGAAAAGCACGGCACCCAAATGCATGAGCATAATCTGGTTTTGTCCCAAACCATCTGGCATAGGGAATATCCTGCTTGATAGCATGAGAGGGTTCTCGATTTATCAAATGAGCCACTAAGCGTATGGCATACGGCCAAAAAGTCTCAGGAGCCCCTGAGCTCTCCAAGAGAGTCCGAGTTCGGTCAATAAGGGTGCGATGCATGCGTTCAGCAACTCCATTTTGATGACTAGAGTATATCTCAGTATGCTCATGGTGAATCCCTTTAGCCTTCAGAAAAGAGTGAAGGCGAGTATTGCAGAACTCAGTGCCATTGTCACTTCGAATGCGCATCACCTTGTGATTCTTGTGATGAAAGTATTTTTCAGCGTATTGAACACTTTGTTCAATATGCAAAAGTACATCTGATTTCTTTTCAATCAGATCAACAAATAACATATGTGTGAATCGATCAACGATGGTAAGAAAGTATCATTCACTATCAATTCCTTTGATAGGGAACGGACCACACACATCAACATGAATGAGTTCCAACGGAAACTGGACCTTTGTATTGCTACTTTTAGGAACAGATTTAACACTTTTCCCTAGAATACAGGCTTTGCAGGTACCTTGCTTGAGTGGAAGGCCAAGCTTTTTCATAATGACATCAGAGGGATATCCATAACAAGAATGGAAGTTAGCGGGTTGAACTAGGTCAGCTTCTGCGGAATAACAAGGAACATAGATCGATTTGAGAAGACTATTTGAGTGCAAGACAGCATGCTCAATGCGGTTCATATACAATCCTCCTTTGGTAATAACAATATTTGCAGAATCCAATGCAGTATGGACTGCAATCAAGTTTTTATGTGCTTTTGGCACATAATAAACGATTTTAAGAGTCAGGGAACGTTTTCCATTCCGAAGGGTGACTTGACCCTTACCTTGGATTGCATACCCTACTCCATTTCGATTGATGAATCCTCCACTCTGTTCAAGAGAATCAAAGTGGCTAGGATTATTGGAATTATGAACAGTTGCACCTGAATCAAACCAATAGTCAGCGTTTGTGGTTACTCAAACAGATTCAGCTGCAATCAGACCTGACTCGATCATAGAGTTGACCCGGCTGAACTCAGCAGTCATAGCAAAGTTGGGGTTTTCAGCTAGATTCTCATTTATTGTGGAATCAACAGTTCTCCTGGCTTTGATACCATTCTTTCTGAGAGGACAAGTTTGAACTTTATGTCCGAGTTGATGACATTTAAAACAAGAAGGTTTCTTTTGCGAAATAGGAGAATCAGCAACAAACGCAGATGACTGAGACAACTGTGAGACTTCTTTTTCAAAAATCTTTCGCTGCAGTCCCCTATGGGTTAATTTTGAGACCCCATTGGACAGCACCTTTTGTGCGAGATCCTCATCCTTGAAAATGATAAGTAGGTCCACAACTTCCACAGTTTCACTATCACACCCTAATTCCACCATATCTGCTTTAACTGCTCGAAACCTTTGTTGTATCTTGAGTTGAGATTTATCGTCTCTTAGAGCTTCTCTGTAGTTCTGATAAATCGTGAGCAATGACACTTTTCCATAGGTGGACATGATCTTTGAAATCATATGTCTCCCATTGTCATCGAATTCATAATCCTCTTTAATGTTATCATTGATAGTTTGGTACAATAAGCTCTTCAGACCGTCATCATAAAAGGAAATTATGTCTCTGTCTTGGACAGCATTGCCCTGAACAACTACCTTTCCTGAAGCATAGTAGTCAAACAATCCCTTTTTAGACGCTCTCAGATAGGATTCAAATTTTCTTTTCCATTCTAAGAAATTCCTTGATGATTTAAGCTTACAGTCATCTGGAAAACGGGATATTAGATTAAAGTAAGCATGAGGGTTCACAACCTGTAAAATTCTATTTTTAAGATCGTCCACTTCTTCAGTATTCATGATGTTGTAGTTGATAATTCACTCGTCTACTATATCAGTTTAAATAAGTTGTTCACTTAAATATGTGGACGAACCCCACATATTTATAGCATGCTCAGATAAGACCGAAAAACACTGAAACCATTCAATCTTGAAATACTTCAAAGTGACCTCACACATATATTTTATGTTGTGTCATTTGCTTACGTCACCTCTCTTATCAGTCAGAGTCACGTGATTAAGCTCACGACTAACTTCATCATAGCACTTCTGCACAGCACTTCTGCACAGCGCTGTTTACAAAAAGACCGGAAATATACTTATGTGAAACATGTCTTTGAACGAAAAACGTTTCACTATATACTACTTAAGGGGAGGGAGAAGCCCTACTCAGGAACCATTTTGCAGACTGGAATTTTGTGTCAAAGTATAACATAGGTATACTTAATAGAGTAATCAGACAATTTCACTTACAATAGCAGACAGCAATAACAAGTTGATCTTCTAGTAGAAGAAATCCAACACACAAGTCCGAATATCACTGCAGGAAACTATTCGGGCATTAAGATAGGGCAATATCTATCACATCCGGCGGGGCGTATGATCCGAGAGTTGAGTTAACTTTAGACTCCTTTTAATCTATCAGGCATAGAGAGTTCTGAGGCGGGGCATTACCCCCCCCAATGTTACGCCTTCTTGCGAGAGAAACCTAGGACGCTGATTGCACAGTATTAAAACGCCCTTTCACTTCTAAAGTTTTCGAAGAATACCCAATTTGCCAATTATGTATCTCGCACAAAAACAATATTACATCTCGCCGATGTGTTCATGGATAGCCTTTCATCTCTTCGGTATGATTCGATCTCATTGGATCTGACTTGATTATGATTGGTCAGTTGACTATGCCATCACCATTCGTAAATTTGGGGATTAAGACTTTAATCAAATTAGAGATTTGAGCAGAACAAGCATTTTCGTATCTTGCTTTCATAAGCAGCAGACTCTTTTCTGATCTACAGACTAAATTGGAGCAAGAGTGTGGGACAACCAATTTTCAAATTTCAAATAACTCTCCATCTTTCGCCTTAACAATACCTGAAGTTGACACGTTTCCTAGCCAGTTGCAGATAAAAGCTGGAACAGTATCTGCTGGACCACACTACATACTCCAAACTTTGATTAATTACAGGCAGACTCCCCCTAGAGGCTTTTGAATTTGGTTCAGTTCATAGGAGAAAGAGGTAACACGTATCTGCTAAGGGATCATCTTTACAACATATTAGAAGATGATTAGTTTACGAAAGCCAACGATATTCTTATTTTTCGCGTGCACTGTGTTGGTCTTCTTTGGCATCTTAAGTTCACGAAATGAGAAATTGACGACAGAAATAAGAGAGGAAGCCAATCATTTACTCCAACAGTGGGAGACACTCGAATCGTTACCGGGTCACTTAAACAATCAAAACGACACAGAGGGAATACAGTTAGAACCATGCACAGTCATAAACCCTTTGACGAATCAATTTTTCGATTTACGCTCACTTGGAGCTCTTGGAAACGAAGGTTTATTTCAAGCCTGGAATGCTCGTGGATATGACTATGGTAAGAACTTTTCGCTTGGCATATGTTCAACCCCTCTTAAACAGCCCCAAAATCTTCCGCAGTCAGACTTTGTGGGGATAGGAAATAGGAGTGAAGTTGGTGGTTATTACACCGATGACTCAGGTAACAAAAGGTCAATTGGACAGGTTTCTACCTCTCCAAAATTCAGGGGAAGAAAACTTGTCCTTGAATATACTGATGGAAGTTTTTGCGAAGGGTTGGAGGATGAAAAGTCTTTACGGAAATCAACAATATTGTCGTTTGCTTGCGATAGGGAAATCATGTCCAGAGCATCTGTGTCTTACGTGGGCTCAATAAATGATTGTTCATACTTTTTTGAAGTGAGGACTATTCATGCTTGTGCCACGGCTGCGAAGAAAGATGATATGGCTATAATTTGGATATTCTTGTTCATTTGTCTTTGTGCATTAGCTGTTTTCTTTGGAGGTGGTGCAGTTTACTCGTTGTTTAGAAATCATCAAAGCCGCCTCGCATCCACCCAAAGAAGGCGCCATTCATTTTCTAATGGTGTCAAAAGTTTTGTGCAGGTAAGTCACCATTAAATTGCTAGTGAAAAGAGTGGGAACTAATTACTGATTGTGATTACAACAGACAGGGTTTGAATATAACCAATACAACGACAATGTACCTGAAAGTGGTGCTTATTTTGACGCTGATAATAGAGATTCCAACGAGCTTTTAGAATTGTTGGATTCTCAAGCTGACAAGAACATTAATGATTGATTTTATGCTGTTCGACCTTGCATTTGTAATTGATACGTTTTAATAACTTACCCGGCCAGAGATAACCGGGTAACCCTTATTTTAGTCCGAAAATTTTTCATTTGGGCGACTGCTGCCTTCAATTAAAGTGCTTGACTACTGGAAAATTTTTCTTTCATCAGCTCTTTCAAAGAACTAATATATTAAAATGGGTAAAGAAAAGACTCACGTTAACGTCGTTGTTATTGGTCACGTCGACTCTGGTAAATCTACCACTACCGGCCACTTGATCTACAAGTGTGGTGGTATTGACAAGAGAACCATCGAGAAGTTTGAAAAAGAAGCTGCTGAACTCGGAAAGGGTTCTTTCAAGTACGCTTGGGTTTTGGACAAGTTGAAGGCTGAGAGAGAGAGAGGTATCACTATCGATATTGCTCTGTGGAAGTTCGAGACTCCAAAGTATCACGTTACCGTCATTGACGCTCCAGGTCACAGAGATTTCATCAAGAACATGATCACTGGTACTTCCCAGGCTGACTGTGCTATCTTGATCATTGCAGGTGGTACCGGTGAGTTCGAGGCTGGTATCTCCAAGGACGGTCAAACCAGAGAGCACGCTTTGCTTGCTTTCACCCTTGGTGTCAGACAATTGATTGTTGCTGTCAACAAGATGGACTCTGTTCAATGGAACGAGGCCAGATTTGAGGAAATTGTCAAGGAAACCTCTAACTTCATCAAGAAGGTTGGTTACAACCCTAAGACTGTTCCATTCGTCCCAATTTCGGGTTGGAACGGTGACAACATGATCGAGGCTTCTACTAACTGCCCATGGTACAAAGGATGGCAAAAGGAGACTAAGGCTGGTGTCGTCAAGGGTAAGACTCTTTTGGAGGCTATTGACGCCATTGAGCCACCTTCCAGACCATCTGACAAGCCATTGAGATTGCCATTGCAAGATGTCTACAAGATCGGCGGTATTGGAACTGTTCCAGTCGGAAGAGTCGAGACCGGTGTCATCAAGGCTGGTATGGTCGTTACTTTCGCTCCAGCTGGTGTTACCACTGAAGTCAAGTCCGTTGAGATGCACCACGAGCAGCTTGTTGAGGGTGTTCCAGGTGACAACGTTGGTTTCAACGTCAAGAACGTCTCCGTTAAGGAAATCAGAAGAGGTAACGTCTGTGGTGACTCCAAGAACGACCCTCCTCAAGGTGCTGCTTCTTTCAACGCTCAAGTCATCATCTTGAACCACCCTGGTCAAATCTCTGCTGGTTACTCTCCAGTTTTGGACTGCCACACCGCCCACATTGCTTGTAGATTCGACCAGTTGCTCGAGAAGATTGACAGAAGAACTGGTAAGAAGATGGAGGAGAACCCTAAGTTCGTCAAGTCCGGTGATGCTGCTATCGTCAAGATGATCCCATCCAAGCCAATGTGTGTTGAGACCTTCACCGAGTACCCACCTCTTGGAAGATTTGCCGTCAGAGACATGAGACAAACCGTTGCTGTTGGTGTTATCAAGTCTGTTGAGAAGGCTGCTGCTGGTGCCGGTAAGGTTACCAAGGCTGCTCAAAAGGCTGCTAAGAAATAAGCAGCTTAATGTGGAAGTTTCTTTAAACTATATTAATAGTTGATAGTGTATATGCTTAGTCACTTTACAATTTCTTATACTTCACTGTAGTGGGCACTTAACCTACATGTTTTTGGTTCCCTTCATATATCTAGCATCTGCTAGACACATCCGCGATTCAGCGGCATCCCAGCCTTGAAATGTATAAAACTTCGATCAATTATAGGCGTGTCTTATTATTCAGCGTCGAGGACCGAGCTTGGTAATGGCGGCTTGCTTGTAAATTGGTGGATGGTGTTGTGGGCTGGCGCAAATTTCGTGTGGACACGGCACCAGAGGCTAATGCAGAAGGCCTTCTGGTAGCCGTTGGAACAACAGAGTAAGCCCGCTCTCTGAATGATATTCCCACTTGCTTCACTTTTTTGCTGTTCTGGAGAGAGTTTGGATCGATCTCATTAAACCAATGTGTGTTCTCATTAAATTCATAAATGTGCCAATCAACACCGAAAGGCTTCGGTTCGAACATATAGACCGTGTGTAGCGGAACATCTAAATCTCCCACAGAACTTTTGCTGAGGTTCAGAAAGTACGCAATGAGAACCCGCGCAACAACTCTATGCGTGATGATCAATAAATGATTGGTAGTCCTCTCCAATTCCATTATCACAGGCTTCAGTCTGGTAATCACATCAAGATACGATTCTCCTCCGACTCCAGGATACCGATACGACATTTTGTCTTTCAACCGTGCATTGAACTCCTCTGGGAAACTTCTTTGTATTTCTTCATATGTCATGCCCTCAAATCTGCCGCTTCCTAATTCATTTAGCATTCTCATTTGCTTTATATCAAAAATCTCGTCCGAGAAATGCTCAGATGTTTGGATGCTCCTTTGAAGCATCGAAGTAAATACAGAAAAAGACGGTTCCTCTGGCAGATCATTGATGCCGGGTGCTTTGGAAAAATAGTTTGAATGTTTGCTCTTGAATTCGTTTAATTGGTTCTCCCGAAATTGCTGCTTCTTGAACGAGATGAAGTCTGCGAGTGATTTAGCGAATATATGGCCACGCTCCGTTAGTACAGAGTCCCCCCCAATGCGTCCTTTGACATTATCCATGGATTCTCCGTGCCTAGTGATAAAGATCTGACGAGCTCCTAGATTGAAATTTAAGAAGTAGTAAATGATCTGAGATGCTAAGAAACCTTTGATATTGCACGCAATCACTTTGCGTCCAACATCAATCATTTTGACATATTGAAAGTCCTTATTCTTTTCTTCCTCGTCATCAATTGTCTCATAAACTGATTCGTAATTCTTAAGCCTTCCAAGGAAATCTTTTATTGCAACTTCTGGGCTAATGTTTCGATAGTCTGGACCCTGCAATTTTAATTGAATATTGTCTTCCAAAATTGATTTGTCGTTGCAGATGCTCTCTAGAAACAAAATCTTCAGCTGTCCTTTGCTTCTCTCCATTATTTTTTCTAGCACAGCTCTCCGTCTGAGCTTCGTCGAGTTTGTAGCATCGAAAACTCCCACACAGCCATCACCTTTGAGGAGATAGTGAAGCAGATTATCCAAAGTCTCTTGTGCCCATTGCTCTCGTAAACGAGTATTTTCTTCGTTGTTGGGGGAAAAGAATTTTGCATCATGTAGTGTCATATCATTCTTGTCCGGAAGAGGTGAACTTTCAGGTCCTAGGTGAGCAGCTTTAGCACGCCTTGTTGATCCAACATTGAAAATTTTGGCATTGATTTGCAGCCAATTGAGGTAGCGAACAAGTTTGTTGCTGAGATAAGATTTTCCTCTTGCGGGAAGGCCTATCATAACTACAACGACCCTTTCACTTGTGTTGACTATGGAGCCATCGGGTGATATTTTGGATCTAGTCTGGCCTGGTATATCCAAAGTCGTTTTTACATGTTGAGATGACGTGGTCGCAGAATGTTGCTTGTTGCGATGAGGAAGAGGTGTAAGCCTGTCTGCAGATGAATAAACATTTGCACGTGATTGGTTAATATCGTCCTGGTCGCTATCTTCCCCTTCATTTTCGCTCAAGCAAAGGGGTGACAAGTTTGACCCAGCTGCTGGTGATGTAGTTCCACTCATGATAGGCGTGTCGCTCGGGGGTCTTCTATTGAAAGTTGCCTGACTGTTCTTATTCTCATCTTTTCCTCCCCGTGAGCTCATATCATAAGTTTGAAGCATTCGGTTCAACGACTCTAGATCTTGAGTCCGTTCATTGCACGGGAAAGAACCATCCTCATCGTCACTGATTAGGGCAGACTCCGCATCATCTTTCGGATCATAGCTGCTGCTTGCAAGACGAAGCTCCAATTGTGAGATTCCGGCTGCCGGGACAGACGGGGTGCCTGGAGATGGAGACGATACTGAAGGGGCATCAGCGTGTCTTTGGTTGGGAGTTTGTGACATGTTGCAAAAATACTCAACCGATCAGCCCAGAAAATACTATTATAACTCCTTTTAAATCTCAGAACTGCTCACACGTAATGAATTCGAAACAATTGCAATTCTCATTAATTATCGATATGAATTAAAAGTGGGTCGAAGAGCTTTCTGTAATTAAATTTCCCCACAGTAATTTTCCTTTGATACTTCTAATAGCAAAATAAGTCACCTATTTTGCCCGTAGAAAAATTGCTGTTTGATTCACGAAAAAGCAGCACCAAAAAAGATCAGCTTCGCAGCTTGCTTATGTTTACCTCAAGAAAACGATTAGTTTAATATTCTTAACACATATTCCACTGTCGTGAACGTGGCCGCGCTGCAAGGAATGGCACGCAAAAGTGTAGGTCCGATTCCTCTCCAAAACCCTTTAAACCCTTCTTCTCTTATGATTACCTTGGCAACTCTAAGTGTCGATCCGTCGTATTTTGAATGATCACCGAAGCCGTCACTTTGAAGTCGACTTTTGACAACATCCAATGGGTAGGAGCTGAGCCACAGGGCGTCACCTGCAGCCGCTCCACATAATAATAGTTGGATTGTCGAAACGTCTTTACGCTCAATTTTTTGGATGCGGGTGCAAGCTTGAATCAGAAACTCATACGTCAAGAACCAAACTCCGTATGCTTGAGTCTCCCTCAGAAGTGTTATTAAACTGCCTCTGTAGATGCCTTTGAAAAGACCTGATTGACCATAAATCTTTGAAATAGCATCTTTAGGACCGGTGTATAACCTGTGTTGATCTTTCTGAACTTGAAGCAAGATCCTTATTTGTTCAACAGGGGCAGTTATCGGAGCATTAACAATACCTGCAAAAGCTCCAGCGATATAATACTGTTTCAAGTTCAATTCCTTTTGCGATGGATTTGCTTTGAGTAGTTGTCTTTTCGCTTCGTGAAATCCATAAAACTGAATTGAGACGCATGCGCCAACACCTACCAGAGGCGCAAGAGTCCCCTTGTAAAATGCACGTAGTCCTTCATTCTTAAAAGTATCGACCAATGCTGCCACTGGAGAGCTATACTGACCAGTTTGAACTCTGACTTTCACTAAATCGAATGGTTGACCGACAAGAACCTGAACTCCACCTCCAACAAACCCAGCAAACTGAAAGAATGTCAGTTAAAAAAGAAAATCTAGACGTACCGTATCTTTGGCTTTCCGTGTCCAACTGTGATCTACTGCAGATGCGTTTTGCGACATCTCTATTTACCTTATGAAAGAAGAGCAGACTTCTACAGAAGCGTTTCTAACTCTTGCCTGGATGATGAATAATCACGTGATCACAAATACTCAACTACAGAGGCTGGAAGCTCTAAAGTAGTAGTTTGTAGATTCGAAATATATTGATTAGACGTTTAAACTTTATCAGTATCATCAAGCATCTTTGCAACAAGCTCATCCAATGGACCATAGTCCTTCGCCGTTAATAATTGAAACTCTGAACAGAATAGCACAAAATGCTTCAAAGAGGTGTTCAGGTGAGTTTGTAGACCTAACTCATTGATCTCATCAAAGTGATGACAATACATGTGTGCATAGACGCGGAAGAGCCTCTTCATGATCGTTCTGACCAAAGCTGGAAATTGTCTGGGAAATGAAACCCCCATTTTCGTAGGGAAAATACTATCATCGTCTAAGAAACCTTGAATCCAGACCATTAGAGCTTCAACATAACCAGGCGCACTCATAGATATTGGTTGTTTGCTATTTCTGCTCATTGGATCTTGCCACAAGTATTCGTATTCCTGTGTGGCTATCATTCTTGGACAGCTTGAAGGCGAGCAAAATTCGGTGATAGTACCATATAGCATGTTAATCTGATTGTAGAAATCCACAACATGCACTGCAAGCCATTCATTGAGGTCTTCGTCTTGTGGTAATTTCACCGCTTGGGCCAATGCCGAGCCGGATCCGAGCGTCTGTTCCGCATAGGTCCTAATATCTCGATGGTTGGACACTTGCTGTTGTTGCTGTTGCTGTTGAATAGGAAATGTCGATTTTGCTGAGTTTTTTGAGATAGGAGACGAAGGATTACTATCCGGATTTCTTCTGAAAACCCTTGCTGACCTGATTGTTGGTACTCCCGAAGGATTAAAATGGTTCTGTATGAATGACATTCGCCGGACCTTCAAATATTCTTTTCAACTTGTTGTGGACAGAAAGAAATATATCTTGAGATGTCAGTGAGCGTTCAAAATCAATAACAACGGTTTCCGCCTAGGTTAATTAAAAGAACTTGTTTACCTTTTACTTAAAAAATCAGATTCCCTAGTGACAAGATTGGCGATAATAATTATTACGTAAACCAAACAAAATCAGTCCGTACGTAAACTTATGATGACGGAGTATCAAGGTGCCAATTATATCGGCTTGTGTTCTGATGCTGTGCCCATAGACTTGATCAGCAGTGCTATCGTTACTACTATCATCCGAAGACAAAAGTCTGTACGAAACCATGAACTGCGTTCTCATGCTTATCCTAACTTCTTACAAAGAAGGGCACTCAACGAATAATGCGTGATAATTACAAACGTGATCAAAAAATTAAGTACTGTAATTTTTATTTGTGATAACTTTGTGTTGATAAGCATAGTCGGCTAAAGAATCCAAACAGGCTTTCTCTTTAATTGAGAATTCGGAAATTTGTATCGCGACGAACTGAATGCTTTTTCAAAATGTCTGATTTGATCAAGGTAAATGAATGCGACGTTGAAGACGCGTATGCCAATGCCGACCAGAAGGCTATATTCAGAAAAATGCTTACACAGGAGAAGCTGAAGCGGGACCCAAAAACAGGGAAACTATTAAGGCCGTGGAACTTCGAAGTGGTCAATGGTTTCTTTAAGCAGTCAGATCCGTCCACTGACGACTCCACTTTTGACTTATTAGAAGAAAATTTCGGATTGGCCCTAGATTCCTGGTCAAGTTTGAAAAAGAAACTCAAGTCTTTGAATGATGGAAAACAACCCAACGAATCTTACAAATTGATCATATGCGCACGTCATGGGCAAGGGTACCATAACAGAGCGGTTGAAATTTTCGGTATCGAGGAGTGGAATCGCTATTGGTCTCATCAGACGGGTACTACACTAGAGAACGGCCAAGTTTTAGAATGGGGTCCAGATCCCTTGTTGACAGAACTAGGCGAAAGACAAGCAGATGAACTCCATCAAGCTTGGCTCTCGCAAATAGAAGACGGCGCCCCAATCCCGACAAAGTTCTTCACTTCCCCATTTACTAGATCGTCTATGACATTGGTACGAACTTGGAGGGACATCACTATCTTTGAAAACGGCGATATTAAGAAACCCTCATTTTCCTCAAGAGCTCATCCTATAGTTTCCGAGAATCTTAGAGAAACAATTGGCTCCCACTTGTGTGATAAAAGATCTTCTAAGAAAGTTATCTCGGAAAGATTTTCGAAATTTGGATTTGAGTTCGAATCCAACTTTGCTGAAGAAGACATCTATTACAGAGATGATTGGAGAGAAACTTTGAGTGAACAATCGCTAAGAGCCGATATGTTTCTTCAGGATGTTTTTGAAAATCATCCGGATGATATTTACATCAGTTCTACTTCTCATGCGGGGGAGATTAGAGCAATAATAACAGCATTGGGCCATCGAGAATTTGCTATTCCTACTGCTGGCACCATTCCATTTGTTGTGAAAGGAACCCGTGTTTCAAACTCGCCTCCGAGTTGAACCAACTACTGGAGTTCAGCAAATGATTTAGAATTCTCAAAACTAGAAATGTTAATGGATTGGAACAATATTGTCTGATGCAAGTACAAAAATCAAACAATTGATATATTCCTAGTAAAATGAAAATCTGCTGGGAAATCATTTCTCAAGTAACTCATCCACCGAGTGAAGACTCTTTTCGGCGAAATATTTGACATCCGTGTCTTCATCATTGCAAAGAGATTCTAAAGTGGGTTTGATCTTCTCAGTCACAAAATTCCTGTCAGTACCGATCAGCTTTTGAGCTACATTCAACAACGATTTGGCAACGTTGAATCGAATGTTAGGAACGTGGTCATTTCGGAGATCATTGATGAGAGGATAAAGCTCCGTCGCAACAGTCTCCGGAGTAACAACTGGAATCAACTTAGTAAATGCGAATAAGCAAGTTATTCTGCAAATGAAATTCTCAAAATCTTTGGTTTCTTTCTTGAATTGTATTCTTTTGATCAATTCAACTTTGCACCATTCTTCTCCAAAAAATTTGGTAAGACTTTGAAGATTGACGACAGCAGCCTCTCTTATGGAGTATACCGGATCCCAAAGCCATTCCATACACAATTGGCCCAGAGCTTCGTCGAAAAATGCAACTCCCAATTGTTTAGCAAGCAAAGGAATTTGCTCAATAATTGCCAATCTGACCCTCCAAAGCTTATCGTTTGCCAGGGCCGTGATAGCTGGTAACAAGGACTCAGACAAAAGTTGAATCCCGATAACTTCGTTAACCAGCTGGAGATTTGAGATGATGTTTAGTCTGACTTCGCTGAATTCATCTTTCAGCATTTCAACAAATATAGGCAATAAATGTTGAATTGTAGCCTCCTTGCCCAAAATGGGGGCCAGACCCGTGACCTCACTCGCCAAAGCACTCCTTACAGTTTCCGATTCATCCATGCTTAGCTGAGAGACAACAGGAACAATATCATTCAAAACCAGTGACGGGTCACTTTCACCGACAAGTTTGCAGAATCCTGGTAGTTGCTTGGCTATGGCCTTTCTGACCTCGGCTTCGTTGTCTTTCATTAGCGATATAGCATTCGGAACCAATTTCAGAGTGAATTGCTCATCATTGAAATTGACAGCCAGACGTTCGAACCTATCTGCAACCATATATCTTACCCTCCAGCTTGGATCGTTGGCCAAAGTGATCAAACTTTTAAATAAGTCTTCACTATGTGAGGTCTCTTTGATATGTCTCAAAAACAATAAAATCGAAATCAGCACGTCGACTGATAAAAATTTGACTGAATCCTGGTTATCGTTGACCAGTGACTCATACATAGATGTAACCAGGTCCCAATGAAATTCGTTGATTCTGTCAGGAGTGCTAAAGTGTTGTGCAAGAATATCAATCAACTCTGGGAGATGAGTTGCTGATGCTTTCCTCACCATTGGAGAATCATCTTGAATCAGCTCGCCGTAAAGCTTTAGCAATTCTAGTCTTATTTCGGAGGGAACCCTGGTGATAGCACTTCTAAACAAACCTGTGGCCGCAATGTGTAACGAGAACCACCTTTCTTTTGCTAATCTTTGCAATAAAGGCACAAAATCTTGCTCTATTTGTGAGTCTGTAAGTGAATCGCTGATCGTATTGAGAGACTCTACAGCTTTATCCCTTACAATAGGCTCCTCACAAGCTGCGATTTTCTCCAAGACAGGCATCAAGAGGGAGGCGTGTTCTGCGCCACCAACATATGGCACAAACTTGCCCAACTCTTCAGCTGCAATTGCAATCACCTCATCCTCGTCTTCAGGAATAACATCTTCCAAAAATGGGATCAATTCCTTCCGCGTTCTCTCTTGCCCTAGCGCGATAGCAATTGTATCAAGTCGTTTCATTGCCTGAACTCGACTAGCCACATCATCATGTCTCAGTTCGTCCATCAGTAGTGCAATTGGATACAGCTCCTCTGAGGAAGAATTTAATACATCTTGATTTGATGATTCCATGTTGATTGATTGAAACGCCTCCGTATTTTCGTACCAAGAACCAAGAAATCCAATCAAGCACAGTTAGGTAGTAGTAATGTGTCGTTAGTTCAGTATTCTAACCCAGAAAAGATCAGCGGTATTTGATATTCCTTAGGTGATATACAATTGTGTGGATATCGATTATTCACTACAATCACTTGCTCACTGTGTCGAAAATAAAAAGGTAGCATTTATTTTGAGAATCTTAAAAAACTATGATGACCAACAGATTACATAATCAAACCAACGGTGGCTCGCTGATAGTTGTTTGAACCTAGTCATTAGTGATCTAAAAGCAAGATATTCAGCACAAGTCAGTGAGCCTAGTTGTGGGACATCGTAATACATCAATGATCAGAATCTCATCAGCTGTGAGACTCCAGGACAGAGTAATGTTATTATTTCTCACACGTAGGTAACCCGAAATGCCATTTGCAGAGTTTCTCCAAACGTTCGAATAAGCCAACCAACAAGACGTCTCAATTTCGAATTTTTTCGTGAAAGCAAGCGGAGAATCCAAATGACGAAAACCAATATCAATGATGTCCCAGTAATATTTTTTATAACACCATATCCGTGAGAGTTGAAAATACTCTTGAGAGATGAAACCAACGAATTTGTCTTTACGTCAGAAACATTTTCTTTAGGCTTTGGTTTATCAGAAGTCATATGCTTGCTATCTTTTCGATTTCTGTCTATCTTACTTTTATTGCGATCATTGCGTTTTTGAGAGTCGAGTTGATTATTGATTTTTGACTGCTTCTGTCTTACAGAAGTTTGGTCCAGCTTTTTGAGATACAGAAGTACTTTTGATGAGTCAGATGAGAATAACTGATGTACCAACTCCTTGGATTTTGATATCTCGTTCAACTTTGGAAGGATATGGAGAAGATATAGCTCAACAATCTTTTCTCTCTTTGCAGTGCTCTGCGATAAGCCATCTCCTCTAGGTAATACCGATGTGTACCTGAGATACTTTTCTAGCTGGTTCCCCAAATCAATCGTGGGAAACCCATTAGACAGTTCAATGATGAAGCACATCAGAGCGAGCTCTGAATCGATTGCAAAGTAATCTCCATGATAAATGCGCACTATATTATTGAATAAAACGCCATCCATAAAAGCTTGTTCAAGATTATTATCCACATATGATGTATGGTCACGTATCTCCATTTGCTCCTTCAGTTTCAAATCTACCAGAGATAGATAAAGTTTATAAATCTTGATCACAAGTTCATTTCCCACTTTTGCCCTAGTCTGGCCACTTCTCAAAAACCCATCCACAAGAGGATTGATTATTTTCCATGCTTGTGAAAAGTTTCTGTTGAGATAATGTTTGATTGCTAACTGGTAATGGTTTTGGTATCTAATCTGAGGTAAGATATCGTCAGCATGAGATAAAGTTCTTTGAACAGACAATTTAGAAACTGATTTGTCGGTCTTTGATGAGACCGATCCGTTAATTATGATCTGGGACATCAACGCTGGTTAATAGGGTTTGGCCAAATAAAGAATTGGTAATCAAATTAGACCTGTGCCTCAATAAGATAATTCAAGAAAATACTAATTGAAAATCAAGCTTTACCGAAATTAGGCTACAAAAAATAATCCGAAAAAATATATACATATTCACAGCTTGACTTAATTTTGTTCTCAGGCTTTCGGTAAAGTTTGAACTTTCGATATTTTGTATCATGGAAGACAGACAAGATACATTTAATACGGGTCTAGATGAGCTGATAAAATGGTCAGTGTCAAAGGGTGCAAAATTCAATGGTGTTGAGTTCACATTTGGTGACCAAAGAGGAATATATGGCAAATTGGCTGGAAAAAAATCCCTTCATGATCCTTTAATATCAATTCCGAAAGCCATTTTTTTTACGCCAGACCTGGCGGCGTCATACTTCAAAACACGCGTTTCAAAAAATGAATATAGTTTCCTCTTGTTGGCCAAGTTGAAATTTGATCCTGAAGATACAATTCTCGATGGTGTCAATTTGACAGCGAAATTTCGACCTTACCTGAATATTCTCCCTGGGATTGGCCACGAGATTGGCGTTCCATATTTCTGGTCTCAAAAAGAACAGGAACTTCTTCGAGGAACAGATGCGTTCATAATACTTAACCGTCGTCATGAACAGGTGTACAATGACTGGCAGCGCACGACTAGCGCTCTCTTTCCGTTAGACAAACTGGGGTCCAAATTTGATAGCCCAGATCCAACGAAAGAAATCAAAGATTGGAAAAGTTTCCATGCCTATCTATGGGCATATTCTATTTATTTATCACGCGCATTTCCTTACTTTATGGTGGACAAAAAGGAGACTGATCTCAATAAAGGATTCTTGCTTCCAATCGTTGATTTACTGAACCACGAAAACGGTCATACTGTCAAATGGGGGTTTGAAGACGATCATTTTGAATTCTATTCGCTTGACAAAACATTGTCTCAAGGTGACGAGATCTTCAATAATTATGGTGATAAAGCTAACATTGATCTTCTCCTGACTTACGGATTTGTGCTGGACAAAAATCCTCATGATACCACATCAATCACCTTGAAGGTTCCAGAGTCTACCATTCTTGATGCTCGCAATTACGGCATCACTCTTCCTGAAAACTCTTCAACCGAAGGAATAAATTTTGAAATCTCCGTGGACAATTCGCTTCCTCATTGTTTGGTCCAGTTTTTTGCATTCCTCTACAAATTAAGCAGTGAAAATGAAGGCTTCACACTGCGAACGTATCTTGAGGGGATTGCTCAGCTGAGACAAATTTTAAGTTCACGATGTGAATCGTTCAAAAGCTGGAAAATAGCAGACAGCTCAGACATTTCACAGCAAACTATAAAAACGGTCAAAATTTACAGAAATAATCAGCGGTCGCTTTTCCAAACAGCTGTGGAGAAGTGTGACAAGATTGAAAAGGAATTGATACAGACACATAAACCACTGACTTTTACGAAGGCTTTGAATTTTGATAAAGTGTTTCAAAATTCCCTTATCGTTCTCTTTGGGACCGCGGACACTTCAGACTTGATAAAAAGAGATCTATTGGAACAGACTTTGCTCCTGTTCATTATGAGGTGCTCCAACACACCACTACAGAAGGACAGCCCATTGAATTTTATTGCCGAGGCTTTTGATGATGTCAAATCCACAATTGAGATCACAAGAGATGACGTTTTAGAATACAGAGACCTTTACCGGTCACTATTTCCGGCATTGACCCAGAAGGTTCCTGAAATTTACGGAAAGGGTGACTACAGCGCCAAATCCATGATTATAGCAGGAACTGTAACCGACAGGCTTGTTTTTCGGCGAAAAGTAAATAAAGAGATATATCTTCTTCAGAAGATAATGATATGAATTTTCAGATTCGAGAAAATTGAACATTAAACTGCTGTAATAACCAGTGTTTTTTTCTGCCAAAAAAATAGAAGGTCTGAAATAAAAATCAATAATTAAACTGCTCAACTTTTTTTTGCTTGGACAATAATGTCAAACTTGCCTAACAACAATGTTGTTCGCATTCCAACATCTCATACTCTTTGGTCTCCCTATGATACTGTCAGAGATGCATCTGAGAGTTTAGGAATTTCGAATCAATTGGGAGAGGAAGTGGCCAAAAACCTGGCCATGGACGTTGAATATCGAATTCATGAAATTTTGGAACAAGCTTTGAAGTTCATGAGACACGGCAAGAGGCGGACTCTCACTGTTCAGGATATTGATCGGGCAATGAAAATTTTAAATCTCGAACCTCTTTATGGTTATGATGTATCTCGTCCGCTAGTGTTCAAAGAAGCAATGGTTGGACCGGGGCAGACGTTGTACTACGTTGATGACGACGACATCGAGTTTGAGAAAATTATCAACCAGTCTCTTCCCAGAGTTCCAAGGTTTACTTCATTTACTGCTCATTGGCTTGCTATTGAAGGTGTTCAACCAACAATCTCTCAAAATCCAAATCCAAACGAGATAAGACAATTACCTCCAAACCAACGAGGATCAATGGATAACATGCTTAGTCTTAATAACGACGATATTTCATTGACCACCGATTTATCGACCGGACTGACATCGGTGGATACCGGATCTCAAGGAAGGAAAAAGGATCTCGATGTGAAACCTCTCGTGAAGCACATGCTATCAAAAGAATTGCAGCTTTATTTTGATAAAGCCGTTGGAGCTTTGCTAGACGATTCAAATGAGTCTCTACGCGCAGCAGCTTTGGAATCTTTGGAGTCAGATCCTGGATTGCATCAATTAGTTCCCTATTTTATACAATTTGTTGCCGAGACAATTACCCACAATGTCAAAAACACGTCTGTTTTGACCACCATGTTGATGGTCATTTATTCGCTTCTTTCAAACAAGTCTATATTTCTTGACCCATATATTCATGCTCTGATGCCGTGTATTCTGACGTTGCTTCTGGGAAAGAAAATTGGATTGGTTCAAAATGATGTGGAAGAAAATAAGGAGCATTTCAACATAAGAGAACTTGCTGCTTCTCTCCTTCAGCGAATCATTAGAGACTACGGCTCGTCTTATACCACGTTGAAACCGAGAGTCACGAGGACATTGTTGAGAGCCTTCCTTAGTAATACCACCAAAAATTCGATTGGTACCCAGTTTGGAGCTATGAAGGGCTTGAAATTCCTGGGACCAGAAGTGGTGAGAATAATAATGGTTGGAAATCTCAAAAGCTGGTCAGCATCAGTGTTGGAAGACTATCCGAAAGACTCTCGTGAATTTCAGATCCTTACAGAAAGTGTCATTGACTGCCTTTCATCGCTGAATCCAGATAAATCCCAAGATCAATCGCAAAGTTCAAACAACAAGACTTTGAACTCGACGCAAAGTTTGGAGGACCACGAGATCGAGAAGTTGAGCCAACGTATTGGTAAAGTTTTGACCGACGCAATTTCATCAACTCAGAGTTCGAGGGACATATACGACGGGATTTTTTACGGTGAGTAGATCGAATTTCGCGTCTTCGTCACTTATAAGAGAATACGTAGTTGAGGATTTGTACGCTATCAATTGAAACTTAGTTTCCTATTCGTGGGTCGTGGGACTTTGACCGTTTGTGCAATGTTCGTTTGCACTCGATGTGTATAGTATGGCGATGATTGCGGAGGAATAGGATCTCCTGGCTTGACAGGAGATACAAATGCCATTGGAACATCAAAATTGGATGACGATGAAGCCGCTCTAGTCATCTTTGCACCCTGGATCAGGATATCTTTTGAGCAACAATTGGGAGATGTGAGCTGCGGTAAGGCGGTGTTCGATAGGGTATCTTTCAGCTCATTAACGGTTGGGTCGACTTTGAATTGGGACTTCGTCGGAGTGAATAGTTCTGTCTCCTTCGCTAATTCAGTATCACTTCCAAAAGGAGTCGTTATTCTACGATTTCCTGTAGGAGTTCCAGAGTTCATAATTGTGATCGGGAAGTTTTTTGATTTCTTCACAGGCGTAGCTTCAATTTCTGTATAAGATCTTTTAAGCTCTAGCTTCTGTGAATCTGCCTTGGCATCTTTCTTCCTTCGACGATGACTGAATATAGCAGTCCCAGAATTGGAAATCTTTTCATTCTGAGAAAAGGCCATTTGATTTTCACTCTGAGATTGCGATAATGAACCTGGTTGGGAGATGCTTGACGAAGTCTGTGAAAACGAAGTGCTTTTAACCATCTCAAATGTTTTCCTTGATAAATCATGACAAGTTCCTAAACTAGAAGGCTTTCTTTTGATTTTGAAGTCGGACAGGTCGATTGGATCGCTCAAGGCTGCTGTGACTTTCTCTGATTTGGCCTGCCTTTCAATAAGGCTATTTTTTGGATCATGCATTTTCTTGGAGCTCCTAGAAACTGATGGTCCTCTAGATTTGCGGACCAACTCTTTCAATATATTCGGATGTACCTTTTGGAAATAGGGTATCACACAGTTCATTAGAAACTTGAATGTTGATTCATCATCTGCATGCGAGTGCCCTGAAATAGCATCAGCTACACAGAGTTGATCAACTAAAGCGTTGATATTCATTTGAACCATAGACGCTGATAAGCGCGATTTAGGATGAAACCCTGAAGATTGACGCAAGTCTGTTGTGAACTGTGTCTGTAGCGGAACCATTGTACCTACCAGCGTGGGAACTAACCTTTTCTTTCTTCCGACAAGAGATTGCTTCTTCATGGGCTTAGGCTTCTTCTCTGAGATCGAAGCTTGACCGTTCTCATTCTCAATCAGTCTTAGAACTTCGAGATTCAAAACAACTTGCAACTTCGCCTCTCTGTATTTAAGAGCGCTCATATGCTCTTTCAAGTGACGATTTTCGAGATCAGCGCAATTGTGAAGATATTCCTTTCTATAGCGAAATTCATCAGGATCAAGCAAATGATCATCTTGAATTGTGACATTTTCGGAAGTGAAACTGAATCGCTCATTGAATTCGGACATTGTCAAAATCAGAAGTTTACTGATTGATTCTATTGCGAGCTTCTCGTTCGAATGCGACAATACATGCATCCGGGACAAAGCAGTTTTTGTAAAATATTGCAATGGAATCGTCGTGTTGTATAAGGTGGTAAAATACCTTTCGGCAAGAAATTCTTGAGGATCAACATTGGTCAACTTTGCAGGTATACCACTCAAATCAGAAATTGTTGGCTGTGGAGGGCGCATCTTCAAACGGTATGCTTGATTTATCGGATGTTTTTTCAGTCTGCATCCGTCAAGCTTAGTAAAGCTATAAGTCTCCGTTGGCAAATATTGTTCCTGCGGCGATTCAGACGTTGTTGACCGCATCAATTCTTCGAGGCAAACGTCATCATTTAGGGAGTAAAGATGCCATATGCTAGCGACAGACCCAGGAAACAAGATACCCAGTGTAGAGCTTATTCGTATAACCTCACCACCTGATGTTATGGACACAAGGAATGAAGGAAGTCCCCGTCCTGTTTCAGACCCCATTAGTAAACCTGATATTGATTCACCAACCACAATCTCGGAAGCTTTAACAATTTTGTTCGAGATTAATTTGTATGGAGTTTCAATCATTTTGATCACATCTATTAAAAAATCATTGCTATTAGGGATCGAATAGGCCAATGAGTGCACACGGAATCTGCATACCTGATCCGAATCAACCGTAGCTTGTGAATTCGGTTTCATGAGTCGTGATTCATTGACTTGATTGTTTCAAGAAAAAATATCAAAAATTACGCGTTTACAATGCGAAACTTGGAAAAATGGTAATTGTGCAATAGCATAATTAAGAGCCATGTAACATAATAATCTCCGGGGCACATTGCGATAGGCTGTGAGATCCAATTTTTTTTGAGATTAATCTTATTGAATAGCTATTCACATCTACACGAATGGTATAAGGCCACAATCGCGATTTCTTTCGTCTCGATCCTCGATGAGAATTTTATCAGAAGAGCATTTCTCGAAGAGTGTGTCTGAAAGTCTAAGAACTATGTTGATTTTTCTGACAGTCATTCAAAACGCACCCGAACAGTCTTCTCAAAGACTTGTTCATATTGAAAGGGATCCAAATGATGATATAGGTCCCCGTATTCCAGAAATTATTTTTTTTTAGACGAATTGCTGATCAGCCTTGTAACGGATATAATAGTTACTCAGTCTTTTGATTTTTTTGAGATCAAAATCTGTTCACTTCCGGAACATTTTTTGTTGTTTCGATCTTGATACAACATATACGTCCAGATACAATGTTGGGGGCGAGAGCTCGGGTTCCCCACATTTTCAGAACTCGATTGTATTCTACATCGAGGTTGCCTCGAAAACCTGACTATTTTACCAAAAACAGTAGTCTTGGTGATGAGTACACTTCCTTGAAAAAAGAGCTCCAATCTTTATACAAGAGCGCACTTGAACGCATCAACTCTCAAATGGAGAGCGCCAGCATGGTACGCAAACAAACAAGTGATGAAAATCTTGCCCCTCCAGTTTTGGGACTACCGGCTGATGATATTGTGCTCAACGAAAACGAAATATGGTCTTTCTTTTCACTTTTGAAACTCGATCGAACTCAAAGAATCCTCACTTATCCTGCAAAATCATTAACTTGGGCCGGGTATTCAGATATTGAATATCGAAGAAATACTCTGGTAGTTCCTGGTGAATCAGATTCAGCCGTCAGTTGGAATGAATTTGTTAAGAACTTGGTTGACTATAATACTCGGGGAAACCAGGCAGCGCAGAAAGTTAAGCTGGCTACTCTTCGACTGGTCTTGGAAATTGCGGGAAATAAGCTGACATTGAATACATTCAACCGAATTCTATTAAGTTTATCGTGGCAATATGAATTGACACATATGAATCAGATTTACAAGCACATGACCAAAGAATACGATATCGAGCCAGACATTCAAACCTATAACATTTTCATAAAAACAATAATGAGGTCAAACAGCAGAAATAGGGTCAGGAGATGCATTCGGATATTGCAAGACATGATCTGTCAAGACATAGTACCAGATGCTTATACGTGGAACCTCATTTGTGGGGGTTTGAAAGATGTACACGAGACGCTCAATTTCATGAGGAGGATCTATGACTTTAATATTCCCCTGTTATGTCAAAGAAATTTATCCAGGTCTGGCATTCAATTTCCAGTAACCAAGGAATTATTTGATCCCAATTTACAAATTGACTACGAAACATCATACAGTCTCATGTCATTGGGAGTGAGAGTACAGTTACAAGATGATAAAAACTTAAGACAGGCTTTTGCATATATGCAACAGATCTGCCTCCAAAGCCAAGTCCAGTTGGGACCCAGCTTAGCTTTGGAGCCAAAATTGGATATACTCAAGCTATTTCTACAATTCATACTGTTTGAATGGCGAAACTTACCTTACGCAATTGCATTTTTGCAATACTTTGAAAAATCCTACCCAAGTTTGTTTGGTAATAAAGCGAAAAGCGAAATCTATTCGATGTTCACTTCGGCGATGAGCCAATTCGAGGAATCCCCACTTTGGAGCTCACTTTTGAGATACTTTTATCACAAATCACTAGACGAAAAGGGCAACGCTACATTGAACAAGACCGATCTCGGAAGGTTGCAAGAAGTGATATCAAGGAACAACTCAAAAATCGAGTCGCCAGAATCCGAACTCAACTTTGTTGATATGACTGCGAGTCTTACTTTAGTCGAAAGAACTGTCATAGATCGTGTTTTTAAACAATTGAGATGGCCTGGGTCTGCGTTTGGAGAGGGGCCAATATGGGATTTGAAAAGAAATACACCTGCTTTTCAGCAAGCATGCAATGCTATTGGCTGTTACAAAAGTTTGGACGATAGCGGATCATCGAAAGAAATCAACTTGGAGGCCGAAAAATTCGATGCATGGCAATATTTCGACTATTCGAAAACTATGCAAGATGACCTCTTTATGGATGTTGCAACCGCATCTTCTGGTAATGCTAATTTTAAATGAGAAAACGAATAAAAACACTTTTGGTTAGTCAATAATTCAGATACGCGTTTTATTTTGATTTCGTGTACCAACAAAACTCAACGCGTGCAATGAGACATGAATCAAAAATTATAAAAAAGGTAAACAAATTTGTGAACCGTTACCTTACCGTTGGTGTCTTAGCGGTTTGCATGAGATAATCTCTGGACGTTACAGAAGTTTGCCCTTCAGCTAATTTTGAGGTCACTCGATTCCACCAACTATTGGAGATTGGCAAATATTCTTAGGAGCCCAAAATGCAAGAAAGTAGCCCTTTGAGCCCTAAGCCAACGATTTCTCAACAGCAGAAATCTTATCACTTGAACAATATCAGCGAGCTGACACCTACAACCTTGAATTCAACTGGATTTCCGCTAAACTCTAAGAAACGAACATTGTATTCACCCTCAAATGATTCATTGATAACAGGTCACCGTGAAAGAAGTAAAAATAGCGAGCAATCAAAAATTGAGAGCCCCTCAGGTAAAGGGAGCTCTAAAACTCCTTTTGAATGTTTGAAGAATCCGTCCCCTCCTTACGCAACGAAGAAAGCAGCCTTAAGGAGAAGCGCAGGACTTTTAAATTTATCCATTGAAACCAGCCCAGATAAACAGCTCCAAAAGGAACACGAAATTACAAAATCGTTCAATGACTTATACTTTGATGAAGAACAAGAGGATCAAGAGAACCGGATGAAAGAGTTAAATACACCACGAGAGCCTGATGGACAATATGACCAACCAACCAGCATTTACACTGGTACCTGGCAACAACACAAGCTTGCACAGAATATGCTCACGCCACTTTCGACATCATCATCACCGTTTTTGAATCCTACGGCTACAAAAAAGGCATCTGCTACGTCAAGATTCAGAAAAATATTTACCAACAGTTCCGCTAATACTGCTCTTGACACTCCAATGAGTGAAATAGATGAAACAGTTTCCTTTGACGCCAAAAAGGTAAGCCCCATTAGTACACATATGAAGAATGCGGCAGCTAGGCTAACGAGGAGCTCTCCTGCTGATTCACCTTCGAAACCTGGTCGGGGTATCTTCCACCAGAACAATAAATTCAACCGGCCCCAAACTAGCCAGACTCCCATCGGTAACCAGGGTTTTGTTACACCAGCTTCTTTCAAATCCGTCAAGCCACTTCAGACAGCATTCACTTCAACTGGTCTTCAAAGCAAAAAATCTATTTCTTCTACGAAACAAAAAGTGATGCCAGAAACCCCTTGCAAACGCCCCCCTCTTAGCATTGTCGATGTCAACGGCTCCTTTGTAGGAGGAGCAAACACATCTTTTGGATCATCCAATGTCCCTGCAATAGCCGACAACTCCTGCTTGAATAAAAGCAGCAGTATTCCCAAATCCAGAAGGCCTTCCAGCAGCCCAGCAAGTGTAATTTCCCCTGCGAATAAGGTCACACCAACATCATTGGAAAAATCTTTCAAGCATTCACAAAATAGTATTGGATCTTCAGGGAGTGGGAGGGTGCCACAACGGACGCAAAAAGCAGTCAATACTACTGATCTGGAGAGCTGCATTCTTAGGTTTACAAACGAATTTGACGACCTGTATGATGACGGAGACCAGAGCAGTGCGAGTATTTTCAGAGAGGCAAATACGTCAGCAAATCAGCTGCTGAGCTCTAGAGGCTCTGGAAAGAGTTTAGAAGGTCATTATACCCTTAAACATATAACAAATTCCACTGGCGACGAGTCGAAGAATGAGATCAGCTCCACAATCGAGACCGAACAGAAATTTAGTTCGGGTAGCTATTACTCAGACGATGAAAAACAATCACAATCCTCATTCCAAGAAGACTTCATGGACGAAGATTTGGACTTGGAAAACATTGACAATATGAACTTCGATGGATTTTCTGGGCTAGGATCGATGGATAATTTGCCTCCTACTCCAACGCGTCTCGGGATTCTGAACAGCCATAATCACATGAAAAATAATGGAATCTCTTCTGATGGCAGTACCCCTACTAAGCATCCATCACAGTTTCAAAACGATACCCAACAGGAGCTAAATAGAGTGAAACTGAAACTAAGGAACTTTGGCGCGGATATAAACAATATGGTTCCTCCTCGAGTTTCGGCTATATCCACTCACAGTCCCAAGACCCCTGTAGATCCATCATTCAATCAACTGTTTCACCCACCAATTCAACCTGAACAAACAGAGGCTCTGTCATCACAAGGTGAAGGGCAGTCGTCTATGTTCCAATCGCAACCACCACAACAGCTTATATTCGATCAATCATCCAAGCAGAAGAACCAAGCGGATTATCATCTTATGTCCAAGTTTGGAAATTGCAGCCTTATCGGCTCGGGCGAGTTTTCAATTGTGTATGAAATTCAGTATGAGGGAGTCAAGTATGCAGTCAAGCGTACAAAGAATCCACTGGAAGGACCGAAAACAAGATTAAGAAAACTTGAAGAAGTCGAAATACTGAAATCTTTACAGGAGAAGTATAGGAGTTTCACAATGGAAAATGACGATGAGACTCTTGCAGATACAGGCGATAGTCACGAAAATATCTTGAATCTCATCAACTACTGGGAACACAACTCATACTTGTATATAATGACCGATTGTTGTGAGAATGGTTCGCTTGACAACTTTCTGGTGGAGAACGGAAAGGTGTCAAAGTTGGATGAATGGCGAGTGTGGAAAATTTTGAATGAAATCTTGATGGGACTCAAGTTCATCCACAGTTGTGGGATTCTGCATCTTGATTTGAAGCCAGCGAACATATTTATCACGTTTGAAGGTTCTTTAAAGATTGGAGACTTTGGGGTCGCGTCAAAATTACCAATTCCTCCTTTTTTCGATAGAGAAGGAGATCGCGAGTATATTGCACCAGAGGTGATCTCGAAACATATCTACGGAAAACCTGCTGACATTTTCTCGTGCGGGTTGATCATGGTTGAAATTGCTGCCAACATTATTCTTCCGGACAATGGAACATCATGGCAAAAACTAAGATCTGGGGACTTGACTGATGCAGGAAGGCTTTCTTCTAGTGACCTCACAGATCTAGACGGGTCAATTTTCTCTACTACGAACACATACTCCTCCAATTTGACAAACACCACCTCCACGACCGGTTGTTCGAACTCCCCCACCGAGCTCAATAGAGCTCAGCAATCAAGACGAGCTGGAATTCCTACCTGGGCACCAGCTTGGTTTTCTGATGGTAGCTCCACTTTAGATAAGCTTGTCACTTGGATGATCGATCCGAACCCTATCAGCAGGCCGACTGCAGACGAAATATTAAGAAGTTATGAATGCTCTGTCGTTGAATCTAGACGGAAATGTGGTGCTACTATTTATGAAGGTGATTTTGGCCCTCAACCAGATCAGAATGATTACGCTCTGGAAAAGGAACTTCTAGTGTCAAACTGCACTTATAGAATTGCCAACGTATACGGCAAGTCGAATAGGAAGTCATCAATTGATATGATTTTGGAATGACAACCTTATACGAAGTTTATGACTATGTACATTGACAAGCTAATAAAGAATTTGAAATGAGTATCCCAAGAATGAACTCAATCAGGATAAAGGTATCCCGAAGGAGGAAGATATAGCTCAAGGTATGGGTGTAACTCAGAATCTCCCGACATCTGAGAAAGTTACTCGCCATCTTCTTTTTCGACTGGAAATCCTCTTTTATTTTTTTTTTTGTGGACTTTATCGCAATTAAGCTCTCGCTTTGTTTACTTAATTCGCTTAATCTACTATCTAAAATCTAGTCACCAGAGTTAGCAATAAATGTGCTAAAACTTTGTACTAATTTATGAATTTCTAGTGAAGCAAAACTTCAGATGACAGGGGAGAATACCACAAAATCTGTTACGAATGAGGCCCGAAGACCCGAGTCCGTTCACAACAAACGGGAAGAAAAGCACGGAAACGGGGATAAGAGCTTGAGGAAGAGGAACCGGCCATCGTTTGTTTGCACCAATTGTAGGAAGAAGAAAATCAAATGTGACAAGAATATGCCATGCACCAATTGTGTTAAATCACATCTCATCAGCTCATGTCATTACATGTACCCTTCCCTTCGGCATCTATTAGCCGCCACCGATCACAGTAATACGACCCCAACTCTTGACAAGTCATTATTACAGACTAGACCATCTTCAATTAGTTTGACTCCTCCTATGGTAAGCACAAACGAAGATGGCTTACATAGTCTGGTCACAAAAAGTGATGATCTTTACCGACCAGGTACTTTCGAACACTCTAATAGCAAAATCTCGTTAGAGAATGACGTTCAGGCATTGAAGTCCAAAATGGTTGTGCTTGAGCAGGTTCTCAAAGGCAAAATTGGAGTGCCGGATCGCGAAGCTCAAGATCCTGATATTCAAAAGGACGCTCTAATCTCGATATTTGTGATTAAGTCAAAAAGACTAAAGTTGAACTGCTTACTACTCAAAAAATCAAGAATCTTGCACTTTGGATTTGCCTCGATCAGAACTACAATAGCTCACAGGGGGGACCTCAGATTCATATTCTTGCAAATGATCAAACAACTCGACCTCGAAAGAAAATCATGGAAGAAGAAGAATGATATCCCGTCAAGTGTAAACGTTACCGGACTGGGTGAAAATGCAGATGACTTTTCAAAACTCATTGAATCTAATCTGACCCAATACTACGAGGCGATGCTAGAGCGAATTGACTACTTTGGCTTAGAGCTGAACGATTTGCTGATGGATGGATTGCTTGACATTGTTCAATTGAAAGGCTATTTCCACTCCTTTTTTGTCCGCAATGATATTGGAGAAGTTCATTTTTCTCCCCCAGAAAAAGCATACTTGTATTCCAACTTGGCTTTGGTACTTGCGGTCGTAAAGCTGGCAGTCATATTTAGCGATAAGCGATCAATCGGCGATCAAACGGGTTATTTAAAAAATGAAATGGACGATGCATCAAATATACTAATCGCTTGTTGCAGTACCGCCTTGAATTTGTCAAGGTTTCACCAGAAGCAGACCATTACTGCATTGGAAAGTGTCATGTTGTTCCGACTATGTTTGTTGCACAATGAGGTAGGAGGAGATGGGGGAGATGCTGCAAATTTAATACCATTTCTTCACACTGCGATCTCGATTGGACTTCAAGTTGGACTTCATAGATCGCTGTCTTGTATCAACGGGATAACAAGCAAAGAACCATCTTCTGATAGTTTGCCTTATTCACATGCTATCTGGAAGAAACTTTGGGCTCAATTGAAATTCCTTGATTCCAGTGGATCCTTAATTGTAGGATCACCCCTGATAATAAATGATCTATTCACCGACAATGACAGCTATTCTGATAAAATTGTTGCAGGTGTCGGTCCGGAACGAGATCAGTTGGTTCATGAGGCCACTGATCTATTCAGGGAAGCCACTATTGTTCTCAATTCTGTGCAACCGGTCTCTTTGAATGATATTGTGGCAATGGTAACCAAGCTCATAGACTTATTTAAGCGACTGGGCACATTTCTGGAGCTTTTGAACATTCCAAGAAGCGACTCTCTGAACACTAGTGCATGGAAATTATCTATGAAGTTGTTTCTTCTCGAGACGATACAGGGAATTTGCACAAACTTGAGACTGGCGATAAAGAATCATAAATTGCTGGAGGAACTCTTGGAGAACCGAAAGTTGCTTTTCAACGAAATCAAGATGCTCGAATTCCTTGACAAGTCTATCTTTGACATCTCGATGAAGAGTGCAATACTTTCGATGCTGGTTGTGAAGACGCTGTTCAATACCAAAAATGTGTTTTCCAGCAGAAAACATTTGGTGTACCTCAAATCTATGATGACTGGATTACTCGTTCGATGCTTTCTGACTTTTGCTTCGACTATAATGAGCGACATGAGCGACACCAGAATAAACATGAATGCTTCATCCATGATCAAAATTGATTCCATTGATTATAATTCGCTGGAGGTCAGTATTTGGGAAGCTTTTGAAGGATCACCCGATGCATCATCTGAACTTATCGAGCAGTTTAGAGACCCAAAGCAGATTGTCAGATTCCTATGTGAGTTTTATCAAAGTATTGTGAACATTGAAGTTCTCAACTCTGATTATGACTTTTTTGTGAATTATAAGCTATTGGTGATCATTTGTCTTTTCATCGATTCAACTAACAGGGTCTACGTGGAGCAGAGAAATGACTCTCATGATTCAGGGGAGCGAGTCAAACTGGATTTCGGAAAGGTACAAGAGAAGATGCGTGAACTGATAGCACAAAATATGAAAACTGGGGTAATTGACAAAAGTTTTACATTTCATGATGAAGAGGCTTTAGATTTGTACGTTGACAACCTCTTTGGCACCGAGCTATATCCAAATTGGTCGCATGCTACGGCAGGTTTTGAGTCGCTAGATGTGTCCATGGAGGATTTAATGATGAAGGTACAACCAGATGGTACCCAGGGTAGGGAAGCCGATATCATTGGAAACATTTACGGCTCTAAACCTTCAGATGTGAACTTCGACTCTTACGACTTCCAAACGTTCTTTTAGCTCGCGATCTTGTTTCACGCCAACTACAAGAGTGGCTGAGCTCTATGAGCTATAAAATGCTATTTGGTTACTCATACCCAGTATTCTTCAAGGGCTGGATGTTGTTGCCGTTTCTCACAAGCACAGAAATCATTGCAGTGAGCTGTTGGATAAACTTTCGTACCCTGCACAACTAATATTTCTAAGAAATATTAGTTAATTCTTTTGTGACGTCAGATTGGCCCAACCACCTGTTAAGGGACAAAAATCCCTCAAGCGGACCAAAACAAGCTACTACCACGCATCTCTGCAGTGCACAAGAATTGGCATATGTAATGTAACCGTACTTATATCTTAGCCTTTACCATGATTGCTTTGAAACTTATGTGTACCTGGTTGAATGTAGCTTGTTCCTTTTGATTGGTCTCAAAAGATTGAATTTAAACGGTTTGAAGGGTCTGCAATGATTTTTTTCCGTCTTCTTGCGGCCGACTTTTTAACGGTCGCCTCTCGTTGCCCTCCGAAAAAAAAATTTTTCCCTGCTGGGTTGTGTGAATTCTAATACCTGGTTAGTCGAGTTTCTATATATTATGGGGTAGATCAGTAAAGACATTGCTGCGTTTATATTAGCTTATTTATTTATTGGATGAGTAAGAAATAGTATTACTTGACTGATTGTGGGGTATTTAAATTGCATATTATTGCACACAGAGCAAGCGCATTCATTCCGGTACTGCTTTAGGTGTCAAAAGTGCTGATAGGCCATGTCTGATACCTCAGAACCAAAAATACAAAGTGTGGATAGTTTACCACAAACACAAATCAAAAAATCGTCCTCGATATCGTTCGAAGGCGATAACGCAACATCCAGCACAAAAAAGGCGCCATCCAGACAAGCACAGCAAAAGAAGGTTGACGAAAGTTCCCCTTCGGTCATCGCTATGTCTAATTTGAGATGTCCCTCTCCTCCTCCTATTTTACAACATACTACCGCGCAGGGTAGTATTCCAAATTCATCATCTTCGGCAACAAGAGAGACTGCAGTGTCTCCTGGTCCGATTTCCAAACCCGCGTTCCAGCTAGACTCTCCCACTGCGGCTTCGAACTCTGGTTCCACTACTGCATTGGGTAGCAGTTCCCCTAATAGCGAGACTGTTCCTGCTGGTGGTGCCTTACTGAAAAGTAAGGAACCACCGGTTTCACAACTCACGGAGTCTCTTAAGAATTCTCTTGCAAAATCCAATGGAGTTGGCTCGGCGGTCTCTCCTGCTAACGGTAGTGACGGACTTTTGGATATGCCTGCTCCTCAGCACCAGAGGACAACGTCAATGCACGCTCACTTTTGCGTGGAGGACATACTGAAACATCCAAACGTCAGATCAAGATCCGGGTCGGCGTCTACTAACGATATGGAAGCGCCGCATGCCATCCCTCCTCTTCCCCAAATTAAGCCTAATGAAATTCCAAAGCCTGCTACAACACTTCCAAGCGCTCCAAGCGATGTGAACCTTAGATTACCTCAAGATGATGGCAAATTACACATTCTCTTCGGCGCATGTGGCTCAGTTTCGATCAAAAAAACGAGACTGATAATTAATAAACTGGAGCAAATTTATAAAGACAAGGTTTCAATTCAATTGATACTTACGAGAGCAGCTGAACATTTTGTTTCTAGAGGAGAATTTCCAAGCAATGTGCAAATATGGAGAGACAAGGATGAGTGGGCTGTTTGGAATAATCGTGCAGATCCAGTGTTGCACATTGAATTAAGAAGATGGGCGGATGTTTTGGTTATTGCTCCATTAAGTGCCAATACACTATCTAAAATTGCCATGGGTTTATGCGACAATCTCCTCACAAACGTTGTTAGGGCTTGGAATACACAGTATCCAATAATTTTGGCCCCTGCAATGGTCTCGTTTGCCTACACTTCTGCTGTGACCAAAAGACACGCAAAAACTATTAAAGAGGATATGAAGTGGATTGAAATTTTGAAACCTACGGAAAAAGTGGTTAGCAGTTATGGTGAGATTGGAATGGGAGGAATGATGGATTGGAACGAAATCGTTGATAAAATTGTACAAAAGCTAGGTGGTTATCCGGAAGATGAAGACGAGGATGATGATGACACAAATGATAAGAACGATGGCGATGTGGAGGAGGATGACGATGTGGATGATGATGACGACGAAGATGATGATGTTGATGATGATGATGAAAACGACGCCGAAGTTTCGGGGGATCCGGCGGACCCTCCGATCATTAGTGGGGTCAGGAAACTTACGGTAGCAGAAGAAGATGAGCTTTCAGAAGCTCTGCAGAAGACCGAAAAATCAACTCAATAATTGTCAAAAGTCACTTGTCGCGCTATTTTGTTGGAAATTGTTTTATACAATTTAGGTTTATACTCAATTCAGTTCTAATTTGACACTCCGTTGAATGGTGGTGTAGCGAAACCAATTGGTTCAAATTCTTGTGTAACTTTTCTAATGAAGAATTTACTTCTTACGTAAAGATCACAACTGACAAAAAATTTCTGCCCTGAGAATTAAAATTAAGGAGAATTGGAGAAGGGGGATGAAATCGGTTTCATATTGAGCGTTCACTTTTTTGTCTATCCCGTTTGAAGATATTTTGAAGGAACTATACAATATAAAAGTCAAGTTTTACTTGGATAATCTCAACATAAGTCAACTCTTTTTCCAGTAATATACAGAAAAATCAAGTTTCTCAAGAATGATCCAGGTGGTCTCAAACTCAACAGAGACGCTGGAATCAGTTTATTCCAAAAGTTTATCCACTACAGAACTCATACGATTCCTCTATAAGCTATCATATGCTACTGCTGATAGCTCTGATTCCGATGATACATTTTCACCAGTGGTGTTCAAGATTTTCAAGCATTTGCCTTTGAGTTTGCAGGTTTGTTTCCTTGTGTCGGACGAAAAAGGAAAGAATCCATTGCTAAACTCACTGGTTAAGGCTGTGAATTCCCATGGGTTTATTTCGTTCATCGAAGACACTCCAACATATGACTTTGAGGTGAATTTGAATTCGATCGAATTCTTTTATTTGAAAGAATCCCTTTCCCGGAATCCTGGACAATTCTCACACATACTGTTCCAAAATGCGTATTTTAGGAGGTATGATGAGATACTGCTTTTTCATCAATTTCAAACATTGAAAATTGATTTGAGTGAAATCAGACAGTTTCAAAACGTGCTATACAAAGTGACCGGAGTTTTCCTGAAATCAAAAACAGATCTGCGTGATATCGATTTGTGTCCCCGATCCAGAATAAAAGAGATTGATCTTGAAAGTTCATTGGTGCATGACAAAGAAGTACAGAACTTCTTATCTTCGTTGGATAACATCCAAAAACTGAACTACAAAGATTGGTATTATAATGCACAAAATAGACACGAAGTTGCTTTCTGTCCGAATAATGGTGTTACTGACTTTGAATTATTGTTCTCCAATCAAGTGAACAGCGATATGCTTCGCCCATTTGGACTAGAGAATATTTCAAAAATGCATATCAATTTAGGAGATTCTGACCACGCGTCTTTGGATGTTGAGGAGATCATCCCAAAACTGAATCGTCTAAATACGCTTACCATTAATGCGATGATGAGCCCGTCTTACTTCTCTTTGACATTCAACTGTGAAAGCGCTAACTTGCAATATTTGAATATTACTAGGTCAAATCTACAACGGTGTGATTTTTCAGAACTTTATGCTCTCAAAGAGCTTGTTCTGCTAGACTGTGTTATAGACTCTGCAACTTTGGATACAATGAAGAATTCACGAAACCTCTCAACTCTAATAGTCATCAATGGCGAGATCCTTTGGTCAAACTTCTGGCAAATTCCAACGCAGCTCACCAAGCTTGCTTTGTTAAGCAATGATCACAACAGCTACAAAGACTTGATTTTCTTTGGGAACTCGTCCAATAAGCGAGCAGATGAATACGCCCAACTTTTGAATTTGAACATTAATTCCGTTTCATTTGGTCTACAGTATAGAGCAGGAGATTTGATCTCTGTATGCAAGATTGGACAAAACAAAATCAAATTTCCAAAAAGTGTTGGACCCGAGCAGGCTGAGATCACTTTTATCCCAAATTTCAATAGCATAGACTTTGATTTTCTTGATTTCGACGAAGCAGGACTTTCCGAGCTGAAAATAAACCTATATTCTTTTGGAAACATATTCCACAAGCCAAAAAATGTGCCAAGCGGTATTGAGTGTCAGTACGCTTACTCAAATCTGAATATGCTTGAGAGAGAGACGATTAAAGATGTTAAACTCAAAACAGTCCTTGATTCCAATGAGGGTATTTTTGATTACGATTCGGATGACGTTCATTCAAGAGGGAATCTCAGTATTGATATGGACTACTCAGAGAGTGATAGCGAATACAAGTACTCCAGAAGAAGAACAAGAAATAAGGGACGATCGAACAGGAAGTTGGCTGACGAATCTAATCTAACTGATGATGATAACAATTTAAACGATAGCGAGGAGGAAGCCAAGAGAAAGAGCAAATTAATCAAGAGTGTTATATCATCAAAGAATATCAAAGCCTCTTCAAATCCAGAAGATCCTGATAAGCCATTTGAATGTGAATTCTGTCCAAGAGCTTTTAAACGAAAGGAACATTTGAGAAGACATTCTTTGACTCACACCAACTACCGGCCACATGTTTGCACGAACTGTGGACGTGGTTTCCGCAGGTCAGACAATCTAAAAAATCACGAAAGACGTTGTCTAAGTTCGGGGAAGGCTGGAGGTACGGGCTACAAATTACGCGAAGATCCTAATAGGCTGGATTCGGAAGAAATAGAAAGAGTCAAGAAGATGGAGCTGCAGAAACGTGCCAGATTAAAAAGGCTCAAAGATATGGGAAAGAGTATCAAGCTTGCAGAGTTTTATGAATCGAATAAGTCTCACACTTCTTCCCAATTTCAAAACGAAAGGCTCCATCCCACCTCACATCTCAACAAGCTACCCGATTTTGAAGATGAGATAGGCAGTGACAGTGACGTTGATGAAGAAGAGGAAGATGATGGAGACAACGCCGATGATGATGCTTACGAGGACAAAATCTTTGATAGAAGAAGGGAAAGAAGCCATATGATATCTCGCTATGGTAACTCCCCAGCAGAGTCAGGTTTGGAAACGCCTCCTACGTCTGCTAGCGGTTGGCCAACGGCTCCCACATCCCCGAATGTTTCTAGCAAGCGGTCTTCTCTCAACACGGTTCCTGCCCTGAGATTAAAGAGAGGTGACTTTAATATGTCTCCAAATCCCTCGGTGGATCGACATGATGTGGCCACGACTGTGCACAACGAAACGAAGATGCGCTCAACTGGGAAGCACAGGCTGGACGAGAAGGAAAACCATGATTCAATTGATGCGGAAGTAGATGATGAGGATGACGACGTGGACTTCAGCAGTGCGCCTTCCACTGCTGCCAAATCTTCTATCAAGCATCAAGTGAATGAAATGTTCACAAAATGTGAACTGCTTCCTAACAATGTCTACAAATGTGCCAAATGCTCGCAGCTGTTTACAAAGCGAGGCAATTTGAGAAGACACTTGGTGATTCATTTCAACCTGAAGCCGTATACTTGTGATTGTGGGAAATCTTTCAAACGATCAGATAATTTCAAAAAGCATACCAGCCGTTGCAAAGTGCTAATTAATAAGAGGCAAAAGACAGACAACTTGGGAAACGCTCAAAGTCATACATTTTCCTCTGGAGAGGTAGGCTACAAAATGGACATTGTAAAAGAAGAACAAACTGGCGATGAAATGGTGAACTCTCTGTCGCCTGGCCATAGTTCGCGATCACCCTCTGTACAGTTGTCATCCCGCCTTGTTAAGCAAACTGAGTTGTCCGATGACTCGGGAATCGAAGGTGAAGAGAAGAAGAAGGGGGATGACAGGCAATTTGAGTGCAACTTTTGTCAAAAGAAATTCAAGAGGAAATATCACTTAAATCGACACTTGATAGTTCACCAGAACGATAATTTGCGACCATACAATTGTCCCCAGTGCAATAACTCGTTCAAAAGGGGTGATTTACTCGAGAAACATATTCTTAACAACAAGTGCAAAACTATTACTTTCAAGGACTGATAAGAACTCGATTCACGCGCTTTTGAAATTCTCTTCAAATAAAAGCAAGTGTATTATTAATCGTTTTGATTTGTATGTCTAAATATTCAAGATTTTTCCTAGGATCAAGACAATTTGTTCGTAAGATGCATGTGAAGTATTTACCAATGAGATGGAAAACAGGAGATAATTACTGTTATGTTCTGTCCGATGATGCGACTAAGAAGTCATGGCTAATTGACCCAGCGTACCCTTCGGATATCCTGCCTTATTTGAAGACCGAAAATAAGACCGAGGTGGAGGCAATTGTCAACACTCATCATCACTATGATCATTCAGGAGGCAATGCAGATCTTCTGAAACTTTACAAGAATATTCCAGTCATTGCAGGAAAGGATTCTCCGAATGTGACGCACACTCCGAAGCATGGGGAAGTTTTGAAGCTTGGTGACAACGTTCAAATCACAGCAATTCACACCCCTTGCCACACACAGGACTCAATTTGTTATTTCGCCCAGGATACCAAGACCGGCGAGAAAGCCGTGTTCACTGGTGATACATTATTTATTTCAGGTTGCGGACGCTTCTTCGAGGGAAACGGAGCAGAGATGCAGGCTGCATTGCAGAGACTTATGGATCTTCCTGATAGCACTAAGGTGTATCCGGGACATGAGTATACTCTTTCAAACGTCAAGTTTTCTAAAACGGTGTTGGGTCCAAACAACAAGGCACTCAAAGAGCTCGAAGATTATTGTCTGAAGCACGAGGTGGTGACAGGAGCCTTCACCGTTGCTGACGAAAAGTTATTCAATCCATTTGTAAGATTGACAGATCCCGAAGTGATCAAGTCCACAAAGGAGTCCGATCCAGTTTCTGTCATGGACAAGTTGCGCCAAATGAAGAACAACTTTTAGGTATATCATGTTTTGTCTTTAAAAATTTCACCAAGCACCGTTAGTAAGTTCTCAATTCCTACTAAAATGGCTTCATCGCTACCACTTCCTGGTGTGTACCTCGAATGTGCAAAATCGATCAATTTCAGAGCACTCAATGGCGCATCGGAGCTTTCAGAGTCGGAATCATCTTCGATTTCAGGTTCCTTTATGAGTATATCTTGTAGCTCCAGCTCTTCCCATCTCTCGGTGTCGTTCTCAATTATCATGAGTATCGAAGCACCCACCATCCGTGTTTCTTGGTCAATCAAACAGTTGTATAACAGTTGTAACCGTTGTATCGTATTTTCTAATGCTATGATTTGTATGCTCTCTGGAAGCTTATTGTGGAAGAAGAATAATTCAAATGCATCCTTCACTGTACTCTTGGTTAGGGACCTCCCAAAAATCTTGTCAAATATCAGATAATTCCCGTCGCTTGATTTTGTAACGGTAGAGTTCAGATCTACACCTTGGATTTTGGGCAATGATTTCGTTGAAACGGGCATCTTCATGCCACAAATTCGATAATGCAACGACCCAGAAGTCGTGGTTTCTGAAACCTTCTTCATTCTTTCAATTTTCTCACTGCTAGAGTTCTCATCGTAAAGCACGTTCCCCAACTTGATGTCTATCAAGCTAGGCTTTTTAAACCCGTACAAGACATTTTCGAGAACCAAAAACTCCTGTCCTTGAAGGAGCGATTGTTTTTCATTATCAATGCTTAAATCTTTGTCTACATCGGCCTGTTGCTCTCGCAATTGATCGGTGACACCTGGTACCATGGAGCCATAAAATAGGGGCATCCAATGGAAAAGCTCTGATCCAAGTTCAATTTCGTCTGTAAGTTCGTGTATCTTTGCTTGTGTTTGGAGATAAAAATCCTTCTCTTGAGTAGTGGTTGGTTTAAAGAACAAAGAGCCGTCTGCAGACTGCAAGCTACCATCGTGCCCAGCAGCCTTATGCTCAATAGGAACAATCGACATTAAATAAATTTATTTTGAAGCACAGCCGTATTAACTTTAGTATTTACCGTCTTCTTCTCGAAGAATTAACGTATCGCCCGCGTCCAACCTTGACGTTCACAGGCTTAATATGTTCTGTACCCGTGAAGAAAGGAGAAATGAAATTGTCTGCCGACCCACCTCCAACGTACTCCTGCATGACCTTCTCGTTCTGTCGTAGCTGCCACTTTGCATTCTTGAGTGCTTGCTGATACTCTTTTTGGTCTTCACGAAGATAGACGTTTTCCAGAAGAGGGTTACCGCGGTGTTGGTAACCTTGGCTTCCGTATTTCTTGGCGTAGTTCTTGGATTGTGGGGAAGGGAGAGAGTACTTGTCGCCTCTTCTATGCCATTCGAAATTCTTCTTAAGGTGAGGAATTATATTACCATTGGCAACCACAGAAACAGCGCACCTAAGTAATGTGGCACCGCCACAGGCAGAACAGAAATGCTTTGGAGTTCCGTCTTTGGGTATTGGGATCATCGTAAAACAAGCGTGACATCTCAACATGTAATTTCTCACTCTCTTTATTTGCATACCTGACATTGCATTCATCAAGTTCAAGCCAATTTGAAGAGCCACGTTCTGCACAGCGAAATCTCCCGTGGACAAAGCAACCTTCACTTTTTGGATGTCTGCTGACGACTCCACTTTTTCATTTTCATCCTTCATCATTTCTTCAATCAAGTTTTCTGGTGTAATCCATTCTCCTTCGTCTTCTGCGTCCGAAAATTCTTGTGATAAGTGATCTTCGACGGACAACTTATCTACTTTGTCAATTACTTCAGTAAGATCTTCGGTAGATGCTTGTGAGTCCTCTGCTGGTATTTCTCTAACTTCATCCAAGTTTTTGTCGTCTTCAGTAGTGTGTTCTTGGTTATCAGTTGGTTTCTTTCTATGTCTCTTACCGCCTCTTCTGGTCTTCTTTTTGATCTTTTCAACCGGCTCAAATTCCGGCTCATGCGACGATTCAGCTTCATCTGAGACATTCACAGATTCCTTGCTATTTTCTTTCTGTTGCTCTTTTGGTTTACGTTTTTTTTTCTCCCCAGGGTAGGATCTGAGTCTCCAAGGCCCATTATTAAGTTGGCACTCCAGTTCGTAGGTGAGTGCCAAAATATGTAAATCGTTTTGCGACAGCACAAGATAATCACCTGTTAGTTTGGTAAACTCGATGACAGCATTAATAGCGTTGGGCTTGGGTTGTCTAACTTGTAGCTTGTCTCCCCATATAAGAATTTGCTTTCTTGCGTGCTCATCTTTCAGTTCTGAAAAGACTCCGGGAGTTGTATAGAAATTAGATCCAAACTGCTGTAGCTGAGAGGCCGACTGAGTGATTAGCGGGCCAGCGTCTAGAACAAGTGTATTCACCTTCGACATGATATTAAGTTCTTAAAAAAAAATTTAGCTGAAAAATTATTTTTATCAGGGCTGTGCTCAATTTAGTGTTTTCACAGAAAGTTGTAGAATTATCATCTTACGAAGAAAGTCCTTAATGGCCATTGGAAATTTACTGCAGAACGGTGAAAGGGCGTTAGACCAAGATCATTTAGATGAAGCTGTTTTCAATGCCAACCAAGCGTTGAAAGAGAACGAAAACTCTTTCAAAGCTTTATATCTGAGAAATAGGGCATATTTGAGATCTAAAAAATACGATTTGGCGATTGATGATGCATCAAAGCTGGTCACTGTGGCACAAAACAGTGGAAAAAGAGAAGATATTGCTCTTGCTCTAAGACAAAAAGGAGTTTCGTTGTTCAGAGTATCGCAAAATGAATCTGCTTATGAGCATATTAGTCAATCGGAGAAATTAAACCCTAAGGATCAAGAGACTCTGATGCTGAAAAAAATGATTGAAAACCGCTTGAAAAAGCAAGGAACTCAAACTCTTCCGGAATCAGTCCCTCAGGAGATCCATTCCCCCAAAACCCAGGAATCAAAGCAGAACTTAAAAGTTGATTGGTATGATTCGAAAGAACTTGTTAGTATCTCAATTTTTGTGAAGAACATTCCTTCAGAATCGTTGAAAGTTGAGTTTTCAGAGCACTCCGTTGATGTGAGCTTCAAAACCAAAGACAGTTCGGAATTCAACTACAGTCTAGATCCTCTTTATGGGCCGATTGACCCCGAAAAATCTTCTTTCAAGCTATTTGGTACCAAGTTAGAACTATATCTTTCTAAAAATTCAGAATCTACTTGGAAAAGTCTCGAAAAGACAGGAGAGGATTCGAGCTTCTCTCAAATTCCAAAAGACGATTTCTCTAGTTCAACATTGAGTTACCCATCTTCGTCACGTAAAAAAATCAATTGGGACCAACTTAATATTGATGACGATAACGAATACTCAGATCAAAATCCAGACGATTTCTTCAAGAAGTTGTATCAAAACGCAGATGAAGATACGAAAAGAGCAATGATGAAAAGTTATCTTGAAAGTAATGGAACGGCATTAAGCACAGATTGGTCGGAAGTTGGTCAGAAAAAGGTTGATACTACCCCTCCCGATGGAGCAGAAGTCAAAAAATGGTGATGAAATAACTTGTCAACATACAGGGAATAATGTTGCCTAAAAGGTCTCGGTATCCCAATTCATTGACATATCATTCAGGATTTGGTTAGAAGTGGTTCCATTTGACTTGGCCGGTAGGAGATTGACATTTTCTTTAGCCTCCTCACTATAATCGATTAAGGAATCGCTCAATTCAGCAACAGATGGCCTTTCATAAGAGAAAACCCGTCGGTTGCTTGTTTCCTGACTAGTGTTGATTGTTCTGAGTGACGAAGGTGGTGATGGAATTTTCATTTCAAAATTCAGTGGCTTCAAACTCAATGGATCAGGCAATTTCCCCATTTGGACTTTCTTCCTTGGAGGGCTGCGGGAGACAGGAGAGAGACTCGGCATGATTAACTGTGGCCTCGTGCGCAGTTGAGGTTTTTCTTGAGATCTGATAGGGGACCCTCCTTTAATCACAATTGGTTTGTTAGAGATAGTAGACCCTGTCATGAACTGGATAGCTTTGTTTGGCGAAGTAAGCTTTGTTTTTGCGAAGACAGGTGGATGAACAGGCGGAACGTATAACTGTGAATTATCAGGCTGTCTGTCCAAATGCTCTGGGGATCTGGAGCGCAAACGTTCTTTGATGGGAGAGCTCTCTTTTGAATCAAATGGATTGGTCATATCACTTGTGTGAGTCTTTCTGATAACCGATTCAATGATCGTAGGTTCTCTATAAGGATTCAAGATTTTCGAGCGTGCTGATTTGAGCCCCAATGACTGTCTCTTTGGTTGAACATTATAATGGTCTCTTCGCACAGAAGAAACAACAGGCTCGCGTCTCAATGATCTCTGGATAGGCTTGATAGGTGAAGGGCGAATGGGCGATCTTCGATAAGACCGTTTTCTGCAGAGCTCGGATTCAATATTTTCCAGATGTAAAATGTACGGCTTCCCATTCACTTTAAATGCTCTGCCTTTTTCAGACTGATAATTCACAAGTTGCTCTTTTAGGTCATTGATGGTGGACGGTAACTGTTTTGCTAGTTTATCCCTGACTTTTTCCTCTTGTCTTAAAATTTTGAAAGAATCTCTTTTGAGAAGCCTGTTGGGATCTTTAACAGCTTCGTCCAGTTCGGATTTTTCTCTCAGGAGCTCGTCCAGCTTGGAAATAGACTGTAGAAGTGGCTTCAAACTTTCAACCTCATAACGCAGCCGTGCGATTTCTTCGTTATGTTCTTCAAGCAGAAACTCGTTGTATTCTGCATCATCATCGATATAGTATGCTTTGAATTTAAGACGATCCTGTTCATCGTACATCAGAAGATCCCAAAACCCATGGATTCTGGATCTGGCTAACTCGATGAATTTGGAAATATTCTCCTTCTTCTCTTGCTCCAACTTTTCTACCAATTCCTCAAAGTTTGCAATAGACTGTAGCTTTAGGTTTTTGTTGTTTTTGAGGAAATCCTGTATCGAGTTATCATTAGGTCGGAGAACAGCCCACAAGTCTTCCAGTTTACTCATTAGTGCATTGAGTTGCGTGCTTCTATGATTTTTTTCTGTTTTCAAACTTTCTAGCTGATCCTGGTAACGCTGGAAGCATTGGCCTTTGAGTCCCACTTTTTGTATCAAGTCCTCATTGTCATAATGTTTTAGATCCAGCTTGACATCCATATCAAGTTCGTGCGATAAATCTCTGATTTCCTCGATTGTCTTATTCAGCTCTGTACATCTCACTTTGATGAACTTCTCAAGGTTTGCTCGTTCGTTCGTGATTTGCTCCAAAAGCACAGGACTGGAGCGACTAAATTTCGTTGCCATGATACCTTTTATGTCATCAACCTCCTCTATTGTGCTATACTTGAAACTTTCCTCTGGAGTTGGAATTTCGTTAAAGAAGCGCTCATTCTTATAGCCATCTACCAGCTCCAATCTTGTATAGAACTCCCTTATCACTTTGGAAATTCCCATGATCTTTTCGACTAATATTGGTTTGAACTTGAGTATTCCTTGCTCCACTTCCTTGATTATTGCAGACATTGTTTCTGATTCATTACAATATTGTGAAAGATCCACAAACTTGCCTTGTCTGTAATCATCTATCAGTTTCTCCACTTTGTTATCAAGGAGATCGTCCTTGTATTCGTTCTGGTAGTTTTTGAGAACTTTGAATATCTTTGCAATTGTGTCGAGTGATTTGATGAACTCTTCGTTCAGGTGAAGTTCGTCTTGCTTTAGTTCATTGTGGTAATTGTCAAGAAGAGCATGTATAGATTGATACCACCGCTCTAATTTGGGTTCTCTGTCTCCCAGTTTGAGCCCGAGAGATTGTATGTCTTGAATTAATTTAACAGTGTCCTCGATTGGAAGCCTAAGTGGTGGTTTGGTATCGTTCTTGATTTGGTCTTTTTTAGCTCCTCGTATTATTTCAGCTATTGATGCAAGCTGGTCCGGTGATAGCCCATCCAGGGCACCACTGATATCGGTATCAAGAGTCATTAGTCAAATACGAGTCCTGACTTTAGCACATGTACTTTTTATCCGATCTAGAGTATTATGAGCCGTCGTAATTAATTGTTTACAATAAAAATTATTAGTGCAATCTCTATTTACAATTTACCCGATCAAGTAAATTGATCACAGCTGATTCTTGCAAGATAAATTATGGCCCTTCAGAAAAAGAACTGGGGTTCAACGTTGATGAATAGCTCTCTATAAAGTGTGTCTCTAACTTGGTCTTTACAACATGACAAGAACATTCCTGAAGATATCTTTTTCACTCAAATGGCCAATTCTGTGCAATGTTTGAAGAATGGCTCTCAAAATAGAAGTAAACCTACTGGGAACATGCGCTTTCTTATTTTCCAAACTCTGTCTCTTACCCTTGACTTTTCATTTTGGCAAGAGCCCAAGTAGCAGTAATCTCGTTAAATTTTTATCTATCTTTCCATGGAACTTTAGATGCACCGGTTCAATCTCCCCTGAATTGACCACTTTTTTACGATATCACTATACATCGAAAGATAGGAGGATTGGGGTCATCCGATGTTCTCCCATCTTGATCGACAAATTCAGAAGCCAACACGAGACGAGCAATAGAATAGGTTGTCGTGAAGGGCTACTCTAGGAGGCATATAAAAGGGGCAAGGTAGATCTTTTTGTGCGGTATCAGACCCAAGAGAGGAAATAAGTGAACATAAGTACAAAAGAACTAGAGATCTTATTATAAGATAGAAGGTAACAGTATTCTGGACCGGATCCTCACAGTTGATAGCACCGGAAAACTAAACGATTTAAGGTCGATAAGATGGCTTGAGTAGGGAAACCAGTGTCAGCGAAAGAACCACGGCCACTGGCCCCGCCGGCTAAGTCTTTGAAGAAATTAGAAAGGTATAGCAGCTTGGGGTACCCATTGGTGCTCCGCACGTTTGTGCATAAGATGGAAGAATAGTTCGTAGTGGTCAATGTTATGAACGACGTCAACATAATGAGCTGCACAAGCCTGAGGTTGATGGGAGCGGCCTTTGATTGTTTCCTCAGTTAAAGAGGATTCGAAGTTTGGCAGGAATTCGTCTAACTGCTCCAAAGACGATTCCTATCGATCGGATTTGGGCCTAGACCGCGGAATCGTCACCGATGATTATCCGCTTAAAAAGATATACAAACAGGGACAGAGAAAATCCCACGAAAAGGGGAACCGGGCCTTAAAACGAAAAAAAAATGGCTATGGATAATCAATAACTCAGACTGGATCATTAAAGCATCAACCAAGTGGTTGTATAGTGTAGTGGTTATCACTTTCGGTTTTGATCCGAACAACCCCGGTTCGAATCCGGGTACGACCTATTTTTTTTCAAAGTCAATTTTTGTAGTTTTTTGGCTCGTGGAAGAGTCCAAGGAACTTTATTACTGATGGCCATAAAACATAACTCAAACCTTGTTTTTGATATAGTATACGTAATCGTCGTAATACCCATAGTGAGTTTCGTCGTCGTCATAAAGAATAGACACTTCAGTGACTTTAAGGGCTAACTGTATTGGAAGGAGTCTTCCAAGCTTCACCAAAGCTGTTTGGCAAAAAGTGGCCAGGCTTTCAAAGGTTTTGGCATCCAAGTCCGTTGAAGTGCTTGTCTTATTTATTAGCTTATTAGAACTGTTGAGCTTTCTTTTCTTGTATATGGCTTCTTGTTTCGCAATCAGAGGCGTGAACTTTCCAAACATGGGATCAACAATTTCACAAAATCTTGAGCTCAGGAATGTATTCCCATAACGGAGCAGTGTCGTGAGAATCTTCAGAGCAGCATCAACAACTCTCAAATCCTTATGGTATACAAAGCTGGAAACGGTTGGCCATAGAGATGCACAAATTTTGAGCAGAGTTGATTTATCCGTAGCCATTATTGGAAGCAGCTTATTGATCAGGTTTAACGTGATGAGAGTCACTTTGACTGAATTATGCTTCGAAAGTCTTTCGCTGTACGAGAAGATCTGAAATAGAGTTTTGAACAGCTTAGGGGAGATGGGTGGCTTGTCGGATTGCTGCGGCTCTTGAAATGGAGCAATAGACTCAATTTCAGACCCAGACTCGTCATCGCTATCAACCTCCAAAACCTTGTCTTTTTTCAGTTGTTCATCTGGAGCATTATTTTCATCTGAATCCAGCTCTGGAACATCTACTTCTTTCTCAACAAATTCAACCACGTCGTCAATATCTGATAGATTCCAATGACTTGGAACAAGAACATTGTCTTCTTGTAAGTTTTGTTCCAGACTCTGGAAATCAAAGTCTTTGAAGAAACTGTTGTAAACTTTGGTAACCAGCTGATCGAAAACCAAAAAGAATCCCTCACATAGTGAAGTGTATCCGTGGTACATATCCAACAAAGTGAATATTGTTGAAATAATATCGTCCAACTGGGTTACCAGTCCAATATCTCCTATGTTGATCAGAACGCCTAAAACAATTGGAGTTCGTGGGGTAATAGAGTCTCCAGTCATATTGATTGACAATGAATCAGCAAGGTAATCACAGTTTTCCGTAATCAATTTCTCGACAGAACCGTCATAAAGTTGTTCGGCGATTTTCAAAGCAACATGTTGAGCTTGCGATCGGACAATTTGGCTTGAAGAGGCAAGATTGTCAACCACAGGATACAAAAAATCAACCAGTTCGGGTCCAAACCCGTCTCCTAAAACAACGCAAGCTTTTTCGATGCACATCAGCCCCACCAATTTGGATTGTATAAGATTTTGTTCATCTCTGACGGAACTGTAGGTAAGCAACTCGCCCGTTTTTTCTAGCAGACTAAGCACCACATCAGATGGACTATTAGATTCCTCATCTTCTATCAAAAAACTCGAGTCTTGTGGAGTTGAAGCATGGAGAGCACTGGATGCAAGCCATAAAGTCATTGAATTCGAAATAGCTAGTTCATTTGACGTAACAGGCGGCAAGTTCAACAGTATCGGTTCGAGAAATGATACATTGTGTTCTCCAAGTGTAAAGAGATAACTTTGGAGAGATTCTTCGACCTCTGCGTCGTAAATACCGTCCAACACCCTAGCTTTTTCAAGGTCTTGGAAACTTGAATTTGTAGTAATTGAAAGAAGTTGATCGGTATACGAGGCTTCCGCTGAAATCTTCTTCTTGCGATTCTGAAATCCCTGTGAAACAAGTATCTCCTGGAGAGTATGAATTGACCTTTCTGATAATAACAAAATGTCTTTATCGAAGAATGAAAGTATTCGGACAAAAAAGGATAGTTTCTTGAAGTATGAGGTTATTTTGGATGAATCTGGAGACAGCAGAATCACGTCAGCTGAAGATAGCGCTTTTTCAAACTCTATGAAAACCAGATCCAGCTTCTTTGGCGCTTGAGAATCCAGAGCTAGTGAATCAGTCAATTTTTGGAAATATGTTTTCTGGTCGCAGATGAGAGCCAAACAGTTGATAATCTGAGGGACCAAAAAAGTACATGAAACAAAACAACGGCTTAGAATTGAGGAACACAAATTGAAGTAGCTTTCGCTGGTTTCGGCTCTTTGATCTTCTTTCAAAATAACTTTGAAAGCCTTGTGCAACTGGTAAATGGTAGCCTTGAGCCAACTAGTCGTTCTATGTATTTGTCTTTCTCTGTTCTCTGGTATAAAGACGTTAAACTCTCCTTCTCTTGTATCCTGCTGCTTGATATCTTCCAAGTTGAGAACTTTGTAATTTGTATCCACTTGTAAATCATAGTCATCAAAAACGTAGCAAATTATTGTGGTCAAAACATTCAATGACAGATTTATAACTTTCGCCTTTCGTGTATGTTTGATTGTCTTACTGATAGAGGAAACGACGCCCGGTAACATGAAGGACAAAATTTCGCCATCGTGAAACATGTCAAACAACACGTTCAACGTCTCCAAGCTGGATAATTGAACCGTGATATTTTGATTATGCTGAGCAAAATGCAGTAACACTGTCACCATATGACCTAGAGAGGGCATATTCTTGTCATCGTTCAAATATCTGTTTGTGAATTCTGGGCCCTGGTTGCGTATACCCAACAAGGTATCGTGTAAACACCCGATCCCGTTAATTAATGTCTCGTCAGTATGCGTAACAAACTCGGAAGGTTTAATGTTTGGTTTGCCTCCAATTAAGAATGTTATCAGAGGAATGAATTGTTGCGCGAGGCCTTGCGCAAGGGCCCCCGAGAATGACCAGCACCTTTTGATTAAAGTTCGGATGATCGATAAAACATACTCCAATTCAGTCTCCTGCAGAACAGGCCGTCGCAACAGTTGCGCAATTGGAACAAAAATGTAGTCTGCAAGACTGGTGGGAAATCCTATCTCTTTTGTACCTATTACTCGATTGATGGAGTCCTTCAGTACAAAATCAAGTTTCTTTAATGCATCGACAAGCTGCTTGGAAGTGAATATCGTCTCGGGAGCAAATGTGATAGCAGATAGGTCCACACAGCTCTGTTTGACTTCTTTGAAAAGAATGATTCCCAGATCATCAGGATCAAAGGAGCCATTATCCATACTCCAAGACTAATCAAACTAAATTCTTGAAGAACCCTTACACCTGAACTTTTCTGGCAACAAAAAATCAAGTGGGCGAAAATTTTTCACTTTCAAATTATATTTCAACAAAAGCAAGTTTCGAGTACGTAGACAGACCTCTGATTTGCAAGTGTTCAACTGGGTTTATCAAATTGGCAAAAAAAGCAAGCTGGGACAAAAATTACAGTTTTCGATTGGTACAAACAACAAAGATGACTTGTCTGAACGGGGCATTTTTGATGTTGGTAAATGTTGAAAGCTATAATACCTTGTTCCAGATCTAGCAAGTTCAAAGTTGATTTGTTCTTGTTACGCTCATGACTCCACGGGACACTCATGCAGCTTCTATTGGTTTTTTGCCTTGGGAATACTAACTACTTTTAGAAAATGACCAGAACATCTGTTTTAGCTGACGCCCTCAACGCTATTAACAACGCCGAGAAAACCGGAAAGAGACAGGTTCTCATCAGACCATCTTCCAAAGTGATCATCAAGTTCCTCCAAGTGATGCAAAAGCATGGTAAGTCTAATTTTACACCGGAATGATAACTGGATGGCTTGTCGGTTTTTCAGTCCCTTGCTGTCTTTTAAGTTTCCGGAAGATCAATGCAGGAAATGCTTCTTACACAGCGTTAGTAACCAGTTGCTTTCGTCTGTTTACTTTTCCTCGACATAATTTCTCTGAGAAGATACTAACTTCTTTTAGGTTACATTGGAGAATTTGAATACATCGACGACCACAGATCTGGAAAGATTGTCATTCAATTGAATGGTAGACTTAACAAGTGTGGTGTCATCAACCCAAGATATAACGTCAAGATTACCGATGTCGAGAAATGGACTGCTAGCTTGTTGCCAGCCAGACAATTTGGTTTCGTTATCTTGACTACCTCTGCTGGTATTATGGACCACGAGGAAGCCAAGAGAAAGCACGTTGCTGGTAAGATTCTGGGTTTCGTGTACTAATTTATATACCTGTTACTCCGAATTATAATGTCTTTTCCGAAAAAAAAATATTTGGCTGTGTAGATTTGTTTAACTTTCGAAGGATTGGCGGCTATCCCTTTTTCTTTCTAATTAATTCATTTCTGAGTTACAAGACTAATAAGAGGCGGCATGTTATCAGTTCTGAAGACTCTTGCAATCTCTTTGATTGCTAGTACCGTTTACGGTGCTATCCATCCAATTGAAGTCAGGGAAAGACATTTTCATGACTCTGTTACCGGACGACCAGTAAGTGTGATTATGAGCTACATCACTAACTAAATCGCTCAGTTTTTTGTTAAAGGTGTTGACTACCAACCTGGTGGTTCATCTGCTGTAAACCAAATGAGCGATCCGCTATCTGACGCTGGCAAGTGTGCCAGAGATATTGTTTTGTTCCAAATGCTTGGAATCAACACCATTAGAGTTTACTCTATTAATCCTGATCTTAACCACGATAAGTGCATGACTTTATTGGCGGCTGCAGGAATCTACCTTGTTCTGGATGTCAACTCCCCATTGCCTAACCAACATTTGAATAGATACGAACCATGGACATCATACAACACAGATTATCTTTCCCATGTCTTCAAGACTGTTGAGGTGTTTTCCGGCTACAACAACACTTTGGCTTTCTTTGCTGGAAACGAAATTGTCAATGACAAGCTATCTGCCAAAGTTTCTCCTGGATACATCAAGGCTGTTGTTAGAGATTTGAAAGATTACATCAATTACCAGGCGGTTCGTAAAATTCCTGTTGGATATTCGGCAGCTGATGATCTTAGTTACAGAATTTCTCTCGCCAAATACTTGGAGTGTTACGAAAACAGTCCTTCTGAAAGCGTCGACTTCTATGGTGTCAACACTTACCAATGGTGTGGTGACCAAACGTTCCACTCTAGTGGTTACAATATCCTTGTCAACGATTATGATGACTATAGCATTCCAATATTTTTCTCCGAATATGGTTGCAATGAAGTTCTTCCAAGAAAATTCAAGGAGATCGGCAGTATCTACTCCAACCAGATGTCTTCTGTGTTCTCTGGTGGTTTAGTGTATGAGTTCGCTCAAGAGCCAAACAATTACGGGTTGGTCGACTACGATGAGGAAGGAAATGTTCATTTACTTGCCGATTTCCACGCCTTAAGAGAGCAGCTAGCTAAGGTCAATGACCCTCCTGTTCCAAAGAAGGCTATTTTGCAAAATGAAAAGAACACGAACGTGGGAATGTTTGGTAAAGGAAGCCGTAATAGACAACAAAGAACCAAGGTTTGTGACACCCAATACCAAAACCTTGATGTCTCGAGTGGGGTTCCTAGATCTTTAGGTACCACCTTGATTACAAACGGTGTGAAAAAGGCAAGCAAAGGAACGTATGTTCCTCTTTCTGAGAGTGACATGACGTCCAAATACAAGATTTTCGATGTTGACGGCAAGCTCATGGGCGAGAACGCAAAAATTAAAGTTGTTCCAGAACCTCGTTCTGAGAACAAGCCTGTGATCTGGAATAACCGTAAGTTTAGAACTAAGAGTCCAAAGTACGAATTTTGAAGAGAGCTTATGGGCTGTCGAATCTATAATTCGAACAGAAACTAACTAAATTTAGTGGGTTCTAAGACCAAAATGTCCTCCATGTGGAACACATTCTACATTTGCTTAATTGGTGTTCTTGGATTCAATTTTTAAAATCGATAAGAATCATCTTCCAGAGATTTCCCAGTCTCCACTCTTACCACCTGATTTCTTCACAACTTGACAACCATCTATTTCCATCAACTTGTCAACAGCTTTGCACATATCGTACACAGTGAGCAGAGTCACAGTGGTGCCTGTTAGCGCTTCCATTTCGACTCCAGTCTTCCCATCACATTGGACTGTACACTGGACCGAAATGTGATTTTCTTGCTCGTTCAGGGCAAGATCAACAGTGATTCCTGTGATTGCGATGGGATGGCATAATGGCACTAATTCAGCAGTTTTTTTCACCGCCATTATGCCTGCTATTCTTGCAATTGACAACACATCGCCCTTCTTGTTGCTATTGGAGATGATTAATTTGATGGAATCTCTGTTGCTAAACTTTATTTTTCCTTCTGCGGTAGCAGATCTATGGGTGATTTCTTTTTCGTGGACGGCCACCATACGAGCTTCGCCTTTTGTATCAACGTGGGTGAGCTCTCTTGATGTTGAATAGTGGCGCCGTGGTTGGCTGTGGTATAGTTTAGGTGCTTAAGTTAGTATTTCGAATTTTGCGGGCAGGAAATAGAGCAATAAATATTTTCAGAGATCGGCCTATCCTCCTATTAAAATCATTGGTCTGTTTGGTTGGTCACCCAATTCGCTCATTCCGGCGTGTTTTTCTTTCTTTTGTTTGACTGCGTAGCCAATGCGTTTGAGAATCTCTTTATCATCGTAGCCAGCACGAATCAGATCTCTCAGAGAAGTTTCTGTATTGTCAAAGAGGCAAACTTTCAAGTTCCCGTCAGAAGTTATTCTAAGACGGGTACATGTGCTGCAGAAATCGTCGGTCATGGAGGTAATAAAGCCTATTTTACCTTTAAAGTTTGGTATCTGGTAAACTTTGGCAGTGTCACCATGTTTATTAGGGAGCTGTTCGATTTCCGGATACTGGACCTTGATATTGGACAGAATGTCCTCATAAGTAACCAGTTTGTTGGTGGACCATTTGTTGCCATCGAACGGCATATACTCGATGAATCTGACCTCGATCTTTGAGTTCTTTGTTAACTCCACAAAATTAAGAATTTCATCCTCGTTCATGTTTTTCAACACCACCACATTGACCTTGACATTGGGCACATTCAACTCTAAAGCGGCGTTCAAACTCTTCATCACTGCCTTAAGTCCATTGCGTCGCGTTATTAGTATAAACTTACCATTGATCAGGGTGTCGAGACTCAAGTTCAACGAGGTGAGGCCGTTTTTGAACAGATCTGGCAGTTTCCGATGAAGAGCCAGTCCGTTGGAAGTGATACAGATCTCTTCAATCCCCTTGATCTGGTTCAATCTCTGAACTAGAGGCACAATATCTTTTCTTACAGTTGGTTCTCCGCCTGTCAATCTTATCTTGCGCACGCCTTGTTGGGCGAAGATACGGGCTAATCTGACTATTTCGTCTGTTGTCAACAAGTGTTCAGGTGGAGACAGATCGACACCTTCCTCTGGCATGCAATAGACACACCGAAGATTGCACTTCTCGGTGATGGAGATCCGAAGATAATCATGTTTACGACCATAGGAATCGGTCAGAAACTCGGAAAACGGCTTGATAGGAATAGATCGCAGCTTCTCGAGTCTTGAAACGGCCCGTGATACCCCAAGCGAGTAGTATCTCACAAACATTAAAAAGAGCTAAAATTTGTAAAGATAAGAAAATTATTTTAGCAACAAATATTATATATCAACCACTTTTCGCATGACACGACGGCCATCGAGATTGACCTTATTGGAGACATCGGGACAGAAACTGGACGTCAGAGCGCACCAGAGAACGTACCAGGGCGCATACATCCGAACATGTATAGGTAGTTTGTCGTTTTCACTGATTGTTCTGAAATTGTTCACGTCGGAATTCTATAGCATCGGGCTTCTATTCAACTGTTACGGACTACTTCTCTGTAGTATCGCGTTCTTACGTTCACGGAACATCGATTTGTATTTGCATGGACCGACAGGAGAAACCGAGTTCTTCAAAACTAGTGGTAACTTTGTACTGTGGCTCACGTTGATAAGTTTAGGGTGCTATATTACGCTAATAGTGCTAATATCTAGGTTGTAAATAATCCGCTATTTGATAAAATTACTCTTCTTTGATACCACCAACACCGCTGATCTCAGCCTTCTCAATAGAGGCCTTGTCAGTCTTTTGTTGTTGGTTACCGAAACCACCAAACAATCCAGCGCTGGCTTGGAACGGTCTTTTAAGGTCACCGGAAGCAGGTTTTCCAAAGACGTGGATTTGGACCAGGTTGGACTCAAAAGCACCCTTCAATGGAGAGATAGATTGCATGAGCAATGGGTTGGCGTACTTCATGTACAAGTGCATGAAACCCATCATAGCCACACCTGTGAAAACACCCTTGATAGCACCTTGGAGCTGTTTCAAATCGTAATCCTTGACGGTAGTGACGGTCAGCTTGGACTCAGTCTCCCCCTGCAAAGTGTTAGGAGGCTCCAAGTACTTGAAAGTGGTGAGATCGTTCTTTTTAATAATCAGCCATCTCGTATAGAGGTAAACACCCAAAGTGAGCAAAGTACACGAAACGTACAAGATTCTCACGTAAAGAAGGATGGTTGGGTCTTCGAAGTCAAGTTTACGAGAAACTTGCATCATACCCAGCATGAGCACAAGGTTGGACACGGCAGGATTCATAATGAAGGCAAAATGTCGAGGTGGACAAAAAACAAAATTTTCAAAGGCGGTGTAGATAAGACAAGCTGAGAGCCAGGTTAAGCGACTCGAGCAAATTACCGAGGATATATATCGTTGAGATTTGGAGTTGAACAGCTAGGCAACCTTGCCGAGGTTTTCGAGTTGGTTGATCATACAGAATCAGTTGTTGATCTTCATAGTTCGTTAGATCTCTTGACCAGATTCAAAACATCTATAGGCGGCTGTGTATCTGCCAAAGCGCGTGCCATTAGGAGTCGAGTATTTTTTTTAACCTCCAGAAGAGGGCAAGACAAGGTTTCAAGTTTTGTACACACCGGAAAATCCAAACCAAACTTAGACTTTGTATCTTCTCGTCAATTGGATTCTTGGAGAAGTATTGAGCAAGTATTGGAGGGTTTGAAGTGCCATTAATTTGTCATTCTATTGTATTTTCCGATTAGACGCTATTAGTTGTCCTAGCATTAGATCTGGATTAATCAGGATTATTTTGTTCAAACCATTACTGTTCGTTACCATGGTTGAATTTTTCGACTCGTCAGCAACCTCAGCAGCACCAAAGGTGTCCACCTTGCTTCCGGCTCCGCCTCCCGAGGTGAATCCGTGGAAGAAGTCAACGTCTCCACAGCACACGGGGTCGCTAAATCAAGATATCTCTACGACCCGCACTCCGATCACAGCACGTTCTGAAGAACCTCCGACGACTCAGTCAATCCCAAAGGCAAAGAAGACCGGCAAAGAAAAGTGGGTCCCGCTAGAAGCCGAGATCTTGGTCTCGTCGCCCACCAAGTCCAAAAACAAGAACCAGAACGGTAATTCCAAACGTAAGGAGAATAAGCAGACCCAGGTCAAACGAACTGGGAAAAAGAAAACAACCAAAAGTCCAAACCAGCTGGACGAGAAACAAGGACCTGGTGACGCCGCCTTGGTCGGCAATAACCTTGATACGAACGGCGCCACAGATAAGATCCCTGAAGGGTCGGATGACAAAAATCTGACAAAACTTGTGGCTCAACTGTCAATTGACACTCCCCAGGGCCCAGATACAGCTCCTCCTTCGTCCTACTCCTTGTCAACTCTAGATAATGGCATTTCCGCAGATACTAGCTCAAAAGCGGACTTTGAAGCACAGGGATCCGATCCTCGGTTTATCCAACACCAAAGAAATAAAAGCTTCAATGGAGGAGGATTCAGATACAACAGGAAATCAAGAAACGCGTATCCTCGTCCAAATAGCAATATTCCGTCTCTTCCCCCATACCCAATGATTCCATCTGCGCCATACTACATTCCTTACTACATGCCCCCAGGGACGCCCTACGGCATGGCTGTATCTCCATCTTCCTCGCGGAGAAACAGCCAATTCAATTCGCAGTCCACCTCGAGGGGCTCGCCATCCGCAACCAACGACTTAGGTCCGGCCTCGGTTTCGAACGACCGGGCCTCGCAAAAAGACAGTTCTTCCTCCACTCCAATGGGGTCGCCGGTTCCGATGTACGGTGATCCTGGCGCTTATTTCGGAATGTACTCAGGAATGCCTCCGCCTGCTGCTTCCTCGGGCTCGACGTCGCCTGTTCCATACTACGCGCCTTATTACATATCTCCTCCAGGTATGGGTAGTCCTGTGGTGCGGCCACCGCCACAATACATTATACCGGCAGACGATAAAGTGGGTCGTTTGACAAGACAATTGGAGTACTATTTCTCTGTTGAGAACCTGTTGAAGGACATCTATTTACGAAGGCACATGGATTCTGACGGGTATGTGTCTGTTGCATTTATTGGTGGCTTTTCAAGGGTGAAGATACTGAGTGACGGGAACGCGGAGCTGATATTTGAGGCCTTGGAGAGAAGCGAGCTGTTGCAAGTGGAAGGGTCAGGGGAGTCGAGCAAAGTCAGATTACGAAACGGCTGGGAACAATGGGTTTTCAGCGAAGACCAGCGAGAGCAATAAGAGAAAACAAATCATAAAATACAGTATGCTATTTGAAAGGTACATATGCGGAGAAAGCTCAAATGAAGATCCTTTTGTTGAACAGATGGAGGTCGACGAGTCTCTGGTGGTTGAAGATCCGGAATTCTGGAGAGTTCACCAGTTTGGAGTCTTCTTGGCTCAACAAAGTGTATTCGATAACGTTCAAATGCGATTTTTCGATTCTCTGTTTGAGATAAACGTTTTCTTGCTCCAACACTTTTTCTTTATTGTAGACCCCATTGAGTTTCTTGAAAACGCTAAAGCTTTTGGAGTTGGCCAGGATGAGGAAGTTGATGTGCATCAATTGCTGGTAGTTGCTTTTCAACGGTTGTTGGGTTTCTGGCGAGATCAGTTTGAGGTATGCGGATTTCATGTTGTCGATGTTGAGGAAGACGTCATGTTTGAAGATTTCGGCGTAGGTGGTATCGAGCAGGTTGAGCAAGTTTGTCAACGACACTTTAAGTTCTGTTAGCATGGAGTTTTTGAAACAGCTGCCTGCAACAGATTTGACTGTGAACCCGGCGAGCTTTTTGGTATTTATGACCTCGACAAATGCCTCGAGCAGTTTGTGATGGAGGTGGATCAGTGTCAGCATGTACGATGTGTTGGAGAGTTGGTCCATTAGTTGGAGATTGAGGTTGTACCAGGTTTTCAGTTCGACCTCGCGGAACGCAAGCTCGTCCATGGGCTGTGATGGTTTGGACAGCGGGGCGTTTGCGGGCACCAGTTCCGGTTGAGAACGGTGTGCCATTTCTATTGTTTTGGCCAGGGACATCGAGCTATCGGAAGAATAAGTGAAAAAAAAAAGTTTAGTGAGTCACGGGAATATTTATTAGCACGGCCTTGGAAACAGAACATTTAATTTTTCGAGGTTTTGCAAGCGGCTTGTGAGCGTGTGCGGCTCACGCGTCGAAGACGGGCCGTTTTCTGCAATAGAGCGATCGGGCCCACGTGAACAAAAAGGGGATACTTTCACAATTAGCGATAAGCTCCCACAAGAATGTCAATACCACGGACGCGAAAATAAGTAGACCCACTCGACTTTATGGAATCCGCACCGGACAAGACAAAGATTAACAAGGATCTCGTGGTTGCACAGACCGGGGGCAGCGAATCGCTCACCAACACCACCAACCCATTTCTGGACCCGTTTGTTGCCAGTTATTGGTCCAAAGTGTATCAGGACTGTCAGTACGAGTGTCGGGAGCGGTTTGATCCCAAGTTCTCGTGGACGGCAGAGGAAGAGCGCCGGTTGGGGTGGAAACTGGACCTCAAGGTGACTGCTCTGGCATGTTTTATGTTTGTTGCTCTGCAGGTGGATCGTGGTAACTTGGCCCAGGCCGTGGCTGATAACTTGTTGGACGATCTGGGAATGACCACCGATATCTACAACAACGGCAACACGATCTTCTTTATCACGTTTATTGTGAGCGAGGTGCCTTCGTCGCTTGTTTCCAAGAAATTGGGGGTTGATCGGTGGGTTCCCTTTTTAATGGCAACTTGGTCGATTGTGGCTATTTTACAGTGCAAGATGACCAACAAGCACTCGTTTTACGCTACAAGAGCACTGCTTGGGCTGCTGGAAGGCGGGTTCACGCCAGAGCTGGTTCTTTGGATGTCGTATTTTTTCACCTCCAGCGAGCTGTCAATGAAATTGTCATATTTCTGGACAGCTCTGTCGCTCACACAGGTTGGAACTGCGCTGCTGGCGTACGGAATTCTGCGTATGAGAGGCATTTTGGGAATGACCGGGTGGCAATGGCTGTTTATCATCGAGGGCTGTTTCACACTGGTGATTGCCATTATTTCGGGACTCGTGATGGCTCCCTCGGTCGTCCAGACAAAACGGTTCTGGAACAAGAAAGGCTGGTTCACAGAACGCGAGGAAATGATCATCGTCAACAAGGTGCTCAGAGACGACCCGTCAAAGGGAGACATGAACAACAGACAGGGAGTTACTCTGTCAAACCTCATCACTGCTCTGCTCGACTATAACTTGTACCCGATCTACATCATCGGGATCATGGCGTTCATCCCGTTGAACCTTCTCACCAGCTACATGACACTGGTTCTGAAAAACCTCGGGTTCACCACGTTCAACGCGGTCCTGCTCACTGTTCCTTACAGTTTCATCCATATTATTCTGTTGATTGCAATCACGTGGCTAAGTGAGAAAGTTAACGAACGGTCGCTGTGCTGTCTGCTGTTTGCACTTTACGAGGTTCCATTAGTCGGCGTGTTGGCGTTTTGGAAAGATTCCATGATCAACAAGTGGGGAACATGGACCATTTGTACGCTGATTCTGGGGCTACCATATATCCATGCGATCTGTCTAAGTTGGGTTTCGCGCAACTCGCGCTCGTTGAAAACCCGCTCGGTGTCCACGTCGCTATACTACATGTGCGCACAAGTCGGTTCGCTGATCTCGTCCAACATCTACCACCAGAGCGATGCTCCGTTGTACAGAAAGGGTAACGTTGTGCTATTCTGGCTGTCGGTGGCCATGATCCCGATCTTGCTACTAACCAAGGTGTACTACCTGTACGTGAACGGTCTGCGCGAGCGCAAATGGCAGTTGATGGACCCCATCGAGCGCGAAAACTACATCCTGAACACCCGCGACGTTGGCTCCAAACGGCTTGATTTCAGACTCGCGCACTAATTTATTTCTCTGGCTCCCAAAAAGGGTAACCCTAATTAGGAGCCGCCATGTGGGCTACCAAAAGTAGGATCCGGGGTAATAATAATACACATGGCCGTAAACAAACCAACAACAGTCTCCCAGCTAACCTTTCTTCATGATCACCAACGTGAGCGAATACGAGCCTGTGTTTGACATCCCGTACGTGCTACAGGCCCGAGCCAAGCAGTTCCGCGTGGCATACAACAAGTGCGAGTTCCGTTGCATCACGGTCGAACCCCCGCTAGATGTCAAGTACAAAGGACGGTGTTTGTTTGTTCACGGCTATAGGGAATGCAGCGAGCTCCATCTGCGCATGATGGACTCCTTGGCTCTTCAAGGCTACGCGTGTTTTGTTTTCGACCAGCGTCGCAACGGGCTGTCCAAGCCTTTGGGGCTTTTTGACTACACCAACGACCATTACACGTTTGACGACCTCGAGTTCTTTGTGAGCTTCAATCTGGCCATCGACGCAGACAATTTATGCCTGGTGGGGCACTCGATGGGCGGGGCCATTGTACTCCAGTACATGACGACCGGCCGCCATAGACACAGGGTCCGCAACGTGGTGGCCTCGTCGCCTCTGCTGGTGCACAGAGACAACAACTGTGTGTGGAAGTTTCTGGTGATGCTGGTTCTGAGCTACATCCCGCTTTTGAACCTGTTGACGCTGCAAAAGACAGACGTCAACGTGGTGCGCAAGCAGCAGGTCCAGCAGTCGAGGCTGCGCGAGGAGGACTTTCGCAAGGTGGCCACGCGCAACCGGCTCACCAACGACCTAAGCTGGTTACCGGCCGTGAACCAGATCCGGCTCATTTCGAAAGTGGGCACTATAGAGGAGGTGATCCACATTCTGCGCCGGGGGATGGGCTTGGTAGATAACGCGGAGCAGGTGGGCCGTCGGTTTGCAGAGCTGGACAGCTGCAAATTCCTGATCTGCCAAACTTTGCAGGACCCCCTCGCCGATATAGGGGGGGTGGAGAAGTTTGTCAAGGGGGTGCCCGAAGTGCAGCTGCGGTGGTACGAGGAGTGCAAGCACGCGCTGTTCATTGAGCGCCAAGAGGTGTTTGAGGCCGTGGCGACCGACGTGGTGCGGTTCTTGAACAGCTAGCTCGTAAGTAGTCTGCGATGTATACTATTAATCGATATCCCGTGGTCCAGCGACGATCGACCAGAACCAGCCACACGTGCGAATGCCAAGTGGGATTCCATTTGGCATCGCTCCCAAGTGTTATTTTAGCGCGGGTGTCAGGTGGGGGTATTTTTTTCGCTTGTGCGGCTCACACGTGGTGGTTGGTTGTCACAAGACCGGGGGGCAAGGCATGGAACCACAACTGAGCGAGGTCCGGTGGATCAGGCGGAGGAGGTCCAATGGTGTGGAGGAGAACCTCACAATACTAGTCCCCCTCTGACGCTGCCACTGTCTTCCCCCAAAACCGTGCCAAACCGCTGATCTGCGCCGCCGGAGCTGTCCCCAGGAGAGTCCCTGTATGGTGCATGCAACGTTTTTAATTATTCCCATCACCGGCCACATAAATATCCCCAGACAGGCACATTATCGTCTGACAACATGAGTGAGACAGATCCCAACAGCGTGCGGCCTGGCTCGTCCTTGGGCACGGGAGCCCCCATCGGGAGCGGGCTGCTACCACCACCGCCCATCTTCAAGCCCACGTTTGTGCAGATGAACAAAACGGGCTCGTCCACAGAGTCCAAGAACGCGTCGCCGGTGCTGGCCGGCAGTAGCAACTCGAACTACCTGACCTCGTCGTTTGTGTCGAACGAGGAGTACAAAAACAAGCTGATCCAGCAGTCGCCGTCCATCTCGCCCATGACGTACGCCATGGACATGCCGTCGCCGGGGCCAGCAAGTCCTGCGCTCACGGCGAACCGCAAGCGACGCAAGTCGATGGTCACCACCAAAGAGGAGCTCGAGCGCAAGCGCAAGGAGCTCAAGAGCCAGCACTCCATCATTGAGAAGAAACGACGTATCAAGATGAACAGAGAGTTTGAGGCCCTCAAGTTCATGGTGCCCGCGTGCCGGCTCAACATCCTCAACGGGCTCAACGACAACAACTTCGACAACTCCAACATGATGCACAAGCTCACCATTCTGCAGAGCACGGTCGAATACATCAAGTATCTTCATTTGGTGATCAAGCTACTCAAGTTGCAGATGCTCACGCCGTCCAAGACTCGGCCGCTGTTCCAGCGCTGGCTGGCCAAGAACGACAACCTGCGGTTCGTGGACTTTGACCTGGATCTGCAGGCGTACCGCACGATCGAGAACGAGTTCAACTTCGAGGAGCTGTTTTTGAAAGTGTGGAAGAACGACGGCGAGATGCCCGACACTCTGCTCGACGCGGTGTCCAAGGAGGTGGAGACGCTCGCCAACAAGGACGACGACGGCGATGACAGCGACGAGGACGAGCTCGAGGCCACCGCAGCACGGGTCCCGCAGATCGGCGACCTGGCAGGGCAGCTCCCCACCGAGCTGCCCAGCCCGCTGGTGACCCCAGACATCCGCGACCTGGGCAGACCCTCCACCGTGCGCACACAGTCGCTCCCCACAGTGGGGGCAGACCAAACGTCTCCGCGTCGCACCAACGCCAAGTTCAAGCTCCCGTTGCCGGCCATCGTGGACGATAAGATGCTATCGGGAAAGAATGAGCAGGAGGTCAACGAGATGGATGCGCCAAAGATGCTGATGATGCTAAAGAGCGACGACAAACGGACCAGTATAGGAAGTCTGCTGAATTAGGTAGTGATAATTTATTCCACGGGATATTTAAAATGGGGATTTGTGGGGGAGAAGCCAACGTGAAGTGGAGGCTGGATTTCTCCATTTGGACACAAGTAGCATGTTCACAGGGACTACTGACACCTATAGAGGAGCAATCCACCTTGTTCCCATAACAAACTCACCTGGCGCTGCCTCACAACAAAGCACACTGTCGTGCCCCACAAACAAAGTATATTCAAGAGAGGTACTATCCTTTCAACAATTGGTTGCGTGGTCTAGTTGGTTATGGCATCTGCTTAACACGCAGAGGGTCCCCAGTTCGATCCTGGGCGCGATCATTTTTTTTGGCGAAATTCCAAACCGATATTTTTTTTTGCATCTTGCCCGAATCCGTGATTTCGTAATCAACAGTCTATTATACATCTATTAGTCTTTATGAGAGAGAGATCCGATCCCGAACCCGCGTTTCTCGAACCCAGCAGGTTTGCGGAACGCACCCGGTTTGCGTAGCCCGCCAGTGAGCTCCACGGACGGTGTCTTCGAGACGATCGACCGCACAGTCGGAGTAGCAGGCTTGATGTCTGCGGACGGTTTCTGGTAGTGAGGCGCGCGGGGCTGCCGTGGGTACGCGGGCTCGGCGACCGGTTGCGTGAACTTGGCCACCGTATCGGGCAGTTTCATCAGGTCCGGGTCGATCTTGGCCTTTTTGTGCTCCTCTGTGTGTTTGACACTTGGTGCAGGGTCCACAGCCTTAAAGTTGACCGCACTGGTGTGGCTGGTGTTTCCGTTCAGCTGGTTATTAAGCGAGTTCACGAGCGAGCTGACGATCGACGGCACCAGGTTCTCGCTGAGCGACTTGTTGTACACCACGTATGCGGCGGCCATCGACGTGGCAAACATCGCAACCGTCGACACGTTCTCGTCGCGTGCCGGCCCGTTCAACGCCTCGTACAGTGCCCGGATATTTGCAGATACCTGCGTATCAGCGAGCAGTGCGGCGATCGACTCAGAGCTCTGCTCAGCGTCCGTGCCCGTGCTGAGCGAGCTGTCTGTGCCGTTTTTTTCGAGTCTTTTGCGCTTGCGCCGCTCAAACTCCTCTGCCACCCATTTTTTCTTGATCTCCTCGTCCTCGGGGCTGGCAAAGATTTGGTTCGCACGCTTGATCACGCGCGCCCGCAGGTCATTGTCTCTGTTGCGCTCGATGTTGATCACCCGCCAGCGCTTTTTGCGCTCGCGGTTCTCCAACCGGATCCGTTCCTTTTCGTCCATTTCTGAAAAGTCTGTCTTGACCTTGCTCTTTGGAGCGGTCCTGTTGTTGCCGAGCGACGTGGCTCCTTTCAGCGACTCCACCGCCCGCGAAACACTGCTGCGGATCGAGTCCAGCTGAAGCGGCGAGATCTGGTCGGCGATCTGCGTGCTGTCGAGGTGCGAGAAGTTCAGGTTGGTGAGAATCGTGCGCAGGAACGAGCCCTCGGACTTCTTGGCGTACGGGATCGACGAGGCCGACGAGGGCGGCGTCGGGGCAGTCGTCTTGATGGCCGGCTTGCTGTAATTCTGTGTGTAGTTGCCTCGTTGCAACGCTTGCGTCTCTGCGATCGACGACGGAGACTGCTCCGCCGGCTTCTGGAACTTCTGGAACTGCTCCATGACAGAAGGCCCATCGATTGTCTTTTTCGGAGCGGGAATCGACGTCGGCGGCGTCGGAACTGTAAACTGTAGCATACTAGCAGGCAACGGAGCAGTGTCTGTCTTGCCAGCTTTGTCCTTGTTCCCCTCCTGCTGGCGTAGCTCGCGGTCGCGCTGCTGTTGCGCCAGAAGCGCCCGGGCCTGCTGCTGCAGCCGCTGCTGGATCGCGAGGTTGATCTGGCTGCGCTTGGTCTTTTGCGGCCGTTTCTTCTGCTTGCCAGCGGGCTCTGCGTCGTTCATCGACGAAATCAGGTGCTCTGGATCCTCCATGGCCATCTCCATGGCCTTCTCCATCATCTTGGTCCACTGGAACTGCTCCATGTCCTGGTCCGCCTGCTTGGCGGAGTTCTTGTCCGGAAACAGGTTCTCGTCCACCACGCTTTGGACCATCTCGGCCAGCGCAGACTCCAGCTCGTTCTCGTTCTCACCCGAGTCCAGCGACCCGAGCGACTCCAGGTGCTCCATCTGGTCCATCTGGTCCATCTGATCAATCTGCTCCAAATGCTCCATCTGCTCAATCTGCTCCATCTCATCCATCGCTCGCTCATCACGAACACCCTCCGGCTCCTTCACACGGTCAATTGCCTCGGCAATCGCCTGTGTCAGCTCGTCCGGCGGCTTGTGGTCGCCCTGAGACTCGTCCAGAGCTCCTATAGCCGTGCTGATCTCCGAAAAAAGCTCCTTCTCCTTCTCCTCGTGCAAAGCGTCCTCAATGACCTGCTGCAGTTGCCGGTCGCTGAAGATCTCGTTCTCGTCGAACTCATAGCCCTCTCCGGCCTTCATTTCGGAGGTCGGTACCGCGTCAGACATGGCGTTTATCTTGGGGAGAAATCCGGGGTAATATTTCTCAAAACACAGTCACACAAGAGGGGCAGGTGTTTGCGGAAAAATCAATAATTTTTTTTTACTTGGTTGTCATTTTTGTTTAGGGCATATATTTCACAGACGCGTCGATAGACGCGAGCATGGATTATGATTTATACTTAGGCGTTGTAAGTGGAAGCAGAAACATTACCACCCTTTCCGGTCCAGTTGATGTGAATGGCATCACCAACCTTTCTAGACTCGGTGGCAAACTCAGGCAAGATCTTGAAAGTGTGGGCTCCGAAGTAGTCTCTCTGGGCTTGCAACAAGTTAGCTGGCAGCTTCTTGGATCTGTAACCGTCGTAGAAGGACAAAGCAGTAGAGAAGGCTGGGGTTGGGATACCGGCCTCAATAGCAAGTCCGAGAGTCTTTCTCCATCCGGATTGTGCCTTGGCAATAGCCTTGTTGAAGAATGGGTGGAACAGCAAGTTCTCCAAGTCTGGGTCCTGTCTGTAAGCAGAGGTGATCTCACCCAAGAAAACCGATCTGATGATACATCCTCCTCTCCACATGAGAGCAATGGATGGGAAATTGAGCTTCCAGCCGTACTCCTTGGCAGCTTCTCTGATCAACATGAATCCTTGAGCATAGGAGATGATCTTGGAGGCGTAAAGAGCCTGTTCCAAGTCGTCGATGAAAGTCTGCTTGTCAGCAAGCTTAGGAGCCTCGGTTGGGCCGGCAAGCAAGGTGCTGGCTCTTCCTCTCTCCTCCTTCAAAGCAGAAAGACATCTAGCGAACACGGCCTCACCAATCAAGGTGACTGGCATACCCAAGTCGAGGGCGTTGATGGCGGTCCACTTACCGGTACCCTTTTGGCCAGCAGAGTCCAAAATCTTCTCCACCAATGGGGTTCCGTCGTCGTCGTTGAAAGCGAGAATGTCTCTGGTGATCTCGACCAAGAACGAGTCCAAAACTCCCTTGTTCCACTTGGCAAAGACGTCGGAGATCTCCTTGTCGGTGAAGCCACCAACACGCTTCATGAGGTCGTAGGCCTCGCAAATCAATTGCATGTCACCGTACTCGATACCGTTGTGGACCATCTTGACGTAGTGGCCGGCTCCGGCATCTCCAACCCAGTCACAGCATGGCTCGCCGTCCGTCTGGGCAGCAATGGACTGGAAAATGTCCTTGATGTGTGGCCATGCCTCGACAGCACCACCTGGCATCAACGAAGGACCGTAACGGGCACCTTCCTCACCACCAGACACACCGGATCCAACGAACAAAATGCCCTTCTTCTTGAGATCGGCAAAACGTCTGTTGGAGTCTGGGAAGTGCGAGTTACCACCATCGATGATAATGTCACCCTCCTCCATGTAAGGCAAAAGTTGGTTGATGAAACTGTCGACAGGGTCTCCGGCCTTCACAAGCAAGATAACTCTTCTAGGTCTCTTAAGCTTCTCGCACAACTCCTTGATGGAGTGGGCACCAAGAATGGACTTGCCCTTGGCCTCGTTGGCCAAGAAGTGATCCACCTTCTCAACAGTTCTGTTGTAGGCAACAACAGTAAAGCCGTGGTCTGCGGCATTGAGAATCAGATTCTGGCCCATCACGGCCAATCCGATCAATCCAATATCACCCCTTTCATGTTAGAACAACATGACGATTGTACTTACTTTGGTTCACTCATTTTCAATTCTTATTAATTAAACGTTTAACTTTTTGCAAACTCCGTTGCTTTATATTTGTGTTGCGCGCATATTGGGCCTTTTCGGCCTGAAAAAATGACTCCCTGCGCGAAACAGGCGGCCGCCAGGCTATCGCGGAAAAATTGTGCTGCGGACTATGCCGGAGTTTGGCAGCATTCCACCACCGCACCAGCCACACCGGAACACTATCCCCCAGCTCCAGCGTCGACAACCAACCGGGTGGCGAAGTAGACAGACGGCGGCGGTGCAAGGGTGTGTCAAAAAATGGGAGCGGAACTTTCTGAGCCTTAATTAAAAAAAAAAAAACAAAGATAACCGAATTTTAATAAATATGGAGCAATTGCAGTGCACCTTTCAGGAAGAATCCGTTGAATTCGAACACTGTGTGTTCCCAACGTACTTGTATCACCATTCCGGTGCGTACAAAGGTCGTGTCGTGATCGTTCACGGGTACAGAGACCTGCATGAGTTCTACTTTGGTCTGATCAATGTTCTCACCGCAGGCGGATACGACGTGTTTTTCTACTTCATGCGGGGTGAGGGGACATCCAAGCCCGCCAGCAACTCCTACGCCAGCAACGACGACTCCCGCGTGTACAAAGACATGGATTTCATCATCAAACGGAATCTGGATCAGCTACAGCCGGCAGAGAAGCTGAACTTGTTCGGCCATTCTTTAGGAGGAGCATTGGTTTTATGCTATGCGGCCATTGGTACTTACAAGGACCGGCTGCGGTGTGTGGCCTCGTGTGCGCCGCTGATCGAGCTGGCTCCAGAAACAGGCGTGTCTTTGGTGGAAGAGTGGGCCTTACGGACGGTGTGTCATTTCGTTCCTCCCGCTCGGTACATCCGTATCAAGACCCCGTTGCGGGTGGAGTTCTTGTCGACGTTGCCGGAGATCCAGCAGCACATTTTGAACCGCGAGTCGACGAGCCAGTTGCGCGGAACTCTTGTTGAGGCGCGCGACTTTGTTCTGCGTGGACGGCGGCTTTTGCACCAGGACTTCTACTCGCAGATCAGCACCGAGCTTCCGGTTGCCATTTTCCACGGAGACGACGACCACATCAACGACTGTCGTGCGAGCCAGAAGTTCATTGATGGTCTCCAAAAGATCGGCAACAAACACGCACAGTACCACGAGTTCAAAGACGGCCGCCACGAGCTGCTTGCGGAATTCTGCAGCACCGATTTCTTTGACGGGGTGTTGAAATTTCTGGACGCCAATTCGGGCGCGGGTCAATAAAAGATTTTTCTAGACTTGTCGCTCGAGTGAAAATCTAAAGACCCGCGTTCGCTGTTTGCCTCTCCAATGACAACCATCCACAACCCGAACAATTGGCACTGGGTCGACAAGAACTGTTTGAGCTGGGCCAACAGCTACTTCCAGGAGCGGCTGCCCCAAGTTTCCGTGGCCAGCGACGAACACACCCTGGCTGTGATCCAGGTCAAGCCCGTGACTGGCGACTGCGACGTGACCCAGCGCAAGGGCAAGGTTAGATGCATTTTCGACCTCCAGGTCGAGTTCAAGGTCAAGGTCGACAAGGACGGAGAGTCCACCGAACACGATGTGCGACTGCTCGAGTTCGAGCACGACCAGCAGGATTATGTGTTCGAGGTCGGGGGGTCCGTGGAATCCAGAGCAGCTGTGCGCGCAGAGCTGATTCCACAGGCCCGTGCGGTGTTTGAGAAGTTCCAGCCTGAGCTTCTTGACACTTTTGAAAGCGAGCTCAAACACAACTCCAGCTAGCTTTCCATAGAGCCACAATAGAAACAGAGCTATGCATCCTTTCAGTGTAGATTCTAGCCCGCAAACCCTTCAGGCACTCCCTCGGCGTGTCGGTCGTTGAACCGACCAAAGTAGCATCCAATTCCTCCTTTGTACACAGAATTGACTCCTCCGTTGTCGATCTGGGTCCAGAAATAAGACCCTCCAGCCACAAGTTTGAGCACCTTGTACCCCTCCACCGAATTGTACGGCACCCCGTTCGACGGATCGTAGTACATGGCGTCCTCGCCGTTGATAGGACACTGTTTTTTGCCGCCGTTCGGCAAATAGATCCCAAGCGGAGCAGGAGTGGTGATGTTCACCACGTTGTCGTCCGTCTGTTTGTCCACGTCGAGGTTTTCCACCGCGTGGTACTTCTCGCCGAACTTGGGCAGCTGCAGCAGCTTCTCGTAAACCGCTTGACGGTCGTTGAAGTGTTTTTTGAGGTCGAGCTCTTTCTGGAAGTCTCGCTTGATGGTGTAGATGGTTTGTGCGTGCGGGTCTCTGTGTGGACCGGGCACGATCGACTGCGGACCAAATAGAATCGACTTGAGCTCCAGCCGCGTGATGTCCTTGCGTAGGTGCGACTCCAGAAACGACACCGCAACGAGCTGCGGCGGACCCTCCAGGGGCTCAGCAGGTTCCTTAGGCTCAGCAGGCTCAGCAGGCTCAGCGGGCCCTTCAGTCTCCTGGACCTCAGAGTCTTGCTTTGGGACAGAGTCTGGCTCCTCAGAGTTCGCAGCAACAACAGAGTCTTGCGGCTCCTCCTTGACAACACTCTCGTCCGCAGCCGTATCCATCGTCTTGTCCGCTGCCTCCACTGCCTCTGTACCATCTTCTGCAATGGCCTCCTCGTTGTCGGCCTCGCCCGCCTCCTGCTTGAGCTTGGCCAGCTCGGCCTCGCGCTGCCGCGCCTCCTCCTCGAGCCGCGCGCGCTCGATCTCGCTCTTTCTCCGACGGCCCCTTCGTTTCGTCGTCCTGCGCGCATACTCCTCGCGCTCCTTTGCCCGCTGCATCTCGTCGATCTCGTCCTGCGGCGTCACGTACCGCCCAAAACTCTGGAACGTCATGTACTCCATCAGCCGGAACCGCTTGCTGTTCATTAGGTCGCGCTGTTTCTTCTTCTTCTCCACCTCCTGCTGGAAGAACAAATTCAGCGAAATCGTGTTCATCTCCTCTGTCTCCTTGGCCTCCTCGAGGTTCTCCTCCAACGTCTTCTCCACATACTCCTCGCGCACCTTCACTTTGGTGGTGGCCTGTTTCTGTTTCATCTGCACGAGCTTTTCGTGCGTTGCCTGTGTATTTTCCACGGTAGTTTTACGAGTCGACAGTCTGCGGTCGCCAGACTCCACCTCGACCCGCCGTTTCTTCGCCACGGGCTTGGCTGTGGTTCTCTTGCGGATCACAGGAATGTCCAGCTTCTTCTTGCGCTTCTGGCGTTTCTGCTGCTGTTGCAATTCGCGCTCTCCCTCGCTTTCGTCTGTGTCTGAAGCAGAAACCTCCGACGACGACAACATCTCGTCCGAGTCGGCGTTCTCCGCGGCGTCTGACTGATCTGACTCGTCCGCCTGGTCCACCTGGTCCTGGGTCTGCTCGCTCTCCTCCTCTTCTCCACTCTCGTCCCCACTGTCCTCCTCTTCACTCCACTCGTGGTCCTCGCCCTCCTCTGCAAACAACAGCTTCACGTTCTCATCCTCGTCGCCCAGCACCTCGTCCTCTTCGGCCTCCAGCAGCTTCTTCAGCCGCGAGCCCGCGTTCGACCGCCGCTCGCGCGTCGCTATCAAACTCTCAAACTCCTCTTCTGAAGAAGACATACAAAGAAAATAAAAAAATTCAATTTTTATTGCACCCCGGCAACCATGTTTGTGCGCAGACTGTCAACGGCAATCTCCGAATCGGAAAAAGCCCACTTCAACAACCTTGCCACGTCCTGGTGGGACACCACGGGACCGCAACGGATCTTGCACAAGATGAACCTCGTGCGAATGGACTTTATTAACAACAACATCAAACAGCACATAAAGATCAACAATAACGTCCCAAACGAGCAGAAAACGTTCATTCCCGGCTGGAACCCGCACAACGTGCTGCCAGAGCCTGTTGCAAACACGATTGACGGCGCCAGAACGGCCAGAATCCGCCAAGAGCTCGCCAAGATGCGTCTTTCGTGTCTGGACATTGGCTGCGGCGGAGGCATATTGAGCGAGTCGCTTGCAAGACTGCCGTACGTGGAATCAGTGGACGGGATCGACATGTCGCCCGAGGTGGTGCGCGTAGCCAACGAACACAAGCTGCTGGACCCTGCAATTGCACAAAAAGTGCACTACCAGCTGAAACCTGTCGGCGAACTGCCTGCTACCAAGCAGTACGACGTGGTGACATTAATGGAGCTTCTCGAGCACGTGGATCATCCTGCAGACGTCATGGCCGCCGCAATGAGCCATGTCAAGCCGGGAGGACTGCTATTTCTGTCCACCATCAATAGAGACCCGATTTCGTGGCTCACGACCATCCTGTTTGGAGAGTACGTGCTCAGAATCGTTCCAGTTGGAACACACACCTACTCCAAGTACATCGATTGCGCCGAAATAGCCGAGTTTGTCGAGCACACGGGCTTTTCTGTGATCGACTCCAAAGGATGCACCTATCTTCCGCTAAAAGGCTGGGTTTTCACCGACTCGCCCGACGTTGGCAATTATTTCATGGCATTACAGCGAGTTAAATAAACGTTTGTATATAACCGATTTAGAGCATCTCATTGGACCAGCTCCTCTTCGCGGGCCTCTTCCCTGACAGGCTCCACCGGCTCGTCAACAAAGGTTGGCATATCCAGGTACGTTGGTGCTTCTTCTTCGCCAATCTCGTCGCCCAGGGCCTCCAGCTCTGCGTCCAGTTCGCTCTCGGAAACATCGTCCGGCACGTCGTAGCTGCGGGCCAGCGAGTCCTGCAATTCGTTGCTCTCGCCAATCAGGTCCAGCATCTCGTCCTGTAGCGCCTCGATCTTGTCGATATCGATCTTGCCGTACGCTCTCTTAAGCTCCTTGTTGCTGGTCTTGAGGGCGTCCACGGTGATCATTGTGTTTTTCAGGTTCTCGGTGGTCATCTGGGCCTGCGAGATGTTCCAGCTCTGCGAGTCCAGCTGGTCCTTCTGTGCTTCCAACTGTTTGCGCTGTTTCAGCACCTTGAGAGCCCGTTGCTTGACGGCTGTCTTGCCTGGGCCGTCGCGCATCTTGGCAATTTTCTGCTGATAAGTGGCCAGTTCCGTGTTCAGTTTCGAAATCTTCACGTCCAGCGACGCCGTGCGCTCGTCGATGTTGTTCAAAGCGTCCCCCAGCGTCGCCTTGGGCACATTGTTACGAGTACCAAATAATCTGTTCATTAATTAATTATTTAATGTTTTTTTCGTCCATGTACTCCACCAAATGTTTGATGCTGGTGAGCTTCAGGCCGTGGGCCTTGGCAAACTCGTCACATTGGGGCAGTCTCATCATCAGTCCGTCGTCAGCGTTGACCAGCTCGCAGATAGCTGCTGCTGGTTGCAACCCGGTCAGCTCACATAGCTGGACCGCGGCTTCGGTGTGGCCCACTCTTGCTCTCAGTAGACCCTCCTTGGCACGTAGGGGACAAATGTGGCCCGGACGTAGGAAGTCGGACGCCTTTCTGTCTGGGTTGGACAGCTCCCGCACAGTCAGGGCTCGATCATGGGCACTGATGCCCGTGGTAGTTCCCTCGGCAAAGTCCACGGTGATCGTGTACGCAGTGCCGTTTCTGTCGGTGTTGTTGACCACCATCGGCTTGAGATCGAGCTGTTCAACCCGATCGCTGCGCAATGGCACACAAACATATCCAGAAGAATGTTTCACCAGAAAGGCCATCTTCTCCTGAGTGACGTGCTCGGCGGCAATAATCAAGTCGCCCTCGTTCTCACGGTCCTCATCATCCATGACAACCAAAAACTCGCCCTTTTTGAAAGCCGAAAGGGCATCGGTCACACTGTCAAAACTCATGATGGATGGAAAAAATGCTAAGAAAAAATATTAACTGGTTCCTAGAAAATGGAATTGTGGGGGAGGCTATCTAATTATACGAATTGGATCTCGAATGCTTTTACTACATTCTGTCCACTGGAGTGATGCCCAACACTCTCAGGCCATTGTTCAGGACCTGTCTGACGGCACTGAAAAGCGCCAGCCGAGCTTCCAAAACGCTCTGCGGCTCTCCCATGACCCGTAGAATTTTGTATGTAGACGAGAATTGGTGCGTCAGCTTGAACAAATATGTCACCACGGTGGATGGCTCGTGGTTCTTGGAGGCCAGGCGCAAAACGTCGGGATAAGAGGCCAAAATACGCACCAACGACTCCACTTTCTCGCGCTGGTTGGCCAACATGGCCAGCTTCTTGGCCTCCTCGGCAGGCTCCAAACCTTGCTCCTTGATCGTCTCCTCAACTCCGACAACGTTTTCGATCGAAAGATCCGCGCCTAAAAGATTCGCGTATGCGACATTGCAATTTCTCTCAATAGATCTTAGTCTAGAGTGTGCATATTGTAAGTAAGGTCCGGTATCTCCTTCTGTAGACAGCATTCTATCCCAGCTGAACTCGTAATTGTTGTTTCTTTTGCCCTGCATGTCCTGGATCATAACGGCAGAAATACCAACAAGATCGGCAACAGCTTCAGGATCTTCCACTAAGGTGAATTTCTCTGCATTTTTCTGCATAATTTCCAACGTTGCACTTTTGACAGTTTCTAAAATATCGTCCAGGAACACGACAGTTCCCTTTCTGGTACTCATACCAAGCACAAGACCGAAGTTAACGTGCACAAGCTCGTCCTTGGCCCATGTGTTGCCCATCTTCTCCAGAATCCGGAAAAACTGCTTCACGTGCAAGTCCTGCTGCGATGCAATCACATAGATCATCTTGTCGAACTGGTACTTCTTCTTCCGCTCAATGGCTGCTCCCAGATCACGCGTGATGTACAAAGAGGTACCGTCGCTCTTCTGAACCAGAACCTTGCCGAGCTTCTTCTCACCCAGCTGCTTGAAGTCGATCAAAAGCGCTCCTCTGTCCTCTATCACCAGCTTCTTCTCGTGCAAAATGTCCAGCACCTCGTTCATTTGCTCCTGGGTCACTTGCGATTCTCCCGAGTAGTTGTCGTACTTGATGTTCAAACGGGCGTAGGTGTCGATGTATCTTTCAATGGACAAAGCACGGAACTTCTGCCACAGCGCAAGAGCGGCCTTGTCACCGTTCTCCATCTTCTTGAAGAACGCACGGGCCTGACCGTCGACAGAGTTCACCTGATCCACGGAAACACCGGCTTTCTCTGCGGCTTCTTCCTCATCTTTCACGTCCTTGTTAATTTTCACATAGACGTCAAACAGATGTTGAATTGGGTTGGCCTCGAGCTCGGCCTCAGAACCGTACTTCTCGAAACCAACAGCGAGCAAACCAAACTGCTTTCCCCAGTCTCCAAGATAGTTGATTCTGGTGACATCCCAGCCAAGATTCTCGTAAAGGTTTGACAAGAAACCACCAATGATGGTGGATCTCAAATGGCCAGCATGGAAAGGCTTGGCGATGTTTGGAGAAGAAAACTCAATAACAACGTTCTTACCTGCTCCCAAAGGACACGATCCAAAGTCTTGTTTGCGCTCAAGAACATCTTTGGTGACATATTTCAATAAAAAGTCTGGGTTGAAGAAGAATTGCAAGAACTTGCCCTCAGGATGCACTCTTTTCAAGTAACCGCCAAGAGGGAACTTGTCAGCAAGCTCTTTGGCCAAGGCGACCAAATCGCCCTTCAATCTCAAACGTGGCAGCGGAACAATAAGATCTCCATTATCAAGCACAAGAGACCATTCCAAGCTCTGATAAGCAATCGAGCGGTCCACGTTGGCCAACTGCGAAAGTTGGTCGGCAATGTAGTTTCTGCAAAGGTCAACGGTGTTGTATTGCGGGAAAGACCCCTCGATCACAGGAGGGGTCTGCAAATTTAAGGATTCAAGCTTTGTTGAAAGGTTTTCAACAGAAGTAGTCATTATTGTCTTTGGAATCACTGACGAATATGTTCTGACGAAACTGGCCGATAGTGTTTTGTATTTACAGAATGTCAAACAGTATTTGGTGACTTGACTAAGCAATCTGCTCATACAAACAACCAAGAAGACTCACAATAATGTAGGAGGAAAAAAATATCAACCAAAAAAAAAATCGTCTAAAATTCTATCTATCAAATCCCGTTACCCGGACTCCTCTGGCTCATCGTCCGCACACACCCATCCACAGTTTATGTCCCATCGGGAGCCTGGAGCGTTGAACCCGACGTACTTGACAAACTTCAGCACAGAGGGATCTCTATACATCAAGCACAGCTTGTTCCAGCACGCCTGGGACTCGTAAACAACCGAGTCTTCCTCCGAAGCTTTATATATGGCAGCTTCGTCCTCATTTAGACCTTCTTCTGCTGTTTCTGTTGTTTCTGGCTCGTCGGTGGACATGCACAGCTCGTAACCGCCAAACTCGCCGCTCTCCCACCCCGTCGATGGAGTCAGGTTCAGCGTTGCTTCCAATAGACCTTCGAGCACGTGATCGTCATTAAGCGTGTCAAGCTTGGAAGCCAGCGTGAAATCGTGACCGGGACGGAACCTGCGCGCGAGGATCTGGTCCTTGATGGGACGAAACCCGGTGACCGCCATCAGCCACTTTTTGAAGCTGATGCTCTTGAAAAACGAAGCCAATTCGCACAAGCGCATGGATATATCGTGAACACTGACCAACGATGGATTATTTTCGCGTGCTTTGGCAAGCTCGTCGGCAACGCCCGGTTTCAGCAGCTCGAATACGGTCTTGGTAAGCTCAAAGTTTGGAAGCTCGGTCGATTTCAGCTGGTTGATCTCGGCAATGCTCTCGGCGTTGTCGATGCACTGTTTTTGCAGTCCGTCAATGTAGCAGTACCGCTGTTTATGCGGGGGAACCGCCAGTTTCCAAGGAAAAAGGACTTTTTCCTGCGAATTAGGCATTTCTGGGAACTCGTTCAGCTCAAACTGCTTGATCTGTTTCTTCAAACTTCCCAAATAATCGTCACTGAGGAAAGAATGAACGTCCACGACGGATTCTTCTGCAAAGATAGTGTTGAGCCTTTCGATGGATGCTGGAGTAAGTAGCGAAGGGTTCATGAACTTCGCAAGGTAGTCAACGTCCATCACAGATAAGTAGTCTGTTTCTTTACCAACAAGATTAATCAGCTCCTGTGCTTCGCGAGAAACGATCTCGTTGTATTGGATCTTTGGAAAATCGTACTCCTTCAGTTCTTTAGTCTCCAGTTGTTGTAAAGTCGACTTGGCCTCTGTTCTTTCCTGTTCTCCAGGGATGTAGCCGTCCTCACCCACTTGAGGTATATGGAACCATCCTTGGATGGATAACCGTTGTTTGTCGACCCTGACTTCCTCGACATCATGGAACGATAATCCTGGTTGCACGGTGAAAAAAGCGATCTGGTTGAACTGCGGAGTAAACTTGCAATAGTGGTCCGATCGTGGAACATTAGGAACCACCGAGTCAAACAGCCGTAAGGACCCTCCATAGTGCGGTTTCCACGTCTTTCCCGGCTCTGGCATGTACAGAATGAAACTGACTCGTCTAGATCCAATCACATCATCGTGGGTGAGCAGATGACACCCCTTGGAGTAAGTATTAATGCTCATATCTGTCTTCACTCCGCTCAATTTACCGCAATTTGTCACGTACGACACGTAGTCGCGGAAAGTTTGCGAGTAGATTGCAGATCTGAGCTTGTAAAGACTTGGAAGTCGTTCAAGGTCCTGTTTGGTCATTCCCGATAGGTTAGCTAGATCACCGCTTTGGAAAACTTTGTAGATATCAGTCTCTTTTTTCTTAAAACTGATCTCCGATATGATTTCCTTGCGGACATTCCTCAACAGATCATCGTCGATCAGGTCGTGGATGGTTCCCCATCTGTAAGGCTGGGAGTCTGCGATTTGGGTCTTCAAATCATCTTTGAAAGAGTCGTCAAAGATATGTTGTTGGAAGTAGCCCTTTGCACTAGCCTCTTCCTCAGGCGTCTGTTTGATGCTAATTTGACGTTTTTCTGGCAACGAGTCCGAGCTGGAAGCTCGTTTTTGCGGTACCACGGAAGAAGAAGGCATATCCAAATTGTCTAACAAATGATCCAATTTTTTTTTCCAACTCTAAATTAGTCGAGGCGGTGCACAGGAAGGAACAGGCGGGAAAGGCATAGTTACAGGCGTTGACACATTCACCGCGTTAGCGCCAGAAAATAAAACATAAGCAAGGCAGCTTGCAAGGGACACAGAACACGCGCCCGATGCGCGTTGGGGACATTGTTTGCCTTTTGTTTCGGTATAAAACCAGAAACTGCTGCAGCTGTTAGGTTTGTTAAAGCTCAGCCGGGTTTCACCCTCACACCGTCAGGTTTCGGAAAAGTTATCATCTGGCACAATTATTTTTAACATCGTTTTTTTCGTTTCCACTAGAAAGAACAGTACATAGGGCAGAATGAGCACCGTAAGTGTGATCAGGAGGCGTCGGCACGCCGTCAGTTAATTGGCGCTAACTTTTTAGATCGATAACCCTTATGCTACAGGCCAGGGCAACCCGTACGCTGAGAATTCGGCGTACGAGATGAAAGGCACTAACCAGTTTTTCACGTTGATTCAGGACATCAAGGATGACCTCGCTGACTACAACACGTTAATTGACAGATTGGAGAAGTTGCAACAGGAATCTTTGGGCTCAATTGGATCCGAAGAGATGGCTTCTTTCCAAAGACAAATCGACAACAACAATAATACCCTTTCCGACCTGCAGAAGAACACCATCAAGCCGAAACTGCAAGAGTTGTATAAAGAGTGCGGGTCCGACACCGACAAGCAGAAGCAAGCCGAGAACTTGACCGCGCAATTCAGAGCATCCATCACCAAATTGGCCAAGATTGAAGACAAGTACAACCAGGCCAACAAGCAGAAGGCCATCAACCAGTACAAGATTGTGAACCCAGATGCTACGTACGATGAGGCTGCCGAGTTCGTTTACACGGTTGGCGACCAACAGGTTTTTGATAACGCGATTCGGATGTCCAACAGAAAGGGTGAGGCCATGACCGTTCTTCAAGAGGTCCAGGCCAGACACCAGGAAGTTGAGAGAACTGAGAGACTTGCTGCCGAGTTGAACCAGCTGTTTGGCGATTTGCAGGAGCTTGTTTTCGAACAGGACGTCATGTTCGACAACGCGAACCAACACGTTGCAGTTGCTCAAGACCACCTTGAGAGAGGTGACGCAAACGTACTCAAGGCCAGGGATCACGCCAAGAAGGGAAGAAGACTCAAGTGGATCTTGTTCTGGGTCTGTGTGATCATCATTTGTATTATTGTTGCAGCTGTCGTCGGAGGAGTTGTTGGAAGCAGAAGAAACTGAATCCGAATAGACCTAAAAGAACTCGTGCTTTAGTAGATATACAGTAGATTAAGAGGCAAATAGCTAAGAATTTTTAAGCGGGATGTAGGAAGGTGATTTAGTCCTCACCAGACACGGGATAGTCTGACCAGGGTGGAGTAATCCTAACGGGTAAAACCCGTTTCAATTTCCCAACGCAAAAGTATTCGCATACGCCATAGAAAAGAGACATATACGAAGGCATTAAGCGTTGGTGTCAATGATCCATCCTCGAAACTTCGAAGAAAAGTCATTGACGGTGAAAATTATGAAAATTGTCGTGAAATTTTTCGACTACCCGATTTGGGAATCCAAACACCCGTGCACTGCAAGATGTCATAATATTTAAGTGCGGATCCTAATCCACACGGCTCTCTTCATCTCTTTATCTTTTTGCCACCATGTCCTACAAGCACGAAAATCTGTTTAGTGAACGTTCCAAAGCGAGAATTACGCGCCACTTCTGGCATTCCGCTTCGTTGTCGGGTGACGAGAAGCCACACCCCAACCCAATTGGTCTTGTTGGGGGCATGCCTAATCACGACTTCTTCCCTGTTAATGGAATAAGGATTGGTATTTCGGAGAAGCCGTTTCCTAAAGGTTATCATGATGAGGTTGCTGTCACCAATGAGCCAACTGAAGAACATTCTTTCTTGATTCCTCAAGTTTCGGACGATCCTACCGAATTGGACCTGAAAACGGCTTTCCAGTATGGTAACACCGCCGGAGCCACATCTTTGCTTAAGTTCACCCAGGATTTCGTCAAGACTGTTTGGAAGCCAGGCTACGAGGACTGGTCCACTCTGATGACCCTCGGAGGAAGCAACGGAATTGACAAGACGTTCGACTCTTTTATCGAAAGGGGGGATACGGTCTTGGTGGAGGAGTTCAGTTTTATCCCAATTCTGAACTCCTTGGCAAATCTTGGCGGAGTGCCGGTTCCTTTGAAACTCGACTTTGGTCCAGACAAAACGTTCAGCTTTGTCGAGAACCTCAAGTACCTACTGGAGAACTGGGGGTCTCTTCACCCTGATAAGAAAAAGCCAAAGCTGCTCTACACCATTCCGACCGGTCAAAACCCGCTTGGAGTTGCCCAGACAGTCGAGCACAAAAAACAGGTTCTACAATTGGCTGATGAGCACGACTTCATCATCTTGGAAGACGAGCCTTACGCTTACCTGAACTTCCAAAAACACACCGAAACCCCGGTGTTCGATCTTACCCCTGAACAATTTATCAACTCTCTCCACGGATCGTACATTTCTCTGGACAAGACTGGAAGAGTCGTGAGAACAGAAACGTTCTCCAAAGTGTTTGCTCCGGGTCTGAGACTCGGATTTATTGTGGCTCACAAGTCTGTGGTGGAGAGCTGCACCAAGCACTCTGACGTGAGTTCGCGAGCCCCAAGTGGAGTTTCCCAGATCTTCGTCAACAACACGATCCGGTATCTTGGTGGAATCGACGGATGGTTGAAGTGGATCATCAAGGTGAGAAACGAGTACCTGGTTCGGAAAAACGCTTTTTACAAGGCTTTGATCGCCACAGAAGCAGCCAAGAAAGGCTACCTGAAACCATTGGATCCTGAATGCGGAATGTTTATTTCCAGTATTTACGATTTTGGCAAGGACAAGAACCAGGAGGCTACCGAGATCCTCAAGACCCGGTTCCTAGTTAACGGAGTTGGTGTTGTTTTCGGGTCCGGAATGGCAGTCGACAGCGAGTTTTCCAAAGACCGGTCCAACTTCTTGCGTACAGCCATCTGCTATACCAAGAACACCGACGACCTGGTGGAGGCCGCCTCGAGAATCAGCAAATCGATCCTCGACACTGCCGAGAAACTCGGACTCGCCGTTTGAACAGACACTCTGGACCGGTTGTACCTATTTGGCAACGAAAAAATAGACGTATTCTTTGTTCACTAATTCTTAACCTTTTCCACCACCAGCTTGTCGAAGTGGTACATTTGCGAGATTGTCGATTGTCTTTTCAACACCGATAAGTCGGCACGGGCCTTCTCCAGCAATTCCGCACTGTCGCCTTGGAAATCCTTCAGTTTCTTGAAATCCGTTCTTGCCTTTCTAAGGAAATATTCTCTGAAGTTGTAGTTTTCAAACTTGTACGAGTATCTGAGAAACTGTCGATACAACGACAAAACTTCCGGTTTCGAAACCATGACAAATATTAAAAGATCAATGAAAGCTTTGAGAAATAATTATTTGCCTTTTATTTAATTTTGAACATCCTTACATCGAGTATCGTATCTTTTATTTACCTTAAACCATGTCTACTGAGTACGACGTGGCGAAATCGTTTGTGCTGGCCACTTTGAAAACCATAGTGGTCACAACTACTCATTATGTCACCCAATTCAAGGATAACTACCCAAACGCCTGGTCTTGGCTCGTTTATTTGCTGGTTCTATATGTCACATATAGACTTCTCGTTGGAGCAGTCAGGTTTGTCTACAGAACCATTGTCAACATTGTGAAATTGGCCATACTAATTGTGGTGGTTGCTGTGGCCATCAATATCTGGATCACCAAACCTAAACCGGCCGACTGGATCCCTCAAATCCAGTACGCTCTAGTTCAATTGTACCATTTCTCCAAACTGTTGCTGGTGTATGTAACCGGGGTTGTCCGCAGCTTGGACTGGAAGAGTTTGTCCCAATCGGACTTCGACTCGTTTCTGGAGTCATTGAGTGCCACTCGGTCCAGACTAGAGACACTTTGGCAACACTTGAGATAGTGCTTCTCCAAGTCGCCTGTGCCACATGTGTGGCTGGTGTGTAAATGTATATTAGTATCAGTCTCTCAAGGTCGTGTACTTGCTTCCAAAATCCGAGTGTTGATTTTGGTTAGCCATTTGGAAAAAAAGGTGTTTTGTTTTGTTCTCTTTGGAAAATCGGAGCTTAGCGAATTAATTGAGCTGTAGACTATCCAATCAACAGCAAGTTCAATTTAAATTCACACAAACCGTCTAATTTGCCATTTTTTTGTTCCAATTACGGCCCCGTGTATTTGAAATCATTGCCCTCCAATTACGTCCATCATGTCCAATAGAAGAAGAGCATACCCACAACCAATGTACCAAGCCCCAGATCCGTCTGCGGCATATGGGATTCCTGCTCAGCCACAGCAGCCGGTGGCCGATCAGGGCATCTACGGTGCTCCCCAGGTCGCCAATCCTGTTGGCCAGCTGGCCCAAGGCGTGGAAGGAATCAACTTAGCAGCAGCCCCACAACCGCAAGCTCAACCTGTGCCTGCGTACCAGCCAGCAGCTCCTTCGGGACTGTACGGCGGAGTCGATCCGAGTATGCTTCCCTCACAAAGCTCTGCATATCCTCAGCCTTCGTACCAATCGCCAGCTCAGCCAGCTCAACAAACTCTGCCTTTGAACCAGCTCTATTCCACCGATCTGCTCAAGGAAACACCACCCCCAATCACAGACCTGCAATTCCCTCCACCACCGTTGATTCTGTCTCCAGGAACATCGCTCACGGGTAGTCCAGAGGCAAACGCACCGCCTGATTACTTCAGATCCACCTTGAACGTGGTTCCAACAACCAGCTCCCTTTTGAAAAAATCTAAACTGCCATTTGCATTAATTGTGAGACCATACACTTCGTTGCACGATTCCGAAGAGCCCATCCCTGTGACAAGCGACACTATCATTTCCAGATGTCGTAGATGCAGATCGTACATCAACTCGTTTGTTCACTTTACCGAGCAGGGAAGAAGATGGAGATGTAACCTCTGTTCGTTGCTCAACGACGTTCCAGGCGGGTTTGATTACGACAGACTGAACTCCAATCCTTTGAACAGAATGGACAGAGCCGAGCTTAATTACGGAGTGGTTGAATTTTTGGCTCCTTCAGAGTACTTGGTCAGACCACCACCACCTTTGGTTTATGTGTTTGTTCTTGATGTTTCGTACGCCTCTATTCAAAATGGATTGTTGGCCACAGTGACCAGAACTATTTTGGACAGTCTTGATAGAATTCCAAACGAAAACGGAAGAGCCAGGGTTGCATTCTTGGCCGTGGACTCCAGCATCTCGTTCTTCACAATTCCTAGCGATGATCAAGAGGACAAGGAAGTGTCGATGCTGATTGTTTCCGATCTTGACGAGGTGTTGATCCCATCTCCAGACAACTTGCTTGTGAACTTGAAGGACTGCAGAAAGAACGTTGACAAGTTGCTCACCAACTTTGTTGGCTACTTTGCCAACAACCAAAACACCGGATCTGCTTTAGGTCCTGCTTTGAAGTCTTCTCACAAACTGATTTCCCAGATTGGAGGTAAGATCATTGTGTTCAGTTCTGCTCTTCCAAACTTGGGTATTGGAAAACTTGCAATTAGAGACGAGAACGCTGTCAGTGGCAAACAGAAAGAAGCATCCGCACTTTTGACTTCAAACAACTCTTTCTACAAGTCGTTTGCTGTGGAATGTAACAAGTCGCAGGTCACTGTTGACATGTTCTTGACCGGCTCCAACTACCAAGACGTTGCCACTCTTTCTAACCTGCCAAGATACACGGCCGGTCAAACCCACTTCTACCCTGCCTGGTCTGCAAGCAGAGTGGAAGACATCACCAAGTTCACCAAAGAGGTTTCCAACCATCTCTCCATGGAGATTGCTTTGGAAGCTGTGTTGAGAGTTAGGGGATCTAGCGGATTGAGGATGAACTCTTTCTACGGAAACTTCTTCAACAGATCTTCGGATTTGTGTTCTTTCCCAACGTTCCCAAGAGACCAATCGTATGTCATTGAGGTGTCTATCGACGAGTACATCTCCAAGCCATACGTGTATTTCCAAGCCGCCGTGCTGCACACCACCAGTTTCGGTGAGAGAAGAGTGAGAGTGATGACTCTTGCAATTCCAACCTCCAAGGACCTTACTGACGTTTATGCTTCTGCCGACCAGCTGGCTTTGACCAACTACTTCACGCACCGGGCCGTGGAGAAGACTTTGTCGTCTTCCTTGAACGATGCTAGAGACTACTTGAACAAAGTTCTGGTTGACATTCTTGCCCTTTACAAGAAGGAGATCGTTCCGGGAAACCTTGGTTCTTCTTCGCCATTGCAGCTTTGTACCAATTTGAGAATGCTGCCACTGTTGTTGCAAGCATTGACCAAACACATTGCTTTCAGATCTGGCAAAGTTCCATCCGATCACCGTTCTTCTGCGCTCAACAGATTGTCGACTCTTCCATTGAAGAGTCTGATCTCTTACATCTACCCAACGGTGTATGCATTGCACTCGATGACCGACGACTGTGGACTCCCATACGACGGCGAGGACGAGCCGTACGAGATTCCACCAAAGAAGCACGGCGAGATTGTTCTTCCTGAAGCCATCAATGCCACCATTTCGAACTTTGAGAAGTACGGTCTGTACTTGATCAACAACACGTCTGAGCTGTTCCTGTACATTGGTGGAGATGCTGTTCCTCAGCTGGTGAACGATGTGTTTGGTGTTGAGTCGATGAACGAGGTTCCAATTGGCAAAGCAGAGCTTCCAGAGCTTGACAACGAGTTCAACTCCCGTGTGAGAAACATCATCAACAAGGTGAGAGAGAAAGACGGCTCGATCGAGTACTTGAACCTGTACATTGTGAGAGGTCCATCGATGAACGAGAACCTGATGAACACCAACAGAGACGTGATTCCGCTGAGAATGTGGAGCATGTCTGAGCTGGTTGAGGACAGGGTGAGCGCCAGCGTGAGTTACAAGGAGTACCTGACCCAGCTGAGAGAGAAGATCTCCAGCTAGCGGGCTGGGGGTGTATAAGTTAGAGAATACTAGCGGATGAAGAGTTATGCGTAGCCAGATAGGATATAACCACACCTCACACCTCATCAAGACCGGAAAAAGAAAAAAAATGGTACGAGTTTGCCCCAAACCGGTCTTTTGTTTTTGTAGTATCCGGTCTGCAAACCGACACGCTTTTCTCCAATTAAAAATGGTTCTTTGGTGAGCTGTGCCCGTGATTTTCGATGGCAGATCGCACCGAATGAATTTTTCCAGTGGTATTATCTACTAAACAAATTGTATAAGCTGTTTCTTGACAACTGATATTTCGTTGCAACATACCAGTAGCCAGGATACAAAGGGTAAGTGACTGCAATATAGACGAGGACAGCATGATCTGAGAGTTTTCCGTTTGCGATTTGGACCAGATTTGACTTGGATACCAGACACCTTGGAACAAGGGGAAAAACACAGCAGATGAGTTAAAAAGCGCTACAAAACCGGTTTTAAGCATTGATTACGCGTACGGGGAGTGTGTTGTGTGTCAATGTTGCCATGGTTGCGACGATTGGCGGGCTTGGAGGCCAAGCTGACCGACCATTCCCCGAACGTTTGAGAGCCCGACATGGCTAGTAATGCGATTGGGGATTGGCATGACCCAACTACACTACCGGACCCAGCGTTTACGTTGCGGTAGGTGGCCAGTTGCCCCCACGCGGTGTATCAGCCAATGAGAGCTCAACGATTTCGCAATTTTTTTCTTGGGCCTGAAAAAACAGCGTCCTGGGTCCAGGTGTTACGTCAGCAAGCCGGTGTGAGATTTTCAGAAAATGCATCCTCCAAAAAGATTATACTAACTTTCCAGATATAGAATGTTGAGACAAGCATTGAAGAGCGTTCCTAGAGTGCAGGTCAGACACGCTTCTGCACTTTCCCAGGCCACCGTTTCCAACATACAGCTCAGATGGGACAAGCTTCCAGAAGACGACAGAAAAGAGGTGATTGAGGCTCTTGCTGAAAGACAGAAACTCCCATGGAAAGAGCTCACTTCCGAGGAGAAGAAGGCTGCGTTTTTCGTCTCGTTTGGTGAGTGGGGACCAAGAAAGCCTATCCACTCCGCCGAGGACGTCAGATACATTTTCTGGGGTACCGTCATCGGTGTCGGTATCACTGCTGCTGGCTTCCTCTACTACAGATCAAGAAGATACATTCCAAAGACCATGAACAGAGAGTGGCAAGAGCAATCCGACGAGTACTTGAAATCGAAGAACGCCAACCCATTCAGCGGGTACTCTCAAGTGCAGTCCAAATAAGCCCTTCCTCATCTCCATCTCGTTGCCTATTCATCGTCAACCACAATGCTTTCCTATATTGGATACAAAGACAGGCAATAAAATTACACTATTATACACTCAGTTAATTACCACAGTTTTCTGTCGAACGTTTGTAGAACGGCTCGTGCTCGTGTTCCAAAACGCAACGGGACAGGTCGACCTGTAGCATTGGTCAAAGGTGCTGGTTTTTTCAGCTCTTCTGTCGGTCTGTCTGTCTTCACAGCGGCAACCTTGCACCGGGACTCTGGCTTGTAGACGGCCTTTGCTTGCGCGTACTTGTCGTTTTGCAAAACCTGCTCGAAATCGGCCACTTTGATCCAATTTAGCACAAGTTCCTGGAAATTGTGCTGTTCGTGCTCGTACAGCCGTCTGAGCTCGTGAAAGTCCGTCTGGTTGCGTTTCAAGAACGCACCAATCATTGGCCACAAAAACGTCCACACACGCGCCTTTTCTGCCGTCGTTAGCGGCCGTTTGGTTAGCGTGCTGTTTTCTCCGTAGAAATTCTCCGTCCCCAGCAATAAGATCGCTTGCAGGTCAACCAGGTACTCCTCCCCGTCAATCGTGAACGTGTAAACAGGCAGATACTGCGCGGTCTCCGTCTCGGAGCGTGGATTCTCAAAGTTGGCAATTTGCAACCCGTACGGATAGTAGCTGCGGATGTACCTCTTGCGCTCCACGTCCTGCCGCTCCAACACCTGCTTGGCCTGCTGCTCGGCCTCCTGTGCCTGTTTGGCACGCTGCTGCTGCTCCTTCTGTTTCCGTTGCTCCTCTTGCACGGCCTCAGCACGCAGCTCCTCCTCGCGCTTGCGCTCCTGCTCTGCAATCGTGCGCGCGATCTGCTGCTGCCGCGCCTTCTTGCGCTCGAGTCGCTGCTGTTCCAGAGCCTCGCGCGCCCTGCGCTCCTCCTCCTCAAGCTTCTGCCGCGCCTCTAGCTCCTCAGCAGTCGGCACCACAACCTTCTCCTCTTCCTTCGGGGCCTCCCGCACAGGAGTCGACACACGCGTCTCCACTGGCGTCTGCGACGCCGACCGCGAAGACACCTCGTCCTCAACGGGTTTTTTCTTGGGCTTCTTCACCTCAGACCGCTTTCTGTCCTCGTCTCCAGCCCGTTTGACGCTCTTGGGAGAAACCTCACGTAGCAGCTTGATCTCCTCCTCGTCAGGGACGTAGCTCTGCATCAGAATATCCATGGCCGTGCGTCCGCGTTTATCCTTCAACGAGGCATCGGCCTTGTTCTCCAACAGCAGCTTCACCATGTCGATATGGTCTTTGCCAACAGAATGCATCAGCGGAGTCATGCCAGCCTTGTCGACGTAATTCACCTTGGCTCCAAACGCAATGAGCAAACTGGCAATGTCTGTGTGGCCGTGTTTTGCAGCCAAACACAACAGGTCCGGCGAGATCTTGCTACCGGCGAGATTCGACACGTAATTGAGCACAAAAGTGACATCGTTCTCGGCCACTTTTTGGTAGACCTCCGACCGGCCTTCTCTCGAGAACGGATCGAAAAACATCTGCGACGGTCTCTTGGACGAGTCTTCCTTTTCCGAGTCTGTTCCCGGGCCCAAACTCTGGCTTTTCGAGTGCTGTCGCTTGTAGTCACGTGTAAACTGAGCGAGCAGCTTTTTGAGCTTCTTGAATTTGGCAAGCTCGTCTCCTTCCAAGTTTGTCAGGTCCCTATCTCTCTCCATTGCGTCCAGAGCAGAATCGCCGTGCGAGTTCACCAAACACGGGTTCGCTCCTCTATCTAGCAGCACCTTGACAACCTCGTAGTGGAGGTTGGAAGCAGCGTCGATCAACGGGGTATCTTTGTCTATATGTGCGAGTTGGGCGTTGATATCTGCTCCGTGGTCCAACAACAAGTTCACCACCTCCACGTACCCTTCAAGGGCGGCCTCGTGCAACGGTGTGTTGCCGGCAAAATCTGCCTCGTTAACGTCTGCTCCCGACTCGAGCAGTTCCTTGACCTCGTCGAAGTTGCCCTTGGCACAATGACGTTGCAATAACGACCGACCCGTGACGTCCTTTCCGTTTCTGCCCGACACTTTGCGCTCGCTGGTGCGTGAACTATGCGACGAGGACCTCTTTTGAAGAGGTTTTCTGGTGACACTGTCGTCGTCGGAGTCTATGTCTGAGTTTTTGCGCATGAGACGGTGGAACCGTTTAGTGCGGCGCGACGGGACGGGAATAGACTCGTCGATGTCTGTTTCCGACTCCGAAACGGGCGGAATAGGGTCCTTATGGGAAGCAGTGGTGACATTGGTGGGGGACTCTGTATTGGACAAGGAGCCCGAATCGTCCCGTTTCAAAGGGACAGCCGCCGCAGTGAGCGGCGACAAGCTCTTCTCCAAGGCGGCTGACCGTGATGGCGCGTCGTTGCCAGATAAAGACATGGGGCAGAACAAACAAGTACAAAGATGAGAAAAATTAATTATTTTAGGTTCCAGCGACGACAGCCGACGATCGACGTGTTCATACAAACGTACACAATTATATATCATTAGAAGGAGAAGCCGGGGGGCTGTACCCGAGATGACGGCCCCATTCCATGACCTCGTAGATGAGGGCAAAGTTCGGGGAGATGAGAGGCGCTCTTTGTTTGAGCAGGTTGTAAGCCTCGTTGTAGCCGATTTTCTTGGACTTCATCATGTAGGCCAAGATGAGCGACGCAGAGCGCGAGACGCCGCATTGGCAGTGGATCAGGACCCGTTTATTCTGGGCGAGGGCGTCGTCGATGATCTGTGTGAGTTTGGGGAAGTCTGCCACGAGTTTGGAGGTGTGAGTCCATGGGATGTAGTAGTATTGGATAGTTTGGCCGCTGATGGAGATTTTGTTTGTCATTTGGGTTGTGTAATCTGTGATTTCCTGTGCCACATTGATGATGACGTCGAAGTCGATCAATTGGGTGATTGACGGCTCTGAGTAGAGGTACAGGTTTGGGTCGAGCACGCACACGGGGCCCTGGGGATATGCATTTTGGACGGATCCTGTGTTGTAGCCATGGGGGCCCGACACGTTGGAGGAGCCCAAGCAGCCCGAGGAGCCTGTGCTGGAGCCAGAGGTGCCCGAGGTGCCAGAGGTGGAGGACGCGAACTGGAGCGAGTTTGCTGATTCGAGCGAGTGCTGGGCCGACGTGGCGGCGCGCGGGGGCTGTGTAGCGGTCGAGTTGATGGTGAGTGTGAGGGATCGGCCGCGCGCGTTGGCGGTGGACTGCTGAGTTGGGGAGTTTGCTGTGGACATTAAAACGGCATTTAGCGACGGCGTTCGATACAGTCGCGGCGATCTGGGCGACGCGGGCGAATGCGACAGAATCTGTCTGCTGCCGTTCGCAGAGTACGTCAACGGCACAGGGTACTTTGTCTGGTTCTTGGACAGGTCCAGTTGCAGGTTCTTAAGGTTCTTTGGCCTTCGTTGGGAGTTATTTCCACTAAACGGTTGCTGCAAAGAGCAGGAGTCCTGCGGTGGGTCATCTATTTTGGCCATCAAGAACTGCCATGCCTTATTCTGAAAGCACAAACACAACGATGAAGACAGAATCTTTAAACCGTAAATCTATTCTGAAACAAAGATTCTAATTTTAGTAGAGATGAAAACAGTTGCATTAATTTTTGGTGTGGATATTTACTAAGCTTCTTTGAACACCGGCATTTATTTTCTCCACGGAGTAATTCACCGGGGAGTTATCCAGACACCGCAGGAACTCTGTCACGGACCCGCCCACGCCGAAGTAGATGTCTTTGGCGGCCACGAGACTGCGACACGAGCTGGTTCGCGTGAGGTCTGTTATGAGCTGTGCCACCACCGGCAGATGTTGCGGCGAGTAGATGGTTTCTGAGGAAACGGCAAGAGTGGGCGCGGTGACCAGCCGGTCCAGCTGTGTGGCGAAACCCCGGCCCCACGACCCGCTCACAAACGAAACGCCAATCTGCTGCGAATCAAGCTGCTCTTTGAACCGTGCAACCAGCTGCTCTGTCACGTCGATCTCGTCCGGCCGCACGTTTCCCTCCACGTCCGCGCGCGTCTGCAGCCTCTCCAGCTCCTGCGCGTCCAACACGGTCAGACACCACGTCAGAAACAGGTTCGGCACGCTCACCAGCCGCAACACCTCGTAGTTGAAGTCGGTCAGCACAAGATCCACCCCGTGTAGGTTCTGATGCAAAATCGTCTGCAAGACCAAACAGCTCGGTAACGCCGTGCCGCACCCGAGCTCCACAAACGTGCGGAACACAGAAACATCCGTCTCTTGCAGCCGGTGCATCAGGTCGTAGCAGCACTCCCACGACTTGAGCCCGCCCTCGTACACGCCGTTGCGCACGTCCTCCGCGGTCGTGCCCACAAGCACCTGCAGCTCCTCCGAGTCGCCGTCCTCGCCCATCAGCTGGTGTCGCACGTCGAAGAACTCGCGACGGTAAAGCCGTTTTGGGAACTCGATCTGTTCAAACGAGATCCGCGTCCCCACCAGCCGCCCCAGAAAATGCTCCAGCGTGTACGTTTGCGGCCTGACAGTCTCCTGCACGGCGTCTAGCGGGTTCCCCACCGTCTGCGGCTCCTCCGTGTCCGACTCGAACCCAAACTGGAATCCCATTAAAGTTTAATTTTCAACTAAATATTTTTTCCGCATTTATTTCCCGTCTCCACGTATGTCTGAATTTGGCTCGTACCTGGAAGAGTTCGAGCCGCTGAAACACGCCAACGAGCTGGTGGTGTCGACCAACAACGTCGACGACACCGCGCTGGACCTGACAACGTCCATCAAACGGCTCCAGTTCGACCTCAAAGACGTGGACAAACGGCTGCAGAAAAGCTCGAACGAAAACTACACATCGCTCATTGCCGAGCTCGACACCGCACAGGACCTGCACACGACGATCGGCGAGCTCAAACCGTCGCTCAAACAGGTCAACGCGTCGTACTCGCGGCTGCAAACAGAAATCCTCAAGCCGTACAACGAGTCGTCCAATTTGCACTCGGCCCTCAGAAAGATCCACCAAACCTCCAACCTGCTCAGATCGTCCACGTACTTTATCTATCTGGTGTCGCGGATCGAGGAGATCGACAAATCCGACCAGAAATTGAACCAGAAACCGTTCCGGTCCGTGTACGCTCTGGCACGGCTGTTGAACCAGATCAAGCTGCATCTGGCCGATTCGCCGTTCCTCAAGAGTCTGAAGCTCGTGCGCGACTACGAGACGTTCCAGCAGTTGCAAACAACAAAAGTCATGGACGTGTGCAATAGCCACCTGAAAAACCTGTCTTTGGAGTACGACGACCAGTCGATCTTGAACCTAGTGTACGCCTTGTCCATCATGTCGTCGGAGTCGTTTTACAACCAGTTGCAACAGCTGCTGAGTCTTAAGATTGCTGGTGCAATCAATCTGATCATCAAGAACCTCAACAACCCAAGGGGCCTTGAAAACGTGTTTGCACAGGTTTCTGCTTCCGGAAAGCTGATCAACAACCTGGAGAAGGTGATGCGGTCGAACAAGTGGCAGGATGCGTCGTCGTCCAAGGAATCCGCAGCTAGCACGGTCTCGATCCTCGATAAAGTCAATTCTGTGCTGCATTTCGGAAACTCGCTAGGAACGCTGTTCTGGAAAGACACGGCCGTTGGAGTCGAGCCCAAATTCAAAGATATCGTGCACAAGGGCGGGCCCATTGCAAAGAACCTGCGTTCCATCAAACAGGACATCTATGACATGGTGAAGAAAGCCGTTTTGGACTCGTTCGTTGACGAGAAAAGAGACGACTGCATCGAGGTGCGCATGATGCTCAACAGCGTGGCCTCATTAGATAGGTCTCGATAATCGAATGTCGCTATGAACTTTTCGCCTTGGACTTGCGGCCGCCTCTGCGGGTCTTTTTCACTCTAGTGAGCTTTGCGAGCTGTGCAACCCGTGCAGTCCATTGCTTTTTGCGTTTTTTCGCTTCGATCTTGGCCAGCCGCTGTTTCCTGCCGCGACGGGCTTTTTGTTGTGGCGGCAAAGGAACCCTCACCGGCTCGTCAACAGCGGAAATCGAAATCACCTTGTAATTACTAGGAACAAGCTTTTGGCTCTGTTGTAGAACATCCCGCCCGTCAACGGCCGCCTGTTGAAACGCCTGTTGCTCGGCCGCCGTGTACCGGGCAAAGTAGTACGACTCTGGCCGCGCAACGTTCTCCACAAGCCGGTCGTCCACATCCACCTGCCTGTCCTCCAAACTCACAGCCACCTGATCTGAGCCTGAAAAGAGCGGGAAAAACTCGCGGACCGGCGACTCCTCAGCCACACCGGGATCCTCTACGTCCACAAGCTCAAACTCAAACTCCGGCACAAAAGAGTACCCGTTATCGGTGTCCATGGCTACCCAAAAAGAATTTGACACAACAGCCGTTTCTGAAACACCCCCAAATTACCCGGCCTGTCTGGTCTCAGTTTGGTATATTCTGCAAAAGCCATTTTAATTTCCAAACATATAAAGAACGCGTTTTTATACCCTTCCCCCTCAATTATAAACCATTCACGATGTTCAGATCCCAAGTTAGAAAGTTTTCCAGCACCGCACGTGCAGAGCTAGCCAAAATCAACCTGATTGGTGTGATTGGCACAGACATTTCCGAGGCCGTCACTAGCAACGGCAGACCGTATGTTCGCTACGCTTTGGCCGTGGACAACAAGGCCAAGGGCAACGAGAACACCTCGTGGTTCAACATCGTTGCCTTCACAGATCATCAAATAAATTTCACCAAGACGTTCTTGGGAAAGGGTGCTAAGGTGTATGTCGAGGCCGACGTTTCCAACAATGTGTTTGAGAAAGACGACGGAAGCAAGGCCGTTAGCTGGAATCTGTATCAGAGAACCATTGAGGTGATTAGATTCCCAAAGGCTTCGTCCAAGCTCGAGACTTCCGGCGAGGAAGAGGAATAGTTGTGTTTATTAATTGTCGAGTTCAATTAAATAACCTTGTAGATACTAGATATCGGAGTAGTTGAGTCCCATGCGGTGGAGGTCGCGACGGATATCCTGGTCCAGGAGGTCGAGTTCTGCCTGGCGCAACTCACGGCGGATGTCCTCGTCTTTGGGCGTGGTGGCTTGCGAGTTGTCCATGCTGATCGACGCGGTGTCGACGCTTCTGCCGTACGACTTGACCTCGTCCATTTCCCAGCTCGAGACCGGCGATTTTTGCGAGTACTCTTTCGAGATCGGCGACTCCAGAGTCCGTTCCGACGCGTGTCTGGTGAGATAGTTCTGTTGTTTCGCCACATGTCTCGAGTCCCGCCAGTTTCTGTAAGTCTTGGTCATCTTGCGACCAGCAGGAACAGACTCCACCCAGCCAACGTACATCTGAACAGCGTCCTCGCCGAGTCCAAACAGACAGAAGCTCACAATCGACACACTGATTAGGATCCATCTTTCCGCGTCCTGCGAGGCCTTGTATGGAATACGCAGAATGATGTCCCAGTACAAGTTCTTGGCAAAGTCCGGCTTGAACCCTGGTTTCATGTCGCGAACCATCAGAATCAGAGAAACAAGCTTCAACGGGAACATGGCTGCAATCACAAGAACACTAAACAACAGCAGTTTGTTGAACTTGCGCAAAGAGTAGCCCGAGTTGGTGCATTGAAGAATGTTTCTGGTGTTGGTCCTCTTGACAAAAAACACAACCAACGTACCGGCAGCAGTGATGAATCCCAAAACAGCCCAGAAAAATAGCCAGAAGTAGTACAACAGCACAGAAATGCCGTAGTTGGCCATCATCAGCCGACATCCAGCACATTGAGTGATACCGTACCGGAACATCATGCCAAAATACACAAACGCAGCAACCAACACAGGGAACCCAAGCACACAGAACAATTCAAACGCCATCTTGGTCTTCCACCGTGAAAACCACATCTCTGTCCATTTGTTGGCCATCAGAATCAGCAACAAGTTCAAAGAGATGCAAAAAATGGCTCCCGGGATACCTATTTGAGCCATGATCTGGACTCTCACAATCAAATCGCACCAGCCACGGCCGTCCCAGTTGTCAACAAAATTGTCTCCGCCCCAAATGATCGTGCCAACAAGTCCCTGAATCATCCAGATCTCCAGATAAACCAACAACGCACTTGCAGGAACGTTGCGAGAGTTGATGTGCCACAGCATTGGCGGAACATTCAGAACAAAACAAAATGTTTGGATGAATATGAGAAAAGCACGCAAACCAGCCATTATCAGATTCCAATTGAGATGCCAATCCGTGCTAAACCCACCATCTTATATGTGTGCCCATGTTTTAGTCTGGTGTATGATATTTTTCCTTTCAGACCCTAATCGGGTAAGAATGCGGCTGTGCAAAAAGGACAACTCTGCGACAGCGAACCCAGCTAATCTGTCAAAGAATGACGCACCGCAACCCCAACAACGACTCCCAAACACATCTGGCCAAACAGCGCAACACACGACCGACCTGCCCATCTGTCCATTTTTCTGTTCACTGCGCAATGCGACTCCCATAACTCCTCGCCGTCCGGGTCGGCAAACGGGTCAGACCCGCCAGAGTCCTTCGACATGACACTTTTCCAGTCAAACTCGCTATCAACGTCGTACACGTCAAGCGCACCGCCCAGAGTCACCTCCTCGTGCACCCAGCAGTACATCCGTACACCAGATATAACAAGCAGCACAAGCGGCACAATCAGGCCGGCAAAGAACGACTAAGGTTAGTTAGTTGGCACAGATGGGGCAAGGAGAACACTACTTACGACCTCTGCGTGTCTCAGAACAGTTCTTTGGATCGCACAGGTGTGGCAGATACACTGTTTTGCTGGCTGTTTGCTGTTTTGCAGCTCGTCGACTTTACCAAGGATGATTTTCTTCATGGTTAGCAAGACAGCATGGACACACACGAGCTTTATAAAGGGTTCCAGTTGACATCTGAGACAGTGACGAGGTGATTTGAATTGACCGTGGTTTTATAAAAAATATTACCTTTTTTGGAAGTTCAATGGATTAGCAGACTCACTGTCTGTAAAGATGCTCGAAATAGTGTTTGACAAACGCCAAAGGATGGTCTGCGTCCTGCGACCCCATTTTGCCGAGTCCAGGCGAAAAACAGGTGATTGGTAGCACAAGAACGTCAGACACAAGTTTAGGAACGTCGAGCTTGGTGAAGTCTTTCCATGTGACTTTGGAAAATATGCCCGACAACATGTAATCGTTGAAATACTTGAAGATCCCATCGGTCCAGACGCCGGCGCCGGTCCAGTCCATGATTGAAAGTTCGTTCGAGGAGTCAAATTCCAGAGCTCCTTCTTTATTTCTCCGGAGAGTTTCCTCGGTGATAGAGGCAATGATCTCACGCAAGACTGGATGGCCCGGTTTGGCCTGGATCACCCAGTTGGCAAACTGCAATCTTCTGGCGTAGTACTGTCTCCAGTCCGGGGTGTCAGGGTCCGACTGGATCCCCACAATGAGCCCGATTTCCCAAGGATCAACATTCTCGGGGATCCAGTTTGGAATTGGCTGCAATGGCAGCGTGTCCACGTCTGCATACACTCCTCCTTTGGCAAATAGCATCAGGTACCTGAAAAAGTCCATTTTCAAGATAATATGGGGGAGCAGCTCGTACGCCTTGATCACCTCGGGAATATGCATGTACAAGTAATGAATGATAGCGTTGGACGTGTCGTCGTTGAACAGCTCGTGAACAAATCCGGGGTTCTTCAACGCCCATTGCTCTTCTCCTTCTTTGTATTTAGGTCCAAAACTGGCATCGTTAAGTCCGTATTTCCAAGATTGCCAGATGTAGGCCGGGAACTTTCTGTTTTGGTCGTATGGGAACATGTATGCGAGTCTTTCCCGCAAAGTAGCTTCCTGGTTTGGTCTGCGAAGTTCGTTTAGCTGTTTTTCGAGCTTGGCCCTGTCGTTTTCGAGCTTTTTGAGCCGCGTGTCCTGCTCCACAAGCAGTTTCTCTGTCAAGTCGTTAAGTTTCCGTGCGAGTTCAAGCTCTTCGGTGCTGGCCTTACCCGAAAAACCGAATCCTGAGCCCCTGCCGTTGGGTCCACTGGCTTGTTTCCCTTCTGTGAATTCCTTCACAGGCACGCCGGGACCCAGCACCTGCCGCAAGTCTGGCGTGGAGTCGGACGAGACCTGCACGAGCACCAAAATGAGCACCACGATGGCCACGGAAAGCAGCACTGTGCGCTTCAGAACGTTTGATTTCATCGCCACGTAGGGATTTACAAAAATAAATAATTTGAGGTGAACCGGTAGCACTCAGACACACCTCAGACCGGGAGAGAAGGGAGTTAGGGGATGAGGAAGCACAAGGCGGGGGTGGGATGGGGGTAGGCAAGTAAGACTGTTTTGGTCTGTTGAGTTGTCAGACAGACCACATTTTCCTCCTGTACGAACCCATCCTTCTCTGTCGCTCCGCTGGTCGCCTGCTGCTGCTGCTCCTAAAACAGCACAGCCAGATAAAAAATTATTTTTCACAATGTATAGAGGGTCTTTCTTGACGGGTGTGCGCTTTGCCTGTCGGTGGGGTCTTGGCGCTGGACGGCGTTCGGGGACGAACACGCTTGCGGCCATGAATAGACAGCACCACACGGGTTGGCGATATATGTTAGTTGGCGGGTCTCGGCCTTTGGTACAGTGGAACGCGCGGAACAAGGGCAAGCCTCCAATGGCAACGGTTCTAAACGAGATCAAGCGATGGAAGTCCGACGTTCCACGGCCACAGACTCCGCGCGAGCGGTTTCTGGCAGCAGGAAAGAACAAATTGGACCGGCTCAAGCTACGGGCGAAATGGATATTGCTGCGACAAAACCGGCCGTTCAACGTGGACGAGATCAGTGCGTTTTTGTCGTGGATCGTGATGGGCAACTTCCTGTGGATTTTCATTGGGACCACCACGTTCTGCGGACTGATCATCTACGCAGGCAATCTTTTCACCGACGGCAAGATAAACAAGAAAGTTCTGGAGAAACTGATCACCCTAGACAACAAATTACAGGTGGACATCACAGGCAACGACTTCAAGGCTTCGTGGGAAGACGGGATGATCAAGTTCCAGAATTTGGTGATGAACTCGGGCGCTAATGGACATTTAAAGTACTCTTTCAAGATAGACACAGTGACGGTGACGTTATCGCTTAGCAAATGGATGGAAGGAAAAGGTCTTATTAAGGACGTTAATTTGACCGGGGTGATTGGCACGGCCGATCTGGACGAGCACTACGAGGAGGTGATGGACGAGGCGTTTTCGCCGCAGTACGAGTTCGAGCAGTTTGAGGTGAACAACCTCAAGCTTGTGATGAAACGGAAAAAGAGCGCTCCGATGGAGGTGGAGATTTTCAACTGCAAGCTGCCGAAACTGCGCCGCAACTGGATCACGTACGACTTCATCAATGCGGACGCGCTGTCCGGGTCGATCAACGGGTCGCTGATCACGCTGCACAAACGGCAGCACCAGTTTGCGCAATTTGCGGGGATGGACACCACCGAGGACAATTCTCCATGGAAGAAGGTGACACGGCTGCGGATCGACCAGCTGGACCTGTCGCGAGTGACGGGACCCAAATCGAAGCTGAACTGGCTGCGGGCGGGCACTGTGGAACTGGTGGTGGATATCATGCTACCAACGGAGGACGACAACGAAAGTCTGACAGATTTGCTATTGCCGGGCCATCAGGGCGTGGAGGGAAACAAGTACGTTGTTCTGGACTGCAAAATCAACTTCCATGATTTGCAAGCACGGATGCCGGCCAAGACGCCAAGCTCGTCGCTAACGCAAACCCCGTACATTTCAGAGACAGATTTACGGGGCTTAGTGAGCTTTATCAATAACAAGCGCTTTGGCTTGGCTCTTCGCGCATCAGAAGGCTGGGACATTGACGAGACCGCCACATACGACAGGGCTGAGTTGGCTGCCGACGCGGATCTTAGAGACAATGACGAGTCGCAGGTTCCTACAGTGAAGTTTCGGTTGGTGCACAATCTGGCAGACTTTGAGTTGGTTGACATTGTTGCTATTCTGGGACTGCATTCGGATACGGTTCACGATCTGGGCCCATTGCAGCAACTGAGTTACCAAAATAGCAACAAATTGCTAGACTCCGCCATGACGGAACTTTTGGGGTGTTTGATGCTCTACAAAGAGGAGCTCCAGCAACGGCTGATAGGGGCGTACGCCAAACGGACAAAGTTTGAGATCTTTTTCAACAACTTTGTGCTTGGGAACTTATTGTTGGTTGGTCTTGGCAGCTTTGTGATTTAGCATCGGTCGGTTTTCTACACAACCGTGCACCGCGTTTTTTTTTCGCTCTCCAAGAGTGCCCCATTCTTGGATTCGTATAACTATAGTTATTATTTTTCATGCAGCCTCTCCAATACGATCTGTTTCGATGCAGCAGCACACGTTGTAAGGCGGAATTGCCCACGCAGATGGTACAATACATGAACAGACGGCATTTGCTACGATGTGTCACTCTCGAAATACGCCCAAATTACTAAGCACGTTTTTTTCTAACCGATGCGAAATTTTTAGTGCCCGGTCCGTGCGCACTTAAATGCAACAAATGTCGCGGTGTGGGTTAATTAGGTTTTATAGCCATATTGTTTGTATATCCGCGCGTTTCCGTTGGTTTATATATATATGAGCTGGTCCTGACTCAACATAAAGCCAAACTACAACATTAACTCCGCCATCCAAACCATCACTAATAATTAATAAATAATCAAACTGATATCTCCGGTTCCCAAATCCGGCAATTAATTAGAGTAAAAGGAGTGATTGTTCATTTTTTATACGAAACATTTTAAATCTTGTTCATCATCCATGTGGAAACCGTGGGGACAAGCTTACGAAGACCTGGAAACCCAGGGTCCTCAGAAGGTCAAGAGAGAAAGACCGTTTAGAACTCTCCACACCCATATTCTGGCTCTGATGCTTGCTCTGGCTATGGCTGTGGTTGCTATACATTTCTACCTCAAAGCTGCGCAACTTAATAGAGAATTCGAGGAGGAGTTTGGACCACGGCTAATCACCATCGAGTCGTTAACACACGACGTTTCCATCAAGCCGATCCACTCGCATAACGACGAATGGAGAAGACATCCGCTGCTGGATGCGCTTCGAGCCGGAGCTAACTCAATAGAGGCCGATTGTTACTACCGCGAATCCGACCCAGACACCATTTTGGTGGGCCACAACCCGTCCTACTTGTCGCGCAAGGCCAACCTCGACGCCATGTATCTGGACCATCTGTTTGATCTGTTGAAGCAGTCGAATGCAGGCCCGGATAGCCGCGATGGAAAGAACGGGATCTTTTACACCTCGCCAGAAACCACCACGTATTTCTACGTGGACATCAAGAACAACCGGGAACAACTATTGGAGGTGTTCCAACACAAGCTACAACGGTTCTTGGATAATGATTTCCTCACCACATACAATTCCACGTCAGACACGTTCCACGAAGGTCCACTTACGATTATTGTCACGGGAGATGTTCCGTACGACCAAATCAGCTCGCAGGAGCTCGTTTACACGTTCATTGACGCTCCGTTGAACGAGCTCGTGGACCCGGAGAAGGCCGCTCTCTACCCCGCCAACAAGATTTCGCTTTTTGCCTCTGCTTCGCTGGGCCAGCTCACGGGCTCGCATAAGGCCGTGAGTTTGTTCAATGGACTGTCCTCGAGTCAGCTCGCCGACTTGGACAAGTTCATCAAGGCTGCACATTCGATCAACCTTAAAACGCGGATTTGGGACACGCCCAAGTTCACCAAGGCGATCAAACACAAAGTCTGGAAGCAGCTGATAGAGTTAGACTCGGACTACCTTAACGTTGACGATCTCCGAGAAGCTATTCATTTTTAAGTAGTAGAATAAAAATAACGACCGATGAGAAAAATAATTAAATTTAATTAAAATCAATCTTATTTAGCACAATGGTAAGTATTTTAACCCCAAATATGCTAATTCAGTCATTAAACCCTCACACCGGCCTTCCTCGTGGTTGGCAGATCCGCATTTCCAAGACTCATGGTCAGGAATACTACTATAACCCGGGAAAGAGCGAGTCTGTTTGGACTCCACCTGAGGGCACCGACCAGGAGGCGTTGGATTTGTATCTGTCCAAAAACCTACACAAGCCGAAAAAAGTGCGCGCCAGACACATCTTGGTGAAACATAGAGACTCCAGAAGACCATCTTCGTGGAAAGAACAGAACATTACGCGTTCCAAAGAGGAGGCGGTCGACTTGATCAAAAAATACAAGAGCCAGATTGAGTCTGGTGAGGTTCCGTTCGAGGAACTTGCTGGCGAGAGCAGCGATTGCAGCTCGCACGCCAAAGGAGGCGATCTGGGCTTCTTTGGTCCGGGAGAGATGCAGCCGAGCTTCGAAAAGGCCACGTTTGGACTGCAAGTGGGCGAACTTAGCGACGTTGTCGAGTCCGACAGTGGCATCCACCTGATCGAGCGCACGGGCTGATTACGTAAGCGCGCCATTATTGTTCGGGTGGACATTTCTTGGACGTTGGAAATAGAATGTGTTTAGAAACTTTTGCACGCGAGCCAGCGACGAAATAGAGTTCCCCCGATGATGTCCATTGTCGCCAAACAAAGGGTCTCCATTTTTAGTGCATTTCAAATGGCCAAGTGGCACAGCTTTGCCAAAGTGCCGTTTGCAATTATTCGGCCGCAAATAAATAATTTCCATAAAAGGGCGATTTCGTACTCAGCCAAAAATTTACACTCCCACACTTTACTTAATACCATGAGCGTTCCCAAGAGACAGGTGTTACCTACCAATGTGAAGCCCGTGCACTACGACGTGAGCCTGAAGCCGGACCTGACGACTTTCAAGTTTGATGGTGAGGTTGCTATCGACTTGAAGGTTCAGGAGACAAGCGACTTCATTGAGTTGCATGCCCTCGAGATTGAGTTTTTGGAGGTTCAATTGAAGACTTCTGGTGGCGAGTACAAGCCAACGAAGACCACCAGCTCGGAGAAGGACCAATCTACTACGTTCAAGTTTGACGAGTCTGTTTTGAAGGAAGGCGAAACGGTTCAATTGGCCATCAAGTTCATTGGCGAGTTGAACGACCAATTGGCCGGGTTCTATAGATCCTCGTACACAGAGAACGGCGAGACCAAGTATCTTGCCACGACGCAATTCGAGGCCACCGACGCGAGAAGAGCGTTCCCTTCTTTTGACGAGCCTAATTTGAAGGCAACATTCTCCATCACCCTCACGGCAGAGAAACACTACACTTTCCTTTCCAACATGGACGTCAAGGAGGAGACTCTTGTTTCCGACACTTTGAAAAAAGTGGTTTTCAACAAAACGCCTCCAATGTCCACCTATTTGGTGGCTTTCATTGTGGGTGAATTGAATTACGTCGAATCAGAGTACAAGTTCAGAGACGTTCCAATTAGAGTCTACACCACGCCAGGTTACGAGGCTGACGCTAAGTACTCGGCCGAGCTGGCCGCCAAGGCCCTCGAGTACTACGAAAAGGTATTCGATATCCCATACCCGCTCCCAAAGATGGACATGGTTGGTATCCACGACTTTGCTGCCGGAGCCATGGAGAATTGGGGTCTGGTCACCTACAGAATGGTGGACCTGATGATTGGCGAGAAGTCCAGTAACGCCGCCAAGCTGCGTGTTTCCGAGGTTGTGGCCCACGAACTGGCCCACCAGTGGTTTGGTAACATCTGTACCATGGACTTTTGGGACTCGTTGTGGCTGAACGAGAGTTTTGCAACCTACATGAGTTTCAAGTGCTGCGACTACCTCGAGAAGGACTGGAAGATCTGGGAGAACTTTGTCAACGACTCGTTCCAGACTGCTCTTTCTTTGGACAGTTTGAGATCGTCGCACCCAATTGAGGTGCCTGTTGCCAGTGCCGACGAGATCAACCAGATCTTCGACGCCATTTCGTACGAGAAAGGTTCCTCTGTGTTGAGAATGCTAGACAACTGGCTCGGAACAGAGAATTTCATCAAGGGTGTCTCGCACTACCTGAACAAGCACAAGTACGGAAACGCCGTCACCGAGGCTCTGTGGGACTCGTTGGCCCAGGTTTCCGGTAAGGACGTGAATAGCGCCATGCAGGTTTGGACCAAGTCGGTCGGATACCCATTGGTGCAGGTTTCTGAGAAGGACGGTAAGGTTTCTGTTTCGCAGCAGAGATTCCTCACCACCGGTGATGTCAAGCCAGAGGACGACAAGACCGTGTTCCCTATCTTTTTGAACCTCAAGACCGACTCTGGAATTGACAACATTGTTCTGGACAAGAAAGAGGCCACTTTGGACGTGAAGAGCTCCGATTTCTTCAAGGTCAACGGCAACTCCACCGGTGTTTTCAGAGTCAACTACGAGCCTGAAAGATGGACTGCTTTGGGTGCTGCCTCCGACAAGCTTTCTGTTGAAGACAAGGTTGGACTTCTCTCTGATGCCGGAGCTCTTTCTGTTGCAGGTATTGCCAAAACCACCAGTTTGTTGACTTTGGTTTCCGAGTTCAAGGACGAGGAGTCGTACTTTGTTCTTTCGCAATTGGTCAGCAGACTCGAGAGCTTGAAGGCTGCATGGATCTTTGAGGACGAGAGCGTCAAGGCTGCTCTGGAGTCGCTTGTCAGAGACCTGATCAGCGAAAAGAGCCACCAAAAGGGCTGGGTCTTTAACTCGTCAGACTCGTTCCTTGACCAAAGCCTCAAGACTCTTCTGTTCAAGGCTGCTTCCTCCAACAAGGACGAAAAGACCGTCGAGGCGTCCAAGTCCATTTTCGCAAAGTACATTGCCGGCGACAAGTCTGCTTTGGACCCTAACCTTAGAGACTCTGTTTTCAGTGTTGTTGCTTCCACTGGTTCCCAAAAGGAGTTTGATGCTTTGCTCAACATTTACAAGACTTCCCAGATCAGTGACGAGCAGATCACTGCTTTGAGAAGTCTGGGTAAGTTCTCTGACGAAGCTCTTCTTGACAAGGCTTTAAGCTTTGTTTTGGACGGTACCGTGAGAAAACAGGATATTTGGATTCCAATGGTGGGAATGTCTGGTAGCAGAATTGGTATCGAGAAAGTGTTCAACTTTTTGACCACCAACTGGGACCAGATCATCAAGCTTGTTCCAACTTCGTTGCCATTGTTTGGTGGAGTTATCTCTATCGCCATTGGCCGGTTCACCAAGAAGGAGCATTACGACCAGATCAAGGCCTTCTTTGCCGACAAGGACACCAAGGCATTTGACCAAAAATTGGCTCAAGGTTTGGAGTCCATCGAGGGAAAGATCAAATGGCTTGAAAGAGACTCCGAAAACGTTGCTCAATGGCTCAAGGAACACAAATACTTGAAATAAGCTTCTGGAGATACGATTATGTAATGAACGTAGTAAGATCTACCAAACAAAACAAAAATCCCCATTTTAGAAATTGCCCATTTCTCCCCATCTTGTCTTGTTTCGCGTAACATGGAACCTTCAAGCGCCCAATTAAACGCCGACACATCGACTCCGCGGTCCAGTGCACGAATCTGGCACGTTCCAAGACCCAGCAGCGCTCCAAAGGAGAAATCAAGTATGGAGATAATTACCCCCTTAACTACAAGAGAGCTCGGACCTTCCAAGATCCCGGTAATCACACCGAAACCAAACAAGGTTGTTTCAAGAGCCTCTTCGGACTGGCCTGCTCATGGAATCAGGTTTGATGACGTGATTAACGACACCTCGTTGACCCCAATCAACGTGTTTGGCAGAGCCATGACGGCCGGGTCGGTTGCAACAACAGCCACAGTGGTGACCAAATTGAGCTCGAACGAGCTGAAAGAAGACGACTCGGTGTCGTGTTTCACCAATTCGTCGACCTCAACACCTTGCAACCCAAAGAAGCGGAAATTGGAAACAGAAGCGCTGCCATTCTTTAAATACAACAAGCTGGAGGAACTGTCCAAAGAGGAGAAATCCATGTCGAAAATGATGGCAGACCCAGAAATGAACGCCTGGATCAACGAATCCTTGGAAACAGTGAAAGACTACGAAAAAATTGTACAACGTGTGATTGCACTAAGACACAAGTTCAACAACCTGGTGGAAACAGAGTCTGAACTTTGAATATTGCTATAGGAGTTTATTCTGTGAGATACACAACATTAAACAGGAAGTGTATGGCTTACTTTCTGTATCTTCTGAGACCTCTGTTAGCAGAGACAGCGATAACGGAGGCTGGGACCTTGAAACCAAGGGATTTGATCATTTCGTCGGTGTCAGCATCGATGTTGAGTTGACCCTTGGTCTTCTTCAAGTCCAAGGCGGACACTTCAGGAACATATTGGTCCTTTCTCTCTCTCTCTTCCTCTTGCAATTTGAACGAGATACCTCTGACTGGACCTTTTTGAATTCTCTTCATCAAGTGGGTGGTGTAACCGGCGATCTTGTTTCTGAGTCTCTTGGATTGGATCTCAGCGATTTCGCTGGTCAATCTCTTGTTGACTTCAAAGTCCAAAGTCAATTTTGGATAGTATTTCTCGATGAGCACCTTCGAGGCTCTCTTGACGGTCTTGGTTCTAACTCTACCCTGACATGGTTAGTATATTTGATATCGTTTGCTGAACCCAGCTAGCTGTTACCTACCATTTTGTGATGTTAGTTTTCAATCCTGGTTTAAGAAATTTTTCACAAAGGTTGAACAAGAAAAAAAGTTGGCAAAGCCCGACACAACATCACGTGACACACTTTGCTCTGCTCTGCTATTACATAACCCAGATAAAATCTGTCCTTTTTCTTTCTGTGCAACTACGTTGGCCCTCTGAATATTGCCGGAATTATTTCAGGCCTGACCCGCATTGCGTACATAGGGGCGAAAATATAAATAGTGCGATATCCCCCCGTTTTCAATGGCGAAATTCCACTGTGATGTGTGCTCATCGGATTGCACGCGGCGTGTGAGGATACGTTGTGCTGTATGTGCCGATTATGATCTTTGTGTTCCGTGTTTTGCCAAGGGAGAGAGCTCTGGCAAACACAAGCCGTACCACGATTACCAGGTGATTGAACAGCATCAGTACCCGATTTTTGACGAGGACTGGGGAGCTGACGAGGAGTTGTTGTTGATAGAAGGTTGTGAGACTTTGGGGCTCGGCAACTGGCAGGATATCAGTGACTTTATTGGGGGGAGATCCAAAGAAGAGGTTGGCCAACATTACGAGGACTACTACCTGAACTCTCCATGTTATCCTATTCCCGATTTGAACAAGACTTTTGAGAACGTTTCGACCTCGTCGTTTCTGCGCAAACGCAAGCAGAGACTCGATTCGCGCAAGAATCTGCCTCTACCTCCTCCAAAGAAGGTTTTGACGTCGAAACCGTTGTGTTCTGATCTGCAGAAATATATGCCTGGTCGACTGGAGTTTGAGGAAGAGGCCGAGGACGAGGCGGAGAAAGTGGTGCAAGACATGGTGTTTGAGGACGACGAGGCGGAGAACGATATCGACTTGAGGCTCACAATACTGGATATCTACAACTCGAAGCTGACTTTGCGTGCGGAACGCAAACGGCTGATGTTGAAGAACAACTTGTTGGATTACAGAAACAACATTGCGGTCGACAAGAAGCGCACAAAAGAGGAGCGAGATTTGTTCAACAAGTTGAAAGCGTTTGCACGGGTCATGACTGCAGACGACTTTAGGGAGTTCACCGACGATATGCTGGCGGAGATCCGTGTGCGCAATCGGATCCAGCTGCTCCAGGAGTGGCGGCGCAACGGCGTGACGTCGTTTGAGAACGGATCCAAGTTCGAGAAGGACAAGGTGGCGCGGCTGTCGCGGCTGAACATGGGAGTTGGGGCCGGGCCGATCTCGTCAGGCCGCGAGCGGCACACGTTCAACTCTGTGCGGTCGACGTCGCGTCACCAAACTCCGTCGTACGAGTCGAACTCGAAGAAACGCGGCCACCAGCCGCTGGACATCTCGCAGGCGTTGGACTACGACCTGTTGTCGGACGAGGAGAAGGTGTTGTGCTCGAACTTGCGCATTCTGCCAAAGCCGTACCTGGCGATCAAGGAGACACTTTTCCGGGAGCTTTTGCGGACCGGGGGTGTGCTCAAGCGCAAGATTGCCAAGGACCTGCTCAAGATCGATCCGGCCAAGACCATGAAGATCTACGACTTCTTTGTGCAGCAGAAGTGGTGCAACGCCGTGTAGTGTATTATAGTGTACGACAAGAGTTGGGTGGGGGGATCACTTGCCCCCACTGCAAAAATATTGCGCATAAAAAAATTGAAAAAAAAATATTTTAAAATCAAGACGTCATGTCCAAAGCGCAGTATTTCCTCGAACAGAGCGTTCCGGAGTTGAAAGACCTCGAGAACAAGAAACTGTTCACGCGCAAAGAGGTCACCATGATTATGCGGCGTCGGACGGACTTCGAGCAGCGTATAGCCGGGCGCGGATCCAAGCCGGCAGACTTTCTGGCCTACTACCGGTTCGAGAAGAACCTCGATCGCCTCAGACGCAAGCGGTACACGAGAATGCGTGCTGTGATTGATACGCGGCCGTCTGTTTCAGACTGGGCCTCTGATAGACGCATTTTCTTCGTCTTTGAACGGGCCGTTAACAAGTTCCCAAAGAGCATGGATCTGTGGTCCGCGTACATCAAATTTGCGCGCAAGAAGGGCTCCGTTAAGGTGCTTTACTCGATATACTCAAAACTGCTGCAGTTGCAGCCCAAAAACATCAACGTGTGGTTCAGTGCGGCCAACTACGAGTTTGAGCATAATAGAAACGTCAAGTCGGCTAGAAACCTGTTCAAGCGGTGTGTGCGGTTCAACGGTGAGAAAACAGAGGTCTGGCTCGAGTTCATCAAGCTGGAGCTGACGTACTTGTCGAAACTGCTGCTAAGGAGACGGCTGCTGAACCTGATGACAGAGCAGCAGCAGATCCAGGACCTGCGGGACAACGAGGGCGACGCGTTCGAGGGCGACGACCTGGTGAGCCTGATTCCAGACACAGAGGTCAATAGCGAGCTCAACAAGCTGCCCGAGCTCAACACGGACGTTTTGGGCACCGCAGCTACAAATCCGGTTTTGAAAGGTGACCTTGTGCTGGCCATTTTCGACGTGGCCGCCGCAGCCGTGCAGAAAGACGCACCCGACAAGTTCGCGCGCGTGTGGGAGCTCGCGGAAAAGATGCTCGCGCTCGTGGACTCGTTCGACGCCCTCGACAGACTGTACCTCGCCAACCACGTTGTCGAGTGGCTGGCGCATGACCACGGTCACGTGCCGGAGGTGGTGCTGCTGCAGCTGACGCTGTCGCTGCGGTACACGGAGCTGGACGACGCGGATTTCGTGGCCACGCTGCAGAGCTCTGTGCGGGCGTACCAGTCGTGGGCGGCCAAGAGCCGCCTGGACGTGGAGACGAAGGAGCAGCTCAAACGGATGTACGTGGACTTTCTCACGCAAAAGTACCTGCTGCGCGCCAGCGGCGACGTGCGACAGGTGCTGGAGCTACTTCTGAAGAAGCTTAAATAGACTAATCGACTTTACTTAGGTCACTAAGCTGGATCTTCTTGGAGATCCGCTTGTAGCCCAGACCGACCGCGCCGACGGCTCCCAGGACGATCGACGCGAGGCAGTACAGAGCAACTAGTGCAAAGCTGGGCGGGTTGGGCAGCCGCAGAAACCGCACGTCCTGGTCGTTGACGTCGAGCCGGCCGCCATCGATCCAGTGCACGTCGAATTGCAGCGGCACCTGGTCGCCGATGATCACTTTGGTGGTGTTGAGCGAGCTGGACCAGGCTGTGCTGGAGACGATCTGGTTATCCTTGGAGAGCAGCAGAACGTTCAAGTTTGGGTCGATGTCGAAGTGGGATTCCTCCACCACGCCGCGGAACTGGAACACCAGCGGCACAGTGACGCCTGTGGCTGGTTTCACGTCCATGCGACACGAGAACGGCACGTCGTTGTGCAGGTACAGCTGGAACAGATGGTACAGTTCGTCTTCGAACTTGACTGTGCAGGTGATGCGTTCGTTGACGCCGTATTTGAACGCAAGTGGGGCGTTTGTTTCCAGGCACCGCACGACGGGCTCGAGCACGACGTTGCCGTTGGCATCGAACTTGTGCTCGCCGTTGTCGATCTGCCGGGCGTTGCACGCGAGTTTGACCGGGTCGTTGACGGCGTAGGCGGGCAGTTTGGCCAGGTCGAGGTCTGTTTCCGGGAACGGTCTGATTTTGGCCGCAAGGGCACACGAAATCAGCAACAGCACACGAAACAGCATCAAGCCAGGTTTTAAAATTAGCAAGTGAAAATAAAAAACAGGATAAAACCTCCAATTAGTGTACAAATACATAGCAACAACACACAGACCCGACTCGTGCGCTATTTGGCCATGGTCATGAGCTCGAGCTCGGCAGGGTCTGTGATATGCCTCAGACACTTCTTCTTGGCCTTCTGGGAGCGCCAATGCGCGGTCAGACCGTCCTTACGCTTGAAGTTCTTACCACAGCCCCATTCCTCGCCGTTTTTCAAAACACCTCCGCAAACAAAACCTCCGTCGTGCTTGTGCTGGTTGGTCTCGTGCCGTCTACGGTCGCTGTGACGGGCAAAGAACTGCTTGCACTTGTCGCACTGGAACGGTTTGCGGTGCTCGTGCGTGGACTGGATGTGGGAGTTGAGGTTCATCTTTCTGGAGAAGGTCTTTCCACAGCCCGAAAACGGACAGGCAAAGATCCTAGGCTGTTTTTTCGAGCCCAGAGACTCGAACTTGGACGGCGGCGAGGGAAGTCCGCCGTTCGTGGCGTCGTCCAGCGCCTGCTTACCGCCGTCGATCCGCAGCGCAATGTTGGCCGCCTTGCGCGACCAGTCGATCGAGTTCTCGTCCTCCTTCAATGGCTTGCCCCCAGGAATCGCCTGGTACGGCACAGAGTTCGCCAGCGTGAACAACGGGTTGTCCTGGCGCACCTGCCCGCCGTTCCCGGCCGGATCGGCCCCGCCAGACTGCGAAGGCGAATGCTGAGCAAATGGAAACATTGTGTTGACAATGTATTTTTGGTCCGACGACGCCATATCAAGCGGCGGCAATTTCTTCTGGTCCTGTCGCAGATGCGACGTGGACGACGGATAGTACACCGGCTGGTTCGCCGGCTGGGTGTCTGTGAGCAGAGTCCCCGGGTTTTTCGATAATTTGGGTAATTGAGGCTGTGTTGGGTGTCCAGCTTGCGAGTCGTGCGGATATTGCAATAAATCCGGCTGCCCTTCCGACTTGAGGGCAGGATCAGTGGTCAGATTCTGGTCGTCGTTCATCCCCCGGCCTGGTGTTTCGATATCTAAGGCGGTGTTGCTGTTCAAAACAAGACTGGAAAAAACAAGGCTCAACACATTTTCCCAAACAGGAGGCCGCTGACGTAAGCAAAATAAGCGGCGGCGATCGAAACCACCGAGACTGCACCGACATAAACAACAACGGGCCACAGGTCGCGGGGCACGGGCGTTTGCTGTCCAATGTGCACGTCCAGCGGCACGTTGGTCAGGTGCCGTTTCGCGCCCGCCGTGTTGGTGCTGTAGTAGTCTGGGTCGATGGTTAGGAGCACGTGGCCGTCTTCGGAGCGCAGTGCAACGTTGACCGGCGCGGTTGCTGGCCAGCAGACGCGTGCAAAGTGCTGGACAGGAGCCAATTGGGACGTGTCGAGCCAGATTTCTGTGTGTTGGGTGTTTTCTCCGGGAGCCAGATGTGTGATTGGGTCGAACGAGACGGACAGTCTGTTTTTGCCCGTGTGGACCACGCGACGAGGCGTAAGCGCCAGATCGGGCGCCAATTCAGACAACGACGCATAAAACGACACCGTTTCTGTGTTTGCTGCTGCGAGTTGCCATAGTAAACTGGCCAAAATCCACAAGGTGTAATTCATCCGCAAGATAGAAAAATGTACACCTTGCACCGTTGTTTTTATTTATGAAAAGAGTTTGGGTCTCCTACGTAGACGTTATGACATTGGGAGTTTCACAGACCGCAGAGGCCAAGGACGAGCAGACTTTGAAGAAATCGCCGTCGATCACCAACATTTCGAAGTTCACGCAGCCAAAACCTCTCCCGATCAGCTTCAATATGAAGATCAGCGAGGAGCTGGCGGAGATCAAGACGGCACTGGGAGATCTCAAGTTCCGGTCCAAGAACAACAACCAGAGTCTGGTGAAGTTGAACGAGAACTTGGCCAGGTTTAACGAGACCACCGGCGGCGAGGAAAGAGAAGAGCTGAAAAGCATGGTGGAGGACCTGAAGCAGACGATCCAGGGGTTGGCATTGGAGAGTAAACAGAAGGAGCCGGAGCAACAAATAGAGAAACAGAGAGACGCTCCAGATACGCAGGCGTTGCAATTAGAGGTGGAAGCTTTGCGGACTGAAAAGACAGACCTACTAGTGCAAAACAGAGCAGCAGCCGAAAAGCTGCTCCAAACCGAAAAGGAAACCCAACAGTTGCAAACCAAATGCTCAGTTTACGCCACACATCTGAAAACCCTGGAGTCGCAGCTGGGCCAGCTCGAATTGCGCAAACAGCACCTGATCAGCAGTCTGGAGCAGAATAGAAATAGCAAGCGTGCTCCAAGCGGGACAAAATTACTGGAGTTACTAACCGCGTCATCCGACGAGGGCGATCTGACCTCTCGAAGCGGGACAGCAGCAGGGGTCCGCAGCGACAACAAGGAGAATCAGCGCACTTTTAGTGCATACTACTAGTCTGTTTGCTTAGCTAAGCAGACAGGCCTCTGAAAAAGTGGTTCACGTTTTTTTTAGCTTAGTGAGGCATGTTTCAACACCACTCAGCTGAGGGGTCCAGCAAACGTTTCGGAAAACGGGTGAAACTCCACAAGATTCCCCTTTTGACTCAAGTCACTGCGAGCAACTGTTGGAAACCCCGACATTTTCCCCTCCTGTCAAAATTTCTGCCGCCTCGCTTCGCGCGCCCCAGTCCCCCGCACACCACGCGCACATTATAAGCTTATCTTTCTAAATAAAAATTTGCCCTCCTTCTCTTTAGCAATCAGCACAAGCACAGCTAACAAGAGTTGATAGGCATGTCTAGAGTGACAAATCCAGATAATTTCATAGACCCCGAATCCACCAGATCGTCTTTATCCATCGACTCCAACGGCTCTAACGGCTCAAATATTTTCTCTAATCAAGGAGAGTATGATCTCTCAGTCAACAACTTGAATCGTGTTCTTTCGTATCTCAGCGACATGGATAATCACACACTAAGCGATAAGGACACTATAGCCACCACTTCGACGGCCACGGGCGCCCCAAACAACAACAGCAACACTGCATCTTCTAGAACGGGCTTTGTTAATCCGTTTGAGATTAACTCCTCGTTATGGAGTGCGGCGCCTCAACAGCAGCAGCAGCAGCCACAAGGACCACAGGACTTGCTTTCGCCTTCTTCACAAGCACCAGATTTCCCGAGGGATCAGCTTCTTTCGCCGCTCTCGCCATACGCAAACCTGTTTAACCCCTCTTCCGGAACATCGCTAACGGGTCCTCCTCCGCCAGCTGCTTCGGACTTTGGCTCGCGCAGAGCGTCGTACGTGGGCGAGTTCACAACACATAGCAGACCTTCGACAGGAAGCATTTGGAACACAAGAGACGATAACAGAAGCTCGCTTGGATCGGCCGGGAGCCCCCTTCTTAATAACCCGAGCCTAAACTCTCCTCCGCAATTACCATCGGTTTGGCAGTCTCCCCCACCGTCGGAGTTTGCCGCGTTACGAAGATACTCTTACGATACAGCTCTGGGAGCAGCACACAATGGTCTTTCTGGTGGCTCGCAGCCGTTACTGCCAGGCTTTCAACAGCACAAACGGTTCCCATCGTCCTCGTTTGCTACCACAACAAACATGGACTTTGGTAAGTCGTTTGAACAAAACACAACAGCACAGACACAGCCACAGCAGCCACAGGTTTCACAGGGTCCACAAGTATCGAATGCTCTCAACTTCCAGGACCAGTACTCACAGGCATATAAGGAGGCAGACTTGTACTTCACGTCACCGTCTGCGGAGTCTCTCAATCTGTCCAAAGTTTTAGAAAGTCTTAATACGCAGCAGTTGCCAAAGTTCCCTGGAGGAGGATTACCTGGAGTGAAGTTGATTCTTGTTTGTTTCAAGAACGGGAGACTGGACGTGTTCTACCTGCCACCGGAAAACCAGAGACTGACGCAGACCATGAAGATTGGCGAGCTGGTGATTGTGGAGGCGGACAGAGGACGGGATCTGGGTAAGGTTGTGAAACTGGATGTGTCTATTGACGAGGCACGTTTGCTGAAACTGAAGCAATTTCAAGAACAACAAGCAGCATTGAACCAGGAGGTTCATGAAAAGCATCCTGTGTTGCATTTTCCGAAGCCGGTTGTACGGTTTGCGTACCCGAACGAGGTTGCGCAGCTTTTACTGAAGAAGAGCGACGAGGAGAAGTCGCGCAACGTTTGTCAGCTCAAGGTGAAGTCGCACGGGCTGGTGATGCAGATCACTGACTCGGAGTACCAATGGGACCGGCGCAAGCTGACGTTCTACTACAACTCGAATGCGCGGATCGATTTCCGCGATTTGGTGAAGGAGCTCTTCAGAATATACAAGACACGGATATGGATGTGCAAGCAGCAGAAAAGAGAAGTTTGAATTAGAAAATAGACTAGAGAAAAAGGTTGGTTTAATGGGTTTTGTCATAAACGGGATACAATGGATGTCAATTTTAGGATATGGATAGCAATGAACAAGAATGTATGAATTATTGGGTTACACAGTTGGTTTTCTATAGTGGTTCACAAAGTCTTCGTCGGTGACCACCATTTCTTTCCAAGTTTTAGCAACATAAGCGTCGAGGTCCTTAAGTTTTTCAAAAGCAGCGTCTTTATCAAAAGGCTTATTTTCGTCTCTGGCCTTGATGAATTGTTTTTGGATGGCTTTTGCTCTGTCGCTAATCACGTCCATTCTATATGAGACCCATTCTGGGTAGAACTCGTCGTAGATGGATCCGAAGCTGCGTTCTGGCTTGACCGTGTTGAGGACGCTTGTTTCTGGCTTGGTGGAGTCTTTTGCTCTGTACGAGGTGACTGCGGTGATTCTTTCGGTGTATCCGACCGGAACAGAAGCCAGATGCAGCAATTTTCTGCCCTGTAGCACGGTGGCCTTTCCCTTTGCTGGGCCGGCGGCAGGAACAACCTCACCTGTTCCTGTTTGGATCAGAGTTTCTCCGCCAATCATCTCAGACGTGTCGGACAACATGAGAACACACACAAACGGATAGGAGTCGTTGTGCCAGCCAACAACGGCAGGAACCTCTTTGTCGAACTTGTCGGCCAGAGACGACCGTCTTCTGGCAGAAATCCGCTGGTTCTGTGCCTCGTCCTCGGACCGCATGGCGATATTAACGTGGGCGATCTCGTAGTCCATGATCACCTCGAGCTCGACGCCCGCCATGGCAGAAACCGCCGCAACGGTGGCCGGATGGGTCCACGCAGCGCGCGTGAACGGACAGGTTGTTCTCACGTGACCGCGGATCACGCAGTCCAGGCCCGACGTGGAGCTCTGCGAAATGCGGGCCCATTTGGTGAACACCTCCTCTCTGAGGATCTCTGCGCGCATGATTTCCACCGCCTCTTCGGTGAACAGCGGGAAAGGAGCGCTTGCGCCAACGTCCGAGATCTGGTCCTCCGCAACACAGCCAAACTCCTCCATCGTGGTGCGCTTGATGGTGTTGAGACACTCTGGGTCGAAAGCAAGGTGTTTTTTAGGGTCAAACTCGACGTTGATGTCGACCTTCTTGAGAGTCTCGTGGATCGGCTTGATCTGCGTCAAATACGTCTCAAACGGAACTTTCTTGTGGATGTTGCCAGCCTTGATGTGTTGTAGTAGTTCGGGAGTAGCCATGATGGATTGCTCTGTCTCAAGAGCAGATTGAACGTATTTATAGAGCAATGGAACAGGCTTGAATTGGTTACCGAAACAGGAAATAGTGTGTCTAGATAACACAAATCCCAGGGATGGTTGCACTAATTTGGGAGCAGTTCGGATTTGCTCGCTCTAGCAAACAATAGTGCATACAATAGGGCCCTATTGAAGCGGAAATCGTTGATAAGAAAAACTGGACTGTTGCCCCAAGACGGGGAACCGTTGACAACGCGAGAGTTTCCGAGCGTGCGAAATTCGCGCAGGCCGCATCGTCTCGAACAGGATCGGCAGTAGCGGGGCAGGTAGCGACACTAAATCGCCGATACACTTTTAGCTCTTGTCGGCAATTCCGAGATAACGGAATATTGCCTGCCATGAAAGTACACATCCGTGCACCACACCGACAAAAAATAATAACATTGCTTATCTAATCTCTTATCTCAGCACAACATTCGCCATGTTGTGCCAGTACAAGTTCACATAAGCGAGAACATTTAAACGAGCAGCGAACGTCAGCGCCCGTTCGCGAAACAGGGTTCCGAGTCTCATCCCCTGCTGCCCTCCCCAAAATACGCCAGTTCACCCTCCCCCACTACGACTCGTCACATATTTACGTAGACCAGGTTCCCTCCTGCCGCATCGGTTGTGTGTACATTCCCCCACGCACGGTAGGCTCTGCTGCTCATTTTCCAGATCGGTATAATTGTATGAAAAAATTGCCAATTAATGCCTGTTTTACTACGCGTACACTGGTGCCTGCTAATTAAACCCCTTCGAACGCGTTCCTTTAAACTGCACTCGGTATTTAATACACGCTTCGAGATCAGAAGTATTCCGAAAAAGGAAATAGCTTTGGGTAATATAATAAAACTGCTGCATAAAACGCGCCGCAACTTCCGGATCCAGTAACTATTCATTGAAAAGCTATTCATACTTTGTGTACACTTTTCAGAGTATATGACAGGAGGCCCGGATCGTATATAAACAACAGGAAATTTCAACTGCGCTTAACGAAACTATGTCTGTTAACGTGTCAAGACCAACAAGATCCAATTCTGATCCTTCGCCGGCCCGCCAAACAAGGTTGCCCCCTCTCAGCTCGATCCTCAACAATTCGCCCAGCGAGCCGGGTTTTCCTCCGGGCACCACGCCCCAGCGCAAGGTGACGTTGCCGTCGATCGAGCACATCACGTCGAGTCCGAACTACAAGCGGTCCAACTCGTTCCCGTTGTACGCCTCGCCCGTGACTCCGGTGGGGAACCGTGTGCTACCACCCCCACCAATGTTTTCGCAAACACCAACAACATCCACAATAAACCCCCACCAACCTCCACAACAGCAACAAAACCACAAGTTTGCCGTCACCCCACACAAGTCGGGCAAGGCCATGTTCACCTCGCCGCCAAGCGAGGGCAAGTCGTTTGCATTCATCTCGCACTCGGTGTCCACGTTCCTGTCCTCGGAGCCAGACATTGACAACGCCCGGCTGGCCAGACGCAAGAGAAGAAGAACCTCGCCCGCAGAACTCGCAATTCTGCAGTCCGAGTTCGAAAAGGGCAACACCCCTAATAAGATGAGACGGCTCGAAATAGCAGCCAAGGTGGACATGACCGAGAAGGCGGTGCAGATCTGGTTCCAAAACAAAAGACAGTCGTTGCGCAAGAACAACCAGAACATCAAGGAGGTGGTGCTGGACATCCCAAAGCGGCACGACCTGGACCAGCAGCTACTTTCTGCTGCAAATACAAGCGTCGAGGACGACTCGGCCACGTCCGTGGAGTCGTCGCCTGCTATTTCGCCAAAGGAGGAAGATCTGCCTCCAAAGGGCGTGTTTATGACGCCAATGAAGACGCCCGTGCGGAAGACTGCGCCAATGTCGGTGACTCCAAACTCGTCCACAATGACGTTCAAGTTCAAAGCCAGCGAGCTGGGGCTACCAACTCCCATGACACAGGCTGTGCAAAAACGCCAAAAGCCGGTGATGCGGTTGAGCATGAACAAGAAACTGGGCAACGTGCTGAAGGATACCACGAACGTGCACAACAAGCAAAACAGGCCCCCATCGCAAGGAACGGGCAAGACGGACATCGAATGTGTGGAGAACCTGCTGAGTTTAAGAGACCAAACTCGGGTGTAAAACGAGCTAACGATAACGAACTTAATAATATATCCTGTCATAACCACCAATAGTTATCCACTAGTCATAACTACAATCGTACTAAATGGTAATAGTTATCCACTATATTATCTTATACCTATGCTAGCTGCACTCGCGTTCGCTCGCGTCGCCCGCTTATGGTCCAACCTTACCCCTTCTACCAGTAGTCTTAGTGTGCTGGCCTCTCACTCTCAATCTCCAAGAGTGTCTCAAACCACGGTGGGCTCTCATTCTCTTGAGTCTCTCCAAGTCATCTCTCAACTTGCTCTCCATGTTGTTAGCAAGAACATGGTAGTCCTTTCCGTCAACAACATCGGCCTGTCTGTTCAAAAACCAAGCTGGGATCTTGTACTGGGTTGGGTTTTGCATGATGGTGACGATTCTCTCCAACTCTTCTTGGGTCAACTCACCAGCTCTCTTGGCAAGGTCAACGTCCGCCTTCTTGCACACCAAGTTGGCGTATCTTCTACCAACACCTCTAATGGTGGTGAGCGCATACATGATCTTGATTCTTCCGTCAACGTTGGTGTTGAGGAGACGCAAAATGTGCTGGAACGAGCCAGATTCTTGAACAACAAGTCCCATGGTGATGTATTAAAGTTTTAATTTTTCAAGAGTTGGAAAATTTTACTACTAATTATTTTCCCGCCAGCCCTCAATGGAAGTCACGTGATACAAAAGATATTTGTCCGGACTATTTACAGTATGTGCTTGGTGTACTTGCTGGCAAAGTAAACGAGCGTCTCTTTCGACACCACCAGACGGTCCGCCTTCAACAGGTCTCTGACCTCGACGTCCTCCTTCCGTAGAATCCGCGCCCTGTTGCCGTACTGCTTCACAGCCTTGACCAGGTTCGACTCCGGGTCGTACTCCTCAGGAATGAACAGCAGGTTGAGTTTCTCGAGCCCGTGTTTCTTCACGAACATGGCAACCGCGTGCGGGTGGCTATGTGTGGTCTCCAAGTCGAACGAGTCGCCCGGCAGCAGCTTGGACTCGCTATTTTCCAGATTGCCAATCACAAACAGCTTTCCGGCCTGGTACGCGCTGCTGAGCGCCGTGCGGTACGCAGCGTGGTACACCTTCTCGGGCAGCTCCGACGAGAAGTCGTTGGGGGCCGTGCGAGCCAGTGCGTACGCTCCACGGTATCTGATTGGCGAGTTGGCGTCTCCAACTCTGGCCATTCCGCTTCCCTTTTGCGGTCTAAGTTTGTGTCTGGAGAACTTGTGCTGACTTCTGTCGGGCGGGTTGGACGCTCCGACACGGATGTTATCGAGCTCCATGACAACGGCAAGCCACAGGATGTCTCTTCTGATCGGGGTGTTGAGGAATGCATTATGGACGGGGAACATGGCGTGGGGTTCAAGCGACGGGAACGATCGCAGCGTGGCCAGCGTGTATGCCGGTGGGATAGCCCTGTTGGGGAACAAGGGCTCGGCCGCAGTGGCCAAACGACGGGTTATAACTCCAAATTTGGACACAAGGGACATCAACAAGGAGTTTGATTTTTTTCAATTTTTTTGGGTGCGTGGGATAACTCTTAATTGTTGGTGTAGAGGTTGTTATTTAATTTGTATTTTTAAACCTTAAAAACCAAACTTGATGACTTCGCATACCGACAAACCCAAGCGGGCGGCCATTGTGATCCCCCCGCCGCCCACCACCACGTCGGTACAACATTCGCCTGCCTTGCCTCCTCGCCGAACGCTCCCGCTCCGCTTCATCGATTGTCCCAAAGATGACCTGATTGTCATAATTTCCCGCATGCTCTCCTCGCTAATTTCCATCAACGACAAACAGATCTCTCCTGATATCAACCACCAGTCACTGACACGATTTCACTCGCGGTCGCCGCCGCAGATCTCGCTGTACTCGTATCTCTCGAGACTGTCGCATTATTCCTCTTTGGAGAATTCTGTGTTAATAACCAGCATTTATTACATCGATCTGTTGAGCATGTGTTATCCCACGTTTGCCGTGAGCTCTCTGACGGTGCATAGGTTTTTGCTGACGGCCACAACGGTGGCGTCCAAAGCGCTGTGCGACAGTTTCTGCTCAAATAGCCACTATGCCAAGGTTGGAGGAGTTAACCTGATGGAGCTGAACGTGCTGGAAACAGAGTTCCTGAACAAGGTGGGGTACCGCGTGGTGCCCCGGGATTTCAACCACGACAAGCTGCGCGAGCGGAAAAGCAGCACAGGAACGCTCGACACTGACTATTTCAAGAAAATCAAGCTGGGCATCGAAAATGCAGCAGAGGTGCTGGATTTATATTATAAACGCATGGTGATGCTCGTGGGCGGACCGGAAGCCGAGGACGTGGGGTGTCACGACGGCGTGGAGTACACGTTGGCAGGAGAAAACGGGAAGGAGGACCAGGAGCAGAAGCTCGCAGGCTCGCAGCTACAGGCAGAGCAGGACGACGTGAGCAGACGCAAACTACGCAAGCTGAACAAAAACGACCTGGAGTCGGAGAATGATGGACTGCGGTCGCCGAAAAGTCACTGATATATATTTCGCCGTGGGGTTGAGTTTGTTTGCTATAACTATAACTAGATTACGTTACTGGGAAATTATTTCTGGGGAATAACTAATATTTTTACAAACCAGGGAAAATAAATTTGTCAAGATCAAATGTTTGTCTTGCGGGTCTCTGGCCGGCTTGGATTGCGGTCTGTTGGTCTGCCACGGCCACCACCACGAGTGTCGATAACTTTACAATGTGCATTGCGCCCACGGACGATAACTCGACCCGGGCCGGTGGGATATCGGTTTTACTCGCAAAACAGAGGGTCTCGAATCTTTGAGTACATTTACGCCCAATACCGCCAAATCCGGTGGGCGCTAGTCAAGAGCAAGCGGCCGTTCAACACGGACGATTTTTCCGCCATGTTTTCGTGGGTCATGGCCGGCAACCTGGCGTTTCTTTTGATAGGAACAACCACGTTCTTTTCATTGCTTCTCTACACCATGAACACCGTTTTGGCACAGGAAATGGTGGCCGAATGGGTCGGCAACACCATCACCAAGAATTCGGCGCTCAGTGTCACTTTTGAGAACGCCATTGTGCCCAACTGGAAAGACGGCAAGATCCAATTCAACCATTGTATAGTGAGTCGCAGACCACGGAAAAAACAGATGTTTCGCAAAAAGGACAAAGAACAGATCGCCGTGCCTGAGGAGGACTACGACGACGGTAACTACACGCAGTTTGACCTGACAATCGACCAGATCGACGTCTCGCTCAGCTTCACGAAGTGGTTCTCAGGGCGCGGGATCATCGATACGTGCGCTTTAAGAGGAGTGCGAGGAGTGGTGGACAGAACACACGTTTACTGGAAACCAGGCGACTCTGCATTGAACTACAAAAACATCCACCGGTATGGAGACTGGGAGATCTCGAATTTCCGGATCCAGGACCTGCTGGTGACGATGCATAACCCGAACAAGTTCCGCAGCTTTGAGATCTCTGTGTATAACTGCGAGATGCCGCTGTTCCGCAAGAACTGGCTGTTTTTCGACATGCTAAACGGGAAACACATCAACGGGTGCTACGACGGGGCACTTTTCACGATCGACAGGGTGCTCCACACGGACGATTACCGCGAGGAGCGAGAAATGGGGGGCCAGGTTGAAAAATACCGGCACAGCATGCACGGCCCGTCGCAGGGCGAGCTGGACCTCACAAACAAGAACGTGACCCGGCTACGGATCGACAACCTGCCGTTGGAACACCTGAACGGCGGGATGAAAGGCCCGTTTGGCTGGATCAACAAGGGCACCGTGGACATGATTGGCGACGTTATAGTCCCGGCCGACGCGTCGACAGAACATGTGTCGTTGCGGAGTGTTATTGAATATTACACAAAGAAATCCAACACGAACGAGACCGACGACGCACCGTTCATAATGGATTTCTACCTGCGGCTCAAAAACCCCAAGGCTAGCGTGCCGCTATTTGCGAACGAGCTATCTTATGTGAATAGCGCATTGATCCGGCCGATTGTCGGATACATAAATTCGCGAAAAACTTTTATCCCGATCTATTGTCGGGTTTTTAAAGATCTGAAAGATTTTGACGGGTCTTGGACGGTTTATGACAGCATGTTGATGGACGATTTGAGTGTGGGCGTGTACAACAGTCTTGAAGAGTACTTAGGCGACGAGCAGTTCCAGCGGGAAAAATTACGCAAAGTTGGGTTCTGGTCGCTGCAGTTCGTCATCCAACTGGTGCTCTGGAGCTTGAGTGGGATGTAAGCTGCGGTATCTGTCGGCATGGTCAACAATAATACAGCAACATGGACATGGTAAGATGTGTGCAGCGGGAGGCAGACTTTTCTGCATTCCTGGCCAGCTTCCCAACGCCTTTTGCCGGTAAGCCTCATCATCAAGCAGGGAAGCTTCCAACATATGCAAAGTGTGAACATCGAAAAAAATTACGCCCCAAATTTATGCATGCTGTCCCCGAATGCGTTAGATAGACAATAGGTTGGTATTTATGCGGTTCGTGTGATTTTCTTGAAATCCCATCCATCAAATTTGCGAGATACGTCTCCCACCGCTTTACACGCTTTCGACTCTTTAGCATCTCTGTATATAAGGGCTCTGAGGACCCCGTAATGCTAGATCTGTCGCTAAAAATGGAGTATGGACCGAAAAACTAAAGAATCTCCCGGAAAAGAGTACACACGACAGTACGAGTCGTCTCATCTGCCGTCGTACTCGTACACTCAAGGCCAATATATGTCCCCTCAACCTGGCTCTTCCCAGCATCAACAGTACGCCTACCCTTACGGTGCGTATCCCTACCAACCTACCGCTACTCCGTTCTACCCTGCGCAACAACCTGTGATGGTGAATACACAAACTCCGCAGGCTCCTCCTCCCAAACAAATCATGGTCCAGCATCGAAACGTTTCGCCACTGGCGTACAAGCTATCGCAGCAGCTGCCCACGCCGCCGTTTTCCCGGCTGGAGCCGTCCGAGGAGTCGTTGCGCCAGCAGCCCACGAAACGCATGAAACGCAAGTCCAAGTTCACCAAGGAGCAAGACGACCTGATCATCGAGCTGAAAAAGGCCGGCAAATCGTGGGTGGAGATTGCCGAGCAGGCGAACACCGGCACTTATCTTGCAGCGCGCAACAGATACCAGGTGCTGATTGGGCAGCAGGGAGGCGGAAGCAGCGACTGCGGGCCCGAGGACGTGATGGAACTACGCCACGTCGCAGACCAAGGCGAGATGGAAAAAATCCGATATCTTGTGCGAGAGTTTGAGAAAAATACCGGCAAGGCTGTTGACCAGAAACAGATCCGGGAGTTTTTACGGTACTTGTTCTGGAAAGATCCGACGTTTTTTGATGTTGACGAGACTTATCTGGCCGAGCTTCTTCAAATACAGGCCAGCCGATAACAAATCAGGTCCTAAAACCTAGACTCGTTTATTCACCGGTCTCGCTTCTGCATGTGTTCTATTTTACCATATTGCGATTCAAAATTCTGCATGTATGGTGCCAAGCGTGGACTTTATTCCAAATCAAGAAACTATTTTATGTGCGGACATTTAAAAAAATGTGATGGCAATTCCAAGGTCGGTCGTCCCCAAAAGTCTTGCGCCGATCGGCCGCCTAATTTATTTTAGGCTGCCACACACACTTTAACTTCCCCTTTTGTTTTAATAATCTATCATTTACTCTCAACAAAGATCACTCCTCCGCCCATCATGTCTGCGTATGCGCTTCTCCTATTGGAGGATTCCTACTTGCCGGGCATTCTGGCCGTGTCGTCAGCGTTAACCGCCACTTCCACCAAATTCCCCCTCGTTTTACTCTATTCGGACAAAAACATTGACCAAAACATTGTCAAGTTGCTCATTGCCTCCGGCCTATTTGCCCAGCTCATCAACATTGACAACGGCCTTTTACCTTCTAACTCCCCGCACACCTTGGATAACGTCCTCAAGAGACCAGAGTTGTCCTTGACAATCTCAAAGATAAACCTCTGGAAGCTGACACAGTTTTCCAAACTAGTTTATCTAGACGCCGATACTCTCCCGCTGCAAAACCTGGACCATCTTTTCGACTTGGAGTTCAGTTCTAACCAAATTGTGGCCGCCTCAGACATCGGCTGGCCGGACCTTTTCAACACGGGTGTTTTCGTTCTACAACCAAACCTCGCTGTTTACAAGGACTTATTGCAATTATACGAGTCCACAGAATCCTTTGATGGAGCAGACCAAGGACTGCTTAACGAACATTTCAACCCAGACCTATACCATGGAGGAGTTTCCAATTGGATAAGGCTACCATTCATCTACAACTGTACTCTTAACTCTCATTACGAATACTTCCCTGCCTTGCAAAGATACTCGCACGACGTCAAGTTGTTTCATTTCATCGGTAGCAAGAAACCGTGGCACCCGCATGCCAAGGGTCTAAAAGACGACCCCACTTTGTTCAAAGTCTCGGGAAATCAGAACGTTTACCAGCTGTGGTCCCAGGCCTACGAAAAAGTGACCATTGACGGCAAATCTCACATTGACATTCTCCGGCTCAGTAGAAATCTCCAGCCAGAGCCAAATTGGGAGTCTGTGGCCGCGGTGCAGACTCCTGTTCACCCTCAGTTTTACTACAAGAAACCAGAATCTGTGCCCGACTCGTACTCCCCTTCGCACGGAGAGGCCTGGAAGCTCAAGGACTCCAAGATATCCAACAAATGGGACAAGACTGGTGGATCAGACGATGATCTTGATGCTGAGAAGCTTGTGAAATCGCTGTCGCAGCTGGACGTGGCCAGTCCCGAAGACACTTACGCAACCTCGCATCCGGTTTTCCCATGGGAGAAGTCCAGCCACAAGGTACAGACCACACGTTCGTTCCAACCGCAGTCTTTTTTCCCGAAACCATCCAATCCGTTCACGGCCTCGTTCGACAACGGCTCTGATCTCGAGAGCTACATAGCCAAGGAGGAACAGTCAAGCAGACCAGAAACGCTGGAGGAGATCAAACAAGACGAGAAGCTGGACGCGCTGGAATCGGAACAGCTGGACGCGCTGGAATAGTGTTTTACTACGACGAATTGAGATAATATCATTTATTGACTGGCTAGAAAAAAACTGTTGTCGTCTCGCTCAAGAAGCTTGCGGCACTCCGCCGACCACGGAAGGACCCTGTTGGACAGGAACAGGCACCGGGCCAGGGCCAGAAACAGGACCTGTTGACTGGTGCTGGGCGTTTCTGGCTCCAACGTTCTCTCTGAGAGCAGTGAGCTGCTTGGATCTGAAACCTTCGTAGTGGACCAGCGAGGTGCTCTCAATCAGGTCGTGGAGATGTGTTCTGGTGAGGAAGTCTCTGAGATAGACGAACTCGCACTGGGTCACGTCCTCGACGTTGATGAGTCCCCACTTGGTTCTTCTACCACGAACAACCTCACCGGCAGGGGTGGTGATGATGTCCTCGGAGCCAATGACAGCGAACGGAAGCAAAGATCTGATGTCGCTGTTGAGTTGGATTTCGTCGGCGGTAAGTCCATCCTCACCCAAAGAGTACTCGTACGGGTACATTCTGAAGTTGTAATGCTTGAACTGTTCTTGCAAGATGGACTTGAGGTTGGCTCTCTCTTCCAAAGTCAAGGTGTCTGCCTTTGCGATCAGAGGAACCACGTTGGCGACCTCGGTCAATTTCTTGAGGGCGATGATGTCCAGGTTCTTGAGTCCGTAGTTAGTTGGCTCGATAAAGTAGAGAATGCAATGGACTCTTGTGTCTTTAATGTACGACTCTCTAGTGGCGTTCAGTTCTTTTCTAAGGTACTGGTTTTGCTGGTCCTTGACGTACTTGAGAATAGGTTCCCAGCACTTCTCGTTGTTGACCTGGTCGCCAAATCCTGGGGTGTCGATCACGTTCAACGTGAGCTTGACGTTGTTTTCCACCAAGGTCCGGCTGGACACTTTCACTTCGCTTGTTTTATCAACAGGCTCATAGATCGACTTTCTACCGGTCGAATCAACAACATGGTGTGCAAACAACGTGTTCACCAAGGTGCTCTTTCCCAGCCCTGAATGGCCAACAACCATCACATTCAGCGTGAAGCCTCTCTTGAGCAATCTGTTCTCGATCTGTGTGGTGATGGTGTCGAATCCGACATAAGACTTTGGCTGGAGCAAGGAGCTGGCGTCTGGCGTGTTCTGGTACTCAGTCATATTTGGTTAGAAGGAATTTTAAACCGTACGTTGTCAAGATGAATCTTTATTTACACGCTCACTAGACGCGAAAAGCCAGCGGCGCACAAGAGACATGCACATGTGCACGGGCACGGGTTTTCTTAAAAAAGTTGGTCTGTAAGCAAAAAAAAAAAAGACTCGATAGTGTTTTGTTCATGTCGGTCGTTAATTACCACCCACTGGCCAATCTGGCGGCTAACTTATCCGCCAGATTGCTCAAATCTGCCGCTCTGGCTCAACCAGAGTCCCTGTGGGACCGCATACGCAGTCAGATCCCGGCCCGACTGTTGCCTGAGTTCAACGACAACGGACTCGTTCTTGCCGCCCCAAAGAAGAAGACATCCCACATGAAACGCCGTTTGCGTCTGTACACCCCAGGAAGCAAGCAGATCAAACCCAACAACAACCTCAACCGGTGTCCGTCGTGCGGAAACTACAAGAGATCGCATTTTCTTTGCATGTCGTGCTTTTTCGAAATCAAGCAGCTCTGGAGCGAGCAGACCGAGAAACCGCCAGTTTACAAGGAAGAATTCGCCAACCCAGCCGATGAGCGTGTTCTATACCCAAAGACCTACGAGAGAATCACCGATAAGAGGCTCCGGTTGAAGGATTATGTCGAGAAACGGCCAAAGACCTTGCCTGTTGAAAAATAAGTCTGTACATAGATCGACGCGTCGAAAATGAAAATTGATAAAAAAATATGTTAAAAAATTTATAGATCATGCCAGAACTGGTTCAGCAGTCCAGGAAGCGGCAGAGGTCCGTCAAACCGGGATCTGTTCATCCGTACGCGATTCCACCGTCGCTATCTCTTCAGATGGTGAGCCACCCTTTGGGGGTGCGACCTGCAGGCAACCTTTTTCTGGCCGGAGATAAAGCTGCAGAACAGTTGCACCGGTCCATGGGCGACTTTGCGGCGTTTCCCGAGGAACTGATCATGCAGATAGTTGAGGAACTGGACTCTGTGCGCGATTTGATCAGTTTGATGAAATCATCGCGCTTTTTCTACGCATTTACCAGCTTCGACGAGCTTTGGAAGCAGATGTACTTAAAGGGCCAGACATTTGACCGTTGGCGCGGCAGCTGGAAGACCAGCATTCTGCGCACGTCACAGACGTTAGTCGACTGCAGCATTGTGCACTCAGACTTGTTATTTGTGCCGTACCAGAACTCGCACGTTGATTATCACAAATTATTCGAGCCAATAATAGCAGACGAGACCAGGCGCCAGTCGGAGGTTCTCGACGCCGCAAACGATATCCCATACACTGGGTCGATTCCGCGTGTTTCAGAGTCATCGCTCACGCCTGAAAGGTTTGCCTCGTCGTTCCATGATCGGCCGTTTATTCTCAAGTCGAAAAACCCAGCCCGTTGGCCCAACTGGACGCTAGACACCCTGAGCCAGCGGTTTCAGGACGTTTCTTTCCGCCAAGAGTGTGTAGACTGGCCATTACGGCTATACACAGAGTACTGTGCCAACAATCTGGACGAGTCGCCGCTTTATCTGTTTGATTGCAACTCGGAAGCCATGCAGCAGCTGAAAAACGAGTTTGCCAGACCTGCCGTGTTTTCCGACGACATGTTTGACGTATTCACACGCCACGGTCTCTCGTGCCGCCCGGACCACACGTGGCTGATCATGGGCCCGCACCGGTCGGGCTCCACGTTCCACAAGGACCCTAACAACACGTCTGCGTGGAACACCGTGCTGGACGGGTCCAAGCTGTGGATCATGCTGCCGCCGCACGTGACGCCGCCCGGGGTGCACACGAACGAGGACGAGAGCGAGGTGACGTCGCCGCTGGGACTGGCCGAGTGGGTGTTGTCTGGGTTCTTCAACGATACACTCAAAATTGCGCGCGAAGAGCCCCGCTGCACCATAGGGATCACGTTCCCTGGCGAGTGTATACACGTCCCTGCCGGATGGTGGCACATGGTGATCAACCTGGAGGACTCTGTGGCCTTGACTGCGAACTTTGTGCCCGAGTGCAAGCTCGAGGAGGTGGCCCGGTTCTTCAGAGACAAGCCTGACCAGATCTCCGGCTTCCATGCGGCCACGGTGCTGGAATTTGTGCGCAAGTGCGTTGATGCTGGCGAGATGGATACAGAGATCTTGCGGCAGGTCGGCGAGGTCGATTCGAACGAGGACGTGGGCGAGTCTGGCGTCGAGCTACCAATCTACGACATTTTTCACCGTCTGCTACAACTCAACGGCAGAGAGCTCAAACAGCCTAAAAACGCATGGAAAACCCTCACGCAGCAAGCGACCGGGTTCAAGTTTGCCATGGACTTCGAATAGAACGTGAAACGTCGTTAATCTATACATGGTCTATGAATTCTTGTTAAGTAATGCACTAACATTTTCGTACACTCCAAGGAAGATTGCGCCGCCTGCGCTGATCCACATGGTGCGGGGCCCGATTCCGCGCATAAACGCAGAATACCCCTCGTTCTGTGCGATCGACTTGGCCAGACTCCAGACCCCGACCTTGCCCTCGCTCAGCATGAGTCTTGTTTTCAGCAAGTCCAAGGGAGTGGTAGCTGCCGCAGCCACACCACCAGCCACAGACCCGCAGACAGCTCCTTTTGCCGGGGACAGAACGGTGTCCTGACTCCACAGAGATTTCAGGTACTCGTACAAGGGGAACTGGATGATGGTGAACGGGATCTCGCGCATGATCGTGGTGCTCCACCCTCTGTACAAACCGCGCAGAACACCTTCCCCGGATTTGTTTCCGAGGATGTGGCGCAGTGCCTGTGCAGAGGTGTTGAATTTCAACGACTGAGTTCTCTGTTTGATCACCTCTGCAGGGACTCTGACCAAGCAGGCGGCGATTTCGCCGCAGGAGGCACTAATCATGTGGCACACGGCAGCCGGCGTGTTTGTGGAGAGCAACTGGCGTTTAAGGGTATCGTAGGTGACGAAAAATAGCGCTGCAGACGGAGCAGAAGCCACAACAGCAGAAGCTAGTCCCCGATAAAGGCCCCGAAACCCCCCGTTGTGCAGAAATCCGCCATGGGCCTGGAGACGGGTCTTGATGGTGTCAATTGGAAAGAACGCGAGGTCGGTGGCTGTTCCCGCAGCCCCGCCACTAACGAGAGATATGGTGAACTCGTTCATTAACTCACGTCGGCTTTTTTTTTTCACTCGGTGATTTTTTTGATAGACGTACGTCGGAAAGGCAAAAAAAATAATCTTGAATTTTATTTGTAATCCGTTATCATGTTCAAGTTAAGAGTTGGCGTTAGTGCAAGACGTTTTTCCGTTTCGGCGCTACGCTCCACTTCTTCCAGCGGAGTGCAACAGGCAATGCCTCTTTCCGCGGCACAGCCTCCGCAGGGCTCGCCGGTTTCGTTGAAGACGGCAACAAGAGACCCCTCATTGTACGGATCAAAACCGATCTATTTGGACATGCAGGCCACCACGCCAACAGACCCTCGTGTCTTGGACAAGATGCTTGAGTTTTACACGGGCTTGTATGGTAACCCCCACTCATCCACCCATGCTTATGGATGGGAAACCGATGCTGAGGTGGAGAAGGCCAGACAGCATGTTGCTGCCGTGATCGGGGCCGACCCTAAGGAGATCATTTTCACGTCCGGTGCCACTGAGTGTAACAACATGGCTCTGAAAGGTGTTGCTCGGTTCTACGGAAAGACCAAAAAACATATCATCACCACTCAGACAGAACACAAGTGTGTTTTGGACTCGTGCAGACATTTGCAAGATGAAGGGTTCGAGGTGACGTATTTGCCGGTTAACACAGACGGACTGATTGATTTGGAGCTGCTGGAGAAAAGCATCAGAAAAGATACCTGTCTTGTTTCTGTTATGGCCGTGAACAACGAGATCGGTGTGATACAGCCATTGGAGGAGATTGGCCGTATTTGTCGGTCCAAGAAGGTGTTTTTCCACACCGATGGAGCTCAGGCTTACGGGAAGATCCCAATCGACGTCAACAAATGCAACATTGACTTGATGTCGATTTCGTCGCACAAGATCTACGGTCCTATGGGTGTTGGAGCCACGTTTGTGCGTAGACGGCCGAGAGTCCGGTTGGACCCTATCATCAACGGAGGAGGCCAGGAGCGTGGTCTGAGATCCGGAACACTTGCTCCCCCTCTTGTTTGCGGATTCGGAGAGGCTGCCAGACTGATGGTGCAGGAGTATGAGTCGGACAAGCAGCACATCACTGCTTTGAGTAACAAGCTGATGGACTCGTTGCTTTCTATGGAACACACACAACTGAACGGATCCAAGGAGCACAGATACCCTGGCTGTGTGAACGTTTCGTTTGCGTACATCGAGGGTGAGTCACTTTTGATGGCTTTGAAAGATATCGCCCTGTCTTCGGGATCTGCATGCACGTCTGCGTCGCTGGAGCCATCGTATGTGCTGCATGCTCTGGGAGCAGATGATGCTCTTGCACACTCTTCGATCAGATTCGGTGTTGGAAGATTCACCACCCAAGCAGAGATCGACTATGTTGTGCAAGCCCTGACAGAGAGAGTCAAGTTCCTACGGGAGTTGAGTCCACTATGGGAGATGGTTAATGAGGGAATTGATTTGGACTCGATCGAATGGGCAGGACATTGAGTTTATTAAAATAGTGTTTATATATGCAATGTTATTCATCGTCGCTGAGATCTGGGTTTATGACTCGGAGGCCGCCTTGACGAGGGGCTTTTTGTGCTCCTGCGCCGGCTGCTGCGTCTGGTAGCGAGCCGTCACTGAATCTTCTGGAGGTGCCGGGCATATCTAGTCTATCGTCCTCCGACATGAATCCAAAAGCGTTTGCACCGATTGCGCCACGAGCAGTTCCTGGTGGAGGTGGCGGTGACGAGGCCAGGATGCTGGATGCTCTCTTTTCGCTAGCGTCGTCCGGGTCTTCGCGGGACCGTCTGAGCCAGAAGAAGAGGAAGAGCAGGGCGCCAAGGAGCAGCACGCCGACGATCACGCCGACCGCGATTCCTGCCTTTGCGCCCTTGCTGAGTCCTGAGGATTTGCGGTTGGTGGAGGAGGAGTCTGTGGCTGACGCCGATGCGGTTGGCGAGGCCACGACGGACTCGGTGGAGTAGATCACGGAGGTGTGTGTTTGTTCTGGGGACACCGATGTGGTGACAAAGACTGTTTCTGAGGGGTTTGTGGAGGTGGAGCTGGAGGAGGAGGAGGTCGTGGAGGACACACTGGAGGAGGAGCTGGAAGAACTCGAAGAGGAGGAGGAGGAGGAGGTGGTGGAGCTGGACGACGTTGTTGAGCTGGACGAGGTGGAGGAGCTGCTGGTGATGCTGCTGGACGAGGAGGAACTTGACGAGGTGGAAGTAGAGGAACTGGAGCTTGTAGTGGAGGAGCTGGAGCTGGAGCTGGAGCTGGAAGTGCTGGAGGTAGTAGTACTGGATGCCTCTGTGCTGGATTCCGCCTGCGTACTGCTTTCTGCCTGTGTGCTGCTCTCGGCCTGTGTGCTGCTGTCCGCCTCGGTAGAACTGCTCTCTGAGACCTCATCCTCGTCCACGTAGACAGAGTACGAGTCGTCGCCACCACACTTTTCCGATGGGTATCCCGTGCACGAAGTGTCGCAGGTCCCGTCGCCGTCGCCGGACGGCACCTCGTCTCCGCAGTAGCACTGGTTTCCACCCTTCATGGCAGCAACAGCGTGGCCTGAGCACTGCTGTTTGCAATGGCTCGAGCTCTGCCATGTGTAAGTGTCAGACTGCAACAGCCCCGAAACAGACGAGTAGCAGCCCAAGTACGAAAAGTCCGCAAGGACACAGCTTGCTAGAAGTACAAGATTGAGTCTCATGTTGACATTGAAGATAAAAATAAACAATAGAAAATCGCGTCGAAAAAATCAAATGTGGTGTGAGGGGTCGTCCGAATCTGGAAACGTTCAAGATCCACTATATACGGTTGGAAACTCAGTTCTTGATGAGCTTGAGCACCTCCTGAACGACGGCGTCGCCGACTTCTTGAGTGGACGATGATCCGCCCAGGTCGCCGGTCATGATGCCGTTGTCCAGAACAGTCTTGACGGCCTGTTCAATGGCTCTTCCTTCTGGAACCATGTCCAGAGACAGCTTGAGCATCATGGCTGCCGATAAGATCGTGGCGAGAGGGTTGGCTTTTCCTGGAGCCAAATCTGGGGCAGAGCCGTGGCATGGCTCGTACAATCCAAACGCCTTGTTGGTGTCTGGCAGCGAGGCCAAAGAAGCAGATGGTAGCAGTCCCAAAGAACCAGGAATCACGCTCGCCTCGTCACTGATGATGTCGCCAAACATGTTGTTGGTGACCACCACTCCGTTCAGCTTGGTTGGCGACTTGACCAGGATCATGGCGGCCGAGTCGATCAGCTGGTGTTGCACCGTCAGTTGCGGGAACTCTTTGGAGATGACGTTGTCCACGGTCTTTCTCCACAAACGCGACGAGGCCAGCACATTGGCCTTGTCGAGCGACCACACAGGAAGCGGTGGGTCGTTTTGCAAGGCCAGGAAAGCTGCCATCCGGGTGATTCTCTCAACCTCAGCCACGGAGTACGTTTCGGAGTCACTGGCAACACCGTCGCCTGTGTCCTCCTTACGGTCGCCAAAGTAGATTCCTCCAACCAGCTCACGAACAACAACGAAGTCCGTTCCCTTGACGATCTCCGACTTGAGCGGCGACAACTTCAACAAGGCGTCCGAAGCAAAGTTGCATGGACGCAGATTGGCGTACAGGTTCAGCTCCTTTCTGATCTTGAGCAGTCCCTGTTCAGGACGCACGGAGCCGGTTCCCCACTTGGGACCGCCAACAGCTCCCAACAGCACGGCGTCGGCCTTCTTGGCGGCCTTCAGGGCCTCGTCAGACAGAGGAACGCCGGTGGCATCGATCGAGGCACCGCCGATCAGATGCGTGGAGAACTGGAACTCGACGCCGCTGGCCTTGGACACGGCCTGCAACACCTTGACGGCCTCATCAATCACCTCGGGACCCACATGGTCGCCGGGAAGTAGCACAATGTTCTTGGTCATGGTTAGTAATTTAGTCAACTATTTCTGCCGGTACCGGTGTGAAAATTCGCAGGACAGGATTTTGTGCAATTCGTGTAAGCGCTTACGTCACCACATCGACCGACAAAAGCTTGATAATATTGCGAAAATAAAACAAAAGCACAAACCAGTAGAGGACTCGAGTGATATGTCAAGTTCTGGACCGATAATTGAGGTGTCTACGGAATTGAAACAGAAAGTTTTTGGCGACGACCAAGTGATACCCGAGTTTGCGCAAGAGTCCCAAGCTGGCGAGTCTTTTGCGCACATTAACCAGTGGAAAGAGTTAGGTGCTTATTTGGAAGGGTTACAGCGGATAACCCCTGGAAGCTCCGATCTGGACAATCTCGAGCTCAGTTCGAAGAACCCGCTCAACAAGCCTGTGGTGTACCGGATCTGCAACCATTGCGACCGGCCCATCCTCGAGACTTATTTGGGCGACCATATAAAGAGCTGTGCAAACAAGAAACACACCAAGACCACCCCGAAACAGGCCAACGGCAACGGGGTCACAGCAGAAATGAAGAAACGGCGGTTGGAAGAGACCAAGGAGGCCGCTGTCAGCTCCACAGACACGCCGGAGCCAGAAGAGGCCAAGCTGAACGGTGCTGCCAAGAAACAGAAGGTTGTCAAGCCGGTGAAGGAGAAGAAGGTGAAGAAGAGCGCGAAGGAGAAGAAGGTCACGGGCAAGCCCAAGGGTCCTGTGGACGTGGAGAAGCAGTGTGGTGTTCCGTTGCCGAACGGCGGATTCTGTGCTCGGTCGCTCACTTGTAAAACGCACTCCATGGGGGCCAAGCGGGCAGTTCCTGGCCGGAGCGCGCCGTACGACCAGCTGCTGGCGGCGTACCAGCGCAAGAACCAGGCCAAGATCGGCGCTGCGGCCGCTGCCGCTCAACAGGCCCAGGACGACCTCATGCACGGGTCTGCTGTTTTGCTGGACGACGAGGAAGAAACACACCAGGTTCTGGACGGCGTGACGCGGTCGACGCCGTGGCCGCTGGAGCGCAAGGTCATCATGCCGACCAAGATCCGCAACTCGTTCCTGCGCATGCGGGAGATGTTTGCGGGAGCCATTCTGCCCCGCATGCCGTCAAACCCGCTGGGCCAGATGCAGGGAAGAACGGCTGTGGTGGACATCGACAAGACTACCGAGTACGTGCATCCTGTGCGGTCGCAGCACCAGCGGGTGAGCAGCTCCTCGCAGGCACGGCCTACGGTGCCGATGGCCAAAACAGGCTCGCAGGGTCCGGTGGACGTGCAGTCGCAGATCTCTGCCCAGGCCCAGCTACTTGCACAGCAACAACAGCAGCTGAGACTGGCACAGGCAAAGAAACAACAACAACAGCAACAGGCGCAGATGCAGGCCAAGTTCCAGACCCAGCAGCTGGCTGCGGGAATGGCCAACTCCCAGGACAAGCAGCCTGTCCAGCTGACTCCCCAGCAACAGCAGCAGATGATGATGAGACGGAGAATGTATCTACAACAGCAGTCGCAACAGCTACGCCAACAACAACAGCAGTACATGAACCCTCAGTACAAGAGCCAGCAGGAGATGATGATGAACCAACGGCAGCAATAAGTACTAGAGCTATTAATATGTGGTTTTTTATTTTATTTAGAGCTTAATTATGAAAAATGGTTAAAATAATTTTCTTATCATGTCTTTACCAAAGAGAATTATCAGAGTAGGTATTACTTTTAGGATTATCTGGCGCTAACTTGAAGGAAACCGAGCGGCTAGTATCCGACCCTGTTCCAGGGATCACCGCGATCCCGCACGAGGACAATTTGCGGTACTTTAATGTCACCATCGACGGGCCATCAGGGTCGCCGTACGAGGGAGGCAAATTCAAGCTGGAGCTGTTTCTACCAGACGATTACCCAATGGTGGCTCCTAAAGTGCGGTTCTTGACGAAAATATACCATCCAAACATCGATAGACTCGGCCGGATCTGTTTGGACGTGCTCAAGGCCAACTGGTCCCCCGCTTTACAGGTGCGGACGATTTTGCTGTCGATCCAGGCCCTGCTCAGCTCGCCAAACCCAGACGACCCATTGGCCAATGAGGTGGCCGAGGATTGGAAAAACGACGAGCAGAACGCCATTAAAACTGCCAAACAGTGGACAGAAACTTACGCTGTCTAACTACATCCGTGCCTCGCGAACGGCACCGCTCACAGCAACATCGCCCGACCACACCCGCGCCAGCACGTCGCTGAAGTCGCCAACATACACAATCTCCAGCCCCAGGCTGTCCTGGACCCATTTCTCGGGCTCGCCAAAAACAGCGTCCCCGGCAGGCAGCAGCTGCTCCTCCTGTTCCAGAAGCTTGGCCATCAGCTCTTTGGCAAACGTGCGGTCCTTCATGTTGTAGATATAGTCTTCAATCACATCTTTGCGGTTCTGTCGTGGAAGTAGCACCCGGTCCACCTTTCCGGCCAGGTGTGCACCCAGTAGTTTCTCGCGCACCCCGCCGATCGGCAGCACTTTTCCTGTCAGGGTGATTTCACCCGTCATGGCCAGATTATCCGGCACCTTGCGTTGCAAAACAAGCGACAACAAACACAATGTCATGGTGATTCCGGCAGACGGCCCGTCTTTCGAAATCGCTCCTTCCGGAACGTGCAAATGAACACTCAGGTTTTCGTACCGTTTAAGCAACTCGTCTCGATAGTCCTGTGTTCCAACAATTAGATTGTTGTGCAACATGTATCCGACCAACGTGTTGGCGATCTGCGAGCTCTCCAGCAGCACACTTCCCAGCCGTCCCGTGCAATTCATGTTCTGCGACCCAGGAAGTCCAACCATCTCGAACCGCAAAAGCGACCCGGATCCGTCAGTGTTGTACGACAGTCCGTTCACCACGCCGTACTCGTTCTGAAGCTTGGTCTCCTCCAGCGACGTGTTGCGCAGATGGGTAGGAACGCCCAGGTATTTTGCAAGGTCGTGCACGGCCACAGTGTGCGAGTACTCGCCCAGCTGCGACTCAATGGCCTTGCCCCGACAAATGGCACCAATCAACCGCTCCAGGTTCCGGATACCGGCCTCTCTTGTGTATCCGGTAGCAATCTTGAGGATAGCCGCGTCATCCAGACGCACAGAGTCGTTGGGCAAGCCGGCTCTCTCGATCTGACGAGGAATGATGTATTTCTTGCAAATCTCCACTTTTTCCCGGTAAGTGTACCCTGCCAGCTCGATCACCTCCATACGGTCGCGCAAAGGGTCGCTCAGCTCCCATAAATCGTTCGCCGTGCACACAAACAGCACCTGCGACAAGTCCACGGGGAATCCAAGATAATGGTCCTGGAAGCTGGTGTTTTGCTCCGGGTCGAGAATCTCTAACAGAGCAGATTCGGAATCGCTCTTGCGCGAGTTGGACCCGAGCTTGTCGACCTCATCCAGGAGAATCACCGGGTTCATCGACTGGCTGCGTCTGAGCGCCTGGATGACCAAACCTGGAATTGCCCCGACGTAGGTTCGACGATGTCCTTTCAAGTCAGCATAGTTGTTCAGACCGCCCACGCTTATGCGCTGGAACTTGCGGCCAAGCGTGCCTGCGATCGACTTGGCAAGAGACGTTTTCCCCACGCCGGGTGGTCCTGTTAGCAGGAGAATCGGTGCTTTCAAAGATGGTTGCACAGGTTTGGTAGCAACGTCGTCAGAAATAAACTCCGGCTCCGCTTTGGAAACGTTGCGGTTGTGCAGGTTCAGAACAGCCAGATACTCGAGAATACGCTCCTTTGCGCTCTCCATGCCGTAATGGTCGGCGTCCAATTGCTGTTTGGCCTTGGAAAGGTCCATGTCTTGGAAACTGATCTCGGTATCGTCTCTTTGCCACGGCATGTCCATCACCACCTCTAGGTACGTTCTTAGAACCTGGTACTCCGACGAGCTGGATTGCATCTGTTTCAAGCGCTGGAAGTCCTTTGTGATGAGCCGTTTTCCGTCGTCGTTGATTGCGAAATGGTCGATCGACTCGATGAACTGCTGGAACGGTTTCAAGTCGTCGTCCTCTTCGTCCTGGGCCCTGCGAGCCGACGGTTTGGCCAACCCAATCTGTTCCACCAACGCACGCAGGTTTTTCAGGTGGCTCGATATGAATTGCGACCGCGCAAGGTTGCCGTGGGACTTGCCGTTCTTGAGATCCAGATCAGACCATATTTCGTTCAGATAGTCCACATTGAGCTGTTCTTCAAACACTCTGTTTGCAAAGTCGAGGGCCTTGAGCAGAACACCGACGCGGTCTTCCTGTACGCTTTGCAAATACTCCAGCTTCAAACTTACCGGGAACGGGAACAGGGCCACCAGGACGTCGTTGTAGTGGCCGAAGTTGCCTGTTTTGCGGGCATACACTTTCTTCAGGTTCGCGAGACCGCTGGAAACGTCAGACGCAGAGAGCTGGTTGTAGAGCAGCGTGGCCAACGGCAATAGCCGCAATAAAATCGATTTCGCGTTTGAGTCTCCGTCAGAGGCTCCATTTTTGTACTCGGCTAGAAACCCGTCAACGTTTGTGAATAGCCGCTCAAACTGCGACATGTCGGCGATTTCCTGGTGATTGGTCAGCTCCAGGTCAACATGAACCTTTTGGTTCTCGACCTGGACGACTCTGCCTCGCGTTAAGGCCTTGAAGCTGATTAATGTAGATTCGGTCATCTGGTAGAACCCAGTCACCACACAGACCGTGCAGGTTTCCGCCTTGTCCACTCCGGGCATACACGCCACGATCCGGCGGGTGGCCACGTTGAACTGCGCGCTAAGCGCAGAAATGGCGTCTGTGTTGGACTCTGCAAGCCATCTCTTTGCCAGCTCGCTAGCTAGTTGTTTATCAACAAGGACTCGATATGTGATTCCCGGTAAAAACACCAAATTATGCTGTAATTGATACAACGGCAGCTGGAACTGCAAACCAGAGCTCTTGGAAGACATGGATATTACTAAAACAGTCTCGAAACAAGAGAAATATGGGGTTATTTAAACAAACTGATTAGCGGATGAGATTTCCTAAATCGGATAAACAGGAGTCGCACACGACTCAAACTTTATTTTTTTCAAACTTAGCTATACACCATCAGAGAAATGAATACTTATGCCAACATGCTACCACTCTAGAACCAGCAATGAAAACTCGAACAAACGACTTGGGGAAATATGATTATTTGATAAGATCCAAAATTTGCTGTGTCAAGTTCGAGATTTCGTCGCCCCCATTGAAGTCTTCTCCTGTCAGGTTGTTGAGATTCATCTTGCCTCTGTTGATTTCGCTTTTGATCTTGGACTTTATTTCCTGGTTGTTCGACTCCAGCAGTTGCAGCATTGTCCAGAGCGCAATGTGCTCGAAGGTCGAGTTGCCCGAGTTCAAGAACTCCGAGATGAAGTTGGAGATCCCGTCGTAGTTGTCCAAAATGATCTTGTAGTCCTGGATTCTCGAACACAAGTTCGCCAGCGCAGCAGCAGAGTTGCCGCACACCTCAGGGTTCGACGACTTGGTCAGCGGAATTAGCACGTCCATGATCCCCAGGTCGAGGAGTTTGGCCTTTAGGTCGTCTGCGAGTGCCAGAATAGCAAAACATGCAGAGATCTCGCTCTGAACGCTTTCTGGAGCTTGCAAAACCAGCTCCTTGCACTTCTTCACCGCGCCGGCCTCCAGCAATTCCATTCTGTTCCGCTCGCTGCTGGCTGCCAGGTTTCTGAGCGTAGAAACCGCATGACATTGGATCTCGATCGAGTCCGTGTAGTCAACAAGATTAACCAAAGGCTTCAAGAATCCAGCATCGATGATCAGCGCCTCGTTCATCGGATGTATGGAGATGTTGCGGATGCATGCTACCGCAGCAAGAACCAGAGGCTCGTGCTGAGACTTGAGCAAAGACACGAGGTTCGGCAGTCCACCAGCCCGAACTATCTCTAGTTGGTACAACGCGTCGGATGCCAAGTTTCTGAGGGCCAACGTGGCCTGGCATTGCACTCGAGGACTCGACGAGTCCATCAGCTGGACCAGCTGGCTCACCAATTTGGGTTCGGTGGTGGCCAATTTCTTTCTGTTTGACTCGTCCACCGCGATGTTGGACAGAGCAGTAGTACAGTAGTACTGGACGTCAGGGTCGGGCGAGGACAGCAATTGGACCAGCACCGGGACGGAACCGGCCTCGACCAGCTCTTTGCGATTTTCCAGCGAATGGGTCATGTTCAGCAGGGCGCCGGTGGCATTTCTTTGCACTCTAAGATCTGGAGACTTTGCAAGTTTGGTGAGTGGGATAAGGGCGCCGGATGTGGCGATTTTGGTTTTGTTTTTGTCCTGTGTGGCCAGGTTGGTGATGCATCCCACTGCGTTGCACTGGACTTCGATGTTGGAGCTCATCATTTGTCTAATAAGGGGCACCAGCCCACCCATCTCGACTATAAGCACTTTGTTTTCGTCGTTGACAGCCATGTTTCCCAACGCGGCACAGGCTGCGCGCTGAACGTCCTGGTCGGAGCTCTGCAGCAGAATCAGAATTGGCTCCAGGACGTCTCTTGACACGGCCCGAATGTCCTTTTCTGTGATTTCCGCAAATGCCAACGCTGCACTTCGTTGGAGGTCAATGTTATCTGAGTACACCAGAGTGCTCAGCGCCTTGAGAGGCCCGTCAGAGAAGAAATCCACCTCTCCTCGGTTCTCCAGGTACTGCAACAGCGCGGAAATCGCGTCGCGCTCGTTGTCGGCCAGCAATTGTGGGTACAAATTGTCATGGTCACTTTTACTACAACAACAGCCCATTTTCGTGCCACTTTGGAGTTCTTGTTCAAATTATCGTCTGGTAAACTTGTCTATTGCGGCTAATTCGTGGTCGGGGAGTAACAGCTCTTTCCACTTAACCGCTTCTCATAAGATGGAAACTGCGCACGTCTTATCCGATTATTCTGTTTAAACAAAATTTTATGAGGGCAATATGGGTAGTGAGCCACCCAAGATAAGCTGAATTACCGAATATTACAACAGATGCTAGTACATGTTTGCGAAGCTCTTGGGTTTCTGTTTTGGCGCGATGGACGGGGTGGCCGGTTTCTTGGTGAACGGGTCTGGCTTTGTCCCGTATGATTGCGCCTCTTGCGGAGCTCGTTTAGGCGACCTGTCTCTGGTGGCTTCCTGTCTCAGCTTTTCTCTGTAGACGGCGACTTTCTCGTCTAGTTCCGCTCCCTCGACTCCCTGGTCCTCCAATTCGTCCATGTACTCGGCCACCTTGAGCTCGATCGCGCGCTTGCGCTCGTGGCTGGCGATCTCGCGGTCCCGCACCGCCACGCCGTCTCGCTTGTGCTGGCTCTGTTCGCTCTTCTGCCGCAACTGGCGCTTCAGGTACTGTTTGCCGCCGCTCTCGTCGATCCGCGAGTCCCCGTACACGTTTGTCAGGTTCCGCTGGACGTACCCGTTCGTGCCCGACCCTCTGGCCGTGCTCAGTCCAATCCCATTGTACATTAGGTATTTGGATAATTTTTTCTCGCCCGGGCTGTGCAGTTTGAATGGTAGCTACGGGTCTTGCTCCACTGCGGATTTGATGTCTGCAAGGATCTGGCGGCGCAGAAGCCCGCTTATTGGCCGGATCAGCAGCCAGTACGGTAGAAATTTCAGCCACGACGTCCAGTCGGGACAGTACACGCGCGACTCCGTGGTGAACTGTGTTTCTGAGGCACAGAAAGTGAGAGCCAGTTTGGCCACGCCTGGCTCGTTTGCACGGACAAACTCGTCGCCGTTTTGCACTGGCTCAAGCCCAAAGTCTAGAGCCCAGAACCGGCCAACAAGGCCATACACGATCTCCGTTTTGGACTGTTCCAGAACGGTGAACGTGGTGAAATCAAACGGTTTGGCCGGCTTGGATCTTCCAAACAGACGAGCCAGTAATTTTTGGGGCAGTTCTCTCAGGAAGATAGCAATGACAAACAGCCGGTTGTTCTGGAGTCGGTACCGTAGAAACTCCTGCATAATTCGCTCCGGCGACGCTTGGATGCGGATACAGTGTTTCTCGCTGAAACTGAAGAGCGGGAGGTACTTGGAAATGAGCATGGGGGCAGAAATAATTGTAAGTACAATTCGGCTTACGTACAGAGACAGCAGGAAGCGACCTGATTGGTTAGACCAGCGATGGGACGATCGTCAAAGTAGTAAACAGAGAGTGGTACAGCTACTTGTTGTACGTTCATTGAACACTTTCTGCTTGTGAATCTCGTGTTACCCTAACTCACTCTCCCTTGGCTTAAATACTTCCGGCTCCAAAATTTCTCCCGGCTGTGCAAATCATCATGTCTCAGCAGATGCTCAGCAAGTGGGTCAAACGCGAGCCGGGCGTGTCGAGCGAGCAAGGACCGCCGCCAAACAGCTCCAGCAACGCTCCAGCGGCATCTCGCGCCGCCAAACCGGCCGTGGCGTCGATTGACGCGTACAAGTACTCGCCAGCGAAAAGAGACCCGTACCGGTCAAAGTACGCCGCCAGAATGAAAGGGTACGCTGTGGGCGGGTCCAAACGCAGTGCCAGCACAGAGGAAGACGAAGACGCCCCGAAACGCGCAAAAACTACAAAGTTGACCCCGCTCGAACAGCAGATCTACGACCTCAAGCAGAACAACAAGGACAAGCTCCTGGCCGTCCAGGTTGGATACAAGTACAAGTTCTTTGGACAGGACGCGCAGGTGGCATCACAGGTACTGAATATCATGTTTATTCCCGGGCGACTGTTTGGTTCGGGCCCAAACGAGCTGTACGACAAATTCGCGTACTGTTCGATCCCAGACGTTCGATTGCACGTCCATCTCAAACGGCTGCTGAGCGCGGGCCACAAGGTTGCGATCGTGGACCAGGACGAGACGGCGGCCATCAAGTCTACTACTGCGTCGAAAAACAAGCTGTTCCAGCGCAAAATCAGCCGCGTGTACACTTCCTCGACATATATCGACGACGACCAAACTACCAGCGGCGGCCGGTTCGTGGTGGCCCTCAAGGAGACCGGCTCGCTCATATCGTTTGTGGCCGTGGACGTGTACTCGTCGGACATTGTCTACGACGAGTTCGAAGACACATTTGTTCGCGGCGAGCTGGAAACCAGACTGCACCATCTGGACCCTTCAGAGTTTCTACTTATTGGAGATCTTTCAAAAGAAACCGCCAAATCGCTCGAGCTGTTCAAAATGAATACCCGTGCCACCTCACAGACCCTCCGCACAGAGACCCGGCCTGTGCAGCCGTACACGGAGGTGACTGCCGTGCTGGACGCGAACCTGCACAACGAGGCCTTTGATCTGGTGACTAAATTGTCCACTGGACTACAAACGTGTTTTTCCGAGCTGATCGCGTACCTTGGCGACTTCAGTCTGGCGAGCGTATTTGATCTTGCGGAAAAGTACACGCACTTTGCACAGGTGGACCGGTGTATGATTCTGGACGCCAACACGTTGAAAAACCTCGAGATCTTTAAAAACTCCACAAACGGCCAGGAAACAGGCTCGTTGCTGTGGATGATGGACCACACGAAAACACGTTTCGGCCGCAGAGAGCTGCGGAGATGGATCGGCCGCCCGCTCACAGACAGAGAGGCCATTGCCGAGCGCGCAGACTCGGTCGAAAACATCGTCCAGAGCTACCAGTCGATCCCGATCGAGTCCACCGTGCGCATCCTCAAGGACTGTCCGGACCTCGAGACCGCGCTCAGCCGCGTCCACTACGGCCGGTCCAAGCGCAAGGAGGTGTTCCTGTTTCTGCGCAAGGTCAACGACATCCTGCAGTTCTACGGCACCCTTCCCGACCAGCTCAACCAGTACAGTCCGCACCTAGCGGGCATTTTCCGCGAGCTGAAACAGCTGGCCACCGTCAACCTCAAACAGGTACGCGAGTTGTTTGCCATGATCCACTCGCCCAGCGCGATCGACGACTCCAGCGACGAGCACGTGACCCGGTTCTTCAACACCAGTTTCTACAACCACGCCCAGATTCAGCACCATGTCGACAGCATCGCCGCAGTGGAGCAGCAATTGCAAGACGAGCTGAAGAACATCCGCGCCGTGATCAAACGGCCCGGTCTCAACTACATCACCAACAACAAGGAGCCGTACCTGATAGAAGTGCGCAACACGCAGGTTGCTACGCTACCAAAAGACTGGGTGAAGATCAACGGCACCAAGTCGGTTGGTCGGTTTAGAAGCCCCGCCACAGCCGCCCTGTACAAGCAAATCCAGCTCCACACGGAACTGCTGCTCAAACAGTGTGACGAGTGTTTCCAGGACTTTGTGTCCAAAATCGACGAGCATTACTTGCATCTAAACAGAACCATCCGTCAACTGGCGGTTTTGGACTGTTTGATTTCGCTTGGCGCGGCCTCGTCGCTCAGCCAGAACTACTCCAAGCCGCAGATCGTCGACGTGCCGTGCATCGACCTCAAGAACTCCAGAAACCCCATCTCTGAACACCTCAAGGCGTCCGGCTACATCGCCAACAGTTTCCATATGTCGCGCGAATCCGGCCGCATTGCCATCATCACGGGTCCAAACATGGGCGGCAAGTCGTCCTTCATCAGACAGGTGGCGTTGTGCGTCGTGATGGCCCAGGTCGGCGCTTTTATCCCGGCAGACCAAGGGTCCCGGCTCAGCATCTTCACCAACATCCTTACACGGATGGGAGCACAGGACGACCTGATCAAAGGCGAGTCCACGTTCCAGGTGGAGCTGAGCGAGTGCAGCACAATCCTGCGCCAGTGCGACTCGCGCTCGCTCGTGCTGATGGACGAGGTCGGCCGCGGAACAAGCACCGTCGACGGCTACGCCATAGCACACGCTATCCTGCACTATCTGGTGGCAGACACAACACCGTTTGTGCTGTTCATCACACACTACCAGAACCTACAAACTTTCGACCGTTTCAAAGAGGTCGACAACTACCACATGGGCATCCAGAAATTGGGGGAAGATATTCTGTTCACGTATAAATTGTCAAGCGGAGCAAGTGACAGATCGTATGGAATCAACTGTGCTAAAGTGGCTGGTCTGCCGCAGACGGTGTTGGACACCGCCAGCATGCAGTCCGTTCGGTTTGAGACAGAATGGAACCTCAAACAAGCGTATAACTTGGCGCAAAATTACAGCAAGTTGACGCAGCAAAAGGACTATGCCAAGTTATTGGATCTCACTCACGAGCTGGCCTGATCACATCTTGAGGAACCGCTTGTTGCTCACGGCGTCTGGCTTCGTCAGCGTGTACGAAATGTCGCCGAGCTCTGTGCCCTCGAACCGCATCACCTGGCTGTCGTCGTTGTGATGGATGGTGACAGAACTGAAGTTTTCAAACGGATCGGGCGTGGTGTTGGGCTGCACGGGCGACGACGACGTCTTACGCTTGGACTTGAGCGTACCGATCGAGCCCTGCGTGGTCTTGTTCTCCTTATCGCGTCTGGACCGTCTCTGTGTGAACACCGGGATCATTGGAGGCTTTTGGTTTCTTAAAAGGGCCCATTGGACGTTTTTGAAGAACGAGTGTGTTTTAATCTCGGAGGCACCGCTGCGTGAACCAAGCCGCTTGGTCTCATCCTTGATTAACAACTTCTTCACCAAGTTGCGACAACTGCTCGAAACAGAGTTGTAATCGGGAAATTGCACCTCGTTCTTCAAAATGTTGGAGAATGTCTGGTTGCGAGTAGACCCTTTGAACGGCGTGATTCCAAACATCATCTCATAGATAAATATGCCAAGAGTCCACCAATCAACCGCAGCAGTGTGACCCTTGCCCCAAATCACCTCGGGAGCAATATACTCCTCTGTTCCCACAAAAGAGTTGGTTCTGAACCCGTTGATACACGCGTTGGTGTCCAATTGCGGCAGGCTCGAGGCAGACCGGTGCGCAGCAACAAGCTCCGGTCTCCGGATATGGTCTGTCTGTTTGGAGAGATCAAAGTCGCTCAACATAATGTGGCCAGACTGGTGCAAAAGTATGTTCTCGGGCTTGAGGTCTCTGTATATAAAGCCCATCAAATGCAAATATTCTAACGCTGCAACCACCTCGGCCGCGTAGAACCGCGCGTCTGCCTCAGAAATGCACTTCATCTTGCGTGTTTGCAACGCTCTGAAAAACTCTCCTCCCATGCAGTACTCCATGCATAAGTACAAATGGTCCTCCGATTGGAATGAATGGTATAATGTGACAATGAAAGGATGGCTGGCGGTCGCAAGGATCTCCTGTTCTGCCAGAACTCGCTTGATCTTGTTGCGCTCCACCATCTCCTTCTTATTGAGGATCTTCATGGCAAACAGTTTCTTATTTGATTTCTCTCTCACAAGATACACCTTGCCGACGTCTCCTTTCCCGAGAAGTTTGAGCTTTTCGAAGGACTGTGGAGTCACCTCGACGTCGGATATCTTGACACCTGTGCTATAGTAGTTTCTGCCCGATCCGCTAGGCAAACTGGATCCACTGGAGTCGGAGAGCGTGATTTCTCCGATATGTTTCGTGATGTCGGTGCTTTCTGGGGCAGACACCGGGGCCGGCGCTGGTTCAACGAGTTGTTTGAGTCCCAAAGGAGCAGAAGCCACCCGTTTCAATTTCTTGTGAATAGACTTGGACTTGGAGCTCGGAGCCGCAGGTTCCTTAAATTCTCTCTGTTCAGGCTCAGCCTCGGGTTTTGGTGACTCTTCTGTCAGGAAATTGTTGAGGGTGGTGGTGGAGTTGTTGACGGAATAATCGTGCTTCAACTTCACCTGGAAGTCGTGGCCTGGGTCGATGAAATCCTGTTCAGCAATGTCGCACTCCTGAACAGACTCGGTGACAGTGATCTGGGGCACCGAGGAGAACTGGACCGGGCTGGACGGCGATCGAATTCTGCGGAACTTCTTAATCAGCGAATTACCGTTACTTCCCTGGCGGAGTTCTTCTTCCTCGTGATCTGGCACGGCTATTTCTTTTGGTTGCTGGAAGTCAACATGGTCTGTAGAATTGAAGCGGAAGATCTTTTTGATTTTGCTGAACGTGCTGTCTTTGGACATCTCGTCGTCCTCTGTGTCCTGAGAGCCATCTTTCACGCTGAAATAGTCGGTGTTCACGTCTTCGCTTGTTGTCGGAGGCGTCTGTAGTTGTTCGGTCTGTAGCTCATCGATGGCCGGGGTGGTTGCGGGCTCGAACGCAGCAGGTTTCATGGCCGTAGAGTCCTGGCCGATGTTGAACAGCCGTCCAATCGAGAGTTTGCGCGAGTTGGACCGAGATCGCGATCTTGTTCTATTATGGGAGTGAAGACCGGACGACGAATGTTCTGGTAACGTCAACGACTCGGACACGGGTTTGGTGGAGTCCGGAAACTCATCCTTTTGCACAGACGACTGCGGCGGAGTGTATGCGACAGCCGGCTTCGCCTCCTGGGCGCTGGACTGCGCAGTGGGCTGAGACAAATGATCGTTTGTGCTCGGAATATTTTCCGTAGTCATGGTGTCTGTTTGATCCAAAGCAAAGTATTCTCGAACACAACTGCCGTAAATTCACCAATATCGACTACTCAAGCGTGGCTGAAGCAATTAGACGCCCGCAATTAGATCCAGTGGGAGGAAAAGGATGGGGCTTGGCAATCAAGTTGTTTTTTTTTTCTAGTTCAAAAAAAAACTCCACTTTAAGGTACATTATACACTGGCTCTCTATATAAGATACTGCCTTAGTTGGCCAGGTGAGGAGGCAGTAGGAAGTTGGCGATCGAGTCTTTGATGTAGTAGATGTGCCCACAGTTTTTGCAGGTCATCTTGCCGTTGGTTATCTGTGTTTCCAGCAACAGGCTATGTAAATCCTTGAGCATCTGCTCGTTTTCCACCAAGTTTTCCGGTTTCGTGACCGGCAAAGCAGTGTTGCCCAGATCGGCAGCCACTCGCACCAATGCGTTCCAGTCCAATCTGTCCACCATCGAGATCAGAAACTCCTGGTTGTACTCGTGTTCCTGTAGTTCCAGCTCGCACTCGTCGTATTTCAGAGGAAACGACGCATCGCTAGCGTCGCACGCCTTCACTGCGCACTTCACAAAGTTCGTTGTCAGGAATTTCATGCCGTTTTATCGAAAAGTGCTGATATCTTGAAGTTTAATTAATTTTTCATTATTTTTTTTTCCTCGCTTGTACTAATCTATAGATTATCTATGCTAACGTCTCTTGGGGAGATTTCTGTGCCAACTGTCTTGCCAGATCAACCCGACCCGCCTTGACAAGAACTTTGTAGAGTTGGGCCAGTTCCGCGGTGCCTGACTCGTGCTTGTGCAATAGGTCCATGAAACTCTGTAGCACAGACCCTGGATCGGTTTCCAGACGACACCATAGGTTCACCACCCGTTCAAACACACCAGAGTCACCAACAACACTTTTCACCCAGCCGTGGTTGTACATCTCCAGACTATGCTTGCTTAGTTTCTGTTTCATCTCTGCTTTTTCCCGAGAAACACGCACTCCTCCGGCCTTGGACTTTAGGAACTTCTTGGTCATTGCTAGATGGTTTTTTCGGGCTCGTTTCAGCGCCCGCTGTTTCTTGTCCACGGGTGTGGCCACCATCGTCTCCAACAGAACTTGTGCTAGTGAGTACAGCTCCAAGTCGTACAACTGAGTAAACACAGCCTTAAACACCTGGTTCGACTCTGTTTCGTAGTCTCGCGTGTGCGAGACAAACTCGTCCACTATGCGCACGAGCTGTTGCACGTACTGTTCTTTGTTTTGTTTCGAATTGACCAGGTCGTTGTAGTTCGTGTCCAGCTGTCGATTTATGTTGGCCACGTCGCTGCGATGGCCGACAGAGTACGGCTGCATCTTGTAAACCGTGCTTCTGCCCACGGACGACGAGTCTCTGTTGTCGAACGCGCGACTCAGCAACGAGGGAAGCTCTTCTGTCTCTTTAGGCACGGCAAGGTTGCAATGGTCCAAATACACAGGAACTCCAATACAGTCGGTGAGCTCGTCGGGAGTGGAAGGCACGGGCAATTCGATCTGCTGCGCAATCGACAGCGGCTGTGGCTTGATGTTGGCGAGCAGTCCTGGCTGCAAGAAACTGATTCGCTCCATTGGACGTTGGTGTTTCATGTAACTGACGAGCGAGTCGTACTCGGCGAGCGAAACTTCGGGAGGCAGTTCGTCGCGACGAACGTCGATGCGTGTGGTGTATTCCTGGATGATCGGAGGCAGTAACATGAAGAATATCAAATGGGACCCAAACGACACCAGCTGGAGGTCTTGAAACACTGACCATCCAGGGCCGGCGAATTTGCGCGGGGTGGGCCGTTTGGCGGCCAGATGGATCCACCGCGGCGTGTAGAACTGTCCGAACCGCCAGTTGGGCGATTTAAACGCCCTGAATCCTGAACGGCCAAACATTTGTAGATTATCCAATAAAAAATTTATAATTGGTGTGTACATTTTTTGCAGTGGTCCCATTACAAAAGTTTGCGGTGCACGGGTGTGGGTGGAGCTTTGAAATATTTCAGGAAAAGAGCCTGAAAATTGACAATTTAATGGTTTTGCATTTGTACGGATCTGCTGTTGTTAGCGGGGTGACGGGGTTGAAGCCGGCGGAGACCCCGCCTTTTGAGTATACGTTCCGGATCCAGTGCACAGGGTGCCGCGAAAAGCACGACAAGGACGTGAGCATCAATCTGTTTGAGAAGCACGAGATCCAGGGCAGTCGCGGGGAGGCCAATTTTGTGTTCAAGTGCAACTTTTGCGGAAAGCACTCGAACGTGGAGATTTCGCTGCCGAAGAAGTACACGGGGATCACACCAGAAACCCCCCGTGCGGTTTTTCTGGACATTGAGGCACGGGGTGTGGATTTGGTGGAGTTTGTTCCTGTTGGCCATTTTGAGTGCCAAAGCGAGCAGGGAACCAAGTTCCAGGAGGTCGACTTGAGTGAAGGCGAGTGGTACGACTACGACGATAACGCGGGCGAAGAGGTGAGCGTGACGGAAATTGTTTGGGAGATTGCCAAGAAGTAGCTGCTACTGCACTAATAAAATAAACGTGTATTGGACGGTACAACTAGATCATCAGCAAAGCCAGGCCTGCGGCAGAGAAGACACCAGAGTAGAGGTACACTCCGAAGGAGGCAGCCTGTGCGGAGGAGCTGGAGCTGGCCTCGGAGCTGGAGGCAGAGGAGGCAGAGTCGGAAGAAGAGCCCGACGAGGAGCCAGCAGACGAGGTCTTGGCGCTCGAGGCGGCGACTGCGCTGGCATCGGAAATATCCGACTCCAGGCCCTGCGAGATGCCAGACTCGGTGGCATAGACGTCGACACCGGACTCGGTAGCAGAGTATCCATCGTCCCAGAAGGTGGACCAGTTGATGTTGTCGGTGGAGTAGGATCCGGTGAGGCTGACCGAGAATTCGGAGCCGGTGTTAGTTGCGTACGCAGCGGCCTCCTGGTACAGTCTGTCAGCAAACGGCAGGGCTGTGATGGCTGCAATTGCAACCGGGACCTGTGAGAGGTCTTCGTCGTCGACGATGGCCGTCAAGGCTTCCAACTGGGAAACATACGAGGTGTACTGGTCTGGGTATGCCAGGGCGTCGATCTCGAGTGCCTGGGCGAGGTCAATGACTGCGTCCAGTGCAGCTCCCGTGGCAGCAGGGTTTTTTTCGAATTCTCCAATGAGACTGGAGATGAGGGAAGCGTCGGTGGTTTCTGCAACGGCGACGCTGGCGGCGGCTAGCAGAGAGACAAGGTTGGAGGAGAACTTCATTTTGCAGGGTCAGGGGAGCAGGTTGTGGAGTATTTATAGCCAGCGATCTGAGTGGTGGTGGCCAAAAACGGATGCCACAACCAGGCCCACAAATTTTTAACAATAGGACTGTGCGTCTTGACCAAATCAGGGGAACCAATGGGGGTCATGAGTCGGCAATATGAAAATGACGACACGGCTTTAGTCTTTTTTACATGGCCACAAATGGGTCAGACGTCTTCTAAGCCCTATTGAGCCCGAGGACCCTAGATATGGGATCTGGTTAGTCAGCACGGAGTAAGTTCAGGGGCACAAAATGGCTCTGCATTTCCCCGGCAATGCTTGGCAGACTCGCGTTTGGCCGCAAAAGGTCCCAGTGGGTCCCAATAGGTCACAATAGGACCAGAGGACACGCGGACGCTGCCCCGCAGGTTGCAGCCGTGCAGCAGTAATATTACGTAACGTGCAATTTATATTATTTATTATGCTTTACGAGGTGGGCAACAGCGCGGACACCGGCGACGAGCGCACGGGCTCGCCGTTACCGCTCGAGCTGCTGATGGTGGTGTTTCGGTTTCTGGACCCGAGCTCGCTCAAGAACCTCTCCCTCGTGTGCAAGACCTGGTACCGGCTGTCGAAGGACAACTCGATGTGGATGCAAATTTTCAGACAGAGGTTTGACAACGTGGGGGAGGTGTTTTCCAGCGTGGCGCGCTCGCGGCTCTGGCGGACGGAGCTGATTGAGCGCGAGACTTTGGTGAAAAACTGGAAAAAGGGCAAGGGCGTGCACAACATCTACAATCTCGAAGATCTGTTCTACACAACGGACATCCAATGCGATTTCCACACCAGCCGGCTTCTTTCGCTCAACAAGAACACAGGAAACCTTGTCACGTGCAACCTCAACAACGGCGCGAACGTGGACACACAGCACTCGACGATTCCAAGCGGCACCACCGCGTACGCCCTGGGCCAGCACAGCATCGTGTTTGGCCGCTGGGACAGCAAGGTTTACGGGTCGCTGGTGAACCACAAGAACATCCTGCTGCCGGGCGTGAAGGAGTACCGTGGCACGGGCCATCGTGGGATGGTCACGAGCGTTCATGTGAACGTTTCCGAGCTTGGCAAGGAGGGCAAGATCGGGGCTCTTACTGGAGACGAGAACGGCAACCTTGTGGGCTGGGACGTGAAGAAAGGCGTTCAGACGGCGGTTTGTCATGTTTGCGACGGGTCGATTGCCAAGATCAAGTCGAATTACAAAGACGTGGTGGTTGTTCTGGACGGTGACGGAGCAATCTACATCATCCGCAATCTGTTTAGTGTCTTCGAAAGCACGCCGCAGGTCGACAAGCTGGACGTTTCGCTGGACCTGGACCCGAACCACCTGGTGTCGCTGAAAGTGTACGTGGACTACGGCGACTGCAACGTGATTCTGATTGACGAGAACCGGCTGGAGATCGTTTCGTACCGCGACCGGCTCGTTCGCCGACTGTCCACGGTGGAGCCGATCTACCGCGCGAGCCTCGAGCAGAACTCCGTCGCGACGACGAAACGCGACGTCGACCTGGTCGGGTCGGACCCGCTGCTGCTCGCGCTGCTGCTGCGGTCGGGCAAAGTGCTCGTGGTGAACGTGCGCTCGTACGAGTACGAGATCCGGCCGCTGCTGGAGTTTGTGCCGAAACTCGCGTTCGAGGACGACGACTACCAGCGCGTGGTGCACACCAACGCCAACTTCGACCTGCCCGCGCTGTCGGAGGTCGCGGTCAACTCGCTCGTGCTGGCCGTCGGCTCGTACAACGGCAAGGTGGAGCTCTACGACGTGAACACGGGCGAGTTTTTCCGCAAGATCGCCGTGAAACCCAACACGAAACTGCTCCAGCTCATGGGCAACCAGCTGCTGGGCATCTTCAACATCACGCTCCACCAGAACCTTTCTGCCGGGATCATCTCGTACGGGTCTGTGGTGCACTTCTTCAAATTTGGCGACTTCTACAAAGACCTTGAGTCCAAGCGCAAGAAAAAGAACTTCAAGGAACGCAAGTACAGCAACAACCATCTCAAGGAGGCCATCAAGGACTACGAGTTCGACCAGGACGAGCACGTCGAAACACTCTCGCGGATCGACAAGTACAACGGCAGCCAGCTCGAGGACTCTGACGAAGAGCTCCAAATGGCTCTCGCGCTCAGCATGTCGCTCAACAACAGCACCGCCAACGTCGACTCCGAGGACGAAGAACTACAACGGGCCATAGAACTGTCCAAACAACTAGAATAACAAAAGTATATATCACCAATCGTCATCGTCATCGTCTTCTTCGTCGTCGCTGTCGCGACGCGCTTTTTGTCTGATAGCAGCAGCAAGGCCGCCTGCCAAACTGTGGTCTTCCTGCTGTTTCTCTTTCAAAGCTGCTGCCAGACCACCGGCCAGCCCGTTTGTAGCGAACGCAGAACTGCCGTTGGCTGTCGTGGCAGTGCCGTTGGCAGCAGGTGCAGCAGGAACGGTCTTAGCAGACCCGTTCGTGGCAGACCCGTTCGTCAGACTTGCAGGGGGATCGCACGCAACAATGTACGCCGTAGGCACCCAGCCCTCTCTGGTCTCGTCCAGCGACTTGGCCAACGACCACCCGGCTCCCTGGTCCTGTAAAATGTACATGATCGTGTCCTTGGTGACCGGGAACTCTGAGGCCGACCCGGAGCCAGGGAAGTCGTACGCGGCCTTGAACGTTGGCCATTTCGGCTTGGCCGCAGCAGGAGGTGGAGGCGGCGGAGGCGGAGGCACCTGCGCAGCGGCCACGGGCTGAGCAACAGCAACAGGCTCTGGCTTGGCTTGGCGACTCTGAGGCGGAGCAGGCTTGGGCTTGTTCACCGCAGGAACAGGAGCAGGCTTGCGGTTGACTGGTTTCCGGTTGACTGGCGGCTTGGCACCAGGGTGGTACGCTGCTGCCGCGGCCGCAGAAGCCTGGCTCGAAACCTGCGCAACAGACGTTGTGTTTGCAACCGACCGTTTGTAGTTCGCGATTGCATTCGCATTGGTCAAAATAGATCGGCCTTTAGGCTTCTGTCTGGACCTGCTCGACGAAGGCAGTCCAGCAGCAACCTTGACCGTTCCCGACTTGTACGAATCTCCGTTTCTTGCAGCAGTGCTGTCGGCCTGGAACTTGACAACGTGGGGCTTGCCTGGCTTCTTGTTGTAGGTGACGGTCGGCCCAATAACAACGCCAATGGACTTGTTCAAAGTCTTGAGCTGCGTCACCAGTTCCGTCTTGAACATGGTGTTGATAAATAAATCTGGCTGTGTGGCCGAGTTCAGGTTCAACGCAACCCAATCGTCCTGGTACTGCGAAAGCGCAACCTTGCCAATCGAAGAGACACCAACCTTGGACTCCACGAGATACGACACCTTTCTGTTCACCAGTTCCTCCGCAATCACATAAAAGGTGGATCTCGTAAGAATATAAATTCTGTTCAACCGTTGAGAAGATCTACCAAACTTGGAGTGAAGAATTTGGCCTCTGGAAGAGAAAACAACGTGCTCAGAAAGTCCAACGGATTGCATCAAGAACTTTCCAAATCCTCCAGTCTTATCGTTGCAACCAAGGTAATCTCCCATGTACGCTCTCGAACCAAGCAAGGAAAGAGCTCTTCTCTCCTTCTTGTTGACAACTAAAGACGTACCGTAATCTCTGAGCTGTTCGTAAACGTTTCCACCAACTCTCTCTCTCCACATCTTTTGGACAAACTTGGCAGCATTTTCTCTTCTCTTGAGGTATCTTCTGCAAGCTCTCTGGATAACCTTGGCCTTGTTAGCCCAGTAGTTCTCTCTCATCTCCTCCAAGGAAAATAATGTTTCTGGCTTCTTGATGAAAACCTTGGTGACACCCAATTGCCATTCGGACTGCGCAATGCCAGTATCCTGCAGAATCAAGGTGGTGGCAGTCTTGGCATCTCCGTCCCAAATGTATTCACCGGCATAGGAAGTTTTTATCGAAAGTAGGTAGAATCTCTCCACAAACTTCTCAAACGTCTGTCTATAAGCAAAACCAGCTCTTCTAATCCGAACGTTCTCTTGCAATCCAAGATACTTAACTTGGTGCAAAACGGCTTTTGTGTCGTATTCGGATGGAGATCTGTTTTGATTTGGCTTGATGGTTCTAATGTACGATGGCTGTGCCTGCGAGAGCGTGTCAACCAACAAATTGGCACTGGTCTTGATTTTGTCACCGGCGGTAGGCGGTCTTCTTTTCGACGAAGTGTCCACCTTCTCGGGGAATATAGTTTGGATAAATGCGTTTTGAGAGGTGTTGATCAATTCAAGAAGGTCTCTCAACATCTGATCTTTGTTTTTGTCCGTCATGGCGTGCACGTCGTAGGTGACGTCTCCGGCATAGTGCTTGATCACAAACTTGGCAGAACGCAGCTCAAAGTGCGGGTTAGAGGAAACCAGGTTCAGCCGTTGAGAGAACGACTGGTCGGCAGCAGATGAGTCGGCATGTGCAGTGGCACAGGCATCGTTTAACGCAGCAAAGATACCTGGAGGACGTTTCGACTCGATCAAATCACACACGATCTTGTTGTTGAAGTAGTTGATAGGCGTCCATTGGATCTTCTCGCGGACATACTCGTCCTGCTCAGACTTCAATGTCAATTGGATGAAAATCTGTTGCAATTTTTCGTTCACGTAGTTGATACACAGCTGTTCGAAAGAGTTGTGATCAAAGATCTCAAATCCGTAGATATCGAGAATACCAATGGATTTGTGGGTCTCAAGGTTCAAGCTCTGGAACGACTTGTTGACTCTGTCGACAATCCAGTCGAACAGGTTGTTGTACAGACCTTTCGCCATGGCATCTCTGACGGCTGTGGCTTGAACGGGGTTCAATGGAACATGGTACACGGATCCTCTTCTCATTCCGTGCGATGTCTCCATGGTTCTCTCAGTGATGGACTTGACGAGCAGCTGAGAGTCAACTTGCAACAGGTATGCCACGAAATCCGTGACTCCTGTGTCTCTAACTTGGGAGTTTCCTTCGGCGTCCTCAACAAATGTGATATTACCGGTCCACAAGATGGCAGCCAGGATTCTGAACACCTGGTCCTGTTCGTCCTGACTGAGTCCAATGGTGGCCATCGAAGCCAGAGTGTCTTTGTAGTCTTTCAGGTCGTCGATGGAGTCGACAGATGTACATCCCGAGGCACTGGTGTAAATGTATTGTTCCGGCTTTTGGACACCGAACGTTTGTCTATAGCTGTCGCTTGCACCTTTGGTGAACTGGTAAAAGATATGGAAGTTTCTCTCATTTTTAATCTGGCCCACCACTCTTTGTTTTTCCAACAGATAATTGGTGATATTTGCACTGACTGGCTCGAACGACTTGTTGAACTGAATCTCGAGATACTTTCCGTGTCTGGACGAGTTGTTATTTCTAAGAGTCTTTGCACATCCAAACGACTCCAACAATGGGTTGGTGGCCAACACCATGTCTTTAATTCGTTGAATATGGGAGGCCGTTGTATAAGCCCCGGAAACAGCTGCAATATATTGCATGATTCTCTTTGCAGCTTCGGTCTTTCCTGCTCCAGACTCTCCCGAGATGATTACACACTGATTCTCGTTGTATGCCCGCATGTTGTAGTACATGCTTTCGGCAATTGCGAAAACATGCGGAGGAACCTCTAGTCTGTTCTTGTTTTTGTACGAATTGAGCACGTCGTCGGTGTAGATACCCAGGTCTCTGAACGGATTAACCGAGATTAACACATGACCAATGTAGGTGTAGATAGTACCGTTATGGAACCGCTTTTCCAGGTTGTCGTTGATGCTCTGGTCACTAATGGTGGACAAGAGGGTCAAATCGCTCACACCCACCTCTTTCTTCTTGTGCGAGTCAAACTGGGCCTTTTTCACCGGAGCCCCGCTCTTCTTGGCCGGAGGCGCGGCTCCCGCGGTCTTGGATCTGGCCGTTTTTCTACTCAACACTGCCATCTCGAAAAGATTACAACCTGTCTGTTAAAAGTTATTCTAAAAATGTTTTGCCCCTTTGATAACACCTAGCGGGACGGTCGGGAGTCGATCGGCGCAGCGAAAAATATCAAATATTTTTGTCAACGGGTTTTTATTTCTCCTTGAATTTATCGGAGAATAGCTTTTGTTTTCATGTGGGAGGATTATTTTTCCGTTCAGATCTTCTTTATCATTTTGAGGGAGACGCTGGAGTCGGCCATCATTGTGTCCGTGCTTCTGTCGTTTTTGAAACAGAATTTTGCCACGGAGGCGAAAAACTCCACTCCCTCTGCTTTGTATCGGGGACTCGTTTTGCAGGTGTGGGTCGGCGCGATTTCCGGGCTCGCGATCTGCTTGTGCCTGGGAGCGATTTTCATTGCCGTGTTCTATCTGTTGGGAAGCGACGTCTGGTCCAAAGCTGAACGTGTTTGGGAAGGCGTGTTTAGTATCATCAGTGCGATCCTGATCGCGGTCATGGGTATGGCCCTTTTGAGAGTCAACCAACTGCAAACCAAGTGGAAATGGAAGCTGGGAGCAGCGTTGAGCGAAAACAACACCGACACGCAGATCGAGGCCGACGTTCGTGACGATCCAATGGCCGACACCATAACAAGAGCAGTCAAGGTGCGAACCAAACTTCGGAGATTCGCCAGAAAATACGCACTGGGACTGTTACCGTTTGTGACCACGCTTCGTGAGGGACTCGAGGCCGTTGTGTTTGTTGGTGGAATTGGAATCAACCAGCCAGTGTCGTCATTCCCTTTGGCTATCATCACAGGAGCAATTTCTGGAACCTTGATCGGCTACGTGTTGTACAAGGGCGGAAACAGAATGTCGTTGCAGTTCTTCCTTGTGCTCGCCACGTGTTTCCTGTACCTGGTTGCCGCGGGACTCATGTCCAGAGGAGTGTGGTTCTTGGAGCTGGAGCAGTTTGTGCAAAAATGCGGCCAGGACACCTCGGAAACAGGTAGCGGGCCGGGTTCGTACGACATCTCCAAGTCGGTGTGGCACGTCAACTGTTGTAACGGACTGACCGACGGCGGATGGATGCTACTCAATGCGCTGTTTGGATGGACAAACTCCGCAACCTACGGATCGGTGTGGTCGTACATTTTATTTTGGGGCTTTGTGATTGTTCTGCTGAAAAACAGAGAAGCACGCATAACCAAGGGATATCTGCCGTGGTTCCCTGTGCGGTACCAAATCAAACACCTCAAGAAACGGATCGCCATCGAGAGAATCTATCTGGAGGATATTGCGCTTGGAAACGCCGATATCAACGCTGCTCCGAACCACGAGGGCACCGAGCGCACCACTCTTTTGCAGAACCCCGGTAATTAGTTAGCATATGTAATCACCAAATCCATTCAATAGCCTGTTTCACGCCGTAGGGCGGGAACTCTGCCGTACCAGTGAGGCATGTGATCAGTTCGTCTTCTGCTGTGTATGCTTTGGCCACAACGGTGTATTTTCCAGGTGGCACCTCGTTGGGGATCTCCACCTCCTTGACTAAGTCGTAGTAGCCCTTCTCCAAAGGACACTCCATGTCCACGTTAGGCAGCTCTTCGCAAATATCGTAAGTCTGATGCAGCAACTTGATGTATCCGTAGGAAACGTCGACCTCGACGTAAGCGCCATCGGTGATTTCTGTGGACAGAGCTCCTCTGGCAACAATAGTCAAGTTGTTGCCGCGGACAGGAGGGTTTGGCGATAGGTCCACATGGGAGAGGGTCAGAAGTTGTCTATTGGAGGCCTCGCACAACAGCAACGGAGAATCGCCCGGAACAGGCTTGGTGTCCTGGCCCGGAAGTGCGAGCGGAAAGAGCGAAAGGCCGTTCACCAACGACAGGAGCAAAAAGAGGGAGAATGGGAAAAGCATCAAATAAGCAAACAATTTAAGTAACTGTAGGGGCAAAATTAATTACTCCCAAAAGGTGCGGTGCTGCCGTCGACAGTCGCGTCGACAGAACCGGTCGACACAACGGACAGAACAGGACAGGCCATTGTGTCGGGCGGATATCGACAGCCACATGCACGCTGGACGTGTTCCGGAATGAATTGTGTCTCCAGTGGCCACACAACCTCGAGGGATTTGCCTATCCCGGAGTTATCACCAGCTCGCGGAGAAAGGGTTACGACAGTTGGCTGGAGGTGCGAGGTGTGACAGACAGCGAAGCAGGCAGCATTGGCCAATAAGGTGTTTGGGGTCTGTATTGAATTGCGGTGGGCACAGCGAAACACGCCAGCAACACGGGTGCGATCACGTCACTGGTAACCTAGATGGTGAAAAGAATATCTGTGGAGTGACCCGTCCCATTGTGGCCTGTCACGGCCGTCTTCCGGCCGGATTTCACGGCTGTGCAGCTCTTTTAGGTGCATACCGAATTTTGCTGTGTCACGGATCCATCGAAAAAAATATATAAGCTGACCCAAATATCTCCTCCTTATTTTCAATTGTTAGAACTGATTATACAATGAGTACTGTGACTAAGATTTTTGCCAGATACGTTTACGACTCCAGAGGAAACCCAACTGTGGAGGTGGACTTGACCACCGATAAGGGACTTTTCCGTTCGATTGTTCCTTCTGGAGCCAGTACTGGTGTCCACGAGGCCTTGGAATTGAGAGATGGTGACAAGTCCAAGTGGCTTGGTAAGGGTGTTTTGAAGGCTGTTGCCAATGTCAACGACATCATTGCACCTGCTGTCGTTAAGGCCAAGGTTTCTGTTTTGGACCAGGAGAAATTCGACGAGTTCTTGCTTTCGCTGGACGGAACCAAAAACAAGGGCAAATTGGGAGCCAATGCCATTCTCGGAGTGTCTCTTTCTGCTGCCAAGGCCGCCGCTGCCTACAAGGGTGTTCCATTGTACCAACACATCAGCGACATCTCCAAGACTCCACAGCCATTTGTGTTGCCTGTTCCTTTCCAAAACGTTTTGAACGGAGGTTCGCACGCCGGTGGCTCCTTGGCTTTCCAAGAGTTCATGATTGTTCCAACCGGTGCTCCTTCCTTCTCCGAGGGTCTCAGAATTGGTTCTGAAGTTTACCACCACCTCAAGTCCTTGGCCAAGAAGAAGTACGGCCAAAGTGCCGGTAACGTCGGTGACGAGGGAGGTGTTGCTCCAAACCTCTCCACTCCACAAGAGGCCCTGGACCTCATTGTCGACGCCATTGAGGCTGCTGGCTACACCGGCAAGATCGGCATTGCCCTGGACTCGGCCTCCTCCGAGTTCTACCACGACGGAAAGTACGACTTGGACTTCAAGAACCCAGACTCGGATCCTTCCAAGTGGCTCACCGGTGAGCAATTGGCCGACCTGTACGTCCAATTGATCAAGGACTACCCAATTGTGTCTGTGGAGGACCCATTCGCCGAGGACGACTGGGAGGCTTGGTCCCACTTCTACACCAAGACCCAGATCCAGATTGTTGGAGACGACTTGACCGTGACCAATCCAGAGAGAATCAAGGTTGCCATCGAGAAGAAGGCCGCCAACGCCCTGTTGCTCAAGGTCAACCAGATCGGTACTCTGACCGAGTCCATCAAGGCCGCCACCGACTCCTACGCCGCCGGCTGGGGTGTCATGGTGTCCCACAGATCTGGTGAGACCGAGGACACCACCATCGCCGACATTGCTGTTGGTTTGAGAACCGGCCAGATCAAGACCGGTGCTCCAGCCAGATCCGAGAGATTGGCCAAGTTGAACCAGATCCTCAGAATCGAGGAGGAGCTCGGCGACAAGGCCGTCTACGCCGGTGCCGACTTCCACAAGTCTGTCAAGATTTAATCAGCCCTGCTCAGCCGTATCTATTTTTTCTTGTTGTTGCCGGTGCACAGATGTCACAAATAAACAATTCTGATATTTTTCTTGTAGTTTTTGTATTTGGTGAACCCTGATGTCTCACCACAGTTCGTCCGACACGTCGCCGACGGGCGCCCAGCCCGTGACGGAGGACTCGATCAAGTTTCTTGAGCACCATTTGGAAAGGCGGCCCGTTGCCAAGCGCGCCTGTCTGGCGTGCAGAGAGAAGAAAATCAAGTGTGACGGAGAAGTCCAGCTCGACGCCAGTGGGAACAACAAGAGCTACGAGAAGTGCACGAATTGCGTCCAGGCGGGGATAGAGTGTGTGTTTGTGCCCAGCCGACGTGGTGGACGGCGCAGAAAGGAGTACTCGACCGACTCCAGAACGGCTCCTCAGTCGGTCACCTCATCCTCGGTCAACGACGAGGGCAGTTTCAAGCGACACCATTTCGACCCGTCCAAGCGGTTTGGCAACTTCGGTGCGCCCGACGCACATCCAGACATGTTTGGACGCCACCGCCACCACCCGGGTCCGGGCAGGTTTGGGTCTGGCTCCAACTACCTGCCTCCACCCTTTGCTCGGTACGAGGAGTCGGGCAAGCGCGGCGACAAGCACGGGTTTGGCTACGACAAGCGCGACCCCAAGGCCATGTATTACCAGGAGCCGTACTTCTACTACGACGATCACCACCTTCCAGCACCAACGTTACTCCCACCTCCTCCTCCTCCTGGACTGGGGCTGCCTCCACCACCTCCTCCACTGGGTTTTCCTCCGCCCCCTGGTGCGTTCCTGCCTCACCACCGATTCCACAGAATGCGGCACCACCACCACCGCCACCCGCACATGCACCACGACTGGTTCCACCACCATGGCTACGGGTTCCCGTATCCTCCTCCATCCCCGGGGATGCATTCGCCGTACCCGTACTCCGACAACGAGAGCCGCATGTCGAGCTCTTTCTCGGGACCAGGCGGCTTGAAACGCCCAGCCATGTCGTCGGTGGCCCCCTCGAGCCCGACGCGGATCGACGACAATGCGTCAAAACACTCTTCTAGCACCGAGGACTGGGTCAAGAAGCAGAAACAGTACCACGAAAATGAAACCAGCAACGACGACGACATGAGCGCTTCTGGTTCGCCGCAGCCGTCGTCCGAGTCCCCGCTGATTCTGAAACCCTCGTTCACCGAACCAGAGCTTGCCCGACTGGGGCTCCCGCCTTGGAAAACCATCTACACGGTGATCCAGTTGTTCTACAAGTACGTCCATATTGCGTACCAGATGCTGCCGAACCTGACGCTGTTTGTGGACCGTCTCTCGCTCACGGACGAAGACGTGGCCATGATCTGTATCATCTTCCGCATAGCTGCCCGATACATGAACCTGAACGAGGTGGACAACAAACTGTTTTTGGACGACCATTATTGGGCCCAGCAGTGCGAAAAGTACTACCAGAGCTTGTCAATCCGGTCAGAACTGCTGCTCCAGACAATGACCTGCGACAGCGGCGACGACGACCAGCTGCTACGCTGCTACAGTCTGATCAAGGTGGCCGGATACCTGGAAGTTTACAAAGCAAAGACAAACAGCGAGTACGCAGAGATGCTCGAGTTTGCAACCGAAAAACAGCTCACCGACCGCGAATGTACTATACGAGCTATCTGGAACGTTTACAAGTTCCAAACTTTCCGCAGACTCAACTTTGGATATCCGTACAGGCACAAGGGGTATCTCAAGTTCCCCGGACAGCTGGAGTTCCCGATGGAGGACATGGCGTACTACCGGTCGTCCAAGTGGCCGCGACTGTTTAAGAAGACTTTTAAGAAGGTGTTGTCGTTTTCGCAGGTGAACGTGAACGATTTGTCTACAGAGACGATTCCAAACTCCGTGCTGGCCATCTTGTCGTGTTATTTCTTCGACGAGATCATGGACAGCATCTACGGCAACGCGTTGTTGCCCGAGAACGTGGTCAAGTACGACTCGCAGCTCAACAAGATGGCCTCGTTGCCCGAGTTCAAGCCGTACACGGTGGAAAACAACCACATACTGGTGGACGGCAACGTGCTGCTGTCCAATTTCATCAACAACCTGTCGCTCATTACGCTGCACTCGTCCATTTGCTGGTCCCTGCTGCCGTTCCGCCCAAAAGACGACACTAATAGCCCGAGCCCGCTGCTGCTGATGAACGAGTTCCCGTCTCCGTTCCCCGACCAGGTCGAGTCCAGCACGGACGAGCGTCTGTGGCGGTCGCTGGTGGTGTGTCTCAAGGCGTCGTGCGCGATTGCGTCGCTGATCCAGCTCGGCGAAGGCATCTGTGCTGAGTCGCTCAGCATGAACACCATCTTGCCCGTCAGCGTGGGGCCGTTTTCTACAAGCGACAAGGAGGACTGCTACAGCACAGACGATAAGGTTGTGGCCACTTCGTCGGTGCAACCCACCACAGAGCCCTGGGTGCAGTATCCGTCGTTCTGCACGGTGAGTACCTGCCAAGCAGTTCCGATCCTGTGCTCCGGAATATTCCTGCTGTCTAAACACGAGATCCGCATCGAAAAATTACAGCACGGGTGCAGGGTTTCTGTGCTTGTGGCGGATGAGGCTATTGCATCGTGGGAGACAGATGCAGATACTGGGGAATTTATCTCGGAAAAATGGCGCAAAAACTATCTTTTGGATAAATTGCGGCTGCTGAGCAAATTCCTGGCCACAACAGCACGGTTCTCTGCAAATGTCACCTTGGCCAGCACAACAACCGACCAGCTGATCCAGCGGCTGTGCAACAACCCTCGCGACGAATGACGTGCTCAAATTCTGTACATGTACATTAACACATAATTAACTCGCCAAACATATAGATTAGCCGAATTCGGCAACACCAGTCTAAGGCAGCACTTTTCCAGGCGAAAAAAAAAGCAAATACCGAGGGGTGTAAATTCTGTGGATGATGTTTACCAGTAGGGGGGTGAGATTGGATCGGGGACTGTTTTTGCTAGAAAATCCGAAATCTGACTCAATCAAATTCGCCGTGTTGCCAGCTGGGTTGTGGTGGCTCAGGCAATTTGTTATCGCAAGTGACTTAACCTTATCTAAAAAATCCCACTTCCGTCTATACCCAGAACCACCCATTTACCGAGACGACTAAATATCGAAAATCACAAAGTTTAAGCTATGTATACTTCATTACGAACGCAGGACATAGGTTCTTGCAAACATGGTCGTCCATCCACTCTGTGTTAGTAGCAAACTCCTTGAAACAGCCACCACACCTTCCAGGGGTGTTGCCTCTGCTCTGTAGACGAGTTCCCATTGGGTATATGAAATGGCGTGCCCGTAGGTGCATTTTCAAAGTGTCTCTTCTGGAAAAGCCTCCCGTAGGATGGCACACGGTGCCGTACTGTTCGCACCAGTAGGCGGGATTGTGAGTGTCTCTGTTGCCCGTGTGGTACGGACACTTGTACGGAAGCATGTCGCGGTGTTTCTTCATGTGCCTTGTAAGGTAGGACTTAAGTTTAAGCGAGGCATGACAGATCTCACACGTGTACGACTCGAGCTCTGAGTCGGAGGTTGGAGGCGAGCGAGCGGGGGAGGAAGCGGACCCTGAGGAGTTGGAAGGGGTGGTGTTGTTGTGGTCCAGGGACGGAACGGAAGACACTAATTCGTCCGTTTGAGCGGGGTTTTTCGTGGAAGCGGCTGGTTCGAGTGTGGAGTGTTGGAAATGGAGAAAGTGTTCGTGGTCCAGAGTGTATTCATTGCCGTAGTAGGCTTCATCGTCGGATGATTCATCGTCAAGGTCTGCCAGGAACTGGTACGACTCTGCCGGTTGTTGTTTTTGTTTTGTGGATGTTATTCCGGAATGGTGTTGTTTCAAAACGTCCTGGAGGTCCCAGTTAAATGGGTTTGGGTCCTGGAAGTCATATTCGAACTCGTCGACGGCACAGGGAACAAAACTGGTGTTTTTAAGCTCATCGTCAACAACAAAGGAAGACACAAACAACGAATCCGCGGAACTAACGCTCCTGGCCCACGGCTTGAGGGTCTCCAATGCCGTTACAATAGGCTGGAACAACGACGCGCCGCTGTTGGGAAAGATCAAGCTTCGTAGCATCTTGTGATTATTACCATCGAATCTCTTGTGGAAAAGTAAAAATGGAAAATAATTTTTCCTACCTTCTAAGATAAGAATAATTCCAGGTGCCGTATGAATGCTGCACACAATTTTATGCAGAATTACAACAGGTACAGCAATCAGCGAATTTGACGCCAGGGTTTTCCCGGTTGGAGCACGCTTGGATCTAAATATACATCTGTAGATGTGTTTGTGCACAGCAGCCCTGCCAAGACGCGGTGGTGGGGGATGGTGCCAAGATTTGTGACTTTTGGGGCTGGGTGCGAGGAGGGGACAGACTGTAGATTGTTTTTTAAGGTTTGCGATTCTTGTTTACGGTAGCCCAGAAAAAGACGGTGCACGGGTGTACGCTTGATGAACGTTGACAGGCTGTTTGACCAGCCAGATGGCAGTGGGCGTGAGGCCGGACCGGTGCCGAAACGTGCGCGACTCTCGCGCGACGAGCAGCTTTTGGAGTTTCTAGAAGCCGACCGGTCGGTTCAGCCACAGAAAAATGTGGATTACAACTCACAATGGGTCAAGAATAGTGTCACCAGACTTGGCAGGCTTGTGTCTCAGAACCTCGAGATGCACGACAAGCACTCCCGAGACCCGGTCAAGGTGATGGACAGCGAGTACGAGCTGTACCAGGGGCTGAAAGACTGGTCTGAGGTGGCCCTTGCGCTTACAGAGGCTTCTGATTGGCAGCAATGCTACAAGGAGCTGTGTGGGAGCCCGGTGTTTTGGCAGGTTGTGGGGCTTGCTGCTAGTCATCCGAACATTGACGTTCGCGAACAGGTTTTGATTATCTTGGCGGATCTCGTGGAGGAGGACCGAGACGAGGGAAAAAAGGCCCTGGTGCAGGTTTTCGTGGAGTGCAAGTTAGCCGACGTTCTCGGTTCGTTTTTGGGCCAATTGGACGATTTGCGCGAGGAGCCCGAATTGTACGAGCAGTACTCCACGCTGTGTTTGGGGCTTGCCATTGCGTTGGTGGAGTACCAAGAGATCGATTTTCTGCACAGCCAGAAACTCAACACAGGTGTGCTGGGACTTGTTGCCGGGGCCAGCGCCGCGAAAGTGGACCGTGTTGCGCAGTATTGCAGCGAGTATGTGAGCGAGCTTCTTGTGGGTCGGACGGAGGAGGAGATCCGTGATTTTGAGGCCACCACGGACGAAGACCTGGTGGAACTTTTAATGGTGGTTTGGTCCAAGTTCCGCAAGACGCTAGTTTCCGGGTCAGAGGCCACAGAGTTCCTTGAGAACTGTTTGCTGACGCTCGGATATCTTGGCCGGTTCGACTCGTACCGGCGTCGGTTTGTGGACAACGAGGGGTTGGACCTGGCAATGCTGTTTATTGGCAGCTCTGTTTCGAAACTGCATGTGAGCAGCGGTCTGAAAGTCGCTGCTGCCATGATCGATCAGGAGTCTGCCTCACAGCTTGTGCAGATGGGTGTTCTGAAGCCGCTGATGAAGAGTTTCAGCAGTAAGGTGTCCCGCTCAGACTCCCCCACCATGTACATTCTGCGCGTGGTTGCACAGCTGTACAAGTATCTGCCGTTTGGGTCTGACGAGAGAATACGGTTGACAAACAAGCTGATCCACAAGGAGTTTGCGGGTCTGGAGAAGATCCTGGCCCTGTGGAGAGGTCTGGTTGCCGACGAGTCCGACAACGACGCCGTGTTGGAGACGCTGGCGTCGGCAAACCTGGTTCTTCTTTGGGTGCTGGACGAGAAATTGGTAGCAAAGAAGGACATTGATCAGCTGACCGCCAAACTTCAAATCGATCTCAACGACCTGGTCCAGACGGTGGACATCGATATCCAAGCAACCGACCAAGTGGACGAGCGCGAGCTGCTGGTGTCGCTCAGAGACACGCTCGTTGCGAAAATGCAGCTTTTGCCAGCACCTAATATGGCAGAAGCTGGAAAATAATTGAATAAAAAATCTTGTTTATAAATGACAGAACCTGTTCCTAGTCCGGGCCGTTCTAGCAGGTATGTGGGGATGAACAAGCTGGACAAGTACGATGTGCTTGAACAGTTGGGCCAGGGAACTTTTGGTGTGGTTTTGAAGGCCCGTCAAAAAAGTACCGGGAAACTTGTTGCCCTTAAGAAACTCATCATCCATGACTCCAAGGACGGGTTTCCCATCACGGCGTTCCGAGAAATCACGATCATGAAACAGTTTCGTCATTTGAACGTTCTGCAGTTGATCGACATGATCCACGAGAACTCAGAAGACTCAAAAACACCGGGGTTCTTCTACACCGTGACTCCGTACATCAGCTCAGACTTGAACGGGTTGTTGAACAATCCTCGGGTCCGGCTCACCATCCCGCAGATCAAGTGTATTATGAAACAGATTTTCCAAGGAATCAACTACATTCACAACCAAAACTATTTGCATAGAGACATCAAGACCGCAAACATTTTGCTCGACTGGTTCGGAGTCGTCAAGATTGCAGATTTCGGGCTCGCCAGAGTGTACCATGGCCCGCCACCCAAAGACGCCTCGTCGGGAGCCGGTGGAGGACTTGTCGAGTACACAGGACTGGTTGTTACTCGGTGGTACCGACCGCCAGAACTATTGCTTGGCGAACGCAAGTACACCACCGCCGTGGACATGTGGGGGATCGGGTGTGTTTTGGGCGAGATGTTCAAGAAAAAGCCGATTCTCGAGGGAAAGAGCGACCTGGACCAGGCAGACATGATTTTCAGGCTGCTGGGATCGCCTACCCCAGAAGTCTTCCCGAACGCAGAGCTTATCAACAGAAACGGAGTCAATCTCCATGTCGAGTACCAGCGGACGTTGGAGAGCGAGTACGGTGCCATTATGACGCCGGCGTGTTTGCGTCTGTTGTCGGGCTTGCTCACGATGGACCCGCGTAAACGGTTCAACGCTGCGCGGGCGCTGGAGTCGGACTTTTTCAGAATAGAGCCCGTGGCATGTTTGCCTGAGGAGCTGCCGAAATTCGAGGAGAGCCACGAGCAGGACATCAAGCGATTCAAGGAGGAGAAGAAGCGTGTGAACGAGAACGTGGGGTCGATCTCGATGTCACGTCCGCCAAACAAGTCGCTGGACCACTCCAATTACGGGGCAGACCACGAAACTCCACGCAAGCGGCGGGACTTTTCGCACGAGAACCGCTGGCGAGGCGAGAAACGGCCATGGGGCGCTCCACGCGACTGGCGCGACCAGAGTTATAGAGGAGGCCACCAGGACGGATACAACGGGTATAGAGACCGTGGCTACCATGACGGATACAGAGACCGTGGCTACCAGGACCACAGACAGGGTCCACACAGAGACCATTGGAACGGGAACCAGAACTACAAGCGGTTTTCGGGTGAGCGCAACAATGCCAGCCTGTACGCATCTACGGAGAAAACGAGTTTGAGTGCGGTCAAGGATTATTTAATCGACAAGAAGAAGGAGGAAGGTGGGGACCGTCCTGACAAGACAGGTTCCAGCGGGCGGTGAGCGGTCATTTGGTCATCTGGATGCGTGTGAGCTGACCAAGTCTGTGCATTGATTTTCTGAAGATCCAGCCGCAAGTGAGCAGCGAGCAGGTGCAAACTATTGGGAACCAGTAGTTTTTCTCCTCGATGAAGTTTTCAAGGTTCATTCCATAAACACCGGCCACGAAGAGCAAAGTGCCGAAACTGAGCAGACCGATGTTGAAACGCAGACCGAGCAGCATGAGCTCGTTTCTGTTGGAGTCCAGGATGATGTTGATGATTTCCTCGGTGGTTTTAACGTCCGAGATGGAGTTTTCCACCGTCTGGACAATTGCGTCGCAATGCAAAGAGTACGATTCCAGCAACAACTCGACCTCCTCGTGGTCGGTGGTGACCCGCGAGGTACCCTTCTTTTTGTCGGTCAGGTACAGCGCGACAAGATCGTCGTCGTGCGCCAGGGTCTCGTCGATCAGGTCTCTGATCAGTGTAGCTTTTTGCTGGAACTGTTGTAATTTTTTAGAAACCAAAAGCAGATATTTGAGTTTTGTCATGTCGATGTGTCCCTCGAGCTCCTTGAGGATCCCGTTGACCACTGTGACCTGCACTTTCATCTCGGAGTTGAGATTATCCATGACGTTCATGAAAATGGTCTCCAACGCACGTATTTCGTACGGCAACTTGTCGTTGGTGACGTTGCGCAGCCGCTGCGACAGATTCGACACCAGCTGGTCATTCGAAAACGTCTGGTCGTAGTTGAACAGCACCACCGAGTCCGCCTTGATAAGAGTTCGTATGTGCAGGATGTTGAGCAAAATCGAGTGTTCCCGGACCAAAATCGACGGGACAATGTCGTCAGAGCCTTTGTCGATCTTTCGCAGGTCTCTGGGCAGCAGGTCATGTTTCAAAATCAGCTGGGTCTTCTGGATATCCGAAGAGATCTTTTTGAACTTGCCATTGGCATCAAAAACAATACATTTGAGCAGCGAGTTGTTGGGCATGCTCGGTGCAAGCACTTTGGGTGTCAGCGATTGCTGGAGAATGAAGCTGTCGATGTTCCGCGCGGCGGCAAACGAGCCGAACGTGCGAACTGGCGCCAGACGCACCAACCGGGGCAGCATTAAGAAAAATAATTCAGGAAAAAAAATCAAATCTCTAGCTTTTTCTCCATGTCTGCAGAACAATTCGAGGTGCACGAAGAATTGGGACGCGGCGCGTTTGGGGTGGTTTATCGCGCGGTGGATAAACAGAACGGACGGCCTGTGGCCATCAAACAGGTCGATCTCGAGAGTTCCGACGAGTTGAACGAGATCCAACAGGAGATAAAGATTCTCTCCACCTGTCAGCATAGCAACATCACGCGGTATTATGGCTGTTTCCTCAAAGGTTACAAGCTGTGGATCATCATGGAGTATCTGGGTGGGGGGTCGTGCTCAGAACTGCTCAATGCAGGCCCGTTTGGCGAGAAAGCCATCGCATACATCATGAACAAGCTACTCCATGCTCTGGTGTATCTACACGAGAACGGCAAGATTCACCGCGACTTTAAGGCGGCAAACGTGTTGCTGAGCGAGACCGGCGAGGTCAAAATCGCCGACTTTGGCGTGGCCACCCAGCTCTCCAACAACATGTCCAAGCGAAACACGTTTGTTGGCACCCCGTACTGGATGGCCCCGGAGATCATTCTCCACCAGGCGTACACTTACTCGGCAGACATCTGGTCGCTGGGAATCACGGCGATCGAGCTCGCGTACGGCAAACCCCCGCTGTCACAGTACCATCCGTTTGACGTTCTGTTCCGCATAGCAGAAGACGAGCCACCGCAGCTGGACTCGGGGTTTTCCAAGGAGTTTCGGCAGTTTGTGAGCCAGTGTCTGAATAAGGAGTCGAAAAAACGGCCGACCGCAGCACAGCTGTTGCAGACGCCGTTTATCAAGATGGGCGCGGCCGTTGATCCGGCAGAGGTACGCAAGTTGATCCAAAAAAAGCTCCAATGGGACCTGGAAACGGGCAACACTGAAAAACGCTACTACACCCCGACTTTGGTGGAAAACAGCGAGCCTGTTTTTGACCTCACCTTGAAGGAGGAGCCGGCCGCAACATTGAAGCACGACCGGCCCCAGAAAGTGCCCTTGTCGCCGATCCGGCCCAAATCTTCGGCCAACGAAGACCCCGACGTTCGAAAGACTCTTAATCGGATCCTCAACCAGTCGTTCAACAAGATCAACGAGAAAAACAGTCTTTCAACGTCGCAATACGACGAGCTCGTCAAGTTCCAGGGAATCATGATGGACTCGCTCGTATTGAACCCAGACGAACACTACAGAGATGTATTCGCCAAGTATTTGCGCTTGGTGCTGAAAAAAATCATGAAGCTCGAAAACAGTCCGCTCAAGGACAAACTGATACCCAAGCCGGCGCCAGAAAAAGAACGTCCGCGCGATGAGGTGGAGGAGGTGTTGCTCACCCGCTGGGCGGAGGGAATGATCGAACGCTGGAACGATAAATTATAACACTACATATTTTGCATAATCTTGACAGACAGTTGGAGACCCCAGATTTTGTTGGCCAGGTCGTCAAACACGTCCTTGGGGATCACCATGTCCGAAGGGTCCACGGCACGCATAGGTGGCTTTGGAGCCGGTGGAGCCGGTGGAGCCACCACTGGATGGGCAGCAGGTGGCTCCCGCTTGGTCTCTGGTTCCGGTTCTGGTTGCAAAGTGCAACTTTCCTCGTAATCAGGCACACAGATGGTCTCCACATCGTCAGACTGAGGCGGCAAAGCAGGCGCTGGAGCAGGCGGTGGAGCAGTGGCACTTGCGACAGGCGGTAGAACCACGGGTTGTGGAATAGGAGGAAGAACCACCGGCTTTGGAGCAGGCGGTGGAGCAACGGCTTTTGCCACAGGCTCCGTGACTGGCTCAACTGGTGCCGATTTCTTCAAAGGAGAAGCAGAGTGCTTTGCAGACCGTGCGTACAGTTTGAAGACAGACTCTATCGACCTGAGCTCGTCCGGAGTGTAGACGGGCCCAACAACTAGATGGCCATCCACCATGGCGTTCAGATCTTTCAGAGCAGCCAACTCGCTCATCAGCGCTTTCCGGTAGTGACAGTACTTCATCATAAACGGTAGCAGAACAGTAATGTACTTGTCGTTGAAAACCAAAACTGTTTTAGCATCTTGTCTATCTTCGTGGATCTTGTTGAAAGCAAGGATGTCGGACTCTTGGTCAACGTTCTCGGCACACCAGCGGTGGAAGCACATCAACATCGGCCGTGTCTTTTTCTTTGTCAGCATTTTCATGACACGAATAGCATATTTCTTGATTTCGTTCGGGTCGTCCGAACAGTGGTGAGTTTTCTCCATTTTGATTGACTATACAGTGACATGAGCACAGGCTTTATACCACCAAAGATGGCTGGAATCAGATGCGGGCTGGTCCACACTTCGTGCCAATGGCCAGTTGCAAAACCAATCCACCCCGGATGTGATACATCACTTTTCAAATTGTAGGCCAGCCAGCCTCGACTGCAGCTCCTTGATGTGACTCGTACTGGTGGACGGTCCCGATGGAGAGATTTTTGTAGGAACAGGAGGCTTCTTCTTGGCTGCCGTGATATCTGCCAGGTCGGGGTTGCTGAGCTTCTTTGGAACGGGCGGTTTTGGCTTGGAAGATAAATGGCCAGGCTTGGATGGGGGTGGAGGGGCATGTGGTTGTGGAGACTGAGTAGGCACTGTCCGCGTTGGGAGTTGTGGGCGAGCTGCAGGCGGTAATGAGGAAGTTGCAGTAGAACCGTTACCTGGTCTTGGTGGGGGCTGGATCTTGGAAGTATCTGGTAACTCAAACTTTTTGGGTGGTTCCTTAACCTCTGTGCTCGTTCTCGATGGCAGGCTTGGTTTCTGCGGTCCGGCATTAAATTGCTGGGGTGACTGCTGTTGGTCAAGCTTGACAGTTGGAGGTGGGGGCTGGATCTTGCTGATGTCTGGAAGTTCGTATTTGCGTGGTGGCTCTGTGGTTTCAGAGTTGGTTCTCGAAATGCCATTATTCTTGGAGCCACCAGTAGCAACGGGAGACACCAGCGAAGACGCAGACGGCGACGAGATGGATTGGGCCTTCTGCACTGCAGACATCTTGGCCTTCTGCTGCGATTCCTCCTTCATCTTCTGCATTCTGATTTTGAAATCTCTGTCCCTTTCATTCTTTCGCTGCTCGGCCTCTGTTCTCTTTGCCTTTGGTGGTGGAGGCCCGTACTTGGTGATGTCAAACTCCATCAAAGACTGCTTGAACTTTGGCTCTTCGACGGGTGGCAGTCCATTTTTTTTCTTGGCAGCAGCCGGGTCCGCTCCTGATGGAGAGAATGTCGATGCAGAAGTCACTGACTGTGCATCAGAGCTCTCTTGAGTGCTCTCTGTTGGCGTGTACGGTGGCGGGTTCGAGGACGGAGCCTGTGCGTAGTCCCTTGTAGGGACAGCCACGGGAGCCAATGCTGGAGCAGGAGTGGGGGCCACGGCCACAGGCTGGGGAACAGACCGAGGCGGCAAAGCAGCGGGACCGGGTGCTGATGCTGGTGCTGTCACTGGGGCCTGGGCTGGAGTAGGCTGGTAATTCACCACGGGTGTCGGAGTTGGTGGTGCTTGGTTTTGGCCTGGCAATGGGAATGGGGGCCGTTCAGACTGCTGGTAAACAGACGGAGGCTGGGCAGCTGGCTGGTAGTTGGTTGGCTCCTGGTACGTAGGCTGTGCTGGAGGCACTGTCTGGCCGTAACTTGGCTGTGGCTGAACAGACTGAGCATAGCTTGGCTGAGACTGCAGAGTTGGCTGAGACTGGATGGAAGACTGGCTGTAGCTCTGTTGAAGTTGAGCGGCAACTTGACCAAGTCCCTGCTGAATCTGGGCAAACGGCGTGGTTTGCTGGTAAGGAGACTGCTGGGCCGGCTGAACTGGTGGTGCTGGCTGGCCGTATGGCTGGGGATTTGAAGCCTGGTTGAATTGAGGTTGAGTCTGCGCCGGTTGTTGGAAGTATCCAGGCTGACCGTAAGGAGACTGCTGCTCGTATGGTGTTTGCTGTTGGTACGGAGTAGGCTGGTATCCTTGCTGCGGATAAGTTTGAGTTTGTTCTGAAGGCTGTGGTTGGTAAGCGGATGGCTGGTACGGTTGTGCTGGCGGCGCAGGCGGAACCTGTTGCCCGTAAGTCTGAGGCTGGTACGGCTGTGCCTGAGGTTGTGCCGTACTTTGAGGCTGGCCCGCAGTTAGAGGCTGATACTGCTGGGGTTGCTGGTATTGATAAACAGGTGGAGGTGCTTGTGTCTGTGCAGGAGCAGTGAAATTGTTCGGCTCTGCGTGTCCATTGATCGCTTTGTGACGAGGTGGGGGTGCAAAAGAGTGTGGATCTCGGATGTACTGGGAGGGAATCTGAGCTGGTGGAGAAGGCTCCTCGTCTTGAGCTTGGCCATCTTTTTGGTTCTTATTGTTCTTGTAGGCAGTCTTCCCCGCATGGTATCCGTACTTACTGACGGTGGCAGTTGCATGGCCTGCGCCTTTCAAAACCGCAATGCCTCCGGCTTTCAAGGCACCTTTGTTGTTGTCCCAATATGACATGAATTAGTTAATTTGTGTACACAGCCAGAATTTCGATTTTATCGAGCCAAGAGGGAATATATTGGTGGTGCAGGGGTGTTGTCGCATGCCTCGCCCCAGCAATCTGGGGCAGCTTGTAGCCAAGCAGCCAGGCTATGGGACAATAGTTTTGGTAAACCGTTCAACCTTCCAATCATGATTGTTCCACACAAAAGCTTTTGCCTCGGCATGATCCCACACATCCTCGAATATTGCTACAACTGCTGGGTGTTCCATGCATAAACTCTTTCCGAGTTCAAAAGACTTCTGGATTTACGTTGAAATAAGACCTTCGTAATCGGATTTGGCGCTAACCTGGTATTAAGTAAATCCCCACTCAAAAAAAAAATTCCTTCCCCATCAACGGGTTCCTCTTTCACTAGGGGAGACAGCCGTGAGCAATTGCACACAATGGTTCCTATGCTCATTCCCTATCAAGGCAATTCCTATCAACGGTTCAGGTTTCTGAGGTTTAGTACAATTAATCGCAAGATTAGGCGGAACGGGCCAGGCGGCTCCTCGCAAGGGGGCAGCGCGTTCGTACTCATCATACGGGCGAGATCTGAATTGGTTGCACGGGCAATGGGTATCTGGTGTATTTGAGATGTCATTGGCACAGGACAGGTAGGTGTCCGCGTTTTCCCAATCTCTCAATGGATCCAGATACGGAACTGGCGTGAGTAATTGTGCTGCTCGCAGATATAAGCGACTCTGAAATAGGAGCACCGTATGTTTGCACATGTGGGGGATGAAGCCACCCTCATCATGATATGGCTATGGCTTCCGGGTCCCATGATCCCGGAATTTCTGACAATCGACCATCCACCAGCGTCTGAGTATTCGGGAAGAAGTATGAAAAGAAAATCCCCGATCGAATAACACCGTATCCTCGGGGTGATGACCTAGGGTATACTCAGATTAGGTCAAAACGGTCAGGGTTCCGACTTGCTCTTCAAGCCCCCGTGGAAGGCTTGGTCCAAGAGCGACTATTGGAGTCATGGGCTCCTCCTGGCATGAGGGGTTGCTCCCCTAGATCTGAAGACACAATGGAAGCGTGTCGAAGGGTCACATGCTGGTAGCGGTCTGAGAAGCGGTTAGCTGTCAGTGCGGAATAGCAGTTCCCATTTCTGTCGGGATCACCAAGCTGGAGTACGAGATTTCTGGAACGACTTTGATTCTTTCGGATTGATTCGTAGCTTCCCTTCAGCGAAGTGTGAACGCAGTTAATGACGGCCACGGCGAACGAGTCTGTTAGTGCACACTCTAGTATGCCAACTATAGCTCAGGCAAAGGGGTCGCGGTGACATTATGGACGGCAATCCAGGATGACGGCGGCTCGGGGGGAGGCAGCACCAGTTCACGTATGCAAATATGAAGAACGGTGCCGGCTCTCGAGGTTGAGACTTTTAGTCAGGGGAAGTATTATTAACAAACAGAGCCGACCAACATGGATGATTTCTTACTTCAGCTCTATCGGCGATCCACCAACAGCTTGCGTACCTGGAGGTCAGTACTTTCTATTGAAACGAAGGGTCCGGGGGACTGCCCGCAAAGCGGTACTGTGTTCTTCCTAATCAGTTGAATGCATACGTAAGCTTTTAATCGTACGAGTGGAAGCATTGGTGAATTCAAGATGCCATTGGCACAGGACAGGTGGGTGTCCGCGTTTTACCAGTCTCTTGATGAATCCAATAGGGAAATCAAAAGTGTTGGATGCGGTGGGCGGACAGAGCGGTGCTACTCGTCTGCAACCCGGAGAAGACTGAAGCCACTTCTCGAATCGGGTACTAAAGATTGATGGGTTTCCCCCACCATGAGGCTTCCGGATCCCTTGACTCCTTTATCTGAACCAAACGGTCCTCCACTCACACCTTTGTATTCGAGTTTCTCGAACGGCACACACATGCGCCCTGAAAAGCTCATGTGGCTGTCCCTCGGGCTGATGACCTAGGGCATGCACTGGTTAGACCAAAATGGGTTCAGATTCTGACGCGCTCCCTTGTCTTTGTGGAAGACTTGGCCTTGTTGAACGCCTAGCGAGTTTTTGGATCTTCCCTGGTATGGGGGGTTGCTCCCCCAGGTTCGACTTGGGAAAGTCAGGGATAGATAAGGAGATATCTCCCGGGACCACATACCGGAAGCGATCTGTTGAGTGATCTCAGCCAGTGGGGGATTAGCAGTCCCCCATTTCCATGGAGCGTGGGACCAAAGTGTGCATTCTGGTTTGAGTGGCAGTAGTCCTTCGGGGCGAAGATAAGCGTGTCCCAGAATTGCATGTTCTCCCTTTGTATCATGCGAAATGGTCAATGGTTGTTGGATTTTCACGAGTCTATCACTCTGCAGGTGAAGGGGCCGCTGCTACCATTTGATGGGGAAATCGATCGTTTCAGTGGCTCGCCTACTATAATGGGAAGCGAAACCTGCTCCGCTCTGCCAAAAGGCCACTCTTGTGGAGACAAGTCTCCTACGGAGCTACCAGCGCAAGTAACGGAGGACATGGGGCAGGCGTTGCTTCTTGAAGATGAGGTCGGGGATGTCTTGGGAATACAGGTTCTCTGGTTTCCAAACGCCTTGAGACCGGACTGAGGGGGAGTGATGTGAACTTGACGCCGCCAACCTTGTGGGGGTAAAGGGGTACACTGTCTTCCTAGGACGGTATATCTGCCTTTTGGTGGGAGCCAAATTGCACCGCCGTGCTTTTTTTTGCATATTGGGCTTTTTCAGGCTCCCACTGGGAGGATGGCCGGACTGGTTTTTACTTATCTAGGGGGGTAAATATCAGCCATGCCGGCCCCACAGGGGGAAGCTAGTGCCAGGCAGGTCCTTATTTGGAGGAGGGGGGGACCTGTTCAAATTTTTTTTGGCACTAACTTCTGCGGGGGGAGGGGGGGTATCGCCAAATTTTGCAGGTCACGTGACCAATTTGAAAGTGGAATAACTCATCAACAAGAGCAGATAGAAGGTCATTGACATGGGCGCTGTGATCTAGAGGAGTTGAAGAATCGAATGGTGGAGTTAGAATGGCTAAAAACCCAATATTGACGAAATTACCTTTTTTGGAACTTGGAAGATGAGACAAAATTGACCAGGAACAAGGCGTTTTTGCCGAGTAGTAGCCCAAATAAGGCTTTACGCGCCTTTGAGCAGCACCTGTATGGCTGGAACGTGTCGGAGGTGCTAGGTAGACAACAATTGGGCCCAGAAACGAGATAGTGGGCGATATTTTGAAGTCCCAGTGAAGTGGGCCTTTTCGAAGAGGGCCTAATAGACCGACTCAATTGAAATTGAATTGGGACTTCACTTGGAAACCTTCATCCAGTATGAGTAACTCGACCGACATTAGCTGGCAAGAACTAGTGGTTCATTTCAGACATTAGCACATGGGTCGATGATTGATGGCCAAAGAAGAAGAGAACAAGATTTCTGGGGTCCACAATATCGAGTTGATTTTGTTTTGTGATAAATAGGCCGCAGATAACCGTTAGTAAAAGTGGGGAAACAGGGGATCTGACAAAGGGCCGATACGTGTTCTATTGAACTTGACTATATATTGTTTTCCCACCGAAGGGGATACCCAGCCAAGACACCCTATGCAGCCCCCACAATCAGTCTTAAGTACGTGGTGGCCATATAGGCTATCAAGGCAATTAGACACAGACCGGTTCTCTCTCAAAGATCAAATACACTATGGGACCAAACAAACTGCTAAAGATAATCATGATGACATTAAATAAGCCACTTTATTAGTTTCGAACGGTGCGCTCTTTAGGAAAAACACCACAATGATTCAGACTTTCATATGAAAAGACCATATGGCATGGCGAAACGGCCTATTTTGTGCGGTGATTGCCGTTGCGTCTGTCTCTACCGTCTCTACCGTCTCTGCCATCTCTGCCATCTCTTCCACCTCTTTGCTGTTTCTTCTGCATCGGACGGGATCTGTTCTGGCCTCTGTTCTGGTCCTTGAATCTATCGATTATGTCGTTGCTCATACGCACGTATTTGATTTGACTTCCACGCACATACACCTCGGGCACCTTTTCGAAGTTGAGACCATGCTGGTCGACGGTGACGGCGTCGATGAGCGTGAGATTCATCCAGGAATCACAGTTGTCGAGCAGTCCGTTGACCGTCTCGCCCGACTTCAACTCCACCAAAATCGGCTGCTTTTTCACAGACGTGAGCAAATACAAGGGAAGCATGTTGTTGAACAAAATTAAGAGATAATTTTTGTTTGTTGTCTGGGTCGTCCGCAGTGCGAATTCTTCCCCATATTTTTTTTTATTACAGGCCTCAAAAGTCGGAGATAATGTCACCTCTTGACCCGTCTTCCAGCAAGTGTTATCGGGTGGATTTGCCCGATACGGAAGACGAGGAGGCATCACATCGATTAGATGTGCGTTCGGGCTCGTCATCTGCGATTTTACGTTCGCGAATCATCTTGTACGGTGGCTCGGTGCTGCCCTTGCCTTTGGACGCGGGATTTAAAAGACAGGAATTACAAGCTCAATTCGAGCTTGCGGTGCAGGAACACGCCAAGTGCGGCAAAATACACCAGGATTACAACAAATATCTATCCACAGAACTGTTTTCGCTTAGTTTGCTCGATCGAAAGTGGGTCCGTAGGAAACCAATCCCAAGCTCGGAAAAACCTCTGGCAAGAATGTTTCATTCTATGGTGGTCCATGATAATTACATCTACATATTTGGCGGTTTGAGGTTCGACGCTAACAACCAATTGAAGCTGCTCAACGATTTCTGGCGATACGACAAGTTTGAAAAGGTTTGGAAGTGCTTGCTGCCCCCAGACAATGACATTCTACTTAAACGGTACGACCATATGACAGAATTTGTTCCGGAACTCTATGTGATCAAGGAACCAAGCCATCATGGGTTCGTCATATTTGGTGGGCTGGACGAGGACGACAAGCTTATTAAGGTGTCGCAAATCTACGACCTGGTTTCTGAAAAACTGCATCCTCGTCTGATCTTTAAGATGAGGTTCGCGGACGATTCAGAAAATATCGGACACCATGCGATCGAAGCGTCAAAGGACGACGAGATTGATGTCCCAACATTAGGGATCCGTGCAACAACGAATTCCATGGTTTCTGCCCAGTCGCTGGACTCGTCTCAGACCATTCCCGCGGTGTATATCTACAAAAGCCAGCCAGACGAAAAAGTCGAGCCGTTTGTCACGTTCTTCCTGGACAAACCCGACACTGGAATCACAGAGAAGGTCCCTCCCAAAAATATCAGTAAGATGATCCCGTTCGAGCTCACGTTCCCGACATTGGGCTACTTTGGCGAAAACCTCATTGTCACAGGATTCCGTCCCGCAGAAAAGACAATTTCTCTGTACATATTCAACCGTGTTTCGCGGACCTGGACAAAACTGCAGGTTTCCTGCACCCATTCTCCAGATACTCACCGTTTCTTCAAAGGGTTTGTCTGGAACTCACACCACAAGGTGATTTTTCTTGGAAGCGCAAAACATATTTCGGACTATCCAACAGTTCAGCATTTCGACCATTTCATTTCGGTTTCGCTCCCGTTCACCAACACTTACGGAATTGAGCTTGAGCACGCTTTCAAGGACGAGGCGCTCCACAAATCGTCGTCGGTCTCACACTCCTTATCGCAGCCGTCGTCCTCGTCCACGCAGCTGAAAAACGAAACTACCAGCTTTGCGGCCTACTCGCACTACGTGGCTCCGCAGGTGATCGCAAACTCCATCCGGTCCGTGTTCCCACCGTACGCCGTTGCGCTGGGTAAGAACGCTTTTGAGAGAACAGGGTCGTTTGCAGACTTTGAGTTCATCTGCGACGACGGAACTTCCATCTCCGTCCCGCTCAGTCTGTGTCGAAGACGATGGGGACGCACTTTCGACAAACTTTTAACAGATGCATATGCTAGGGCATTTGCTGAGAGAAACTTGCTTCAAGATAGGTACCCGGGAACGCCTCATAGCACGGTCAACTCCGAAACAGAAAGCATCCCTTCGCTGCGTTTGCAGAAGGGTAGCGACTTGAGAGCTCCAACTTTCAGATATCCTTTCCAGGACTCTGGAAGAACAACTCCTGGTCCAGGAACACCTACGTATGGGTCCGTTCCTGCGTCCAGACGCAGCTCCTTGAACGTGCCAACAACATCGCGCAGAGATTCGGTGGGCCCTTCTCGTCGAGAGTCCGCCACGTCTCGACAGAACTCGTCGTTTGGGTTTGAGAAACTGGCCATGACCTCCAAGAGCTCGAACATGCACCGCAGTTCCATTGCGTCCACGTCTTCGTCTTCGTCTGCATTCTCTGCGGTGCCGCGTGCCAGCGTGCCAAGTTGTCCAGCCACATCCAGTATCGACCAAGCAGACTTCAATAGTCTTCCAAATCCTATTTATGTCGACGATCTGCCTGCACAGCCGCCAATGCCGCCCGAACGAGCACAGTCTCAGTCAGAGACCGCCTCCAAGATCGAGACTCCGCCGCATCTTTCGTCCAAGTCGCTACCAACGAGTCGTCTAGCATACTCTGTTTCGAATTTCGAGGACGTGGACCCACTTTCCGAGTCAAACACGTCGAACCTCACGTCGAACCTCACTTCTGAGGACGACGTCGACTTCCCAGACGAATCAAAAGCAGAGATCGACTTCCGCTACCTACCAAGAACACTGTGCTTGCCGTACTCTAGGACCACCGTTCGGGCGTTCTCGGAGTTTCTGTACACGGGACAGCTTGGTAGCAACTGGAAGGTGATTCCCACGTGTGCGGAGGTTTTAATGATAGCCAAGCTCTACGACGTGCCGTTGTTGTACGATCTGATTTCCGAGGTGTTGTTTGTGGTGATTGCACGGAAAGAAGCCAAGCTGGTGGAAAATGCCAAAGAAGCTCGCAGCAAATTGCAAGTACCTGGAGACGGCACTGGGATAGCTGTGATCGACCAGTTCACGAACTATCTCGCCACTCTGGACGACAACCTGCTGGACGTTGTTCTGCTGAAACGGGCTTCCAGAGCTGTTGGCAGGTATTCTCGAGCAGGAAGTTTGGAGAGTTCCGAGGTGAATCTACGAGAACCATCCACTTCCAGAAAGAGAGCATCTTCGTTCACGCCGTCCATGACAGAGAGTCTGGACAGCAGCAACAGCGGGGAGGATTTCACCAACGAGACTCTGGGGCTGCTGGATCAGGACTTTTACGCAGAAACCAAGCCGGAGGACGACGCTTTGGACGTGAAGGAATGGCCTACTCTCAAGGATCTACTGAGACCGGACGGCAAGACGTGTCCGGACGTGATCATCGACGTGCTGGTGGAGATCGGGGCGCTGGCCAGCGACATAAAGCTGATGCTACGTGCGATCAACTGTCGGGAGATGATCATGCAACTACGCGACCGCAAGCGGGAGCCGATCGACGAGACCGAGCTGAGCGAGAAGCTGGCAGAGGCACGATTGCGGCCGCACATGCGCACAACCAAGTCGTCGAGCTCGCTTCCTCCAGACACCGTTTTCAAGAACCGGAGCGAGAGCGAGTCTTTTGAGCAGCCGCCACGCAAGAGCTCTGACCAGCCACGCATCCCGCACTCACTCACGTTCACAAGTCTCGAGCGGTCCTTCACGTCAACCAGCGCCGAGGCACATAGCCCGCGCAGAAAGCGCGGGTTCGGACTTTTCAAAAAGAAGTGACACGACGTCATCATATGATTGCACGGGCGGTGTCAGGTGTGGTCATTGTAGGGTCATATATTTTTTAGTAAGTGAGGTGATTAGGAGGAAGACACTAACCCGTTGATTGTTCTTATACGGCGTGTGCACCAAGAATCGTTGTATGTCGTTTATTTCTTCATTCAATTTTAGCTCGTTCACGGCCTCCAAGACGCAGGACTATGTTTCGCTGATCCAGTTCTACAAGTCGTTTGGGTTGTCTGTGATCAAGACGTTCAGCAAGGATGCCAACTCGTCTGGATCAGAGCTTGTGGGCATTTCCAGCGACTCTCGTCGGGAGTGCTGGCTGAGTTCGTTTCCATTGACACGGGCCGTGGGCCACGGCGTTTCTGGTGCCTTCAACAAGGGGGCCATGATCAAGTTGCGTCTTGTTAGCCACGATGTTCACCGCAACATCGAGGTTCCGGGCGAGATCGTGTTCTTTACGGTGGACCCGGCCAAGATCCGGGCGATCTGCGAACAAAACAACTACACCATCGAGCAGGGCGACTCCAAAGTGGAGTTCTTTGTGGTTGATCCGTTGGGGAACAGAATCGGGTTCACCCAATACCCATCTGCCGTTGCCAAGGAGAAAGTGTCCACGGTGGAGGATCTTGTTGCTGAGAATCCAGCGGCTGTTTCCCCCGTTGCCAAGCAAAACACCGACAAAAAACGGATAGCTGTCATGACCTCTGGCGGAGACTCGCCCGGTATGTGTGCTGTCGTGCGGGCTGTTGTTCGTGCGGGCATCTACTACGACTGCGAAGTGTACGGGTGTTACGAGGGTTACTCGGGACTGGTCCAAGGCGGGTCGTTGTTGAAGAAGCTCGACTGGGAAGACGTTCGTGGCTGGCTGTCTCTAGGAGGTACTCTTATTGGAACGGCCCGGTGCATGGAGTTCAAAGAGAGATGGGGCCGGCTCAAGGCTGCCAAGAACATGATTGTGGAGGGAATTGACGCCTTGGTCGTTTGTGGAGGAGATGGCTCCTTGACAGGAGCAGATCTTTTCCGGAGCGAGTGGCCGTCTTTGCTGGAGGAGCTGGTTGCTACGGGGGAGATTTCTACCGAGCAGCGGGCCAAGTACCAATACCTGACGATTGTGGGACTGGTGGGGTCGATTGACAACGACATGGCTCTGACAGACTCGACCATCGGCGCATACTCCTCGTTGGAGCGGATCTGCGAGATGGTGGACTACATTGATTCTACTGCGGCCTCGCACTCGCGGGCGTTTGTGGTGGAGGTGATGGGCCGGCACTGCGGATGGTTGGCGTTGATGGCGGGCATTTCGTGCGGAGCGGACCATATTTTCATTCCTGAACGGCCGCACAAGGCCGGCTCATGGCGTGACGAGCTCAAGAGAGTTTGTTCGCGGCACAGAGAAAAAGGCCGTCGGAAAACCACGGTGATTGTTGCCGAGGGGGCCTTGGACGACGAGCTGAACCCCATCACGTCGAACCAAGTCAAGGACTGTCTGGTGGAGATCGGGCTGGACACGAGAATCACGACGCTGGGCCATGTCCAGCGTGGAGGCACGGCCGTGGCGTTCGACAGAATGCTTGCCACGTTGCAGGGCGTGGACGCAGTGCGGGCTGTTCTGGAAAACACGCCAGAGACGCCGTCGCCGATGATTGGCATTCTGGACGGCAAGATTGTGCGCAAGCCGCTGATGGAGGCGGTGAAGCTGACCAAGAGCGTGTCGTCGTCGATTGCGGCCAAGAAGTTCGACGAGGCCATGGCCCAGCGTGACTCCACGTTCAAGGAGAGTTACGCAAACTTTTTGGACATCTCGGAACACGACGACGGGTCGCAGGTCCTGGACGCTTCGAAACGGCTCAACATCGCCATCATCCACGTCGGAGCCCCAACAGCAGCGCTGAACCCGGCCACCAGGGCCGCTGCTCTGTACTGTCTGTCGAGAGGCCACACTCCGTACGGGGTCCAGAACGGATGGTCTGGGCTGGTGCGCCACGGAGCGCTCAAGAAGCTCGACTGGATGGACGTTGAAGAGTGGCACAACATTGGAGGGTCAGAGCTCGGGACCAACAGAACACTGCCATCCACCGACATGGGCACCGTGGCATACTACTTGCAAAAGTACGAGATCCAAGGACTGATCATCATTGGTGGTTTTGAAGCATTCCGGTCGCTGTACGAGCTCAACAGGGCAAAGAAAGAGTACCCGATTTTCCACATGCCGATGGTTTGTTTACCAGCCACGGTTTCCAACAATGTTCCCGGAACGGAATATTCTCTCGGGTCGGACACTTGTTTGAACACGCTTGTGAATTACTGCGATGCAGTGAAGCAGAGTGCGTCAGCCACCCGTCGTCGTGTTTTTGTTGTTGAGGTGCAAGGAGGAAACTCGGGCTACATTGCGTCGTATACGGGGCTTGTGACCGGGGCACTTGCAGTGTACACTCCGGAAAAGAAAATCTCGCTGCGATCGCTGCAGGAGGATTTGGAGCTGCTAGAGAAGAATTTCGAGAAAGACCAGGGCAACAACAGGTCGGGAAAAATGTTTATTCGCAACGAAAAGGCCTCTGACACGTACACGACGGACCTGATTGCGGAGATCATCAAGGAGAGCGGACATGGCAAGTTTGAAAGCCGGACCGCGATCCCGGGACACGTTCAGCAGGGAAAAGTTCCGTCTGCGATGGATCGGTGTCATGCAGCCCGGTTTGCAATAAAGGCGTGCCAATACATTGAGGAACGCAACTTCTCTGCTCAGGTCGCCATTGAGACGTTCTGGAAGGAAGGGTTTGGCTCGAACTTGACCTCGAAGGGCCATTCGGAGGCGGACCTAAAATTTGTCTACAAGCACGGCAAAAAATACGTTATTCTGCAAGATAATGCCAAGGTGATAGGGATCCACGGTTCTAACGTGATTTTCGAGGACATTGACCGGCTATGGGAACACGACACGGACCTGGACCAACGGAAGGGCAAGCAGGTTCACTGGAGCACGATGATAGAGGTGAACGACCTGCTTAGTGGACGAAGCGTTCTTAGAGATACTCGCCGATTATAGTTGCAACAATGCAAAACCAATGCCGAAGGGCGGTGCTAAAAAAAAAATATGCTCGCAACGGCTCTTGGGCGGTGCAACTGTTTGCAATTAATACATGCGCAAGTAAAGAAGGTACTGGTGCAAAACAAGCGAGCATGATAGGAGGTTGTCTTAGCACCGTGCATTCGCAGATCGTGCACATTGCACGTCCCCGGAGCCGCGCAATTGGCTGACCAATGTCGAATACAGCGTAAAATGGACGATTGTCATTGTATGCAGAAATGAAACAAAGGTTGTATATAGGCAGCTTATGTAAAAAGAAAAGAAAAAGAAAGTTAGTCCCAAGTCTAAAATTGTCAAGGAAAATATTGAACAACAAGAAGAAAAAGTCCGGTGTTTATCTAATTATCTTCACACCTGGTTGATGAGCAGCAAATACAGATAGAACGTCGCTCCTTTCGTTTTCACATTTGTTCCCAGCAATTCTGCTTCTTTCGGTGTATTCTAAAAGCAATGTCGCAGAATTCGCACGGTCATCACACACCACTCCCGCCTTTCCATGCTCATCCCCAGCAGAATGCCCCGTCCAGTGCCGACCCGTCTGACCATTCAGCGCCGTCCCAGAAGGTGTCTGCGTTTGTTTCCAAGCTCTACTCCATGCTGAACGACCCGCAGCTGGGGCATCTAATCTGGTGGAGTCGAACTTATCAAAACGACTACTCCACGTTTGCCCTGTTGCCGGGCGCAGAGTTCGCCAACTCTTTGACCCGCTATTTCAAACACGGCAACGTGGCCTCCTTTGTTCGTCAACTACACATGTACGGGTTCCACAAAGTTTGCGACAACAGCCCAACGCCTACTCCGCCAACAAACCCTAATCTTTCAGACTCGGACCAAACATCCAAAATCCAGCAGCCCGTGTGGGAGTTCAGACACTCCTCGGGCCGCTTCAGAAAGGGAGACGAGTCGTCCTTGCCCTACATCAAGCGACGGTCTTCGTCCGGACAGAAATCGCTGCCTCCCAACGCAACGGAATACGTTTCTTCCCAGATCCTGCCCCCGCAACACCAATACGAACATTTCTACCCGCCGGTCGAGTATCATCAGCCACATATTTATGTCCCCGTGCAAGACGTCCAGCAACAACAGCAAACAGCCTACGAGTACTCCGGCCAATCAATTCCGCCATCCATGCAGGACGTGGAACATAAGCCAAGAAACTTGTCGGTCAATAGCCACATCAGCGATAACACAGAGGTGTCGTTCCAGTCCTCCTCCAGAAACAGGTATCCTTCTGTGTTTCTGGACCCGCTAGCACCGGCCCCTCTTCCGGCACCTTTCGCGTACCAAAACGCACACCATCTTCAGCACTTCCCGCATCACGACCAGCAATACCCGCCGCTAGCGGCACAACATCATATCCCATTGTCGCAGAGACGCGCTGGATCGTTTCCTAATGTGTCCAAGCCCCTTCCCCAACAGGAAACCCGGCTCCCAAGATCGATTCCAACCGAGTTTGTGCCGCCGCCGCAGCACCCTCATTCGCCCGTCCCGCAGGCCTCTGTCCATCTCCACCATCGCTTCGCATCTCCTGTTTCCAAACCAAGCCCCTCGCAGCCTTTAGCGCCGCGCATAAACACGCCATCCTCGCATCAGCGTATTATGCAGATGCGTCCCTCAGTGTTCGAGCTGCATCACAACCTCAACTCCATCTCCTCTGCGTCCACCGTGGGCTCCAGCTCGATCTTCAGTCGCACCTCCGTGGGCTCCTCCATCGCCGGGCCCAGCTCCAGCCTTGCCTTCGCCATGAACTCCCAGTCCGGCCAGTCCACCGTCGGCCGCAACTCCTCCATCTCCGACCTCCTCAATGCTGAGTCCCACTCCCAGCTGAAACAACTGGACCCTCCCAAGGGGGACAAACGGTCGTACGACTCCAACTCCGAGTCCGATCCTGATGACGAACTCGAGTCGAAAAAAAAGTCAAGACTCAGCTCCCATGCTGAGCACTAATACTGTCATTACTATTTCTTGTCGGTGTATTTAACAACTATGTACTTGTGAAGATAGTCAGAAAGGCCTCTTTGTCGTCTTTTTGGCGGCCCGTCCGTTGCTCTTGCGCTGAACAACCTCGTCCTCCGAGTCGGAGTCTATGGCCGCGGCAACGCTGGTTTTTTTCGTCTCTTTTCTGGGCTTTTCCACCTTTCTGCGTGCCTTTGTTCTATTTTCGTTCCTGAGTCTATTTTCCAGCGCCTGCAACGATCGCGACTGGTTCCGCTGCGCAGGGTTCGCCTTCCGACCGCTCTTGCCCGACGTAAAGTCCCCGATCTTGGAACTCTCTGTTGACAGGTCCAGCCCTGCACCCGGCTTGATCACCGGCAACTGCTCGAAAACACTCGCCGTGGACTTCTCGCCGCCCTCGCCGCCCAGCCAGCCGCTTATTCGCAAACTCGCCTGGCTCAGCTTCTGTTGCAGCTCCGTGTGAAGAACATTTGACATAGAGAGGGAATAAAAATATTTTTTTTCTATTATTTTCTTATCTTGTTTGTTATGGACCCATTACGACTGTCCCAGATCGACGAGGCATCGATCTCGTCGCTGTCGTCGGCGTCGATAGCGTCCGACCCGATCCACGAGACCAACTCTGTGCGGTCGTACCATCCGGGCAGGAAGTCGCGGCTCAATTCGGTGGCCTCTGTTCCTCCACCCACGGCTGAAGCAAGCATCAAATCGGGCGACCATGTGCCCGCACATTCCAGCGGGTTCAGACGACGCACATCCACTGTCACGTCCTGGTTCAGACACCAGGGCTCGGATGACGCCTCGCTGGAGCCCGTCAGCCGCAAACTCACCAGACAATTCACCCAGCAGACGGCTCCCGGCACGTCTGCCTTCTTTGTGGATGGCATGTTGCCCAACAGCGTGGACGACGCCAACGAGGAGGCCATTTCCACCATTCTCAACAGCGAAGACTCCGACAACGCAGACTCCGACGACGAAGAGCGCGACAACGACCTCACAAAGCTCAATAGCATCAAGAAACAGGTCACCCACGAGGTGAAGCAGCAGCTCAACAAGATTGGGTTCTTCGACCCCAAGTTCGACCGTGTCAAGACCATGTTCCACTTCGTCAAGGGCTACTTCCTCATCACAGGCGTCATCATGGCCATCTACAGTCTCTACTGGGGAGCCATGTACCACCGGACCTCGAGACTCAAGAACTTCGATTTCTGGGTAATTGTGGACGAACAGGATACTTTGTCGCAGTACGTTGTGGAGGCTGCTAACCGTGTGCCCAACATTGGTACCTGGATCCCGAAACCGTACCAATCCATCTCCAACGACACCTCGCAGCTCCATTCCATCATGGCACGCAAAGTTTACAGACAGGAGATCTGGGGAGCCGTGGTTGTTCAGCCCGGAGCAGCGTCAGACTATCTAGCTGCTCTCCAGTCAAACTCGGACTTTAATACCACCGGTTTGATGGAAGTTATCCACGAAACAGGCCGTGATTACGTTGCCGAGTCCTCGTACTTCACCAGAGCCTTTGCGTACCTCCAGCAGGCGTTTACAGAGCTGCAACCGAATATGACTGCAGAACTGACCGCACAGCTCTCTGACTCGCAGAAACTAGCCGTCCTGGATAAACTGCTGTCTCCCATAATGTTCACTGTGACAGACCTCACTCCAGCCCATCTGCTGGCGCCCATCGTTTCTGGACCCCAGCAGTTTGGCCTGGTGTACCTGCACTTGCTGTCGCTGCTGCAGTTTGCGTTCTTCCAGCCTTACCACAACAAAATCGCATCAGAACTCAAAGACGCTTCATTTATCGCTTATAGACTCATCTCGTCCCAAATCACATACATCATACTGGGACTCGGTTACACTCTGGTCCAGGTGTTTTTCCAAATCGACATATACACCGCTTATCCGCATAAGGTTGGGTTTTTGATCTTTTGGTTATCGTCGTACCTGGTGCTATCGTCGCTCGGCGGAGTGAACGAGAATATCAGCATCTTTCTACAAGCAGTCAAACCGAACCTGATTCCAATGTGGATGTTTTTCTGGATGGTGTCCAACATCGCCCCAACCTACTACCCAATCAGTTTGAGTCCGAAGTTCTACAGATACGGATACATGATGCCTATTAAAAATGGATATGATCTGTACAAGACTCTTTTGTTCAACACGTACAAGCCGGCCAACATGCCGCGAAACGTGTGTGTGCTGATCGGCTGGGTGCTCATCACCAACGCGCTGCTGCCGTTCACCATGATGTACTATACCAAGGTCAAGTCGGAGGAAAATAAGAAGAAGATCAAGTTGCTCAAGAAACTCAAGAAACTGCGCGCAAAACACCACGTTTTCAGAGACAACACCGTCGAGGAGAAGCCATCGCCGCAGTAATCAGGCGAGCGTGGCCTCCAGACGGCGTAGAAGCTCTGTTTTGTCCAGATTGTGGCGCTCGTCCCAGATAAGCTCGATCATCTTGGAGTTCTGTCTCACGAGTTGGTCCACCGTCATGCTGGCGGACCGGCGCAGTAGCAGCTCCTGCACGCGGACCAGGTCCACGGGTGAGTACACGAGTGTCTGTGGTTCTGGCCTCTCATACTCCTCATCTGAAGACTCAGGCGCAGGATCTTCGTTTTGCTCCTCTTGCACCTCCTTCTGCAGCTCCTCCTTAATAGGCTGCTCTGCAGGAAGAATGGGTTCAACAGATACAGACTCGGGTTCCGGAGGAACCGGGTGGTCATCTCCTCCATTCATGAGCTGTGCTTGTTGCTGCACGTCGACCACCACTGCATCGTTCTGACCTTCAGCGGCCACCTCGGCCTCGGCAATCTCTTTTTCTTTCAGCTGCCGCAAGTACTCGGCTTCGCGGCGCTTCTCGCGCTGTCTTGCGGCCTTCCAGTCGGCAGCGAGCTGGGGAAACGCGATCTCCATCTCCTCAATGCCGACCTGGGCGTTGGCATACATCTCGTTGGCCTTCAGAATCCGGTCGCGCTCGCCAGACATGTTTGCATCCTTCAGAATCATCTCGATGTCGCCGAGGAACTGTCGTGGCTCTGAATAGTACCCGTTCCACAATCGTTCCTCAATCACGTCCAAATCGATATTATAATACAGTTTTCCCGTGGCCACCTCCAAGATCCTGTCGTCCTGTCTCTGGTACGGTGCTTCTGGGTCTGGCTCCGGCTCGAACAGATGCACCAGGTACGAGTCCTCGATGATGGGTTTTTTAAACCGCTTGTACCGCGCCTTGAACAGCTCCATCAGCCCAGACAGTTTCACCTTGAGCGTATTTTTCAGACGCATGTCCGCACGGGCGATTTCCACCTCTTTGCGTGGCTCGTCCACAGGTTCTTTTGTCTCCTCGACAATCTCGATTTTAGGCAGCTCTTTCAGCTTCCGTTTTGGACGGCTACCAATCTCGTTGTACTCGATTGGAGTCAGCTGGAAACACGTCCAAACGTTTTCGAAAAACCGTTTTCTCTGCTCTTCTGACGGTTTGTGCAGCTCCACAGAGTCCAGCTGGGTGAACCCGAAAATGGCGTCCAATTCCTGGTAATAGTTGTCGTCCAACAGATCCTGCTCCTCAACCATACCGATCACCAAGATCCGGTCGTTTGGGTCCAGTGTGCGAACGAGCCCGGATATCGTCGACCGCAGCGACGACGTGATGTCGTCGAGGAAACTCAGAATGTACGGAACGTACAACACGCTGGGCTTGTGGCGTTTCAGTTCCTGGAACAGCTGGATCACCACGTTTTCCGGCGAGATCGACGAGTCCGTGTACAATTTGGCGAAATCGAGCGTTTGCACGTTGAAGCCCTCGAAACTGTGCAACACCGCGTTCGCAATGTACTCCTGGCCGTCGCCCTTGTGGCCTGTGATCAGCAGCCGTGGCTTGAAGACACGCAGCTGGTTCAGCTTCGACAGCAGCTGCTGGTGCTGGAATCCGCCGTCCGGCTCGAACGAGGTCAGATCAACGTACTGGCTCTCCTCGAGCAGAGTGACGGGCTTCTCGCTCGGAATCACCTGCCGTGTGCGCTGCACAATTGTGTCCAGCTGTGCCTGGAGCAGCGGAGCAATGGCCTCGGGCAACGGGCTCGAGCTGAGCGACGTGGCCCGCGCGCTGGACGGCACAATCTTGTCCAACGTGCGTGTGAAGTCGCTCGCAATCACCTTCACCTTGTTGATGTTGATCTTGAGCTTGTCGTTGGATTGGTAGATCTGCGGATAGGCTCTCTGGATCGCGTTCAATGCGCTCTCTGTACAAAGGGCCTTGAGATCGGCTCCACCGTAGCCCTTGGTGAGCCTGGCCAGCTCGTGCACAAAGCCCGGATCCAGCTGGTGGTCCCACTTGCGCATGTGGATCTTGAGGATCTCCTCTCTGGCCTTGTCGTCGGGCAGCGGAAAGTAGAACTCCCTGTCGAATCTGCCCGGTCTGCGCAAAGCAGGGTCGATCGAGTCTGGTCTGTTGGTGGCTCCGATCACAATCACCTGGCCACGGTTGTCCATGCCGTCCATCAACGCCAGCAGCGTCGACACAATCGACGCGTGGATCTGTTCCTGTTTGGACGACCGAACCGGCGCGAGTCCGTCGATCTCGTCAAAAAAGATAATCGACGGCTGCTGCTGCTTGGCCTCTTCGAAAAGCAGCCGCAGGTGTCTTTCGGCCTCGCCGACCCATTTGGACAGACAGTCGGCTCCCTTCCGCATGAAAAAGGTCACCTTTCGCTGCTGTGACGAGCACGAGGCGGCCAGGGCCCGTGCCATGAGTGTTTTTCCCGTACCAGGCGGACCATGGAACAAAACTCCTCGCGGCGGCGTGATGTGAAACCGCGAGTAAATCTCCGGGTACAGCAGGGGAAGCGTGATCATCTCCTTGAGCTGGTTGATGTAGTTGTCCAGTCCACCAACAACAGAAAAGTCGATGTTGGTGTCTATTCCAAGTGGATCTGTATCTGCCAATGTATTTTTCTTCTTTCCAGGGACGTTTGAGTCCACCGTGACTATGTTCAATTTGTTTGGGTCTGTAGGCTTGAACAACTCGTTGTCGTCTTCGGAGTCGCTGCTCTCGACGTTGCCGATGGCCGTCAGCGTGTCGGGCACGCCGCCGTTCTGGAACAGAGCGTGAACGTCTCCTCCACCGAACGGCCCCACGGTCGGGAAAAGCCGTCTGATCTGCGTGGAGGGGGCCACAGACCCTCCAATGCCGCCAAACCGGCCGCCAGCACGCCCGCGACGCGGACTCTCCATGAGATCGACGCGCCCGGTGTCTGGTTGCAGGATCGGAGGCGGCAGCTGGTAGTTGACGTTCTTGCGCTCGCGCAGGTTGCGCTGCACGGGCGAGTTGAGCGGCGAGTCGTCCTGCAGCGCTTTCAGCTCGTCGGCCAGTGTCAGGCTCTCGTCCTCCTCGCTCTCGTCGTCAAACTCCTCCACCTCCTCCTTGCGCGGCCGGCCGCGTGTCCTCCGGGCAAGTCGCCCGTTGCGACGCCGCTTCTCCTTCTTGAGGTCGAACTCCTCGTCCTCGTCCACGTCCTCGTCGTCCTTGACGATAAACCCTGGCTGGCGTCGCCTGCGCGGCCGCAGCGAGTCGTCCGAGCTGAGCACCTCGTCCTCGTCGAACTCGTCGTCGCTGTTCGAGGCCACCTTCTCGTCGAACTCCTCGTCATCCAGCTTGCGCGACCGCGTGCGCCGCCGCTTGCGCGAAGAACCCCCCTCGTCTTCGGCAGACTCGTCGCTGTTGTGCCCGATCTCGTCGTCGATGGCCGCCAGCAATGCGTCCTCGTTGTAGTTCACCGACCGCCCCCGCGTGCGGTGCGTCCGGATGGCGTCCTCGTCGCTGTCGTCGTCCACAGGAACAGACCGTTTGCGCCGCGTTCGACGCTCGTTCGTGTCTGACAACGACTTGTCGTCGGGCACCTCTTCGGCCTCGGACTCGCCGCTCGAAAGGCCCGGATACCGTCTTCTAGCTTTCATGGCTCTACTGCGCGTGCTTTCGCCGATATTGTCTCCGAATTGCCCGCGTTTCCAAGACCAGGGGCCAAGCTTGTTTGGTTAAGCAAAATCAAGACGATTTTTTAGAGGTGTACGCTGACATTATAAATTACGGGTGAGTACGGAGCTGGGCCTGTTCAGAACCCAAACTCTCTTGCGAGCTCCATCTCGTCGGAGAGCACGTCTTCGTCGTCGTTGGCCGCCGCAGGCTGGTCCGACGGCTGCTTGCCCGCAGGGGTGTACAACTCGTCGTCCGACAGGAACAGACCCGGATCGTCGTCAACAGGTTTGGGGGCAGACTCGGAAGGAGTAGGTGGGGGTATGTCCACGTCGGTTTCGTGTGTCTGTGCCTCAACCTGGATCGGCTCAAATGGTTCCCCCACCATGAGTGCCCGCTTGTATGTTCTCATCTGGCTCGTGCCCATGGCGCGACTCAGCACCGGAATGAAGTCCTTGAACTTGTACTGCGGGTACACGTCGTGCCCCCACACCTGGTAGACGTGTAGCAAACGCGTGAGGTTGTCGAAATGGTGGGAGTTGGTGTAGTTGTCGCGTCGTTGGGCAGGTCGCTTGGCGTGGTGGAACTTGTACTTTTTGAGTGCGCGGTGGAGCGCAGGCAGCCCGCGCGGGCCCAGGAGCAGCTCGTCGGTGAGCTTGTGCATTGTGCGCCGTTTCTTGGGGATCTCGGGCACCTCAGGGCCCTGCAACCCGAGCAGGTCTTCGTTTGATAGCGACATACGCGAAACTAAAAAAAATATGTGGGGGGCAGATTTCTAGCCACGATGGGTGGGAGCACACACCACCAGACTGGTGAGTGTGCATCTACAGCATGTCGCATGCCACAACACAAACACACAGGTGGCTGGTGCTGGGTTATTCTGGACCTAACCTACAAGGAACATAGTAGCAGCAATATTAACGTACATGCGGTGTCACTTCTCCACAGACAGCTCCTTGAGCCGGGACTGGATCGAGTGCACAGGGTTGGTCTTACCCAGAGGAAACCGTTGTTTCCCGGACTGGTTCAGCTGTTCGCTGATGGGCGACACGTTGAGGTGGTCGGACGGCGATTGGTAGGCGTTGCGCAGGCTGGTGCGGTCGTTCAGCTGCAGCAGGTGGCTATGTGCGTGCTGGTCGCCAGCAGGCTGCGCCTCAGGGGTGGTGGACACAGGCACCACAGGCACCACTTTGCTACTATTTGGAGTAGACATAAACAAAGACGGAAAAAAAACAACAAGGGACGATCGACTTTTAGGTATTTTTCGTATCAACTATGAACGTCAAGCAGTTGTCCATTTTAGTTCTTGCCGTGGTGGCGCAGGCCGGTGTCCAGATCGGCGTTACTCACAAAGTGCCGGAGGCTGAGTGCACGCAGCGCACGGCCAAAGGCGACGTGGTGAAGATGCACTACACGGGAAAACTGCACGAGACGGACGAGGTGTTCGACTCGTCGCTGGGCCGCCGGCAGCCGCTGCAGTTCACTTTGGGTGTTGGCCAGGTGATCAAGGGATGGGACCAGGGTTTGATGGACATGTGTGTTGGGGAGAAGCGGAAACTGACCATCCCACCAGAGCTGGCCTATGGCAAACGGGGGGCCGGTGGGGTTATTCCTCCGGACGCGACGCTGGTGTTTGACACCGAGCTCGTGGAGATTGTGTCTGCGAAGGACGAGCTATGAGCGTCTGGGGTGCAGGTACGAGTGCAGCGGGTCCACGCGTGCGCGCTTGGACAGTCCCACGCGGTACCGAGGCTGTGGGGGTAGCACTATGGGTTTGGCCAGGTGTGGGAGGGCCGTTTTTAAAGTAATCGAATTGTTGTTGTCCTGTGTAGACTGCGGAACGGTGGGGGAAACCGCGAGCGGCGGAGGCGGCGATTGGGAGGCGGCCTGGGGGCTGTGTGTGCTTGGTTGGCTTTGCTGGAGATGCTGGCTATAAATGACTGAGTGTTGGCTCTGCTGGCTCTGCTGGCTCTGCTGACTGCGCTGGCTCTGCTGAGTCTGTTCTCTGCTGAGGCGGACGGCCTCCTGGACGAGATTTTCCCCACTGAGCTCGTTGTCGCTGTCTGTGGAGTTTGTCACCTCGAGCTCGTCGTTGCCCTCGGAACTGAGCAGCGAGATCACCTCTGGACGCGGGACGCGGCGACGGAGCCTTTTGCGAGGCCGCGCGCCAGCAGCCAGGGCAAGCAGGCCGGATTCGTGGGCAATTTCCATGACGCGTTCTATCGACGCGACGCAAATTAAATTTCCTCACCGGAAGCGGAACAAATAATTAACCCCCCCGGCACGCCAAAAGGTTTTTCCCAGGCATTGCCGAGAGATCTACACGGTAAATTATCCTCCAAGCATAAATTAATTAATACATAAGGACTATCAGAAATAAAGCAGCCCAGTTCCACTCGGCAAGGAATTATGTTGTGAATCTAGCAAATGGAAGCGCAAATGTATCGAATAGTTTATGACTTCAGACTTAGAAAAGAGCCAAAGCAGCAGCAAGACCGGCACCGAGAGCAACGGAACCGTAGGTGTTAACAGCAGCACCGGCAGTGGAGACGGAAGAGGACTCGGAAGAGTTGTTGGCAGCCTGGACAGAGGCAACGGCAGCGAGAGCGACAATGACTTTAGAGAATTGCATTTTTATTGATGTATGTGGTGAAGACAAATTTTTACGGAACCTCCTCCCCTTTTATATCTCGCCACCTACCGCAAATGATTTTCTAGGAAAAATTTTCGTGCACGATCTTCTTATTCGTTTGGTAACCGCATTAGGAATATGAGGAAAAGAAATTTCTAGCAAGACAATAGGAAACACGCTTGGACAAAGACGTGCTTAGCTCACTACGCTTGCTGCCACTACTGTGGGTCCCCCGATTAGTCTACACGGTAATCGTGTCATCGGCGTGCTGATTTCAGTTGTCGGACCCTATTAAACTGCTAAAAATAAACCGGCTCGCCCACTTTGGTGATGAAATTTCCGCATTCGGCTGTAATTGAAAGCTATTAGCATAGCCTCCTTCCTAATCCGGCCTAGCCTGAGATTCTAGATTTGCGCTTCCTTCGCAGGTTCTCCTTTCAGACTCGTGTTCAGGCACCACCTTGGCGCGTTTGTCGTGGAGGGCGTCGCGTTTCTGCTTCCTTGCCCAGCATCCGCGCTGCTCCGGTTTGCTCCTCGCACAGTTGGTTCCGCATCCAGCGATAACGGTGGCCCGTGCAAGCTGTCCAGCTGAAACGCGATCTCCGATTGTATCGTATCCTGTGTTTCACACAATCTGCGTAGAAGATCGCTTGTGCCTGTTTGATGTACTTTTGAAATCGCAACCGTTGTTTCTCGCTAGCTCTTCACCGCTTCAGCAGGCCCTCCAGTTTTCCACCAGGTCCAAAACCACGGCAGCTCCCATCGCCAAGAGCCCAAGGCCGTGCTCAGGGCCCCGCAAGCCCATTTTCCTCGTTTCTTTGCAAGCCCAACCGAGTTTGAAGCCCGCTTATGTAATCGCTTACCCCGCCGCCCGATGGAAAAAAAATATTTTCTCCAGTGACTCTTGTTCATGTCTGAAGCCATTGCCAAACAGGCGCATCTGGCGTCAACCACCCTGAAAACGCTCTCCGACAAGGAGCGGTCGCTCGCGTTGTACAAGATCAAAGAGGGGCTCGAGGCTGCCAAGGACGAGATCCTCGCTGCCAACAGAAAGGACATGGAGCTCGCAGAGGCAAACCATCTCTCCTCCTCGTTGATCAAGCGACTCGATCTCTCGAAAAACGGCAAGTACGACTCCATGTGCGAGGGAGTTCTTGACGTGTCGAATCTGGAAGACCCATTGAACAAGATCACGTTGCAAACCGAGCTCGACGACGGCTTAACCTTGACCAGGCTCACCTGTCCGGTTGGAGTGTTGCTGATCATTTTCGAGAGTCGGCCCGAGGTGATCGCCAACATCACCGCTTTGGCCATCAAGTCTGGAAACGCTGCAATCTTAAAAGGAGGCAAGGAGTCGTTGAACACGTTCCAAGCAATGGCCAACGTGATTAACAGTACTCTTGATACCGAGACAAAAGTCCCTAAAAACGCCATCCAGCTCGTCAGCACTCGCGGAGAGGTCGGTGACCTTCTCAATCAGGACAGATACATCGACCTGGTGATTCCGCGCGGATCTAACGAGCTTGTTAGAAACATTAAGGAAAACACCAAAATCCCTGTGCTGGGCCACGCAGACGGTATCTGTTCGATCTATGTCGACAAGGACGCCGATTTGGAGAAGGCCAAGCGGATCCTTGTGGATTCCAAGACAAACTACCCGGCCGGCTGCAACGCCGTGGAGTCTGTTCTTGTTCACCAACAATTGGTGGATAATGGTAGCTGTCACGAGATTCTCGCCGCATTCAAAGACGCTGGCGTGACATTGCATCTGTCACAAGAACTGTACAAGGAGGATAAGGACACTGTTCTGGCGACCGAAACAGACTTCTCCAAGGAGTTCTTGTCGCTGGACGTGGCCGTCAAGACGGTCCAGTCGGTGGAAGAGGCCATTTCGCACATCAACTCGCACTCGTCCAAACACACCGACTGTATTGTCACCGAGAACAAAACCGTTGCTGACAAGTTCCTGGCGGGAATCGACTCGGCCGGCGTGTACTGGAACTGCTCCACCAGGTTCGCCGATGGTTTCAGATACGGTTTTGGTACCGAGGTTGGGATCTCCACCAACAAGATCCATGCCCGCGGTCCGGTGGGGCTTGAAGGTCTGGTTTGTTACTACTACCAGCTGCGCGGCAACGGCCACGTGGCGGCCGATTACAAAGGCGCCGGCGGCACACAGGTGTTCAAACACAAACGGCTAATCTAAACTGTGATTAATTAATCGACGCGTCGACCGACCCTAATTTGAAGGCAATCAATAAGTAAAACAAACTACATCAAATAAACGCATCTTTATTTTTCCCCCATCATGGACGAAAACTACGACGTTATAGTGTTGGGAACCGGTTTGACCGAGTGTATTCTCTCTGGACTGCTGTCAATTGACGGTAAGAAAGTCCTGCACATTGACAAGCAGGATTACTATGGAGGAGAAAGCGCTTCTTTGAACCTTACCCAGTTGTACTCCAAGTTCAAGCCAAGCAAGCCGTATGCAGACCAGTTCGGCAAAGACAGAGACTGGTGTGTTGATTTGATTCCCAAGTTTTTGATGTCGAACGGTGAGCTTACTAACATTCTTGTTCACACCGATGTCACCCGTTACATGGAGTTTAAGCAGATTCATGGCTCTTATGTGTACCGCGGGGGTCGTATTGCGAAAGTTCCTTCCAACCAGACAGAGGCGATCTCGTCTCCGTTGATGGGATTCTTTGAGAAGAGAAGAATGAAGAATTTCCTGGAGTTTATCATCAAGTACAACGAGGACGAGCAATCTACCCATGGTGGAGTGGATCTCGACAAGACCACCATGGACGAGGTGTACAACAAGTACGGACTCGAGCGGGGAACCAAGGACTTCATTGGCCACGCCATGGCTCTTTGGCCCAACGATGAGTACTTGAACGAGCCGGCCAGAGAAACGTACGACAGAATTGTGCTGTATCTTGGTTCTGTTGCCAGATACGGCAAATCGCCATACATTTACCCATTGTACGGACTGGGCGAGCTTCCACAAGGATTTGCCAGACTGTCTGCGATCTACGGCGGAACTTTCATGCTGGACACGCCAATTGACGAGGTGTTGTACGAAGATGGCAAGTTTGTTGGTGTCAAGACCAAAGAAGGAACTGCCAGAGCACCGGTTGTGATTGCAGACCCAACCTATTTCCCAGAGAAGGTCAAGGCCACGGGCCAGAAGGTGATCAGAGCCATGTGCATTTTGGACCACCCGATCCCAAACACGTCCGACGCGGACTCTGCGCAGATCATCATCCCGCAGAACCAGGTGGGCCGGAAAAACGACATCTACATTGCCACCATTTCCTCGGCCCACAACATTAGTGCCAAGGGCTACTACCTGGCCATCATCTCCACCATCATCGAGACAGACAAGCCTCACCTGGAGCTGGAGCCCGCATTCAAGATCATCGGCGCAACCAAGGACGTTCTGATGGGCATTGCCGAGTTGTACGAGCCATTGGAGGACGGGTCCAAGGACCATATCTATATCTCCAAGTCGTACGACCCTTCGTCCCATTTCGAGTCCACCACCGACGACGTCAAAGACATCTACAAGCGTGTCACTGGCCACGACTTGGTGCTGAAGAAGCGCGCCACCGCAGAGGAGGAAGCAGACCTGGCCGGATTGAGCTAAATCATAAATAATTAATTTATTTTTTATTATCTGTTATCATGTCATTGTACACCTTTTCGACCCCGACGTTGCAACGTTTACGCAAATTCCGCATCACCAGCGCCCGCAGCAGCACATTGCAAGCACAGGTGTACCAGATCGACGCGCAATCGTACGATGTGCAGTACGAGGAGCCCGAATTCGGGACGATCGACTCGCTCGACACGCTGCTGGAGGAATTGCCGGACAACTCGCCGCGGTTTGTGGTGCTGAGCTACTCCAAAACGCTGCCCGACGGCCGGCTTAGCAACCCGCTGGTGATGGTGTACCACCGGCCGCTGACGGCGAAGCAGGAGGCCAAGATGTTGTACGCGGGGTGTCTGGAGCAGTTCAAGAGCGAGGTGAGTCCGAACCGGTTCGTGGAGGTGGCGGACGAGGACGACTGGGACGAACTGCGCTCCGAGGTGGAGTAGCCCGTGGCGGCCCCCATCGTATTACCTAAGCAGCCCTAATATACATCACGTGACACTTATTTTTTTTCTCAACCATCCGTCCACCATTTGGATTTTTCACCTCTAAAAAAATTTTCCACACAACTATTCTACAACATGGGTCGTATGCACAGCAAAGTGGGTAGCCTCTAGCCCAATACAACGCCTGTGATTCGGGCTGAAGCGGTGGAAGCTGCTCAGCACCAATCGTTTGCCACGTATTGGATAAGTATCAACTAACCTTTTAGGGAAAGGGTATGTCGTCCTCGGCACTGCCATACTCGAGAAACGTTCCATCTTGGTTCAAATTGTCTTCTGACGATGTTGTTGAGCAGATCGTGAAGTACGCCAGAAAGGGTCTTACCCCTTCTCAGATTGGTGTTATTTTGAGAGACGCTCACGGTGTTAACCAAGCCAAGGTGATCACCGGTAACAAGATTATGAGAATTCTCAAGTCCAACGGTCTTGCTCCAGAGATCCCAGAGGACTTGTACTTCTTGATCAAGAAGGCTGTTTCCGTTAGAAAGCACCTTGAGAGAAACAGAAAGGACAAGGACTCCAAGTTCAGACTTATTTTGATCGAGTCTAGAATCCACAGATTGGCCAGATACTACAGAACTGTTGCTGTCTTGCCTCCAACCTGGAAATACGAGTCTGCCACTGCTTCTGCTTTGGTCAACTAGGTAGCCGCAAATAATAAACATGAGTGATATTAGCTGAGGTATTTTAAAACTATGTCGATTCCAACGGTGTAATGTTGAACGGTTCGTTTTTCCATGCGAATGCGACAACTCCACCGTCTTTAAACTGTAATTCTTGCTCGGACAGATCTGCCGTCCCGAGTCGAAGTCCCTCCGCGTCCACCTGGACACGGCCTTCCTTCAGTTTGGGCTCCTGGGGCTCTTCAGCCTCACTATCGCTGTCCACCTCAAACGACGGCACTGGAACCTCCACTTCGTCCACCTGGTCCGCCTTGTTCTCCAACACCAGCCCACCAGACCCGTTCAACATCTCCGCCAGCCGCGTCTTCACCTCGGCCGCGTCGCAGTCCTCCGAAACGCTCACAAAAACCGTCTGTAGCTGTCTCTTGGCCTTGATAGTGATCATGCCAATCTCCTCCCCGTATAAATAAAAAACTTTTTTATTGCCGTATCTTTTGTTCCGCAAAATGAGCTCATCTTCGGCTGCTCCCTCTGCCACGGCCACGCAGGCCAACGTGGCTGGAAACTTCATAGGCAGCAAGCCGTCCACCGTGTTGTTCTTCATCGCCCTCTGTGTCGGGGTGATCATTGCTGTACTCTTCATCTTCTTCACCTTCAGATACCTTGTCCGTTCCAGATACGGTCTTTACAGTCCCGCTCCGCAGTTTGCCCGCAACCCGTTCTACATGGGGCCCACCGGGCGCGCGTCCATGAACGGACTCCAGCCGTACTTCGAACACGACATGGCCTTCAACTTCGCAAACAACAGACCCCCAAACGCTTCCCGTTATCACCCTTCTGATAGGTACTCCCGAAAAAGAAAGCTGACTCAGGAGGAGGTCGACGACCTGTTCCCCATCAAGACGTACGCCAAGTGGCTCAACGGCGGCCAGGAAGACGTTATCAACAGAAACGAGGGCGTCCTGGTCTACGAAGAGGACACCACCAGGCAACAGCAGCAGTCCACCCCTTCGCCCGCACACCGCGACGAAAACAGTATCAGCAGCGTCCACGAACTGCCGCAGGAAACTGATCTGGCCGACCAGGGCAAGTTCGAGCAGATCGAGCTCACCGAAACGGCCCCCGCTACCGCATCCTCCGTGGATCAGGACCATCTCCACTTCACCTCCGGAGTGTGTGCGATCTGTCTTGATAACCTGCTGGACGACGACGAGGTGCGTGGTCTGATCTGTGGCCATGTGTTCCACGCCGATTGCATCGATCCCTGGCTTGTCAACAGAAGAGGATGCTGTCCGATGTGCAAAAGAGACTATTACATGAGAGATCGCAGTCGGCGTCGCCACGGCAACCACGGACAGGGCGATCGCGACCTGGACAGTATCTTCAACGACTCCGACTCGATCTCCGACTTGTACTTCCCCAGATCAACAAAATATAAGGCCCAGACGTTGCTGGCTTGCCTCCAACTGGTGAGGTCCGGACAGTACTCTTCGAACACCGAGAACCCTGTTGCCACCGCATCAGAGGCTCCTCCCACCGCACCGCTTGAAGACACAACAAGAATGTCCAACACAGACTTCTCCAGACCGCCAATGCCAGACGTGCACGCGTTGCAATCGTCGATTCTCGAAATTATCAACGAGCGGCCGTTTTCGCCAGAAGATCTGGACAACATCGACGTCAAGGCGTTCGAGCATGTCAACACGAAATTCTCCTGGATCAGAACTGTGTTCTGGCGTATCATGGGCATCCACAAAGAAGATCTCTACTACCATTTTGTCCTTCATTTTTACGAACTCAACAGGGAGCAAAGATTGGCTCGTCAAAACGAACCTGCAGAACAATCTAACGATCAAAACGCACATCCGCCGCAACAACAACAAACTCCCGAACAAATGGTTTGATTACCAGTTCACTTTGGATACTTTAACCATTACTTAATTACAACGTTCCCTTCAATTTTCAACCGACAGCTTTTTTATTCCAGCTTCTGCTTCTTCCACTTCGTCTTCATCGTCATCGACGCTCAAAACATTGAAAGAAGACTGTTTAGGACCATCGGTCTTGATCTGCTTGGTTTCTTTAGCTCCCGACTTGGATGCTTCTCTTGGCTTTTCCTTATTCAGAGCAGAGCCACGGAGATTGCTCCAATCGATGGCAGGCTCCTGTTTCTTTGGCTTTGGCTTGAATGTGGTGTCGCTCTTTCTGCGAGCGCTCTCGGCCACAGAGTTTCTGGCCGCGCTCCAATCTGGCTCTGGAGCACGCTCTCTTCTTGGAGGACGGTCTGCACGCTCAGCACGCTCTGGACGTTCAGCACGCTCCACACGAGCAGGCTCTCTATTTCTGATAGCGCTCCAGTCTGGCTCTGGAGCACGGACGCGAGGCTCTCTTGGCTCTCTTGGCTCTCTGCGAGGTCCGAAACGGTCGCCCCGTGGCTCAGGAACATTATTTGCGCTGTCACGGACAACAGACCAGTCTGGCTCAGGAGCTCGTTCTCTTCTTGGGAACCGGTCTCTTCTTGCCTCTGGAGCGTCGGCCCTGGTTCTAGCAGCTCCCCAATCCGGCTCGGCAGCACGTCCCCCTTGGAATCTGTCTCCACGCTGTTCGGCTCTTGGGCCGTCACGCATCGATCCCCAGTCGATCTCTGCCTGAGGCTGGCGGCCTCCACGGCCCCCAAACGAGTCTTTCGAAGGAGCAGCCACGCTCACGTACACAACACGGCCGCCCAAGTCCTGTCCCGACAGCTTCAGAGCGTCCTCTAATGTCTTTCTGTTTTTAAAAGTAATAAACGCAAATCCTCTAAGGGTACCGGTCTGCTGGTCCTTAGGGGCATGGAAATCTAATATCTCGTCAAAAGGGTCGATCATCTTCAAATTGTCTGCGAAAAAGCCCTGAACGTCATCGTCCAGAATCTCGCGTGGCAGATTGTTGATTCTGGCCGTGTATGGAGGACTATCTGGAACAGGATACTCTCTTCTTTCGAAATCTCTCTCTTCGAAACCACCGCTTCTGCCGCCCGTAGGCTTGGAAACAGGCACCTCCAGAGTGTTCATGTCGAACTCCTCGTCCGCCCACGAACCTCCGAAGCTTTCGTCCGCAAGGAACGAGCCTAGATCCATCTTAACTTTGGTTTTAGGAGGCATGTTGTACTAAATGTTTGTGAAATGAACTTTATCCGGTTTAAAAATTTTTCATGTTAATCACCGCGTCTATCGCCGCGTCGAAATTAAATCTGCTAATTATCAGAGCAATAACCAGCCATGCAATCTTTCACACTTCCAACACTCCTTCTGGCTCTGGTTGCATCCGTGCTGTTGTGGAAAGTTGTCAGCGGTAAGCTGTGGCTATCTGTTGGTGGAATTGGCTTTTTCCCCAGAAATAACGGCCATCTGCTACCTATAGCAATATACAGTGTATCCGTCACCGTTGGCAAGCTTGGCGTTTCTGTCAGCTCGGTTGGAGTGGCCCTTCGTCCTTCTCGACCGTTTATTCGTGTCTGTGTGGACGGACTGACTGTTACCAAGTCGAAGTCTTCGAAACAACGAGTTTCTGCCCAGTCTTCCTCGTCCTCAAGCAGAGTACCATTAATGTTCCTGTCCTTGCTCGACTACCTGGTCTACTGGGTCCCAGAGACGATGCTTTTGGTTTCCAACGTGAAGTTCAACGAGATGGAAGTCCAATCAGCAGAAATCCGTCTCTCAAAGACTCATTTGCTCCGACTCCATGTTTCTGCTGCCAAAATAGACTTCCGCCATGAATCGCTCCATGGCCACGTATCTTCCCTTTCTGTGGAAGCCACATCCTCCATTAGACTTAGACAATTCCGTCCAAACGCAAATATCGTCGTTCAGAACGGTTTCCTGGCCATTGAGTCCGTCCCCGTGAAAGTCCAGTTCACCGCCTTGAAATCCATCGTTACTCCGGACTCGGCCAGTCTGAGCCTGACCAACATCGTTTCCAAAGATCTTCTCGACCTTCCCGAGATCAGCTATACGCTCAACTTTGCCGAAATGGTCTCGAAAGTGGAATTACCGTCGGTCTCTGCAAAAATATCACTCTCTTTGATATTTGTGCTACTATCCACCTTTATCAAGCCATATGCCTCCAAATCGTCAAAGTCGTCGCAAAACCCTCCTAAGTTCGTTTTTCTGCTTCACAATCTCGACCTCGAGCTGGTGCTGGCCAACGATTTCCACGTCCGTGTGCTTCTGGAGCAAACCTCCGTCTCGTCCACCACGGCCGTTGTGCAGAAAGTCGTGCTCCAGATCGAGCAGCACCAGAAGTGGCAGCGACTGCTCTCTATCCAGGACTCGCGCGCAGAAATAGCTGTCCCCGTGGAAATCTCTATTGGATTCATCAAGGCGTCCATTCCGCACGAGTTCCTCATCTACAAACTGTTTGACAGCATCACCAACACCATCAAGACGCTCAAACAACACCTGTACACGCTTAAAACGGGCGACGAGTCGCTGGTGATCGAGCCAAAGGCCAAACCGCCGATTCTGATCCCAGAACTCCGGTTCCACGCCAAAATGGTGGCACTCTGTTTCGAGGCCGACCCGTTCGAGACCCAGCTCGCCATGGCGTACCAGCTGGGCAAGGTCGAGCAGCGGTCGCGACTCGCCAAGCTGGACTATCTCGACAACCCAGAGTTCCTGGGAAAAGTGTACGAGAACATATCAACTTCGTGGGTCAGTCTCGTCAAGGAGTATACCTCCAAATTGGCAGCTACCATCGCCCAGAACAGCAGTTTCCTGGAAGGAACAGACACCAGTCTGGCTTCTACGAATGCTCCTGTTCTGTCATTGTACCTGGAATCGCTCGAGCTCAAGCTTGCACAGCCCAAACTGCCCTGTTCGCTGCCTGACTACATAAACCGGGTCGGCAAGGGCATTCCCCACGAAACCGAGTACACGACGCTGGTGCCGCTGCATGCCGACCTGTCTGTGGGCCAAGTGCGGGCCCATCTGATGGACCTGCCGCTGCCGTTGGCGTATCTGCCGTGGAGCTCGGATAAGTCCACCGGGTTGCAAATTACAGGCAATCTCGTGCTACTGGAACAGCTGGGCGGTGACTGGCGATGGGTGGACGTGAAGATCAACGAGTCCACGTCGATGAAGATCCCGCGGTCGTTGTCGAGCATGAAAACGCTGCTGGAGCTGGACGCGGTGGTGAAAACCGACCAGACCATGCTTCTCACCTGGGGAGCAGGCATTCAGCCCATACTACGGCAACTGTCTCTCTGTGTGGACAGTTTCAGCAAGCCCAAGATGGATCCGAGTCCGAAACTCGGAGTCTGGGACAAGATCAGGTACATTTTGCACGGGTACGTGAACCTTGTGTGGGCCACAGACGCAGACCTGCGTATCAACCTGAAAGGGTCGATGGACCCGTACGAGATTTTTGGGCCCGCGGCCGGGTTTTCGTTTGTTTTCCGCAAGAGCGTGCGACTCGAGCTCAACAACCCGCACAACAACCCGTCTGATTTCGTTGTTGTGCGCGCCAAGGAGACGTATTTCGGCATCGCGAACCACAGCGGAGAAAAATTGCCGTGCTGGTGCGCCCAAACTCCGCTCTACTTATCGCGCGCGTCTAAAAATCCTCTATCAACTTCGTTATTTGGCTGCTACCTAAACCCGCAGTTCTTTCAGCCCGTTGCGCCCGTGGTGCGGTTCAAGCAGGCAGTCAGTCTGAAGGGCGAGATCGAGTTCAAACTCACGTTCGACTTCAACCAGCAGGACGAGTCCGTGCAACCAAAACCGCACTACCTGGTCACAATGGTGCACCCGCCGTGCGACGACAACCACGACTCCTATGCCGGGTTCCGTACGAGCAACATCCACATGGGCATCCAGCTCGCCACCAAGGACGCAGAAACAAACTCGCTGTACCTGACACCCGTTTCGTTCTCGTACTTTACGCAATGGTTCAAGCTCTTTGGCAACGGTATCTCGCTGCCCATCAGAAACGGCTCGTTGTTCCAGAACAACCCGGAGTCTGTCAAGTTTGGGTCGCATCTCCACTCTTTCGGCTACCAGTTCGACGTCAAGCCGCTGTATCTGTTCCACGGCTACCGTATGGACCTTGACGACAAGGAAAATCAGACGGTCTTGGGTTTCAAGGGCAAAGTGGACGGGTTCCATTTGGAGTTGAACCAGAACAAGGAGCCCATGGTGCTGAAGAACGAGACCCTGCATCGACAGGTGAAACTAATGAAGATGAAGTTCAGTACGGGCCGGGTCGAGTTCAAAGACGTTGACGTGCGTGTTTTGGTAGCAGCGGCAGAAAAGCTCGATGGCGATCAGTTTCCAACCAACTGTCACTCCTGGTTCGACCGCGAGGACCTGGAGGAACAGAACCTGCCGTCTTTTGGTACCGTCTCGGCCAATTACCTGCATTTGTTCCATTGCATGGACATGGCGTTTTCTATGGATAACGCTGCCAAGGGATTCACCAACGTCGTGGAGGTGGAGCAGCCGCTGATGCGCTGGAACACCTCGCTGCGGAACAAAGTGTTCCAGTACCTGCATCGTGTTGGGTTCCGAAACTCGTATACCTACTACTCGAGCTACCATTCGCTGAAAGTTGCCGAGCAGAATTGCAACCGCAACAAGACCGTGACCGATTCCGAGGACTCGGTCAGTTTTTCGAGCCGCGAGTTGCGAATCGACAACTTCAACGACGACATTCGCGAAATCAGTAACTCCTCCAGGAATCTGATCCCCATGGACGACTTTCTGATCAAAATTAAACGGCCACAGATCCAGCTGATTGAGAACGAAGAAGCCGACTTTTTTATGTTGCTGAGCACTCCCGAGATCAACATCAGCGTCATTTCGATCAGCGACAAGAAAACTTTGGACAACGTTTCGTCGCAGCCTGTGGAGCGGCGGCTGGGGTCGGTTTTGCACGACACTGACGTTTTCTTGCTGGACCGGTCGGTTTCGACTGAAAACGCCAACTTTTACGGATCCACCAATAATTGGCCCCTGTTTCTGCCCGAACCGCCAGAGAAGTACAAGATCTTGTCCAGGACGTCGATGTTGGTGAGATATGACAAAATCAGCGGTCTGGTCAGCGATAATATCCGCGACAAGCTCATGTTCAACATGGAGCGGCTGGAAACAAAACTGGACTCGGAGCAGGCCCGCGCTTTGTACTCGCTCGTCACCAAACTCCTGCTCTACTCGGAGCCCAGGTCCAAGAAATTGGATGACGCAGTCAAGGAGATGGTCATGGTGACCGACTTTGGCAACCTGGACGCCATTTTCAAGCGAGTCCGTGTCATTGCAGGACAACTACAGTACCTGGACAAACCGTCGTCTTTGCGGAACAAGCTGCTGATCGAGCTGTATACCCGGATGCGAGTTTTAGTGAAAGGCGGCGGCGATGATAGCGAGCTTGAATGGATATTGAAAGCTGGGTCTATAAAGATGGACTTTGCCGACCAGAACCAGACATTTTTGCGGCTGGAAATTGTCCAGGGAGAGTTCAAGCGTGTTGCGCTGTCTGACGGGACAACTGTCAATAGGGTTTCTGTGGGTACGTTGCAAGCACGCAACATGGATAAGGCGATATTCCCCGACCTGCTTTCTGGAATGGAGTCCAGCGACATGGTGGACATCTCGTGGACAATGGCAGATCCGATTGGCGGGATCCGTGTGGCCAAGAACGTGGAAATCCGTTGTTCTCCGATCAAGTTCGGACTCGAAGAAGATGTTGGCCGTCGTGTAATAGAGTATATGATGGGAGACAACGAGAGCGAGGAGATTGACGAGAAAACGGACACTTCGGACAACAAAGACGTCACCACGTCGTCGGGGCTGATGATGAGCCGTTCGAAGCAAAATTTCTGGTTCCAGGCCATTCAAATGGAGCCTATTCTGCTAAGCATTTCGTTGCGTGCAAAGGGATTGAAGAAACTTTTGAATGTGACTGGGTTTGAGCTTTTGTTGCCCCCATTGGAGCTGTCCAACAAGCTCTGGGCGATGGAAGACCTGCTCGACCATCTGAAGAAGTACATTTTGCACTGTCTCAAGATCCATTTCGGCAAGATCTTAAAGCACAAGCTGACACACTGATCAGCTGAAATGGACCTGGACGTGTCTTTTTTTCTGGTCGGGCTCACTCGGCGTTGTTGGGGTTCCCTTTCTCTTGCGCTCTTTCTTGGGAGTGGCCGAGTCGAGACTATCGATGGCGAGTTTGGCGGGGTCGAACCCAGGCACTCCGTTGATGGAACTCTTTTCAAACGCAAACAGCGATTTCAGTTCTTCCAACGGATACTGGGTCAATTGCGTCTGAGACAAGTCCGGGTTGTCTGGGTGGAAAACAATGGGCGATAGCGAGCGGTCGGTGGGGATCGAATGTTTGCCTGGAAGGTCGTTAACGTGGTTCTTGTACGACTTTCTGAGCTTGACTCCCTTGGAGCCGTCCGGGTTGACTCTGGCGAGCGACTGGGCAATTGGCTGCAGTCCATACAACCGAATAAGATCGGTGTTAAAAGAGGGCTGGACAGGCTCGTACTTGACGTCCTGATCAACAAAATAATGCATGGAGCGATAACAATAGAAATTAAAGTGTATTATATAATTTAGAAAAAGGTCTTTTGCCCAAAGCAACTCACGTGACCGAAAATAGGGCTAGAAAATTTTTCAGAGCTAAATAAAATATTCTTTACGATAATCTTTTCATCAACCATGGCTGCATCGCTCCCACACCCAAAGATCGTCAAGAAGCACACCAAGAAGTTCAAGAGACACCACTCTGACAGATATGACAGAGTGGCCGAGAACTGGAGAAAACAGAAGGGTATTGACTCTTGTGTCAGAAGAAGATTCAGAGGTACTATCCGTGAGCCAAAGATCGGTTACGGATCCAACAAGAAGACCAGACACATGATGCCATCCGGCCACAAGGCATTCCTTGTTAAGAACGTGAAAGACTTGGAGCCTTTGCTTTTGCACACCAAGACCTACGCTGCTGAGATTGCCCACAATGTTTCTGCTAAGAACAGAGTTGCCATCCTTGCTCGTGCCAAGGCTATTGGTGTGAAGGTGACCAACCCTAAGGGCCGTTTGAGTCTTGAGGCATGAATAGGTAGATGTTTAATACACTGAAAGAGAGTTGTTAGTAGAGATAGGGTTGGAGGAAGGAGGTTGACGGCCACAGCGGGGCGCTGTTATGGTCAGCACGTGTTGTTCACGTTTGTTGTGCTAGCTTTGCCGTGTCTGCAATCTCCCATCTTTCACTGGCCGTCCTGCCAGTCCTGCCAGCCAGGCGGAGCTGGGCCTCCATATTTTTATTTTCTTACGTAAACCAGATTCTTTATTCCCATGTCAAAACACGGTCCTTATAGTTCGGCCAACACGCCCAATTACCTCGACGACTCGGGCCCCAACGGCCTGGGCGACCTTGTGGACCTGGACAGTCTGGACGACCCGTTTGCTGACTCTCACGTCGCGGCCCCGGAGCCTTCCTCGTCCCGGTTTGCCAACGTGGCGAGTGACTACGACAACATCGACCCAACCTCGCGCGACAACCCGTTTGATTCGGACGTGCTCAGCGACTACGAGAGCGACAGTTACCGACCGCAGGGCTCCAGCGGGCTGCGCGACATGGTCAACCAGCTCAGAACAAAAATGGGAGGACCTGCCTACAACAACGTGGAAGATACGCACGAGCCTTCCCGCAGCGTTAGAGACGAGGACCCAGAAACTTCCGCCGCCAACAGGTTCGACATCATGCGGTACTTCCGCAAGCGTGGCAACGACGACGACAACAGCCCACGCACCATCTACATCAACGATCCACAGACAAATGCTCGGTTTGGCTATTACGACAACCACATCAGTACAACAAAGTACAATTTTGTCACATTTGTTCCGAAGTTCCTGTTTGAGCAGTTCAGTAAGTACGCCAATCTGTTTTTCCTTTTCACCTCGGCGATCCAGCAGGTTCCTTCTGTTTCTCCTACAAACAGATACACCACCATTGGTACGTTGATGATTGTTTTATTGGTTTCTGCTGTTAAGGAGATCACAGAAGATATCAAGAGAAACTCGTCAGACAACGAGCTGAACAGGTCCAAGATCGAGGTGCTGGATATCCAGACCGGAGAGTACGTGATCAAGAAATGGATTAATGTCAGAGTCGGAGACATTGTGAGAGTTAAAAGCGAGCAGCCGTTCCCGGCAGATTTGATCTTGCTCAGCTCGTCGGAGCCAGAAGGACTGTGCTACATTGAGACTGCTAACCTGGACGGAGAAACCAATCTGAAAATCAAACAGTCTAAGGAAGAAACCGCTGGTCTTTTGGCACCTCAAGAATTGGTGCGTTGCCAGGGAAAAATCATGAGTGAACGTCCAAATAGCAGTCTGTACACGTACGAGGGCACGTTGTATTTGAACGGACGTGAGATCCCATTGAGTCCGGACCAATTGTTGTTGAGAGGTGCCAGTTTGAGAAACACCGTTTGGATCCAAGGTATAGTGGTGTTCACTGGCCATGAGACAAAGCTCATGCGTAATGCTACCGCCGCTCCGATTAAAAAGACCGACGTGGAGAGAATCATCAATCTTCAGGTGATTGCTCTGTTTGGAATCCTTTTGGCATTATCTGTGGTCTCTTCCATTGGAGACATCCTCAACATCGCGTTCATGAAAAACCATCTGGGATATCTTTATTTGGAAGGTACAAGCAAGGTGAAGTTGTTTTTTGCAGACATTCTCACGTACTGGGTGCTATTCTCCAATTTGGTGCCAATTTCGTTGTTTGTGACTGTCGAAATCATCAAGTATTACCAGGCTTTCCTGATAGCCTCGGATTTGGACATGTACTACGAGCCAACAGACACACCAACAGTTGTGCGGACGTCTTCCTTGGTCGAGGAGCTGGGTCAGATTGAGTACATCTTCAGTGATAAAACCGGTACTTTGACAAGAAACATTATGGAGTTTAAAACATGTTCTATCGGTGGTCGCTGCTACATTGGCGATATTCCTGAGGACCATCAAGCAAGTGTCCAGGACGGAATTGAAACTGGCTACCACACATTCGACCAGCTCGAAATTGATAGAAAAGAACACAGAAACGGCAAAGTGATTGACGAGTTCTTGACACTGTTAGCAGCCTGTCATACTGTCATTCCTGAGGTTAGAGGTGACATCATCAAATACCAGGCTGCGTCTCCAGACGAAGGTGCTCTCGTGGAAGGAGCTGCCATGTTGGGCTACAAGTTCAATGTCCGTAAACCTTCCAGCATCAGCATCCTGGTTGACGGCCAAGAACTCACCTACGAGCTCTTGAACATTTGCGAGTTCAACTCCACGAGAAAACGGATGAGTGCCATTTTCAGGTGTCCGGACGGAAAAATCAGACTGTACGTCAAGGGAGCAGACTCGGTGATCTTGGCTCGTCTTTCTGACGAGAACGAGTTCGTTGATGCCACCACCAGACATCTGGAGGATTTCGCCGTGGAAGGTCTGCGGACTCTTTGTATTGCCACAAGAGTGATCCCAGAGTCGGAGTACCAGGACTGGAGTCAAATATATAACAAGGCATCTATCAGTTTGGAGGACCGGTCGCAGAAACTTGACGACGCTGCTGAACTGATTGAAAAAGACCTGTTTTTGCTGGGAGCAACTGCTATTGAGGATAAATTGCAAGACGGTGTTCCTGAGACCATCCAGGTGCTTCAAGAGGCCGGAATTAAGGTCTGGGTGTTGACCGGAGACAGACAGGAGACTGCGATCAACATTGGAATGAGTTGCAAGCTGCTCAGTGAGGACATGAACCTGTTGATTGTGAACGAGGAGTCCAAACGCGAAACCAGAGAGAATTTGCTTGATAAAGCAGAGATTTTGCGTAGCAACCAATTATCGCAAGATGACATCAACTCGTTGGCCTTGGTCATTGATGGAAAATCGCTTGGTTTTGCTTTGGAGTCTGATCTCGAAGACCTGCTTCTTGAAATTGCTGTTCTCTGTAAGGCTGTGATCTGTTGTCGTGTTTCTCCGCTGCAGAAGGCTCTGGTTGTGCGTCTGGTGAAGCGGAAGAAGAAGGCTCTATTGCTTGCTATTGGAGACGGGGCTAACGACGTCTCGATGATCCAGGCTGCCCATGTTGGTGTTGGCATCAGCGGAATGGAAGGTATGCAGGCTGCCAGAAGTGCAGATTTTGCCATTGGTCAGTTCAAGTACCTCAAAAAGCTGCTGCTTGTCCACGGTTCTTGGTCGTATCAGAGACTCTCATTGGCCATTCTTTACTCGTTCTACAAGAACATCACTTTCTATATGACCCAGTTCTGGTACGTGTTCAGTAACGGGTTCAGTGGGCAGTCGATGGTGGAGTCGTGGACTTTGACCTTGTACAACGTGATCTTTGTTGTTCTGCCTCCATTGGTGATTGGTATTTTTGACCAGTACATCACAGCCAACATGTTGAACCAATACCCTCAACTTTACAAGATTGGACAAGCCGGCCATTTCTTCAATGTGGAGATCTTCTGGTCGTGGGCTGTGAACGGATTCTACCACAGTGCTATCATCTACATCTCGTTGATCAATATTTTCAAGTACGGCAACCAACTGAGCAACGGAACAATTCTGGACCATTGGGGATTTGGTATTGCAGTCTACACCACCTGTTTGGTGACCGTTTTGGGTAAAGCTGCTTTGATTTCTTCGCAATGGACAAAGTTCACTCTCGTTGCCATTCCCGGTTCGCTGGCGCTGTTGATTGTGGTGCTACCATTGTATGCCACCATTGCTCCACACGTTGGTGTTTCCAAAGAGTACTGGGGAGTTGCTCCGCGGATTTTTGGGTCGTTGGTCTATTGGATGACGATTCTGATTGTACCGATCCTGTGTCTGCTCCGGGACTTGTTGTGGAAGTACTACAAGAGAACCTGGAACCCAGAGTTCTACCACAAGGTGCAGAAGATCCAAAAGTACCAGATCCAGGATCACAAGCCGCGGTTCTCGTCGTTCCAGAAAACGATCCGCAAGGTCAGACAGGTGCACCGGATGCGCAAGCAGCGTGGTTTTGCGTTCTCGCAGGATGAGGGCCAGGAGAGCATTATCAGAAAGTACGACACCACCAAGATTCGTGGAACTTACGGCGAATTGGATTAAGCTATGGAGTTTTGTTTTCTGAGCTTCTGAGCTTCTTTCAGCTGTGCGGTTTGGCTGGTTTTCGCGGCGATCCTATCCAGCGACGTGATGGCCGCCACGAGCGTCTTGTTGTCGATCGTCTGGGCGGTTTCCCGCGGTTCTGGCACTGATAAGATGTCGTTGTCGAAAACATAGCCGTGGTGCTCGAGAAACTGTTTGGTATCTGGGAACTGGTCTATTGACTCCAGAGTTGTCAGACGCACAACCTTGTACAGCTCGAGATGGGTCTGGAGGATACGGAGCCGCATCTTGGCCCTCAGGTCGTCAAACACCTGCGGAACAAGGTCGGAGTACTCTTTGGCCAGAGTTTCCACGGTCTGGTAGAAATGCGTCGGCTGGCTCGTTTGGAGGCTTTGAACCAGATGGCAGCAGTGCGGGTCCACCAGCCCGCCGTACTTGACGAGGTTCGTGTGCCGTTTGTTGTCTGCAAGCACGGTGTTGATGGCATAGATGCTGACGACGTTCTGGAGCACGTTCTGGGGTCTGGACACAGGCAGCTTGAACAGGATCTGGAACTGGTCGTGCGCAGAGCCGTAATGGCCCGTGTTCATGAGCGACTTGGCTAGAATTGCGTACGACTGGAAGATCGCATCCTTTGTCAAAAAGGCCGGCTCGATGTGCGAGTGTCTGGCCAGCAGCGGCGCCAGCTGGGCGATGTCCCGGTACTTTTGCTGGGCAAACAGCTGTTTCAGGGTGAAATAGTGTAAGTAATAAAACGATGCATTCATTGACGCGACGGTGGCCACGCGGTGGACCAGTTTCAGCAGCACCGCGCCCGTGGTGTCCACGACACCGGAAATGTCGTGGAGAAGGGTGTAGAACACGGTGACGATTTGCGAGCTGCCGAACACCAGCGAGACGTCCAGGCGGGCCAGCAGAGTTTCCAGCGCGTGTGCGAACCGCGCGGAGTGGACACGTCGCAGCTCGTGCGGCGAGTTTGTCTTTAGCACACCGGCCAAGAGCGCCAGCTGTTGGAGCAACGAGGGGCTGTTTTCCACCCGGTCCAGCACCCGCGAAAGCTCGTTCTCGGCCACGTAGTCGTGCACCAGCGCACACACCACGCGCCACAGCTCGTCAACGTTCACAGACGGGTCGTCCTCCGTCGGCAGCGAGTCCAAGTCCGCCGTGGCATACATGTAGGAAACTTTTTGGTGAAATAAATTTAAAGGCAGTGCTAAATGTTACTTCTTGACGGGGCCCTTGGAACAGAGCTTGAGAAGCGCGGAGTCGACGTGTCGGGCGGCCTGTGGTCGGGCAGGGCGCTTGTTGAGGTGCCTGACAAGGTTCGGCAGGTGCACGCGGACTATGTGGCCAGTGGAGTTGACATCTTGCTCACAGCCACCTACCAGCTGTGCGACGACAACTTGCGGCAGCAGGGACTTGATCCGGGCACGGTGTACGCCAGAGCCATTGAGCTGTGTCGCGATGCGGCCAAATCGGGCTCTCGTGGGTCTCGGGTGCAGATCGCCGGATCCATTGGGCCATATGGCGCATTTCTCGCAAACGGCGAGGAATATACGGGCAATTACGGTACCGTTACCATGGGAACACTGCAAAAATTCCACCGTGGACGCCTGGACGCGCTGGAAAAGTCGCCGTACGTCGATCTGCTGGCGTTCGAGACGGTGCCGTCGTTTTTGGAAATCAAAGCCATCGTCGGCCTTCTTTCCCACGGCACCAAGCAATGGTACCTCAGTTTGAGCGTGACCGCGACCTCGCTTGCCGACGGCACGTCGTTTGACGACGTCGTCGACTGGCTCGACGCCCACCCAGACCCAAAACTGGTGGCTATTGGAGCCAACTGTTGTGGTGCAGGGGTTTCTGTGGAGGTGTTGAAGCGGCTGGACAGCAAGCTGGCAAAGACAGCCAATCTACAAGGCGTTGGGTTGGTGATTTATCCGAACTCAGGAGAGGTGTACGACGGCGAGAAGAAAGTGTGGACGGGCAAGAAGTCTGAGTTTTTGGTAGCAGCACACGAATGGCTCCGTATTCCTCGCGTCAAGATCGTTGGAGGGTGTTGCAGAACAGGTCCACGTGACATCGGTGAGTTACGCGAACTCATTGACAGCAAAAGTAGTTGAACATAGTGAAAGTAATAACTGGAGATTTATAAATTCATGATATTTAAATTTCAGCTATTTATTCTACCTACAATTCGTCTTTTGGAGTAAAACTCTCTGGAGAGCCTGCGATTGGGTATATTCCGCAATCGTAGTCCCAATTGAGCATCTTGGACTCGGCGCAGGCTGTCTGGTCCCACGATGAGCCGTAGACGATGGCGGTTCTTTGCACAAAGTTGTAAGCTGCCAGGCTAAAGATGGCCACAAACAGAGCCAGAGCCACGTACTTTCTTCTTGGGAAAACGCCCGAGTAGATCACCTCCAATGTCTGGCCCAAGGTGAGAATTCCAAAGTAGAGGGCCGGCAGGTAGTGGTGGAGAAACATTTGTCTATCCATGAGGAACGAAGGGTAGTAATGGATGAACCAGCCGACCAAGAAGATGGCGGTGTTGAGAGCGTAGTTAAACACAGCAGGGTTCTGAGGCAGAGTGTAGCCCAGTTGCCATTTCAAGACGTTCCAGGCAATGAAGAATCCGAAAGGAACAAACAGGAAAGACGACAGCCACCAAACAACAGGGTTGCCCAAAAGATACACTTGTCTGTCTCCTTCCTTCCAGTAGGAAATACCTCTTTGGAGGAATGGCCAGGACTCTGGTCTGGACTCGAAAACGTGAGGAGCTTTGAGTCCCTTGTTGATCTTCCACATGATCTTGTGTAGTTCCTTGACTTTCTGGAAAAACGTGAGGTCCTTGTAGGAGACCTTTTCGGCCACAGCAGGGTCCAAGAACTCGTTCTCGTTTTGCTCAATGTACCAGTACGACAGAGGCTTGATACCTTGGCCGGCACAGGTGACTTCCTGTTGCTCGAATCCCCATTTTGGCAGCTTGGTCTCGTGCGAGAACAGGTAGCAACCGGTCATGGCGTGTCTGAGACGGAAAATGGTGTCTATTGCCTTGACGGTGTCCTGGGCATCTCCAGGAACAGATAGGTCCCTGGCGATCTCCACAACAAAGTCGTCGTTTGGATCTCCTTCGAAACCTTCGTAGCCGTAACACGAAGCCTCGTTCTGCCAATCGATCTCCGACACAGAAGGACGGATATCGTGGGAATGCAGACGTCTGTGGGTCAGGGTATGGTAGAGTCTGATTTTTGTTCCGTCGAGGATTGGCTCGAACGAGGTTGGTGGCTCCGACACGTTGTAGAGCTCGATACGCCATTTGTTGTTTGCGTCGAGATGTGGATACAAAGTCACTTGTTGCTGGCCGGATCCTCCCTCGTAGAGAGAGTTGTGAGAGTGGAGGTAGCCGCCGTTGGTCTCGACGTGTTTCAGGGTGACGACGGAGCCGACTCCCACGTCTGCCAAAGTGGACTTAGGCACGGTTGTGTCTTTGAAGGAGGTTCTGAACGCAGACGAGAGGAAGGCTGCTCCGTCACCTTCCTGGTCCAGCAAGGACAGATGGACCTGGAACGAGATCAAGTAAATGATGGCTGGAATGACCAAAAGTGTCACAAATTTGATAATGTTCTGCTTGACGATGGATTTTGGAGATTGTTGCAGATCGCCAACGGAGAACCAGAACTTGATGGCCGTGGCGGCGCCGACCCAAACGAGGGTGAACAGACCGACCCATTTGGACGAGCAGGCGAATCCCAAACACGTGCCTGTCAAGACGAGCGATTTCCACCAGTTCCAAGAGAGAGGAGTTTCTATGTTGAGCTTGGAGGCAGAGTAGGCTGTGGCAGCAATGAAGAACAGCAGCGGGGAGTCCAGCAACACGAAACGGGAGATTGTCACGTTTGCGTTTTCCAGCACAAGCAATGCGGACGACAGAAAAGCCACGATTGGTTTGGCACCGGTTGTTCTGAGAGTCAGGTACAACAAGACAACGGTTCCGACACTCAAGACGGCACTAAGCTGTCTCATGAGAACGTATGGAACGTTGGAAGGGAACACGTCGCCGATCTTGGCGAACTCAAACTTGCCGTTGAATCCTCCCAAAGCACCCACTGCCGCAAATAACAGCTTGGCAAGAGGAGGATGGACGTCCATGAAAAACTTGCCGAGGATGTACTTTCTGGCGAACCCGCCGAAGTGGACCTCGTCGAACACCACGGAATCGGGGAAATTGAGGTGTCGCAGACGAAGCACGCTTGCAAACACGGCCAACAACAAGACAAGGCCCTTTTCAGAGCTCGAAATAACTCGCCGATTGGCCAGCGTTTCGGGCGTCAGAGTCGAAAGCAGGTACTGGCGCTTAGGTCCGGTCTGTATGCGGAGTTCTGTTGTTTTGTCCGTTGCCGACGGCGCTAATTTGACAGATTTCTTAGCCATGGTAAAAACAAGACACGAAAAAAAGTGTTACCGGGCGATTTTGAAAAATATATATATCAACAGGGTCAAGTTTGTGTGGGTTTATTAAATGGGATGATTCTATAGCAGATTACTTGGTACGTCTTCTTTTCGAGACGCCTTTAAGAACGTCGACCTTCTTGCCATGTTTGCGGCCGCGTCCCTTGCGGACCTTGTTGAACGGAACAAACCCAAGCTTCTTCTCCTCGGGACGGGCCCCTTCAGGTAACAAGTACGCAGGGACCCGTTTCAGATGCGCGTCCGCACGCACACTGGCCAGGTCCTTGTCGTGCCGCAAAGTGACCAGGTCCTGCGGGTTTTCCTCAAAGTGACGCTTCAACTTCTCCGAGGCCATCAGTTCCTGCTTGATCTCCTTCAGCCGCGCGTCGCGCACAGCAGCCCGCGTGATCGACCGGAACGAGTCCTCCATTCTGTATCTGAACGCTTCGACCTGCTTCATGTTGAACTGGTACGGCTTCAGTTCGAACCCGAGCCTGCTCTGCGACCGCTCAATACGAGCAAGCACTTTCTCGTCACGCCGCGCACTGGCCAGACTCGACGCCTTGTGCTTGCCCCACTCCTTCGCAGCAACCACAAACGACAACGCCATCCCGCTTTTCCCTCCACGCGCAGTTCTCCCCACCCTGTGCACATACGTCTTGGACGACGTTGGCAGATCAAAGTTCAGCACACATGCAACGTTCTTGAAGTCCACGCCTCGCGAAACACCAACCTCCCCGCTGGTCTCCTCGCCGTTCGACTCGTCCGTGGCAATCAGCAGATTGTACACGTTCTTGTTGAACTCCTCAACAATGTGCAACCGCGAATTCAACGGCAGCTCCGAGTTCAACAAACACGACTTGATGCCAAAGTTCTGCAGAAACAGTTTCAACTTGTATCCTCTGTCCAGCTCGTTCACAAACAACAGGATCTTGCCCTTGATCAAGCCGAGCTTCAAGATCACATAGATCAACAGAAACTTGTCCAGCTCGCTCGTCTTGATGTAATACTGCACCAACTGCCGTTTGTCGTTGTCGATGTCCTCGAGCTTCAAAATAGCAGGCTTGTTGCAGAACTTCTCCTTCAATTCAGTCACCTCCTCGTTCAACGTGGCACTCATTAAAAACACCTGTGTGTTGGCCTTCATCCCCAGAAACTCCTTCAACTTCTCCAGGTCGTCCTTGTATCCATAACTCACCATCAGGTCCACCTCGTCAATCACCAAAAACCGCAGATTCGACAGCTCCAGACTCTTATTCTTCTCCAAAACAGAAACAAGCTTGGCCGGCGTGCTCACAAACACCTCGCGGCCCTCTTTGACCAGCTGGGTCTGCACCTGGTCGCTTACCGTGTCGTTCAGGTTCAAAACACGGACACTGCGGCCACAAAAGACCGTCAACTGGCCCAGAAACTCGGTCACCTGGTTACTCAGCTCCTTGGTCGGCACCAAAATCAACGTCTGCACGCCATTGGCCGCCTCGACCGTCGTCAGTATCGACTGCACAATCGGAATACAATAAGCTGCCGTCTTTCCCGAACCAGTGGACGCTCTCGCAATGATATCCTTACGCTCCTCCAAAGAAAGCTTGATCGACTGACTCTGGATCAACGTCGGATGCTCAAAGCCCAACTTGTTGATGGCCTGAATTAGACGCGCGTCTAAACCAAACGACTCGAAGCTGACACCGTCGTCAACGTAATCTTGTGAAACAGATACAGACATTAGGATTAATCAGTCTTAGAAAAGATTTCTCTACAAAAAAAATTGATTAAAAAATTTATCGATTACCTAATCGGGACGAGGATCAATCTTTGGCAGAGTCTTCCTTCAAAGTGACAATCCGGTTGAGAATCAGCTTGTCGTTGGTAGAATCCTTGTCCAAACAGAAGTATCCCACACGCAGAGCTTGGAACCGGACAGTCTCCTTGCCGGCCTCCTCGTGGATGCTAAATTGAGGGTTGGTGAACGGCATGTTCATTGGAGACTTGGTCTCGATCTCGTGGAAACTTGGCTCTATGATGGCATTCTTGATGATTTGCTCGGAATCAGGGTTGATGTCCGCCAGATATCCTTCAGGGTTGGCAGACGGGTTCTCCGACTTGAACAGTTGGTTGTGGATTCTCACCTCTGCGATCTTCACCGGCGAGTTGTACTTCGTGCTCTCCGGAACCCAATGAATGTACGTCTTTGGTTTCTTGTGCACGGCAGGGTCGTTCAGATACTCGGCATGGATCAGAACAGGAGCGCCAGACTCGTCTCTGTCCACGCTGGTCACCTTGATGTTGAAAGGAACTCTCATTAGTCCAACAGGCTGCTCTGGGGCCAGTCTGAAGTAGTCCTTGGTGATTGTGTCTCTATAGTCCGACTTGTCAATGTAAACGGTCTTGGTGAATGGAACTCTACGGGATCCAAACTCCGGAGATCCTGGCTTGTAAGGAATTTCCACCAACTCCTCATAATCGTCGGCCAGGTTGTCAATGACCACCTTCAATGGGTTTTCGATCATCATCAATCTTGGAGTCGTGTGGTCCAAGTACGTTCTCACAGCAGTGTCGAATCTCACGGCCTGGATGTTGGTAGTCGAGGTGGTGACTCCCAAAGTGTTGATGAAACTCAAAATGGCTCCTGGAGGAACACCTCTTCTTCTCAGCGACTCCAAAGTGTACAGTCTTGGATCGTCCCAGCCACGAACATATCCCTCGTTCACAAGCTTGGCAATCTTTCTCTTGGACATGATCGTTCCACTCAAGTTCAACCGACCATATTCTCTTTGCGCTGGTCTATAAACGTGCAGCACGTCACACAGCCACTCGTAACTCTCTCTGCTGAGATAGAACTCGGTGGTACACAGAGAATGACTGATGTTCTCGAAAGAATCGACCAAACAGTGTGTGAAGTCGTATGTTGGATAGATCTTCCACTTGTCGCCTGTTCTTTCGTGCTTGGCATTCAGCACACGGTACGCAATCAGGTCCCACATTTGAGGCGATGGCGAGTTGATATCTTGTTTCATTCTCAAAGTGGCCTTACCTGGCTCGTAATGGCCGTCTCTCATTTTTCTAAACTCAGCCAGCGACTCCTCGACCGGCCGGTCCCTCCATGGAGATGGGAATCTCTCTCCACCAGGAGTTCCATCCGCCTTGACTCCTCTTTGTGCCTTGATTTCCTCAGGGGTGCAGTGATCAACATACGCATAGCCAGAGGTGATTAATTTCTCAGCCAGCTCGTACAGCTGGTCAAAGTAGTCGGAAGAGTAGGTGATTTTCCAAGGCTCGTATCCCAACCACTTGACACACCGCAAAATAGAGTCGAAGTACACCTGTTCCTCGGCTTCTGGGTTAGTGTCGTCGTATCGCAGATAACACACGCCGTCGTGGTACTTTGCGTAACCAAAGTTCACCATAATGGCCTTGGAGTGCCCGATATGCAGGAACCCGTTGGGTTCTGGCGGGAATCTCGTGAACACCTTGCCTTTGGTGACCTTCAGGTGCTCCTTCATCAGTTCTGGCCATCTTTGTGGGTTCTCACCTGGTTTGTGCAAATCACCAAGGAATCCCTCAGTGAACATGTTTCTTTCTGGCTCTTTAGCCTTAGTTTCTGTCTTGGCCTTTGATGGCTCCTTCTTCTTCTTCTCCTTCTTCACCACGTCTCTTTCATCCTTAGGACCAAGGTATTCCAACGCCAACTTATCAACAGTAGGCTTGAACATCGATGGAGAGGCCCATTTCAACTCTGGCAAGCTTCGCACGCTTCCCAGAATGTTAGGCACCATCTTGTACCGTTTTTCCAAAAACTCGTCCTTCAACGACTCAATGTACTTTCTGATGGCATCCTCAACGTCCTGCTCAGTAACTGTGATCCCCACTCCGGATTTCTCCCTCATCTCGTCCTTGTTGAAGTCAGATCCCGCAGACTTGACATACTTGTAAGCTTCAGTCACTTGCAAAGTGGAGTTGAGCTCGCCGTCGTCAATAGCCGCAACAATATCCTTGTCGTGGACCAGATCCTCGCCCTTGATCAGCGTTGCCAAATGGTGAGTCAAAGTGCTCTTTGTCTTATCCCACTGGACGTTATCGCCAGATAGCCGGATCAAATGGGCCAATGAAGAGGCAACCTTAGTGTTTTTCAGGATCTCGCGCGCTTTGGATTCTTGGAACCCAATTTGGGAGAATAACGTAACAAGGTCGTCCGTCATTTGTTAGTGAAGCTAATATTCTAGATTATCATCTTTTTTTTTGTGAGAGGCCGGGTAAAAAAAGAAATACCAGTGTCTTGCCCTTTATTTTCCCAAAAAATCGATAAATTACTATTATTCACGCTATTTACTATTATGTATCGTCTTTGATAAGCAGCAAAGATTAGCGATCAACCATGTTTGTTGGCATTGATTAGCACAACATAAAAATACATTTAGCGAATGACAGAAAAAAACTCACATATGTTAATGAACTTGGGGAGACAGCCTGCTACCAACTAAGATCAACTTAGGCAGAAAGAATCAGCATAGCCGGCAACAGGGTCAGGATTTTGGAGATGATGCGAATTGGACCCGAAAAAACAGTAGTTCTCAATGATCTTGTTGTACAGTGGGTCGTGCGGAGGTCTGGAGCTTTGGGAACCAGTGAATGCGGAGACCGACTGATTCTTCTTTGGAGTCGTTTTGGATGCAACAAAGGTGGAGTTGGCGGTGATTCCCTTTAATGTAGGAATGGATGTGTCGGAGTTGACCTTGCGAAGTAGGTACTGCTTGGAGTTTCTAGGCTCAAACCCAAAGTAGGAAGGAGACGAGAACGAGTCATTAAAGTTTAAGTTGGTCTTCAAACGGAACTTGATGTCGTCCAGGTCTGTCAAGTCTCTAGGCGACTTGTAGCTGTAGTTTGACTTTTCAATCTTTCTCAAAGACACTGTGTAATTTTGCATATTGTTATTGTCCCAGTATTCGGTCTTGTTGACCTCGTACTTGATGCAGAAACTCAAGTCCAATTGAGATTTGTAATGGCACAAATCTCTGAGCTTGATTATGAAAGAAAACTTGTCGTAGGAAGCTTCGGAAGACGAGTATCTGAAAATGTGGTTCGACGAGATGTAGTTTGCGTTGTCGATCTCCACAAAACTCTTCCAGTTGTCAAAGGTGAGCTTGAGGAGGATTTTCTTTTCGTATCCTAAATTGCGCACAAACACAAAACCGATAAGGGAGTCCTTGACGGAGTTGAGTTTCAAGCTTTCCAAGATGATAGGCTTGTTCGCGTTGAACTTGCTAAAGTTGAGGAAATTAGAGTTGTAAGGGACATCGTTGTATGTGATTTCCCATGAGTCATGATTTTCTAAATCGCTATCCGATTCGTCCTCTTCTGAGGAGCCCTGGAACCCCCAGGATGGAACAAGGGACGGAGAACCCAGCGGAGATGTGCCAGCAGAGACCGCTGTAGGTTTTTCAAGTTTATCGAAAAACTTGATGTCCTCCAACCTGTTTGCGAATCTCACCGACTTGGCGTTGGGCATAGAATTTGATCTTTGCAAAGAGGGCAATTTTAAAGAGGATTTTACCAGCTCTCCTGATTTTTTCTTCAGGAGGTTTGGCTTCAGCTCTGTGATTGTAGACATGGAGGATGAGGAGGCGTTGTCATGGCCAAAAATGACCGTTGTGTCATCGTTGATGTTGAGATCGTCTTCTCTATCTGACGATGACCGTATGAAGTCGGTAGTCGATCCTGCGCTTGAGATGGTTGACAACGGTGTTGATATAGACAGGGTGCCCTCCTCAGGAGAGGATATCAGACTGGATGAGGCGGATGAACATGGATGTTGCGACTCTAGAAGCTTGTTGTTCAGGTAAGCAAGGTTGTTTGTAGTCAAAGGGGCTGTGTCAAACGACTTAGGACCCAGATATGGCATCTGCGTAGCACAACTATGGGCAAGACTAAAAGGTGTCAGGGGAAGTGTGAGGAAAAGGCACTATTTAAATGGGGGACAACTTGAAGCGGAGTATACTCAATATCAGCAAATGTAGCGTTATAATAAGGAGGGAGATTTTTGTTCGCTGCAGAGTTGCTGCAGCCAAAACAAATTATCTCCTCTTTTGTTTTTTTTTTGTGAATAGTCTTTGAAATCGGGACGTCCGATAAAAAGTTTTAGATCCGACAGAATAGCCTGACGAAGTACCGAAAACCCGGGGGGATCAGCTGTTCGGTTAATATACCGTGGTGACGACACCTGATGCTCTGGAAACTCCTGCATTGGCCTGGCCAACCACTGTGACACGAGCCATCGATGGAATTTGCAACGTTTCACACGCCACGCAACTCGATCTGATACCACAGAAATACTACTCAATCTGCAGCAAACACGCTCTGCTACGGAGGAATTGGAAGGGGCGACAGGGCGCAATTCCATATAATAATATAAGGTACCACGCTTGAAACAGTGTATGCAGCGCTTTTGCGCGCGCCTCCACCATTACGTATTTTACTCTTGTACCCCAGAATCTATAGACAATGTTGACCCACTTGAAACCAACAAGATGTCACTGTCCGGAAATCAAAGGGCTGCTGATTTAAAATTTTTTCTTTCGGCCCGCTTAAATTGTTGGCTGATTGCGCGAAATTGGCCGCAACAAAGCCGCAAAACGTCCCACCTCACGGAAATTATCAGCACGCTACATTACCCAAAGTAGACCGTCTCGTCCACACACCGATGGCGTACTGGTAATGGTCCCACAATTTGCCCGGCCATCATTGTGGGGTGCATGCCCCCAATACCACTGATGGCAGCTGTCCAACAAATCTAGGCCAAATCGGTCTCCGCAAAGTACAGCGGGAGTCTGGGGCGGCTCGCATTGCAGCGGAGTTGCGCGACTCCGGCCGGTCCTACACAAATCGGCTTAGGTCATCACCCTTTCTGTCAAGCCGATAGCCGACTCGCAGGATGCCCAGTTTCCAAGAACCCTTGCTTGAAAGCGTAAGAAACGTCATGTTCAGGAATGGAATCCCGTGAAAACCAGCCCCGCGCGTCTTGCTCATTCTGACAAAATAATATCTTCTTTTTTTTTTGTAAATGCCCAGATGATTCAGCCGTTAGAAATTGACACATCTCTGCACCAGATGCTAATTTCGGTAAAAACCCTGCTAGCCATCTTTGCAAAGCACAACCGTTCTAACCCCATTGGGGACGGACTATTTCCAACTTGGAACACCGAGCTTGCCCAAGCGGGCAACTACAAGCTAGCCTCCCGAATTATAAATACACAGCACACTCTGGCTAATGGAGTTAGTCCGTTCCTTTCCTTACTAACTACAGTCACTCCTTATGCTGTTGAAAACATCTGTTTTGTATCTTTTGCTCACCTCTGTGATGGCTCTGCCTGTCTTTGACAAGCGTGAAGCTGACCAGGGCAAGACCGTCACCATCACCTCGGACGGCAAGGCGTACACTTATCTGGAGAATGTTTATACCAGCACCGATTCTCCGGACCAGACCATCACTGGACAAGTGACATACACCACGTCGTACGAGGTTGCGGTGAGCCAGACCGACGAGGCCAGTCCGTCAAGCCAGACGAGTGAGACGAGTGAGACCACCGAGACCAGTTCCAGCAGCTCTAGCAGCTCTAGCAGTTCGACGAGCCAGACCGTGCAGAACGCCAAAGCTACCATCACAGGGGACCTGGTCATGACGTCGAATGTGGAGAGTCTTTCGTCGAGTACGTCCACGACAGGCTCGAGCTCCACCACGTCCGCGTCCTCGTCGTCCTCTTCCACCACGTCCAGCTCCTCGAGCTCGTCCACCCCGTCGGTCACGTCGTTCACTCCGTCCGCTTTTGCGTCGTACACCCCCTACGCGACCGAGACCGCAGATGGAACCTGTTTCGTCTACTACGAAGACCAGGCATCCGGTGACGACTCCTCAGATACTCCAACAACCACCCAAACTTTGACTGTCACCGTTGCTACCGTGACACTAAGCACCACTGTGTAACGCGAAAAAATAATTTGAAATAAATAAATAATAACATGTTTTCCGATCTTGAACTCGAGTACGATCAATTCAACGGGTCCGTCACGGACCTGGCGGAACAACCCGGCAACGAGTCCATGGAGTCGATGGTCGGAGAGACCACCAACGAGACCGTCGAGTCGACCGAAGACGTGCTCGTTGTCCCCAAACAAAGAGACTCGGACAAGTACCCGTTGAGAATCGCGTCGCATTTCACCGCCAGCAAGAAAGTCAAGTCTCCCGAGGAGACCCATCTGGACGAATTGTCCAAGATGAAGGGCGAGTTCGCGAAAAAGGCGTACAAGATCGGCAAAGAGATCGCGTTCTTGGAAGTTCTTGTTCCGCAAATGGAGGACGGAGTCGAGCTCGACAAACTCAAGTACGCGATGCGCAAACTCGAGGAGCGCAAGGAGGAAATCAAAAGACAGGAATACAACCTCAGCATCCGCATCAACAGACTCGAGAAGAAAGTGTACGGCGAACAGGGCTACAAAGTCGACTATTGGGTCCGGGGAGTGAGCAGCTAACCATTCCAGCCATTCTGCTCAATGTAATCCGCTAATGTATACTATATAGGACAATATTAATTCATTATTTACCACTGTGCTCTGGCAACCGCGTCAGCTGGCCCTGGTTGCTGTAAAGACTCATCTCCACATGCTGTTTCTTTCCGTCCTCGAAAACGTTACACCCGTACACCTCGGCGTATGGAGGAGTGTACAAGTGCAGGCTCACAGCGGGAGTATTTGACTGGTTTGCGATTCTATGCAGCCCGATGCTGTCCTCTATATGTGCGACATCGTTCTCGACGTATGTGTTGATCTGTGTAGTGCGTAAAGTCGACTCCTCAATCACCTCTTCAGTGAGCTCTCCAGCCAGGATCTTCATCACGCAGTGCGCCCCGGCGTGATCGTGGATAGCCGACCAGCGGCCAGGGTTCCACACGAGCAACAACAGGTTCCCGTTCGGGCCAAAGCTGTCGACGCCGTTGCGGGTGTATGCGACCGTGTCGTCTGTAAAAGCATATTTTGCCCAGTCCGCTCGATTCGAGGTGTACCGGGCCATCAGGTTCATCAGGGCCTTGTGGTCGATATCCGACGTCTTGAGAACGGTGCCCGTGTTGAGCTGGTCGTCAAACAGCCGGCGCAGCTGGCCCAAGTCGAGCTCGCTTTCCACCGTCATGATAAGGAAAAAAAGACAAAAAGGGAATTTAGCGAAAAAAAATGTGCTGACTCTGAGGATCGAACTCAGGACCTCCAGATCTTCAGTCTGACGCTCTCCCAACTGAGCTAAGTCAGCAACATACCAGAAAGGAAGGTACCACCTGTACAAGACGAAACATAGCCAACACCTGAAAGCATTGCAACCACCTTCAACACAATCGAGTGCTCCGCTGTTCAACATCAGTTTGAAGCCCGCCGTGACAAAATACCGCCAGCCGCATTTTCCAGCCCAGCACTTCAGGAACATGCCCTGGAAAAAAAACTTCACTTTTTTATTTTCCCACCTTCTTCTCGTAAGTACCCTGATGATATTTGATGTTGCTTGACTCCTGAAAGCACGATTTCTCAAAGACTACAACGGTATCTGAGTACTAACACGCCAGACTATGATATGAAGCGAGTCAAGAACTCCGAGCGATACAATAACCCGCTCCCTGTTGGGTTTACGGCCATGAGTCCATTGAGCTGGCTGGTTGCAGCAGCTGTGATGACCTGGCAGTACTGGAAACACAAGCCGCACGTCGACGCGGAGTTTCGCGTGTTTGGACCAGACATGAAGTTCCTATGGGACCATGGATTTTTTGGCAAGGGAGTGCTTTCGAGGAGCGAGCCTACATGGCAGGACAGGACCCGGCGCCGGGTTCTGGGGATCGAAGGACCCAACGCAGACGAAGAGGTGGTTTTGCAACGACGCAAGGCCCGCGCGCTATTTAAACAAAAACGCAAGCAGCTGGACGAGCTGGAAAATTTTTATAAGAGAGAGAACGACAAAAAGGGGCTCGAGGAAGTTGCTTTGAAAAAACGAGAACTGTCTGTGGAGAAGTTCCAGACGGACCGGCTGGTGCGTCCCGAGGACCACGAACTGGTCGTTGGCTCGGACATTGTCCAGTTGGAGTACTTGCAGCTGATGCCTGAGGAAGTTTTATTTTTGCAACTACTTGATGCGGTGACGTGCGACGTGGACTTTGTGGGTCTGTTCCGGTCGCTGGCGTCGGTTTCGTTCTGCCAGCGGTTCCTGGTGTACTACCACTACCGCACGCTCGGGTGGGTGGTGAAATCCGGCCTGAAGTTCTCGTGCGACTTCATTTTGTACGAGCGGGGTCCTGTTTTCCAGCACTCGCAGTACGCAGTCAAGATCGCCGAGCCCAGCTCGTGGGTCGACGTGTGTTCGACCAGCCGTGTGGTGGGTGCTGTGAAGAAGAAGCTGATCTTGGTGTATGTGGAGCCACCGAGCGACTTTGATGCTCTGGTTGGCCGGCTGACCAGCAAACAGTCTATATTCAAGTTTCTGAGCGAGTTCAGCCTGGACGAGGTGTTGATCAAGCGATGGTCTGCGAGCCGGGGCCGCGACTAGCCGTCTACTGTTTCCAGTGTTTCTCGACCCATTTGCAGTCTCTAATTTCGCCTTTAAAATCGCCCAACTCTTTCTTGTCCATCTTGGCTATGCAAATGTAGTTGTTCTTGTCCAACACGCACTTCTGTTGCGAGTCGGGGAACGGACACGGACAGTCCACCGGATTCGCCACGCACGCAAAAGTCTCGGGACACAGATAGTTGGCACAGTCTGCGTTGAGCTGTTTGTTTTGGTAGTCGAATTGTTCTGGCGCTTGTCGCTGGTGGCCAAAGAAGTTCTGGAAGAAATCGGCTCTTGCCAGCGCTAACAGCAGGAAATACACAAACATCATGGTATGGCCTTGTGAAATAATTTTTTAAACCTCAACTTTTTTTCTTTGTCTTTATTATGGACTCCATAACAGCAGAGGAGTATCTTGCCAGCCAGCTCCAATTGGAGAAAGAGGCCCGTGAGCTTATGCCGTACGACCCCAAGGTGTGCACGTATGTTCTGGGCCCAATCAGACAGCAGGTGTATGCGTGTTTGACGTGTATGCGCCAGAATGGCCACCCGGTGGGGGTTTGTTACGCGTGCTCGATCCAGTGCCACACGTCGCACGATCTGGTGGAACTGTTTGCCAAGAGGTCGTTCACGTGCGACTGCGGTACCAGCCGTACACAGAAACACGGTGGGTGTTTGCTGCGATCGGGCAACAAGAAGTTGTCTGTGGATAAGCAAAAGCTACCAATTGACATCCCCTCGAGCACCAACGCGTACAACCACAACTACAGCGGGACTTTCTGTGAGTGTACGACGAAGTACGACCCTACAGACGATAGCAACATGTTCCAGTGCGCGTTTGGCGACGCCTGTGGCGAGGACTGGTTCCACGAGGAGTGTATCATGGGCATGCGGCCCGGCGACGTAAATCGGCGTCAGATCAAACAGGAGGGCGAAAACAAGCTCGATTCGTTGTCGGAACCCGGCCTGGACGCGGCAGAAGACCAGAAGGACAAAGAAGTGCCGGAGATCCTGCCGTTACCAGGATTCCCCGACCTGAACGAGTTCGAAACAATCATCTGCTGGAAATGCGTTGCGAAGTACAAGCCGGAGATGAAACTGCTAGCAAGCGAACTCGGCTGCAGCACAATACACACAAGACCGAAAATAGACACAGACACTAACAAACGGGTCAAGACCGACCCGTCGTTCACGATTTTCTTGAAAGAGGACTACAAAGAGAAGCTGCAGCAGCTGATCACTTTAAACAAACCAGAAACCAAACCTCTTGTGGAGCTGCTGAAAATCCACACATATTTGTACTTGGAAGACTCTGTTTACAAGCCGCCGGAGGACTCTGACGAGGACTCGTCAATATTCGAGCTGGGACTGCGCAACCTGGGCCAATTGCCTGTGGAGAGCGCAATTTCGAGTGTGCACGCGTACGAGAAGGTCAAGACGAAGTTGACAGAGTTCCTGAAGCCGTTTGCGGAGCAGAATAAGGTCGTCACCGAGGACGAGATCCGCGCGTTCTTTAATAGAATGGACTAGCTCTCCACGTTGCCAAGTGTGGTGTACGGGTGTGCTGCCTGTTTTTTTATCTCAAAATATTCAAATAGTCACAAAGCCCGGTTTGCGCATTTTGGAATTACAAACACATAAATTACGGGCACTTACCATGTTGGGACTCATTGCGGTAGGAATCATTTTAGTGGATAAGGCAGTGAAGAAGGCGGACGAATCCAGGAAACAGAAGCAAAAGGCCAGTCTTGTTCGGTACACCGAATCAATGGACCCTTCTCCGCCTGCTTATCTGAAACTGTCAAGGTTTATTGGCAGCAAGGAATTTGGATCGCCGATCCACACTAGCGTTCCGCGCAACATTCGGTTCATTGAAGTCAACTGCAACAGACACATCGAGAGTATCAAGTTTATCACGTATTCTGGCGACACCTATATCTTTGGGTTCTGGAAACCCGTGAAAGACACGTACCGGGTGGAGCTTGCCCGTGACGACCAGATCACCAAGGTGACTGTACGGTTTGGCGAGCACCTGAACAAGATCCGGTTCGAGACCAAGCTGGCTGGCCAGACAAAGACCATGGGCAACAGCATTGGGGGCAAGCAGATCGAGGTGCCTATTGATCAGAACCGGCAGCTGGCTGCGATCAAAGGTATGTACTGCGAGCACATCAGCGGGATCCAGTTTGTTATGTCCATGTGAGCATCATGGAACGAGAATTATTGGTATGGCGTGCTACTGCGGCTTGCGCGAACACGGCCGACAGTGGCCTTTTCTTTGGCAATGTTATCGAGAGATTTGACGTATTTTTCCAGGAACGTATTTTGCACCTGTAATGCCTGCGTTCTTTGCTCGTAGAATCTGATCTGCCCGTCAATTACTGCCTGTTGCAGCACGCGGAACTGGCCCTTACTTTCTGTTTCGAGCGATTCGACCGTCTTTTTGACCTCCATCAGTTGCGCAGACATTTCAGCCGCACCTGACGACTTTTGCTGGTACTGTGTGCGCAACAACTCGTTTGTATCTGCCAGCTGGCGGTAGCTGGTTTCCCGCGCCGCCAGTTTCTCCTTCAACTCGGCCACTTTGGCCCGTCTCTTGTCGATATCGTCGCCCAGAGCTCCCAGCTTGGAGTGTGTTCTGTAGTCCTCGAGTCTGTCGTGTATTTGACGGCTGGTCTCGTCGAGCCGCACGTCGTCGTCCTTGTTCTTATCTGCCTGCTTGGCCAAGCTTGCAGCAGTCGTCTTGGCCGTCTGAAGCCGGTTGAACTTGTCTCCGATCTCCACCACGCGGTCCTCCAGGTCCTTCTGTCGCAACGAGTCGTCCTCGTGGATGTTCTGCAGCAGGTACGCGAGCCGGTCAACCACACCGGTGATCTCCTCAAACCGGTCGTAGATCAGCCGTCCGAGTTTCAGCTGGTACTCGTGGTACGTCAGCCCGGTGTATTTGGCCTCCTCGATCTTTGGCTTCTTCACCTCTTCCTGCGGCTTGTACTGCTCGCGGTAGAACTCGTACCGTTCCAGCTGGTACGACGACTCCAGGTCCAGACTGTCCAGTGCTTTCAACGCGTCCTCGTCGCTCACCTCGTGCGCCGGGGCAGAGTCCACGTGCGGATACGTGCCCATGCCGTCGAGCCAGCTCACCATCTCGTCCACGCTGACCGTTTTCGCAGGAGCCGCACGTTGCGTGAGAAACAGCTTGGCCAGATGCTTTTGGCGCTCGAACCCGGTCAGTTGCGGACCAAGAGCCAGGTCAAAGTACTCGACTCCGTTCAAATGGATTGGCTTGATGATCGGGATGCTGAGATTCTGCTCGAGCTCCGAGTCCAACGAGATCACAAGATCGCTCTGCAGTTCCTCGAAGTTGACCAGGCTGTGCAGCTGGTTGGACAGAATCAGATAGATGCTCAAGACTCTGTCCTTCTGCTGCTCCAGTTTCTGGAACTCGGCGCTGTTCTTGGACACGCGCGGCACGTAGTCCTCTGTGGGGTGTTTTTTCCCCGTCTGGGGCACAGAAACACTGGCCCGGTGGAGTTCCTGCTTGGTGAAGTCAAAAGATCCGTGGTTGTCGTAGTACACCGAAGAGCCACTGAACCGGTAGTATTGGAGGTTCTTCTTGCCAATGAGGATGGTTTCAATCAGATCGAGTTCGCGCGAGTTGGCTGCGGTGATAATGATGGTCAATTGGCGGCGTTTGTCAATCAGTTTGTTTAAACAGTTGTCAATGCAAATATATTTGGCAGAAGAGGCCTTGAGATCTGGCTTTGTGTCCATCAACAGCAGGTTTTTGGACATAAAATGGTCCACGAGCAAACTCGAATGGTTGGATATCTGTTTAAGGTTGAGTAGAAACAGTTCCAGCATGGCCTGCGTGCTCAGAACGTCTGTGTCCATCTCGTCGTCTTGTTGTTCAGACAAAAGCTTCTCCAGATACGGCTTGTGCAACTTGACGAGCAGTTCCGACAGCTCTTTCTGGAGCGCGGTCTGGCCAATCGGGAGAAGTAACGGGCTCAAAAACACGCCTTGCGGGGGTCTAATTGGCCCGTTCTCAGCAACAGTTCCAAGACTCATTTATTTACAAAATATAATATCCAGCTAAAAAAAAACCCCTCGGACTTGGCCTTTAATTTTTCACCACAGGTTCGTGTTGAACATGTCTCTATAGGAGGCCATACCTCCACAGCCGGCGATCTCGTACAGTTTTTCGGCCTTGGGCGTCCAATCGCGGATGTTCTGCATTCTACGCTCGCTCTTTGGGTGCGTGCTCATCAGTTCAGGCACGTACTGGCCGCTTTTTCTCTCGTACTGCACCATTCTGTTCCAGAAGTTTGGAGACTCGTGCGGGTTGAAACAGGCCAGCGACATCACCATCAGACCGATGTAGTCGGCCTCGGTCTCCATCGCCCGCGAGTTCGGACTTTCCAGTAGAATATTCGACAGTATTGGGTTGATGTTGGAGGTGCCAAAAACAGTGTTCAACACCACTGCCACCGCCGTGTACAATGGCGCAGCAGATAACCGTTCACGGATATGATGTGCCAGAAGATGGCCCAGCTCGTGCGCCAAGACCGTCGCCAGCGCGTCGTCGTTCTGCGTCAGCTGCAAAATCGACCGGAACACAAACACCTTGCCATCTCCAATGACAAATGCATTGGGCGTGGGTCTGCCCGAAACTCTATTAACATCGTCGATGACGTGGATCTTCCAGTCGATTGCCGGCAGCGTGTGGCTGCGCAGGTCCTCAAACAGGTTGGTGCGCTCGCCCGTTTCCGGGTCCACAAAGTTCTGTGCTGCGGCAATCAGTCTTGTCATGATATTCTTGACTCTAATGGTGGTCGGATGGTTTTGCGGCAGAATCGCGTTATGGTACTGCTGGATCAGCCCCTTGTAGCTGGACTCCGCGGTCCACGATTCCATCCACGCCGGCGCCAGCATCAGCCGTGTGCGGTGGGTAACCGGGGCCTGTTCTAGATGGGTGGCAACAACAACGGCCAATCCAGCCCCACCAATGGCCAGGTTCCGGCGGCCCTTGGGCGTCAATTCAATCGTCCAGCCCGTCCGACTGGTCTTGTTGCCAAAATGGTGGTACGTCGAGTAAAACCGACCCAATCGTCCCAGCCTTTTAAACATTGCTTAAATATTATATTATGCTAAAATTTCACAGGTAAATATTGATTTATTTTGTTTTTTTTCTAAGGGATCCGATTTCAGTTCCAATTCCATGTCTGACGTCTCTTTGACCCATCCGCTGGTCTTGCTGTACGGGTTCGGGACAGCCAGCGTGGTTATCACCGGGTACGCGTTCTACTCGCGCAATCTCAAACGAATCAACCTCGCAACAGATATACCCAATTACTGGTTTCGCAGAAGATACATGTTTGGCAAGGTCACGTCTGTCGGGGACGGAGACAACTTCCATTTTTTCCACATGCCGGGCGGCCGTCTTGCTGGCTGGGGATGGCTGCGGCAAGTTCCCGAGATCAACACGTTCCGCAAGCTGAAAAATAGAACCGTCAGTGTCCGTTTGTGCGGAGTAGATGCCCCAGAAAGAGCACATTTCGGCAAACCAGCCCAGCCGTTCAGCGAAGATGCGCTGCAGTGGCTCCGTGATTACATCCTCGGCCGCACGCTGTACGTGAAGCCGCTGAGTCTGGACCAGTACCACCGGGTCGTTTCCAAAGTGATGGTTCTCAAATGGAACGGATTTAGAGACGTGAGCGAGGAAATGATCAAACACGGGATCGGGACCGTGTACGAGGCCAAGCATGGAACCGAGTTCGACGGGAAAGAACCGTTGTACCGGGCGTGGGAGAAGTACGCCAAGCGTGAAAAGCTGGGGCTCTGGAAAGACAAAAATAAGAAAGGTTTTGTCAGCCCGAGACAGTACAAGGACATGCACAGTACCTAAGAGCTGCTCAGCACTTAACGTCAACACCCCGTCTTTTTTCCTCTTCTCTCCACTCAAACATGACCTGCACAGCAATCCACAGACAAACACTGCTCAAGATGAAAAACACATACCCGTCCAGCGTGGTGAACATGTCCTTTAGCAACAGCACCAAGCCGTCTTTGCCCAGACAGAAACCAAACAGGTTGGCGAGCATCATCATCCAGATGTTGATAATGGCCCCGAAAGCACACAGATGTCTGAACCACCACTCGTGCTCGTACGGTTTCGCAAACTGGGTGGCTATCATTTCTGGGAGCAAGAACAGCACCACGAGCCAGCCCCAGATCAGCAGTCGGAGCTCGATATCGTGCCAAACGGCGACAAACGTGAACACCGCCAGAGAAGCAAGAATCCGGCTCTGCGAGCCTCCAAGTGGCACGTACACGTATCTGACGACCCACTTATTGTACGAGCGGTGCCAGGCACGCCAGAACTGCACCGTGGAGTAGTTGTTGTCCATGCATCTAATCATATTTTCCGGGGTGTCGATGCCGTCGCACAGGGCCCAGAATCGAAACAGTCTCCATGGAATCAGCAGCTTGAGCCAAATAATATTCAGATTGAACAGACCAATCATCGAGATCTGGAATGGCGTGTCTCCGTCCCAGGCTTTGGCCTTGGAAACAGCAACAACATAGATATAGTGGAGAATGAACTCCATCAGTAGCATACAATAGACTAATATGACACCGTATTTTGCGGTTCTTTGCCAATTGATTGAACTTAGAGGCTTACGGCTCTGGTAGATGTAGTCGTTGAAAGTGAGAATAGGCCCGGCAATGAACAACGGGGTGTAGAAAACGTATGCCATGTAATTGGACAACGAGTAGTCCGAAGCTTCCAGGTAGTAATTTTGTCTTTCTCTTTCGTTGAGTTCCTGAGATTCCTTGGTTTCTTTGGTCTCCTTGTCTTTCTTCTGTTCTCTCCACAAGTAGTCGAGGTTGAAACTGAGAAGTCTAAGCAAAGTGAAGTTGAAAAACACGTCCCATCTCTCGATTAGGCCTTTGAACGAGTCCATGGACTCGAGTCCAGGGACGATCTGCGAGAACCGCACCTGTCTGTATCTGTCGTTGAGGAACAGGGTGCCGATTCCGTAGATCCATAACAGTGCAATGCTTAGCTTTTTGATAGGCACTCTGCCCAATGCGTACATGACTGCGGCATGGAACAGGATCCGCAGACAATTGAATCCGTGCGCGCCAAACAGAAACACCAAACCAAACACAAAGTCGAACGTGATGTTCTCGATGCCAAAACTAGTCACCAGATTCTTGAGAGCCAAATGGGCAACCATGAGAACCGTCAGCATCGGAATGTTGTCTCTGAAGAACCGGTATTGGCTATCGCTATTGTCGACCTTTCTACCAAACAGCCATCCGTCACTCAAGATCCGCTCGTATCTGTAGTAGTTCGGGTTGGTTTCGTTGCTGGCTTCCATCGCGGTCTTGACCATCAATGGAACGACAATCAGGAAGGCCACCGCGTAAAACTTGAACTCGAGCGTTTTCCATCTCGACGGACCCGCCCGTTTGATGATCTCGGCCTTCTTCTTTGGATTGGCCGGAGCACACAGACGCGCGTCCAGCGACTCCAGCGCAAAGAAGTTGTAGATGGAGGAGATCATTGGGTTAAAAATAAAAAACATTTTAATTTCTCCTGGTGTCTGTCAAGTTTGGTAGCACAGACACAGAATTAATTGCCTAGCCACCAATAACTCTACGCATACTTCTGTTTCATACTCATTAGCCAGCTTTCGGTTTGTCTCGTATATACAGTCACTCATTTGTTGATACCTCTCTTTTCCAAGAAGTCCTTGGCCTCGTTGATCTTGGTGGCCAGGAACGGAGACCCGCCCTTGTCCGGGTGGTTCAGCAGCATGATTCTTCTGTGGTTCTCCTTCAACTTGGCTTTGGACAAAGTGCTTTCCTTCAGGTCCAGTATTCTCAAGGCTTCTCTGGCGTTCATCTTTGGGTCAAACCCTCCCTTGTAAAATTTGGCGGCACCGGACGAGGTCACCTTCTTGTAAACACCGGCAGCAACGTATGCGGCAGCAAACGCACCCAATCCAGTTATCACCGGGTGCTCAGACATGTAGTTGGAGGCGGCGTCGAAGTACTGCTCTGCGGTCGAAACAGTCGGTCTGGCGGCCTGCTGAGCAGTACCAAACGAGCCTTCACCCTGTGTGCTTTGCTGGCCCTCGTCAGCGACCGGAAGCGTCGGTATGCTGATGTTTTGAATGTTGGACATTGGATCTTTATTAAATTTTCCAGAGAAAAAAAACTTGAAGAGAACGGAGGAGCCAGAGCAGGTGACGTTGGTCACATGCCACGTACTTTGCCAAAAAAAAAATTTAAATTTTGAAAAATTATTTTTTTTATCACCCATCATGAGAATCTACTCCTGTCATTTCTGCTCGTCGCCAGTGTATCCCGGCCACGGGATCATGTTTGTGCGGAACGACGCCAAGGAGTTCCGGTTCTGCCGGTCGAAGTGCCACAAGGCGTTTAAACAGAAGAGAAACCCAAGAAAACTGAAATGGACCAAGGCTTTCAGAAAAGCTGCTGGAAAAGAACTCGCTGTCGACTCTACGCTCACATTTGCCAGTAGACGTAACGTTCCTGTGCGGTATAATAGAGATCTGGTGGCCACCACGCTGAAGGCGATGTCCAGAATCGAGGCCATCAGACAGAAGAGAGAGAGAGCTTTCTACAAGAATAGAATGAGAGGCAACAAGGAGAGGCAACTTGCTGCAGACAGAAAGCTTGTGGAGGACAACGCAGAGTTGCTCAAGATGAGAGAGGTGGAGCTGAGAATAAAGGCCGAAAAGGCAGCTGCCAAGGCAGAGAGACAGCAGCAGGAAGACGAGATGGACGCCGACGAAGACATGGACGAGGACATGGAGAGCGAACAGAGCGAAGACGAAGAGGAACAACAAGCGCAAAAGATCTTGCTCAGAAACAAACGCAAGTCGAAGGTCAAGTTTTAAGTACCTTCGATCAAGGCGGTGCTACTTTTATAATAGCGGTTTGTACGAGGAAAAAATATTATCGTTTTATCATAAACACAATGGGCCGGGTTCTTGTGGATTTTAGCAGGTTACGGCTGGTGATCTGCGAGGACTCGCAGCCGGCGTATTTGAGGCTCGTGGCGCAGACTCTGCGTTACAACGAGGAGACCGCGAGTCTACGGATTCGCAACCTGATTCCCATGCAGGAACACGAGACCTATATTGGGGAATTGGACGTGGACATGAGCCAGATCGCCATCAAGATGCCCTTCAACAACGCGGCGCTGGTTTCCGGAACCATTGTCAACGTGGAGGTCGCGTTCAGTGGGCTGGACCAGCATCTTCTGGGTCTGGATCTGTACGAGGTCAAGGACGGCAGCGTGGTGAACAACCGTATGGACTTGTTGTTGCAGATGGACGAGATTCACTGATCAACAGTGGGGTTTGCGAAGAATTGGTCCCAGATGCTCTCTGTTGGGACCTGGAAGATCATCTTGTAGATCTTTTGTCCTTCCTTGGACAGTTTGCGGTCCACGTTCTGATCATAGGAAACTCCCATTGCCGGGCTCATTTGGAGAGACTCCTGGCCGGCAGGCTGTCTGGCCAGTTTTGTGGGCGAGTAGCTGTCGCTGGGCGACCGACTGGACGGCACAGAGTCCAGCTTGTTGAGTTCTTCAAAGAACTTTGTGAGCTCCGACTCGTTGGTGGTCCATTCGTACGGTCTGGGTGTTGGCCCCAGCAACGCCGGGTCGTCGAGCGGTTTCATTTTTGAAGGCATGCTCGACACCAGGTTCTTGAGATTCTCTGTCACGTGGTTGGCCGGTTGGAACCGTTTGATTTGTTCTGTTGACGGCAAGTTGACGGGCTCGTTGCCGGTGAAGTTGGAGTATCTGATGCGGATCACTGCGGCGGCGAGCAGATCAAAGATGTCGCGGCATTGCACCGCAGCGTCACATTTGCCTGAAAGACCAGATAACACAATGTTGCAGTACATGGCTGCCGTTTGCACCTCTTCCAGACTGATTCTCTGTCTCACTTGCTCACAGTTGAAGATGGTGTACAAGAACGACGAGCCGGCCATGAACAGATTGTGTGTTGCGGCCCATGTGTAGTTGATCACCTGACTCTGGTAGAGCTCGTGGTACGAATAGATGATATCTTTAGAAGCTTCCAGCACGTTGAGGTAGTTTTCCAGGCTGAGCGTGAGTCTTCTTGGTGACAGTCCGTTCAGGATGACCTTGGTGTGGCTGTAGTTGAGCAGGAAGAACTCGTAGATGAAATCGCAGTTCATCTTTCTAGGTGTTTTTGGCGAATTGGCTTTCCAAAGGTCTAATCTCTTGGTTATGTCCTGGTACCAGTCGTCGAGGTCCTTGAATCTGCGTGGCAGCTCTCTTTTGTCGTACAGAATACCCTGCACCTCCGATTGGAGCTCTCTGATCTTAAACATCGACAAGGCCACCGCTTTGTATGTTGGCATGGTGCTGGTTCTGGTGGAGTAGTCGGTGAGGTTGGTATCTTTTACGATGAAAGCGTCGTCCAGCTCGCTCGGCAACGGGACGAAACAACTCTCTTCAGGAATACCAAACGGACGACCCAGATAGAAACAAACCTGTCTATCCAGAGCGTAGCAGCACCAAAACAGTCTGCGACGCAAATCCAAAGTGAACGCATCAAACTGGTAGTCTCCTTCGAAATGGAGCCCTAAATCCACACACACTCGCATTGCGGACCCCAGAATGTACCAGATACCAGGCACAGCCGGTCTCATTAGCGAGTAGAGCGCAAAACACAAAATCCCCTGCAGTGCTTCCAACCGGTCCGGCGAGCCGTAAACGAGATTGATGTACAACAGGCCAGCGTTTTTGAAGTTATCGGAGATTTGGTCAGGGTATTTCAACAGCGTGGCCGACGACGAGATCGCAAACATCATGTTCATGAAGTAGAGCGGGATGTGGAACTTCTGCGGAACGTCGATGGAGTTGGCTATTTGGACCGGGTCGACGTTCTTGTTTTTTTCCACCTCGGAGTCTAGATACTGCGTATACTGGTAGTACCAGGTGTCTTCTTCCTTGTAGTCTTTAAAAAAGCTGTGGTTGATGGAGGTGTAGGTGGAGGCGAAGGAAACGTCGTTGGGGACGTTACCGTAGATGGGCTGGAAGTAGCGGGCCAGAAACTGTTCTCTGTGGAAAATCGGCAGCTGGGCGTTGGCCTGGGCGAAATAGACCGAAAGCAGGTTCAGGGCCTGTTGTTTTGGCGGCAACAGTGCAATGTTGGAGCTCTGCACAGAATCTTTCAAAACAGACGGGTCCATGATGGACTGGTCCGAGGTGGGGATCTTGGGGGCCATGTTATCTGGGCCACGAAGGTTGAGTGCGGTGACCATCAGCTTGGAGAAAGGAATGCCAGAAGAGGCACCCATAAATAATGGCGGGGCTTTGGACCCAGAAGCGGTTGTAGAATTTTGTACGGTATCGATGAAGGAGTCAGATCTGTTGACAAAGCTGGTCTCCGAGGTGTCTGAGCCGACAGATCCCGTCAGAGAGCGGATCTGAGACTGTAGGGCCTCAATACGGGACTCCAGACTCACCACATACGACCGTGCAATTTCTCGACCGGTGACCGGGTCTACAGAAACACACTCGACATTGGCTTTGGCACAGCCCGCACATTTAGGAAAGTCGGTGGTGCATTTCATCTTCTTCTTGCGGCACCGCTTGCAGGCTGCCCGGTACAAGTTCATGCCTGGTTTTTCCTCTGGCGGGTCCAGGAGCTGCTCTAAAGATCGTTTCATTGTCAGGTACAATCTACCGGATGGATAAATATATAGAGATATTTTATTCTAGGCGGTGCGACGCGACGGCTCACCGAGTAGCGTCGATTCACTTATCGCTGAAGGGGCTGAAACATGGTCTACCAACACAACACCGAATCATGTCACGACAGATTTTGCTCGAGACGAATGCCGCACACAACATGTTATTTCCGTTCCGAGTCGAATTTCTAAGAGTCCGAATCCACGGCAATTCCGGCTAGAGCAATGGCTCTAAAATATTTTGCCAACATTTTATTCCTTCCCCCCATGAGTCTTGACATTGGCGAGTTAGCGGCACTGGCCCAGGCAAAGACCCAATTGGCGTCTGTCTGGGTGCTGAACTACTACCATACGCACTCTACCTACGAATTGGCCAGAGACCTGATCATCTTGTCGTATGTTCTTGGATGGTTGACTAATATCCTGCGGCTCACGTACGCATACGGTCTTTGGCGGTCAATCAAGAACCTGTATCGGTACACTGCCAAGAGGTTCTACAAGAAGACTCTGGAGCTTCCCTTCTTGAAGAAGAAGGTCGCATCTGAGGTGGACCACGCCAAACACGAGCTGGAAAAGTCCCTCATTGTTAAGGCCAAGACCTCCTTCAACGAGGTGCCAGAGTTCGGGCTCACGGAAAAAGAGGTGTTCCAGAAACTGGAGGACCTCAACAACATTGCTGCCGCCAACTGGAAGGGCGGAAAACTATCCGGTGCAGTGTACCATGGCGGCGACGAGCTTATCGACCTGCAGTCCAAAGCTTATCATAAATTTGCGGTTGCAAACCAGCTGCATCCCGACGCATTCCCGGGAGTTCGCCAAATGGAAGCCGAAGTTGTGTCGATGGTTCTGAAACTGTTCAACGCTCCGTCCACTGGCTGTGGAACCACCACTTCGGGCGGAACCGAGTCGTTGCTCCTGGCCTGTCTTGCAGCCAGAGAGAAAGCCCGGCACGAGCGCGGGCTTTCCGAGTTCGAGATCATCGCTCCCAAGACGGTACACGCCGCCATCTTCAAGGCCGCGCTTTACTTCAAGATGAAGCTCCATCTGGTCGACTTGGACGAGAACTACATCGGAAACATCACCCAGGTCAAACGGCTTATTAATCGAAACACATGTTTGTTGATCGGCTCTGCTCCAAACTTCCCTCATGGACTCGTTGACAACATCGAGGAGCTCTCCAAGCTCGCTGTCAAACACAACATCCCGCTCCATGTGGACTGCTGTTTGGGCTCGTTTGTGATCGCCTACTACGAAAAAGCGTTCCAGTCGTCGCTAAAGCCGTTCGACTTTAGACTCCCGGGCGTCACGTCCATCAGTTGCGACACCCACAAGTACGGCTTTGCTCCAAAGGGCTCCTCCATTATCATGTACCGCTCCAACGAGTACAGAAAGTACCAGTACTTCGTGTCCACCGAATGGGTGGGAGGTCTGTACGGATCGCCTACGCTTGCTGGCTCCCGTCCCGGAGCACTGACGGTCGGCGCCTGGGCCACTATGGTGTACATGGGCGACGACGGGTACACGAGAGCGTGCCAGGACATCATCTTGACCGCCCGCAGACTCAGACAAACGGTTGACGAGGAGATCCCCGAGCTCGAGATCATTGGAGACCCGCAATTGTCTGTTGTTTCGTTCAAGTCCAGCAAGCTGAACATCCACAAGCTCGGAGATCGTTTGGGCAAGGACGGCTGGCATCTGAGTGCGTTGCAGGACCCGCCGGCTTTGCATCTGGCCGTCACCAAGCTGACTGTGCCTGCCATTGACCGGCTATTGGAAGACCTGAAGGTGGCAGTCAAGGAAGTCTCGCTAGAAGATAACACTACCACTTCCGACACCGCACAGCTGTACGGTGTGGCCAACAGTCTGCAAACAGGATCCGTGGCCGACAAGCTGATCACGTGTTTCCTGGACACTCTGTACAAGACAGAGCCTAGTACGTAAAAATGTAATTATCTGTATTTACATGGAGTGATGCTTACGTTGTCTTTTCTCGGCCAGAGAGGCGACCTGGAGGAGTTCTCGTTTGGTCTGTGGCTGGTCGAGTTTCTCGGCCAGAGCAACCACGCTCTTAAGGTGGTAGTATGTCCAGGCGAATTTACCTTGAGAGCTGAGAATCACTTGGAACGCGTCTGTGAGGTTGTTGGTCTCGACAAAAACAGACACGATTGCTCTTGCGAACTTGAAGTCGAGCTGGTCCTGCTTGTGCGGACTGAGTTTCTGGAATTCGGGTGACTTTCTGTACTGGCCGCGCTCTGTCCAGATTTTCTGTGCAAATGCAACGTCTTTATTTATCCGGGCCGCGTGCATGCAGGCGTTGTAGAGCTGGTCGTTTCGCGGGTACTTGATCTGGACGCGGCGGGCGGCAATGGTCGACGGGGCTGACGAGGCGGATGCAGGCGTTTCATCCAGTTGTTCTGGCTGTTCTGACTGTTCTGACTGTTCTGGCTGCTCTCCCTTGGGCTCCTCAACGGTGACGGTCTGTCCCTTGAAGAACGTGTGCCGCTCCCACAGTTGCTCGAACTCGTCAATCGAATGGCCCTTCAGCGCGTGCACAAACAGATACGCCTCGAGCACCTCGAGCGAGATCATGTGCGGGAAGTGGAGCACAAAGTACTCGAAAATAGCACGGGCCTCGACCACGCCCAGGTCCGGGTCGGCGAGCTCCAGCGTCGGCAGAAACGGCGGCGCGTTCTTGTGGAAGCTGAAGTCGCACATATCGAGCGTGCGCGCGGCAATGTCACGGATCTGGTGGTTCAGCCGACTCACAGGAACTCGATCCGGGTTGTAGAACGTGTATGCGTTGAACAGGTACCGCAGCGCGACGGGCGACGGTGGCACCATTGCGTTTGCGGCCTTGGTCAGCGTGTCAAACAGACCAACAAACAGGGCCCGTGCCAGGTTGAGGTCCGAGTCCTTGTACGCCAAAACCATCATCATTTCCACCACCTTGGAGTCCATCGGGTACTTTTTGGTGTAGTACTCGATGATGAACCCCCAGCCGCGCTCGATGAGCGGCTGACGGGTCGAACAGCCCTTGGCCAGCGCCAGAAGCGCCTGCGGCTCGACCTCGATCTTGCGGTCAACCATCTCGTCGTACAAAGTCAAGGCGTGCTCAACATTATTATTCAGCACGTCCATCAAAATGACCGACGAGTACGTGCGCGCGGACGGCGAAGTGTCCAGAGACAGGAACTTCATCGTGCTGAACACGTCCAGAACCTGGCGGTAATTGTTCATCCGCACGTACATCTGCAAAATCGTGGTGTACACCTCTTTGGTAGCAACGTAGCCGTCGCTCCGGATCAGGTCCATGAACTCGCGCACTTTGTCCACGTTCAGCAGCTTGCTGTACAGGTTGATCATGATTCCGTACGTGATCAGGTTGGGCTTGATTCCCTTGTCTAGCATCTCGGCGTACATCTTCTCTATTATTGGCTGTGCTTGCTGGACTTTCACAAGATTATAAGAGCTCATCAGACTGTTGTACAATTGTAATCCTTTCAACAGCTTCGCAGAAAGAGCCATCTCGTGGATCTTAGAAACCACAGCCGGTCTTTGGGAGCGTGGAATTGTCGTTAGCAGTTTCAGAACGTCTACCGGAGTGCACCCGGAAAGCCCCGTGGTTTGGTGCAACCGGTCCACCACAGGAACCCAGTTTGCTCCGTCAGAAACTGTGATATGCTTGATGGTTTCCGGGTCCAGTTTCGTTCGTATAACTGGCGGAAGCTGGGTGTGTGGCTCGGCATCGGGGAACATCGAGAGTCCTTTGGCCTGGCCAGACGAGTCTCCTGGCCCCAGGGAAAGAGCAGGATCGGCGTCGTTCGAGCTCATCAGCGACTCGAACAGTAACTCGGCCTCCTCGTCCGCCACGTCCTGGCTCTCATGCACCTGGAACTCGTCGGCTGCGGATCTCTGGATCTGCGTGTCCTTGTTCTGCTTGACTGTGTTTTCGACCTGCATAGTGAACTGCTCCAGATTTTTGATCTGCTGGGTCAGCTGGGCCTCGATTTTGGCCGCAGAAGACCGCGGCGTCTTGGGCCTGCGGTTGAACACCACTGTGCGCACAAAACAGATCGGCAAATGTGGCGCTCGTCTGCCGAAAACCGTTCTGCCTAGCATGCTATGATGGATACACAGAGTGAAAAATTTGGAAAAAGTAGCTAAATATTTTTTTTTCTAGTGGTGGCACAGCCCGAGTAATTATTATCATTATTTACATCTTCTTGTAATACGAATAGACTCTGCTCCAGAACACCTCTTCGTCCGGAATCCGGATCATTGGGTCGCTGTTATGGAGCACGAGCTGGAGATTGTTCCATCCAAAATGATAGTGAAGCAAGACAGTTAGAACGCAGGCGTATAGCAGCTTGTAGTCCCCATAAACCATTAGCAAGGATACAAGCTTAAACACCATGGGTAAACTGAAATTCTTCATGATTTTCATGAACGCGTCAAAAGTGACTAAATTCAAATCGTCCTTGAAACTCTTGAGCGACGACTTCATGTAGGGATGCGACTGAATGGCATTAAACTTCGTAACAAATTCCTTAGTGACAATGTGCTTGTTGAGGAAATAAAGGGTCTTGAGCGACCTGGAAAACGAAAACCCGTTGGTCAACAGCGCCAAGTTCACATGGTAACTATTCAACTGCCAGTCCTGCTGGGCAGAGGTGATCCGGAGTAGTTTGTCCAAAGAAGCAAATAGTTTTGGCTGTTTGTAAATGTCCGGGTGAGAGCTGATGAACGAGTCCAGGTCCAAGTTTCTCGTGGTGGGCGACAACGTCGGCACCTCCACACTAAATTGTCTGTGTTCGAGAACTTTCACGAAAATGGTGTATCGCGTAGCGGCGTCCACCTGTGTTCTCCACATGAGTTTTTTGATCTCGGCCCAGTTCGACGACTTGATCTTGGTCTTTCCTGCGAAGTACGTGAGTCTAGCGTCGCCAATCATTCGGTCGCGCTCGCGCTGTTCCGCTCTAGCCGATTCCTTTCTGTGATGGAGCCCGTACTTTTCCACCATCTTAGTGAACTCCTTTTCGTGTTTTAGCGATTCGTGTTTATTCTTTGGAGGCAGCCAAGAAGGACGTGTCATTGTGAGCGAGTCCGCCTTCTCGGAGGAAACCAGTGTCGGGTCGTCCAAAATGTCCACTTTGCTGCTGTACTTGGACCGTCTGTTGAGTTCTTTCTCCACGTGGTTTTGAACAGAGTACTCGTAGAACCCAGTCAACTGACGCGCATCTGGCGAAAGCGTCGTGTAAGAGTAGTGCTTTGTCAGTGTTGGGCTCGGAAGATACGTTGGTTCTGTTCTGGACTCTTGCGCAAGAGCTCCCGGAAGAGGAGATGGTACTATCTTCGAAGAGTCTTTCCACGCACGCTTCAGAATATGGGAGCCAGAATCCCTGCTAGTGTGTTCGAAAAGCGACGCAGTGGAGTGCATGGCCAGCGGAACGTTGAACATGGACGATTCGTCCGGGATTTTGTCGTCATTTTCGAGTTCTTCGTACAGTTTGTATTTTTCCTGTTGCGACATGGTTTTCGCAATGCGACTGGCTCGAGGAGGCGGAACCTTGATGTTTGTTCTCGGAAGCTCTGTGGAAGAGACACTGGTGATGGACGAAACCCGGGACGTGGACCCGTTGGAATCGCCGCTAGAATCGCCTGTGGTGCTGTCATGTTTGGAAATGTTGAGAACCGAGTCGCTTGGCCGCTTGATACCGAGACCGGAAAACGATGGCATGCTGCTGGGAGATCGTTGCAGAGTCTGAGGGGGCGCAATTTTGGGAGTTATGGGCACTTCTAGAAAATCACTCCGTTTTGCCATGATATATAAGTGAGAGACAAGAGCAACGAGGTAAAACTCTATGTAAACAAAAAGTGAAAGGGAAAAACTATTGTATAAATATAAATACACGACGTGCTTTTACTAGCAACTATTGTTTAAATGCGGTGAATAATTGTGCCAAATAGGTATTTTTTATTGTACTTTACAGTTGTGTTGTGCACCGTTTCAGACGAACATGGACTCTTCTATTCGGTGCGGCAGGGGTATATGGTGCTTGGCAAGGGCTTTGCAAAGCTTGGGCCGGTGGTCTGGGACTGTTCGAGGTACAAGCCAAACTTCTTTACATCCAAGACCAGATCTGGCCCCATTCCCCGATTAATCACAATTTACTCTTTTAATAGCTGTATCTCTCCGGCTGCTTAAGCAGTCTCGACCCTGGAACAACAAAAAAAACCCAAACAATCCGGCTCCGTTTTTTTTTTTCTAATTCACCACTCCGTAGGTTTTTGGCTTGAAATAGACGCGCCGATCGACGCCCCGTGCCCATTATGCAAAGTACGGCCAATTGATGTGTTGTTAATTCATACTTTTCTGCTAATTATGACCACCTCACCAAAACTCTTCAGAGTCATCGGAGGCGCCCAGAACTACGACTGGGGTAAGCTTGGATCCTCCTCTGCCGTTGCTCGGTTTGCCAAGCTCAACGACCCGGAAACCGTCGTTATTGATGAAGAAAAGCCGTACGCAGAGCTGTGGATGGGAACCCATCCTTCTGTGCCAACTGTTCTTCCAGACAGCAACAGAAAGGCTCTGAGAGAGTTGGTGACCGAGTTCCCAGAGGAGACTCTTGGTCCAGACATCATTGCTAAGTTTGGCTCCAAGGAAGGTATTCCATTCTTGTTCAAGGTGCTTTCTATTCGTAAGGTGCTGTCTATCCAGGCCCACCCCGATAAGACCTTGGCCAAGCAGCTGCACGCGTCCGACCCGAAGCACTACCCAGACGACAACCACAAGCCGGAGATGGCCGTTGCTATCACCGACTTCGAGGCGTTCTGTGGATTCAAGCCTCTGGCACAAATCGATGAGCTGTTGCAGAAAATTCCAGAGTTCAAGGAACTCGTGGGAGCTGATGTGACCGAGGAATTCCACTCTGGTATTGCTTCTGCGGACGTTGCTGGCAAGAAGAAGCTGCTGCAAAAAGTATTCAGCCGTGTGATGAACAGCCCAGAGTCCAAGTTCGAGCCTTTGGCTGCCAGCATTGTCAAGAAGACCAAGTCCGACCCTGCCCTGTTTGGCGAGACTTTAGCCGACCTGATCCAAAGACTGGACGCCCAGTTCCCGAACGACATTGGTCTCTTCTGCGGTTGCTTGATGTTGAACCACTGCACGCTCAAGTCTGGTGAAGCTATCTTTTTGGAAGCCAAGGACCCCCACGCGTACATCTCCGGAGATATTATGGAGTGCATGGCTGCTTCCGACAACGTGATCCGTGCTGGATTCACTCCAAAGTTCAAGGACGTTGACGTGCTCGTGGACTGTCTTACTTACTCGTTCAACCCTGTTGAGGAGCAGAAGCTCAAGCCTGCCCCATTCCCAAGAGGATCTGGGGACGCCAAGTTGAACTTGTACGACCCACCTATCGACGAGTTCAGTGTTCTCCAAACCGCCTTCTCCACGCCGGGTTCCGAGAAGTTCGAAGGACTGGAAGGTCCTTCTCTCTTGATCGTTACCGAAGGTAAGGGGAAGATCAAGCTGCAGGGATCCGAGACCGCTTTGGACGCTTCCACCGGAAATATCTTCTTTATTGCGCCAAAGGCTCCTGTCGAGCTCATTTCCGAGTCGAACACTCCATTCACATCGTACCGTGCTTATTGCGAAGCTTGATATTTTCAGGTATGTATTTAATAAGATTAATAGACTATCCAATTACTCCTCACACCGGAACACCCCGACGGTGCACAAACTGCTGGAGGTTTTGCTCCTCGATTTGGTCCTGCAAATCGTCGCCGTTGAGCCACTCGGAGATGTCTTCGAATATACGCGCACTTATTTCCAAGTCGAGTGTGCGCTCTTCTAGTTTCAGCCGTGCTTCCAGCTCCTCGCAGGCCTCCACCAGGACTGCTATTTTGCGCCGCGACTGTCGTTTCTTGAACTCGATCACTGGGCGCAGATGCTGGAGCCGGGTGAGCCTTCTGATCTCCAGCACGGCGAGCCGCGGGAACTTGTCCAGCATCAACGCATGCGAGAGCCCCGCGTCGGTTAGTCTCCAGCACCCGTTCAGACTGAGTCGTTCCAGTTGCTGGCCGATTTGGAGCGCCAGCGACCAAATCAGGGCGTCTGAGATGCCGCAGCCCGCCACGCCCAGAGTCTTGAGACTGCACTTGGAGATTATATGCGAAATGGAGGCGTCCGTGACGAGATTTCCCTTGGTATGTCTTCCACAGTTGAGAGTCTCCAGTTTGGGACAGTGGGTTCCCAGATGGTAAAGGCCGGCATCGGTGATGTTCTCGCACGCTCGCAAGTCTAAATGGACCACGTTGGGCATGAGCGGCGCAATTGCCAAAAGATACTGGTCGTCTATAATTTTCGAGCCTGGTAGCACGACTTTTTTCAGCTTCTCTGTGTACAGCGAAAGCGATGGGAGCAGTTTCGGACAAATGTAAAACTCGATCCACTCCAAGTTGACCGGACTGATCTTGATGCTGTCGATATGTTGTTGTGTAGTGGTCTTGAGCTTATGCAGAACGAATGATTTAGGATGTGCAATGGTGACGGATCTATAATTAAGTAGCTTGTTGCTCGAGTCGAAATACAAGTTCTCTTGGAGAACCTGCAGCGTGAGATGGTGCCAGAGGCGGTTGACCATGAGACAGCTGTGCAGGTTACCGACGGGCGGAGCTGTGGTGTTTGTGGAAAGAGTGCGTTGCCACACCTGCTCTCCCTGGTCGCCATGGATGAGTTTCGCGTGGTTGAGCGACATCGGCGGCTTTCTGACGGGGCTCTGCTCGGTTGGAATTCTATCTGTGTCGTCGTGGCCGACGTAATGCAGTATGATATTAAGGATTTCCGGGATCTCAAAGATGGGGTGGGGCTCGCTCGCCAGCGAGAGCTTTTCCACGTTCTCGAGCAGTTTCGGCGAGACTGGACTCGAGCACGCCGAGAACGGAGAAAAGAACCGGGTCTTGAGCCGACCAGGATGCCGCGGTGACATCTTGCGGGAAAGAATGCTATGCTTTGCCGAGGACGAAAGAGAGCCCAAAGAACTCAGCGAGGTGTTCGAGTCCGAGGTGACCATGCTGGTGTTACGACTATAGTCGGAAGGTGTATGGACGCGGAAGGAGATGCTGCTGGCTCGTTTGAGAGGACGGTGGTCCACCAGAGACGAGCGTCTCTCTCTTTGTCTGGTCTTGTGGACCAGTAGCGGCTCAGAAGTCGAGTCCGGGGATGTCTGTGCCAGATCTCGCATGGAGATTACTAGCCTCGAGCTAAGCAATTGCCAAACATATATACAGGCGAATTCAAATGGCTGGGGGCAGAGAACGAACCGAAAACAGGTCAATTTTCAGGAGCTCCACCGCGCCGCACAGCCGCAGACCAGCCACTTCAGACACATCGAAACACCTTGGACAATGTATTTGGACAATGCCGGCAATCAGAAACTTGGCTGGACATTGGCAACAGATTGTCTTCCGGCTGCCAACAGCCATCTCCAAGGCTGGACCCTACCACAGGACGGGACAAAATGGCCCCAATTAGGCTTTATAGGATGGCTTTATTAAAGGAGGTTTGATTTTTTTCGCTACATGCGGCCGGGTAAAACAGCCAGTAAATAACTTTTTTTAGTGGACTTTCTGTAACGGTGGTGTCTTAGCTAAGCAAGAGGCAAATAAATGCCAACAAGCAACAAAAGATAACATTTTTTTGTTGTTTAAAGGTCACCCTTGTTTACGAAATTACCCCGATGAACAACGAATACGACTATCTTTTCAAGCTCTTGCTGATCGGCGATTCCGGAGTGGGAAAATCCTGTCTCCTTTTGCGGTTCGCAGAGGACACCTACACGCAGGACTATATATCGACCATCGGAGTGGACTTCAAGATCCGTACAATCGAGCTGGACGGCAAGACCATCAAATTACAAATCTGGGACACGGCTGGGCAGGAGAGATTTAGAACGATCACCTCATCGTACTACAGAGGGGCGCATGGTATTATTATTGTGTATGACGTGACGGACCAGGAGTCGTTCAACAACGTGAACCAATGGTTACAGGAGATCGACCGGTACGCCACCAGCGGCGTGATGAAGCTCTTGGTCGGTAACAAGTGCGACCTGACCGACAAGAAGGTTGTTGACTATGCTGTGGCTAAGGAATTCGCCGACAGCAGGGGAATCAAGTTCCTGGAAACCTCCGCCTCGCAGAGCACCAACGTGGAACAGGCTTTCATTGTCATGTCCAAACAGATCAAATCGCAGATGGCTAGTTCGCAGCCGGCTCAAAACACAGCTGGAAAGCCGAGCGTGAACTTGAGTGGCACCTCCGTTATTAACCAACAGAACGGATGTTGTTAAACAAGTGCGTACTTGCTTTGGATGTAGCTACGAATCATAATACATGCACCGAGACATCGTTTGCGTAGCCAACTTGGTCCTGACCAAAGTCGGGTAAATACTGAATAATTAAATTTAATTGAATTTGTTTCACTATGGCTGGTGCTTCCGACAAAAAACAGGCCGCGGCCAACGAATCTATTCTGAAACAACTGCACATTGCTTCGGCGGTGATTAACATACTGGCCCTGGTGGCCCTGTTTGTTCTCCACCGTCCAGCAACCAAGAAATACTACATTCTCTTCAGTTTACCAGGGCTTGGATGTTTGTATGTGATTGAGAACGTCGGAAGACCAAAGTACCACAAGAACCCGCAAGGATACTCTGTTCTCACGTCAGCGGGCCAGGATCTCCAACAACAAGGTCTCACAGAGTACATGGTGGACATCGTCTATCTTACGCTGATCATCGACGTGTTGATGATTGTTTTTGGAAGCAACAAGGTTTGGCTGCTGTTATTGGCGGTTCCAGCGTTTGCCGGCTACAAGTTGAAAGGCCTTATTGCTCCGTTTTTTGCGAGAAAACAAACTACAGAGCCAGTGGAGGCGGAGCCCGTGAAAAGCAAACGGCAGCAGAAGCTGGAAAACAAAAAGACAAAGATCAGATACAGGTAAATGGACCCTGAATAGGTCGTGCGATGTAACAGTTTAATTATCATGGCTATTTGCAGAACAGGTCGTGACCAGTTTGTGCCAAGCCCCTAAAATGCTCTCTAATCAGGGCACCCGATTCGGTGTCTAGTAGTGAATTTTCGCGGTGCACGGGTGCAGACCTTTATAGAATTTTCACGTCACGTTACGAGCCCGCAGCCCCCTTCCGGCGGTCGCGAAAGTTCCAATCAGCAGGCTCAGCTTGTTGCCGCTTCTTGTTGAGTTGTCCTCTCACTTTTTATAAAAGTTTTTACTTTACCTTGTTTTGTAAATTAGATCATTCAATTGGTTGAAATAATCATAATTGAGTTATAGCAATATGGACGGAGGTAAGTGTTGATGAAAAACGGCTGAAATCCCCAATTTCGCTCGGTGGCGGGAGAACGAGCAATCTCCAGATCTAAAAATATTATATTCAAGTTTTGGCGGCCATTGCCGCGGAACAGCGCGCGGGAACCACCACCACATCTTTCTATGGCGTTGGTTTGCACGGGTGGTCGTGAGGTTTGATGGATTGGGCGTCAATTTACGGCCCAATTTATCACCGTATCTTTGTGAATCAAAACAAGCCTTTCAATTGCTTTGTTCCGGGATACAAGCCCAGATCACGCGTGTAATGGCAACCGCTCGCACTCCACCCACGAGCCAACAATTGGGATCTCAATGCCTTCCATTCCTCTCTTTCTAACACCCCTATAGAAGACGTTGCTGCAGTAAGTATCATGCGGCCCGAGCTGAGGGCTGAAAATTTCAGTCCGGCTGGGCCATCAGATTTCGCAAATAATCCTCGCTAACAATTTAGTTAGTCATTGACAATGGTTCGGGTATGTGCAAAGCCGGTTTCGCCGGTGATGACGCCCCAAGAGCCGTGTTCCCTTCGATTGTGGGAAGACCAAGACATCAAGGTATCATGGTCGGTATGGGTCAAAAGGACTCCTACGTTGGAGACGAGGCTCAGTCCAAGAGAGGTATCTTGACCTTGAGATACCCTATTGAACACGGTATCGTTACCAACTGGGACGACATGGAGAAGATCTGGCACCACACTTTCTACAACGAGCTGAGAGTTGCCCCAGAAGAGCACCCAGTCTTGTTGACTGAGGCTCCAATGAACCCTAAGTCCAACAGAGAAAAGATGACCCAGATCTTGTTTGAAACGTTCAACGTTCCTGCTTTCTACGTTTCTATCCAGGCTGTGTTGTCTCTTTACTCTTCTGGTAGAACTACCGGTATTGTTTTGGACTCTGGTGATGGTGTTACTCACGTTGTTCCTATCTACGCTGGTTTCTCTCTTCCACACGCTATCATGAGAATTGACTTGGCCGGTAGAGACTTGACCGACTACTTGATGAAGATTCTCTCCGAGAGAGGTTACACTTTCTCCACCACTGCCGAGAGAGAAATCGTCAGAGACATCAAGGAGAAGCTTTGTTACGTTGCCTTGGACTTCGACCAAGAGTTGCAAACTTCTTCCCAGTCTTCTGCCATCGAGAAGTCTTACGAGTTGCCTGACGGACAAGTCATCACCATTGGTAACGAGAGATTCAGAGCTCCAGAGGTGTTGTTCCACCCAGGTCCTCTTGGATTGGAGGCTGCTGGTATTGACCAGACCACCTACAACTCCATCACCAAGTGTGATGTTGATGTTAGAAAGGAGTTGTACGGTAACATTGTTATGTCTGGTGGTACTACTATGTTCCCAGGTATTGCTGAGAGAATGCAAAAGGAGATTACCGCTTTGGCTCCATCTTCGATGAAGGTGAAGATCATTGCTCCTCCAGAAAGAAAATACTCTGTTTGGATCGGTGGTTCTATCTTGGCCTCCTTGTCTACTTTCCAACAGATGTGGATTTCCAAGCAAGAATACGACGAATCCGGACCATCTATTGTTCACCACAAGTGTTTCTGATTTGCTCAAGTGTATTCTTGCGCCTGTTTCAGTATTTGGAGTTTTGCTTCTCCACTTAGTATAGAATCAAAAGATTTGATTTCTCTTTCCCAGTTAACTGCGACGATAGTCGGCGATTTCTCCAGAACGCTTTTTTTTTTCGTCTCGATTCGCTTATCTCGTGCAACCAATTTTTTTCACCGGCCCAGTTTATTAGCTTATTCCTTCTACACGTATAATGACCGACAAGGTGGTTGTTGCCACGCCGTGGAGACTGGCTGCTCGCCAGGTAGCCAAGTTGTCCACCACGGCGCAATTTTACTGGTTTCTCTCGCATCTTTTGTCGCTTACTTTTTTGGTTGTCCATACCGCGGTCGCCACAGTCCGTGGACCTCGTTCGCCCACGGCTTTGCGCTACTACAACTACTCGATCACGTCCACGATCCTGACCTATGCCATTGTGCTCAGACAGACGTACAAAGCACGGCCCATCAGTTTTGTGTTTGCACGGCCACTTAGTCTGCTGCGGGACGATAACGTCCAGTACTTTCTATTGGCGGTGATATTCCGTGTGTTCTCGAAAAAACACGGCAACTCGTCCACATTGTACCCGTTCGCAGTGTACGCTTTCTTCCACTGTCTGGGATACATCAATGCCAACATACTGCGGTATCTGCCGTTTTTGTCCAAAGAGCAGAAATCAACGTACTCCACGCTGATCGCCCAATTTGTCAAAACATACGGCGAACAGTCGTCGCTCGTGGCTGCACACACCGAAGTTCTGCTGGTGACGGCTTATATTTTGCCGGTTGCAAAAATGGTTCTTCTGTTGCAGATCATCCGTCCTAATTATCTTGTGCAAAACGTGCAGGTGCTGTTCCTGCTAAGCGTGGTGGTGATCTTCAACAAGCTCCGGTTCGACCAGTCCAAGTACACCCGTGCACTGGTGACACAGTACGACGCACGAATCAACACCATGCTCGCAATGCCTGTGATCCCACCGGCATTGCAAAACGCCTACTTCGCACTCCGCCAGTCCATCATCGCCCAGCTGAGCAAGATCAACTTGCCAGTGCAGCCGAAATGAACTGCTTGGTCCACCTAATTTAGTCTTCTATGTACACTACACCTCGCGCCGACACCCTCAGGCCAAAGTCTAGGAAAGATTTAATTCTCTTTGTTCATTATGGTATCGTATCTGGATATCCCACCGGGGCAAGATCCGGCCACCTATGTGTCGTTTCCCACCTGCGCCCACCTGGCCAAGACGCTGACATCCTCCGAAAGAGACGCGATCTTGAAAACATACAACACCGCCATGAAAATCTGTCTCCTTGCCATACCCATCGATGAGGACCGGTCCTATTTGGCCAAGGACGGCACCAAAGTCCACCATTACGATCTTGTCCGACTGCGCTCGAAAGTACTCAGGTGTACCCACTGCCATTCCTCGTCCCTCTTGCACATCTGTCTACAATGCTCCTTTGTTGGGTGTCTGAGACACCAACATAGCCAGGAACATGCTCGCACGACAGGCCACAAATTTGCCGTCAACCCGCAGTCTGGAGACCTTATCTGTTGGGAGTGCGGCGACTACGTGGGCGATCCGTCGCTGGAACGGATCAGAATCAACCAGATCATCCATTCGAAAAACGTTGCAAATTTCCCCGGCATGCCAATCTACGAGCACGAGCACGACTCGGCCAAACTCGAACTCATCGAGGCCGGGTCCAGGTTACCAAGTTTCCGCGCCTACACGGGGCTCAAGGGCTTCGTCAACATGGGCTCCACCTGTTTCATGAGCACGGTGCTGCAAACCATCATCCATAATCCGTTCATCAGAGACTATTTTCTGGCTGGCAGTCATTCGGACTGCGACAAACAGGTTTCCGAGTGTCTTTCGTGTTCGGTAGCCGAGGTGTTCCAGGACTTCTACACGTCTCCTAGTCCGTCTGGATATGGTCCGGTGTCTCTGTTGACGGCGGCCTGGAAAGTGAAACGGTCTTTGGCCGGCTACACAGAGCAAGATGCACACGAGTTCTGGCAGTTTTTGATTCATCAGTTGCACAAAAACGATACTACAAGATCAAAAGCATATAAAGAGCAAACTCCGATCCCAGGAAGCTACCTGGCGCAGTCCCAAGGAGGTTGTAATTGCATAATCCATCGAACTTTCTCTGGTGAACTGCAGTCGTCCATCAAATGCAAAGAATGCAATACCATCACAAACACAGTTGATCCGATGCTCGACTTGTCGCTGGAAATCCAGGAAAAACACCCAGACGGCTCCCGGTCGCCCATCTCGCATCTCGAGCTGTGTCTCGACAAGTTCACCAAACCAGAAAAGCTAGACACAATGTACAGCTGTTCCACCTGCAAAAAGCAAACCAAAGTCACCAAACAACTAATGGTCAAGAAACTGCCCCCGACACTGGGAATCCAGCTCAAGCGGTTCGAGCATCTCGCCACATCTACAAAGGTCGACACCTATGTCCAAATTCCGCTGCTTTTAGACATGAACAAGTACGTCTTACCGGATAAAAAGTCGCACCCGGGGAAAAACCTGTACCAATTATACGCCGTGGTGTGCCACATTGGGTCTGCCAGCACGGGCCACTACATTTGCATGGTGAAGGCACGGAACGGGATCTGGTTCAAGTTCAATGACGCTACAGTGACAAGAGTGTCGCAACAAGAGGTGCTTGCTTCGCACGCGTACCTTTTGTTCTATATGATTAACGAAATGGCCTAGTCGAAGAAATCGTCGTCGTTGTCCGACGTGGCGGACTGTCGGAGCGACTTCTTGACAAATCGGGCTTGCCGCGACTCCTCCACATCCTCGTCGTCCAGCTGGTTCACCGACAGCCTGGAGTCTGTTTCGCTGGCCACGCCGGCGCTGCACAGCCACGTTTCCACGTCGGCGAGTTTTGTCTGGTTGCCGCCCAGTTGCGCCAACGTGACGGTCTGTTTCACCACGTCGCCGTCGTGGTACACCAGCAGCGTGGGACAGTTGGCCTCTGGGTAGTTTTCCACGGCTCGATCTGCCGGGATGTCGACAAACTTGACCTCGGGCAGTTTGGGAGCGATCTGCGTGAGGATGCTGGCCAACAGACGCGACTGCAACGCGCTCTGCAGCGACATGTGCACCACGACAAAACACTCGTGCGACGCCTCGGTCACCTGCTGCTTGTACTCTGGTTTTGTGATGGGGTACACGGAGCCGTACTTGGCCTTGGCGGCGAGCTTGTTCATCTCGGCCATCCGTTTCTGTTTGTACGACTCGAGGAACTCCTCGTCCTCGTCGTCCTCGAGCTCGTCGAGCTCGTCTAGCGTCTTGTTGTCGAGTCTGTTCTCGTGCTGTCTCTGAACGGCCTCAGCAAGGGCCTCTTCGAGCTCTTCTGTGGGGTCCTTCTCCTTCTGCGGGATGATTCCCTTCTCACGCAGAATGTCGTTCCACTCGGTGTCCTCGTTGGGATCCACCTGCATCTGGATTTTCGGGTCAAAAGGTCTGTCCATGTTTTCCACTGCCAAAATTTTTGGATATGGAGAAAAATTTAAATACTGGTAAAAAAAACATCAATTAACCATTTATAATGTCCATTTCCTTACGAAAAGGGTTTGAGGACGAGTCGCTAGAACGCGTCCTGGAGGACCTGCTGGTACGTTTTGTCATCAACTGTCCGTCCGAGGACCTGTCGTCCATCGAGAGAGTGTTTTTCCAGATCGAAGAAGCCCACTGGTTCTACCAGGACTTTGCCAGGGTTCTCAACAATTTGTTGCCGGCAATGAAGATGAAACAGTTCACCACGCGGATTATCGAACAGTGTCCGCTGATTTGGCGGTGGGGCGATCCAGAAAATGCATTGCAACAATTCGGCAAGTACAAGTCCTTGATCCCCGTTCGTGGGTGTGCTTTGCTCAACGAGTCTCTGGACAAAGTTTTGCTGGTCAAGGGGTACGAGTCCGGGTCGTGGGGGTTCCCACGAGGAAAGATCTCGAAGGACGAGACCGACCTGGACTGCGCGTTGCGGGAGCTGGACGAGGAGACTGGCTTTGACGGAAAAGAGTACATTGACGAGGACGAGTACATTGAGCGCACTATTAAGGGCAAGAATTACAAAATCTACGTTTTGGCGGGCGTTCCAGAGTCGACACAATTCGAGCCCAAGGTGCGTAACGAGATCAAGGCCATTGAATGGCGCAAGGTCAAGTCGTTGTCGAAACAGGGCAGAAACACGCTGTTTTTGGTGAGCTCCATGATGCAGCAGCTCCAGAGCTTTATTAATAGAAAGAAGAATCTGCAAACAGAGGAGGAGCTCAAGAAGCAGGCCACCGCGCAGCTCAAGAAGATTCTGGGCGTGGGCCAGCCGTTGCAGAAGTCCGATCCGGGCAGAGAGCTGCTCAACATGTTGCAACAGGTGGCCACCACCAAACAACCAGAGACCATCACAGACGTCAAGGCGCTTCCTCCTGGTCTTGTGCGGCCCGGCCCCGTGGGTCCAGCAGGTCCTGGTGGACCTCTGCCGTTCCCATTGCCTGTTAATCCGTTCATGATGCCATTCCCGATGCCATTCCCTATGCCGTTCATGATGCCTCCGCCCGTGCTGCCAGGACTTCCGTTCCCTCCTCCACCAGTCTCGACGCAGCGCACAGACCAGAAGAGCGAGATCTTTGCTCCGCCGCCGTCCGAGCTCGACAAGCCGCACCTGGCGCTCGCCAACAAACGGTCCGGAGCCAGCGACAGCAAGGAGTTGTTAAGTATTTTGAAACGGCCAGAGAAGAAGGACGAACCAAAGGACACGAAGGACGAGCCAAAGGAGAAGTCTGGATTCCTGCAGAGTCTGTTCCAGAAGTACAAGACCGATGACCCTGCTCCAAAGAAGGTGACCATCCTGCAACGGCCAAAGGAGGAACCAAAGGATCCAAAGGAACCAAAGGAGACACCAAAAGAAGGCTCGGCCAGTCTGCTGAGCATTCTCAAGAGACCGTCGCCTGCTCCCGCCACAAACGGCGCCGAGCTGCTGGATATCCTCAAGAAACCAGAGCCAGAGAAGAAAGAGTCGGGCGACGGGTCGAAGGAGCTGCTGGGACTGCTCAAAAAGCCAGAACCAGAGAACGGCGCCCAGCAGCTGCTGGGACTGCTCAAGCCAAAGAGTCCTTCGCCGGCGAACGGGTCGCAGGAATTGCTGGGCCTGCTGAAACCGCAGCCACAGACCAACGGCTCGCAGGAGCTTCTTGGGCTGCTCAAGCCAACGTCTCCTCCGGCCCCGGCAAAAGAGGACGCGAGCCGCTCATTGCTGAACACACTGCTCGGCGCGCCTAAACAGACCCCGTCGCCGTCGCAGGACCTGCTAAGTCTGCTCAAGCCTGCTGCCCCCGCTGCTGCTCCAGTCTCTACACCGTCCGAGTCGACCAACTCCCAGGACCTGCTGAGTCTACTGAAGCCGAAGTCGTCGTCTGCGGAGACCGACGAGTTCGAGGACTTCGAGGACCTCAACGAAGGCTACGACAACGTGCAGTCGTCGAACCGGTTCAAAACGTACATCAGCTCTGACGACGAGGAGTATCTGTGATGCGGGAAGAAGCACAGCCTGAAAATTTTACAGGTGCGAAATTATTTTCCATGACACGCGTGGCCAAACGAGCTCCCAAGAAGCCTGCTGGAGACGGGCCGCCTGTGCCGGGCAAGCCGCCCGTTTACGACAAGGACAAGAGGAACCGGCGGTTCTGGCTGGTCAAGAGCGAGCCAATGCCTCGCGTGGACGCCAAGACGGGCAAGACGGTCAAGTTCTCGATCTACGATTTGGCACAGGTCCCGGCTGAGCCGTGGGACGGCGTGCGCAACTACGAGGCGCGAAATTACCTGATCCAGATGGCCAAGGACGACGTGTGTTTGTTCTATCATTCCAACTGCAAAAACCCGGGCATCGTGGGGCTGTGCACTGTGGCCAGCACCGCCAAGCCAGACCGGTCGCAGTTTGACCCGCAGTCGCCCAACTACGACCCCAAGGCCGGCCCGGACCAGCCTCGCTGGTGGTGTCCCGAAATGGCGTTCCTGTGCCTGCTGAACCGCAAGCTGAGCCTTGCGGAGCTGCGCGAGTCCAAGGGCGTCGAGGACCTGTACCTGCTCAAACGGGGCCGGCTCAGTGTCACGCCCGTGAGCGAAAAGCAGTTCTGGCGGCTCATGCAGCTGCAGGAGGGCCCCCAGGGCACCGACGCAGAAATGGACTGCCCCACACAAGGACTACCCAGATACTCCAAGAACCTGTTAGCATAGTAACGATTCTCTAATTCCAACTGACCCGGCCGTCCAGGCTGGTTCTTTCGTACAAGTCGAGCTCCACAAGCCCGGCCAGCTCTGCTTTCAGTGCCTCGAGCTGTTTCGTGCCGCGGGCAACGCTCTCGAGGTCGTTCAGTTGCGCGACGTTCACCAGACACTTGATCTGGTGCTGCTTGTCGAGCAACTCTTGCCCGTCGTTCCAATGGTACACCTGGAACACCTCGATGACCACGTCGTTGTAGTAGAACCGCGACCCGCGTACCCAGTACTCCTTCTCGGGCATGTACCCCAATTCGTCCATGTACCCGAGGATATCGTCCGCCTTGACGATGGTGGTCTCGTATATGTTCTGCGTCAGCACGGGTCGCTTGCCCGCGGCAGGGATATCGACGATCTGGAGCGTCCAGATGCAGTTGTTCCAGCGCGGACTCTGCAGGTTCGAGAGTAGCTCGCTGTCGCTGGCGCCGCCGTGGCGTGTCATGCGAATGCGGTACGACTCTATCTGGTTGATCTTGCCCGCTTTCTGCTCGGGCTTGAACGGGAACTTGGGCCGCATGACGACCGTGTGCTGTTCCATTGGCTGCGGAACCATGCCCGTGAGCGACTCGAGCGTGATCAACACCACCTCGGGCGCCAAAGTGCTCGAATACAAAGACAGCTGTTGAACCATAAATAAATTTAATTTAATTTTCACTGAAAGCTTTGGGCAACTCCTCGAATCTGTTTAACTGCCAACTATGTAAAGTCTAACCTACAACACTGGGGTTCTGATCTTGGCTCTGACAGCCTTGACCTGGGTGTAGTTCTCGTAAGCCTCGTCACCCATCTCTCTGCCAATACCACTCTGCTTGTATCCTCCAAATGGAACAGACTGGTGGAAGTCGGAGTAAGTGTTGATCCACACGGAACCGGCCTCAAGTCTGTCGGAAACATACAGAGCCTTGTGGATGTCCTCGGTGTGGATACCAGAACCAAGACCGAAGTCGGAGTCGTTGGCCTTCTCGATCACCTCGTCGACGGTCTTGAATGGCAGCACAACAGCAACAGGACCAAAGATCTCCTCCTGGGTCAGCTCGCTGTCTTGAGGAACGTCGTAGAACACGGTTGGCTCGACAAAGTATCCCTTGTTGCCGATTCTGTTACCTCCGGTCAGCAGCTTGAGGCTGGTCTTCTTTCCGATGTCGATGTACTTGAGAACCTCGTCGAACTGGTCTGGGGTGGTCTGGGCACCCTGGTAGGTGCCTTGCTCGAATGGGTTGCCAACCTTGAGCTTCTCGACAGCAGCCTTGAACTTCTGCAGGAAACTGTTGTACCATTCAGGGTTGGTGGCCTGGATGTAGATTCTGGAACCGGCACAGCACACCTCTCCACCGTTGAAGAAAATACCGGTGATGAGGTTCTGGATGGCCTCTTCCTCGTTACAGTCCTCAAACACGATGTTTGGCGACTTTCCACCCAATTCCAAGGTGACCTTCTTGATGCTCTTGGCACACTCGGTCATGACGTTCTTACCGACACCGGTGGATCCGGTGAAGGCGACCTTCTTGACCAATGGGTGGTTCAAGATGGCGTTACCGCAGCCTCTGCCGCTTCCTGGAATCACGTTCACCACACCGGCTGGAATTCCGGCCTCCTTGACAAGCTTACAAGCGTACAGGTTGGACAATGGGGTGGCGGAAGCAGGCTTCAAAACAACACAGTTACCGGTGGCAAGAGAAGGACCGATCTTCCAGGCAAACATCATCAATGGGAAGTTCCATGGGGTGATGGCACCGCAAACACCAAGAGGCTCTCTCTTGGTGTAGGTCATGTGGCTGTAGCCGGTGTCGATCAATCTGCCGTCCTTCTTCTCACAGAATCCAGCACACGATCTGAGGTAGTTGATCACAATGTTCAAATCCCATTGGGCACATTGCAACGACTTACCGTTGTCCAAAGATTCGATCTGGGCAAGAAGGTCTCTGTCCCTCTCAACAAGGTCGGCGAGCTTCCACAAGAGTCTGGCTCTTTCTGTTGGGTTGACAAACTTCCAGGACTTGAAAGCCTTGTAAGCGGCGTTGACAGCAATATCAACGTCCTCGGCCTCGGCCTGTTGGACGTCGCAAAGGAGGTCTTCGGTGATCGGCGAAGTAACCTTGAAAGTTTTGCCGGATTTGGCAGCAACGAACTCGTTGTTGATAAACAAACCGGTTGGTTGTTCATAAGACTTGTTAATAATTGGGAAGGTCAGCTTTTGAACGTGAGCCATTGTGTGAATTTGTTTAATGAAAGAAAGTCTCATGGTGAAAAAACGTCCACTTATATAAGAATTTCCCGTTGGCCCAGGTTTTTGCACAGTCGTGGAACTTTTTCGGATTGTGGGGGGGCAAAAATTACTAATTATGTAGGGGGCGCGGCCCAACGAAACATTGTTCCTTGTCCGATTAGGCAGCTGGGAAAAAATTAGCTTGCTGGGATCCTGCAATCCGCGCCCCCGGGTGTAACGGAAAGCAAACATGCACCCCACTGCGGGGTGCAGTTCTTCGGAGTTTGGACCCCCTGTTACAAATCACGTCACTAGACCCAGAACAACATCAAGCTACATTGTCGGCCCCCGTGGAGCTGAGTTTCCCGCTGGTCCCAACAATTCCGAAAAAAGAAATCATAACTTTATGGGTTATTCGGATCTTTGCCGTCCCGGTAATACATACTTATCTCCACCCTGCATCTAGCGAAGCATCTCGTCCACGTTATCGTCCCCCCGGTACTGGTATTGCAGTTGTTGGTGTTGGTGCAGCAGCGCAATGTCGTAGAGCTGTTCCTGCTGGTTCTGCCCTGAGCTCGACTCCGTCTGCGCCGCCCGCGTCGCCAGCTCCACAATCTCGTTCGTGTCCAGCGGTTCCTGCTTGAGCAGCTTGCTCAGCTCGTTCACGTCGCTCTCCTTGGCCTGCAACTCGTGGTACTTGCGCTGCTCGCCCACCTCGCCCAGCTGGAACGGAATCTCCTCGGACCCGTCCTTGCGCCAGTTCAACGGCTGGTGGTGTTTGTGGTTGTAGCTCAGCTGCACAACACCGGTCACCAGGTCGTAGTTGAGCGTGATCTTCGAGTCGCACTCTTCCGTCTTGAGCTTATTGATCACCTGCCGCTTGTTTTCGCTCCGGCTTTTCCGTTGTCGGTACTTGTCCTGCGAACAGATGTACATCCATGTAATTTTCTTGCTTTTATTAGGGTTGGTGTCCGATAAATTCGGCTTGTGGTGGTCCCGGATCGCAAACTTGAACCCGGTCAGCATCTGCAAGGGCACAATGTACTGGTTGACCACCAGCTCGGACATCTCCTTAACAATGTCCTCGGTCAGCTCCTCCTTTTGGTACCGAGGAAAAAGGTCCTTGTCTGTGTAGTTCCGATAATTGTGCTGGTACAGGTCGATTTGCGAGTTCAAACTCACCTTGTGCTGATACTGGGCCCAATCGTCGGATAAGTTCGGCAGTTTTGACAATGAGCGCACTTTTTTCTCCTTCACTTTGCGCTTGTTCCGGCAGTTGACACAGGTCTGGTACCGCACAAGCATGTCGGGGTCCTCGTTGACTCTTTTGACCCGACATCGGGAACATTTCTTCACCATGTCCGGGGACGAGACCGACCGCGACCGCTTGCGTGCTCCCGGCTGCGGCTGTCCGTCAGACCCCAGCTGGCTGTCTGGGATGTATGGGTAGTACTGTTGCCCGTAATAATTCTGCGAAGGCACGGGAGGCAACTGGTGATGTTGAAGCGACCGTAGCTGGTCGTCCACGTCTGCGAGCGTGATCGAGTGCGCCTGCTGTTGAGCGTCGGCAGGGATGTTTGGGATCGGTGCGTTTGTCTGTGTAGACATATTTCCCCAGATCTTATCAGCCTGAATAGGATAATCTGACAATTCAAATAGTGCAAAAAGTTGCTAGCTGTTAAAAACAAACGGCATAAATGTGCGCGCAAGTTGTGCCAAAAAAATTATAGTGCTTTTAACCATGGCGAAATCAGACTACGAGAGCGACGAGCTGCTGGACAGCGAGGAGGACGAGTTTGAACTCGAGAGCGAGGAGGAGTACGACGAGGTGGTTGCCGACGAGGACGACGAGGACGACGAGGAAGAGGAGGTGCCCAAACGGCGCGGCCGGCCGTTGATCGAGGAGGCTGTTGCGCAGGACCAGCCGAAACGCAAGCGTGGGGCCCCGAAAAGCTACAAAGAGCCCGGCGAGGACGAATTGCCGTACTCGGAGGACGTGGACGGCAGTTCCGTGGAGGATTCCACGCCGTCCACGGATATCGTCAGAATGACAGAACGGCAAAGGGCAAAGTACACGGAAACGGGCGACGATCTGAGCGACAGACAGGGCAGCGGCGAGCTGCTGGAGCTCACCAATGACCGGTCCAAGAAGAAACAGTTCACCGAGGAAGAGCTGCAGCTGCGACGGCTCGAGAACGCGCGCAAGCGCAAGAACTTCACCATGAAGCGGCTCGAGATGGAGAAACAGGACACCCTCAACAAGCTGCTGCTCAAGCGGGCCGACAAGGTGAGAAACCTGAAGAATCTCGAGGGAAAGGAGTACGGCGACGAAGAAGACCCCACGCCCACAGAGGCTCCGCGCCGCCCGATGCTGTCTCACCCGGCCCTCTCGCGCTGGAACTGCCGCGGTGTTGACCAGCAGGTGGTTAGTACATACTCTTTTAACGAATAGCTCTGTTAGCCAGAACACGGCTGTGCACAATTAAAAATAATTAAACCTTTATTATCCACGAGATGGGAGGACAGGTGCTTGTGACGTGCGGGGCCACGGTCTGTTTTGACAGACTCGTGGAGAACGCTCTGGACAAGCGGTTTTTTGGACTGCTGCTGCGGCTTGGGTTCGACCGTCTTGTGGTGCAGTACGGCAAGACGGCCGAGGGCCAAGAGCTCGTGACAAGGCTCACACAACAGTACACCGTCAGCGACGGGCAGTTCACGGTTGACGGCCTGCATGTGGAGCTGTTGGCGTTCGACGCAGACATTGTGGCCAACTACACGCAGAAAAGCGACCTGGTGATCTCGCACGGCGGGACCGGGTCCGTGCTGGACAGTCTGCGGTGCAACAAAAAGCTTGTCGTGGTGATCAACAGTGCTCTGGCGGACAACCACCAGGAGGAGATTGCGGAGGCGTTTGCACAACAGGGACTGCTCGAATATGTGCGTGGAGACTTGAGTGAGTTGCTACGCGTGACTGAGCGCGTTTGCAACAGGTCGTACAATAAGATGCCAAGCCCAAAAGGGAGAATTGTTGAGGATGTCTTATGGAGCTAGCTGAAGCGTGGATGGTTACAGAACGAACAGAAACACCAGGCTGAGCGCTGGCTTGGGTTGGCTGGGTGTTGATCTTTCGGGCTTGTGATGGCACAACAGCTACCGAGCAGTGTTCATTTATCCGGAATAGGAAAGAATTGTTGATTTACACAAATACAGCAAAAGCCCCGCAACCACCGGACCTGGAATCTCCCAATTAGTGTGAGATTTGTCGAGGTGCGTGAAATTTCCTCGATCAAGATCGCGTGAGGCTCGAGATCAATAGTGCTGCGGGAACGGTTTGGATGATAATTTCAGGCCTGAGTTTTCGCGCAACTGGAATAAGCAGGATCGCATACGTCAATCGGAAGCTTTGGCGAGAGTTTGCTGGAGAGTGCCCGGAAACGGGATCTAACTTGCAATGGCTCCCAAAATCCCGAGGAAGCACGGCTGGCTAGCCAAAGAGTGGCCAGCTAGAAAGAGAAACGACGATCTAGTTTGTACATCAAACCGGTGCTTTTGTCGGCTATGTCCGGATTGCTTAGCTCGAAAAGTTTATAACCGTGTTGGAAAAAAAAAGCACAGAACATAAATGGCGATTTGCTTTTTCCGAAAGGAGGAATTGTTCGGATGGAGTAAATTAACAAGGCATTAAGAAGATCTGCTGTTTGAACAGCGAACCCCGCTAACTGTGGCCACTTTGTAGACGCTGGTCGACCAATTGCCCCCATTGCTCGGCTGAACCAACGTTCTCGTAGCACATTCCCCCGCTGTTGGTTGCCACAAGATGGCGGGCTGCATGGACAGCCACGAAAAATCTAGAAAATGCGTGCGGCTGAACACGAAAGTAGCTGGGTTTCCGGGCACAGACTCTGTAAATTGCGTACATACCGGTTCAGCTGTCCCATTTTACTGCGCCATCGCCGCAACTGGCCGGATCCGAGCACCTGGAGAAGGCACACTGGCTTTTTTCGCGGGCGGAAATGCTGCTTACTTAAGCCGAGACAATACGATGATTGGGCCACAACGTCGTGCGATTTCCAGATCCGGTAACGGGTAAATATGGACAAATTGCATGCATGACAAGCTTGACTCTATTTTTAGAGATGGCTATCCATTATAAATACCACGAGATCCGTCAAGTAGAGCCCAATACCAATCATGAAATTCTCTGCCGCTTTATTCGCTGTTGGTGCCGCTGCCGCCTACGTTCCATCTGAGCCATGGTCTACCTTGACCCCAAGTGCAACCTTGTCTGGTGGCACTACCGACTACACCTCCACTTTCGGTATTGCTATCCACAAGGCAACCGGAAATGCTAAGGCCAAGAGAGAAGTTGTCTCTCAAATCGGTGACGGTCAAATCCAAGCAACTACTGCTACCCCATCCACCTCCTCCACCGCTGCTGCTGTTGTGACCCAGATCGGTGATGGCCAAATCCAGGCCACTACCTCCACTGCCTCTGCTGCTGCTACCTCCGAGGCCGTGGTTTCCCAAATTGGTGACGGACAAATCCAGGCCACCACCGCCACCCCATCCACCTCCTCCACCGCTGCCGCCACCACCGAGGCTGTTGTGTCTCAGATTGGTGACGGCCAGATCCAGGCTACCACCGCTACCCCATCTTCCTCCGCTACCACCCAAGCCGTTGTTACCCAGATCGGAGATGGTCAAATCCAGGCTACTACTGCCACCTCTTCTGCTGCCGTTGTGTCGCAAATTGGTGACGGTCAAATCCAGGCCACCACTGCCACCACCGGAACTTCCTCCGTTGCTTCCCAGATCTCTGACGGTCAAATCCAGGCCACCACCGCTTCCGGTGCTACCCAGATTTCCGACGGCCAGGTCCAGGCTTCCAGCACCGCCACTGCTGAGTCCAGCATCGGAACCTCTTGTAAGAGCTCTGACGCCCTTGCCTTGGTCTTGAACGACGGTATCTTGACCGACGCCAAGGGAAGAATCGGATCCATTGTCGCCAACAGACAATTCCAATTCGACGGTCCTCCACCTCAAGCCGGTGCCATCTACGCTGCCGGATGGTCTGTGTCTCCAGAAGGCACCCTTGCCATCGGTAACACCACTGTCTTCTACCAATGTCTCTCTGGTACCTTCTACAACTTGTACGACGAGTCCATCGGAGACCAGTGTGAGCCAGTCTACCTCGACATTGTCAACTTGGTTGATTGCTAAACCTTCCTAGCATCTGGAGCCAGTATATTTCTTTCGTCCAATCCTTAGCATAACAGGCATTGTATAACTTAATTTTACAATAATAATTATACTTGAACTATACTTGAACTCATTCTATCTTTTTTTTAGTTCAGCCCGGCTGGTCAACCAAAAGAATTTACCCGGCCCCGTGCTGATTCTAGGAATTTACGGCAAAAAGACAAATCATCAACAAACCTTGTATTTTCCATCCATTGCTCATCACGTATTCAAACTTGATAGGATTTAGACTTGGAGAATGGCAGAAAACCCTCCAATTGATCTTATTGACGTTTGTCAATTGTCCTCTTTGGGCATTTCCCCGCAATCCTTCAACTTTATGGCCACAACTTTGCAGTCTGACCACTATGTTTGCTGTAGGGAAACCTCTGATTCGGGCAACTCGGTCGCCATTGTCGACCTGAAAAACAACAACCAAGTCACCAGAAAGTCGATGACTGCCGACTCCGTCATCATGCACCCTTCGCAGAACGTCATTGCACTGAGGGCAAACGGTACAACTCTCCAGGTTTTCAACCTCTCCACCAAGCAGAGACTCAAGTCCAACATTATGAGTGAGCCGGTGATATTCTGGAGCTGGTTGGACGAGTCCACCATCGGTCTGGTCACAGCTTCGTCCACGTTCACCTGGAACGTGTTCGACGGCACGGAAAACGGACCGGTCCTCTTGACTGCAAGACACGTCTCCTTGGCCAATTGTCAGCTCACCATGTTTGTGGCAAACTACAACCTGTCCTGGTTTGCCCTCTGCGGTATTGCCCAGGAAAACGGCAGAATCGTCGGACACATCCAGCTCTATTCCAAGGCCAGAAACGTCTCGCAGCCAATCGAGGGCCATGTTTGCGCGTTTGCCAAGTTCAAGCTGCAAAATTCCCCAGTCGACACACAACTTTTTGCATGTGCTTCTAGAACAGCAGACGGCGGCAACTTGCACGTCTTGGAAATCGACCATCAAGAAGGTGCCCCAGCCTTTACCAAAAAATCCGCAGACATCTTCTTCCCTGCAGAGATCGCCAACGACTTCCCTGTTTCTATCCACGTCTCCAACAGATACGGAATCGTCTACGTGCTAACCAAGTTCGGCTTCATCCACCTGTACGACCTCGAATCCGGAAAAAAGATCTTCCTCAACAGAATCTCCTCCGACCCTGTTTTCACTGCCTCCAGTTTCAACGAGAGTGCCGGAATGATTGCTGTTAACAGAAGCGGTTCTGTGCTTGCTGTCGAGGTGGCCAACGATCGAATTGTTTCCTACATCTTGAAGAACCTCGGTGACGTCGAGCTTGCTCTGAACCTGGCTTCCAGAGCAGGTCTTCCTGGTGCCGAGTCTCTCTTCACGCAACAATTCAACCAGTCTCTTGCCCAGGGTGACTACGGAGCAGCCGTTAAGATTGCAGCTTCCTCTGTTCAATTGAGAGTCCCAGACACAATCTCCAGACTCAAGTCGTTGCCAACACCTCCTGGCCAGCCGGCCCCAATCTTGCAATACTTGGTTTACCTGCTGGATAGAGGTGCTCTTAACAAATACGAAACTTTGGAGTTGGTGAGACCTCTTTTGCAACAAAACAGAGTCGAGACCCTTGAAAAGTACCTCAAGGAAGATAAATTGGATTACTCTGAAGAACTCGGTGACCTTGTGAAACCCTTCAACACAACCTTGGCCTTGGCTATCTACTACAAGTCGGAAGTGCCTTCCAAGGTGGTCACCTGTCTCGGAGAGTTGGGACAATTCGACAAGATCCTGCCATACTGTGAAAAGTCCAACTACCATCCAAACTTCACTGTTTTGATTCAGAACATCCTGAGAGTCAACCCAGATAAGGCCGCCGAGTTTGCTACCCAGTTGTACTCTCAGCAACCAGAGTTGGACGTTCAACAAGTTGCAGACATCTTCCTTTCCCAAAACTACATTCAGCAAGGAACCGCATTCCTTTTGGACGCTTTGAAAGAGGATAAGCCATCTGAGGGAAGTCTGCAAACTAGACTACTTGAAGTTAACTTGCTGCATGCCCCACAGGTTGCCGATGCCATTCTTGGAAACGCCATGTTCTCTCACTATGATAGACCAACCATTGCTGCTCTTTGTGAGAAAGCTGGTCTCTACCAGAGAGCTTTGGAGCACTACGAAAACATCAAGGACATCAAGAGAGTCATTGTTCACTCCAATGCATTGCCTGTTGACTGGCTTGTGGCATACTTTGGAAAGTTGAATGTTGAACAATCTGTTGCATGTCTGAGAGAAATGCTGTCCAAGAACTTGGCCCAAAACTTGCAAGTTGTCATCCAAGTTGCTACCAAGTACTCCGAGCTGATTGGTCCTACCACCTTGATCAAGATCTTTGAGGAGTTTAAGTGCACCGAGGGTGAATACTACTACCTTTCTTCGATTGTCAACATTACACAGGAACCGGAGGTTGTTCTTAGATACATCCAGAGTGCAGCCAAGCTTGGACAAGTGAAAGAAATTGAGAGAGTTGTTAGAGACAACAATGTCTACAATGGCGAAAAGGTCAAGAACTTTTTGAAAGAGGCCAAACTTCCTGATCAGTTACCATTGATCGTTGTTTGCGATAGATTCAACTTTGTTCATGACTTGATTCTGTACCTTTACAAGAACCAATTCTTCAAGTTCATTGAGGTTTATGTTCAACAAGTCAACCCATCCAAGACCGCACAAGTTGTTGCAGCTTTGCTTGATGTTGACTGTGACGAGAGTGTGATCAAGTCTCTCTTGCAATCCGTTCTTGGACAAGTTCCAATTGCCGAGCTTTGTGAGGAGGTGGAAAAGAGAAACAGACTCAAGATCCTGCTGCCTTTCTTGGAGGCTACTTTGCAATCTGGTGCCGCAGACAAGGCCGTCTACGACACTCTTGCCAAGATCTACATTGACTCCAACAACAACCCAGAGAAATTCCTGCTTGAGAACGACCAATACGACACTCTTGTTGTTGGTAAGTACTGTGAGAAGAGAGACCCATACTTGGCCTACATCGCCTACGACAAGGGTTTCAATGACGATGAGTTGATCAACATCACAAACGAAAATGCCATGTACAAATACCAAGCCAGATACCTGCTCAAGAGATCTGATCTTGCTCTTTGGGGCAAGGTGTTGTCTGAGGACAACATCCACCGCAGACAATTGGTGGACCAAGTTGTGGGAACTGCTGTTCCTGAACTGGAAGATCCACAACCTGTTTCCATTGCAGTGAAGGCGTTCATGGAGAACGATCTTCCAGGCGAGTTGACTGAGCTGTTGGAGAAGATCATCTTGGAGCCATCTCCATTTAATGATAACCCATCATTGCAGGCGTTGTTGATCTTGACTGCCATCAAGGTTGACAAGTCCAAGGTTAGTTCTTATGTTGACAAGCTTGATGCTTATGATCCAGATGAGGTTGCTCCATTGTGTATCGAGAACGGTTTGCAAGAGGAAGCCTTTGAGATCTACGACAAGTTTGAGAGATACACCGACGCCATGAAGGTTTTGGTTGAAGATATCATGTCTCTTGACAGAGGTGAGAACTACGCCGAGAAGCTTGAGAAGCCTGAACTGTGGTCTCAGCTTGGTGCCGCTCAATTGAACGGTTTGAGAATTCCAGAGGCTATCAACTCTTATCTGAAGGCTGGTGACTCTTCCAACTTTGAGCAAGTCATTGATATCGCTGAGCATGCTGGTAAGGAGGAAGAGCTTGTTCCATACTTGTTGATGGCTAGACAAACTCTCAGAGAGCCAAAGGTTGACGAGGCCATCATCAACGCTTACGCTACGCTTGGCAAGCTGAGCGAGATCGAGAAGTTCTTGCAATTGACCAACGTTGCTGACTTGGAATCTATTGGTGACAAGTTGTACTCCAACAAGAACTACGATGCTGCCAAGTTGATCTACTCCAATATATCCAACTACTCCAAGCTTGCTTCCACCTTGGTTTACTTGAAGGACTACCAATCTGCTGTTGACTGTGCTAGAAAGGCTTCCAATGTTGCCGTTTGGAAACAGGTCAACCAAGCTTGTATTGAAAACAAGGAGTTCAAGCTTGCACAGATGTGTGGTCTGAACCTGATTGTTCATGCTGAGGAACTGGACGAGTTGGTGAAGCAGTACGAGTACAACGGTTACTTTAAGGAGCTGATTTCGTTGTTCGAGAACGGTCTATCTTTGGAGAGAGCCCACATGGGTATGTTCACCGAACTGGCTATCTTGTACACCAAGTACCGTCCTCAAGACACCATGGAGCACTTGAAACTGTTCTGGTCTAGACTCAACATTCCAAAGGTGATTAGAGCCTGCGAGTCTGCTCACTTGTGGCCAGAGCTAATTTTCCTGTACTGTCACTACGACGAGTGGGACAATGCTGCTCTTGCGATGATGGAGCGTTCGGAGACTGCTTTCGAGCACTCTTCGTTCAAGGAGATCATCGTGAAGGTCGCCAACCTGGAAATCTACTACAAGGCTATTAACTTCTACTTGAACTTGCATCCATCGCTGTTGACGGATCTGCTTGCCGTGCTTTCGCCAAGACTGGATCTTCCAAGAGTGGTGAAGATCTTTGTGAAGTCTGACAACCTACCATTGATCAAGCCGTTTTTGATCTCTGTGCTGGAGAAGAACAACTCGATGGTGAACCAGGCGTACCACGACCTGCTGATCGAGGAGGAGGACTACAAGTCTCTGCGGTCTGTTATTGATGCCCACGACAAGTTTGACCATCTTGGACTGGCCGAGAGACTGGAGAAGCACGATCTGATCTTCTTCAGACAGATCGCAGCCATCATTTACAGAAACAACAAGAAATGGAACAAGGCCATTGGCCTGCTCAAGGCAGACAAGCTGTGGTCGGATGCTATTGAGACGGCTGCCCTTTCGAACACCCCGAAGGTGGCCTCGGAGCTGCTGACGTACTTTGTTGAGACAGGCAACAAGGAATGTTTTGTGGCCACGTTGTATGCGTGCTACCACCTTATTTCGCCGGACGTTGTTTTGGAACTTTCGTGGCTGCACAATCTTGGCGACTATGTTAAGCCGTACGAGATCTCCATTGCCAAAGAGAACCAGGACAAGCTGGCCGAAGTGTATGCTGACCTGAAGGAGAGACAGTCCAAACAGACGCAGGCCGAGGAGGACCAGCCTGCTCTTGGCGGCCAAAGACTGCTGTTGACCAACGGAACCGGTCTGCAGCCCCAGATCGGGTTCCAGCCCACTGGAGCTGGGTTTGGCAACGGGTTTTGATTTTGTAAAGAAAAGAATAGAATTATGAATATTTATTCGAAAGTGTAGCTGCCGTTTGTCTTTGTGAAGAACTTCTTCTCTGTGACGATGGCGTCGATTTTGTCGTGCGGCGTGACGTCGAACGACGGGTTCCAGACGTCGATTCCAACGGGGGCCATACTGATCTTTTGCATCTGGACGCCGTTGTTGCCGTGGACGAACGCCCCGTCCGGGCCCACCACGCCGCCCATGATCTGCGTGAGCTCTTTCTTTGGCCGCTGTTCGATCACGATCTCGTCGCCTGTGGATCGGGTGAAGTCGATCGTCGTGGTTGGGGCCGCGCCGATAAATTTGATCGACGGATACAGCGACGCAATCAGCGACAGCTGGAACGTGCCGATCTTGTTGGCCAGGTCGCCGTTCTTGACGATGCGGTCTGCTCCCACGATGATGAACTTGATTGGTGCCGCGCTTGGCAACGACCGGTTGGCCTTGTTTTTGGCCAGAGAGTCCACCAAAAACGACACCATGTTGTCTGTGATGAGACTGAATGGGATCTTCTCGTACTGCAGCTCGTACGCCGTCAGCCGCGAGCCCTGGTTGTACGGCCGTGTCTCGCACGCGTACACATGGGCCATCTTCGTGGCCCTGTGCTGGGCCTCCTGGTGCAACGCTCTGATGATCCCCAGGGCTGTTCCGTAGCCAGACGTGGCCAGCGACCCGGTGTTGCAGATGGTCATCACGGAAAACTCGCCCGTGAAGCCTTCCTTCTCCAGCTCCGAGTAGATATACTCGACTCCGTTGGCTCCTATGGCATGGTTCGACTTCAGGTCGTCCTTGTACAATTTGACGGCGAACTGGAGCAGATCCGTGTACAGCGACGTTGTTGACGTGCTGGCGTCGATGATCTGTCGCATCTCGTTGCACCCGTTCAGCAGGTTCACGGCTGTTGGTCTGGACTGGATCAGGACGCTGATTCTGTCGAGCAGCCGGCTCTTGAACCGGGCCAAGTCGGCCACGTCGTAACCGAACCGCGTCTCGTTCTCGTTCAAAACCCGGTTCAGCTCCACAACTACCGAAAAACACCCCACCAACATGATCGCTGGTGCTCCTCTCGTGTACATGCCCTTGATGGCAGTGTAGCCGGAAAACAGGTCGATTCCCTCCACCGGCGCAATGGCATCCACCGCCAGGTACTGCGTCTCGTACGGAACCAGCAGCTGGTTCAATATGCGCAGCGTTGCGCGCTTCTCGTCAAACTTGATGGCCTCCAGTGACATGTGCTCAAGCCATAATTTTTCCGCACTAAATAATTTGGACCCGGGTCGTGCGCGGCCCGCGCCAGTCCAAGAAGTTCCCACGATATTTTGATCGGTTCCTCCAGTTTAGTTTTGTCGGGCTGTTGATGCACTGACCACCGTTCGAGGCTTGCAATTGGCACCGTTGCATTTTCCAGTCGCTAAGCGGCACACTGAAAGTTCTTGCATCTTGAAAAATCACCCATGGAGTCCAAGTTCCTCATACCAATATACCCCTTAACAGATACCGTTGCAATTCTGTCCCTGTTGACGGTGTTGCCGCACTGTATCAGCGTGGGCATCCTGGCGTTGTACGCGACGCTCAACTCGTCCGGGTTCGTGAGATCGACTCTTTCTCTGGTTTACAAGCACAAACTCGACGGACTCGAGCCAAACCTAAACAAGACAGAGTCTTCTTCCTCTTCCCGAGGGACGTTTGGGTTCGGGTTTCTTGCCCTGGACCTGGTGCTCACATTCTTACTGCTCTTTCTAGCCCCAGGAGCCCTCGACTACATCCATCTGTTGGCCAAGGCGTTCGTGGCCTCCAACCTAGCCTCAACAAGACAGAAATACATCCTCAACGCCATCCTGTCCATGATTGTCATCCTCGCCGTCGAAACTCTCATAGACTTCCTCATCAAGAATTTCTATCTGGTTTACTTCGACGGGTCCGTCGTAACAGACGTGTTTCTCTACTCGGCCTACATTCGATATCCCAAAAAACCTCTCAAACATCTGCTCTACCATCTGTCGCCGTTCAAGACTCGCGCCCGACAAAAGCTCATTTTGAGAGTCGACCACTTCATCGACTTCCTCTACTCGTGTCTGTGCGTCTACACCATCCTGTGCAACGTCAGTCCGTTAATAAGAGTCCTGCTACACCCAAAACAGCCAGACCAGCCGTCTGTGCCCAGCAAATTACCTTCCAAGCCAATCCCACCACCCTCGGCGGCCACTACACATAAATCCTCGGAAACAAAGACCATCAGCGTATCTCCACACATCGCTGGAAGCACCATCCCCGGCTTGTTTCGTCCGTCGTTCATCTCTGCCGAAGAGCCAGCAGGCCAGGAATCCGAGGATTCCACGCCGGCTTCGTTCCCACAGGACCGCCAGATCCTCAACATGAACGACGTCTCCTCGGCCAGTTTGGTTGTGGCCCAAAATTTCGAAAACTACTGCCGTTTGTTCCTGTTCCCGTCCTTCAACTTTAGCACGGCCTCTCAGCCAACGATTTCTGTCGCGACTCCCAATGGCGACATCCCCAAGTCCAAAATCAACCCTTTTGTGGAGCGAAAGATGAAGAACATGACCAGCCGCATCCAGCAGCCGATTTGGTCGTTTGTTTCGGCCGCAAAAACCATGTTTGGCCGTCCAGACCTCTACTCGGGAGAGTACTACCAACACAACGCATTGGTCATGACCAGCAGGTCTCCTGACGGCTGGAAACGCTCGCTGGTGGATACCACGCAGTGCTTCATCTGGTACACTGGCGAAACAGCGGTTGCTTTTGAGCTGCGAAACGTCTACATCGACCAGCTTCTGGTGGTTGTGAACGGCGTGGTTTGGGAACAGTCGGTGCTGATCGGCCTGGAAGAACGTGAACTTGTGATTGTGAGCGGACTGAGTCCCTTGTCGCAATACGATGTCGATTTCATCAACGTTGATAGCAAACAGGAAAGAGAGCTGCTTGCCAATGCTACCGTGAGTACCATACATAAAAACCGCACCTTGACAGAGTCCAAGCATTCCACTCCGCTGGCTACTCTTCAGGAGTCGGTGGTGACCACCCAGGCAGCCATTGAGCAGGAAAAGCTCAAGCTCAAGAAGCTCAAGACGTTCTGGAGAAAACGCTCCTCAGCACTGAAAGCAGAGATCGAGGCACTCAACAGCCGGTCCAACTTTTCAGACGAGATGCGAAACTACAAGAAAGTGGAGTCTTTGCGACAGGCAGTGACCAAAAGCGAGGGCGAGATTAGCTACCTGTCAAAAGAGGCTGAACGACTGTATACTGAGCAATCTGGCGTGGACGAGCAGTATTTGGACGAAAAACGTGCTTTTGACGGCGAGATGCGTTTGATACAGACGTTTGAAACCAATTTCTGGAAGAACCTGGAGAAAGAAAAGGCCAAGATCGAGTCTTTGGAAGCGGAACGGGTTCCTCTGGTTCAAAAGAAAGAAAAGCTACTTGTGAAACGGTCACGGATTGCCAACGACGTAAAGAAACTCGAGCAAGAGATTTCCAGGCTCAAGACCCAGGAGATCCGGTACCGGCAAGAACAGCGGAGCGTGCGGACAGGCCAGCGTGCCGAGAAGCACCGTCTGGTGATGAACGACGTCTACAAGTTCGAGAAGCAGCTGAATGAATAATTATTGTTCTAACTTGTTCCCCACTGTGTGGAACCGGCGATTATAATAGATGAGGCCTCCTGACGAGGCGGCCGACGCGTTGTCGACAATTTCCTTGACGCCACAAGTCCATAGCTCGTGGTTGTATACGCGGAACACTTTATGTTTTTCGCAGATGAGGACTCTTTCTGCGAGCGAGAGAATGGGAATTTTGATCCCGTTTGCGGCAAAATAGCGCCACTCGTCGGGCCGTAGTTCCTCGAACGGCTTGGTGAGGTGTGCTCCCTGGGTTCCTCTGGAGAACGCTCTTGCGAGTCGCACAGAATCCTGGACTGGAGGGAGGATATGCAGGGCCAGAAAGCCGGAATCATGCAAAGTTTGCGACGTCCGCGACGGGACTTGCAGATTGAACTGAACAACCGGTTCAGGGTTGATTGTAAGCGAGCTGACCGAGGAAAGTGTCATTCCGTGCAACTCGGACACCGACGACGATAACGCCGGAGCGGTGAGGATCATGGCTGCTTGTTAGTGCTCACGGGCTTGATGACCTACCTTGCGACCCAAAGGACGCCATCGCCTGTTTGTAGGCCTCCACAGGTGACGCTTTTAGTGAGAAACGTCGAACATGGTTCATTCCTAAGTGGAGAAATAAAATAGTGAAAAATTAAATTATATGCATTGCACCATTTTTTTTTCTTTGTCTTTGTTTATTCCTAATGAAGTTTGAACAAGCTTTGATTTCGCGCCTCGCAAAACACAAACCGCTCGATCGAGTCGGCGCTTCCGTTGCTACGTCGCCCGCGTTCGCATTAGCCGCCAAATGGTCCCACAAGAAGAAAGTTTTCAAGGAAAGAATCGACTCGTACCCACCTCTCTCGTCAAACGTGTTTGCCCAGATCGCGGGATCCGCTAATCGTGCCATCATCCCGTCGCGCCTGGTGGTGCCACGTGATTTCTTCATCAAGATGGTGTGCGCAGAAAACGAATTTGCCGACTCCAAGTTCCAGCAGGTGCTTGTTCCTGACCTCAGACCCGTTGCAAAAACCACAGACCATGTGGTGTATTTGCCAAACGATATCAAATTCTATAGCGATTTCCTGCTCAGCGAGAAAAACAAGGATTTCCAGTTCACCCCGCCATTCATGGTGGCTTTGGAAAAGGGGTTCACCCCCATTGGGTTCCTGGCCCAGAATCTCAAGGTGATTTCTCAAATAACGCTAGAAAAACTTCAATTGCAGCTCGACCAGCTCCCAAAAGACCTCGCAGTGCGCAACAACGCCAGTTTTGTCACTCTGTCGTTCTCACGGGCCCCCGAAATCGTCACCTTCTCGCCGCTCACGTTCCATATCAATATCCCAGATAGCCAGATGGAAAAAGCACTCCAGAAACTCCCAAAAAAAATACCAATAAACCCGCAGACAGTGCCGTTCTTGAAGACACTGTATAAGACACTCATCTACTACGAAAGATCGGATTATCTCTTATCTTAATGCATCATCACTCATTACACAATTTAAATGGAAGACCATAAAGAACAGGAGCGGCCCCGTTCAAGTACGGCAAAACACAAACGTTTCTGCTCTCCGCAATGCTGTGTCCAATGTCTGTGCTTCCGGTTCCCGTGAAGCCCCATTTGTCAAACATCCGCAGAGTGAACTTGTCAATGTCTTTATCTGTCACATCCCATAGATTTGCAACCACCATCGGACAGCCTCCGGTTAGGTAGTTATAAACCGTTCCATACGGCTTGAACACCCCGTTTGTTTTCAGTTTCCCGGAAGAACACCCCAGAAGCAGCGCAGGAGGCAGTCTGTCCATGTTTTTAATCGTCTTCGACCTGATAATCTGTTCTCCCCCGCCGTGCCCCGCATATATATACATTTTGCCTTCAAGTCCGCTCACCAGTTGTTCTTCCGATGGTCGCATGCCAATGACTCCTGTCCATCCGTCGCGATGGGTGAACAATTCTTTGAAGTTTGCCTCGGTTCGTTTCAGGTCTCCGCCAGGATTGATCACATAGTAACCGTTGGAAGCAGAAATTCCGGTCGCAAGCTTGTTTCCTGAGTTTTGGAGCAACTTCTCCAGCATTTCCACAGATGGCATCCGTGAAACAGACCGGCTAGCCAAGAACGGGATCGATTCCCATGGCATCTTGATACATTCCGACGAGACAATCAGGACCAAGTGATCTCTTTGAGCAACAGGCTTCACTTTACGTAACTCGCATTCAATTTCAAACATCAGCACGTCGTGAGAAACATCATCGGATATCTGCAAATGTTGCAACAGATCCTCAATGTCGGTACGTTTAGCGTCTGAGGCCAGGTCCAATTGCAAGAACATGTCTGTTTCAAACTCCGAGAGCTTCAATTCTCTTCCTGTGTGTTTGCCAAGAACGTACTCCAATGATTGTTGGAACTGCTCAACGTCCTGGCTGGCAAACAGCTTATTACCAAACACTCCTTTGAACCCCCCAAACCAGTGGCTGTCGATCTCTTGCAACAGGTTCTTCAATCTGGAATCGAGTCGCTTACGTCTTGACCACCACTCTGCACGGTCGTCTCTGGTCTTGACACGCGAGGTGACCTCCGGCTTGGTGGTTAGATCGCTTTCATGGATGATAGCTTCCAGTTCTTCGATTGCGGACTTGAAGGACGCATAGCGGCCAGATAAATGTCTCTCCAAAGGCAGCTTCAAGAGCTCTGGGCTCTTGTTTGGTGCGTGGCGGGTCAAAACCAAACATCCCGTATAGAGATCGATATCCAAACAGACAGCCAGCCATGAAGACGGCAGTGATAGTGGTAGGTACTGGTGATCAGAAACCAGACACGGTTTGCAACTGCTTGGAACCAGGTTTTTCGTGCTCTCGACAGAACAGCTCAGCTGCTTGTCAAGATCAAAGACTTCATGTCGAACGGTTTCGTAGGCTGCGAGAGATTTGGTTAACATTTGCGAGTCAGCCACCCCGCTCGAAAACAAAACAGAGTAGACACTCCGGACGAGTTCTTCTCTAACGAGTCTTGGTTCTTGATCGCAACTCATACATTCAACCAAACAGGTCTCATAGTTCTTGTTGAGTGGTCCTTTTTGCAGAACAACTACCGAGTCGCCTGAGAAAATGCTCTCGAGTTCGTGATCAATGAGTTCATATATCTTGAGCTTGGTGTCTGTCAGGCGAGACCGTGTGGAGGTTGTCTTTTCCTTTCCTTTAAGCAAATAGCTCATTCTCTGGAACTCGAGTTTTTCCTGGCTTCCCGCCAACGGACGTGCCAGGTGACGATCGAGAACAACTTGCTGGTAAAAGTTACCGCCGTCGTACTCGTCCTGGGCCAACAGTCGGAAAAACGAGTCCACTTTGTCGCGCGCGGAAAAGAGCTCAGGATAGCCTGTCATCTGGCAGTACAGTTCCTTGGCACACAGCTGTTCAAACCCAACCCATAAGCTTTCAAACTGCATCTGTTGATACGCCAGCAAACCCTTGTCCAATAAATTTTTGGCAGCGACGGCGTTGCCCTGAAAGAGCTGGTACTTTGCCAGTTTGAAAAGATAGCCGGTCTTCAACACCATTGACGACTGATGGGTCAGGACTTTCTCCAGTTCCGTTGTATAGTATTCAAAGTCCTTGCAAAGTCCGATCTCGAGCATCATATCTGCGAGCAAACCGTAGGACCGCACAAGCTCGGAAACAAACTGCAGTTTCAGAACCATCTTGTGACACAAGTCGATTTCCATCGAGGTTCCGTCGGTGACTAGGAAGTTCTTCATCACCGACTGTAGCACTCGCACCGACTGTTTGAGGTTGAGCACCGCCTCGATCTTGTTGGATTGAGAATGGTGCAAAGAGACAACAACCGAGACGTTGGCAGCAAGCATGAGCAGTTTGCTCACGTTGAGCTTGGACGCTTGTTTGCCAACCTGAAGCCGGCTGTCTTTGAAATACTCCAGCAGACGCGTGCATTCCTGCTGGCTTCGATGGTCCTTCATGGTGGCATAGCATTGTGCTCTCAGTGTCGTCAGCTGAACGACAGACATGATTTCGTCAGGCTGTGTTTTTGGAAGACCATCCAAAGCCTCTTGAGGAAGACCCAGTGCCAGGTTCAGCGACGCAAGCTCCAGCCGCACCTCTGCCTCGAGTTCGCCGAATTGACACGTTTGAAGCGATAGGTCCAGAACGTAGCTGGCGTAGTCCATGAGCCCGGAAAACTGGAGCACTCTGGACACCATCAGCAGAACTTCAAACTCGTACTTGGAAATCTTTGGTCTTTCCACTTTGGCCCAAGATAACACTGCCGCAAGCGATTTCATCAGGAAACTCTCTTCCATCTGCGTGCAGCATTGCAACAGGTATATGTGAGCCACAATGATGTCGTGATACTCGCTCATGACCGAGTTGGACTCGAATCGCAAGGCCTGGATGGACTTGAGCGCCAAACCAAACTCAATGATGAACGAGATCGAAGATAAAAAGTACAGGAACAAACCGTTGTCTTGCAACTCGTTCTTGGTTTCCACGATGAATTTCGATATCTGGTCTCTTTTCGAAGGCTTGACGGATGTGAGCAGCTTAATCAGTTCGATCGCGCAAAAAGCTTTGGTTTTATCTTGGACACCAAAGTATTTGATCGAAAACTGACAGTCCAGCCGGGATATCATCTTGACAATGAGCTTGAACATGACTCCAAACGTATCAGCTATCTTCTGCTGGTACTCGTTCACATCGACGGCACCATAAAGCTGTTCAAACGACTGGAAAGCTTGCAGAATGAACTCGAAGGATCGTTCATGGTTCTTGCTTTCGATTAGCATGTTGACCATGCGCTCGCATTTGATTTTCAGCTGGTCAAATTGGTCGCTGCTTTCTTCGGCAACCGAGTCCTCAATATCGAGAGCTTTCTTCCAGCAGACAACTGAAGAGTCGACATCTTTGGTCAACAGCTTTCCTCCAAAGTGGAACAACAAGTTTGAGAAGTTGCGCAGACGTTTTGGCTGGCATTGGTTCTTCAAGCTATCAGCCATAGTGTTTAACGCTTGGTATCCAAAACTGAACTGCTTGATAGGATCCATGTCTTTGATTTTGATAGTGACCATGTCGAAGAAGTTGAGACAGGGATACGTTTTCTTGCAGAATTGCAGAATGTCCAGCACCACAGACTGGTCAGCAGGCGATTCCAGGTCGAGCCGTTTCAGGAGTCGACACGATTCGGCAGCAAACATGGGATCGTTGTTCAATGGCGTGCTGGACAACTTAAGAGCTTTGAGCAAGGCCTCAGGCGTGTTTCCTTCCACGATTTTTGTAGTTGTCAATAAATAGGTAATGTAGTCTTCAAAGTTGGAAACGGGGACAACAGACTTGGGCACGAGACTAGCCCAATCTAGCGTATCAGTCTTTGGCTGCGATTCGCGATACTTTTCAACCAGGAAATTCAACGGCCCAAAGCTCTTTTGGTTCAGCTTCCATCGCACACAAACGTTGTAGAAAGACTGGGCCGTGGCAGCGTAGACGTTTTCGTCTGAAAGCATCTGGTACTCGGCGATGGTGTTTAGCGCAAACTCCAGGTCCAATTGGTCGGTGAACAACAGGGAGTGATATCGGAGCAAGAGAGACCAGATGCCGTGTTCCAGCGTGCAGAGCTCGGACAGAATTGACTGCAGCTTTTTCTTTTGGTGTCTATCAAGACTTGATACGAATTCGAACGGGGTATACTCGATGATAGTTTTGAACGACGGTGATTGTTCCCTATTTTGTATTCGGACCATGAGACTGAGTTCCAAGGCTATCAAGATCAATTCTGCGTTCATAGAAGGAGACAGTGTCTCTGATTTCACACCTTTGAGCATTTCATCAAGATGAACCGAGTCAAGCCCACGTTTTGAGCTGTAAAACTCGGTAAGTTGGCTATATGCCTCAACAACCATCTTGTGGTCCAAGTAGAGCTTGCAGATCTCGATGGTTCGGCGGATATGTAAACACTCGTCCAGACTGGCTATTGTTTGGAGACATAGGGCGATCGTCTTGACGGTGGACTTGTCGAGCCGCACATAGCCGTTCTGACGAGTCTCTGCGATGGTTGTGTTTATGAACGCCAATGCTTTGTTGATGGGATCGCACAAAGAAGGCGGGAGGTTGGGTTCGCGTATTTGTAGGGCGGCCCGCTGTTTTGTGGGGGAGTGGGGCAAGTCTCTGGCCATGAGATTAGACGCCAGATATGCCGAAAGGACCTCGCCGAGATCTTCCGGACCGGACGACATGGAATGGTCTAACGAGATGGCAGCAATGGGAAAAACGGTCCCTATTTATGTTTATGGGAATAATTTTTGAGCTTTGATTTAATGTAAATACACAGCCACACCTGTACTTTTATTCTGAAAAAAAACCGAGTGTGTGGCGCAGCACATCCAATGCTGGCTGATTAGTGTTCACCTGGAACAGGGTATTGGGACACAAAGTCGACGACCTCGGTACCCAACTTCTTGACTGCCTCGGACTCGCTGGCCAGACGCTTGAAGTCGGCAAGCTTCTCCTTTGGAGTGGCTCCGGACTCCTGGGCTTTGAGATCAATGGCAATCTTGATGGCTTGGTCAATGTAGTCTGCAACCTTGGCGAACTCTGGCTTGAGGAAACCTCTGGTAGTCATGGCAGGAGTACCGATTCTCAATCCAGATGGGAACAAAGCAGAAACGTCACCCGGAACGGTGTTCTTGTTGGCAGCGATGTTGGCTCTCTCCAAAACAGCCTCAACTCTGGCACCGTCGATGCCCTTGGAACGCAGGTCAATGAGGATCAAGTGGGTGTCGGTTCCGCCAGAAACAAGGTCGAGTCCCTTCTGCTTGAGCGAGTCAGCAAAAGAGGCTGCATTGGATACCACATCAGACTGGTATTGCTTGTATTCTGGGGTGGTTGCCTGTTTAAGAGCAACAGAGAGAGCAGAGATGGTGTGGTTGTGAGGACCACCTTGGTGGGCAGGGAACACAGAGAAGTTGATCTTCTTCTCCAACTCGTATGGGATCTCCTTACCCTTCTTGGTGACCTTTCTGATACCCTTTCTGAAGAAGATCATGGCACCTCTTGGGCCTCTAAGAGACTTGTGGGTGGTGGTGGTGACAATGTCCGAATATGGGAATGGAGAGTCGGTGACACCAGCAGCAACCAGCCCGGAGATGTGGGCCATATCAGACATCAAGTAGGCTCCGACCTTGTCGGCGATCTGCTTCATTCTGGCGTAATCCACGGTTCTGGCGTAGGCAGAGGCACCAGCCACAATGACCTTTGGTCTGAACAGCACGGCGGTCTTTTCCAGAGTGTCGTAGTCGATCAAACCGGTCTTCTCGTCCAGTCTATATGGCATGGTCTGGAAGTACTTGGAGATGTACGAAATCTTGGTGGTTGGGGTTTGGTAACCGTGAGACAAATGGCCTCCATGAGGCAAGTCCAGACCCATCAGTCTGTCACCAACCTCCAGGATGGCGGAGTAGGTGTAAAGGTTGGCTGGGGCACCAGACAAAGGCTGGACGTTGACTCCCCATTGGGCAGGGTCCAAACCAAACGCCTTGAGCGCTCTTTGTTGACACAAGCTCTCGGCCATGTCGATGAACTGGTTACCACCGTAGTATCTCTCGCCTGGGTATCCCTCAGAGTACTTGTTTTGCATCTCCGAGCCGAGGATGTCCATAACGGCGCGGGAGGTGAAGTTCTCGGAAGGAATCAAGGTGATCGAGTTCTTTTGTCTACTTTTTTCCTGTTGCAGAATGTCGAACATCTCCTTGTCCACCTCCTCGAGGTTGTTGGAGATGAGGTTCTTTGCCTCGGAGGACAGAGCGTAGTACTGCAATGTTAGCGCATGGTGATTAAGTGGTACTTACCCGCACCTGGGAGCAGACGCGTGGAAATTGTCTGAGCTGTCTCAACATGTGAAATAAATTAATTTAAATGATTCATAAATCGAAGTCAATTTTTTTTTGATGGGCAGGGAGACGTTGTCGGGCTGTGCAAGGGCTAGAAAAATGTCCTTGACTGATAAAAAAAGACCAACTGATGAGACAACACGAGAGCAGCGCGCGAAAGAGCGGGATGGAGGTGATTGTGCGACGGCAGAACGATCGTGTGAGCCGGCTGTTTCGGCCGATGGAGCACCCGGATCACACGAAACAGGATGTGGCTGCGCAGCTGCGCACACAGCGACGCGAGCAGTGCGCGAGTTCGCGACGAGGACCCATGGCAGACTTTGTGTTGAAACAAGAGGAGCGGCGTGCGATGCGGCTGTTGGAGCGACAGGCGCAGCAGGCCGAGCGGCTGGCGATGAACGATCTCGACCGGTTTCTGGAGCAGCACGAGTCGGAGCGAGACTACGACGCGGACGAGGAGGAGAACACGCAGGAGGACCGGCCGGACGGGCTGGCGCGCACTGTTTCTGCGGAGCGAGCGCTTGAGTACGAATTGGAGCAAATGCTTGCGCTGGAGCAGGCCGAGCTGGAGGAACTGACACGAACGCTAAACTTGCGCGATGACGACGACACGACACAGAACCACGCAGCAGCACAGTAACGGTGTTTGCGACACGAGCCATATGCAGTGATCCAAGCCGGCTGGAACGGACATATCACGCTAAAATAAGAATTTCAGGGCCCATCTGCCCCAACTGCTAATCATGTACCAAAATCTCGTAATTTAATTATTTATTCAACATGTCGGACTGGGACGATGATATGTACGACGACGAGGAAGAAGAGCTCTCGTTCGAGGAAGACGCTAACGAGAGCGTCGAGGAGACCAATACGGACGTGGAAAGCCGCTATTTTTGGGGCAAGGAGCTTCGTCAGGACGAGAAACTGAAGGAGGCTCTGGAGGTGTTCGAGGACAATATCCGCCAGAACGATAGCAACGAGTACACTTTCAAATCGATCAAGCAGGCAATCAAGGTGAGCATTGAGATGGGCGATTTCTCCAAGATTTCCGGGTACATTGATCTGTTTCTCCAGCAATTGCCCCAGGTGGGAACATCGTACGCGGAGTCGTCGTTTTCCAAGATGTTGCACCGGCTCGACCGCCAGAACTTGGGATTCGACCCAAAGTTCCAGGAGCAGATCTACAACAAGTTTTCAGAGTATTTGGGGACCCGAAACTCGGGCAATGAACGACTGGTAATTCGAGTCGATCTGGGCAGAGCTGGACTCTTGTTGAACGAGAAAAAATACACTGAGGCACGCGAGATACTACAAAAACTCGAGAAGGTTGTTCTGGGCTCGTCGGAGTCGGTTCGCAGTGCTTTTTTGCTGGATATCCTCGCGTCTGAGATGATCATCGCCAAGGAGTTTGTGGAAACGCCCGAGCTGCGCAGACTCACCAAGCTGGCCGACGACTCCGGGTCCGGGATCCCGCAGTCCAAGATTGTGGGTACTATCAAGGAATGCTGCGGTCTTGTGGCGATGGCCGACCAGGAGTTCCAAACTGCCAACCTGTGTTTCCAGGAGAGTTTCCGTGCGTTCAACGACTGCGGAGACGATCGCCGCGTGGACGTGCTGATGAAGTACATTGTGAGCAACCTGCTCAGCGAGAGCGAGATCGACCCGTTCCAGTCGAGCGATTTCCAAGGGTTCGACGATAGACCAGAGGTGGTTAAGCTTATGGAGATGTACAGATACGTTCAGGAAACAGATATCAGCAAGTACAACTGGTTGATCAAGAAGGACGAGACGCTCAAGGATCTGAAGGAGTTCAGCGTGTTGGCGCCATTTTTCCCGTATGTGACACAGCTGTTGCAGGAACGGTTTGTGTTGCAGTACTTGCAATTGTTTAAAAGAGTCAGTTTTAAAAAGCTTCAGGATAAACTTGAAGTTGGCCCAGACGACGTCGAGATGTTGCTTCTTAGACTGTACAGCGAGGGCCGCATCACTGACTTCAAGCTGGACATGGTGGACAAGACCGTGGAGCGCATAGACGGCCAGATCTTGGACCCTGGTCTAACGTCCGAGGACGTGCTGGAGCGGCTCCAGTTGTACCAGAAGGACAAGCTGAGCATCCCAATGGACGATTTTGGCGTAGACTCGCAGGAACGACTACAGGAGATTCTGTCTCTGCGGTTCCAGGCCGAGGCTGCTCCAAGCTCGCCGTCGTTACGGCCAGAGATGAACGCAACAACTATGATTTCCAAAGAGGTTCTGGAGCCGCTGATTCCGATCCGCAAGTCGTACGAGTCGTGCGACGAGTTGTTGAAGGAGCTGGACGATTATCTGAAGTACATGCGGTCTACGCTGCCGTCGAAAGCGGTCTCGAAGCTGTCGCTACTTGAACGGGTCACTGTGGACAACCAGAACCAGGAAGCGGAGGAGATCAAGCAGCTGGACGTGGCTAGCAGTCGGGATCACGACCATCTGATCCCAGAGGTGCTCCAGTTCACCATGATGGATACGCTGGACAACAACGATCACAAGGAGTCCGGAGAAACGCCGACAGAGCAGGAACTGGCGGCGGCGCGCGTGGCGAGCGTGCGTGCGCTGGTGTCGGAGATTGCCAACTATTATGAGAACGTGAACAGGAACTTCACGGGCGGCGTTTCGGTGGACTGCAGTTTGGTGGCAGACGGAGAGTGACGAACACGGCTGTGCTACAAATTTTCAAGGAGAGGAAAAAAAATTAGGAAAAAATCAGTCTCATACTTCTATAGGAATGGTGCCAAAGAAGCAGACGAAGACCGCCAAGCGGCGGAGCGGGCAGAACCAGAAGCGTGAGCTGGAGCCGGAGGTGAGACAGGACGGGCTTGCGCGCAACATGCTGGCGTCACAGCCAAACCTGACGCCAAAGAGCGATAAGAGAAAGGTGAAGAAAGGCCAGCTTAAGAAGGAGCTGCGGGTGGCCAAGCTTTACGGAAAGAAGAAAGAGAAGGTCTATGACGAAAAGGATCTGGACCTTCCTGTTTTGAACAAGGCGATCCAGCCGGGAGTGCTGAAGAAGCGCGGGAAGAAGGGCAAGAAGTTTGTTGCTGACGACGATTCGATCACGATGAACCGGTTAATTCGCCAGATCAACGACGAGAGAGACCTGGAGAACGAGTCGAAGCTGGAGAAGGCCAGAAGACTCGAGGAGATCAGAGATCTGAGACGCCAGGAGATGGAAAGAAAGGAGCATGAGAAACAGTCCAAGCTGGACAACAAGAAGGAGGAGATCAAGCTCAAGGCGTCGAGTGCGCGGTCGATCAGACGCAAGAACTCGAAGCTGGTCAAGAAGGAGGTCTTGAAGACGGACAAGAAGAAGTCGGTTTCCTTTGCATGATGTACACTAATAGATTTTCGCCTATATCGAGCGCGTGCTAGCTGGCTATGAGATAGTTGCCGTTGAGCAGGAGGCCGTGGAGGTTTGTAGCGCATGTGCGAGCGTCGGTTTGGTGGCTGAACACGAGTCTTGCTGATCTGTGCGGTCCGAGCACGACAGAGTTCACCACGCCAAACGACTCGGCCAGCCGCCGCAGCTGGTCCTGTGTTGTCTCGTTAGCCACGTTTTCTTCCCGTTAGTACCACCATTAAATTGACTTACCAAGAACCACCGTAGACATGGCAACTTTTTTTTTTACCCTACCGTCTAAAGCAGCACATACGTAGACAAAAATACTTAGTAACAAGAGGTGATGAATAGAGTGTTGTTATTTGGGCTTTTAGGAGTCGTTAACGCTTTTGAAAACACAGCTCCCCTTGTTGTGTCGTCGTTGGACTTCAAGACGCTGTTTTCTCCATTCGAGTATCTTGTTTCGTCTGAGAAACTTGCGGATGTTACACAGCTGACCGAGCACCTTTGTGTCAACAAGCCGGACGAGACGGTGTTGTATGTGCAGGTGAACGGGCTCAGTTCTGGCGACTTGAAGCGCAGCGTGGGGTCTGGCCTGGGCGAGGCCGTTTCTGTTGCGCCACACGTGGTGTACCAATCGATCAAGGACGTTTCACTTGCCATTTCGCCCCAATGCTCTACATACAAGGTGGACTCGCTCAACAACGACTGGGTGGACCAGCTCAGTCGTCCCGGCGTGGTCCAGATGGCCATTGACGCCGAGGACCTGAAATCCGTGGAGGAAACGGCTGCTGTTCTGGGTGTTTCCAACGTCATAATACAAGGAGTGCCTGCGTTCGAGAGTGCAGACTCGCTCGTCAAGAGCGCCAAGAACTACGTCAAGAAACTCACACATACAAAGCGCGACCAGATCGTCGACGAGGAGGACTACGAGTCGCTGCAAGAGCAGCTGGACCAGGCGTTCGAGGAGATCAACGAGATGATCCAGGACGAAACCGCCACCATCTTAGAGGAGGCCGCAGAACAGGCCAGCCAGGGCTCCTCGTATAGCACAAGCACACCGTTCGTGGCGCCAGACGGATCGCTGTTCGAGAAGTACAGCTTCTTCAGCCCGGGTCTTGTCATGAGCACGATTGTGTCGCTGTTCTTGTTCTTTGTGCTGTCGACGTCGCTCAAGTGGCTCAATTCGTTGCAGGTCAGCTACAACGCGTTCGACAAGCCCGTCAACTTTGGCAAAAAAGTGCAATAGGTCTATTCAGTACACATACGGGATGATTTTGTAAGGAACAAGCTTCTCGTACTGCTCCCAGTACTTGCCGTACTTGGTACGGCACTTGTGTTCGTCTCGCTGTTGTCTGTGCAACAGCAGAACCGCGAAGTAGATCACGTAGAAGTACGTCAACGGCGTGCCAAATGCTGTTGGAAGACACCAGCTCAATGCGATGAGGATGTCGCCCAGGTAGTTGATGTGCTGCGACAGCCCCCACCAGCCCTCGGCCAGCAGCTTCGTACCACGGTCTGTTTGGATGCTCTTCATGTTTGGAAGCAGACCTTGTCTGAACATGCTTTTTTGGTGGTTTGAGGAGTGGAAAATGTAGTAGCCAGCGGCCATCAGCAGCACGATCCCTGCGGCCGCGTAGGGGCTCAATTGCACTGGCTTGATCGACAGGTATCTTGCCTGCAGACAGTAGGTGAAGGGCACCCACGACAGGTCGCCGAATGCCAGCATAAACCCGAACCCGTCTGTGGTGATGTCCATCATGGAAATTACACCTTCCTCGTTGAGCACGCCGTCAAAGATGTAGAACGTCTGCAATGCCACGACAATCAGCAGCGCGTTGCACACAGAGCCCATTTCCAGGTACTGTTTCTGTACGCAGGAGAGGTCGATCAGCAGCCACAGCAGCATTCCTGGTCTGAGCTCGCAAAAGAGCTTGATGTCCCAAGAACCAATTCTAGGGTTCAGCTCGCGGCCGATGAACCAGTCGAACAGCGGGTTCTTCGAGTTGCCACCCTCGGCAAGAATGCGCTCGTACGAGCCGGCGCCGTTCGGTCTTCTGAGGGGCAGGAACGAGCAGATGTAGACGAATGTGCTCACAAGCAGCGAGAACTGCCACGACACAAGGAACAACGCGAGAAAGTTGTCGTACACGAACTGCAGCTCCGGGATGCGGCCACGCGTGTACCAGGCCCTTGCTCCGAGCACAGAACAGAGCAGCAGACTCAATTCCCTGCCATTGATCAGATAGGTCAAATAAGTACCGTCTCTCAGCTGGGTGCCTCTTTTGGAGAACCCGGGCACCACGAGGTCGAGGACGGCGAGTCCAAAGAACCAGACGACGTATGCGAGCCACACCTGCTTGTTGAAGAACGTTTGCCAGGTCAAATTGTTGCGGATCAACATGTGCACTGTTTGGAGCTGGATATCAACACCAGTAACAACGTACGCGTCGTTGCAGCAGAGGTACAGAAACAGCACCACAAGCGGCAACGTGACTGTGAGCACGAGCGCGCCGGGAAACCCAAAGAAGTCCTTCTGGACGGTGACGGGGTTAAGCATTGGCAAAGAAGAAGAGTGCTTGTTTAGACAAGAGAGTTTTTTTTACGAGGGTCGTTTTTTGCTCAGAGTCAGAAATATTTAGTATAATTAATTGTGTTAATTAGTTTTCCGCAATGAGTGTCACTCAGACCGATCTAGACGGGATTTTGCCGCTGATAGCGCGCGGCAAGGTGCGGGACATCTACGAGGTGGACGCCGAGACGTTGCTTTTCGTTGCCACAGACAGAATCTCTGCGTACGACGTGATCATGGAGAACGGGATCGAGGAAAAGGGCAAGATTCTCACGAGGCTGTCTGTTTTCTGGTTTGATCTGCTTTCCGATATCATTCCGAACCATTTGGTGGCCTCAGAGGACAGCGAGATCTTTGCTCGGCTGCCTGCTCGTCTGTCTGAGCCAAAGTACAAGTCCCAGCTGCAGGAGCGGTCGTTGCTGGTGAAGAAGCACAAACTGGTGCCATTGGAGGCGATTGTGCGTGGATACATCACCGGCAGTGCCTGGAAGGAGTACAAGAAGTCGGGCACGGTGCACGGACTCAAGACCAAGGCTGGGCTGCAAGAGAGCGAGGCTTTCGAACAGCCGATCTTCACGCCGTCAACCAAGGCCGACCAGGGCGAGCACGACGAGAACATCTCGCCGGAACAAGCTGCACAGCTTGTTGGCGCGGAACTGTGCGCACAGGTTGCCGACAAGGCCGTCAAGCTGTACTCGAAGGCCCGGGACTATGCTCTTTCGCGGGGCATTGTTCTCGCCGACACCAAGTTCGAGTTTGGCCTAAACGAGAAGAACGAGCTTGTGCTGGTGGATGAGGTGTTGACTCCGGACTCGTCGCGGTTCTGGGACGCCACCAAGTACAAGGTGGGCCAATCGCAGGAGTCTTACGACAAGCAGTTCCTGCGTGACTGGCTAACCGCCAACGGACTCAACGGCAAGGACGGCGTTTCCACCACGCCCGAGATTGCCGCCAAGACCGCAGCCAAGTACAAGGAGGCTTACGAGGCCCTCACCGGCAAACAGTGGCAGTAGATAAAAAAAGAGCCCCCTAATATTTTTTTTTACTTGTTTTCTATATCTGGAAGTTTGTAAATACAACATATCAATGGACGACTTCCAGGTGTTGGAGCTAATCGGCCGCGGGTCGTTTGGCTGTGTGCGCAAGGTGAGACGCAGAAGCGACGGCAAGGTGTTTGTTCGCAAGGAGATCTCGTATGGGGCCATGAACAACAAGGAGAAGCACCAGCTAAGCACCGAGTTTCGCATCCTCCGAGAGCTCAGACACCCCAACATTGTGCAGTACTTGCACCACGACCACGTCCAGAACGAGCATCAGGTGCATCTGTACATGGAGTACTGCGACGGGGGCGACTTATCGGTGCTGATTAAAAAGTACAAGGACAGAAACGAGTTTGTTCCAGAGTCTCTGATTTGGCAGATCTTCACCCAGGTGCTGAACGCGTTGTACATGTGTCACTACGGCACGGCGATCGAGCCCGTTCAGAACCTGTTCCAATCGTCGCCGGAGCTGGAACCGAAACCAATGGACCACCAGGTGATTATCCACCGTGATATCAAGCCAGACAACATTTTCCTGCTTTCTGACGGGTATTCGATCAAGCTGGGCGATTTCGGGCTTGCCAAGTGGCTGCAGCACGAAAACGAGTTCGCCAAGACGTACGTGGGCACGCCGTACTACATGTCGCCGGAGGTGCTCATGGACAGGCCGTACGACCCGGTGTGCGATGTTTGGTCGCTCGGGTGTGTGATGTACGAGCTGTGCTCGCTGCAGCCGCCGTTCCAGGCGAAAACGCACCTGGCGTTGCAGGAGAAGATCAAGGCCGGCAACTTCGAGCCGATCCCAGACCACTACTCGCACCGGCTCCAAATGGTGATCAATGCGTGTTTAATCGTGGACCCTGACGAAAGAGCCACGGTCAACCAGCTGCTACAGGACGCGTCGTTCAAGCTGTTCCGCAAGGAGTGGGAGATGACCCAATGGGACAAGAAACTCAAGGAACGTGAGGCAGACATCGCGCTCAAGGAACGCAAGCTCGTCAAGTTCGAGGACGCTTTGAACGACGAGTGCAAGCAAATGAACCTCAAGTTCGAGGAGATTAGAAACGGCTACAAGAATGAATTCAACTACATGCTCGGGCTCCAGATGAACAAGGTGCTGACAGAGCTATTTGGCAACCAAATACCGCCAAACATCAAGCAGCAGCTCTCCAGCAGAGTCGGCAAAGAAAACTTCCAACAACCTGCATTCCAAAACCACAAGCTCAAGGGGCCCCGGGAACTGTACGACAGAGCCCAGAAAAGACGTTGAAACCTCCCGCTCGCATCCATTAGAATATACTTTTGTAATCCTTCAACTTGCCCTCCTTCCGCGGCACCCAGTAGTTGTCCTTGTACTTCCAGTACGGCTCGCCCGTGATTGGGTGTTTGGCCCGCGCAAAGAACGTCGGAAGGTACTCCTCGCCCGACATCTCGCGCGCCTTGCGCGACGCCCGCTGCTTGTTCTCCACACGAGTCTTTTCTGTGGCCGCAAGGTCGTACTCGCCGTTCTCCATCGCCCGCTGGTCGGGCCGCAGTCGCGTGTCGGTGCATGCAACAACAGGTAACAGATGTGGCTGAGGAGCGTTCAACGAGGCTGCAAAGTTGGTCAGATGGAACATCATCTCTGTCTTTGGGTTGGCCTCCCAGATCAGGAACCGTGGAGAGTCCGCGCGCGTCATATCCTTGGCGTAGATCTTGGAGTTCCAATGGCCGCCGACAGTGTACTTGAGCTTGCCGTCGTTCGAAAACACCTCTCCCTTCACCTCTCCGGCGCTCGAGGCTCTCCATCCACGCTGCTTGAAACTGAAGCTCATATAGTCGCCCGTTGTATGGTTGCGGATCTCCATCTCACCGTAGTTGTCGATTGTTGGGTTGCCGACAATGATACCAATCACCGAGTTCTTGATCTTTTTCCACGAGTAGGTCTCAGAAATCGTTTTGTTGCCCTTCTTGTCAACGACACCGGCCCCAGGGAACAGCTCCACGAACCACGTTCCCAAATGCTTGATGTCAAACGACCGGCCGTAGAACTTGGTATCCACATTAGCCTCTCCGTAGTACGACCACGAAGCAGACTCGGCCAACAGCGCAGAAATAGGCGGATGGTGGCTCACCTGCTCCACCAGAACTCTGTACCCCTGGTCCGGACGCGCGTACTCAAACGTTTCGCCAAGAAGCGGGTTGAACGGCTTGGCAATCCGCCCCACGGTGGAAACGTACTCCGAAGCCGCAAACGCTGCAACGTATATCATCCGCGTCACAGAGTCGTCGATCGACGCAGCCTTATCCAAAAGACTTGCGTACTCCATCACCTCGGTACTCCGCTGCAGCAACGACGTTGGCTCGTTGAAAACAACAGGCAGAGTCATCTTGGTCATGTCCTTCCCAACCATCGACCGCAGAACACTCCACAGCGAGATCTTGGGTCTATTGTCTTCCTTTTGCAAAGTGGTCCGGATTGGGTCCTCGTACCCCATGAAAGTGGCCTCCGAGTTGATCTTGTCGTATCTCTCGAGCTGCTTGTTGTTCTTGAGCGGGAATCCATTCACAACAACCGAGTCTGAGCCCTTGATCTCCTCGGGCTCGTTGATCACCGTTTTCTCGGTGCGTGCGTCGTCGGCAGCGCCAGCTGTCTGCTCAGACGAGTCGGCCGATGCATCCTCTCTCGCCTGCGCCACGGGAACGGTCTCACTGCCCGCTTCCGCAGGCTCCGGACCACTTTCAGACCCATCGTCCTCCGCATCGAAAAACTCCTCGTCAGACTCCTCTTCTTCTCCCAAGAAAAGCATTATCTGGTTAGGTTCCTCAGACTCTGGTTCATCAACTTTGTTCTGCGGAGTCTCGGTCGGAGCAGCTTCCGAAACAGCACGAACAATATTTGGATTGCTCTTCAAAGATTTCTTAAGTCCGTGCAATTTATCCTCCAACTCCACAATCTTTTGCTCGCGAGACTGCATCTCCAATTCCAGCCGCTTGAGCGTGTGTTCCCAGATTTTCGAGATTTCCTGCTGTCTGTCGATCACCTTGCCGAACTTGGTCTCGTACTTGGTGATGAGCTCCGATTGCGTGTCCGACAGATTCGTCAGGTTCGAAAGCACGTTCATGGCCACCTCGATGACTTGATCCTTAGGAATAGACTCGTCGGCCTCCGCAGCAGTTAAAAACTCGCCGAACGATCTCAGCTCGATCTTCATCTGGTTCTTGCTCACGGCAAGCTCGGAGTTGCTCAGTCCTGGCTCTCTGATATCTTCCGGATCAGCAAGACTGCTGTCGTGGAAGTCGAGCTTGGAGCTGCTTCCATCATCGTCGTCGTCATCCAATGCACTATCGCGGTCATCCTCGTGGATCGAGGAGATAGTCAGCTTGCTGCCAGCTTCTCCGCTCGACCCAAACGAACCGACAGACGGAGACCGATCTTTCTGCTGTGGAAGCTTCAAATCAGAGTTCTCCTTGATCTCTGGAAGACTGAACGCATCTTTGGTCTTCTTTGTCAGCTTGGACAGCTTCCGCATAGGTTTCTTGTAGGACTTGTTGGTGTTTGGCGACAATGGACCCGATCCTTCCTCATCTGAAGAAACAGAAACAGACGATGTGTTGGAGAAACTCCGTTGATGCGATGTGATTGGCGAGGTTGGTAACTCGCCGTGGGGGCCACGGTTGCCGATGTTTTGGGTACTGTTGGATCGAGTCGATTCGAAACTCTCCTTGTTCCGCGAGCTGAGCTTGGTGCGCTGTTGCTCGTCGGCAATCGACTGTCTCTGCTGTCTCTCAAGGTCTTTTGCGTACCTAATGGCATTCTGTAAAGCCCAGACCCATCTATTTGTTTCGATAACGTGGTTGGCCTTGAGATGCCACTTCAACGACGACTTCTGGCCCCGCTTCTTGATGATAATTTCAAACTTGGACTTCTCGGAACTGTCCATGCGCAATTGGGCGCTGGCCAAATGAATCATTCCTCGACAAGAGTTATAAATATCGTTTGGCGAGCTGTAGTATGACAATCTGCCCTCCGCATCGAGAATGAACCATCTAAGCTTGTATCCGCCGGCAAAGTTGGTCCATTTCTTCAAAAAACCCTTGAAAGTGGGTGGTCCCGCATGTGGCTGACCGGTCTGATTGGTGGAATCTATCATGGTCTGGTGGTTGCACGAGTCCTTCATGATCTTTTTCATGGCAGACGACGTGGCCGAGTCAATCGGCAGCTTACCGTTGAGGTTGCGCTTGAACGGATCGCCACCGTGTTCCAGAATGAACTTGACCATTTGTATATCGTCCTTTTTGATAAACTCCAGTAACACGGTGTCGCCGGTGACGGGATCTGTTCCGTTGATGTCCAACAGCCCCTTGACTCTTGGGTTGCTGAGCAGCTTCTCCAGGACGGGGAACTGACGGGCCTCAAACGCGTTTCGCAGCTCGTTCGCCTTCACCTCCACAAACCTCGTGCGAACGTCCGAGAGCACCTGCACGGTGTCCATGTTGGAGGAGCACTCGATGGGCTGTTTCATTTGCTTGTTGACGATACAGTCGTTGATCTCGTCCTGCGCGGCCAAGACGTTGATGACGTCGTTCCGTGCAGATATGGCTGCATAGTGTAGCGCCGTGTTTCCCTGCTCATCCTGGGCATTTATATCCTGCACGAGTTTATTCTGGACGATGTATTCTATAATGGACAGGGGAGCCACCTGGACGGCAAAGATGAGCACCTGGCGGTCGAGTGCTGCTATCTGTGGATCTGGCGGCGTCAATGACCGACAGTACGTGATCAGCTCACGCAGTTTGTCCTTGTCAGAGGATCTAAGACATTCTAGCAATTTGAGCTTAATCAAGCTGGCATTTGGCACAGAACTCATTTCGGAACCAATGGAATTAACGCTCCAACTGTAGAAGTGCTGTTTCTTGGAGGTCAACGGGTCAATTGGCCGGATATCGTATAGTTGCTCACACCGCCTTCGGTCTGTGTTTTTTTTTTTAACTTGTCTAAAGAGGAGAGCTTTCTTTTACACAGCCGGGGTTTCTCGCAATATTCGCAGCGGCGCCTGGCGGACACGCGGCACGTGACTTTTTTAAGCCGTTTGCGTCCTGATAATCAGATACGGCACAGGCCACAAAGTTATCTGGGTATTGTATTATGTCGCTGACGAGCACTTCTCTGGTGGCCGTGTTGAACAAGGAGTTCAAGCCGAATCTCGAGGACCTGTTGGCCGTTTACGGCGAGGTCAAGATCGACGACAAGATCAAGAACATCAAGGCCAAGGAGGTGGGACTCGACCATTTGACCATCGTTTTCAACCACGACAGTTTGGAGGTGGAGATGTTGAAGCCCATTCCGTTCGACAAACCACTACAGACCTACGAACAGGTCCAGACCCATCTGTTGCAACTGGCTCGTCAGGCTGCCGAGAAACGCAAACTCAGCCATTTGCAGGTCCAGCAGGTTTGGTATCCGCAGAACGTGATCGAAAAAGGTATCGTGATTGCCGTCTGTATAATGATGGCCGGTAAAGTGATGCCGAACTTCACATACAACGTTGTTCTCACCAGAGTGCTGCCGTTTCCAAATCATTGGCTTGAGGCGTTCCGGCCATACAACGATTTTGTTTTGATGACGGCCATCACGCTGCACGCAATCGAGGTGGCCATCTTCATGGTGAGCCGTTTCTACAAGTACAGAGTGCCGGCGGATGCGCAGCTGGAGTGGCTGGTGTTGACCACCATCGAGGGCTACTTCTGCATCCGGCGGTTTGACCAGGTGGTTGCGCATCGGGCCAAGGTCTGGCAGCACTACGAAGACGGCGGCAAGTTGATCGACGAGAAGGAGAAGTACGAGTAATAAATAATTGCCGGTGTAGCCAAGAAACGTGAAATATTTCTAAATTGTTAATTTATCATGTTTAACGAGCTTTTGGTGAGTTACTCTTCATTGGGTCTGTTGGGGCCCATTGTCACCCACTAACCGGCCAGGATAAGTACTCCTCGTACACCTATTTCCACGAACTGGTGCCCGTGGCGTACCACGCCGTGCTGGCCCTGGTCCTGCTCAGCATTGCTGCTGTGAGCGGACTGTATTGCGTCACGTTCCCCGGGTCCGAGAAGAAAACCAGCTTTGTGTATGTGTTTTTTGCCGTTGCCGGCGCCGTGTCGTCCGCATTTGGGATCCTGTTCCTGGCCTCCGTCGTCGGAGTGTACACGTGAACTTATTCTGTCTTGACGTGGGATTTGGTTGTGTTCTTCCACAACGATGCAACTTTGGTCTTATAGATCAGGTAGAACACCGGCCCATAACAGTACACCACTGTCTTGGTGATGAATGCAAATTTGTTGGCCCACCAGTCGTAGTCCAGGTAGTCTGTGTAGTAGCCGTACTCGGTTTCCACGAGTCGCAGACACAGGAAGATCAGTGCCGCCTCGCTGGCCACCAGCACCGGCTGTCCAAACGTGTAAGACACGCGACGCAGGTTCGTGAGCCACCCCACAGACCCGCCGTACGTGCGCACCTTGTAGAAGTTGTACGTGTATCTGAAGAAGTCCACCACCGAGGAGCACAGAATGACGATGCTAAAGGCGATATTTTTAGCAGCCTTGGGGTAGTTGAGCAGAGCGGCCGTGAGAAACACGCGTGCAAACACCGTCGCCAGAATGCGTCTCCCCGAAGTGCGCGGCACCCCTGTCTTTGGGACGTGTCTAAAGATCGTGACGTATTCGAACCCGTCAAGAAGGACACTTGTAGTGTACACCGTGAGGAAGAAGTCGGCGATTCCCCCGGGCAAGAACCGCGGACCTGTCAAAGGGAACAGAATCCCCAGTCGTAGAAACACACACGCGGACAAAAACGAGCGAACAAGGTCCGAAATCAACAGATACAACTGCGTGTTGTTATAAGACATGAAGGGGAAAATATTTTTTTGCAATGAAGCTCTTGTTTGTTCTTTCACTGTTTAGTGTGGCGGTGTTTGCCGCATGGTCGTCCGAAGACCTGGAGATTTTCAAGCTCCAGAACGAATTGGTGGAGGACTCGAGGAAACAAACCGATTTCTACGAGTATCTGGGCGTGGAGAACGGGCCCAAGGCGTCCTACGACGAGATCAACAAGGCCTACAAACGGATGAGCCGCAAGTTGCACCCAGATAAGGTGCGCAGAAAGGACGGAGTGTCGGAAAAGAAGTTTAAACGAATCAAAAGGAAGGCCGAAGAACGGTTCCAAAGACTGTCGTTGATTGGGTCCATTCTTCGAGGAGACCGCCGAGAACGGTACGATTACTATCTTAAACGCGGGTTCCCGGCCTATACGGGCACAAACTACGTGTTTAGCAAGTTCCGGCCGGGCGTTGTGGCCTCCGTGGGCGTTGTTGTTGTGTTGTTCTCGATTGTTCACTATCTGATGCTCAAGATGAACGCACAGCAGCAGCGTCGCAGAGTCGAGAAACTGATCGAGGACTTGAAGCGCAAAGCGTTTGGTCCGTCGATGCTGCCTGTTGGCGACTTCAGCGACCGCAGAGTGTTTCATCTGGACAAACTGTTTGTGGTGAAGATCGACGGAACCGTTTGGCTTGTTGACCGCGAACTAATAGAAGGCGAGGACTTTGACGTCGACGACGACGGTCGCCAGGTGTTCCGCCACGAACAGGCTCCAAGAAACCGCAAAGAACGTCGCACCAGAAAGGAGAAAGACGAGGTGCTGCTGCCAGTCACTCCAGACGAAATTCAAGAAATCACATGGAAAGATACACTCGTTGCGAGACTGTGCCGGTGGCTCTTTACTAAAACACAAAAACAGGACATTCCGCAAGAAGATCAAGGAACGCTTAAACGGCTGCCAAACGGCAAGTTCAAAAAAGTCAAGCCGGCTGCTACTAAAAAAGCTTAATTCGTATCATCGTCATATTGTACAGATTACTTCCGTCTCCCTCTATCACCTTCATCATCTCTCATGGGCCTCAAATCGCCACCGTCAACGTCCTGCTCCTCGCCCTCTATGACCTCGAGCTCCTGGCGAAACTCGTCGTTGTTGCCGTCGTCCAGCAAGATCACGTTCCGGTCGCTCACCATCGGTGTCGACCCGATCTCGTCCTCCTCGTCGTCGTCGGCCACGAGACTGTCGCTCAGCTCGGCAGGGTTGCCCAGAACCTTGTTGTACATGGAGTTGATCTCCTTCAGCCGCGAGTTGATGAATTCGATCCACTTGTTGAACTGCGTGCTCTCAAACAGCTTGTCGAACAGCGAGTTGAAAATATAGAACGACGACTTCAAATAGTACGGGTTCGACACATCGTTGTCGTCCTTGAGCACCTCGAACGTCTGGTCCTCGCGCGTCATGCCAAAGTTCTCCACATAGTTCTGGAACTTGTGGATCTCCTCGGCTATCAGCGTCAGATGGCCCATATACCCCAGCTTGAAGTCGTGGTGGCTTTCGTACTCCTCGGAAAGATTGAAGCAGTAAAGAATGTAGTTGGGTAGGTTGAAAAAACCAGGGTATTCCTCGTCAGAGTCGAATTCCTTCACGTCAAAAGTGTCGTAGTCACCAAACAGAGACCAGATCAGAACTTTGTTCAGGCTGAGATTGTCGTCGTACTTGGTCTCTTCCTGGTTCGAGGCGCGGTCTTCGTCCCAATTGGCCAGTCGCCCGTTGAACACCTGTTGCACAAGGTCGAAAACAACGTTGTGCATGAAATTGTTCCACGCAAACTTGTGGAGTTTGAGGATCACCAACGGCACGCTGTTCGTTTGCAATAGGCGCAGCTTGAAGAAGTTGCCGATCGACATGTCAACAGGTAACTTGACGTACTCCTCGCCGCCCACACGAGATAAACTGTCTGAGTCGCCGTCCAAACTCATCTTTTCCATTGGCTTGGTGACGTCGTCGTTGATCGCGTCATTGAGCGCATCCATCACCAACGACTCCGTCTTCTTCACGTCCCGCCAGAGATCCCGCTTGTACATCAGATAGTCCAGCTTGGGCGACTTGTTCATCAAAATCATGTTGGAGCAGTGCAACAGCTCCGCAACAAGCTCCATCACCTTAAACCGCTCGTACCCCAACGGCTCGATTTCGTCGCCAATGGAGCTCTGCAGCTTCGGCACCTTGTTGAGCTTGTAGTACTTGTCGGTGAGATAGTTGTCCTTGATCTCGTCCAAATGTATCGAGAACAGCTTGAGCATCACACCGAGATAAATAGGGTCTCTTGAGTTGGGCAGGTTTCTGCTGCTTTTGTCGCCCGAGTCCGAGTCCTCGGCCTCTTCCAGCGCAACAGCCTCCACAGACTGCACCCAGTCGAACTCGTCGTAATCTGAGTTGTTTTTGCGGATCACCTCGATCACCACAGAAACCACCGTCACGAGACCATAGTGACCATAGTTGATAAGCACGTCCAGCATCTCCAGAACACACTTCTTCGACACCAGCTGGCGCGTGAGATCGTTCGGCCCGATGTTTGGGTTATTGGTGCGAGCAGCCAGGGCCTGCTCGGTGTCCAATGGCTCTCCAAACTCGTTCAGCTGCTGCTGTGTCGAGTCGTCCCAAAATCCAACGTTTGAGCTGATTCCAACAATCCCATTCAGCAGATTGCACAGATTGTCCTGGATCTGATGGTCAGCATAGTGGATTTTCACCAACTTCAACAGATTGTACGTGAGATCCTGGTCCACCAGAATCTCTATGAGCCCGTTCGAGTTGTACGGCTTGTCTGTGGAAACGAGCCGCACCAGCAGGTCGCAGATCGTTGGCGAGTGCGGCACAAAGTTCAGAAACTGGTTTGTGATCAGCGCCGACTTCTGCTGGAACCGAATAAAGTTCATCAGTCCGTTGATGTTGGCCGTGGCGATGCTGTCGATCAGCTTGAGGAAATTGTTGAACAGAGTGACGTTGTGGCTCTGCTTGAATGCAAATTGATCAGAGTCCGCAGACTCCGTCGACCTGTCGGGCTCTGTCTCACTCTCGTCGTCGCTATGAGACACCTTGGGAGTTTGGAAGAACTCGTCCACGTCTCTGTCCAGGAACCCTGTCCAGAGCTTTTCCAGGAGATTGGACTCGCCTAGCAACACAGCCACCGTGTTGCCGCTCGAAAGCACCAGCAGGTCGCTACACGTGTGTGAACGCTGGAGGGCTCGCTCATACACGTCCAACGGTTTCTTTTCTTCTTCCGCTTCCACCTCCACGTTGTTGTCACCTTCGAAAATATTGTGGCTTGCGTCGAGCGCGTTCCTGTCCCGTGACAAGTCCACGGAAACCAGAATGTACTCGATCATCAGCTCCAACACCTCTGGCTGCGAAACGTACGTGATGAGCCGCTGGTTCTTGGCCAAGCTGATTTCGTCCAGAAAACTGGGCTGATCTATCAGCTTGTTGAACAGCGAGATATTTAAATGCGGGCGCTCGGAATGCAAAACAGGAGGCTCCATGCGAGACTGTTGTAGATGATCGTTTTCCTGGATGGTTTGCAGGAGCTTGGAAGCTGTCAGGTTGGTCGGAGACGACGGTAACTGGTCAGAGGCCGAGGAATCGGACATCTTGAGCCCCAATTGCTGCTGATCCAAGTCTATCTCCGCGAGGATCTTGTTGATCGTGGCGTTGGAGAACGACGAGTTGAAAAACGGCCAGATCCCACTCATGTTGGGGTTCTTGTGTATTGTATAGGCAAGGGCTCACAAAAGAGCAATGAAGAATGCAGTAAAGCCCGGATTTTCAAAGACAACTCTCGATGTCAATATTTATAGACCGCACAGAATTCCAAACAAGTTCCTAGCTGCAATGGCTAGTGGCAACGAGTTTGACGGCTTTGGTGTTGTTCCTCCTTGTAGATTTCTCTAATTATTAATCGAGGAGTTGCGCGTGGTGCAAGGGTGGACAAACAAAATGGGTTCCTCTGAAAAAACCAAAACAGTTACCCGGCCACTCACGGTTTTTTTTAAAGTTTTTTCAACCGGTGCTGAAAAATTTATTCCTTAATACATTCACAATGGCTTTCACCAAGGACTTCAAGACTTCCGCCTACCACTCCCGTTACCAGACTCCTTTCAGAAGAAGAGCTGAGGGAAAGACTGACTACTACGCCAGAAAGAGACTTGTTGCTCAACACAAGGCCAAGTACAACTCTCCAAAGTACAGATTGGTTGTTAGATTCACCAACAAGGACATCATCACCCAAATTGTGTCTTCCACCTTGACCGGAGATGTTGTTTTGACTGCTGCTTACGCCCACGAGCTGCCAAGATACGGTATCACCCACGGTTTGACCAACTGGTCTGCTGCTTACGCTACTGGTCTGCTTGTTGCCAGAAGAGCTTTGCAAAAGCTCGGTCTGGACGAGACCTACACCGGTGTTGAGGAGGTCGAGGGTGAGTTCGAGCTCACCGAGGCTGTTGAGGACGGCCCAAGACCATTCAAGGTGTTCTTGGACGTTGGTTTGCAAAGAACCACCACCGGTGCCAGAGTGTTCGGTGCCTTGAAGGGTGCTTCCGACGGTGGATTGTACATTCCTCACTCCCCATCCAGATTCCCAGGTTGGGATATCGAGGCTGAGGAGCTTGATGCCGAGGTCTTGAGAAAGTACATCTTCGGTGGTCACGTTTCTGAGTACATGGAGGAGTTGATGGACGACGATGAGGAGAAGTACAGAACTCTCTTCCAAGGTTACATTGCCGACGACATTGACGCTGACGCTGTCGAAGACGTCTACACCGAGGCCCACGAGAAGATCAGAGAGGACCCATCTTTCAAGCCAACCGAGAAGAAGTTCACCAAGGAGCAATACGCTGCCGAGTCCAAGAAGTACAAGCAAAAGAAGCTCACCAAGGAGGAGAGAAGAGCCAGAGTTGCTGCCAAGATTGCTGCTTTCAAGGAGTCTGCTCAGGAGTAAGTTATGTAATACCTATAAATCTTATTTCTTCGGCAACGAAACAGGAGTTGTACACCTCGCACCGCTTTCAGTAATTATCCCCGGAGTTGACGATTTTTTTAAAGGCTTCAAACCAGCATAAATATTATTGATTAAACTTCCAGTGAGCTCAGTGGCGATTGCCCATCTTCGATTAGATCGTTTATAGTTGTTGCACTGTTGAGTGTTTCTACCGTTTGTTTTCCCACAGGTGATCGCAAAGGTCCAAGCAGGACCTGATTATAACTGGTTTTAGTTCGATGGCCCAAGAATTCAAGGACGATTTGTCCAAAGACCTCACGCCGCCCGAGCAGTTCCAGAGTCCCGGTGTTTCCAACGGAGACGTGGACTGGCTGTTTCGGGGCAAGGCAGCCAAGAAGTTGTCGCGCAAGAGCAACAACGTGTCGCTCGACGTCCAGAACCAAATCCAACAGGCACAGCTCCAGGCCGCGCAGAGCCAGACACAGCAGCAGCCCGCCGCCCAGGACCAGGGCGAGTTTGTTTCCAAGTTGCCATCGACGTCCACACAGCTCAAGCCGTCGCTGAAGACGGTGTCTGCCGCGGGAGCAGACTCCTGCAAAGGCCAAGACACATTGGCTTGTTCGCCAACATCACAAACAGGGCTCGCGAGATCCGGATCCACGCGATCCCGGTCCGGCTCGCTGTCAAACCCCATCAGACGCGTTCTCCCAGTTTCTGACTCGAAGGACAAATCGCCGGCCGTTCCGACTCAAAGAAGACAGTCTCTGTTTTCGTCGATTTCGTCCAAGTTCAAGTCGCAATCGTCGCAAGCCTCGCCCCACGACCCTGTTCCGCCCACCGTGCCCGAATCGGTGGTTGTGGACTGCGTAAGCGGCGACCGCAGCTCTGTGTCGTCCAGGAAGTCGGACGGCCCCAGATCAAGACGCGCGTCTGTGGCAGAACGGTCGGACTCTGTGTCGAGCGTCGACGACGTGAAGCAGCAGTTCGAGCGTATGCCGTTCAAGCGTGTCAACTTTGCTCTGCAGGACTTCCCTGAAGATCCTCAGCAACAGATTCCGTCCAGAAAGCCCAAAAAGGGTAATGTTCTGATTCCGGAGGATTTGACCGTCCCGCCTCCAAAACTATCGATCGGGATCAGTGATACCTCTTACAACCAGACAAAGGACGAGATCCCCAAGGTGGACGAATCTCTAATGAGACAGGCCATGGAAAGACAGCAGCTGGCTATCATGGAGAGCAGAAAACATGCCCAGGAGGCCCACCAGGCCGCCCTCAGAATAGCCAAGGAGGTGGGCGGGTTCAAGAAGCTGGCCAAGCTCGGCAAGGACAAGGACGATGAGGATGAGGGATGGGGAGACAAGCAATTCGAGGAGTTTAGAAATAACGTCGATATCGACACCCCGTTGCACCAGCACGTGAACTATTTCGACGTGGAGGAAGAGGAGGCTGTGGAGCCGGAAAAGGACGTCAAGGTCGAGGAGTTGCCGTTGGACCTGCTGTACACGCGTTGCTGCCATCTAAGAGAGATTCTTCCTATTCCAGCCACTCTTAAACAGCTCAAGGGAAAAGTGCGGCCTCTTCACGTTCTCAAGATGCTGAACCCGAAACCGACCTTGATTGACGTTCTATCGTTCTCGGACTTCCTTGCCATTGCCCCCATTGTTACCGTGATCTTCGATAACGTGTACCTTGACAACACCATGATCAAGATCGTGCTCATCAGTTTGTCGCGGTCCACCACGCTGGAAAAGCTCTCTTTCAGAAACGTTGCATTTGATCAACAAGGCTGGAAGTACATCTGCAAATTCCTCACGGTCAACAAGTCCATTTTAAAGCTGGACCTGAGTCAACAGCGGATCAGACCAGAAACACCAAAACATTTTTATAGATCGGTGATGGACTGGGACCTGTTTACCCAAAGTTTGATCATCAAGGGTGGAATTGAGGAGCTGGTGATCAATGGTTGCAAACTCACAATTGACCAGTTCAAACACCTGGTGAACAACGGACTGCGTTTGAAGACCAAGAGACTGGGTCTAGCATCCACGAACCTGGACGAGCAGAAAGCCCAGGTCTTGGCCGACTGGATGTCCAGTCCTAGCAACACGTGTCTCGGGATCGACATTGCCGTCAACCATCTGACCTCGCGTGTGTTGGCTCCGTTTGAGCACATCTTCCGCACAAGAATGGATCACATCAATTTGATCTTCTTTTCACTGAACCAGACTGACGTTTCGGTGGAGGATTGTGCAAACATGATCAAATTACTAAGCAAGAGTAAGACGCTGCGATTTTTGGACCTGGGCAACAACCCGCAGCTATTCCCTGCGATTTTGCCAACTCTTACCGAGTTCTTGCCGCAGTTCCCTGATTTACGCAGGGTGCACTTTGAGTTCTGCAACCTGAGCGAGGCGGGCATAATCCAGCTGTGTTTAACGTTCCAGAAGTGTCCGAAGCTTCTTCACGTTTCTCTTCTGGGAAATGAGAACATTAATCAACGGAACGCTGCTTCGCTCTACATTTCGGTGAAAAATTCCAATATTTACAGTTTGGACATCGACTACGACGCGCTCAGCGACGAGGTGTCGTCGAAAATCGCGTTCTACCTGATGCGCAACATGGAGAAGTTCCTGAACAAGGACCTGACCCAGAGCGGCAACCAGGAGGAGGACCTGATTTTCGACGGCTCTTTACTGACCAAGACCGCAGAGGCGCTGTTGGAGTCGAACCAGGCGAAAAACGACGACGAGAACCAGATCATCAGCAACGCTCTGGTTGAGAAGACCGTGCGGCTGCGGAGCGAGATCCACAAGATCATGAACAAGCTGTTCGACGACAGAGCCAACGGCCGGCTGTCGCTGGAGGGCAAGGAGACGCTGTTGCGGTTCTGTTTGCTGGACGACTCGTTGGAGAGCATTATACATATTTTTTCCGAGCAGGAGCTGCAGGGAAAGGCCAAGAAGACGAGCTGCGACGCTCCGGGCGTGTTGAAGCGGCCGGAGCTGATCAAGAAGCTGTCGACGCAGAGATCGAGCCAGAAACTGCCGATGCACAAGTCCTCGTCGGACGTGATTGTGGCCGGGCCTATTGTGTCGCCAAACCAGGTTGCGTTCGAGCCCGTGACGGTGCCGATCTCCGAGGACGCGAACCCGCACTCGGTGGTGGCGGACGGCGACTCGCAGCCCGTGGACCATCTGACGGGCCAGCCGGTGCTGATGAGAAGCGTGTCGCAGACTTCGATCCACGCCAAAGAGCTGGAGGAGGAGGAAGGAGAGTTCCACAAGTGGGGATTCTATGTGCAGCAGCACGACTCGTCCGAGCACCTGCCATTGCCGCAGGAGAAGCCGCACCTGAAGGTGAGCAACATCCCGTCTGGCACGGAGCTGCGCCAGGCGGTGATGAAGGCCAAGGGCATCGAGAGCGTGTCGGACCTGATCAAGAAGATGAACATCGACTCGTCGCGGCTGTCGTCGATCTACGAGCCGGTTTCGGACGCGGAGCAGGCTCCGAGCGACGTGGACGTGGGGTCGATGGCCGCGTCGTCGACAGTGTCCCCGCAGTTTTCTGCGTCGAACGGCCCCCAGACTCCGGCACGCCGCAGGTCGGTCTCGTCTGCTTTGGAGCAGGACGGGCCCGAGTCGCCAATGTCGGCCAACTCCGTCGACGAGTACTACGTGCCCGACAAGGATGCCGACGAGGTGTACGAGAAACTGCTGGACGACGTTGCCAGAGTGCGCTCCAACAGATCCACCGGCTCGGAGAAGCAGGCGTAATTATTTATAGTCAGTTTGCATATACAATATAAAACATCTCTGCACAGCCGTTTTTAAAAGTTGAAATTATATCAAAACACCTCTTGTCATGGCAGTGGGAAACAGACCGTCGCCCGGCCGCAAACGGCGTCGGCTGCTCAAGAACCTCGAGATCCCCGACAACAAGGTGTACCAGGAGCTGCAGGAGGACGCGATCAGCCGCGCGCAGGTCGACAAGAGCCGTCCGGGGTCGAGAGACTCGAGGAGTCTGAGGGTGCGATCGCGGTCCGCAGACTACTCGAGCCCCTCGCCCGACACGGGCAAGGTCATCCTGAAGATCAAGTACAACCAGGACCGGAATCTGGCGGGGATCGCCGATTCCAGACAGGAAGTGTTCGAGGTGGGCGAGGAAGAGCTGGAGTTGCCGTACCGCGGGCTGTTGTCGTTTGAAGACGCAAACACCTACTACACCCGGCCCAGCATGGAGTTCAGGGCGTTTTTCAACAGATTGAGGGTCGAAAGCGAAAGTAGTAGACACCTTCACGGAGATCTGACTCTGGTGAAGAAACTCACCAGTGAGGAACGACTAGCGCACCACGAGTCGCAGATCCCAACGGTTTCGAAACTCCGGTGTGTCCATTTCCGCAACTACGAGATTGACTCGTGGTTTATGTCGCCGTATCCGCAGGAATACTCTTCTAACTATGTGCTGCATCTGTGCGAGTTCTGTTTGAAATGTTTCTCCTCGTCGTTCACGCTCAAACGCCACGAGATCAAGTGTGCGTACGCGCCACATCCGCCTGGAATCGAGATCTACCGCACGCCGCAGTTGGCCGTGTTCGAGGTGGACGGCCGCAAAAACGTGCTGTACTGCCAGAACCTGTGTCTGTTTGCCAAACTGTTTCTCAACTCGAAAACGCTCTACTACGACGTGGAGCCGTTCATGTTCTACGTTCTGTGCGAAATTGATGCGGACGGGTACCATTTTGTCGGGTATTTCTCCAAAGAGAAGCTGAACGGAACAAACTACAACCTGAGCTGTATATTGACTTTGCCGATCTACCAGCGCAAAGGGTACGGCAACTTTTTGATCGACTTTAGCTACCTGCTGTCGCGGCGCGAATTCAAGCTAGGAACGCCCGAAAAGCCGCTCAGCGACCTTGGCCTGTTCAGCTACCGCAACTACTGGAAAATCGCTGTGGCCAAGGCCCTGAATGCCCTGCTGCGCGAGAACAAGATGGGCCCGGTTTCCGTGGACGATCTGTGCAACCTGACGGGCTTGATCCACAACGACGTGATAGTCGGGCTGGAGCAGCTGAACGCGCTGGTGTTCGACCCAGTGACCGCAAGGTACGGCATCTGGGTCGACCCGAAGGTGGTGGCCACCGTGCTGGCCGCGTGGCAGGAGAAGAACTACGTGGAGATCGACGCGGACCGGTTGTTATGGAAACCGGTGATTCTAGGGCCGTCTGGCGGAATCAACACCACCTCAACGATGGTGCTGACGGACGACCGCGAAAACGAGGAGAAGGGCCTGATGTCCAGCATCTCGCTAATCGTGAACTTTCTGCGCGATGACCTGGAAGACAGCCGCGATCTGGAGGTGCAGACCATGGATAAGATCAAGACGGAGCAGATAAGCTTTGAGTTCGACAGAGCGGTCATCTGCTACCCGGGACGGATGTTTGACCGGCAAACAACGCCCGTGGTGGCCAAACCGGAAGAGCCCAAGTCGGTGGACCCAGACCCGTTCGGAATCGACGTGGCGGAAAGCAGCTCGGAAGACGAATTTGTTGATGCCAATGACTCATCAAACTAGCAGAATATAAAGCCGGGCTGGGGAAAAAATTATTTTTGACATTTTGACTCCAACTTTGACTAATGGCCAGTTCGCACGACATCGAGCTGTTCCGCACGGCGGTGTCGATTCTGACGATCCCACGAGACCAGTTCTGGGTGTTTAAGAGCGGGATATTGGAGATACTGTACAAGCTGGTGGACAAGGTGGAGGGCCATGACGAGAGTGACTCAGAAAGCGAGGACGAGAAACAGCTGGTCAACTCGGTGCACTCGCTGAGCATCCAGCGGAACAAGGTTGGTGAGCAGGACTCGCTCGATTCGCAGGACGACGGCCTGTTCTTCCATCTGGCGTTCACCCCGGAGGAGGTGACGTTTATGAGCAGCAGCGCTTTGATCCGAAAGTACCTGGCGAAACCGCTTGCGCTGAGCAAACAACTCCAGATGGGCGCCACGCTGCTGGACGAGGACTTTCTCGTGCTGCAGGTGCTGAGCGACGGCTCTGTGATCGGCAAAAAGATCCTCGAGCTGACTGCTCCGCTTTCCGAGCGAAAGATCCCGATTTTCTTCATTTCCAACTACCTCAGCGACATCGTGCTGATTCCTGCGCGCCACCGCGACGACGCCGTCGACATCCTGGAAAACGGGGTGTCCAGTGACACCTCCAGTCTGGAGAAAGAGACGTTCAACCTGTTTAGATCGAGCTCGATCAAGCCGGTGCTCAACACCGCAGTCAAGCTGCTCGTGACCGGCGCGCGGCCGGGCGACTTGTCTGTGGTGCTCCGGCGCACGGCAGAGGCGCTCGCCAAACACTGCACGGAGCAGACCGACTCCAAAGGCTCGTTTCTGCCGTACTTTGCGCTCACAAGAACACCAACAGAGGACGTGGGGCTGCTGCTACCGTCTTCCGAGTCCGAACTTGCTAAACTCAACTACCCGAAAGCCGCGATCCTGGGCTCGCTACAGGACTTCTTCTTCCCGCTGTTCATCAACCTCAAGAGCCTGCCACTGGACCTGAAAGGTATAGTGGCCGGAGTGGCTTCGAAGCTGCTCAAGCTGGGACTGGACGAGATGAGCTACTTGAGTCTGGGCCGGTCGGCGGTGGTGCTTGTGCCGGATAACTTCCAGGACACGGTGCAGCACATGCTGGAGGAGGTTAACTGAGGTCACCTGACCAGATTTCAAAAATGTATAACTTGTAAATTAAAATACACCGTTTTTTAAAAAAAAAAGTTGCATGTTGAAACCAACCACTTTGAAAGCAGGATCGTTGCCGCGGTACTTCGACGTGGCCGTCAACCTGTGCGACGATATGTTCATGGGCAAGTACAGGGACCGCGTGCACCACGAGGCCGACATGGACACGGTGCTGCGCCGGTCGCGTGCGCTCAACGTTGATCGTATCCTGCTGACGGGCTCGTCGCTCAAGGAGTCGCGCTGGTCGGCCGAACAGGTGCTGCGTGTGAACAAGTTGCCCGACGCTGTGCAGTACCCGCACCTGTACACCACCATCGGGGTGCACCCGTGCTCTGTGCTGGAGTTTGAGCCGGACCCAAAGACGCACCTGGGCAAGCTGCGCGAGCTGGTTGCGCGCAGCGTCGCGGACGGCAGCGTGCGTGCGTTTGGCGAGATCGGGCTCGACTACGACCGGCTGCAGCACGCTCCCGCAGACAAACAGCGGGCGTACTTCGAGCTCCAGCTGAAACTGGCCACCGAGTTTGAGCTGCCGCTGTTTCTGCACATGCGCAACGCCCTGGACGACTTCCTCGAGATCCTGGTGCCGTTCCTCGAGGGCACGCGGGCAGACGGACTTGCCCTGAAAAACCGCAAGGTTTTGGTGCACTCGTTCACGGGGACCCAAAAAGAGCTCGACCGGCTGCTTGGGTACCCGTCTGTGTTCCTGAGCGTGAACGGGTGCTCTTTGCGGACGGAGGAGAACTGCCAGGTGGTTGCCCGCATCCCATTGGATCGGCTGCTGATCGAGACAGACTCGCCGTGGTGCGAGATCAAACGGACCCACCACTCGTACCAGTTTCTCACCAGGGCGCCAAATGCGTGCTACCCGTTCGAGTACACGGTGCCCGAGCAGACAGCGAGCAAGAAAGCCCCACGGATCAATTACAACGAGTTTCTGCCGTTGCCCGTGGTGAGATCGGAAAAATACTCGGCACAGGTCGCGGCTGGAGCACAGCCGCTTGTCAAGTCGCGCAACGAGCCGGGACTTATAGGCCAAGTGGCCGAGATCGTGGCCGCGCTGCATGAAACCGATCCGGAACACGTCGTGGCGCGGTGCTACGCCAACTCGCTCCGGTGGCTAGACCTATCATAGATACTTCATTACCAAATACATTTACCCAAGGCATCGCAATATCAGCAAATCTATGCCATACACATTATTTCTCTTCCTCCTCAAGCTCCACCATCTTGTCGCTGTCCTCTTCGTCGTCGACCTCGATCTCGTCGCCCATCACGCCAAGAGACTGCAAAATCGAAGAAGTTGACGAGTCCAGGTAGATGATGTTGTTGTTGGTCGATATGTTGGAGGCGGCCAGGAGCTGCTGTATGAGCATCGGAGACCCGCTGAGGTCGGTGTCGAACCCGCCTTCGTCGTCGTCGTCGTCGTTCTTGTCTCTATTCTTCATTCCCAGGTTGCCGGACCGTGGCTGGTCCTCGTCGTGACTGTTTTGAAATTTCGACTCGATGTTCACCTTGTACAGGTCCATCGAGAGCTCGTCCGGAGACAGCAGCTTGCTCACGTCGTCCACGCGTTCGCCGATCTTGGCGTACCACTCCTCCAGCGTCTGGCCGTGCAGAAGCGCAACGATACACACACTCATATTATCGCACCCAATTCCAGACCCGCCAGAGCTTGGAGCCAGACACGTGTCCATCATCGACTCGCAAATCTCTGTCAGCGACTGCTTCAGCTTGATTCCGCGTCTGACAAAGTCAATGGCCTGTTGCGACGTCAAACAGTCCCAGATACCGTCGCACGCCAAGATGATGAACTCGTCCTCCTTCGTGGCCTCGTGAACAAGTACATCAGGGAACGCAGTCACCACTTGTTCCTCAGCAGGCAACTGTGGAGACTGCTTGAACTCAAAGTCACCAATGCCTCTAGATAAGGCCAGGTTACCGTTGACACGTCCCAGATCGACGTATCCGCCAGCAGCAACGATTCTGGCCTTCTCGCCCTCGTTGGTTGGCTTGTGGTCGAAAGATAGCGGCTTGCACTGGCCATTGACGCTCATGACGGTTCTGGAGTCGCCCGCGTTACCGCAGTATATTCTATCTTTGGAAATAATCACCGATGTTGCTGCGCATCCGGACGGATCCTTGGACAGCTCGTCGTCGTCCAAAATCGCAACATCGCACGCCAAGAACCCATCCTTCAGACTCTGCGGGTAGTCCGCCTTCTTGTAGCTGTTAGTGGCCTTCAGAATGCCAGGCAGCTTGTCTCCTGTGAACAGCGCCACTTTTTCGCCCCCGTGTCCGTCGTACACGCCGAAAAACGCAACCTGCTCCTGCTCGCTCTCCCCATCGTTGAGGTTCAGAATCGTGGAGTGCGAGTCCTCCATCGAGATACGCCACCCTTGCATACAAGATAACCCGTATGCAACGAACGCATCCCCGCCTTCCTCAGACGTCTTTTCCGTCACCGGTTGTGACAATATTTGACCCATAAATGCTAAGCGATCTCTCCTGTTGTTGTTGTTGGTGGTTGTTGCAGGCTAATTAGTGTATTGCTCAAATACTCTGTGTTGCCATTCACTTGTGTTGTTAGTTGGTTTCCTCTTTTTGGCAGAAGGAAAAATTTTATCAACCACGCCTGCCACCAGTGTTTTTTCGCGCGTTGCTCTGCCAGCTACAGTGTGTGGGGGAGCTACACCTTTTACAACCATGCTCGTCAGGTCTTGTATTAATGCGTCTAGTACAGTTTCAGGTCTCCCGTGATGAGGTCCAGAACCGGTTTCGGGGCCGGGCCCAGCCCAAGAACCGTTGCAGACCCGGCCTCGATCTGCGTGCGCCCAGCATCGTGCACGATGTATGCGTTGACGTTCAGGCTCAGCGCCTTGGCAAACAGCGTGTCCATCTCGTCCATGCCAGAACACTTGAGCGTGATCTTGGCCTGTCCGCGGTTCTTCCACCGTTGCAACAGCGGCAGATTCTGGGCCTCTGTGCCGGGCTCGGACATCAGCCGGTAACATGCAACGGCCGCGTGCGCACATTGGGCCGCAACCTTGCCCTTCTGCATCGCCAGATCCGTCCGCACCACCAGGGCCATCCGACACTCGCCCGGAATCTCGTTCAACGAGCTCGAGTCAATGGCCATCTCCTCTTCCTCGTCCTCGTCGTCGCTCAAATACCCTTCAGAGGACGGGGTCTGCGATCTGCTCGCCGTCGTCAGCAGCGACTGGAACGGCGACGTCACGGGCGAAGGTCCCACTACAGGAACAAGCAGCGCTCCAATGCAACACCCGGCAACAAGCGAAACCGTCGCGATCGTCAGATATGGAATCAGTTGAGGCATGGTAAATCAGTCTCTTGAACTTTTTTTTTTCTTGCAAATGACACCCACCTCACACCAAAACACCTTTACGCTTCTTCTTCTTCTTCTCGTTCTTGTCTGTGAATTTGCGCCAACTAGACACGCGCTCTTCCCGTCGGCTCTCCCACGAGTCCTTGAGACGCTTTTCCTCCTGTCGTTGCTCGATTTCGGCCTCTTTTTCCTTGCGTTTCTTCAACTCCTCGTTCTGCTGCTTTTTCAGCTCCACTCTTCGTATAAACTCCTCCTCGATCAGCAGCTCGCGCACTTTTGCACGCCAGCTGACCAGAAACTCGTCGCCTCGCAATCGGTCGTCGTCTTCCGCCCATTTGTTTTCTCTGATCAACACCTTGCGCGCATCTGTCCAGATCTGGTCGAGCTGTTTGCGCTCCTTATCGTTCTGTAGCGAGCCAGACGCCTTTTTGAGCAGATCAAACGCCTCCACGGCCCGCGGATGGGTCGTCTTGTCCGGGTGGATCAGCAAAGACTTCTTGCGGTACAACTTGTTCACGTCCGCGGTAGCAATCCCTGGCTGGACCCCCAGCACGGAGTAGTGATCCAGCTTGAAAGCGGCCAAAATGCGCTCAATCTCAGTGTCCTATTGGTTAGTACCATGCAATTAAATATACTCACTCTTGCCAAATCGGCCTCCTCTTTCTTCAGCGTGCGCTCAACCTCACCGCTCATGCCCTGTCAAGTGTATTGTTCAAGTTGTAAAGATGAAAAAAAAACAATGCCTGTCTTACCCGGCCATCAATAACGGAAAAACACATGCTCTTCATGTGCTCCCAAATTGTTGGAGCACAATTGCATTTGCACGCCACACCTGCGCACAACACAAACCACCTGTGATTTGTCACCATGCGCCCAACGTGGGACACACATACGCCATCTCGTAAATTCCAGCGCACACCCGTCCACCGTCTACTTCCCGTTTAGGCAGGAAAAATTTTTCATTTGTTGGACACTGAATAAAATATATAAATCGCCCATTCCTCGTTTATTATCAAACTTGATTTAATTGAAAATGGTTGAGTCTAGCGTTTTGGGATTCCCAAGAATTGGAGCTTTCAGAGAGCTCAAGAAAAACACCGAGGCCTACTGGGCTGGCAAGATCGGTGCTGACCAGCTCCTTGCTGTTGGTAAGGAGATCAGAGAGAAGAACTGGAAGTTGCAGAAGGAGGCCGGTGTCGACATCATTCCTTCCAACGACTTCTCTTACTACGACCAGGTCTTGGACCTCTCTTTGTTGTTCAACGTCATTCCAGACAGATACACCAAGTTCGATCTCCCACAATTGGACGTTTTGTTCGCCATGGGTAGAGGTTTGCAAAGAAAGGCCACTGAGTCCACCAAGGCTGTCGACGTGACTGCTTTGGAGATGGTGAAATGGTTCGACTCTAACTACCACTATGTCAGACCAACTTTCTCCCACTCCACCGAGTTCAAGTTGAACGGTCAAAAGCCAGTTGACGAGTACTTGGAGGCAAAGGCCCTTGGTATTGAGACCAGACCAGTCCTTGTTGGTCCTGTTTCTTACTTGTACTTGGGTAAGCCAGACAAAGATTCTCTTGACTTAAAGCCAATCTCTCTTCTTGAGAAGATCCTCCCAGTCTACACCGAGATTTTGCAAAAGCTCGCTGCTGCTGGTGCCAAGGAGGTCCAGATCGACGAGCCAACCTTGGTTTTGGACTTGCCTGAGGAGGTCCAATCCGCTTTCAAGACCGCTTACGATATCTTGGCCAAGGCCGAGGGTCTTCCAAAGCTCGTTTTGACCACCTACTTCGGTGACGTTACTCCAAACTTGGCTGCCATCAAGAACTTGCCAGTTTCCGGTTTCCACTTTGACTTTGTCAGAGCTCCACAACAATTCGACGAGGTTGTTTCTATCCTTTCCGGAGAGCAAACTCTTTCCGTTGGTATTGTTGACGGTAGAAACATCTGGAAGAACGACTTCTCCAAGTCTATTGCTTTCGTGAAGAAGGCTATCGAGAAGGTTGGTGCCGAGAAGGTCGTTGTTGCTACCTCCTCCTCCCTGTTGCACACTCCAGTCGACTTGGAGAACGAGAAGAAGCTTGACGCTGAAATCAAGAACTGGTTCTCTTTCGCTACCCAAAAATTGTCTGAGGTTGTTACCATCGCCAAGGCTGTTTCTGGTGCCGACGTCTCTTCTGCTTTGGAGGCTAACGCTGCTGCCGTCAAGAGCAGAAAGGAGTCCGACTTGACCAACGATGCCGCTGTCGAGGCTAGATTGTCCAAGATCGACAAGTCCTTGTCCACCAGAAAGTCTCCATTCCCAGAGAGACTCACAGTGCAAAAGGCCAAGTACAACCTCCCACTGTTCCCAACCACCACCATCGGTTCTTTCCCACAAACCAAGGACATTAGAATCAACAGAAACAAGTTCGCCAAGGGTGAGATCACCGCTGAGCAATACGAGGAGTTCATCAACTCTGAGATCGAGAAGGTTGTCAGATTCCAAGAGGAAGTTGGTTTGGACGTGCTTGTCCACGGTGAGCCAGAGAGAAACGACATGGTTCAATACTTTGGTGAGCAATTGAAGGGTTACGCTTTCACCACCAACGGTTGGGTGCAATCCTACGGTTCCAGATACGTTAGACCACCTATTATCGTTGGTGACGTTTCTAGACCAAAGGCCATGTCTGTCAAGGAGAGTGTTTACGCTCAATCTTTGACCAAGAAGCCATTGAAGGGTATGCTGACCGGTCCAGTTACCTGTTTGAGATGGTCTTTCCCAAGAGACGATGTTTCCCAAAAGGTGCAATCTCTGCAATTGTCCCTTGCTTTGAGAGACGAGGTCAACGACTTGGAGGCTGCTGGTGTCACTGTTATCCAGGTCGACGAGCCAGCCATCAGAGAAGGTCTGCCATTGAGAGCTGGTCAGGAGAGATCCGACTACTTGGAGTGGGCTGCTGAGTCTTTCAGAGTTGCCACCTCTGGTGTCCGTGACGACACCCAGATCCACTCGCACTTCTGTTACTCCGACCTTGACCCTAACCACATCAAGGCCTTGGACGCCGATGTTGTTTCGATCGAGTTCTCCAAGAAGGACGATCCGAAATACATCCAGGAGTTCTCCAACTATCCAAACCACATTGGATTGGGACTGTTCGACATCCACTCGCCTAGAATCCCATCTAAGGAGGAGTTTGTTGCCAGAATCGGCGAGATCCTCAAGGTGTACCCAGCTGACAAGTTCTGGGTGAACCCAGACTGTGGTCTTAAGACCAGAGGTTGGGAAGAGACCAAGGCTTCTTTGACCAACATGGTTGACGCTGCCAAATTCTACAGAGAGAAGTACTAAGCCCGCCACGGCTGCTGATCTACTGCTACCGCATACATTTATTCAACATTAATGTTTGATGAGCAACTAATGATTACGACGTCATAAAATGTCTTTATTTGTACACTGAGTTTAGCTTGTTTGGTATAAATGGGATTTCAACATCGATTGTTTAGAGAGAAAAATACTATAAAAATTATTTACAGTAATCTTGTTTGTGGCAAAAAAATGTCGGAAGACGCACAACTAATTGACAAGTTCCAGCAGCTTACTGGTGCTCCAGAAACCGTTGCCAGACACTTTCTGGCCCAGAACAACAACAATTTGGAGGTAAGTGGTCAATTGCCCTGTTCTAACGTGTAGGAATCGATCAATCAGTACTATGTCCATGCAACATCCGAAGTGGAACAGAGACCCAGCAGTGGGCCTAAAATAAAGTCGTTCAGCGAGATTAGAGAGCAGGAGGACGATGATGAGGATACCAACTTGTTTACCGGTGGCGAAAAGTCTGGGTTGCAAGTGGAGAACCCTGACAAGCCAAACCCATTGGGATTGGTTCAGGAATTGATCAAGAAGGCAGAACGCGAGGGCTCGGAGCCAGACCGCCGGAAGCCGTTGCACAGCGTCAAGCAAACGAAATTCACAGGAACAGGCTACAAACTGGGATCGGTCGACAACGCCGTCGATTCAAAGGTCATTGAGGATTCCCAAAAGAAAGGTTTCAGAGTGCCTGAAAAAGTCAACAGAACAATCACTTTCTGGAAAGAAGGGTTCCAGGTGGGCGAGGGAAAGCTTTACAGATACGACGATCCAAACAACGCTGATTATTTAAGACAACTGAACTCGGGCCGTGCTCCATTGAGCCTGTTAGACGTGGAAATGTTCCAGGACGTGGACGTGACCGTGGTGAAGAAGATGGACGAGTCTTACACCCCACCGAAGCCCAAACAGGGTGGCTTTGTGGGCAGTGGTCAACGACTTGGATCTCCGGTTCCTGGCGAGCCAAAACCCGAGCCGGTTGTTGAAGAGACGGCACCAGCGGCTGCAGCAGGGGCTACTCCGGAGCCCGAAGACCAAGGCGCAGGCGACGCCAAGGTCCAGATCAGGCTTGCTGACGGGTCGCGTGTGGTGCACAACTTCAACTCTTCTGATGACGTAAGCACCGTGTTTGAGTTTGTCAAGTCGCAAACGAACACCGACAGAGAGTGGGTGCTAGCGCACGCGTTCCCGATGAAGGTAATCGAGCGGGATTCCAAGTCGATCAAGGACGCCGGGCTGGTGAACTCGGTGGTGGTGCAGAGATGGAAATAGAGCTTGTCGCTATGTAGCACTGCCCGACGGCCTTGAAGAGAGGAGAAAAAATTTGTAAAAATTAGTCAAAGATCATTTTGTTCGGGATGGGTTCAGGATCTATAGTTCAGCCCAATGTGGATGATCTGGTTGCAATCATTGCGGCCGATAAAGATCGGTATGAGACAAAGGACCGGCCTAATATGTATCCGGTGTATTCTTACTTCTCTGCGGAGTATTTGACACCGCACTTGGCTTATTTGAAGTTGACTCGCCCTGGCGACAAGAACGCCGCCAAGAGTCCGTCGTTTTTGTTTGAGAGTGCCAAGAATGGCGACCAGATTGACCGGTACTCGTTTATGGGCACGCGGCCGCGCAAGATCCTTACCACGGGCCCGTTGCACGGCAAGGAGGAGGACCCTTTGGTCTCTTTAGAGCAGGAACTCAAGAATACCAAGCAGGCACAACTCCCTGGTATCCCTAAGCTTAGCGGGGGTGCTATCGGATATGTGTCGTATGACTGCATCAAATACTTTGAGCCTAGAACAAAGAGAGATCTCAAGGACGTGTTGGAGCTACCGGAGGCCGCGTTGATGCTGTTTGACCTGATTGTTGCCTTTGACAACGTCTATCAGCGGTTCCAGGTGATCAACAACATCACTATCGACGATAACGACACCGAGGACGATATCAGAAAGAAGTACGTTGCTGCTCATGAGCAGATTAAGGAGGTCAAGGAGATTCTTACTGCTCCTGAAGACCCGCTAATATATCCCGAGCAGCCGGAGATCGTCCAGGGCCAGACGTTCACCTCGAACGTTGGCCAGGATGGGTACGAAGGGTTCGTGACCAAGCTGAAAAAACATATTCTCAAGGGAGACATCATCCAGGCTGTTCCGTCGCAGAGAGTTGCTCGTCCAACGTCGCTGCACCCGTTCAACATCTACAGACACTTGCGTACCGTGAACCCGTCGCCGTACATGTTCTACATTGACTACCTGGACTTCCAGATCGTGGGAGCTTCTCCGGAGCTGCTGGTGAAGAGTGACTTGAAAGACCGCATTGTGACGCACCCGATCGCAGGAACAATCCGCCGTGGTAAGACCAGAGAGGAGGACGACGAGCTTGCACACACGCTCCAGTCGTCGCTCAAGGACCGGGCCGAGCACGTGATGCTGGTGGATTTGGCCAGAAACGACGTCAACAGAGTCTGTGCGCCGGACTCGACGAACGTGGACCGTCTGCTCACGGTGGAGCGGTTCTCGCACGTGATGCACCTTGTGTCGCAGGTGAGCGGAGTGCTGCGTGGAGACAAGACCCGTTTCGATGCGTTCCGGTCGATTTTCCCGGCAGGAACAGTTTCTGGTGCTCCCAAGGTGCGTGCGATGGAGCTGATCGGCGAGCTGGAGCAGCAGAAGCGCGGAGTGTATGCGGGAGCCGTGGGCCACTGGTCGTACGACGGCAAGACGATGGACACCTGCATTGCTCTACGGACGATGGTGGTGAAACAGGGCGTTGCTTACTTGCAGGCCGGCGGAGGAATCGTGTACGACTCCGACCCCTATGACGAGTACATCGAGACGATGAACAAGATGAAGGCCAACAACAACACGATTGTGGAGGCCGAGAAGATATGGGTGGAAAAACGTCATAGGGCGTAAGTGGAAATTTAAGCCATTACGCAAAGATTGGATCTAATAAATTACCGGTAAAAATTATTCGTTTTAACTTTTTTTTTAAAAATAGTTATGACCGTGGAGGAGGTAAGTTTCAAGCTAGCAGTACGTCCACTAACGCCAGGTCGAACGGGACTTCAGCGACTACGAGGTTCTGCGAAATCGGTTCGAATTTCTGGTCACCAAAACAGAGCCCAAGTACCAGAGCCAGCTAGAGGTGACTTTGAAAAACTTACATGAGCTCATAGGCCGGCTCGAACCCAAGATACAGACGATGAATGCGGACCAGCGACGACGGTTCGACGAGATCCGGACGCTGGACTTCACGAGACCCAAGCCGAGATCGATACCCACAGACAGCAAGTCGTCGTGTTGTACTATAGTCTGAGTTTCAAATTGGAGACTTACAACTAAAAGACCGCGCAGCAGTGCTGGAGAACACAAACACCATGTATCCGATAGAGCCCGCGATGCCCATGACGGCAAAGATGCTGGCCACCGCAGAGATGCTCAGCAGCACCCACGTCTGCCACCTGTGGCTCTTGTACCCGTTTTTGAAGAGCTGTTTGAACTTGGCCTCGTACTCGTGCGTCTCGCCCGTTGCCGGGTCGTAATGGCCAATGTTTTCCACGCTCGCCTTGACAAACACCGCCCACAGGTTCAGCAGGTACGGGAAGACGTACGTCAGTGGAATCATGGTGAGCGCAGACGTGAACGCTGCCACCGCCATAACGTTTGGGACTCCAGCACTGATGACAAATACTACCACCCACACACAGATCACTGTCGCCGACCATAGCAAGGTTCCCCGAAGCGATTGGAATCGCAGATTGCGCACCAGTCTTGGTAAATAATTTTTGTAACAAACTTTAGCAGAGAGATGACCATAGAAGGTGCCCTGTGTGTATCCCGTGAGGAAAGTGACCATTGCAAAACCTCGGAGTGCCGCTGTGTCGGAAATTCCCAGCACTGCGGGCGAATTCGTAAACTGGCCCTGTTTGGCGTACACAAAGTTCCCGTACAGCAGGTATATCACCAGGATGCACGACTGGGCCAGCAGCATGCTCTTCCAAAAATCCCATGGTCTTTTCATCTCGGAGAGAATCTCGGGGAACACAAGACACCCTGCAAAAACGTAAGACAGACTTGTCACCGAAACCAGCTGGGCCACGAACCCCTGGTGTGCAACCGCGTATGCGTGCACTGTTCCACGGTCCACTCCCAGCACGGACTTGGCATTCTCCCAGTTGGGTTCGCCAAAATAGCCGAGCTGGGCAAACAAACACACATAGTTGAGGATGGAGATGGCAATACAGATGATTCCGAGCTTACTGAGACTTTTCAGATGACCACAGGCCGCCTGGACCCCGCAGATAAGCAGAATCAGACCGGTGAAGCACACGCGTTCGGTGCGCATGATCTCGAGACCTTCGACGGCACCGATGACAATGGTTGCTGCGGTCAGTATCATGGCTACCATCTGAAGAAAAATGATAGTTTCTCTAAAGATCTTTCCACCAAGCAGCTCCGCGATGTCTGCAAACGTCTTGACAGGGAACTCGGGCGAGTCAAACAGCAGAAACAGCCACCAGATAATGCCTCCTGCTACCAGGGTAAATGAGAAAAACACAACAAGCATGATGTTACCGGGAACATAGCCCAGATAAGACACTCCTTGCGGCACCAGCAGTGCTCCCATGATCTCTGTGGTGATAAGGCCTGCACACGACAACCAATGACTGTTACGGATAGAAAGCGCGTCATCCGACCATGTTGGATAATCCTCCGACCGTAGAACCAATGACTCGATCTTCAGACTGCCGTAGATGAACCTGTTCCACCAGGAGAATTTTTGTTGATGCTTCACTTGGCTGTACTGGTGTTCTATGTATCTCTGGGCGTAGAAAAGTCGTTTCACGATAGGACTTGATTTGGAGCTAGACACTTCTTCCACGGACACCTCATGAATGGTTTTGGAAACGGGTTTCTCTGCTGTCATCAACCTTGCTATGAATGAAGAGATAATTTTTGACGACTGCCTAAGATAAGCTTCAGAGGCAGAAAAGGCAGACATTCTGTATGTGTGGAGGTATAAAGCAGAAATATATTTTATATAGTATAAACCCAAGAATTGCGAACGTTCAGATCGGAGACGTGCAAGAGAACGAAGTTGCCGGGGTATTGGCAAAGATGTCCTTCATGTACTCGACGGATCCGTATAAGCCCATACCGGCGAAAGCCAGAGAGGCAAGACTCAGGCACACGTAGAACAAGGTGAGAAGAACATTGTTCTTGAATCCGGCAGCCATGAATTTGGACATTGGCTTGTTGTAGCCAACCACCACACCTGTAGTGGGGTCGAAACTCTCGATCATCTCGGCGTTCTGCTTGATGAAGTAGCCCCAGATGTTGAACCAGTACGGAATAACGTAGGTCAACGGGATCATCGTCAAAGCAGACGTGAACGACGAAATGGACGGCACGTTAGGCACTCCCGTTGCAAGCACAAAAATCACGATCCAAACAGTCACAACGCTGGTGCTCCAGAGGAACTGGCCCTTTTTGGAGTGGAAGGCCAAGTTTTTAATTATCTCGTCAAGATAATTTTTGTAAGCGATCTTGGCAGAGATGTGGCCGTACAGAACGGCTTGGATTCCACCAACAAAAACACCAATGAAAGCAAGACCCTTCATTGCCTTGACGTTGGCGATGCCAAACACGGCTGGGGAGTTGGCAAATTGTCCCTGCTGGGAGTAGACATAGTTACCGTAAATCAGGTAGCAGCCCAGAATAGCCATTTGAGAAGCAAGCATGGTTTTCCAGAAATCCCAGGGTCTGCGCATCTCAGACAAGATTTCTGGGAACACCACCGATCCCGCAAAGACGTACGAGATGTTGGAGATAGCAACCAGCTTGTACACCAACGTTTGCGTGACAAAGTTGGAGGCCACCACCGGGGCGGGATCCAGACCCAGCAAGTTTTTAGCGTTCTGCCAGTTTGGCTCACCGTAGAATCCCAGTTGCACAGCAAGGCAAATGTAGTTGATGACCGAGACAGTCAAACAAAACTTACCCAGGTTGCTCAGCGACCTGATATGGCAGACGACGCAAGCCACTCCGCAAAAGAGAATCAAAAGACCCGACCAGCAGTATCTCTTATCTTGCAAAATAACAGCGGACTCGAGCGCACCGATACCGCAGTTGGCTGCCGTCAGAATCATGGCGATTAGTTGCAGAAAGATAACAATATGCCGCCAAGTCTTACCTCCCAAAACATACGCAATGTCGGCCAGCGACTTGATTGGATACTCTGGCGAGTCGAGCAGCAAGAACAGCCACCATGTGACACCACCTGCTAGAATGGTCAGGAAGAAGCACACGATCAGAATGATGTTGCCAGTCACGTAACCAACGAGCGCAATGGAGTTCGGAACCAGCGAAGCCCCCATAATTTCCGAGGTGAGAATTCCAGCACACACAAACCAGTGCGACGTGCGAAGAGATAAGGAGTCGTTGTTCCACGTCGGATAGTCGTCGGACTTTGGCTCCAGACTGTTGATTCTTAGCAGCTTGTACATCCAGTCGTTCCACCAGTGCAAACCGCGTTGGTGTCTGACCTCCTCGTACTGCTTCTCCATCGATCTCTGGGCGTAGAATAGTCTACTGATAATGGATGGCTCCCCAACTGGAGTAAACTCAGACACACTAACGGTCTCGAGGTTGACCTCCACCACTGTTTTTTCGGTTTTCTCTAGCGATGTCATTTACCCACAGTCGTTCTAATTCTAGGCTACTTATACTTGTGTTGGCAGGATACTTCTGTCTAATCAGATAAGGGAAAACGTTGTATCCTCATAGATAAGGGTTGCGGCTCAAAACCAGATTAGGGTCAGGTGACTTCCGGTCATGCGGAATGACAGAACACAGGCTGGAGAGTAGAGTTCAACGGTTGATAGTAACGTCTTGTATCCAGACAATGGACCAGTGTAATGGCGCGGCGGACGAGACACAATATGCGCTGAATTTCGAATTGCGCAAAAACGTCAAGTGCCATTTGCTAAACTACGCTGGCGTTTCGGAAATGAGACTTTTCGGTCCTGGATCCATGGACGGACGTTTCACACAATAGAAACGGGCAATATGTTTGATCCACGGCCATGCTCAGCTTCGGAAAACCAATTTTATGATACCGCGAAAGATCGCAAAAGATCGCGAAAAGTTTCCGGTGACTAGCCTTATCGGTAAAACATGATTTCGGGTTCTGGGAAGCTCTAACAGCCGTAGAATTGAACCAAGAGCAATGACCAGACACTCGTCTTGACCCAGACTATTGGGGATCAGTTGGTATAAGAAACGGGCGAAATTGCGCTGGAAAACACCAGACTCTTGAGGCCCTTTACACGGTATTTTGAGATGGATCATGCAAGCCGGATGCATTCAGCAATTTGGAGAAGAGCATATCTAGGCGTGGTCGGTTACCAAATAAAGACGGAATCGGAAAATTGTATAAATTGAGCGGGTTGTCCAGGGCGAGATTAATCGATCCAATACAACTAATTATGACTGTCGAGACCAAGAACCAACCATACCTTTTCCAAGCCAAAGTGGCTGACAAACAACTCGAGTGTGTCGGAACCGCCAAGGACGGTCAATGGCTTGTCCTTAAGGACCCAGTCACCGGCGAGAAGAGAGAGATCTACGACGCTATCTCTGGAGCTGCTGTGTGTTCTTTGAAACACGGCGACACCGAGATTCTTTCCCAGATGAACGACTTCGCCAAGCAGTCTGCCTACACTTTCTGTGCCAACTTCTCCAACACTGCTGCCGAGGAGCTTGCCGAGTTCATGTGCTCCAAGTCTGAGGGAGCCTTCAGCTCTGCCATGTACGTCTGCTCTGGTTCCGAGGCTAACGAACAAGCCATGAGATATGCCATGCAATACCACATCGAGAAGGGTGACAGAAAGAGATACAAGTTCATCTCCAGAGTCAACGCCTACCACGGATACCTGGTCGGTGCTCTTTCTATCGGAGACAACCCAATGAAGCCATTGCTCAAGAAGATGCTTCTTTCTGACGACCAAGTTCCAAAGATCTCCAGACTTATGCCATACAGAGATCAAGGTGACTTGACCGAGGAGCAGTACTGTAAGAAGCTCTTGGACAACTTGGAGGAGACCATTGTCTCCACCGGTCAGGATGAGGTTGCTGCCGTCATCTTGGAAACTGTCAGCGGATCTTCCATTGGTAACTCTGTTCCTCCAAAAGGATACCTGGACGGTGTCAAGGCTCTGTGTGACAAGTACGGTGCTCTTTTGATTCTGGATGAGGTCATGTGTGGATTGGGAAGATGCGGCTACCCATTCACCTTCATGGACCCAGAGTTCGGACTCACCGCCGGTGGACCAGACCTTTTGACCTTCGGTAAGACCGTCGGAGCCGGAATTGTGCCTCTTTCGGGTGTGATGGTTGCTCCAAAGGTGGTCAATGCCATCAGAGAAGGTTCTGGTGTCGTTATGGGCTACCAGACCTACCACTCTCACTACCTCAACTGTAGCGTTGGACTTGCTGTGCAAAAGAAGATCTACAGAGACAACCTCATTGAGAACGTCAGAGAGGTTGGTGCCTACACCAAGGCTGCTTTGAAAGCTGCTTTGAAGGACTCGAAGGTTGCTGGAGATGTCAGAGGTGCTGGTAACTTCATTTCCGTTGAGTTGGTCAAGGACAAGGCCACCAAGGAGTCGTTTGCTCCAGAATTGAAGATGCACGAGGTGCTTAACCAAAAAACGTTCGCCAAGGGTATCCACTTCATGTGCATCCCAGGAACCAACGGCTACGAGTACGTTGACGATAAGCTCGTCATGAACGGAGCTCACTTGACCATGGCTCCAGCTTTCGGATTCACCAAGACTGACGCTGACCTTATGGTCAAGGTCATCGCCGAGACCTTTGCTGAGATCGAGAAGGAGTACCTTTGAGTATTAGTTGAACTAAATATCGTAATTGAATATTGGACTGTTGCAACTAAACTGTGGTGTTAAGTCCGGGAAAATTAATAATTACACCACTTTTTCAAAAGATTATAAATACAGGCTGATTTCCCAACTAGCAAGCTAAAGATGTCTGTTTTAGTTACTGGCGCCACTGGATTCATTGCTCAACATGTTGTTGACAAATTGCTCTCCCACAACTTTACTGTGATCGGAACTGCCCGTTCTGAGGCCAAGTATGCGCCTCTGCTTAAGGAGTTCCAGAAGAAGTACCCTGATGGAAAGTTGTCCTTCGAAATTGTCCCAGACATCAGCACTGACGACGCTTTCGACGAGGTTTTGAAGGCACACCCGGAAATCACCAAGGTTCTTCACACCGCCTCGCCTTTCTCGTTTGGTCTGAACAAATCGTTCGAGGAAGCTTATCTCCATCCAGCCGTCAACGGTACTCTCAACATCCTCAAGGCCACCAAGAAGTATGCTCCTCAGGTGACCCACTTTGTTGTCACCTCGTCGTTTGCCGCAGTCAGACTCCCTGCAGAGGTTGTCTTCACCGAAGTTCACACGGCTGACACCTGGAACCCAATCGAGTGGAAGGACGTCACCAACGAGAACCTTGCCTACGTGGCCTCGAAGAAGCTGGCCGAGAAAGCTGCCAGAGACTTTGTCAAGAACGAAAAACCAAACTTCAGTTTGTCTACTGTCAATCCACCATTTGTTCTTGGTCCTCAGCTGTTTGACTACACTGTCTCTGAAACTCTCAACACTTCCAACCAGTACTTGCTGGACATCCCAAGACTCAAGTCCAAGGACTCTCCAGTTGCACAGTTGAACATGCTTGCGGTCGACGTCAGAGACGTTGCCGAGTTCCACGTGATTCCTCTCCTGAAGGAAGCCAACAGAAATCAAAGAAACCTTGTTGTTGGCGACCTGTTCCAAGCTCCTGTGGTCAACAAGATCGTGAAAAAGCATTTCCCTCAATACGCTGACAAGGTTCTTGATCTTGGAGAGGCTCCTAAGGAGCACGTTCAGTACGACCTTTCTGCGGTGGTTGATCCAATTGGCGGATACGACTTCATTGACTTGGAGAAGTCTGTCGTCGATACCCTGACCCAATACTTCAAGCACTACCCATTGTGATGAATTGGTATTTGGCGACTACCTCAGCAGCCAAAAACGGAAGTACCCGCCATTGGGTAGCACGATAGGTTGAAAAATTTATAACTGGTAACAATCAATTTGAGTATCTAGTTTCTATGGATCCCTTTTGATCCACAAGACGTCTGTAGAACTCGGGCCGTCTATGGCGGGCAAAATCAAACATTTTCGTTTTCCCGTTCAGTGTTTCGTCCAAGTCGATCTCGGTCACAATGACGTCGTCGTCAAGCACCTTGCTTTGCACTTTCGCGAGTCCGTTGGGGTCGACTATCAGCGACCCGCCAATCAGGTCCTGGCCCTCCTCGTTGCCGCATTTGCCGACACTAACGGCAAAACAGCTATTGAAGTAAGCGTTGGATTTAACAGCCAGATCGCTGTGGTACTGACGCAGCTTGGCGTCCTCGGCGTCCCCGAACAACCCCTTACCGTTTGCAATTGAGTTGTACCCGATCAGCATGAGGTCCATCCCCTGCAGTGCGTATGTTCTCCACGACTCGGGCCACCTTCTGTCGTTGCAGATCAGCATTCCGATTGTGGCATCGATCCAGTCGGGATTTGCGCGGTATGCTTGAAATCCTTGGTCTCCGTACTCAAAATAACGTTTTTCGAGTTGCTGGAACTGAACTCCTTCGCTGGGCTCGAGAAATCCAGGAAGATGCACTTTGCGGTACTTGTGAACAACTTGCCCGAGGTTGTCGACCAAAATCGCGGAGTTGTAGTGGTGTCCGTCATTTGTGAGCTCGCAGTAGCCCAGATAAAAGCCAATGGAGTACTTTGCAGCAGCTTCAAATAGCGGCTTGCAAACTCCAGTAGAAATGTCCCCTTTTTCAAAATAACTGTCAACCTCTTCTTGCGACTCAATGTACCATTTGGGAAAGAACGGGGTGAGAGACATTTCTGGGAAAACTGCTAAGACAGCTCCTGAATCTGCAGCCTTCTTCAATAGTCCAACCAATCTCTCAACCGTCTGTGCTCTAGTAGCACTCTTGGCAATGGGACCCGTCTGGATCCCGGCAATTTTGAACTTACGAACACCCATGCGGTTCGTTTGGCTAGCCCGAAATATTTATAGGCTGGTGCGAGGAGGCAGATTTTCTTATCATCGGGAAACGCACTTATAAGTTGCCCGCACAAGAATTTCTTTCTCATCAATTATATATATTAGAAATGCAAAAAGTTACCTGGGAAGAAGTTGGTGCCGCCGGCAATGAATTGTTGTCTCCTGCCTACAAGAGCAATGGCCATGTGTTCACTTCAGGAAGTGTTGGCTTTGCTCCAGACGGAACCATCTCCGAGGACGTGAGCGTCCAGACCAAGTACGCCATCGAGGCTCTCGAGAACGTGCTCAAGAAGTCTGGATCTTCTTTGGACAAGGTCCTCAAGGTGCTGCTGTTCATCTCCAACAGAGAAGATGCTGCTGCCGTCAACGCTGTCTACAAACAGTACTTCAAGACCCAGCCAGGTAGATCCTGTGTGATTGTCCAGTTTCCCGATGCTAGAATCAAGGTTGAGCTGGAGTGTGTTGCTGTGTACGAGTAGTTAGCATGAATGGATACAGTACTGCCTAATTTTTCAAAGTTATCAATAGTGGAAATCGGTAGCGACACTTTTGATCTCTCAAATTTCCCAATTAGGATATATGCGCGAACTGAGGCTGCGAAAAGTCCTCGAGCAAAACCTCTCAGTAAGTCTTTAACCAGTCCATGAACTCCGTCCATTGTAGCATCGAGTCGACCCAGGCTTCGATGTCGTCCTCCGAGTTGCGCTGCAGGCCCTCTCTAAAGTTGATGAGCGAGTTACCGCTCACTCCAAGGTCCTGCCCTGGCGTGCGCACGTAGCGGATAATCTCGTCGTGGCTCATGTTTTGGAACGACACCATCCCGTCCGCAGTCGTACAGGTGATACACGCAATGAGCTCCTTAATGAATCCCGTTCCGCGTTCCTCCAGATGGTCGTAGCCGAGATCATTGATCAGTTTCAAACACTCCACCACAAGTATAACTCTCTGGTCGTTCTGTTGCAGCTCGATGTTCATCAGAACGTCCACAATCAAAAACACTGATGACGAAAGAACATGGTGCACAAGCGACCAGATTCGGTAGTGTTTCAGCGTGACCGTGGACATAAACAGCTCGATGGTCATCACCGAGTAGCACACGCAGTTTGGACGGTACTTCTCCATCCATTCGTCGCGGGGAGTGTGCGACGCTAGCAGCTTGTTTATGTTCGATATCTGGTCGTAGAATGTGTCGAGAAGAACATGGCGACGCAGCCAGTATGGGTCGTCGGCCGGTCTCTCGGAGTCTCGCAGGTGGAACAGGTTCTGTGTCTCGCGTAGCAAATCAAGCAGGTGTGACTCCGATTGCAGCAGATTTGACTTTGCGTCCTTTACAGTGGGCTTTGAGTATTTCTTTTTGATGAGAGATATCCTCACCATCACCTGTTGGAACGACGAAGGAGTGAAGGCCGGATCAATGGGATCGACAGCTGGCTCAGTCTTGATGATGCTGGCACGTCCGTATGTTTCAAAAGCGTCGACAATCACCAGGTTGGCCCATAAGCCACGAGACATGGAAGAAGTGCCCGTATTGAGTCCCAGCTTGACAGCAGTATCGATCATGTCGTTCAGCAACGAGTACATCACACCGGTGTTTCCAAACCCTTGCAAGGTGATCAGCAGAATACTGAACGCCTGAAGCACATATATGTTGGGAAACTCACGGAAATCGCTCCGATTGATACACTCCAGTGCTGCAATGTAGCACACATGGCTTCTATCGAGATTTGTGTTCGGATGCAACCTTTTGTAATCTTCCGTGGTGTCCTGGTGCACGTAGTAACCAATGGCGAGAAGCGAGTACAAAATGGAGAACCACGCATATCGTTTTCTGCGGATCTTGAAGTTACAGGAAAGCTCTGGGATATCCTCATCCAGAACGTTGATTCCCTGGTTTCTCGACAAGTAGAATTTCACCTCGCCAAGAAACCGCTGCTCATCCAAAGTATTAAACAGAAACCCAACGGTGCGCAGCGAAAACTCGACCTTATCCAGACAAATTTCAGGAGTGATATTCTGAAGTAGCTGCTTGGAAACTCCCCGTTTGAGAGAGTAGTTGGTGGAATCGTAAAACAGACGCGAGTAGTCCTGACTTTCGTCCGGACCCGGCCAATTTCGAGGATTGTCCAAAATCTTCTCCACATCGTCAACCCCGGGCTCCCATTTTGAGAGTCCTCTGGAAATGTACTCGATTCCACCGCCGTCTTCCAAAGTGACGTGATGTCTTTGCAGGTACTTGGTTCTATTGCGTGCATTGATCAGCGACGCATTCCCACCCCGCACCTTCTTCCGCAGATGTTTTATCTCTTTCAAGGCCTCCTGAAGTTTATGTGTCAGCTCCTCATTTGCAGACGAAAGTTGCTGCATAGTAGGGTCGTTGAGCAGACGGCCGCGAACAACTACTGTTTCCCGGTAGCATGAGTCTACAGACCCGCGGCGTACACACTCTGCACAGGGCCGCTTCTTGTCACATTTAACGTGTCGGCGCGAGCACGCAAGACACGATTTGGGAGCTCGCTCGGTGACTCTGATGCTGGTCATGATGTGCCATTTAATTTTTTACTGATAAATTTTTCTTCACCAAATGACAGCTACGTATCTTAATCAAGGTATTACAGGCAACCTGTTGCCCAACAATGTCAATTATCAGCTCGAATGACAGCTTCGTAACCCTAAAAAGACGAGAGTCCAAGATTAGTAACTAGACCCCTCCTGCCGCGGCCCGTTGGCTCAAGGATGATACACTACTCCGGGAATTCTCCCGAACTTGTATCATGGAAAAATTAAGATAAGATTTCTACTTCGAGAGTTTTTGTCCAATAAATAGTGCATCAATTCTCATCACTGCCTCTAACGGCAGCCATGGCTCTTTCCAAGCACATTCCCAAGACCCAGAAGTCGATGCTGGTGGTCAATCTGATGATGGCCATTTGTTTCCCTACCTCTTTTGGTTACGATTCCATGATGATGTCTTCGTTGAACGCACTTCCAATGTACAAAGATTATTTTGGGATCACTGATGCTACTTCGAACCTAAACACCGCATCCATGTGGATTGGTCAAATAGTGTCTGTCTTCATTGTGCAGTACTTTGCAGACCGGTTTGGAAGACGTCCGTGTGCGATTGGAAGCATGCTTATTGTGACAGTGGGGATTATTTTGCAATCTGCGGCTCAGGATGTTGCAATGTTTGTGATCGGCAGAATTGTGCTTGGTTTCGGATTTGGAATTGGTGCAGTTTCTGTCAGTGTTCTTATTGCCGAGCTGACTCCCCGCAAATGGAGAACCACTGTTACTGGCCTGTTCTTCACCAACTTCCTGATTGGCTCGATCATCGCTAGTGCAGTGACGTACGGATCGATGGACATACAATCAACCTGGTGTTGGAGACTTCCGTCTATCGTGCAAGCCGCTCCACTGGTGTGTTCTTTCATTTTCGTCTGGTTCTCTCCCGAATCTCCTCGGTTCCTGGTTCTCAAGGGAAGAGAGAACGAAGCGCGGGAAATCTTGTCTATTGTCGAAGACACGTTTCCTACAAGCGATATTGTTGAAGATATTGTGAGCAGCTGTGCTGAGGAAGCTGCTATCAACAGATCGCATTTCTTCGTCTGGAAGGATATTTTCGCAACCAGAGTGGGTAAGAGAAGAATGCTGACGCTGCTCATTCAGTCTGCAGTTGTTGAGTTTGGAGGCTCTTCCGTGTGCTCGTACTATCAATCACTGTTGTTAGAACAAGCTGGAATCACAGAAACAAAACAGAAACTACAGGTTGGTATAGTGTCTACCGTTTGGTGTTTGGTCTGGTCCATTCTGGGATCCCTTTCGTTCGACCGTCTTGGACGTAAACCAATGGCAATTGGGTCGTTGATTGGAATGATCATTTCATTCTTCATCATGGGTGGACTCATGAAAGGATATATGAGCGGAGCAAACATCTCACCTTACGGTACAGTGGCCATGATGTTCATCTTTGAAATGTTCTACTCCTTCACTTACACTCCAATCGACTACTTGTATTCACCGGAAATTTGGCCTACCAGACACCGTGCCGCTGGAGTCGCCTGGTATTCACTTTGCAACGGCTGTTTGGGACTGTTGGCTACCTTTACTCTGTCAATTGCCATGAGCAACATGTCTTACAGATTCTACTTTGTCAACGCAGCTATAGACATAGTCTTCGTTCCTCTTGTGTACTTCATCTGGGTGGAGACGAAAGGAACTAGACTTGAGGACGTGGATGCACTATTTATGGCAGCTCCATACGGCGGGTTTGGCAACAGCTTCTTTCAACGCGACGATGTCGAGAAGATCGAGGTTTACGAGGAGGTCAAGTCGTAGCGGGAGTAGGAAGTTTAGTTCTGAATATACTAAATATTAATTGAGATTATTACTAAATATGGATATGCTAGCTCCATCGGAGACTACCGCCGACCAATGGTTGCAACGATTCATCATGGAGCAGGCTTGCCTCAAAACGGGTCGTGTAAATATCAAACCCCGAATCTCGTGAATTCGCCCGAACTTGTATCTTGCATCGAGCGAGCTTTCGCTTCAATTCCCGGAGCGCATATATAAGATGGGGCTTCTGAGATAACCGACACCATACAGAATGACGACTACAGTGACAAATTCAACCCTCACGCTTGAGCCAATCAGCACGAAGTCTGTAAGAACGTACAAGGACTCGCCAGGCATTGTCGTGAAAAAGACCAAGTCTGTTCCAAACGAAATCATCGATGCCCAATCTGCTTCGCTCTACTCAAAAATACACAACGATTGGAGAGATGACCTTGTTCGGGACGGTTATGCGGTGATCAAAAATGCTATCCCAAAAGATCGTGCTGAGAACTACCAGCAGGAAGCTTTCAAGTGGATGAAGAGCTTCGGAAACGATGAACTCGACTTTGATGACCCTAAAACTTGGAGAAAAGAGAACCTGCCTCCGGTTGATGCTGACATCAACGCATACAACTGCTACGGAGTCACCCACGAAAAGTTTGTGTGGGACGCCAGAATGGAGCCGGGAGTTCTTGGCGAGTTCGAAAAGCTCTGGGGCACAGATGAGTTGCTGGCCTCTTTCGACGCGTTGAACGTGACTTTTCCAAACAGAGCTGATGCTCCAGAAATGAAGCCATGGCCGCACTTTGACCAGTCGCCTTTCAAGCCTGGGCTCCACTGTGTTCAGGGTATCATCAGCTTGAGCAACCATGGCCCCGCTGATGGCGGACTGGTGGTTTACCGTGGCAGCAACAACCTGTTTAACAAGTTCTTTGCAACACAAGTCAGAAAAGAGGACTGGGACGAGTTCAATTACTATCAGTTGTCTGAAAGCCAGCTCAAGTGGTTCATAGACAACGGGTGCGAGGAGATCAAGGTCAACTGCGAGCCGGGAGATCTAGTGCTCTGGGACTCAAGAACTTGCCACTGGGGAATGGTGCCGACCGAAAAAAGCAACACTATTCGTACGGTGATCTACTCATGCTTCACTCCGGCCAAGTTTGCTTCCGAAGAGGCACTCGACACTAAAAAGGAGCTATTTGAGAGTTTCAGTGGAACCACTCACTGGCCCCACGCAGATCTCACCGCTGTGCGTAACCCGGTGATCAAACCTATTCACCGACCACAACCTCTGTCAATGCCCGAACTGTCCGACAAGTTGCTAAAACTAGCTGGAGCAAAACACTATTAATCAAATCTTACTTATTTCGTCAGTCCGTAAGTGGTGAACATACTGCGTAGTCTGTAGTCCGTGTACATCTCAAGGTGCTCTGGGTCGTTGACAAACACCGAACCTTGGAAGTCCTCGCAGATACTTTGATTCATTCCAACCACTAAAACCATTCCGGCCTTGTTCAGAAACTCCTCGTTTACACTCTCGTAGTTCTCCTTAGAACCAGTGGAAAGTAGCTCCAATGCGTTATTGGCGGCTTGCATTCCCTGTCTAAAAGCCCATCCGGCGGTTTTCACCAGTGCAAGGTTCGCCAAATCACCAACCGCAAAAATATTCTCAATCACGTTGCCGTCTGCCGTCTTTAACTCGTAGTACTTGGTCACTTCGACGTCGCCGTTAGCTGCAAACACTGTCGGGAAATTCTTGGCCAAGAAAGAAACATTGTTCTTCTTGTAGTTACACCAGAAAACGAGATCGCTGCTGATAGTGCGGCCGTCGGTGGTCACCAACGTGCCATCCTCTGCCTCCGTCTTGACTCTCGTGTTGAGAAGCACCTCAATCCCCAAGTTTTTCAAGAACTCCAACGTCTGCTCTTTGAACTGATCACCGAGAAGGGACTCTGGTGGCAGGGTCGAGTGGGGATGGATCAAAACAACCTCCTTCTCAGGGTACTCGTGCTTGATTTCGCCGGCGAGTTCGATGCCCAACGCACCGCCGCCAATGATCACCGTCTTCTTGGAGTTCTTGATCTGCTCGGCCGAATCGGTCATCTCTTTTCTCAATTCCTCCGACGTAGAAGACAAAGGGTCCAGCGGCCAGTTTCGGGTCCGACCACTGCAAATGATACAGCTGTCGAAAGAAACATCAAACTCCTCTGCCTTGGTTTTCGGCTTGTACTTGTCGGGCAACTTGCCCTTGTCGAGTTGCTCGAGCTTCACGTGGGCGGAATTTTTGGAGAGCTGGGTAATTTGACCCTGGATAAAATGAAGCTTCAGATTAGGATTGTACTTCACCTCTTCAGCAAAGATCCCCACATTTGGCTTATCGCCATTCTCACTGCGCAAAACTTTTTTGGCGTCGAACGTCGATCCTTCCTGAAGCCTGATTGTGTCCCAATAAACGTTTGCCCGATCAAACGAGACAAAAGATTCGACTGCAAAGTCCGGGTCGATCACGGCTTTAGGAATGCCCAAGATATTGAGCATTCCGAGCTTGGGCTCGACTAGCGTAACCTCCAATGGCTTTGTGGAGCTAGCACTCTTCTTAATCAGAGCCTTGAGGGCGGCCACCCCTGCGAAGGAGCCTCCAACTATCAAAACGCGGGACATTGAAGATTGTTTAAGTGCGTCTGCCATTTTTCAATCCTACAAAAATACGATAACTCCGCCTGACAAAGTATTTTGAATATTCCTTGAGTTGATTACACGACAATTGACCAACCAATGAAAAATGCGACGAGAAGTGAAAAAAGGTGCGGACTTTGTGATTCGTGACTTTATCCCACTATACCGAATCCCAACTCCGGGTTTATTGTTATTCTTGCATGTGTAGTTTATTTTGCGGGAGTGCGTTTCCCCGGACACAAGCCGTTATTATTTCTCTTGCCCCAACGCGGGGAAGTGCGTCAAATATTTCCTTATTCAGATCAATCTCCGATGGGTATAAGTTGGCCACCATCTCCCCTCTATTACAACCTAATGACTTACAACACTTTCCCAAACCCATCTCTGCAAATCACTAAAGACCACCAGATTTTCATCAAGGAAAACCCTGTTGAGAAACCCGGCCCCGGACAGGCTCTAGTGCACATCACTGCTACAGGTATCTGTGGTTCTGACGTGCACTTCTGGAAACACGGCCAAATCGGAGAGCTCAAAGTTCTCGGCAACTGTATCATGGGCCACGAGACTGCAGGAGAGGTCATTGAGCTCGGCGAAGGTGTCACGGATGTCAAAATCGGAGACAGAGTCGCTATTGAGCCTCAAGTTACCTGCGGCAAATGTTTCCTGTGTTTACAAGGTGACTACAACTTGTGCGAGAACACAAAGTTTCTTGCTGTGTACCCAAATGATGGAAGTATGCAACGTTTCAAGGTCGTCAACGCCCAATGCCTCTACAAGCTACCAGATAACATGTCTTTCGAAGAGGGAGCTTTGTGTGAGCCATTGAGTGTTGCCTACCACGGAGTTGAAAGAGCCGAGTTAGAGCTCGGAAGAGGAGCAATGATCTGTGGTGCCGGCCCAATCGGATTGGCAACTTTGGTGATGGCCAATGCCAGCGGTGCTTCACCACTAGTCATTTCCGACCTTTCGGCAGAAAGATTGGAGTTTGCAAAGAAGCTGATCCCAAGAGTCAAGACATACCAGATTGACCTAAAGAAATCATCTGAGGAAAACGCAGAAGGCATTCGCGAGCTTTTCGGACCGGACGAAGAGGACGCTCCTCCAAGAGTTTTGGAGTGTACCGGTGTTGAATCTAGTGTGATCACTGCTGCCTACGTTGCTAGAAGAGGCGGCTCCATCACGGTTATTGGTGTTGGAAGACCTACATTTAACAATTTCCCATTCATGAAGCTCTCCTTGGCTGAAATTGACGTCAAATTCATAAACAGATACCACCAATCGTGGCCTCCTGTTATCAAGCTTATCAGCGAGGGAATCATTGATGTGAAGCCATTTGTCACACACCGTTTCCCATTGGAGAAGGCCGATGAGGCAATGAAGCTTTCCAGCGACCCTAAAAACGGTAGCATTAAAGTGATCATTGAGGATAAAGTCAAAGTTCTATAAGTAATATATAGCTAGAGTGATTACTTGAATAAATTATTTATTTTCTTGCAAACTGTGGAGTTTTCGTAATATTTCAGTAAATCACTGACTTCCTGTTAAATTTCCGTTTATCCTCAAATACTGAAAATGCGTTCCAGTATTAAAAACAAGACAGTCCTCATCACAGGAGCCTCTGCCGGAATCGGCTATGAAACCGCACACGCTTTTGCTGACGAAGCCGAGGGTCAATTGAAGCTGATTCTCACTGCTAGAAGAGTTGAAAAACTAGCCGAACTCAAGGCTGAGTTGGTGAAAAAATACAAGGAGATCAAGGTGTACACTGCAGGACTGGATGTCAGCAAACCTCCATTGGTCAAAGAGTTCGTTCAGTCAATTCCAACTGAATTTGCCGAGGTTGATGTTTTGGTTAACAATGCTGGTCTTGCCCTGGGAAGAGATCCCGTTGGGGAGATTGATGTCTCGGACATTGAGACAATGCTGGACACCAACATTCTTGGACTCTTCACGCTGACCCAAGAGATCTTGCCTGGAATGAAGAAGAGAAACAGAGGAGATATTGTGAACATCGGATCGATCGCAGGCAGAAATCCGTACCCAGGAGGAGCTATTTACTGCTCCACCAAAGCCGCCGTGAAATTTTTCAGTAGAAGTTTGAGAAAAGAACTCACCGATACCAAGATTAGAGTCATTGAGGTCGCTCCTGGTGCAGTCAAAACTGAGTTTTCTCTCGTCAGATTCAAAGGAGACCAGGCCAAAGCCGACGATGTTTACAAGGACAAGGAGCCCTTGGTTGCTCAGGACATTGCGGATTTCATCATCTACGCCTGTACTCGGAGAGAGAATGCGGTTATTGCCGAAGCCGTGATTTTCCCGACATACCAAGCTTGAGTAGGTCTTTGACAAAATCGAATCCAACGTATTCCTCGTATCTACCATAACTATAGTACCTACTAACATCTGGCTTTCTAGTCTGCTTAATCTACATTGTTAAAAATCAGCCGTGATTCGGCATATTTTTGTTTATTGTCCGTGCTTATCTTTTTAATTGTTTCCGGGATGCCCAACTATCTTATCAGAATTCGCGAATAGTTTATAAGCTTCCGAAGATACTTTTGAAAACTTTCGCTTTTTCATTCCCGAAGATGAGAGTTTCTATAGCATGCGAAGCGTGTAGACATAAAAAAATCAAATGTGTCCACGAAGGAAAGCCACCGTGCCAGGCGTGTAAGATACGCGGACTAGGAGTAGATTGCCAGCTTTTCTCGACTCAAGAGTTCCGGAAGTTCAAACGCGGGAACTCCGTTCTGGCAAGGCTCGAGTCTGGAAACTTGGAGATCTCAGGAGACATCGTTAAATCTTGTATTCAATGTGTTGCACGTCATTATCCGGAGCTTGTGTTTCTCAGTTTCCCAAACAACATCGATCTAGTATCGGTCATCGACCAGGTGGTAGCGCTTGGTCTCTGCGCATTGAGTGCACCATTCATAAAAGAGTCATTGGACAGTTCTCCAACGGAGATCCTCAATTGTTTCGAGACAAAATTGATGGAGAAGATTGATGACAAGCATAGTATTGATTATCTGAGTTTACTTCAGGCAAGTATTGTTTGGCTGTTACTTAACTGGCAAACCGGTAAGTCTACAAAAGGATACCTTTTTGGAGGTTTCGCAGATAGGGTCTACATCATGCTGACGAAACAAAAGACCGAACACTCAAACTTATTCGAGCAAGAATTCTACGTGAGAACATTATGGGCGTACCAGTTGACCTGTCTTTCTCTTAGAGAGGGATCTTCCGCGGAAAGTAAATCAAGACTTTTCAAATTTAGGCTCCCAATTTCTAACCAAGACATTTTATTCCGTCAGGCTGGCACGGAGCAAACGCTTGACAAAGTTGTTATTGGAAAAACAACCAATTTGTTTTCGCTCTTCGTCTATGGTACCCATATCTGGACGGACTGCTGTACTTGGGTTTTCAAAGGTGGGCGCAACTCCGATAAGACTCCTCCATGGAATCCTAATAGTGAATGGTCTCGACTCAAAAACCGAATCGAGCAGTTTGAGTCCCAGCTGGGGCCTAAAATGAAGTACTCTCCAGAAAACCTGGAGGCCCATTATGCTCTTGGACAAGGATCTATCTTTTTTTACATGCACCTGGGGTTGTATACCTCTAAGATCTTGATCTGTCGCAACTATTTTCCATTTGTTCCTCTTGACCACAATGGACCTAAAGGCCCATTTCCAATGCTACCAGAGCTGAAAAATGCCCCTGAAGGCTGGTGGAGCTCCAACGCGCACACGGTTTTCGAGTCGAGCCGAGTCGTTTCCATGCTGTTCCAAGGGCTGGATATACACAATTTGTGCCCATGCAATTCATTTTCTGGGTTTTGCGCCTTGACTGCAGCATCAATGCTGATATACATCTACAATTTTCCTTCCTATGATCCTTTGTTTCACCAGGCTGAAGTCTATTACAATAATTGCGAGGCTTTCCTTCAATATTACGAACAGCATTGGGAGTTGGGGAAGTACTATCACGACTTTTTAAAGCAAACAACGAAGATGTTACAGGCCGCTTCGACCAACAAAATAACTGTGTCTAGCATTTCTGCGTTCGAGAATATGAAAGACGAGCTTTTGGATGTTGCAAATGTCGCCGCTCCACTGCCAAAAGCAGACAGACTTCAAATTGAAAATCTAATTGACTCTCCCAGGAGCCCGCGAACTCCTAAAACTCCCTCGGAGGAATGCGAATGGCCCGGACTCAACATGGCGTGGGCATTCGACTGGTCTAATTTAGGAACGTTTACGTTCAACGAGTATATGAATTGAATCGAGATTAATGTAATGTAATTAATTTTGGTAAATAAAGTCCATAAAACGCTTGCCGGCCCATTGCCACACTCAGATAGGTGATGTACAGGAAAATGACGTAGCTGAAGTGTTGGCAAATATATCCTTCATATATTCCACGGAACCGTACAGTCCCATACCTGCGAAAGCCAAGGATGCAAGACTAACAACAGAGTAGAAGGTGAACAAAAGTCTTTGTTCGTTGAATCCACGCTTCATGAACTCCAGCATTGGTCTTTCGTAGCCATTGACTTCCATAGTATTTTCATCGTAATTGGTAATGGATTCTGTATTGGTCTTAATGTAAGATGCCCAGATGTAGAACCAGAATGGTATGACGTATGTGAGTGGAATCATAGTAAGCGCCGAAGTGAAAGCAGAGATAGAAGCAACATTGGGCACACCAGTTGCAATAACGTAAATGATAATCCAGACAATGGTTGTACTGACATACCAAAGAATTATACCTTTCTTGGAACGGGAATCCAGGCCTTTGAAAATTCTTGGAAAGTAATTTTTGTAGAACACTTTGGTGGAAACATGTCCATAGAAGACTCCCTGGAGGACACCAACAATGAATGTCATAACAGACAATCCCTTAAGAGCACTGATTTTTGAAATACCAAACACAGCGGGCGAATTGGCAAATTGTCCTTGTTGGGAATAAACATAATTACCGTAAACCAAGTAGGTTGCAAGGATAGCTGTTTGAGCTGCAATCATCGATTTCCAAAAATCCCAAGGTCTCTTCATCTCGGAAAGAATTTCCGGGAACACAACAGATCCCGCAAACACGTAGGAGATATTAGAAACTGCAACCAGCTTATAAACCAAAGTTTGAACGACAAAGTTGGAGGCAACCACAGGGGCAGGATCGAGACCAAGAAGGGACTTGGCGTTTTGCCAATTTGGCTCTCCAAAGTATCCCATTTGCACAAACAAGTTGATGTAGTTCATGAAAGAGACGACAAGACAGAATTTTCCGATGTTGCTGAATGACTTAATACTGGAAATGATCCCTAAACCAGTGCAGAATGCAAGTAATAGACCTGTCCAGCAGTATCTAACATCCTGTAGGATAACCAACGATTCTAATCCACTAATACCCACATTAGCCGCTGTCAGGAACATTGCCACGACTTGTAAGAAGATGACAATCTGGGCCCATGTTTCGCCTCCCAGGATTCTTCCGAGCTCTGCTAGTGAACGGATTGGATATTCTGGAGAATCAAACAGTAGGAAGAGCCACCAGAGGAGTCCACCGGCAAGCAGTGTAAGGACAAAACACGCAATCAGGACCAGATTACCTGGAACATAGCCAACCAGCGCATAAGAGTTTGGCACCAAGTAAGCTCCCATAATTTCCGAGGTCAGAAGACCCGTGCAAACCAGCCAGTGCGAAGATCTGAGAGCTAATTTTTCATCTGTCCAGGTAGGATAAGTTGACGTTTTCGGCTCTAAGGAGTTGATTTTCAGCGTGCTGAAAACCCAGTCATGCCACCACCCGAAACCAGCCTGCGATTTAACTTCGCTGTACTGTCTTTCCATGTACCGTTGGGCATAGAAGAGTCTAGTGACCACCGAGGGTTCGTGGGTTGGTTTTTCTGAATGAACGCTTACGAGTTCAATATCAGCAGTTTCCTTTGTCGTACTGTTTGGCATCTGGAATGAGTGACCCCGAACGAAGAAATCCCTTTCATTTATATGCAAACTTTATTCGTTGACGCAGGCGTGCGTCGGTCGAGAAATTAAAGATAACGAACTTTTGTGACGGTCGGTTCCTTATCAGCTACCCGATAAAATCGCTCACAGCACGGCAGCTTTTACGCAGATATTCTCGTAGAGCTAGCGAATCAAAGCTTTCTGTCAAGCTTGGCTCGAGAAAGGTATACTTGCAGGCGAAAGCCTATTGTGTGATCTATTCATCCGTTATCTTCTGATTCAGTTTCCTCACTATCCGCCCCGGTACCCCAAGCACCAAACTGTTACTTTCGATATTTTTAGTCACCACAGAACCTGCTCCAACCACGACGTTGTCACCTAACTGCACACCGGGTAAAATTGTGGCGTTGGCAGCTATCCAGCAATTATCTCCAATGATCACCTTTCGTGAGTAATCCAGTCCTTCGCTCCTTCCATTTGCATCTAAAGGATGGTCTGCTGTAGTGATCGTAACATTTGGGCCTATCTTGCAATTGTTTCCCAAAATTATGAGCGAAGTATCTAACAATACAGCGTTTGCATTGATGTACAAATCATCCCCAGCCACAATGTTCAATCCATAGTCGCAGCTAAACGGAGTCTCGATAAGAGGATTTTTCCCACATTTGCCCAAAATTTGTCTGGTGAGACGAGTTCTTGCAATCTTGAAATCATCAAGATTGCTATAATGATCCAGACTCATTCGTTGAAGCTGAGAGCAAATCATTGTTGATCGAAATCGTGCAGTTTCCAGTGGCACTGAAAAAGAATCGTACACCATCCCAGATATCATCTTGTCGTACTCAGGTGTATCTGGTACATTTTCAATTGTTGCATGCGCGAACTTGATAAGCTCTAAATCCAAATCACTCGATGGTTGGACCATTATTGAGCTTTGAGATCTCATTCGATGTATAAAATACGATCGGGAATTGTTCGCGAAGTGATAATAATTAGGAAAACGAGGTCAATCTTCGGAAATATATTTGCGACTGATAAGATAATTCCCATGATGATTCCGACTCTGGAATCATCTCCAAAAACTTTGCTATATCCAAAAGCTGTGTACATTAGAGCAGTATAAAGTGACCGTCACAGTAGATAAACGTACATTCCTTACCATCCGCGGAAGGGAACCCAAATATCGCAAACAGTCTCGTCGCCATCGACAATATAATACCATGGATAAGAAGCAGCAGTGATACAGCTATGCTGAGGAATGATTTTCACTTTTGCTCCGTTCGGCAATAGTTTTGCATCCTCACTGAGAGGGGCCAATATACCGTGTTCCTGACTCAATCTGCCCACAACCCATTCACCGTACTGTGAATCTAAACAAAGTTTCCCGTAACCAGGAACCGAGCTAACTTCTTTAGTGAGAGCAATGACACCTGCATTAATGAGTTGTTCACCAGGTTGCTTTGGGCCTCTTCCTGGGTAAGTGGAAAGAACCTCTGCTAGGACTCGGCATGCAACACGTTCTTCGGACACAAAACCTGTAGCCATTTGCTGAAGATCGCAAAATGGATAGTTTCCTGCATGAAGTTCAAGCTTGCCGTAGAGTTCCCCAGCCGACTTCAGGTCAAAGTGTGCAGACGCATGCGCTGTTGGTGTAGCTCCCACTGAGAGATGCAGATCACAAGACGGGTCGATTTCACGAGCTTGTTTGGCAGCATAATTTGCGCTTGAGATCTCATCTAGTAAGAACGATTGACCCTCTTTCTCACTCTTTCCCCCGTATGAGTGACCTGCATGACAGTAAAACCCGTATAACGACACATAGGTTTTAGCATCAGTGCTCAGCAGTTTTCTGAGGGTGGGACCCAAGGAATCTTGGTCATAGCCTGCTCTGTTCGTACCCATATTAACCTTAACAAATATAGACCACTTCTTTTCAGACGAATTCTTCTTGCTATAATTGACAAGAGTATCGATCTGGTCAATGTTGTCCAGCATAAGTCGCAAGTTCTTCACACGTTTACTCAACTCCTCGAGTTCAGGGAGTCTGCTTTTAACCACAGGTAAACTAAACAAGATGTCGTTAATCTTCCCGTCTTCAATTAATGGAAGTAGACCCCATGCTTCCCTCAAAGTGGACACCACAATTTTATCAGTCTTATTTTTTCCTTCTCCCAACTGTAACAGCGTTCCTTCCAAAGTTTTATGTGTTTTAACATGGGCCCTAAAATCTAATCCTAGTGATCTAGCATTCTCGAGCATCTTATCTGAATTGTTCTTTACAACAGAACGATCAACAACGAATGCCGGAGTAGGCAACTCCTGAACATTTGCTCCCTTGAAAGCCTTCAACAACTCATCTTTCGGTGGAATTGGTGTAAAATCTGATGGACACTTCATTTGAGTAAATCTATTGAAATATTTTTCTCGTCCCAAAGGCAGACAGACACATTTATCGGAATTTCTCATCCGAGTTAAAAATCCGCTTTGGGTTTACCGATAAGGGGTGCTGCAAATAATTTAAATAAACTTTATACCTTCCAGCCAAAGGTCACATCAGATGTCCAAGTATAAAGTAACTCTCAATCAAGACTACTCATGGCCTGAGCCATTGAGTGAATTACCCTTGAAAATACATCCATCAATGGATGGAAAGCTTGACCCAGAGTACGTTAAGTTTTTTAATGAAGTACTCTGCAACAGACCAGACATTTTGGAGACCCACAAGTATCCTGTCGAGGTGACAAAAAAGGGCGGCAATGTGATCCCAGGGCAGAGACCCTCTAAGGAAATGTCCAAAATCTTTGACATCACCATTCCGAGAATGCATACTGAAGGCGAGCCTATCCCGGCTAGAGTGTTTATTCCCAAAGGGACACCGCCATCAGATGGATGGCCGTGTATGATCTGGTATCATGGAGGAGGATGGGTTTTGGGTGGTCTGCATACAGAGAATTCGTATTGCACCTACTTGGCTGAAGATGCAAAATGTTTGGTTATCTCGATCGACTACAGGCTTGCCCCCGAATTCCCGTATCCAGCATGCGTGGACGATTCTTTTGAGGCATTACTTTTTATCATGTACGGTCCAAAAGACCTAGACATTGATACAACTAAAGTGGGTTTGGGAGGATGTTCGGCGGGTGGTAACCTTTCTGCTATCATGACGCATAAATACGCAAGCTCTCCCCTATCCAAAGGTTTACCACCACTTAGAATTCAGCTACTGATAGTCCCAGTGATTGATAACTCGGCAACTGCAGAAACGTATGTCTCCTGGAAAGAAAACAAGTTTACTCCACAGCTTCCTGCGGACAAGATGATGTGGTATCGGCAGACTTATCTCCCTGAAGCAGGCTCGACACTGGTTGAGCCAGAGTCAAGCCCGATTTACTATCCAGATTCCAGTTTCAAGCTTGTACCTCCAGCTTATTTAGGGGTTGCAGAATGTGATGTCTTAAGGTCAGAAGCTGAAGCCTATCACGAAAAATTGATTGCAAATGGCATAGAAAGCAAGTTGGAAATACTCAAAGGAGTTCCTCATACGGTCATGATCATGAACGAGAGACTAAAGCAGGGTGATCAGTTGGTTGAGAATTCGATCTCTGCAGTAAAGGCTGCATTTTCATGAAAATCATGCGTATCAATACCTTATAGCACTTCTAAACAAAGAACTAGAGAATTTATAAAACAAACTTATAAAAAACAGAACCAACTCAATTGGGCTAGCAATTGCAGTTTTCGAGGAAACTTTCACGAAAACATCAGATATGCATACATCTCTTCTTGAGGGAGCTGCTAGTAGAATTTTTTGCTGAAGAGACTGTCGATGCCACTGTTGTCAAATTTTTGGAAGAATTGACATCAATAAGCGGAGTGTAGTACTTGTTCAGAGTGTTGCCACTCTTGATTTGAGCAATGTCCTTTGCCTTACAACCCTCTTCCGTGCATACTGTAGAAGCGGAGCAGCTTTTCGTCATGTACAAGGAGTAAAGTTCGAATGCAGTGTTATTTGCTTCAAAGGTTTTCAAAACCTCGTTCCAAAACGTAGCATTCAATGGAGAAGCTTTTGGCCAATTAGGAACATAATCACGGGCAGAGTATTCCAACTTCCATTCTGGTGGTGTATCATTACTTGTAGCAGAGATGTCAGCGTAATAGGTTAAAGATTCTACAATCTCGTAAGATTCAGGATCAACCTTGTAGACTCTATAACCTGTGTTCAGATCAGTAAAAGTGGTGATTGATGGGGCCAAATACTGGACACCAACTGCATTACTTTTGTAGTCAAAATTTAGAATGAATTTGTCCTCGTGACTGTGACCATAAAACTGCCCTTTGATGATATCCGAATAATCATTGACAATTTCGTTGAACAGATTTGACCAGGGGATTACACAGTCACTATCACCAGGTGCAATGTGTGCCTGTATCCACACGCTTTCATTTCTAGACTTGCTGTCTTCCAATTCGTTGACCAACCATTGTAACTGGTCATTGGGGTCAACATCTGATCCACCATTGTATAGCACATAAAAGTTGTAATAGTAACAATCAACAGTATTAAGATTAATCAGTTTCAGACCTGGGGCTGGTCTAACGGAATAGATGCCGTGGTTTGATTCAAACTGAGATATTGTAGTAGAAGGTAACCAATTACCAAAATAGGATCCCAAGTTATCCAGTGCCCACTGATTTGGTAAAGATCCGTCTGCGAGTAAAGCAGGCTCTATGAGATTGACTGGTGCAGTATCATGATTTCCAAAAGTGGCGTAAACTGGAGACTTCAAATAGTCACCAAGGACGGAGTAAATTGTAAAAGCTTCGGTGACAGTGGTTTCGTTATCATACCACACATTATGTGGAGGCACATCACCAGTGAACAGAGTAAAGTCCGGGGATCCACCAATAGTTGACTCGAGATACTCGCCGAAACTTTTGACCAAGTCTATTGGCGAGTCACACAAGTAAGCACCATACTTGGTTGCAGGCGCTTTGACAGTACTTGATGTTTGTGTTCTCTCTTCACAGCATAGTGGGTAGCCACAGTCAGCTTCTGATCCAATAGAGTATGCAGGGTCATAGTGGATATCCGAGATGTGAAGAATAGTGAGCAAATCTTTTGACTTCGTGCTGTTTATGTAATTGGTAGCAGCTTGAGAGGATGCGTCTCTCGTGAAGTCAACGGTTTTTGGCTCAAAATCCGTACAGGTACCCATAAAAGAGTTGCAAATAAGCTCACCGCCATATCCAAGCAAGGAGTCAGAAGAAGTGGTGATCATCTTCAGAACATAAGGGCCAAGAGCACCAACGGCACCAGTGCAAACGTCCTCCTTTTCAAAAGTTTTGCAAATATCTGTTGCAATATCGAGAGTAAGATCATCACCAATGATATCAATTACAGCATTTGCTGCAACCAATGCTGCTTGGCATACGTCACACTCGATAGTCTGGCCTATCTCATTGGCAAGATCTTCCCAGCCAAAAAGTGATGGAAAAATAATCTCTAAAGCAGAATGTTGATCGGTCGTAATACTAGCTCTTGGGTCCAGTCTAGCAGAGCATGCGCCCGATATAGCAAGAAATCTCAGCGCGTTTTTGAATGAAAGACTGAGCATTTTTTCAAGTGTAGATCTCTTGGCCTCCCAGAAGAAATCTTCAGATATAAACAGTTACTCACGCTCACATTTCCACGTGTTGACTTTGATGAAAGCGACCGTGTTTACTTGTTTACCAGAGAATATACCATGACTACAGGGGAAACAATAAGATACGTTAGGCCGTTCAATCACCACGTGCCAAGCAAGATACAGACAGAAACTCTCAACCGATTGTTCAAATTTTCTGATTCAGGATCTTGCATAATCGTCTAAACAATAGAACGGCTGAGTTTATGTTCTCCAGGGCCAAGAACGTGGATTATTACATCCTTCTTGAAAATTCGCTGCAGGACCGAGGGAATACACGGTCGTTCTTATTTGCATTCGGAGAGGCAGCAGCAACACAAACTTAACTTAACCGAAATGTATTTGCTGACGTCATAAGTGATTTTTCAGAGGGAGAAAACATACGCATCTTTGTTTGTTCGAAACGAGTTGGAACCACCCCACGTGTTTGCTGAAGTACAAAGATTTTACAGAACTGATATACCGACTTGTACTTCCTGATCGGATTTTATTGTGGGGTACCACTCTCAAACCGAATGGGTCACATTTGCAGCTCTCAGAATCATCTTCCATTAATAACCATATTGCTTTCGACTGCTGAGTTATGTTACCCGAACATGAAGTTTTTGGGTATCAATTAGAAGGTTGGCCAATGGTAAAACTTTCAAGAACCTTTGTTGAGATGAACATTCAGGTATCGGACATTCAAGATTACATAATCATTTCCATCACAAAATTTATATACCCTGGTTTGAGAAGATCTTTCATAAATCGACAAGGGGTAGAAGTACAATTGACTATTCCGTTGACGGCAATGGCTGGCGACGAGGAATGGAGAAAGCCGAGCTTATCACAGGAAGTTCACTCCGATTCAGGGAGAATTCGAGATGTGGCTTTTTAGTCAGCCACACTGATTACTTATCATCCGTGGCAGCCACAGTAGTCAGGTATAGTCACTAGCACCGATATAATCTTTCACCTATATTCTTTTCAAAATGACTTCGACCTCTACATTGAAGCTTCAGGCTATCCCTATTGACAAAGAGATCGAGAATATTATTCGGTCCTCAAAGGATATTGCTGTCGGTGTTGGTGCCAATGACAAAATTCAATTCGGTCCTGACCCAGAAGGACTAAAGATTCTCCCAGAATCCAGCAAGAAAAGACTTCTTGATGCTGGAGTTGATATTTCCGAAGGCTATCCTTGGAGACCGAACAAGTCTGATGTCCCTGTTTTTGTTGACGAAGCCGCTGCAATCAGAGATGACGACTATGAATATATTGAGCGGGCTAAAAACGCAGATCCAGAAAAAAAGGCTCTTTTGGGAGCCGCTAAAGAAGTGATTCATTTAACCAAGCACATTGGAACCGAGTTGGTTGGATTGCAGCTGAGTGACTTGAGTGATAAGCAGAAAGATGAGCTTGCTTTGTTGGTGGCCGAAAGAGTTGTTGTTTTTTTCAGAGACCAGAAGCTTTCTCCCGTCAAACAATTGGAGCTCGGTGGTTATTGGGGCCGTGTTGAGCAGCATCCTCAAACCACACAAGTGAATGGGCTCCCTGGTGTGACTGTGATTTGGCAAGATTACCGGCAACGAAACTTGAGTGTTGGAATGACATTCAAAAATCACAATTTGGGTAATTGGGATGCTGTCAAGAATGTGAGTAGAGGTAACCAGGTTTGGCATACCGACCTTGTTCACGAAAAGAGACCAGCTGGGCTGACTCATTTACACCTTGATGCAATTCCAGAATCTGGAGGAGATACTTTGTGGTCGTCTGGCTATGCGGCTTACGATAAGCTATCTGAAGAATTTAAACGATTCCTCGATGGAAAACAAGCTGTCTTTATATCCGCAAACGGATACCTCGACAGAAAAAACCCATTTGGTGGTCCTAGGAAGATTGAGAGAATCCATCCATTGGTGAGAACCCATCCCGCTACTGGCTGGAAATCCCTTTTTGTCAACAGAACAATGACAACTCGTATTTTAGGATTGTCCTCGGTTGAGTCCGATTTGATCTTGAACTACCTTTTCGATGTCTATGAAAAAAATGCGGATATCCAAGTCCGGTTTAAATGGACTCCCTCTCAACCGGGTTTGGGTACGTCTGCTATTTGGGATAACAGAATTTCTCAGCACAGATCCACCTGGGATCACGAGGGTAAAGACGCGCGTCACGGCACAAGAGTCACCTCGCTTGCTGAACTCCCGGAGTTTGATCCAAACTCCAAGTCTCAGCGTGAAGCTCTCGGTTTATCACTGGATGAAAAGGACTTCTTTTGATTGAATATGAGAGGGGTATATAAGGAGAAGTGTTTACTGATTACTGCACACTGAACAGTAGATGATCAGTTCAAAACGCGTTTACGTAACCTTGACGTGTCTCTGAGCGTTGCATCAGGACATACCTTTTTGTAACCGAAACCCGTTTGATTAAATTCACATCTGGTCTACCTAGAAATATTGTGTCTACGTACGGAAGTCAACAACAAATAATTAGATGTGAATGAAATAGAACCTCTGGGCTGCAACCTTCCTGCTGAGATTTCTCATGCTGGAACATGTACTGTACACCAGAGCTATGCGTAGATAACGCCCTCAGTTGCTTCTCCGCGGTTCAAGAGGCGCATTTAGTCGTTCTAAATAGGCGGTGTTTCAGAAATCATGTCGAACCAATGACTATTGTTCTAGTGCGGCCAAAGAATCCCGTTCCTTTTACTACTAGTTTTCAGACCACCACGCATCAATCAACGTGATTACTGAACAGCTACTCAAGATCAAGCCATCTTTCTTGGACCATGGGGGATCTGGGAAAGCTCGATAGTTTCTGGAACCTGGTTTTCTTCCGCTATAATAGCTAATGGTTGGTACACCACCAAGAACACTATCATGGCAAGAATCATAGGGGCTGCGTCCAGGCGGAATGTGTAGATAGTGTGGAAGAGGATGTAGCCCAAATGTTGAGCGTACTCGACGACTCTGAAGATGATTCTGACAACAAAGCAAGCAATGACGAGGTAGGTAGTTTGCGCAGAAATATACTGGCCACTGGATGAGTGCTCTGTGGTAGCGAAAAAATCCTGCTCTGTTGTGTCTGATGTGCACCGATAGACAGTTGGTGAGGAAGAACGCAAACAGGAGCAGCTGCAGAACGAAACTGATAATTGCTATGGTTTTGCCGGTAGTTTGCATGTTGTCGGACATGTACTGGAGGGCAAGACCTGCGGATTGTGTTGCAAGACAGATGATATCGCAAGTAACAAAGAAGACTGTAAGTCTCTTGCCGGAAATGAGGGCATAGCGGTTGGCTCCCAGGGAGGATATGACTCTGCCGAAGCACATGTAGATGGTAGCCGTGAGGAAGATGGGGGACAAGTAGACCTCGACGGACTGGCCGAGGCCGCCAGCAACATGTCTAGCGTAGCCAACCACCTCGAGAATGCCTCCGATGATAAACCAGCACATTTACCACGTACGGGTGTAGATTGACATTGCGAAGTGGACCAGCGTGGCTGCAAGGAAAGCGAACAGGTAGAACCTCGCGCCGGGCTTTGGCCTCCCAGGCGACAACCAACTTGGGATGACACGCTCCAGAAATTCAGACCAGGCAATCTTGTAAGATGTTATATCATTCCAGCACTCATGCTCCTGACTAAAAATACGCAGCACCCATGTTGCACCTCCGGGACCCCAATTACTAACCAAACTGACAAATCACCCTTGTGCTCGCCCTTTGGTTGCGGCTCGAATCCGGCTTTTGGGCACAATAAGAAATATTTGGAAGACAATAGTCTGCGAGCCGCACACATCTGCTGACTAACACGGCACACTATGGAAAACGGGTTTGGCCTGCGAAGAGTGCGGCTGTGCACAAGTAAAAGTTGTGGGCCCTACTATATAAGGATCCGCGGACGTTGCGTACCTCCAACATGAATCGCAAAGTTCTGGCATACGTGCTGATTCTGCTGGGTCTGACCCTAGACAATCTGAGTGTGAGCGCCGGTATCACGATGACCGCGAGCTTGCAGGAGCACCTGCACACCGACTACGCGACGGCGACGTGGGTAATCTCTGCGTATGCCCTTACTTTGGGCTCGTTTATCATTTTGATAGGTAATATCGCCGACGTTGTGGGCTTGCACGTGGTGTACCTCGCTGGCCTGACCGTGATGAGCGTGTGCTCGCTCATTAATGCCCTAGTACCCAACGCGGTTGCCCTGATTGTCGTCCGTGCAGTGCAGGGTATTGGCGCGGCAACTTTGGTGCCAACGTCCATGGGCCTGACGGCCTCGTACTTTGAAGGTGCCGCGCTGCAGCGCGCAGTGCGCATGCTCATGCTTGTGCTGACCACGTCGCTCGGGCTGGGGTCTGTACTCGGAGGCGCATTCTCGATGACCCCGATCGGATACAAGGCCTTCTTCTGGTTTACATTTGGAATTGGTACTGCGTGCCTCGCGGGTCTCTGTTTCGTTATTGTGCCCGTGCCTCCGCACAGAACAGTCAGCCTCAAACGGCTGGACTACCCAGGCGCAATCCTGCTTGTTGCAGGCTTGCTGCTGGTGATTCTCGGGTTCACAGAGGCCGGCACCAAGTGGCATTCTCCCAAAGTGTACATCCCGATCCCCGTGGGTGGTCTTATTGTCATTGGCGTTGCACTGTACGAGCTGGTGTACCTGCCCCGGTCTGGCTCGAAGCTCGAGGTGATGTTTCCGCTCGAGCTGGGAAGCGTGCAGCTATACGTTGCATCGGTGTGCAGCGTTCTGTTCCACTACTGTGGGTATACAATAATGCAGCTGGCATTAATTCAGTTCCATGAGCACTACGACAACGACTCGCCGCTTATTGCAGCCGTGCGCCTGGTGCCAGGATCGGCCGGCATCGTGTGGGGCAGCTTTGTGTGGCGGCCGTGGTTCACGGCACGCACTGGCGAGCGCTGGTTTGTGGTCATTGCTGTTGTCTGTACACTAGCTATGACTGTGTGGGCGTCGCGGTTCCAGCCGGGCCAGTACTGGCGGTATGAGCTGGTGAGCTTGTTCTTGATTGGATGGAGCCTGAATCCGTTCTATCAGATCACGTACTCCTTGATGATCACACGAGTGCCGATGCACTTGCAGGCGACCGCCAGTGGGATCTTCCAGACGTTTGGCCAGGTGGGGATTGCGCTGGCTAGCGCGGTGTCTGCGTCTCTCATGGGGGAAAGAGGGACCATCGCCGCGTCGAGGAACTGCTTGTACGTGGCAATTGGGTGTTACGCTGTTGTTGTCCTGCTTTTCTGCCTAGGAGGCCGGGGCCAGCAGGAGGAGGCGGACAGCAAGGAAGCTGACGTTGAGCGTCAGGAGCAGGAGGAGACAGCCAGCAAGGAACCCGAGTGTACTGAGCGAACTGAGCGAGCTGAAAGCGTTGCTACGGGAGACAGATAGATCGGTTTTGTGTTGAGTGTCACATTGAGCAACTAAGGGAATCGGTGAGATGAAAATGGTCTTATGGGTGTGAAGTGTTCGACGTGAACTAACTTCGTTGACAATGAAATAAAGCACGCGAAAATATTAATCTCTGGAGGAAATTAAATAATTAAGTAGAAAAGGGTTTAAACCGAACGAAAAAGCGAAAAAGCGGAAAAAAAAGATGAACTTGGTAGGTAGGAGTAGGATATGGTAGGACGTAGAGAGTAGTAAGGTAGAGATGGTGTATTGGAAACAAAACGAACGGTGTGAGTGGAGAGTGTGGCTGTGTGGTGGGAGGGGTAGGGTAGTAAGGTTAGTCAGCATCTGGGAGACCGGGTAACCTTTATCCCGGGTGGCGGGTGGCGGGTGGCGGGTGGCGGGTGGCGGGTGGCGGGTGGCGGGTG